GGAACCAAGGCCGATGGGAGGAGGCGGAGAAGCTAGACGTGCAGGTGGTGGAGATAAGCAAGACGAAGCTTGGAGCGGACCATCCAGACACGCTGACTAGCATGCGCAACCTAGCTTTCACCTGGAAATCACTAGGCCATAGTGGTGAAGCTATAGCTTTACTCCAGCAGTGTGCGCAACAGCATTGAACAATTTTTAGAGCTGGTCATGCTGACCTTCTATCTTTATTTAGTGCTTTGGATGAATGGATAATGGAGCAAGCAGACGCTAACTTATGTATTAAGTCTGAGGGCATCCGTCTGGCAGAAGAATTAGACATCTAGTTGTTAGAGACGTACTTCAGCTTCCTAGAATCTCGTAAACCTGTTCTAAAGGTTAGGGTGCTATAGCTGCTATCTTACACTGAATCAAGTTAAAGGGGCCGCTATAGCTCTAATAGAATGGTGTCGTGCTCCGATGTTCCGGCATGTAAGGCTAATAACCCTGGAAGCCCAAAGATCACATACGGAGGGAGCAAGGCTAGCCGATCAGAGAAGATGAAATACGTTGATTTAGCAACTCTATTGCGTATCTAATAATGCTTCTAATTGGACATGCTCGATTCGAGGTACTAATCAGGGGTGGCGATTCACACTCACTTCGCGATATCTACAGCCTCACCGCCGCGATCTCCTTTATATTCTCGGTATAGGTTTTTTGCTTAGAGCAAAATAGAATCAGGTCTCAAAATCCATAAAATTGAAAATACGCCCATAGTTCTTAGTGCTTGATTTTGCTTAGATGGATATACCTTTGTAAAGAAGGGCAGGAGACATCTGCATGATCGTAATATTGTTATAAGTAGGGCTAGCTGTGGAGAGAAAACATTAAGGTACATAATACCAGAGGCTATGCGAGCGGGACCAAGTTCCCACATGGCCTTGCAAGTGATTTTGGATGTCGAGGTAAAGGTTTCGATAAGGCGAGCCATGCGGTCGTGGAGGAACGTATCAATCGAAAGCACCTCCTTGGAAATAGCCTCAATGCCATTGTCACACTTGTCAATATTACTCGAGATCGTATCCATTATAAATATGTGATCCTTGGCCTGGACGGTAGAAAGTCCTGCAATCTGATGAAATCTTCCCAAGCTGGTCCAGAATTGCAACTGTGTTGGCGCGAGTAGAGACTGAGTCCTTGAAACTATCTTCTGTATTTTCGGACAGAGATTACATCCCAGAGGTCTTCTTCTCAATGGTACAAGAGCGGGCAGTCAAATTTTAGAAGTGCTTGATGTCCGCGCTGGAGCAAACTGCAGCCGTGTTGACCGGTGCGGCCATTTCGGTCGTCACTTTCTTGGTTTGTGCATCCTACCGCTTATACATACGCTATTACATTGGTGATACTGCTGAGGAAGTACACATAGCCCCCTTCACACTATCCACAGCAGACTAAATCCCTACGAGATACTCCATGACAGCACCCAGCTCTGTTTCCTGGGTCTCACAGAACCGTCACTACATCTTATCCATAGCGGAAGAATATGAAACCTGGTTCTGAGCGACATTAGCGATATGTAAGGCGACATTGCCGACTTCTTCCTCAATCTTGGTCAGCTTTGAGGTTGCGGTCGAACCAAAGCGTTCCAACTGTGTCGAGACAGCTGCTATTTCTTCGTTGGTCTTGTCGTCAACAACTTGCTCCTGGATGATAGACAGTTGGGAGCTCATAGAGTCGGCTAGGTCGTGCATAGCTTGGATAGTCGCTGCGATTTCGATATTGTGTTTGATGCTGTCCGCGACATTTTCAGCAACCTTCTTCCCGATAGTCGACAGGCCGGCCTAAAACGTAGTGAAATTCTAAGTTCTCGTTTCTGCAGCTTCACAAACACAGACATCGACATATTCGACGGACTTCTCTATCTTTTGAAGTTGTCGGCTCACGTCGGAAACGTCATCTTTGGCGATCTTCCTGATGCTTGACGCAGTTTTATCGATGGTCTTGATGTCTTCGTTAGTCGCTGTGGTAGTGCCATCATGTGGCGTCCGAAGCACGTGTACAAATGCGCCAAGGCGTCGCAACATATCCGTATGGTCTTCAGCTGTGTTGCTGAGAGCGGTGATATTTGCGGCGACACGGGGCACGATCTTTCGCGCTACCTCTACAGTATCCTCGATGTTCGCAATGCTGTTTTCATGAGATCTAAACGCTCATTCGTTCTCACATAGCTATTGTTCACGCTCTCGCGCAATGTATCTATGTTTCCCGACCCCGACAAGCGGTTGGTAGAGTTTCTTGCTAGCATTGGCGCGTTGCCTTTCCATCTCGGAAAACCAATCTTCGAAAGGTTTCTTATCGTTCGAGCGCTGGTGTTCCATGCTGTCCCAGTGTGTAACAATCTTTTTCGGCGTGGGCATCATAGGGAGGCATGCGTGCAGAGAGGGTGGAAGCTTTGGCGGAGATCTTCGCCGTAATCTCAGAAAATTGGCTCTGTTGTCGAAGACGGGGTCATCTTCAACCACTGCTAAATCGTGCGTTGGATTGAAGAAGTCGACGAGGCCTTGCAGTTTCTCCGCCGTATCTTCGATAGGGCCATTCTTCAGGTTTGCATTGATTGCGTCCAAGCCTATAGCGGTCTTGGTAACGCGGTCGGTAGGAATCATCACACCTAGTATAGTAAGCTTTGTTCCTCGATAACAATCAAACATATGCTCACCACCACGACTGCTTTGAGTCTCACTAGAGCCGTCTCCAGGCGACTCCAAGGAAAAGTCACTCATTGCAGCGGGCAATGTGAGTGAAGTGGTGGGAGATGTGGCTGATGGACTTGGGCAAGCAGCCCTGCGTCGGCGGATTAATGTAGGCTGGGGGTTTCATAGATTACACTGATCACCGCCGTGCGATATGAGCGCTTGAACGGGTCACATGCTCAGCTTTCACACGAAGACGCACTGCGGAGACGGGGAAATATATAGTAGCCGAAAGTAGCTATGATATACAGACCAAGCAGTTGATTATGGTATATTGACCCGTGGAGAAGATCTGTATCCTATTATAACAAGCAGTAAAGATGCCTATACAATGGCTACAATAATCGATCTGCGCACCGTCACTATTTGACGCATTCACAAAATCTCACGGATTCTAACAGCGGCAATATTTGCAGCTTTCATTCCCTCTACTGACCGCTAATGGAATCACCGTGATTGTCATTCCTAGCGACAGGCGTCAGGAGCAAGATGCACGACTTGTACAAAATCTCTGTTTCCTTTGACTTTAGACGGATGTAACACTTACCGTAGAGAGTGTGTTACAAGCAAATAAAATACGACTTATCTCAGGGTCATCGAGCTCCGAAGTCCTCCTGATCTCATGGCTTATTACGGTCTTGTCTAGTTAAAGATTCACTCAGTAAAAGATCTCTCTTAAAAGATCTCTCTTCCGATACATTCTGGCGCATGTCTGTTCGATAGCTCTCCATAACGCTGCTATAGATAGTGCTATCATACGATCATGCTTCTATTGTCTCAAAACTTCAGTCTTAATTCTACAATATTCTGATCCGCTTCTCGCTCACTTGGAACCTCTTATGTTTTATCCCACTTCCACCATTATATCTTCCAAGAGCGATATACGAACTACATACGTCTGAACGGTACGCTCAAATTTAAAATATGATGGATTTCATCTGTAATTCCATAGATATCAATGCCAAGACCATTCTGGAGCAACTTGGTATTGTCAGTGACGTTTAGTCTCGTTCGGATGCCCTGGTCATTGCCAAAGCATTCATGCAAACCTGTCGATGGTGTTTCCAGTTTCAGCGCTCCAGGACTCTTGACCGTTCGCTGCCTGGCTAGATACAGATCAGGAGGCTCTTGGTGCGCTCAGATCGCCGACGTATCGGATATGATCAGCTACGTCATTCATGCAGGGGTGGCGTGAACGGGCCGATCACGTGGTAGCCTGCTCTTGCCTCTTCGGGGCGCATCGGCACAAATATCCAGAGCGCGCAGACTAGAATAGACTCAGCGAAAGCGACAACACACTTGCTCACCCAAGCCTTTATCGACCGGCTCTTCGCAAATCTACTTGGTTAGTCATTACAACCGTAAGTGCTGCATGATTGCTTCCCGTACAGAGCTTTGGCTCTGCTTAGGTATCGCCTGTTTTGAGCGAGCAGATGTTCGTCGCGTTTTACCTATAGACTTTTAGCTGCTAACACAAGCAAGCACCCACATACATCAAGTCACAGAAGCACAGCGCTTTACACGAATCACAGCTGCCGATATGGATCAGGGCACTATGCCGCTCCGGCAGTTATCCGATGGCCGATTGAATGAAGCCAATGGTGGCCGCCTTATCAATCTCAATGGTCGAGTTGGAGATATCGAAGATGCTGGAGTATCCAAATACATGAAGACCCAGATTGCTGGCAAGCGAGAAAAGCTTGAAGGTACTCAATTAGCTTCCTCTCGAATTGACAGAGGCGCACATCTAACAGCTTCTTAGCAGCCGCAACGTCCCTGCCCAACTCCGAAGCCACCTATGTCACCCCGAAGGGCATCGCTACAAGTTATCCGACAGACAAGAACAGCCACTCTCCGACTATCAGCGCTGATCCATCGCAATTCGTAGGCGTTCCAAATATTTATACTTCCACCAATGTGCAGAGAACTAAGAAAGAGCCGAAAAAACGTTCCTTCAATCCCAAGTGGTATACAAGTCACACCACCTACTCTGACAGCACCCTCTACAACAAAGTCGGGCTCCCTCAGATGGAGGCTTTCCTCGCTGGCGAAGGAGTTGACATTATGGAAAAGTTCGGGAAGGGCACGTAGCCTCGTTTTACTGAACTTGGCAGCACGCGTGTCAAGATAAACAAAGGACGAGAGGTGATCGAGATGGTCCAGGTAGTCCATCAACGTGTGATAGATCGCCAAAAGGCAGGGTTCGAAGTGGGCCCGAATCATGCGCCCAACTTGGGGGTCAAAGACTGGGAAGCCCAGGTCTCCGCGTTTGACAGAGTAAACGGCCCAGCAGCTGCAGGTGTCGATTCCAGAAATGCCCTCGAGGCCAGCCGCAAGCAAAAGAATTTCGCCAGGACGAAAGGCAACGAACATACGCTAGCCACAGAAATACCCAATCAAGAGGTGCAAGTGAAAAACAACGGAATTATTACCGGTGGTGTTCTCTTAGCAACGGCACCTGACGTTCGCGTGGCCCCTGGTCCTCAATTTCTCACGAGTACAAAGGTTCCCCACAAAATTTGGCCCGAGCAAGCTTTTGTTCAACGACTAGATCTATTACGCAACGATCTAACAGTCATAAAAATCACCATGTCGGCATCCAAGATAGGTGTCAAAGCTGTCGAGAACGCAGAGATGGCGCCCGTAGCCCATGACCTCACCAATGATAAGACCGCGCAACACGCTCAAGCGAAGACCGCCGAGCTATATCAGCTCATTCGCGATAAGCGCGGGGAATTAGTGATCTCGGTTGAGGTCCAAGAGTTCGTTCGTCGGATCATTGACTCAGCAGTCCGCTTCCGCAACACAGAGCGCCGCTTCAAGACACGTGAGGGCAACAGGGCTAGGCTTCTCAAAACAGGGCGTGACGCGAACAATGAGTACCAACGCGCTCGCTCGGACCTCATGCAGAGACTCGCCGCTGATGTTCTATGGGACCACAGTGTGCAGCGCGGTGGCTACAGGGTTGCCGACATCGTGCTTGAGGTCTTTCCTGCAAAGCCTCTCGAGATGTTCAAGTGAGCGTCACTAAATTTTCGGCATCTGCCGAGATATAGTAAGTTATCCAAGCAAAGGGGTGGAGTGGGATCAATATCTGATCAGATGGGTTAGGATAAGTGGAAGACACTGCACAAGCATATATTGGAAGTCGCCATGTTTAGCTCTTCGTGATGAGTTGCGGTCTGGGCTGACATCACATCAAGCATCGAGCATGAATGATGGCATTGTTTCGTGGCTTGCAAGAGGTTGCGAAGAGTCATCGATTGAACGATGGTATATTAGGTACTGTGTGGGCATGCAAGGCATGGTCATGGGGTATTTTCTCTCATTACAGCGAGGTAATCTTCTGGGTCCTGCCTAAAGGCATTGGACAACAATAAATCATTTCAAAAGATTTTCTCGAAAGTTGACAGGGCTCTTTCAACACTTTACAATACATCCATCAAATTTCGTCAATCCCAGACAATGTGCACTTTTATCTCAAGCGAGTCGCGAATCCCTACGATCTAGAAATTCCTCACATTACTGCGGCGTTCTAGTCGCCTATTGTGTTCGACGGTTTGTCATCTTGAATTGCCGTGAGGTTTGGGCTGACTGCCAATCACCATGACCACTCAGAAGTTGCCAAAGTCAATCGACGAAGTCTCAGATTTCTATACCGTTGACTTTGTACCCACGATCTGGTAGCTATTGGGGGCTCTGTGACCGACAGCACCATGACGAATTCTCCAGGTAAAAAGTGCACAGAGTTCTGCCAAGGAAAACTCAGTTTCACCGTTTCAGAGGCCCATGAAACCCGATTAGATATCAAAATCGCCGCTATGGACTCATGTTCAATATAACATGAGTGCAAGCGCCCTGTCGACATGGAGCGCGGCCATGCTCTGGATATGCGGTGGAACAGATACTCGTACCGATCACCTCAAATGATTCTCTTTGCCCCAGACGGCACGATATTGCTAAGCTTACGCATCCAGAGGTTAACTAAGAGCTTGTCCAAAAGAGCGGGCGACATCAACATATCAACCAGACTGGAAGCGAAGTCTATACCGAAATCAAGGGTGTATCTTGACGACTTGGAGGAGTTCAGGGCGAGATTGGAACAGATGCGTAAGTTTTTGGAGGAGATCATTGAAGGACATGATGCGCAGGTGAGCGAAGAAGTGACGAAGATGGTGAACGAGGTGTTTGCGCATACGCTCAGTTCGGTCGTACCTGATTTGTGTACACAGTCAGACTAGCGATGCCCTTAACGGAGACAGAGTACATGCTTCTATTTTAAGTGTCTTTTGACTTGCGCAATCGGACGCCACAACCGACGCCTTTCAATGATCTGCAACTTGTGGGACCGCATCGCGTATGCACCCCTGTCGCACCCCCGTTTCAGATTCGTCGCAGCCCCGACCACCTCCTTCGACACGTATTTCTGCCTGACCGTGTCACGAACTGCCATACTGACCAGAAACAAATGAGGTCGTTACATTTGCTGCTGCTATGCAGCCCCCTCGTCCTCTGCAGCAAAGCCAGAGCTATCTTCCAATGCGAGAACCCTGCGCATCTTCCCAACCAACAACAGACCATATGCGCCCCAGCTGACAGTAGGCTGAGACCTAGCCTTGAGTGGTCGTTGGCGCCTACATGCTCCAAGAGTACCACAAGTACATATTGTGCGCATACGTTATTGCATTACCGCAACAATCGTGGGCTTAGCATCATCAGCACACCGAAAGCGGCCCAAGGTGTATTTGAAGCACGGGAGCACTTATTGGACGAGGAGGGCCATGCCGTAGGCACCGCTGATAAGATTGGCACTTCAAAAGATGATTGTTACGAAGTACGAAGTATTCGTGGGAAGGGCAAAGGCGTCATTTCCAAACGAGAGATCAAAAAGGGCGATATAATCATGCTCGACTCAGCTGCAATTGTTTCGAGCGCACGGCTACCACTGCATATCACGCCCCATGAAGGATCCAAGCTGCTCGAGACTGCGGCACGTATGCTCACTGAAGAGGACTACGATGCTATCATGGCGCTCGATAAGCCTTCCGGGACAACAGGACTGGACGCCATATTGAAAACAAACTCCTTCTCGTGTCAGTTCAACGACGGGGGTGTCGGGGATGAGTACTTGTGTCTTTTTCCCAAGGTTTCCAGGATCAACCATGCTTGTCAACCAAACGCGAATGCGAAATTTATCCCACGGACGCTATCAATGGAAATCCGAGCGCTGAGGGATATCCCTCCCTGGCAAGAGATCACAATCTCATACGGCAAGGTTAATTTGAAATATGCTGAGCGCCAAAAGTTGTACAAAGAGAATTGGGGTTTCAAGTGCTCGTGCAATCTATGCGCATCTGGCATATACAAACTTGCGGAGAGCGACTGGAGACGAGAGCGCTTTACACAACTTCATGATCAATTGGAGGCCTTGACTGCCGAAGACTACAACACTGAACAGGTCATTCAGTGGGAGAACGAGATTTTGGGGATCAGCGAGACGGAAGGCCTAGAAGTGCTCGTGACAGAAGACATGGAGCGGATGGCTTATGTCTATGCTGGTCTTGGGAGGCACTCAGAGGCGCTGGCTTGGGGCCACAAGGCGAAACAAAATCTGTTGCAGTGGAAACTGGGTCCGAAAGATACTAGTGATGATCTCAAGCGGATTGAAGAGCTTTTGGTTGATTTACAGCGGGTCTGATGACTTCCAGTAGTGCAGCACGTTGTATTGTTATGGTGCTGGAAGATTATGGGAAGCTTATTCTTCGACTGCGAGTAGGAAAATTGACTCACGAACTAAAGACACTGTGACTCTGCACCTCGTTGGACTTATGCGATGAGATCAATGGTCTAATCCCTTAAGGATCCTGACAGCTTGTGACAAAGTCATGGCGTAAAAACAGATGTAGAAGGCATATGGCATATAGCGCGCGAAATTGATGCACCCCGAATACGACGATGATACAAAGGCCGGTATATTAGGATATGAACAGAGATTTCAATGGTCTCCGCCGAATACACACTACCAATATACTAACTACCATTATACATTGCTCGTTATCGGTTTCTGAAACGCATTAGAAAAACAAGGAGAACACCCCTAAGGAAATCGTCGAATCATACAACTTCTTTCTCATGTGTTCTGCCTTCCAATATACCGGACTTCGAGATCCTTCTCTGCCTTCGTCGGGTCTCCTTCAACGACGGTGGTCCGAGATGGCATCCCAGACCCATATGCACGCCAACTGGTTGTTGCAAACTGTTCCTCGTAATGCTCTTTCAACTTGCGCTGCTTCTTTTCTTTCTGGAAGAGGAAGAAGATGGCGGCCAGCAGGCTTATGATAGCGACGCAAAAGAATCCAGCCAGGGTACCTCCTATAACATTGGTCCGGCGTTTCTCGGCGGCGCAAAGGTCTGCCTGAGTAGATGCAGTTGGAAAGGTGTTGGTCGATGATGCGGCTGCGGCGAGAATTTCTGTGGGCGAGGTGCTCGCTGATGATGTCGCGCTGGGTCGGGTTGAAGAAACCGTTGAAATAGAACGGCCTGTGGAAGAGGCTCCATCTGTGGATGTCTCAAATTGGAATGCGCCGATGAAGTTGGTCTTGATCTGAGGTGCTGTCGCGTTGTTACAGCAGCTGCGAAGGTCACCTGCTGCGCGGCAACAATAGCTTCCAAAATCGCACATCTGGACGTTCCAGGCAGAAACGCTGGAGCCATTGGCGAAAGTATCACGAGCTATGCGACATATCAGTGCTGTTATAGCAGGGGAAGGAAGCCACAAGAGAGAAAGCTTACCATCCGGGCACATCTCTGGACATGACGGATCCATGCCGGTTGGATCTGTACATCCAACTTGCCATATGGTACCCATATATTTCTCGTTGGTAGCCATGCAAAGTCCGTTGGAAAGGCAGAGGTCTACTGCGCCTGCTGCACCGTGAACAGCACAGCAGCCACTGTGTTTTGCACTAGTATCGCAGGCCCCATAGGAGTCGCCTAATTGAGTGCCATCGAGCGCATAGCATTTCCGTTCGGCAATAGTGAACTGTAAGAAAAAGAAGAGCACGAGGAATGACCGGAGAGAGTAAGTAAAGAGCATTATGGGAATGAAGTATAGCCGATTAAAAGAGACAGAATCTTGAATGAAAGAAAGCTTGACGGGAAGAGAAGTAGCAAATGAGTGTGTTTCCTGCAAGAGGCAGAACGCGCGGTGAATTACCTACCAACAGCAATAACATCGGAAGCGCTTGCGGGCGGCTCCCTCACATATTTAGTCCCTCCAAGATGCCCAACGAAATTACACCGGAAGCCCTGCGTGTAACAATGGGCATGCGCAGATGTGCGCTACGGGGATGTCCTGGCGGAGGTTTGATAATGTGTTTCAGATGGCGAGGAAGCCTCAGATGTCGTGCACACGTCTGCACGACGTGGACCGGACAACAATCCCCACAACAACGATTGGGCTTAGACATTCATCCATTTCTCGGTAGCGATCTTCACGGGGGCAGCGCCAGCGGAAGACGGCCTGTTGAGAACGAAGTCCGTGAACAGTGGGTTTTGGCGCGTCGGAGCGGCAAACATTCGAGGGCCTCAAACTTGCTCGCGTTGACAGGCTGAAAGCGATCGCTGGGACGGCATTGCGTGCAGAGAAGCTTTGTTTTCTGGATAAATGGGACAAATTTAGGTGGCACAAGGCGACTGCCATGGCATAAAGATGGCGTGCAGGTTGCGCAGGTGTCGTCGTAGTATCTGTGGTAAGGGGGGTCGCGATCGCCGTTGATTGGCTGATGCCTGTGCGCAGGGTCCGAAGCACCCCAAACGCCATCCATGTCAGGCTTTCCCAATGGAACACCATTGTCGACTAAAGATGGAACCTAAGATCGCCTCGAGTATCGGGAGAGCGAGGGATGTCTTGCCATTAATGCCAGCAACAGCTTAGATTTTTACATGCAACCCTCCGCTTCGAGCTCTGCAACATGCGAGATTGTAGTACGGGTGATATGCTTTTTAGACATATGTATCACGAGATCGCACATATTTATTCATTACCGGCAATATGTCTGGTCTGCCGCAATAAAGCGCTCGATGGCATCGAATCCCTAGAAACTGACGTATGTCAGGCTGCCAGCGTGTAACTTGCAATCGATTCGGCGAGTTCAGCAAAGCACGTGCCTATGGTACTGATACACAGGGCACAAGGTTACCATCGCCAAGGAGTCGCAAGCTGGCGACCGCGCAGGCAGCCTGATAGGATTTTGATGGTCAAGATAGCCCGGGCGAGAGAAATGTTAGTCGAGCAATGTACGGGAAAGACCTGTTGAGCAGGTAGGTTTACGACCCAACAACAGTAAAATGGACAATAAGCTACGCTTAGTGGACTATATTGGAAGACAAGGTACAAAGGTTGAAAGAAAGACTCGTAGCACACCTTGAGGCGCAACTCCAGCATCGATTTGCGAGATGTTTTTCTGCCGACTGCTAGAGTGTTAAGGGCCGATTTAAATACTGTCTCTGCTGCAACTCCTTGCTGGTGAATTTGTTCAGTATGCTCCACCAGTTTGTGTATAGTGATGCATAGAACAGCAATATGAGGGCGAATCTCAAGTTTCCCGAAGACGGTGACTAGATCATTGCCCAAGGGCATTATCCGTGACGCAACGTACCTAGTCGCGCCCAGGCAACGAGAGGATCTCTAGTGTGACCAGACTGAAGAAATCTCCAATATAGGTGCCTATGACAGCTGAATTTTGTGCCTTCCGCAAAGGAGCGAGTTCTATATCGCTCGCTCAAATTAATCGAAGGGGGCTTTGCGATTCGACTTGTAGTTCTCGATGTCATGGTTGTATTGTTGCGCATAAGTCGCGTACCTATGATATGTAAACGCAAACTACCAACTGCTGTCTCGCAAGATCAAATATATAAATATGGATTGCGATTACCGAGTAACATCGCATTGTTATTGGCAGACCATGAAGCCATTTATACCCGCACAAGTGAGTTCTAATAACTGCATTAAACCATCCTCTATGGTTGAATCTGGATCATCAAGTATCCCCAAGCGTTCCTCAGTAGACTATAGTAGCACCGAAGGTTACAGAGATTCGTCTGAGCCGCTGAAAACCTGAAGTGGTCATCGATACTCAGTTCGACACTACCTTTCGCGGACTCAAGCGTGCACGCGATAATTTGTAAGCGCTACAGCTGTTCTTCTAAGTCCTCACATCGTAAGTGAGGCCACGCTTGCGTATGTTCGGAGAAATTTTGTCAGGCAATGTGGGAAAGTAGGTAGATCGATGCACTAATGAAGTGGGGCCGTTCGGACGCCAATCTAATGAGTTAGCGTGGATTCCGACATGTGATCAAGCCCACTCCCACGTTTTCACCGCTGCCTCTCGTCTTATTCGTTCCTTTTGACTCCGCTCCGCACTCCATGCGGCACAGGCAGTTCGAATTTCATCACTACGCGACCTTAGTGATACGAGGAATGAAGAGTCGGCTTGAAATTGGAATCACGTCAGCTTGCGGCAGCGTACCGTTCAGGTTCTAGAAGCACCTGAGCCGCGGTGGAACGACCTGCTCGGTGTATTTCTTTGCGCGCAGAATTTCGCTACCGCTCTTCAGCATTGTTTCGCATGCGTCATTGATGCTTGTTTGGTGCTCGTCCCGCAGTCCCTGCATAAGTCTAGACGAATGCTTGGTTGGAACTCACGAACGGCCCAAAACAGCGCGGCATCTTGCCCGGCAGTTTTCAACCAAGAATGCACGGGGACAACGTGATATCTACTTCGCCTTCGCTTCTTTGTTTGTGTTCGCAAGTAGCCTCATATTTAGGCCCGGGGAGCTGTCCAGGAAGGTACCATGATGATGGCGTAGAGCTTTCCCCTATCCAGCCCGCCATAGCCACCCCCTCCACCAAAGAACTCTCAAAAATCGCGCACCCAACCAAATCAACCAATGGATAAGCATCGTGCCTAGCCCACCAACCGGGAACTACCCCAGGCGGCTCAAGCTTGTTTACTGCTTGATATCGCGTACTGGATTTGCAAGCGCGTCAAGATAACGCTTTGGTATAAAGCGAAACGTCGGATAGAAAACCAACTCTTGGACAGCCCAGAATTTACCGCCGCCCATCATGGATACGACCATCCAATTCGCAGGCGATCCGCGACCACGGCGACAAGACCGCGAGCTCGATGTCGGCGGTGTGGTGCCGCTTCGCGTGAGGTCACGTTCACTGGGACGAAAAAGCTCCTTCGAGATTTTCAAAGAAGGAGCTGTAGAAGCTGCCGAAGATGAAGATGCTGGTCTGCGGAATGCGAGCGACTACAAGCGACGACAAGTGTGTACTTGCTCGCATACGTTGGTAGGAACCAGCTAACTTCTGCAGGCGTTCAGCTTCTCTCAGGTGCTCATGCTCGCTTACCAGTCGATTGGTGTAATTTATGGCGACATTGGGACTTCACCTCTCTATGTGTTCTCCGGTACCTTTACAGAAGCACCGAATAGGGCAAACCTGCTTGGTGCGCTGTCGCTCATCCTCTGGTCCTTGACTCTTATGGTCACTGTAAAATACGTTCTCGTCATTATTCGTGCCGACAACGATGGCGAAGGAGGAACATTCTCAACGTATTCATTGCTGTCACGCTACGTATGTACCCAGACGTTGCATTTTCCCACGACTTGCTAATTTTCCAGGCAAACATCGCCAACCGCGACCCACGCGAAGCTACCATGATCCGTACGTCTTATCCACCCGGTCATTATTGCGTCTTTCTGACGTGTCTACGCAGGTATGGAACGTTTCAGGACCAACGAGCTCAGCAAATCCCAAAAGTCCTTCCGCGCGACGATCGAGAGAACCAAGTTCTTCCGCCGGCTACTAAAGACAATCGGCGTTTTCGCAGTGTCCATGGTCATGGCGGATGGAGTCCTGACCCCCGCGCAGTCTGTACTGGGCGCCGTGCAGGGTCTGAATGTAGTCAAGCCAGACATCGACAAGTCTACTATCGTTGGCGTAACTTGCGCTATTCTGATCTTGTTGTTCGTTCTACAACCTCTTGGGATCTCTAGGCTCACGATTGTATTCTCACCGATCGTCATGATCTGGCTTGCGTTCAACGCTGGGTTTGGAATCTACAATTTGGCAAAGTTAGTACCTGCCTAATCTTGATCCGGGTCGTACTAATAGCATTAGGCACGACTATACTATTCTGAAAGCCTTCAACCCGTACTACGCCTTCGAATACCTCGCTCGGAACAGATACGAGGGGTGGAGGAGTTTGGGTGGCATACTCCTTTGCTTTACTGGTGTTGAGGCTCTCTTCGCCGACATTGGAGCTTTCAGTCGTCAAGCGGTACAGATCAGCTGGCTTGGATACGCTTACCCGTGTCTACTGCTCGCATACTCCGGTCAAGCCGCGTTCATAAGCGAGAACCCCGACGCATACTCGAATCCCTTCTACAACTGCGTGCCCAACGGTTGGCTCTACCCTTCTCTTGTCATCGCGATATTGGCTGCAATCGTTGCTTCTCAGGCTATGATCACCGCCACATTCCAGGTGAGTGTCGCACTTAGGTGCCGATATGACTGCATCTTGATTTTAACACACATCAGCTCCTTGCGCAAATCATGAAACTATCGTATTTCCCTCAGATCAAAGTCGTCCACACTTCGACAAAATATCACGGACAGCTTTATGTGCCTGCAGTCAACTGGCTCTTGATGATTGGAACCGTAATCGTCGCCGCCGTCTACAACAACACTACGTCTTTGGGCAACGCTTACGGGGTATGCGTTATGTTTGTCACCTTCTTCGACACCTGCATGGTCACGTTGGTCGCGATTCTTGTCTGGCGCATCAACCCTTACTTTGTGTTTCTGCCGTGGCTTACTATCGCAAGCATGGATGGTGCATTCTTGTCTTCAGCGCTCACTAAAGTGCCAGATGGTGCTTGGTTCACCATCCTGCTCTCCATCCTGATCGCCAGCATCTTCATCCTGTGGCGTTTTGGCAAAGAGCAGCAATGGTTTGCTGAAGCCGAAGACCGCTTTCCGACAACACATTTCGTCAATACTTTCGATGATGGGCGCATTCAACTGACTGAGAAATTTGGTGGCAAGACAGTTAGTTCTATTGAGGGTTTTGGTACGTACCTTCCTGCTACGAAGCCGATCTGTCTTAGACATGGAAACTTCGTACCTGCCACCACCCCCTGACTCACGCTGACCCTGTATCTGCGCGTCCAGGTATCTATTTCGACAAAGCTGGGGAGACAACCCCTATCGTGTTCAGCCAATTTATTCGCAAACTTGTCACCGCACCGGAGGTCATTGTCTTCTTCCATCTTCGCCCCCTCGAAGTACCATCAGTAGCCTACGAAGACCGTTATCACGTGTCTCGTCTCGCTATTCCCAACTGTTACCGCCTGGTAGTCCGACACGGCTACATGGACGAGGTTATCACGCCAGATCTAGCTTCACTCATCTTCGAGAAGGTGCGTAATCATATTGTCAGCCGTGCTCTTGATCGCGAAGGCGAGGGAAGGTCGGCTTCCGGAACCGATACAAACAGCCCGGCCGATGTTACCAAGGTCAATGCGAAGACCCCAGTATCTGAGAAAGAAACCTCGGCGCCCTCGTCCTCCGAAGCCAACGCTCGACCTGCAGCTACGCCCGCAACGAGCGTCTCAAGCACGACCTCCCGCCTTACTGCTCTGGAACGCGCGTTCAATCATGAAGTTCTCTACATAATTGGAAAGGAACAGATGAAGGTCAAGCCAGGGACAAACTTATTCCGCAAGGCCTTACTACGTGCTTTCTTGTTCATCCGAGAGAACACGCGCACCAAGATCGCTAGCTTGGACGTGGACCGCGACCGTGTCATTGAGGTCGGTTTCGTCAAAGACGTATGACACTATAGGATCGCTCTAGGTTATTACTGGGCCTCTGAGTGTCTCCTTCCTATTTTAGAACATTTGATACCTTCTGGGATGTATTCTCATTCATCGTCGTCTCTCGGGCATGACATTTTAGTATACAGTACGAATGAAAGATGCAGAGTGCCTCTGCACAATGTCTTTGACGTCGAAACTATGAGCTCTTAACTTCATTGTGTGTTCGTTTTACATAGCATTGTGTCCACAGACGTTCGAACAATACCTAACAGCTCTCATAAATGCTAGCACAAGGCTAAGTCGAAATCCAAACCCCAGGAATCTCCAGTCAGTGCCTGAGCTTAACCCACCGCGAACATGACCGACTCTAAAGACTTGTCTGAGGGCGCTGGCTCGCCGTCAGCAGTCTCTAAGAATCTTACAGCGGCCTCACAGAAGATGACGGCTGCATCCACTCGGGGCCCAAAGAAGCCTGCGGGTCAGGTTCGCAAGCAAGCGGTCCTCACTAGATTTCCGATTCCGTCCTCTACTCGCAATAGTACAGTCACGAGTAGTAAACCCAGCCCGAGTATCAAGGGGAGACCCTCCACTCCAAACAAAACGAAGCGGTTGACATCTAACAGAAACTCTTCGCTTCGTCCAGGCCAAGGCGATCGTGTTTTCGGCGGCAGAGCTGATACTACCACTGCCCCTGCGATCTTGGGTCATGTCGGAGCATCCACTGCGCCTCAGAAGCCCATTCATTTGAGATCTGACGCCGAGAAGTGGAAAAAAGAGTATGAGGAGCTGCTCGAGGAGACAAAAAAGTCGCAAGCCGAGCAGGATCAAGCCAAGCGCGATCTCGACAAGGCTCTCGTTGAGCTCACCCAGCAACTCACTGCAACCGAAAAAGGCCGCGAGCAAATCGAGTTCGATGCCGCTGCTCTGGCAGAAGAGGGTATTGCTGCACGCATGGACCTGGAATTATGCAGGCACGAGAACGGTGACCTGAAACTTGAGAAGAAGCGACTTCTCGCGCAGCTTGATTACGCTTCCGGCGTGATAGAGGATCTGCAGGCCCAAACTAATCTCGCTGGTGAGCTCCAGACGGAGCTCAATAGTTTGCGCAATGTTCGCCTTCCATCACTGGAGCGGGATAATAATATTCTCAAGCAGGAGCTACACAGAGTGCTGCTCGATGTAGAGACGCCTTCCTCCAGTCCTAATTGTGCGCCTTCACCATTCCAGGCATTCCAGGGCAACTCTGAAGGCTTTTTGGGCTTTCTGAAGGCAAACGAGATATACGTTAAGCAGCTGGAAGAGACTTGCGGGTGGTTGGAAAAGGTGTATGCTGATACAGCGTTCGAGGTCGAAGGTCTCGAAAACCATATCGCTGCCTTACAGAGCACCACCGGCCACCTAAAAAACCAGTACACTGGAATCGCCTTTAGGGACAGTCCGTTTACTGACGAGCTTGAAGAGGTTCATGAGGAGAAACGAATCCTCAGAGTCATGAATGCCAGCACGAGTCTAGAATCAACTGCGACTATTGCATCCATTACTTCTACTGCGCTTTCATTAGCAGGCATCGTAGCTGCGGTCCAGACGCAGCCCTCATCCCCTTCTGACAAACCCAAGATAACATCCTCCGAGAATTTCCCCGTGACTAAAGCAAAGTCACGTCTCATGCTGGAATCTAGCACAACGTTCGCATCTGCTCTAGCCACCCAATCGATTAGCTCTGCTCCCTCGCCCAAGCCTCGAGCGCCGCTTGATAGAGACCTCCAGATCACAATCAATATTGAGCCGAGCGCACAAGCCAAACTGAGCCTTCTTGAACGACTGACTGCCATCACTACGAAAGGAACTTCATTCAAGATCAATGGCCCAGCAGAAATCGCAAAGGCTCTCTCGCGCGGCATGGAAGATGCGCAAGCCCGTGCGAAGCACAATGAGACACAGGTCCTGGAGCTGCAACAGATGATATGGTATCACATCTCGGAGGTCGAGCGGAAGAAGATCGCATGCAATTTGACGGAGCACAAGACTCTGGCAGATCAGCTGGCAGCCATGGAAGCGCGACTTCAAATGCAGGACATATTGCTTGCTGACAATGGTAGACAGCTGGCTCAGCTCAGGAAAGAGCGAACAGATGGCTGATTCCATCCTGCTGGGGATTTACGATTTCAATTTCTGCAATACGAAGGCAATGAGAGGTAGTCTGCTGTATCTAGACTTATATGGATACATACGCCTCTGTGTACGCTTCTTGTTTTGTACCTGGAAGACAGTCAATGCAAAATGAAAATCACTACTTTGGATGACGCCAGGCGCGCCCACACTCTCTTGGTAAACAGTGTCATGCACGTGATGTTAAGAAAAAAAAAACCCCGATGTCTTGTCAACACGGAACGTACTTGCTGTCAGGAATCTGACGATAAATTTATTCCTGGCCAAGATACAGGTCTGTACTGTGCGTTTCTCTTAGTTGTAGAAGGTGCGAAAGGGGTGATTTGTTGCAAATAAGGCCTAGTGCGGTCCGGCGTACACTCGTGGACAGCTGCCTTCATCAAACGCTCTTGCAATCTGTCACAAACGTCAAAGACGCTTGCGCGTCCTTATCTATCTACGTGCTTCCTCTCTTAACTGACTGTTATACCTTGATAGCCTAACTTTCAAGTCATTGCGGAGCCACCGTGTCGCCGCGCGCATCTCCCCGGACCTTGTCAAAACGCTCGCGTACTCTTGCCGCGCACATTCTAGCCGCAACAGCAGAGATCCATCGCAACCGGAGCGGCGGCTTGCACACCATGCCCCAGATCAGTCCTTCGAAATTCTATGTTCAATACCAAGGTCATCCGATTGAAGATCTGAAAACATTTCATGATATCACACTCCAGCAACGGCCCGACACACCCAAGATTTGGCTTGCGGGCGACTCGTCACTCGACAACAAGTACTGGGTGCCTGGCTCTGGGCCTGGTGGCGATCCTCTCGATGTCGAGATACCGGAGATTTACATTCATACTCTCCAGCGAGCAACACCAAAGCCGGATGTTGCGTTTTGGATCAACCACGTGCTGGGCAACAGGGCGACGTGCATTAATACAGCTGTCGAGGCATCGATGTTGCGCGAAAGAGACAAGACACTGTTGCCTCACGACGACTTAATTCGAGATCATATCGGGAAGGAAGATGTTCTGATTGTAAGCGTTGGTTGTAACGACATCGCGATGAAGCCGACTTTTTCTACCATCTGGCGCATGTTAGCGCTAGCTTGGCTGACCCCACGCTCCTCTATAGATCACGGAAGTGCATGGTCTCTAGGCTACTTTGCGCATCTTTTCGGGTCCAAGACCGCGAACTACGTCGAGCGTCTATGCTCGAGAACAAAGCCTCGTGCAGTTATCATTTGCATGATATATTTCCCACTGGAAGCGCAGTATGGGCAGCGGGGATGGGGAGATAAAGCTTTGAAAGCTTTAGGGTATGGCAGAGATCCCAGAAAATTGCAAGCTGCAATCAGAGCGATGTTCGAAATGGGCACCAAGAAAATCAAGATCGAGGGAACAGAAGTTATACCTTGTAAGCTGTACGATGTGCTTGATGGATCCAATAGGGCGGACTACGTGGAAAGAGTTGAGCCGAGTGCGAATGGTGGAAGAAAGATGGCCGGCATGTTCAAGATACTCATTGACGATGTCTTGAAAAAAGTGTTATAGAAGTTCAGCCGTGGACTCACGGCGACATATATCTGCAGCTGCAGAGCAGTATTCAAAAATAGATATATAACAAACATATAGTGTGTGAATATTTATAGAGCTACACTCTAAGGGCTCACGATTTTTGGGGTATTCCAAGCACTCATCAGTTCTTCGACGAACCTACTGAACAACACCCGGCCCTCAAGTTTCACTGAAAATTCTCCAACTTAAGTTGCCGCGAGCATTCAGCTCAGGCCAAGAATGCAAAGGAACGAAGAAAAGGGTTTCCGAGGCACCATGCTTTTGGAGTCACGTGACTTTACTTATATGGTTCATTCACTGCAACGCTGGATTAATTATGCCAATCCACCTGCTTCGAGTCCGGTGGCACTTCGGAATTTATCACGTGCTGGACTAACTCCACCCCTTCATAAGCCAGCCCACGCGTTCACAGATATGCACTTTCAAGTGCCAACTACACTTAGCTCGTCACCTTCGCCTTGGGTTTTCCGAGCACACACTCCACAGATCACTTTGAGTACGTATGATTGAGCTATTTAGACCACTACTGGAAGCTAATATGGAGTAGCAGACACGCATCATAATGATCGGCTGCATCGACGAAGTCGTCAACGCGGCTATTACTCAGACTGGTGGGATTGAGGACATCCTCAAGGCGGCTATCGCTCAGGTGAGAAATGGCAATGACATTATCTGTTCATCCAGACCCATAGGCTAACAAGAAGAGGCAGGCAACACAAGATATTCGCCGTGAGAATGCTACCCTCAAGGCCGACCTAGATAATGCCAACAGCAAGATCGCGTGGCTAGAGGACTTGATCCAGCACGAGGAAGGATCCAAGACTCGTGTATTACAAGAGCAGCGCAGCCACTATCTGCAGATCGGAGACCCTGACTTCCGGCGTGTTGTTCGCGAGAAGGAGATGCAGCAGGCCACAGATATCCACGAGATCGCGTCCCTCGAAACACAATTCTTGGGCAACCGCACCTACAAAGGACATGGCTTGAACAATGGTAAGTACAACCCCACTCCTGGTACAGCCATCAGGTACGCGCCTTTCAACAATTCCGTCCCCTCGTCGGCCTACAATGTAGGGTCCTCTATGGAGACCCAAGCTATTATCACCCCACAACAATTTCTTGTACCTGTTAAACAGTTCGTAGCTGCTACATCGGCGATACGGGCGCGGTCATCGACCACTGTGGCCTCTGCCATGTCGCCGCCCGGTCTGCCCGTCCCGGATTCGCCTTCTCGGCGAGCTCGAGCCTCGACGCTCGTCAATTCTGCTTCGCGACCGTTCGACCCTACGGTAGGTAGCCCGGTATTCAACGCCGGCTCAACGAAGCCCACCATTGACTTGCTGGCCGTTGCACATGCCCCGCGTGTGTATGGTCTCCGCAACGCTCAGGGTCGGTACGAGAGCCTTATCATCTGCGCGAAATGCCACAAGATCTTTGCGTTCAACAGCTGGAATCCCGAGCACTACAAGAACTGCAAGGGTCCAGACGATGCTGCTAGCCCCGTGTCCGGAACGCACAGCATGCCCTACCTCTGAGCCGGTCAGTCTCACGACGCCTTCAGTCGCCCCGAGATCAACCAGCCCACCGCTAAGCACCCTGAGATGTCGCCCTCCGACCTCGTTTTCCGTACCTCTCGTCGTTCCTCCAAGGCTAGTGGCACGAGCTTAGTCTAATAGTAGGCGTCGAGCTCGCTTTTCTTCCAAGGTTCAAGTAGAGTGTATAACAAGTTTTGACTCTCAGACCTATTGCCCTCAACGGTAGTTCACTATATCCCGGTGAAGATTCTTCCAAAACGAAGCTTGAGTTGAAACCCAATCTTAAAACACGGCACCCTCGGGCTTCGGTCGTGTTGCTATATCAGCTACAATCGGGCATTATCTGAAGGTAAGGGAAATGAGTAGGATAGTGTAGTTTGTACCCATCTCAACAGGCATCTTATGGCAGACATTAAGCCGCCAGCCGGAGGCGCACCTACTTTCAGCAATCCTGTCTTCACGTTTTTGGGCTGTGCTCGGAAACATGTGGCAATGTACCCCGGGTACAGTCTGTGACGGCAGTCTGGGACGAAAGCTTTGATAACTTAGAGCGTACGGTAGCTTAGGGATACCTACGGTACTTGTCGTTGTCTAATGATCGGAGCCTGTGCGCAATAACTGAATCGGCGTAATCGAAGAATGATTGGGACACATAAAAAGCGTGACAGCCACGTGACATTGATAGCTGGAGGAAATCTATAAGCGATCCTCTTCAGCTGCCAAATGCGATCTCGACCTACTTTGGAGATTTCCAAGGTTCCTTCCGGTCGACTTCGATTTTGAGCCTGCTGTATAACGACTAATGAAGATACTTCAGCACGTCTACGTGGCTTAGACTTGAAATTGGCCTCATCCATATCTCCGTGACGCTCGTAGCGTGGGATCGACCTAGGCCTTGCAGTGAAAGGAAAATCACGCGATAGACCCGCGCCCGCGGACCGCCGCGCACTGTCCCTGAGCTCGTGGCAGGCACGTAAATATCATACTCTACCGACTGAACAGCTATGAGAACATCCGCAACCCTTACTAAACTCGTGCAAGACCTCCACCTGCCTCTGGTGTATTAGCGATACAAGGACAAGTGCAACACGGACACCATAGGCTAGAGCTAATAACCTCATCAATATGGCTACGAATCCGCAGACCAGTAAAGGTACTTAGTCATTCGTGATGCGGCTCCAAGTGTGTACTAATGTGTCCCAGGTTAGGGTTTATGGAGCAGCAAATACGCGCCCAGACCAACGGCTAATGACATCCTCGTCGACCTGACGAAAAGTATGGCGCCCAATGCAGTCTCGGGGACAACAGATCAATGCAATTCTTCTAAGCTTTGGGTCCAAACGCAGGTATGTGAGGCACATGGGGGGCTCCCAACGCGACTTCTTCTCAGCCGTCTCCCCATGCAAGTAAACATATCACATCACAACAGATTCCCCCTCCCAATATCGCACTCGCGTCGCACCCACCCATCACAATGGATCCGGACACCCACAGCGACCTCGTGGCCCTCTACGCCCTCTACCCGGCCTCCTCCGCTGACCTCACCGCGCTCGCCCCAGCTTGCGACCCGGAATTCTGCGGCCCCGCCGCCCTCCCCAGCTGGCCCTCAGAAGACCCCAGATCCCCAGCTTTGGCACCGCCTAGGCTGCAGATAGAGAAGGTAATCGCGTACCACCGCGAGACTTGCTCTGGGGAAAAGACCGTGTACGACTAGGCGTATCTTGCGATTGCTACGACGCCGGCATGGCGCGAGGAGGGTGTGACGCTGGTCACGCTGAACAGGTACGACTATGGCGGTGGGAGTGAGGAAGAAGCGATGGATGGGTGGCAGCGGGAGGCGCTTGAGCGGGGTACGCGGCGCAAGTTTTGGACGTGAAGGGCGTGAGGATGGCCATTCGGAATTTACAGATGGCTAATTTGGGCTGGGAGGATTTTTTGGAGTGCGGGAACGGGGAGGGACAGGGAGAGGAGAGGGTGGGAGGAGGGGATAAGGGGCCGGGGGGAGGGTTGGTTTGAGGATGATGGAAAAGGGCACGAAGAAGAGGTTGAAGCGTTGTTAAAGGCCCTGATCCAGTAATGCTGGCACGCTATATGAGTGCCAGGCCTACTTCTGCAGTCCGTCGTAATGCTTAACAACCGCATCGACAATCTTCTTCACCTCCGCTGCATCCAGCTTCTCCTTCCTCTCCAACGTGTACAGCCCATTAACCTCCTGCTCTATATCTGTAAGCTGTAAAAGGATTAGCATATATAATGTGTAAAGTAAAGTCAAGTACTTACTTGCGTATACACAAACCCACACACATGGCCACCCTCCACAATCCCCCGCATCATCGTCTCAATCCGCTTCAGCAAATCCTTCGGATCGCTCGCTGTCGTGTACCCCCAGTCACGGTCGCCGGTGCCCGCCTCGCCCTGCGCGATGTTGATCCCGCCGAACTCGGTGCATATGATGGGCGCTGAGGGATCATGTCTTGCGCCTACATCGCCCTGTACGGGAAGCGCGGCCACGAAGACCGGCCTATCTGCCTTGGGCGCGAGAATGCCGTCGAGCGTCTTGCACGTCTGCGTGAGTTTATCGCCATCAGAATAGTCGTGGAACGTGGTTAGATCCCCTTTTACGTGTTCCCAGCCACAATTGTCGTTGACGGGGCGCGTCGGATCCAGCACTTTCGTCGCGTAATACAAGCTGCGAATGTGGTTCCTCTGCTCGACGCTGTGCGCGAGATCCGTGTACGCCCAGCTCTCGTTGACGGGCGTCCATGCAACGACGCTCGGGTGGTTGATGTCGCGGAGCACGGCCTCGCGCCACTCCTGGTCGAAGCGGGTTATATACTGCGACGAGAAGCTATAGGCGTTAGCCATTTCGCCCCAGACGAGAAAGCCAAGGCGGTCGGCCCAATAGTGGAAGAGCGGGTCTTCGACTTTTTGGTGCTTGCGGCATCCGTTGAAGCCCATGTTTTTGGAGAGCTGGATGTCGGTCTTCAGGGCGTCTGCAGAAGGCGGCGTCATAAATGTGCGTGGCCAGTAGCCCTGATCGAGGAAGAGGGCTTGGAAGTAGGGACGGTCGTTTAGGCGGAAGGCAGAGTCGTTCCAGGAGATTTTGCGCATGCCTGTTGTTGTTTCAACTTGGTCGATCTTGGTGCCGGACGGGTCGTAGAGAGAAATCGTGAGGGTGTAAAGGGTAGGGTGTTCGGGAGACCAGAGGGCTACGTTGTTAAGCCATGCGCGGTTGTGGTTAAGTGGTGATGTGGAGAGGATGTCTTGTCCTAGTTGGCTGGTTTGGTCTTCATTGAGTCGCATGTCCGCTTCGAAAGACACAAAGTCTGACTCTCGCGGTAGATCGACCTTCTTCATTGAACTGACACGCACGCCACCCAGCTTGACTTCTAGACTGACAGCGTACTTCCACCCAGCGGGCCTGTCCAGTATACGTACGCTTGCCTTTAGCTTCCCGCCGTTGATATCATCACTGCGCAGCACAGTGCCATCACTCGAGTCCCCAAGTCTCACTCTTGGGACCACTTCTAGCCAGACACTCTGCCAGATTCCCCCACTAGGCGTATAAAAGATACTCTCCGGCTGTGCCCCCCAGTACTGTTTCCCCCGCGGCTGCGTAAGATCAAACGCAGAGTCGTACACTCTGATCGTGATTCTGTGTTCTCCCCCTTGACCCTCTTTCGCAAACGCATCCGTAACATCGATTGAGAACGGGACGTGTCCGCCACGATGTCCACCAACGAGACTCCCATCAATCCACACCTTGGCCTCGTAATCCACGGCCCCAAAACGCAAATTCACTCTGTCGCCCTTCTCTTTCTGTTCGCTAGTTCGCAGGTCCCGGATATTGCGTTCATACCAAAAGACCTCATGCACACCCTTTTCCTCGATCCCAGATGCGGGGCACTGCCAGACGTACGGGACTTGGATATCCCGTTTGTGGTGCTTGGCTGCGCCGTCCGACTTGAACACATTGCCTTGGATGAGTGCTTGTGTGTCGCCTATGATCTTGGCCGTGATGCTTTCGCTATCCTGGGTGGGCGAGGCCGTGTTGGTGAGTGTGGGATCAACAGAGACGTCGGATGGAAGGCCGCAGAGCTGCCAGCCCTGCGCCTGTCCGATGTCGTTGTCATCGAAGAGAAAAGACCAGGGTCCGTTGAGAGACTGCCAGTTGAGGGACGGGCGTTGCCAGTCGGGGCGGGGGTACTGCTGGTTAGCCATGGCTGTGTTGATTTCAAGATGGACGAAAGGCACGTCAAGATTCGGGTGCTAGCGGATTAGAGCGGTAGAGGGGCATCGCGCCGTTTTGCCCTGCATGCGAAGGAGGATCCGTAGTTGCAGATAATGTGGAGAGATCGTCCGAGGTGGGTTATGCGTCGACGGGTCGGCTTACTACCTTGAGTAGCGTTGACGTAGCCCCGCATTGCCTATGGTACGGCCGTTCCTGCCGAGCGTAGGGCTCGTTTTACTATGTCGTCCAGCAAGTGAGAATTCTAGCAATAGCTGACTTGTGACAAGGCAACCTGATCGAGGATGCGCTGTGATTGCGTAGCTTAATATGCAATATAGACTTCAGACAACGCCACGGTATGCTATGCGCGTTGCTATCAAGAAAGATGTAATATAAAACGAAGAATGGTCACCGTCCCTCGTGGGTTGATGCCCCGGTGCTGCGACTCTCCCTACTGTACATCGTCTATCAAACTTCAACCTGACCTCGCTTGAACGCCGCATTAGTGCATTACAACATCCCGCTGGCTTTCAGAGCCCGTCAGCATCCATTGACACGGATAGATAGCGAGCTCAGAACCGAACTTTATGCTTTCTCATGACCTCACCGCACCTCTTGCAAATCGGCAAGCTGTGGAGGCCTCATCTCCCGTGGTGGAGCAGGAGGACCGGTTCCACTTCTTCTCCGCCTCTCGCGTTCGCCCAGGCCAATGGGCTCACCAGCAGACGCGCCCTTTTTGCTGAACTTGCCGCCAACGCCGCGCATCCACGATTCGTCTTCTTCCGCGCTCGACCCAAGCCAGTAAAGCGGCGCGCCGCTCAGCATGGCCCTGCCGAGCTTGCCCCTCCACCCTGCGCCCGCCTCTTTGCTCTCCTGGAACGGGTTCTCCGCGAGGTTCTGAGAGGTTTGCGGGGTGTCGTTGTTGTACCAGCCGGCGGTGGAAGCGTTGGCAGCGATGTGTTGGCGCAGGCACTGGCGCGCAAAGGCCAACATGACAAAGACAAAGTAGACGCGGAGTGCCCAGAAGCCCGCGATGAGCGAAAGGCTCATGATGCTGCTGGTCTGGAAGACGGCTCCGCTGAGCCCCGGCGCGGATCCAGGGGTGCCCTGCCCGACGGCCACGGCATCCTGGCCAGCCTTGATTCCACCGACAGGCTCCGCTACGACGTTGACCTCGCTGACATTGTATTTTGGGCTCGTGAAGCCTGCGTTCTCCCCCAGACCAGGGGCGATCGAGTTGTCGCTGCCACCGGGGTGGTTGGCGAGCGTGTAGAACCAGACAAAGCCAAAAAAGGCAGTGTAGAGCGCGTTGACCACCGAGTCGAGCGCGTAGAGGTGTGCGAGCAGCAGGCTCTCAAACGACGACTGCATGCGGATGTGCGTGTACAGGTAGACAGTGGCGACGAGCACGACGGTCGAGTAGAGGTACATGGAGAGCTGCCACCCGTCGATGGCAGCGCCGGTCAGGAGCGCGAGCAGGCCATACAGCCCCGAGACCTTGTTGATGACCTGGAGGTAGGTGATGATCTCGGCGCCGGTGCGCAGCGACATCTTCTGGAAGAAATTCTGGCGCGGGTTAGTCTTGTATGACCTCGGGCGGCAAGCGCGCGAAGAAAACATGGCATTCCGCGTGCGTACCTTTGGCCGGGGCAGCTCGAAGAGCTGCGAAGGCGCCATCGTGGCGGCAGCAAGTGCTTCGCGATCGCGGAGCCGGGGGCTGGCAGGGTCGTGGAAGAGGTAGGTCTGTTCTGTCGAGGCGGGTGCGTGGTGTTGTGCTGTGCGGTGGTGAGCGTGCGGCGAGGACGAGCTCGGGGTTGGTGACGCTTGTCGGAAGCGCCGGCTCTCTGGATTTGACCTCATTTAACTAGGCCCCTTTTAGGCCATCCCTCACGTGTCGGTCGCAATTCACCCCTGGACGCTGCCGTGTGTACGTGGGTTCTTGTCCTCGTTTTGCAGAGCTCTTCGATATGTTTTTGGCGCAATGTTTGTCGTTGCAGCCTGATGAATGCATTCTCGTGCATGTAGCAGCCCCGCCATGACGTGCCACCGAGCTGGGCACCACTCAGCTACTTGTACGGGTTACACCAAGAAGGGGGTGGGGAAAGGAAGGTGTAGTTGTTACATTTGGTGGTTTACAATTCTATTTACATGACCTGGTCTTTCCCTGAAATACCGCCTCGAATGCGACGGGGTATTCGATGCGCCTGAATGCTCCAAAATGTACAAACGCCTCTCCCATGCTGCTACACTATTATTACATTTCTACGACAACCTCGGTTGCGGTGCTCGCGTGCATCAAGAACGGGAGGCCCATCAGGGCTGTGGGCAGTCTCGGGCTATCACTGTGTCGCCTGCTGCTTAGCTGGCGCTGCAGAATCCAGATCGTCGAGCTCCTCGGGGTGGTACTCGCCCTCGTCATCGACAGGGGGTTCGGCGTCTTTGAACGACGTCTTGTCGTCTAGGACCTCGCGCACTTCTTGTGGCAGGACGACTCGGTCGATTTCCTCCGCCGCCCTAGCCGCCCTCTGTTGCTCTCGCATGTCGCGTATGGCCTCGCGCGTCCTCTCTTTCCGCTTTTTCCTGACATCCGACCACGAGAACTGTGTCAGCGTGCGCTCGATGGCGTCCTCGGTCAACTGCTTTAGGTAGTTTGCCAGCTTCCGGGTGGTGAAAACCTGCGGGAAGCGGTAGCTGAGCCACAAGTACGAGACGATCATCTTGTGGAGCTGCTCGAGACTGTACAGGTACTTCCGTTCGGCTGTGGGCTGTTCGTCAAGCACATGGAGCGGAAGTTTGGGCAAGTCGAGGAGCGCGCCCGACTTGTTTTCTGCAATGCACTCGGCGAGCGCACGTAGAAATTCGCGCTCTCCTTCATCCCGCATGTTTGTTGGAGCGGCGCAAATCATGATGCGATCTGCAATGGATAGATTCTTCACCGTGTGGATCACGTCAGCTATGGCAAGCTGGTCTTTCAGAGCGCAGAGATGAAAGCGCGGGTGGACGACGGATATTTCGTGGAGGCGGAGCATGATGTAGCTGAAGGGCGTCCCGGGGGGGAAATAATTTGCGAATCGCTCCACAATCAACGCCGGCGGGAAGAGACCTGCAGATTCGATCGGCTCGGGCTCCTGGTCCATGGCTGACGCAAGATAGTCGTGGTCAATGCGGTCCAAGGTGGTGACAAACCCGACGGTTGGCGGTGCCGCAACCGTGTTTTCCTCCACGACATCTCCCTTGACATCGTCTAGACCTATGACTGGATCAATTGCGGTTTCAGACTTTGCTAGTGTGTCCACTGCGACAGCTTGATGCGCAGTCCGGTACCGACCGGCACGACCGCCTATTTGTTTGACTTCAGAGATCTTCAATGGTACGAATTCAGAGCCATTGTTCTTCATGGTGGATTCGAAGATGACGCGCTTGATGCTCAGATTCAGTCCCATGCCTATAGCATCGCTGGCGACCAGAAAGTCGTAGTCGTTATTCGGATCGTTGAAAAGGCGAGCTTGTTGAGCTCTCGTTTCAGGCGGTAGACTGCCATATACAATGGCACATTTTCTCCCTGTTTTCGTTTCCACCTCTTTGCGCAGCGCATGGAGACCCAGCACGGAGAATGCAACTATGCAGTCGCCCTTCTCAAGCCTATTCAACGAGCCGTTCAAGCTGTTGTTGGCTACTTTCAGCGGAGTAAGTCGCTCGTATTCGTGGACCTCGACCTTGTCTCCAACGAGAGCACAGAGTTCCTTCATGATGGGTACCGTTCGTGCCTCGCCACAGAGGTGGATTTCGCGCGCTTGGACACCCAAGAATGCCGATGTCCACGCCCAACCTCGTTCTGGATGGTTAATCATCTGGATCTCGTCTATGACTGCGACATCGAGCGGGGTGTTGAGCGGAGCCATCTCCACGGTGCAACTCCACATCTTAACGTCGCCGTCGGGCACGCGCTGCTCCTCTCCAGTCACCAAGGCGCAGGGCTTGCCCTTGGCGTTGAGGCGAGTGAACACTTCGTGGGCGAGCAGTCGAAGCGGGCCCAAGTATATGCCTCTATCCGCCTCCTCCAGCCTCTTGAGCGCGTGGTACGTCTTTCCGGAGTTGGTAGGGCCGACGTGGAGATGTACTGTGCGCGGTATCTCTCTCGTTGCAGGGTACCATTCGGCAGGGTAACGAAGGTCGGCCACTTGCTTCTGGTTCTCTTGCTCGGCCTTTGTGAAGCGTCCACCGTAGACGTGCGCATAGAACAGGTACCGCAGCCTGCTCTCCAGGGCTTTTTTCTTCTTGTTCCCCAAGCCACCTTGGGCGAAGCTCATGATTTCGGGTGCTCCTTGCTTGATCCACCGGCTGACGGCGCGCTCGAATGTGTCCCATTCTTCATCGAAGGTTCCGCGGTCCATGTGGAGGCTTTGGAGGAATCTTGGCTCGGCGAGGTCGGCTCTCAGCGTCTGCATCTGGTTGCGCACATCCTGGAAGAAGTCTGGGTAGCCTTTGCCCGCGCGGCCGTCCCTGTGGAGCGGATTGAAAGCATTCTGGTTCCATTAGAAGACGCGCAGGAGCAGCAGTCGGACATGAATACCTTTCCTCGGAGGTCCGATCGCGTAGCACTGGCCTGGCGCAGGCGATTGCCCGCAGCGTCGTCATATCTGGGCTTGATTCTCTTCACGGCTCCTGCAGAGCGATGGGCGAGCTGGGTGCGCGGTAGGAGGCGCTGGGGCTGCAGGCGCGTTCGGGCGGCGAATTCGCAGAAGAGACACAGCGAGGCGCGCTGCGAGGGCAGCGCAGGCATTCCAGCTGGGCCTGGGTGCGCAGACGATCGAGGGGTGCTTGGGGACGCGCGCACTCGAGGCAGGCGGCAATGCGCGTGCTGTTCGCCGGCAGAAGAAGGTCCTGGGGTCGAGGCCAAGCCCGCCCTCTGATGATATGCTGCAAAATCCATCGGCAGCTCGGAGCACTGGGGGACCTCCGAGCTGCTCCACCTCGAAACACAGCAGCCTCCTCGCCGCTTCACCGCAGCCCGTCGCTCCCTGCGCCGTCCCCCCTCGCTGCTGCGCTCCTGACGACCTGTCCTCGTGCGCTGCACCCTCCCCCTACAGCTCCTCGCGCCCAACGCCGCCCCATTGGACCGCCGCACCAGCTGTCGCAGCCCCGCCACGGTTAGCTACGTCCCGCCACGGGCCCTCCAGCATGGGGGTTTCTCTCATCGACATCCAGCGCGACTGTGCGACGCCCCCGGACTCCAAGGCACAGCTGCACCGCTAACGCGCCGCCCAGTGATCCTCAGCACCATCCGCAACACGACCCGCGGCGACGTAAGCCCCCCGCCCCCTCTGCGCGCGCCGTGCTGATGCCCCGCAGTGGAAGGTCCTGGTCACAGACGAGGAGAGCCGCAAGCTCATCGACAATGTCGTCAAGGAAGATGACATCCTCGACTCCAACATTACGAGTACGCTCGCCCCCCGCGCAGAGCGGCCCCGTGCTAAGACGCCGCAGACATCGAGCGCATCGAGGACAGGCGCCAGGCGCAGCCCGACACCGATGCCGTCTACTTCCTCACCCCGAAGCCGCACATAATAGACTGCCTCATGGCCGACTTCGAGCGCCGGCGATACAAGGGCGCATTCCTGATATGGACCACATGTAGGCGAGCTCCGCGCTGCTGCACGAGCATGTGTATTGACTAGGAACAGTGCCCGCGGGCCCTCTTCGCGAGCGCTTGGAACGCTCCCAGATGGCTCAGCAGCAGATCCGCTCCTTCAAGGTCATGCACCTCGACTTCCACCCGCGCGAGTCCCACCTCGTGACCTTCAAGGACCCCTGGAGTTTTCCGATCCTCTTCCATCCCGAATGCAACAACCTCGTCAAGCACCACATGGAGGAGGTGGCCGAGAAGATTGTCGGCGTTTGCGTCGCGCTCGGCGAGTACCCCACCATTCGCTACTACCGGCCGCGTGCCCCTACCCACGAAGCCAGCGTCCTCTGCTCCCATCTTGCTCGCTTCGCCCAAGACAAGCTCGACATGTACGCACAGTACAACCCCGACTTCCCGCCCCCATCGAACCGCCCGCGCGGTGCTCTTTACATCACCGACCGTTCCATGGATCTGTTTGCGCCGCTCCTCCACGAGTTCACATATCAGGCCATGGTCCATGACCTGCTCAAGCTGCAAGAAGGAGACAAGGTCATATACAGAACTGTCATCGCAGATGAGAATGGAGAGGAAGAGAAGGACATGGAGATCAGTGACAAGGATAAGATTTGGGTCGAGTACCGCCACCGACACATGAAGGACACCATCGACAAGTTGATATCCGACTTCCAGAAGTTCATCGCAGACAACCCCCACTTTACCAACCAGGATGCCGCGAATGCTGGCGGAATGAATGGGCTGAATGCCATCAAGGATATGATGGCCGGCCTGCCTCAGTTCCAGCAAACGAAGGAGGCTTATTCGCTCAATATCAGCATGGCCCAAGAGTGCATGGAAATTTTTCAGAAACAAAAACTTCCTGACTTGGCCTCCGTCGAACAGGTAGTCGCCCCTTAGCAGATCTCCTGACTACAACTTGCTAACCTTCTCAGTGTCTCGCCACCGGACTTGACGAGGAGTACAAGAAAGCCAAGAACATGGCAGATCAGGTGATTCGCACTCTGGATGAAGACGCAGTTACATCCAGCGACCGACTTCGCCTTATCGCCTTGTACGTCCTATACAGGGACGGAATCCTTCCAGCTGACCTCACCAAACTTCTTTTGCACGCGCAATTACCCCTTGAAGACGGCGCTGTCGTCAGGAACCTTGAATCTCTAGGCGCACACACAGCGCGGGGACTGAAGGATAAGCGCGAGCCAACTCCTCCAATATTTCCACGTAAAACGATCCCACCGGTGAACGCCGAGGAATACGCCTTATCCCGCTACGAACCCGTCCTTAAAGACGTTCTAGAGGAGCATGTCCTTGGCCGCGTTCCTCAAGATGTATTCCCGTATACCAAAGGAAGCCCCGAGGATCCCGGAATGAATGACGTTACGCCCGCATCGTCTCTGCGCTCTGCAAAGCCAACGTGGGCAAAATCAAAGTTGTCAAGCGTGGAACCACGCCAGCGCATCATTGTTTTCATGGCAGGCGGAGCAACATACTCGGAGGCGCGCGCATGCTACGAGATCACCGAGAAGACGTCGAGGGATGTTTTCCTCGTCACCTCACACATGATGAACCCCGGCCTCTATCTCCGGCAGATCGGCGACCTGAGCCAAAACCGCCGAGCGCTGCGACTGCCAGCTGACCAGCCACCACCAAAGGCGCCAGCGCATCTCTTTGAAAAACCAGAGCCTCCAAAGCCCGCACCTCCCCCAGCGGGTATGAAGCCCGGGGTCCCAGGCGGAAGACCCAACATCCCGGGTGGTCTCCCCTCGCGGCCCGGCGGCAGCGGTGCGCCGCCAACCGCAGGTATGGCCAACATGTCGCTGAATTCGCGGCCACAAGGGCAGCCTACGCCACCGCCCGCCCCCCCAGGCAAACACGGCAAAGAAGAAAAGGAGAAGAAGAAGAAGAAGCACCACTTCTTCAGTTCGTCCAAGTCGTAGGGCAGCTTTGGCGATGTTCTTCTTCGTTTTTGATCTTGGTGGGGGCTTTGGCTCGTTTTAGCGTTGCATGGGGGAGCATTGGGAGGACAAGGCATGGCGCATGGCGTCTGGGTCTCTGTCTACGATACCACTGGTTGGAGCTAGACAGTCAGATTAGCGTAGTTTGTATACGATTGAACATACATTCTGCAGTATTGGCAACGGCTTGTGCTGAGGTCTCAAGGTCAAATGTGACCGCTCGTTACAGTCTACTACCTTTCAGATGCCCATGCCTCCTTGAAGTGGCAGCGTTCAACGATGAATTCGGACTGGTGCTTTCCTGCCCGCCCCATGGTGACTATGTCCCGCCTCGCTGTCGGCCGCCCAAACTCCAAGCCAATGGAAATGCTTGTAATGTACATGCTGTCGTGACTCGCTCGCGATCCCAACCAGACCCATTCTCGAATCCCCATGGTGTACACGGCATCGTGACTCGTAAAGTCGTTGCGCGCGCTTCTCTCCTGCAGCGAGCATCCCATTCGCCATGTGTCCGCGCGAACACTAGTAGAGCCACTTGGTCGAGTAGTCCTTGGGCGAGACCACCAGGCCCTTGCCCTTGCTCGCGCCGCGATACACCGTCTCGATGATGTCAATCAGCTCATCCTTGCTGCTGATGGCAAAGTTGATCTTGTTGTTATTTCCCGTGCCGAAATCAACCTGAATGTGCTTGTTCCTGCATCGTCGTCAGCCTCTGCCCTGCCCTCGCTTTCGCATCCTCGCGTTTGCTCGACGGACCCACCGCCAGAAAAACATCACGGTGCACTCGTCGTAGATCTCGTACATGGCGTTGAAGTCGGGCACCTCGGTGTTGTCGACCAGGTAGATGGTGGCGAAGTTCTTGAGCTTGCCCGCGATCTTGTAGAGGTGCTCGTCCATGGACATGACGGCGGGGGCGCCGGCGGCGCCGAAGCGGAGGACCACGACGCGGCGTTCTTCGCTGAGGATGGCTTGGTCGACGTGCCTGGACGATGAGAATTAGCAAGAGGTGTTGTCTGCCAGGGAGGGAGGCGAAGTAGTTGGCGTGGGGCCTGCGAGTAGTTCCTGAAGATATCGAACAAGGCTGGGTTTGGTGTATGAGATGTGGGCTCTGGATGCGCTTACCAGCCGGAGTGCAAATGTGGGAGGACGATGGAGCCCATTTTGGTTGGAGGCGGCGGTGCAAGATGGGTGGTGTTTCGAGGCTCGCAATTGTGGGAGTATCTTTGAAGACCCTGAAGATTTACTGCGACATTTGTATTGCTTGCATTGTTGAAGCAGCAAACGCACATGCCAAACGGTCTCCCTAAACGGGAAGCGACCTCTCGTAGGCGCCGCGAAGCACAACCTGTCGAGCGTAGGCCCTTTCCGGTAAACATATTGGAATCCGTTGAACCCGGCTTGCTCGCATGTGTTGGGGATAGCACCTAGGCAGTGCTCTCGGTCTGGGGAATGAAGCGACCTAGCGAGGTGTGTTGGGTGGTTGTGTCTATCATAGATCGTGATACAAGGCGTCGTCCGGTCTTGCTCTAGACCCGTCGTGTGGCTTACATCTGCCAGAGTTCTTGTTTCTGGTGTTGAGGGAGGCGCATGTACGAGTCCCTCGCTATTGCCTTCCCACTATGCTCGACCGCAGACCCTGCCGACCTCTTAGTGTAGACCTGCATATCCTCACTTCTTTGGATTATCCCCAAATCGATCCCTCAGTATTTCTACATTGAACTTTTAGCTAGCTCTAGGTACTACGGCATACACTACCTTGCCTTGATTCACGCTGATTTGATGCCCGTACCTTGGGTGCTTGACTCGAAGAGGACAGTCAAATCTCTTTTGCGTGTTCTGGCAGTGAACTTTACGAATCATTGCATACAATAGATGCAGAATACACCACAATCATTTCCATGTTCTAAGCAGTAGTCGCTGTTTCTCCCTCCATCTCCTCGAGCTTTCGGCGGCCAATCTCAATATCGATCTGTCTCCTTTGCTCGTTCTCTACGTTTTTGATGAATTAGCTTCCAGTCAACAATATTGAAGAGGTAGATCGCCGTGCGGACGTATTACGTCACGGGGGTACTCTTGTTCAATTTTGGCATGAAACTAGTTATCACAATGCTAAGGCCTTAGAGATGAGGGTTGCACAGCGAGCTTAAGCTCGTTAAGAGCCTCTCAGGCGCAGCTCCGTAAGACTAACCCTCTTTTGAGGGTGTAAAACTTGTTCCTAGAGTCGCCGTTAGCAACAGCTTGAGGAAGACTCGAGCTCTCTCACTGTTGTCAACGTCGAGACGAGCCTCTCATAATGAAGTCCTTCTGTCCTTCTCGACTTGCAGAATACGCTGCGAGCGACTAAATCGTGATTTGAGAAGCGTATATACATGAACTACAGGTCTATGGCTCTCGATATTGGTCCCCGCATCCAACATAGTAGATTGTATCATATGAAATCAGCGTATGGTCAGTGGACTCAAAGACCCAAGAAACTATGCACTAGATAATTTTGGTGGATATGATTGGATTGATATCAGTCCGGAGATTAATTACGTAAAGGGGGAATAATCATCATAATGATCGAAGCCGTTCCATCCTGGCTATTCTCTGATCTTCGCCATGTCGCCAAGAAACGCCTTCATGAAGTGATGCCAACAAGAAAACATACGCTATAGTCCAATTTTCCTACCCTCGCGCCGCTCTCGAGACGCGTGCTCGACCACGACCTCGCGACACCTCTTCTGGAAAAAGATAGGCCCCTTCTCCTTGTGCGGGTGAAGCTCGCCGTTGACGAAGATGCCCGCCTCGATGTTCTTCTGCGATCGCTCGCAGAGGACCTTGTCCTCGCTCATGACGCGCTTGTAGGTGTCGCTGATAAGAAGGAAGTCCTCCTCGGCTGAGTTCCTGTTGCGCCACACCTCGTAGTACATCATGCTTTCCCGCGGGGACTTTGGCATGAACTTTTGGATGAAGAGGAAGTGTTTTGTGATTGTGAAGGAGACGTTGGGGAAGCAGTATGTGGAACAGATCTCTTGGCCGAGAGCCTTGCGATCTTCGGGTGTGTTGGGCTTGTGCTGGATGTGGTCGCCCTTGGGGTCGCAATATACGTCGTAGGACTCGAGGTCGATCAGACCGGTTGTGAGATCGGGGTGGGTAGTCGCACAGTGGTAGCACTCGTTGAAGTTGTCTGCGAGAATCTTCCAGTTGAAGGGACCGACTAGGTTCCAGGTGTGGTCGAACTCGTAGTCGTCGAAGTTGAACTGGTCAAATCGGGTCTGCTCGTCGATATGGTCGAATCGATCCTCCCAAGCTACTTCGGGCTTGTCGTGGGGGTCCATATTGATCCATATGAACCCGTTTCTATCGATGCGCACGTGCATCGAGTTTGAGGAGCTGGCGTCAAGAGTGTCAAGGGTCTGAGCACCACGATGAGCTTTGATCTCGCCCGCGATGTTCTTGTGGATCACAACATCGTAGTTGGCGATGTCGTAGTGTAGCCAGTCCCCGGTCTTGCTAAGTCTTGAGTTGTGGGTGATGAGAAGCCATCGGCGGGAGAAGATAGCACGTCGTTCAAGCTGGTACATCTCCTCTGATGTGTACCAGTTTGCTGGCAGCGCGCGCACCGGTTGCACCTTCGCTGGCAACGGCTTTGTTTTGGGTGTGACAGCAGTACGGCTGCCTCTGAAGCCGAGGTATCCTAGTAGTGATCCAACCATGATGGGCGATGTGATGAAGCAAAGGACCTTTGTTAATCAGTAGTGGTAGATATAAAGCTGAGGATGCTAAAAGATAGGGAGACCAGCTACTGAACATATATATCGGTTCAAGGTCATGGTCAATTACGTGTAACACTACGTTTGGACGTTCTGATTCAGGTAACCAACCCGCCACTTTTTTGTGAGGGGATAGCGGCCGTGCGCTATTGTGGTATTACTTTCCCATGGGGGGCGCGAACGCGATCGGGCTGAAATTACCTTTGGAGATATCGATTGCGACAACTATCGTCACATGCGATAAGCACCCCGTGTATCGGAGTTGGCATCGTGATCAATACGGTCGGAAACTCAGGGGCCCAACAAAGGTCTAGAAGCCAGGAGCCTATCAGTCATAAAAACCGGAGATAATTGACCAATCGCATAGTTTTGGCTTTCAGGTTGATGAGGCTGATGATAGCGCGATGGGGTTATCTTAGTGTTTGCCCCTCAATGCCACTGGCGTGAATGGGAACTATTTCCCAATTTGGACATCAAACACTGACATTCTCCTCGACCAGTGTGTCAACCCAGCATCGAGGTGATTCTTATGACAGTAGAATCCATCGCGGTCACCCCTTTCAAGATCGTGAGAACCGTGTCCGGTGCGAGGAGCCTTGCGGCCCAAAACATCACGCGCAACGACTTCGCACTGCGACAGCCTGAAAGTCTTAAAATATGTCCCCTACAGATTATTCTGGCAGCGATGTTCTCTCAGAGCGCTTCAGGTCCAGACGCATGATGAGGGAACGTTTCTTTGCTCATAAGAAAGGTTTCGAAGAGATCTTCGGAAGTGACGCTCCGGTATCAGGACAATCAGTTGGGTATCAGTGCGTCTGCAACATTCCTTCGGTACCATAACCCATTACATCCGGTCTCGGTCATGTTCGAGTCAGACTGACCGAGCCCTATCCGGTCTGAATGTGCGGCCTGTGATCGTTTGCGAGAACCACCCATCATACCCATCATCGAGGTCTGCACAGTCTGGTGCTTTGTACGCACCCCCATACACGAACGAAATACTGCTAGCGATGGGATTGCTTGAGCTTCAGGGTCTGTTTGCACGGTGGCAAGGGATCAGGCCCGTCCCTTTGGATGCCAGTGCGAAGAGAAACAGCATCGCCAGTGCTGAGCTGCAGCCGGGACACTTTCCACCTATAGGTGAATGATTGCTGCCGCATGATACATACGAGTTCCCATGATTTGATGACACTTGTCCCGCCCTCAAGGTCGAATCACGCCAGCCGGGCATGACTGCCTGGAGTGGAAAGGTGTAGACATTGCGCCGTATGATGACAATCATATTTCATGCCCTTGATGCACTGCCACTGCATCCATCGCACGTATGCCCACCCCACTCAATATGGTCCGCATTTACTTGCATAAAGCACTGTGTGCTTCTCCTGATATCAACTAAGCTTCTGCCTCGCTTGACTCGCCTCAGGAGCTAGTTGAACAGGCGCACATACCACTGAGGCTGCATCCCCATCTGCATCCAGGATGACAATCTCATCAGCGGACTTATTTCGTGCAAACTCTTAGTCATGAATGCCATTCAAATTGTGCAGCAAACGGACTTCTTCAAAACCAGTCTCCTTCATATACCTTTTCAGCTCATGGGAGCAGGAGATCAAGATATAGTGATTCCTTGCCGCAAGAGGAGCATAAACGCAAATGCCAACCGGGGAGCTCGTTTTGGTGGAGGCAACCTTGAAATCTGCGTAAAATATGGTGCCGCTGACCAACGTGACCGGTTGAGTCGAGACATTCGTATACGTTTTCGGGCTTACATCGCTCTATGAGGTAGACTTTGCCCTCTCCGGTGTAGTTTTGCACCGGACTGGAAATGAGAGTCATTCGCTGCTGCGCAACCGAATGGACGAGAGGGGGACTTGCAAGTTTCGTGGTGTGCTGAGATGGCGATATCAGCATGGATGAGGGGAAAGTGGACTCTGAGCGCAAAATTGACCGCATCGATCGAGTGTCTCTGTAAATGTAATTGATATTGAATACGTGAAAAATGCTACCTTACAACGCATTACATTTTGCTGATAGGTGCCTCATGTAGCACTTTCTTCCTTGGGAAGCGAGGAACAAGTGGGGGTGATTGTCTTTCCTATCTACAGTCCTACTAAGAGGTTTCTACCTTGCATATCAGATCAGACGATGGTCCTGGTGCCGCCGTGATACAAAGTTCCAGTCGAAGAGCATTCTCGCTGAATTGCTTGCTCCGCTGGGTATGGGGTGGTGCGTAAGTGAAGCTGATGAACAGCACCACGAGCAAGTAGGTCAAAGCAACGATGCCCATAGCGAGGATTGCAGCATGGAACAAGGGAAGAGAGCCATCCATTGGGTGCAGGACCTCGAGTGTGAGTTGTCGGTTCAGAAAGATAAAGTTTTGTGGTTGATAAGTGATGCTGTCCAGCGCAAGAATTAACTGAGAGTTGGTGGTCAAGTAAAGCTAGCACAGTGGTGGGTATTGAGGGCCATTTTATATCAGGTTTTGCTGGCTTAGGTGGTTCAGCTGCACGTGAGTCAGGCTGCCTGGAACCGCGAACTTCAGGATTGGAAGTCATACATTTGCCACGGCGTCTGCGTACATCTACGGACGTGAGTGCTTTATCCAAACGTAATATCTTTGGATTCCTGGGTATGTTAAGAATCGTGTGGAACGTAAGTACCTTTGTTTCGAACCTTACATGTTTCCATCTTAAACCCCGTTGGACAATCCCAGGCAGCAAGCATCCAAGATCTCTATCTAGATTTTTCAGGAAATAGTGAGGAGCCATACCGTGTCCGTGCACGCGATGCGCGGTTTCGCCAGATGCGCGATCTCAGAAAAATCGCGCAATCTTCACAACCTCATAACTCAACCAATATGGATCCAATCAACGAAGCGATTGAAGAAATCAACTCCCTAGGACCAGGCGAAACTTTTACGTACACTGTAATAGCAAAAAAATATGGTGTTGTACGCTTAACGTTGACGCGCCGGCACAAGGGTGAAACAGCCTCATCTACTACCCAGCACGCCAATACACAAAAGCTCACTCCACAACAAGAGCTAGAGCTTGTAAGCTATATAGAACAGCTTACAGCTCGTCGGCTACCACCTACAAGGGAGATGGTACAAAATTTCGCGTCAGCTATAGCAAAGGAGCCAGTGAGCGAGAGCTGGGTTACCCGATTTCTCACCCGCCATGGGATCTCTATTACCCCCCGATGGAGTACTGGAATGGATCGCGATCACCACCATGCTGATTCAGAGGATAAATATTAACTATTCTTTCAACTTCTGATAGAGGTTATTAAGAAATACGATATAGAGCCACGTCACACGTACAATATGGATGAGAAAGGCTTCCTTATTAGGGTGATTGGAAGAAGTAAAAGGATCTTCAGTAAAGCAATGTGGGACCAAAAGGAAGTTACAGCAGCCCTTCAAGATAGTAATAGAGAGTGGATAACACTACAAGCATGTGTTTGTAGTAATAGATCAGCTCTCCCTCCTACTCTGATCTTTGCCTCTGCAAATTCAGCCCTTCAAGCTTCTTGGGTAGATGGAATTTAGGCTGGAAAACACCAAGTTCACGTCAGCTCATCTCCCTCTGGCTGGACCAACAATGATATTAGCCTAGCGTGGCTTGAATAGGTGTTTAATCGATACACTAAGTAGAAATCACGACAATCCTATTAGCTATTAATCCTTGACGGCCATGGATCCCACATCACTATGGATTTCATCGAGTTCTGTGATTAGAATCGAATTCTCCTCCTAATATTCCCCCCTCATTCAACCCACACGTTACAGCCACTAGATGTGGTGATATTCAAGCCTCTATCATCTGCCTATTCAAAACAGCTTATAAAATACCTCCACAACGCCCAAGGACTATTACCAGTTAAGAAAGGAGACTTCTTCCCACTATTTTAGGAAGCCTGGACCTACTCCTTTCAAGAAAAAACAATCCTAAGGTCTTTCTAAGCAACTGGAATAATACCTCTCAGCCCAGAGATTATACTTAAACGGTTCAAGAAATCAACACTAGAGTAAGAAGAGAGAGAGAACTCTAGCTTAGTCCTTAGTAGAGAAGATTGGCTCAAATTACATAGCCTAATACGATCAGAAGTAAAGGACTAGAGTAGTAGAGAGGCTCAAAAGCTGAGCTGCTCACTCCACCATATATCAATCCAAAATGAGCTACTCTACACAGAAGTAGAAGGCTTATTAAAGGCTCTACTTTCTAAGAAGAAACATAAGAAGAAAAGCAAGCCCCTAGACCTATAGCAACGCCAGGAGTACCGCGGGGGCGCTATATTCTAGTCCCCATCTAAAGTGAGGGAGGCCTAGTTCCGCCAAAGGATCAAAGACCAAGAAGCTGAGAAGCAACAACTTAAAAAAGCTCGTAAGAAGGCAGAAAAGGCCTCAAAAAAGGTACATTAACTTTAAGAGAAAGAAGAAAGAGCAAGGTTAAGGATTTAAAGGCGAGAAGAAAAGGAGAGGATTGCGGCTAAGAAATAGGCTACACGCCAACGTAAAGAAAAAGAGAAACAAAACACTAAAAAGCCTACACAAACTTCCTAAAAGGGAAAGAGGAAGGCTTTAGAGCCTGCTGTAAAGCCTATATAGAAAAAACAGAGGCGTGAGGTGGTTGTAGAGGGTAGGGGAGGTGATCAGGGCCGTGATCCTTCATCTGTGAGAACTACGAGGGTTGGCAGGAACATCAAACTCCTACAGAAATTCAAGTAGTCCATCTTTTTCGCAGTAGTTTGTTTAGTATTTGGATGGATTATTAGAATAATTAAGCTATTGTGGGTGGCTCTGTAACTCGATTTCTGCAACTCAGTGATTTGGTGATGGGCGCGCATCTGGCGAAACCGCGCATCGCGTGCACGGACACGGTACCTTCCCCGAAGACAAACTTACCGCATTGCTATGTGAAAGAGCCAGCGCGGTCGTGTCTGTGCGTGCTGCTTTCAACTGCCAGTCACGGTTGATGAACTAATCATCGAAGCAGTATTTGAAAGTCACTGCGCCATAAGTATAGAATTAAACTATTGTGGCTTAATCTACGACCATTGGAGCGCAGCAAGTTGCTTCCACGTAATGAGTACTCTGAAAGCAAACCCTCCTCTATTTATGAGCAAGGCATTCTATTTACTCATTAATCTGAACTAAGTTCGATTCTTGAACGAATGAGGGCTCAAGAAACCGGTAAGCTTCGCGCCATACTACCAAAAAGCTGACACTGTTTCTTTAGCTGGCAGTTATCCGAACAACGACCACCTCAGTCTCTAGAGACCGGCCAATTAACTTACCAGCAAGTATTGAACAGAAATACTAGGACAGTATGAGCAATCTCTCCCTCCGTCTTCCTGGCCTCGCCACCATTGTTACTCTAACCCTCGTGTCCATGTGCACACACGTCCTCTTCTACAAGTGTAAGAGCGACACTGCGGAGCATTTCATCGCCGTTCTCAAGGACCGCCACGCTGACAAGAACGGTCGCCTCCTGAAGGAGAAGCATCTCGTCGAGCGCCGGGCCATCGAGCTAGGAAGCGACCTCAACATGACTGAATCTACCCTCAGGATACTATGCGTCTTCCCCTCATTTCAGAAAGGAACACGCGGGTGGATGTCGATTGCAGCAGCACGATCTTCAGCGTAGGAATGGATGGATTGGGTAAACACACATAGCATGGAATTATCACGAATTATCACGAATTGAAATGGCATAGCAGTTACTGTGTTGACCGATCCGAATGCCAATGACATCGGCGGACGCGCCCGAGTACGCTATGAAGACGCTACGAAGAAGGCAATTGTGTATTACCTAGGACTCAGAATGGGCGCAGTACATACTGCATCGCTTATTCACATTTGTCCAGGAGTGACCGAGACAAGACAAATTTCGGCATGGAATGAAGTGAGCTTTTCCTCACCAATTGTTACTTGGAAGCAACGACGTGTGTTGGCTGCGAACGTTGTCTGTTTGAGTGGCAAGCTACGCAGTCACCAACACGTCAGTTTCAAACGTATTGACTTATATCAACACCACCAAACAAAGCTGACGCGTCGCATTCTTCAACAATAGCTCCAGGATCCAAGTTTTTGAAGAAGTGGCCTCACCATGTCGAGCGCTGCGAGCCCTTCATTCCCAGCAAAAAGTGAAGACGTCACGGGATTGTCCAAGTATCACAAGGCCCTATGTAATTGAGCTCTGACTAACCCAACTCACAAGCACAACTAACATGCTTTACCTCTTATATCCACATGACGCGATCGAAACAAACAAGCCAGCCTATGCTGTCGACCGCCTGGACGCTGTTGACGATATCATGCTTCAAGACCTGCGAAAGTGGGGATGGCGAGTAGAAGAGACCACGAATAACGATCCTAGGTGGCCAGTCGCGAGACGAGAGTACCGTAAGCGGATGGAGGGAGAAGGAGAGGGCGAAGAAAACAAGCCTTCCCTGTGGGATTATTGGCGCAAGGAGAATGCGCGAAGACTAGCACAGGATAATGATAAGGGTAGGCAGCGTAAAAGGTTGACCAAATCACCTCGACCGGGGACTGCGAGTAGTCATAGGAGCAGCTTCACGGGACTTGTGAATGGGAAAGACTCTGAGAAGCTGGCAGAACCACAAGGGAATCCTCAAGTGGGAGAAATCCATAAGAAAGAGATGCATCTGATGAGTGGAGCAAACCAGGAACGAAGGACGATTGCTGAGATCAGACAGCAAACGGCGCAGAAGAAAGAGGTATCGGATGATTGGAATAAGCCCGACCCTGCCAAGTCGCTCGGGAAACTCGATCCTAAAGCACCCATGATCTACCACTACGGTGCCGGAAATGAAGCCTCAGCGGTAGCCAACGGGGAACTAGAGCTTGAGCTCTTGCACGAGATCCAAGCGTGGGTCGGCCTAGGAGGAATTCTCAAGACGACGCAAGTCTCTGTGATTTCTGATCTAGGGATCTGTGTCGACGATAAGGGTGAGCGAGTTTATTTCCCACCAAAGTGGAACCTCCCACTGTTTCCGTGGGAGGAGGAAGTGTCACGGTCGAGCTCGACCAAAGGCAAGGACCCGTCGGCGAAAGGCTCATTGGAGTACGTGACAGCTGATTTCGCCGCTGTCTTTGAGGTCGCTGACAGCTGCCAGGAGAAAGATGAGCCAGATCAAGAGACTCATAGCGTAGACTAGACTGGGACTGATGCTTGGAGCGGCTGTAGGTTGATTAAGGCGTCATTGCCGTTGAGCTTACGCGTCTGCCGGCGCATGATCTTGTAGGTAGCCACGAAATCGTTCGCATAGGGAACAACAGATTTTCCATTGCACGGTGTATCCTATCGCAGAGCTCCAGACGCTGCTGCCTGCGACATGATGTTGAGAGCGACCAAGTGTAAGGGCGTGTAGCAGCCAATGACAAGCGCCGGTCGTTATGACGACGTGCGGCAGGAGCAAGCGAGGAGCTTGGCTGTTACGTGACGCTGGGTAGCTCCGCAAGGCACAACCTCCACCGCGCGAAACGTTAACCTCCAAACACTGTGTCTTTTTCGCATCCGCCCATTGCGCCGCCCATCGCACTCCATCGCCTTCGCGAACGTTAATCAAACTGCGGTTCCCACATCTCTCCGACCAGCCGACCGGCATGGACTTCTCCGACATCTTGTGCGTGCGCCTGGTCCAGCGAGCTGTCTTCTCCGACTTTCGAACAGCAGCGACGTTGCCATGAATTTTGGGCGCTGACAGTAGATGCAGTCGCATGGTGAACTTCGCCACTGCGGTTTTCATGGTCCTCGGCGGCGTAACAAAGTTCATCCACCCAGGCGGCTTGTGAGTTGCCCTGCGCACCATGTCCTGATTCGCATACACCAGGCTGACAATACTCCCCAAGCGCGAACATCATTCTTGGTGTATACTTGGTCATCTTTGGTGCTGGTAAGGAAGCTCCTACCGATAGTTGAGAAAGCTAGTACTGACACATTGCCAGCCACCGGACTCCTTGGTTCGTACTCCCTCGCTCCCTTACAATGCGAATCGGCTCGCGCGCCCACCTTCATTACCGTTTGAAGTCGCCAAACACTAGCTGAGGCCGGTCGCTGTGACAATAAATCCATGTGTCATTGAGGACGGCGCACGATTTCGAAGGCGATCATAGCGAAAAGACACTGCTGACACTTGCACAGAGGTCCAGATCCCCCCACAAGTCACCCGCTATGCTTCGTTCATGTTCTCGTTCATCGGCCGTGGAGTTTGTAGGTTGCCTCACTGTACGCGAAACGACGCAGCCGCTTATAATACTCAGTCTATGTCTTCGTCGGTTCCGTAGCCGTTGGTGACGGTTGGTGGCGCATCATCCCCGGCACCATTGTCGGTGTTGTTGGCCTCGCGTACATCGTCCTTGAGTTTATCCCGTCCATTGAGCCGCCTGCAAACATGCGCGATGCCGATGCTGGCTGGGGCGCAGAACAGGTCTAAAACGTCCAAGCGGCTATGCAATTCGAGGATGGCGATCGATCATTCCTCAAAACCTAGACGATTGTAGAAAGAGGGACGGGGTTGGCTCGTACATGATCGCATACTGTGTGATGAGTGGAAAACATTTGGATGTGGGTGGACTGCGGAATTGGCGCACAGTGGTGACGACCCATATGTTGTTTTGAGTTCGTTGGGGTTCAGGAAAGGAACTGGATACGTGTGCACGCCTCACGACATGGCGTGCCACGGGCTGTTGTATGCTATCAGTAGACGGTAGGCAATTTGACGACTTGGTCAATGGTTCCAACAAGCGATATCCATGCACTATGTGCGGGCCTGCCCAGCGGTACGCTGCTGTTGATCACAGTAGCTGTTGATGCCGGGCATTCCAGCTGCCAATGGAGAGTTGTTCGTGCGCGCATACCAACGGAATTGCCCAGGTTAAGATGCTAGCCGCAAGCATTGAGCGAACTTTGCGCAACAACCTGATGGTGGAGGGCCCGAGAACGCGGCGCACTTGAGTTCGTTAGCTGCAGGTGGAGAGTAGCGAGCTTCGAGGCAGCTTCAATTGGCCAGACCAGCTGCCGGCGAATCAACGAGTGCATGTTTGCCGTTACAAATGCGCCGAGCAGCAACATGGGCAGAATAATGGGGAAGGTCGCTCGGGTTTTCCTCTTTGCCACAGCAGATTGCGACCGCCCGCGTGGTCGATCTAGTCTGTAAAAGTCGGAAGGAAGCCACAGCCGTTTACGGCTACGTAATTGTACATGCACCTGGGATTTTGCTCGCCGAGATTGCTGCCAGACGATGCGGTGAAGGTCACGAAGGCTTGCGTTAACGAGCGCAGGAGGATCGAGCTAGGCGCGAAAGCTAGCAAACCTGCTTATCATCATCAACGCGGTGATTGGCCCGCCCTGCATCGGCAAGGAACTTGCGACCTCCCATACCAGTTGCCTGTTACGCATCACCGCAACCCTTTCTGACGCCCTTTGCTGGTTGCTAGAGGACGAAGGAACACTCGGACAAAGCAAAACGCGTATCCCGTCTTCTGCCGGCTCACGAGGAGCAACAATCTCCTTTCCACTGCACCCGTGTCTCGCTGCAGACCCCCTGGGCCAACCTCTCGGCGAAACAACCAGGTCACGTTTTGGCCACCTGACAGGAGCAAGTACTTGCATAAGCAACCCCATCAGCTCGCGGAACCGGTCCAGCAGCCGTCCAACGGACATAGAAGACCCCACTGCAACATCACTCTCGAGACACTGCCGCATCATATTTCCACAGTTGCTCATACCTGCCTCCCCAGTGCTGCCCGGAGGCAGCACGTCCGCCAGATATCATGGCAAACGGGTCAGGTAGCGGTGGCACATCGCTGGCTCCGACGCCAACTCATCCACACCACTTGTCCCGGGAACCGAGTCGAGAGGACGTAGAAATGGCCGAGCAACTTAGCCAGTTGAATCAGGTCCAGGACAACCGGACCTCAAGAATAACTTCGCCTTCCCAAGCCCGGCAGGCTCCAACGCCGCCACCCCCACATGCTCCTGAAATCTACCACTCTCTGGAGGATGCGCGGCCTATGCGGGAAAGCGAGCAACCGGAGCAGCCCTCATTACCAACGACTCCGGCATCTCTTCCTCAGCCTAGTCTTGGTGCTGGAAATGCGCTTATTTCCGGCCAAGTCTGCAGGTGCGTCTCAGCCTCTGCTTTCTTTTTTGCAGCCATGCCGCTCCTACCTTGAACCCTGATGAGACCATGCTGACAATCGTAAAAGCAACTGCGGAACCACGAAAACACCCTTGTGGCGGCGATCGCCTGCTGGAGAAACCATTTGCAATGCTTGTGGTTTGTACCAGAAGGCGAGGAACCAATCACGCCCAACTAATCTCAAGCGTAACACCACAGGGCAGCCCATTCTCCCCATCCATCAAAGTCCAGCAACAGGCCAAGGGCATGACCGGAGCGCTTCACCAGGAGGCGCAGGCGTCTCGCCGAGACCAGCGACTTATGTCGCATCAGATCACCAAGCCGCTGGAACTTGTCCTGGAGGCGGTAGATGTAATGGCATGGGAGGCCAGCAGGGTTGCGGTGGATGCCCTGCTTTTAACAATCGTGTCTCCAAGACGGCACAATTTGCGCTAGCACAGACGAGTGGCCCTTCTACTACTACTGGAAATGACAGAGGAGCCCCAGTGGCGACGAACGCGATCCCGGCTTGCCAAAATTGCGGGACTACTGTAACACCTCTTTGGAGGAGAGACGAAGCTGGACATACTATCTGCAATGCTTGTGGTACGTTCATGTCCTGTCGCGAACCATTGTAGGGTCGGCATTCCCGCATCACGAGCTAACTTGCGAAGGTCTCTACTATAAGCTCCATGGCGCACACCGCCCTGTCGAGATGAAGAAACAAGAAATCAAACGCCGGAAACGTATCGTCCCAGCCGATGGCAACAGCACACAAGCACCATCGTCAGTCACCAGTTTCTCGCCCCAACCGCGTTCAATGCATACCCCGGCTTTCGAGCACTCGGTGTCACCCGACCCGTCAACCGCAATTGAGTCGAGCGAACTTCCATCGGGTATCAGAGCCCCTGTGCCGGTTGATTTTACCACCTACCAGGGCAGCGGTGCTCAGCTGGGACCTCCTTCGCCAAGAAAACGTAGCTTGAGCGCCACGCTAGATGCGGACGAGAAACCTGCGACCCCAGCACCCCACCGACCGAATCCCATTTCGTCGATTCTGAACCCGGCTGCAGCGCACGACACAAACATTGACCCATTGCTGTCAAGCCTCTCACAACGAAGTGCAGATTCTCCATCCGCTCCGCAAGAAGACAGATCTGCCCGCAAAGAGAGGCTCATGCGGGAGATAGAAGTGATGAGGCAAGAGCAGGCGAAACGTGAAAGAGAACTGCTGGAACTGGGCGATGACTGACGAGTGTTGGAAAGATGCTCAACATCGGAACAGGCTGTACAACAATAGAGAGGAGGACCCAATCCCATCGACAAAAGTAGATGTGGACATGCTACTCTCATCGGCGTTTTTGGAAAACATATCCTTGACCCATACCAGGGCATGAACGTTCTTTACGGGACGACTCTTATGATCTCAATGCGGCACAGGTCAGATGAAAGCGGGGAGTTGCTAATATTGTATAAGAAGCTTTCAAGCGTGGCGTAAGGTTCTATCGGAGACTGTCATTACGACAAACAAGGTCGAGATCGGGATATATAGGATATGCGCGATACCGATGTGCTGGTCATCAAAATGAATCACATACGAGTTACGAATCTATAAAGAATTCTATGCCTCTCAAAACATCGATACTGTTGATGGTGTTCAATAACATACCTGGCCACCCTCCCTAAGCATATGCCTTCGGTGCTACAGGTAGTACTCCCAAACTCTTGCCCGTCCGTTCTGCCTTCCCCTTCTTCAGCGTCAGCCTGTAGGCCCTGCTTCTCGTACACCACAAGTGCGGTTATCCTCACTGCGCAGCCCTGTTGGTTGTGCAGAGGAGCATAATCTGGTCAAATGTCTTGGGAAATTCTCGCGAAAGACGACTTCAATGTACAAGAATATTCGATTGAATAAGCTACAGTTACAGTATGATGCTTCGTTGAAAAGCAGGTCGACCGCACAAGATGCCCCCACTCAATGCATGACCACTGCCACGTGATCATCCATATACTTGGAAATGTCGCCCAAGAAGCACGCGGCAACGATGCTGACAGCTCCAAACGCTATGCTCACATAGTAGACGTATTTATACGCCTCCGCGTAGGCGAGCTGGCCAGCATAGACGACAAGCTCGTACGCGCCGGGAACGTCCTTGATACCTGGGAGTTCCTTGAGGGCGGGGAGCAGCGAGCTGCCTGTGATGACGATGGCTTCGCCGATGGTGGCTGTGTCGGTGATGTTTAGTTTGGTTACCATGGCGCCGCCGATGAAGTGCGTGGCAGCAGGGACGAACTTGGCTGGGAGATGTTAGTAGTGTGGCCTACGAATCGAAGGAAAGGCGGGTTGAGGGTGGAAGGCTTACAAATGAAAACGTTATAGTAGACGCAGTATCCAACCGAACCGCCAATGACACGAATAGCCAGTGTGAGGGCGGCGACTGTTGCGATGAGATCATCTGGGCAGATGATAGTAGCTAATACGGTCAATCAGCAAACATTCAGTTCGTGCAGATAGCCTCGATTGACTCACAGATAATTGATGCTGGGACCACAATGCCTCCAATTCCAAGTCCAGCCAGAACAAGCAATCCCCAGAGTTGGTGCAGATTGTCCACACGGGCAATTGCGAGAGAACCACAGCCAGCCGTCATGAGGATAGAGGATACGATAAGAAGCTCCTTGTTGTGCCCGCGGAGCAGAGAGAGAAGCCACAGAACAATGCATGCGCCAGCCAGGATGGAGAATCCGACGGGAATACCACGGATCCCGACACCGACGGGATCATGACCGTACACGTTGAAGGCCTGTGTAGGCCAGAACATGAGGATGGAGAAGAAGTTGGCGCCGGAGATGAAGGTAATGACGAGGGTGAGTCCGAGGATGCGAGGCTCTTGTCGCAGTCTCTTCGGGAACATGGGGTGTTTTGCGTAGCCTTGCCAGACCACGAACGCCACGATGAGGATTGCGCCCAAAATCAGAGGTGCGAGGACGTGCGCGCTCGACCATGGGTACTGGTACCCTCCCCATTGCATTCCCATCATGAAGAGGAGCATTCCAGAGATAGATAGAAATCCGCCGAGGTAGTCGATCTCGGAGAGAATTTGCCTGCGGCTCAGACCTTGGCTGTTCGGTCGGGGAGGAGGATGGTCTATATCGCGGGTACAAAGTCAGCTGAGTCACAAAAGGGGGTTTGTGTACAAGTCATCTAATGTCTAACACATAGCGACTTTGTACCGGTGAGGATCTTACAGAAGACGGCAGTCATGACAAGGCCAATGAAGGCCCAGACACCGCACCAGCAGCCGATCCATCTCCAGCTCGTGTGCGAGGCAATCAGTTGTGCCCAGAGTACGGAAGGGCAAAACGGGATGATTGTGAACACCAGAATGGCAACGTACTTGCCACGCTGCGAAGTGGGCGCCAATTCAGATGTCACGGCCAGTGCTGTGAGCTCGTTGATACCGGCGCCAACGCCGGAGAAGACCATGCCGCTGATGAAGATGTTCATCGTGTGCGCTGTCGAGCAGATGATCATGCCCAAGATGAGAAAGCAGGCGCCAATCATGGCAACATAGCGGCGACCCACGATATCGGAGATTGATCCAACGAATGGACAGACGGCAGCGAGGGAAAGCAGATTCGCGAGGACGAACCAGATCCATCGATCGACACCGCCAATGTCGGCGTAGATATATGGTGGGACACCGCCGAAGAGATATACAGGAATCTGACTGCCGGTCCAGACTGCGTGGTGATTCGTCAGATTCTGAATGTTATATCAGGTATGGAGGACATACGGAACGCCATGGCGATAAGACTCATGATCCTCGAGAATGTCATTGGCGGCTCGACGTCGTGATTTTCGTCGTCCCCGTATGTTCTCAGACCATCCTTCTCATAGTAGTTCGTGTGGCCAGGGACTCGCTCGTTGGTGTGGATCTGCTCGATGTGCTCCATGGTCGTGGGCTTCGCTGTTGGGGAGTGCTCCCCCGAGCCATCTGTGAAGTGTCAGTCACACATTCGATTATTTGTTCAAGGCTTTGCAGTGACTTACTTGAGCTACTGGCGTCGGTCATCGTTCAGTGTTGCAGTCAAGACCGATGTACGCAGTACACAGTCGATAAATCGGTCAAGGAAGGGGACCAGAGGTTTTGGCACGGCCTGACGATCCACTCAAAGAGACATCATGGGCCTTTATGCGCAGCCTGGACGCGTATGCTGATCTACGTTGGGCGGCAGACGGAGCTCGATCCTGCCGGCGTTGCTATCTTTCTCTCGTGACCCCACGGGGCCGTATCCGAGATCCACAATGAGTGAATTCGCGGGGTACTGGGGAAATAGCTCGTCTCAGACGTCCTAAGTCACGGAGATACCGACGAGTTTGTCCTGGCCGTTCGTGGTGGCGGTGTGCGTTGGGTTTCATTGGCCCTCCCCATGACCATCCCGCGCTTTAACCGACTGGACCCGCGCAAGCCACTCTATCGGATCCTCGACCTGCATGGAAAAGTACCGCGGCATCCTCTGTTGGTCTTTGTTTATTGTGACGGGTCTGCAGTCCTAAAGGGCTGATCGCACGTTTCAACTGCTGTTTTTGCAAATTCCACAAGCTTCACAAGCTTCACTTCAGTAGTAGAGTTGACGCTCACTACCCAGGGCCATATTCTCACAACAGAACGTGTTCAAAGGACACTTGCACCCAAATAGGATGTTGCATTCATTCCAATCCTGGCATCGCCTTAGCGTGGAACTACCCCGCATTGCAATTGCTTGACACGCAAAAGCACCTCGGCGGCCAACAACAAGCTTCTCGACTCCAGAACGAGCCAGCACCATTCAGGGACCATCGCCGATCATCTCGCTACACCTTACGACTCGTGGGCTCACCCCTTCATCGTGATGATACCGCACCCCCGGAGCGCCATCCAAAGTGACGGGTGCTCCGTGGGCCAGGTCGTTGGCGCGTGGCGGCCTGGAAAACTTCGGTATCTGGGAATTCTCGGTAAAGAGAAGGGTCTGGCGCGCTGGAATGAACAACTCTCTTTGTCTTGACAGAGGCTTTGTCGAGATAAATGCCTTGAAAATGGATGATTACAGCGCCTGATCATCTATAGTTAATGTTGTTTATCAAGTTTCAAAGAGGCTGCGTGGTCTTGTCATCATTTCCGTACATTGTCACAGTACGCAGAATTCGGCAATATCAGTTGGGCTAGGTACTAGTTCACTTGACCACGTTGCTAGCCGGCTGCACGAGCTGGGAAATCGCCTGCTCTGGACCTGTTGTGGACCTGCTCTAGTATGCAAAAGGGTGTCCATGACCTTTAGAGTGCCTCATTTCAATGAAAAGATCAGGATTCCAAATTTACCAGAAGAAGCTGGGACTCTCTGCGCATCGTTATCACATTGCAAAGAGATGACAGACTCGTCGTTCCGCGGGAGATGAAGAAACTAGAAGACACCACCCCCTCTGGAATGCAGATAAACCATCAAATCCGCCGATGATGTTTATCAGTCTTCTGAAGAAAGGTAGCATTCAAAGAAGATCTCCCAGCTCGAGAGTAGACATTCCAGGATTCAAAACCGTCGAGAACAATTGTTGCGACCGGCCCTCAAGTCATCAACAACTGCCCGATCGACACGATGTCTCTACATATCTTTGTAGCACTCTCACACCCGAAAACTTTCGCTAACAATGCCATACCTACTCTTCAAGCCCCGCCACCCATTTGCCTCCTGCTCATCCAACCCTCCAAGACCAAAGTATACAACAGACGATCGCGCCGTAGCACAGGTCTTCCACTCCTACGGGTGGATTATCATGCAAGCACTCCGTCTTCCCGCGAGAGACGAGTCTGCGATATGGTGGGATAGCGACTGCGATAATGACGATGGTGACACTGCAGAAAGCGAATACTTTTCGAGCATCAGGCAGTGCTCAGGGATAGTAGAGCTGGACCATCGAGGCATGTTGCTCGATGGATTGATGGAGGGACCGCAGGTTGAGGGCCAAGTCAAGTGCACAATCATGTGGGCGGCAGACTAGGATATGCACAGGGAAGTTGATTTGAAAGTTGTATTGAGAGCTGAGGATTGAAGCAATTATGCTAGTATTGTGCAATTGTGCGCAAACGGCACCTTTCAGGTTGAACGATACCCATGCCCTCTCCATCCATACGTGTTAGCGAGGAGGAATCCGGATGCCACTGCTTCACCTGCACGAGAGGCACAGCGGGTGCAGTAGCTAACAGTAGAGCCAGAATTTCTACGTAGAGAACCCTAGATAGATAGGTATGCTAGACTATCAGACTTCAAGTGTCTGACTTTAAAAGTGAGTAAGCTTATATAAGATAATGTGTGCACCTGCATTCCCTTTCTGATACAGCAGCTGCTAAGAGGGGGGTTTTTTTTTGATGCGGCACCCGATTTAGAGATCACTGATGTAAACAGACAGACTGTCTTGCGGTTGAACCATGGATAAGCACAAGCTTGTTCTAGACCTGCGGGAATGGCCTGACAGGTGTGCACTCGATCTTCTCACGCAATTTAATAGGACTGCGATATCTCCACATACACGTCCTCTTGCCGTCTTGATGAGGGAAGAAAACAGCGGGTGCGACTTTGTGGTCGTTTGCGCCCGTCAGTCACTTGCTGCGCTGTAAGGGTCACACTTCTTTCTCATCTCATTTTGCGGGAAACGGTGACACTCACTATATGGGTAGTTTTCCGGCGCCCCCTCCACAAGATCAGCGCCAGCGAGCTAGGCATCTCCGCAAAGGCTGTCGAGGCAGGCCTCGGCTCGGCGCTCAGGCTGTGTTCGGAATGGAAAGCCGTTTGCCTGATTGACGAGGCAGATGTTTTCAGGGCGGCACGCAACGTCAACAACCTCGAGCGCAACGAGTTTGTGTCCGTCTTCCTCCGTCTCCTGGGTTAATACTCCGGTACCCTCATCATCACCACAAATCGCCTGAGGACGCCCCACTCGAGGTTTGAGTCGGGCATCGATATCACGCTGTCTTACAAACCGCCCACCGAGGCCGACGGTAAGCAAATCTGGACCAATTTCTTGCGCAAGTTCGATTCCGAGGCTGTCGCCATTGGCGATGCGGCTCTCGATAGGTTGGCGTGCTGGGGCTTGAACGGCCGTTAGATCAAGTGTGCGGTTAGAATGGGGCGTATCCTCGCTGCGGAGGAAGGAACCGCTCAGTGAGAAGCACTTGGAGGTGGTGCTTCAGCTGAGGCGCAAATCGTGGGGCTTAATGGGTGGTAATCCAGATGGAGTTGACGAACGTGATCTTTGAATGATGTTTCTGTGGCATGAGCGGTTTAAATGGGTCGAGTAGAGGACCATGTTGATGCTCGCCGCTTACCTGGCGCAGACCTTGTTATGGTTCAAAGGCGCCTACGTTTCAAGTACACCGGCAGTGCTCTGTGACTGAAACAAGAGGGAACTTTTGTGGAAATAAGGAGTGCTCAATCATCCAAACAAGTGAGACATGTATAAGGAACGTGCGGTTTTAGCTCACTTCAAAAACACACGAACATAGACATGAATACCTTCAAACTGGGTCACGTCGACTTCGCCTACTCGCATCAAGTCCAACATTTCATTTACGTATACCCTTGCCCAGGCATGCCAGTCTAATATTCGAAACTCGATCATTGAAATGAAGTATCAAACCCTGTTGCAGCACTGCAAAACTCCTCATAATATCCCAAAATCAACCCATGAACGGAGTCATCCAATCCCAGCAGACCATTGCATCAACCATCCACAGAGCCTCAATCCACCTCCTCAGGTGCCGTGTCGTGGTATTCTTTCAACACCGCCTGCAACGTCTCGTCGCCCTCCGCCCACCATTTATCCAGCCTCTTCAGCCCACGCCGCGCCAACCCAGCATCGCGATTGCGATATACCGAGTCGATTTTGCGCACGGCATCCTTGTCATTGACAAGCCAGCGTTTGTGCTCAGCCATAAACGTAGCGTAGGTGACGCCGTAGATGCGCTGGACATTCCGCTCGAGGGTTTCGTGCGCCAGCTTCTTGAGACGGGCATGATTTTTCCCGGCATCTACAGCAGCGGCGGTTCTCTCTTGTGGGTGGATGGTCTTGGCGAAGAAGTATTCGAGCGTGGGGCTGTCTTCCACTACTTCAAGGATGTGATTCAGACCGTTGTGCGTGAGGGCACAATAGTGGAGGTCCAGATATGCCAGATTTGGGCACATCTTGCCGAGGTCGCAAATGGCATCCGCGGATCTGTCGGTGATCCAATTGTATCTATTCCATGTCAGTCATCGGTCGGTCATAAGCACAGCACCACGTCATCCAGGTGTACTATAGGACACCCAGATCCTAGCAAAAAAGATATAAGTGGTTACTCACCGGGAACCCAGATCCGGTGTTGCGAAACTCTGACCAAAGTCCAAGGTCTTGATGGTCGGATTCTTGCTGAGCGCCGCACACAAAGCGATCACACCATCGTCGCTCATGCCAACAGACTGAAGTGTCAATCGGGACAATGTCTTATTCTTCTTCAAGCCTTGGGCCAGGGCAATAACACCGTCATTTCCCAGTGGATTGTTACTGACGTAGAGAGCGTCGAGTTGACAATGCTCCCGTGCTAACCACTTTGCGATCGCCGTCGCACCCTTGATGCCGATGCCGGAAGCATTCAGATAGAGGTGTTTGAGTGGCAGACTATCAAAAGTGTGACCTCCAGGCGTGTGCTCCGCAAGCCTCTCGAACAGCGTTGCGACACCAGCATCACCGAGCTGAGTCTGATCAAGATCCAAAGTGCGCAAGTATTTAGTCTCTGTAATCAATCGGAAGATGTCATTGGCAGATTCCGGCATCAACGGGTTGCGTTTGAGCCAGATATTGGTGACGCGTTTCGACCTGACCCATTGATTGACGAGCATCCCGAAGCTGATCGCGTCAATGCAATTACCAGCGAGATACCAAGTGCTGATCTGATTCGGGGAATCCTTCATGAAGTTGGAAATGCATCGGGCACCCCGTGGTCCGATGATGTTATTTCCCAGCAAGAAATGCTCGACGAACTGATTGGTCTTCAAGCTTGCCATCAGGTCCGCAATATGGGTGGGGCCAACGACCATTTTGCAAAGGTCCAAACGACGGTCGGAGTAAAGCACACCCCGCTCGAACTCAAGACATTTTACGTTGTAGTAGGGCTCCTCGATTTCAGTCGCATTCGCGCAGGCACTAGTTGTGGACAAGTTGGCATCGGTACCGTTGGAAGCGAGGTGCTCGAAAAAGGGTATCAAGGTCTCTTTCTCTGCAATTTCTACGGGCATGGGGATGGCTGGAGCGCCGACGAGTGACCACGAGTCGGCGACAGGATCCCAAGCCCCCTGCTTCATGACCCGCTTCGGCCAGTCAACGAGCTCTTTCTGCTTCGTCGCCTCGCTAATGTGAAGTTTTCGTTGCTCCACGACAAGCCTTCGCAGCTTCATGAGATCCGTCTCGTACCGTATGAGCGATCCAACAGGGGTGTCGTAATGCGGATATTGCAGCCGGGCGATCGATTGGGCCATTGCAGCAGCAGCAGGGTCTGCTGCTTTTCGACGCGGTAATTTCATGACAATGTCGTCAACCAAAGGTCCCGCCGCTAAGAAGAGCGGTGATGCAGTCTCTAGCTGAGTGTTAAGTATGTCGGCCCACTCAGCAACATTCTTCTCCAGATACTTCGAATTTCCTATGGGGTGAGCACCCGTCGTGGGGGACCGAGGGCTCTCATGTGTTGCGTCCTCCATTTGAGACGGTATTGGGACTGACTCCATCTCAACCGAGAGTATCGGGAGCTTGGTTGCCGTTATCCTCTCGGGGCACAACTCTGGTGATAGTGACCTTTCAATCTCAGAAGGCTGAGCTAAGTCTTTCCTGGGTGTGGGATGAATGCCAGAACCCATGGCTGCAGAGGTTATTATAAACTTTGCGGGTGGAGGGCGTGAACCGTGGTATGACTGCGAATTTGAGAATGGGCAAGGGTCAAGACTCAGGTTTAAGAGGCTGCGCCACAGATTAATGTGGATGGGCGTTGACGGAGGTGCAAACACCACCCGTCTGGAGGGCGGACAAAGTCATTGCGCCCTCTCCAGTGAAAAGGGCGACCTGCCTTTGGGGATGTCGTAGGCGACGGCGTGCCGTGCCGTCGGGCGAGGTGTTGCCTAGTCTGGGGCGCCTAACGCTCACGGCCCCCATCTTGCTAGTTGTCTTGGAGTGCAACCACGATTGCTCACTGAAAATCTGTCCACAATACATTTTGAAAACGAATTTTAGTCTTGTTTGCGTGAATTTATATGTGCGGAAAAAAAAGGGGTTGTACAACGAGGTCATGGTATTTGCATCGGCTGGAGTGAGTACATACTTCATCACCAAGGGTACACAGAAACGTTCAGTGGCGAGAAATTCGGTCTGATTTTGAGACTACTCTTTTCCACCCAGATACCTATACACGACCGAGAAGTCCTTTCCCTTGCAATTCTCCACCTTCTCGACCTCGTCGTACAGTGCCTTCGCGGTGTCCCCAAGTGCCAGCTTGATGTTTGCATCTTTCGCCGCTTTCAAAGCCAGCTTAAGATCCTTGTTGGCCAGCGCAACCCCAAACCCGCCCTCGTAGCCTCTGCTAGCCGGCGAGCCCTCGATGACACCTGGAACAGGATTGTTGACCTCACTAGGCCAGCACTTACCGGTGCTGATATTGATCATACCTGCCAACGCCTTCGGGTCCAGACCCCACTGAATACCCATGTTCATAGCTTCAGCGGTAGCGACGTTGTTCAAGGCCAGGAGGTAGTTGTTTGCAAGCTTGCCCTTGAGACCAGCGCCTTGTTCGCCCAAATGGAGAACTCGACGACCGATCAAGGAGAGAACAGCGGTGGCACGCTCAACAGCATCCGGAGCAGCACCAATCATGAAGGTCAGGGTGCCTGCTTGAGCACCGACAACACCGCCAGACATGGGAGCGTCAATGAACACGCCCTGACCAGAGGAGTGCGCAGCATCAGCAACTTGGCCAGAGGTCGTCGGATCGATAGTAGAGGTATCGATGAACAGTCGTGGCTGGTTGGTGGTACCCTCCGTCAGCAGGGTCGCCGGCTCAAGCATCTGTTTGTAGACACTTGAGACATGTTGCGGTTCAGGCAAACATGTTATGATGGTTTCCTTTGCCGAGTTAGTATGATTACAACATTGTGACATCGTTTAAAATTATTGAGTAGGCAAATGCATCAGAGGATTGGCTGAAGTTGTTAATCAGAATAGAAAGCCACCGGAGTGACCCCCAACTTAGATCATAGGTATTAAAGGAAAATTTTTGTTTTTCATCATGCAAGACAAGGTGTATGGCGGAGAGATATACGTACTGCTTTCTCAGCAACCTCTCGCACGTTGTCCGCTATGCGAACGCCAGTAGGGTTCTCTTCGAGAAACTTCTTCGACGCTGCGGTGTTGACATCTTGGACAAACAAGGTATCTTCGGCGGGGATCTTCGCTCGCAGGTTCTTAGCCATGGCAAAGCCTGAAGGTATGTCAGCCTAAGCTCCAAGTCATGTGAGCGGCGTCCGACTTACCCATACGTCCAAGACCAATGAAGCCCCAGTTCGCCTGGACATTGCGTGTGCTAGAGAAGCATCTTCGCGACGCCTGTCGAGCCGCAACCGGTGCATTCCTCCTCAGAGGTGAAGCTATCGCTGATACCGTCCTCATTGTGTGTGTGCTGGTATAACGCGCTGCGTTGTGGAGGTGATTCGTGGGATGGGTGTTCCTGCGCGGTGCAGCTAGAACGAACTCCGCGCTCAACCGAGGTCGTGGAATAGAGCCGCCTCAAGACGCTGCTTGCGGTAGCCCGGCAGCGGGACAACGCTGACCGGCTGTGCCATACTTGGGGTAAGCATGGTTTCGGATGATGTGGATCAGCCACAAGCCTCCAGTCGCAGTTCTGCGAGTGATGGTTGGGTTGAAGTGTTCAAAGGAATGGGAAAGTTTTTCCGTCGAAGTAGCCGGCTCGTGGGTCACGTGGTGCGCCCAGCCTTTCCCGTTTGGGAGCCGTATGTCAATCTGCCAACACTCTCAGTCATCAGACTTCACGTTCGAAACAAGTCACGAAGTTTGGCACCAAGTAGTGTTAGATGATATGTTTCATAGCTTAGCCTTCACAATAGGTTACGACTCAAGTGTACCTCTCACATACCATGGGTGCAGAAAGGGACACAGAACCACCAAATCTACCCTGACGATCTACCCACCCTCTTCAGACATGTAGTCAAGTCTCCTTTCATCCGTTAGTTTCAGGTCGAATCTGGGCGCCTACAACAGTTTAGCTCCTACCCATCCACACCCCCATCGCTCGACTTACCAGTCACATTCGGATTATACAACCCGAGCCTCAAGCTACTCTTCAGATAATACCTCTTCGTGCTCGTCACATACGAGGTCGCTATATAGCTACTTTACATAGCACAATTATGTGGGATGTTGGATAGGGATGTTGGATACCTGGTCGGCTTAGAAGTCACTGCCAAAGAAGTCGGTGGAGCATTCGACTTTGAACGCTGCCGCGTTCGAAGGGCTAGTCCTGTCATGTTCTAGTATTTGTGGGCGTCTTGAGCATTAAAGACCATATGTGCCAAGTGGGCAGGGCATATTGTGGCCTGTCGGGCAATGTTGCCGGCGATGTTGCCAGCACCCACGGCCGCCGTGGCAATACGAGTTGCGTTCACCATGTCGATGAGTTCTAGTAAATTGTGATTCCTGGGTAGAGATGGCGTGCTCCAGAGGAACTTTGTTCCCGCACTCTCCCAATCGCTTGGAACGCAAGTTCACTAATAGTGGCACCCTGCAATGAAGGAGGAGGGGTTTGTCTAGTTGGTCACAGCCAAAGAGGCCCGCTGGATCAGACTATTGAAGACTATTTAAAGCTAATGGAAACGCCAAAGGACGGCTCAACGAGCTGTCTACACTCGCTGACATTCACTATGTGGATTCCACGGGTGATCCAGATGGGAGACACGGCAATCTATGGATCTCGAAGTCACCAGATGACATTGAAAGTGGAGTGAGCGGAACGGCAACCAGGTTCAGGAAGCTCTGCTGTTATATTTGAAGTAGTATAGAAAGTCCTGGGCTCGATAGTGCTGAACCGCTCATGCGGTGTCTCGAAAGCATTGGCGCGGGGCTTTCCGCTGCGACGATCGCATCTCACCACATCCCTCCTCCCTTCTTGGTTTGTGACAAAGCCATTTGACCACTTCTACCAAGGCTGGGAGATCCTGCTTGGCCACGTTGCCCTTAGGCTCGTACCGGTAGCGGTTGTACGCCGCTCAAGAGCGGGGGCCGACATTGGGCACGTTGTGTGCTCGTCCATTCGTCTCTTTTACTCGCAGAACCATGCTTGGTACTTGCGGGTGGGTTTCATGTGGTTTGCTGAAGAATCTACCATTCCCTCAGGGAGCAGCATGTTCAGGGACTTCAGTATCCGCTGGAGCTTCCGCCTTGGCCCGTTTCGTCTCGACATCGTCGTCTGACTCGTCCGAGATATCGACTATGTCGTGCCGCTTGTGGGACTTCTTTTTGGCACCCTTGCCGCCCGAGGGTGCGCTAATGGCTTCGAGATACTGGTCGTCAGACATGCTGGAGTGCAGTTTCGGAGCATCCTTAGTATCTGCCAGGAACAAACGCTCCTCAAAAGCTGCGTAGGAAGCATCGGCCTGTCAGGAGTGTCAGCTTTGGCTGCTACATTCGCCGAATAGCTGGAGGGGTGTCGTTACGTCTTCGTAGTGATAGATCAGTTTGTTCCACTTCTCAGCATTGGCGGATTTCATGAAAGCCTGTGTGATCTCGGCCGCCGTGTCGCCGCCAGCTTTCTTGACTGTGGGCATGAAGGCCTTGGGCTCGGTGGGCTTTGCGCCGTCCTGCGACTCCTTCTCCCGTCGGCGTTGGGCGGCCTCAAGCTGGCTTACAGCGTCGAGATGGTGGAACTGTGTCCGCAGCTGTACGAGGCCGTTGAGGCGGGTGAGATGGAGCTGGTCTGGCGGGGGTTAGCATGCTCGTCGACACACTGCAACGGAGCGAACGAACTCTTCTTGAAGGTTCCCAGCATGTACGTGGGGCCCTTGCCGTCCTCCTTGACCAGCTGTCCGCCATAAGTCTGGGTGTTGAGCACATGGCCCTTCTCGTTCGCATCCTCGAAGTTGGCCACGTACTCGTCCTCGTTGGCGTTGTCGTCCAGCGCGGGCTGCACGCCTCCCTCGGCGGCGGCACCTGGTCTGGCGGCGCGAGGCATGGCGCGCTCGAAGCCGGAGGCAATGCCGTATGCCTTCTGGCCGAACTGCTTCGTCTTGCGCATGGCCTCTCCCCAGCGCACGCCGGCTTGCCTGTTGAAGTTTGTCTTCATGGGCAGGGCCACGTCGACCTCGATGAAGCCCGACTGCTCCTTGACGCGCACCTCGGAGGGCACGGCGCCCTCGCTCTTGACGAAGGGCTGGTTGGGGCGGCGGTTGAGGTACTGCAGCACGTAGAGCTGCTGCTCCATCTCGGGGGTGATGAAGACGTCGTACTCGGCGATGACCGGGTCGGCGTCGTCCATGGCGGCGGCTGCGCGGGCGGCGGTGGTTAGCAGAGGGGACGGGCGGCAGCATCAGCGGGCGTCTTACGAGCCATGGCGGCGCAGAGTCGTGCTGCGTGGGCTGGTGAGCGACGGCGGCCTGCCTGGGCCAAAAAGCTGCGAGCGACATTTTAGCAGCCAACGCTGCCCCGCGCGTCCACCACGCGCCGCCGCGCTAGCCGGGCCTCTCCATGACGGCGTTAGAGCAGCACGTACCTCCGAGCCTCGCTGCCAAATCCCGCCGCCCAAGAAGCTCGCTGTGCCCCGGAAACTGCGTCGCGGAGCTGCACCTTGCTCCTCCCGCCAGCATGGCCTACGTTGCACCCATCCACCGGCCCAGCAGCATCCGCCATGCCCTCAAGCTCAGCTTTCTCGCTCACGGCGAAGACACGCTGGTGGTCGCGTAAGATGCATGACGACAGCCTGCGACAGCGAACTGACCGCAATCACAGGAAGGCGAACCGCCTCGAGTTCTACACACACAGTGCCGAGGGCCTGTCGCTGCAGCTTTCCAAGGCCATCTACGGCAAGGTCACCATGCTCCAGAAGCTCCGGCCTGCGCTCTCGCCCACCGACCACCTCTTTGTCGGAACAGACCGCTTCATGTACTTCACGCTGTCATGGAACCCGGACAGAAAGCAAGTCCAGACGGAGAAGACGTTTGAAAGCGTCGCAGACAATGCAGCCAGAGAGTCGCAGACCGGAGAGCGGTGCCATGTCGACCCTACCGGCCGCTTCATGACGGTCGAGGTCTACGAGGGCATAATCACAGTCATCCCCCTCGTCCAAAGAGGGAAGAAGAGGAAGCAAGAGCCCGACATTGCACATCTGGGCGAGCCCCAGGCATGCCGGTTGTCCGAGATGTTTGTTCGTTCCTCGGCCTTCCTGCGCCCGCGGAGTGCAGACGACAAGGCAAAGCTGGCGTTGCTATACGAAGACACACATTCCACCGTCAAGCTCAAGGTTCGTGAGCTGAGGTTCGAAGGAGGCGATACTGTGGACCTGGAGGATGCAGAGCCATACCGCGGCGAAATTGAGGTCGGCGCCAGCCATCTCATCCCCGTCGAAGCACCTACCCACGGCCTCATAATAATCGGCGAGACCTCGATTGGTTACTACGACGAGGAGACTGGAGAGCTCGACAGACAGCCGCTCGACGAGGCAACCATCTTCGTAGCGTGGACGCAGATCGACACCCAACGTTTCCTCTTTGCTGACGACTATGGCCGTCTATACCTCTTCATGCTAGAGCTGGACGAAAAGACCAAGGTGCAATCCTGGAAGATCGACGTCATTGGACAGACTTCGCGAGCATCAACACTTGTCTACCTCGACGCTGGTCATGTCTTCGTGGGCTCCCATCAGGGAGACTCGCAAGTCATACGCATCACCGAAAAATCTATGGAGGTTATACAGACCTTCTCCAACATCGCCCCTATTTTAGACTTTACCGTAATGGATATGGGCAATCGTTCAGGAACGGGCCAGACAAACGAATACTCTTCCGGACAAGCTAGGATTGTAACTGGCAGTGGCGCTTACCAGGACGGTAGCTTGCGAAGCGTCCGGAGTGGCGTTGGCCTTGAAGATCTCGGAGTGCTAGGCGAGATGGAACACATTTCTAATCTTTTCAGCATAAAGTCCAGTGGTGCGGCCGACTTTGTTGATACCCTACTTGTGACGTTTGTGAATGAATCGCGAGTATTCAAGTTCGACGCACAAGGTGAGGTGGAAGAGGTTGAAGAATTCGCCGGACTGTCACTGGACGAGACAACACTGGTCGCATCAAATGTGTCCCAAGGTCGCGTAATACAAGTCACAGCTGGGCGCGTCCGGATTACCGATTTGGACGGCGGAATGATCGTCTCCGAGTGGCTACCACCAAGCAGCCAAACGATAACGGCAGCTTCGGCGAACGACAGCCACGTCCTAGTATCACTGGGAGGTGTGTCTGTGGCTGTATTGGATGTCAACAACGGTTTGAATGTGATCAAGGAGAAGACCTTTGGGATCGAGAGTCAAGTGGCTTGCGTTGCACTGACACCTAATACTGGCTCAGTATGCTTCTTAGGCTTCTGGAAAAATTCACAGCTCTCAGTGTGTTCGCTCACGTCGTTAGAGCCTGAAGTCACCGTTGAAGTCTCAGAAGAATCAGTACCGCGCTCAATACTACTCGCACAGATCTTCCCTGAGCAGCCACCAACACTCTTCGCCGCGTTGGCCGATGGCTCTGTAGTCACGTACTCATTCGACGTCTCAGCGAAGAGACTATCAGGGCGAAATAGCATAATACTTGGGACTCGGGAAGCAACTTTCAGAGCTTTGCCGCGCGGTAATGGACTCTACAATGTCTTTGCTACGTGCGAGCATCCGTCCTTGATTTACAGTTCAGAAGGACGATTGGTCTACTCTGCCGTCACGGCCGAAAAGGCCACCACAGTCTGCCCATTCGACTCGGAAGCATACCCCAACTCCGTCGCAATCGCCAATTCGGACGATCTACGCATCGCACTTGTTGATACGGAACGAACAACCCATGTACAGACGCTAAAGGTCGACGAGACTGTACGACGGATAGCGTACTCGCCTAGTCTCAAGGCATTTGGTCTCGGTACCATAAAACGCTTACTCAAAGGTGGCGAAGAGATACTTCTTAGTCATTTCAAACTCGTCGACGAAATACAATTCAAAGAGTTGGACACGTGGCCATTGAAGGAAGAAGAGTTGGTCGAGTCAGTCATCCGCTGTGAGCTACCCGACGGCTCAGGCGACCTCGCTGAGCGCTTCGTTATCGGTACTGCATATTTGGACGACCAAGGTGCCGTCGCCGAGCGAGGCCGCATACTCATACTCGAAGTCACGGCTGATCGACAGCTCAAGCTCATAACCGAACTGGCGGTCAAGGGTGGGTGTAGATGTCTTGCTGTCTGCCATGGCAAGATCGTAGCTGCGCTGATAAAGACCATCGTCATCTACGATGTAGAGTACCGCACGGAAAGCAGTCCCGAGCTTGTCAAGCTGGCCTCCTTCCGATGCTCAACCGCACCCATAGACGTTACAGTCAATGGGTCGCTGATAGCCATCGCGGACCTCATGAAGTCGCTCGTGGTCGTACAATACACGCGCGGTGAAGCGGGTCTTTCAGACACGCTGACCGAAGTTGCGCGGCACTTCCAAACCACATGGGCGACTGCAGTGGCCGAAGTCGAGGAGAACACATACGTCGAGAGCGATGCGGAAGGCAACCTCGCGATTCTGTATCGCGACCCGAACGGCGTCACCGATGATGACAAGAGAAGGCTGAATGTCTCGTCTGAGATGCAACTTGGTGAAATGGTCAATAGGATACGGCCCATAGATGTAGCCACCGCGCCAGATGCCGTGGTCGTGCCGAAGGCTTTCATGGCAACAGTGAGTCTCCTTTCTTTCCTGCTGCCCATTCCACTCGCTAACACCATCGCAGGTCGAAGGCTCCATCTACCTCCTCGGCCTCATCGCGCCAACCCATCAAAACCTTCTAATGACGCTACAGTCCAACCTTGCAGAACTCGTCAACGCTCTCGGCGACGTCCCCTTTGCCAAGTACCGCGCATTCAAGAACCAAGTCAGGGAGAGCGAGGAGCCCTTCCGGTTTGTCGATGGCGAGTTCGTAGAAAGATTCTTAGATGTGGACGAGGCGGTGCAGAAGAAGGCTGTTGAGGGACTGGGTGTGGGCGTGGAGGAGGTGAAGACGATGGTAGAAGCGCTAAGGAGGCTACATTAGGTGAGGTGACCTTTACTGTAACAATCCAAGGACATTCAAGAAGTTTTCAGCACGGCTCGCGCTCATGGTCAGCGCATCGTTACTGTTAGCAGCCGCTCAGCAGATCCGAAATGCGAGATGGACGTCTCAGGCCATGCTGACTTCCTCACCGCCCCATACAGCCAGCCACGAATCTAGGTGGCCTCACAAAAAGTCTCTATTGCAACGAGTAAGACTACCACATTTAACTCGAGCGCGAACGTCCCCCCCCCCCCCCCCACACATCGATAGATTCCCCCAGCCTATCCTGCCTCTTCTAAATCCCCCACCGCCCACCTCTAATACGGTGTCTCCCCACCCCAGTTCCCCGGCGGCGAATACCTCCCCACAATCCACGTGCTCCCATCACCGCTCCTTGCCTTCGCAACCGCCACGTTCGTCGTATTATGCCACATGCACTGCGCTGCGGCCACGTCAGCTGACCCTTGCTACGTCCGAAGCCCAATCGTGCTACGCGCAGAGTAGAGCAGAGTAGAGCAGGGCGGACTCACTGTAGTGCCCCCAAGCAGCGAAGTCGCCCTCGCCGATCTTCTCCCCGTGGTAGTTTGCCTCCTCGCCGAGCCAGGCGCGCACCGCGTCGGCGAGCGACGCATCGCCGGACGACATGAAGAGGTTCTCGCCTTGGCCTGCGGCGCGTTTCAGCACTCTTCCACATCGCTCTGCCGCACATCCCCGTCGACTGCCTAAGTCGTCTCGTCTCACCTCACACGCCGGGGAGAGAGCTGTGAAAGGGAATGGGGAAGAGCTGGGGGGGTAAACGCACCCTGCACGCCCGAGTGCTTGAAGTCCTGTGTATCCGCGAGGACTTGCGCGTAGCCCTGCGCGTCGTTGGCGAGGTTGCCGTCCCAGGTGAGCGGCTGCACGTTCTTCTGCGCGCGGGCATCGTTGTGCGCGGTGAGGGCTTCGCGCTGCTCGTCGTTGATGTCGGACATTTCGGGCTCGGTAGAATGCGTGACTGGGGAGTAAGTAGCACTGGTGGTACTGCTTGTGAAGGGTGTGAAAGATGGTATGGATAGAGGATGTGCTCTAGGTGGGCGCGGTGCGGCGAGGTACTTATGTGGTTGACGCTGGGCGTTTTCTTATGTGGTTTCTGAGGGTGGAAGGTGGCGGTGATGCTGAGATGTCAGCGCTGGGCCCGTTGTTGATCATGCTGGTGGTGTGGGTGTAAGACGGTGGGATGTAGTAGTTCAGCCGCGTCTTATGCGTGCTCCAGCGTGGCTCGGAGTGTGGCCTTAAGAGGGATATGCGGCTGTGTGTACAGTATCACGTGCTGTGCCATGGAGGCAAGTGCGTGTGTGGAAGAGGTGAAGCGGAGCTCGCATGTCGTGTCTTTTGTGTCATGGTAAGTGCGCTCTGAGTCCTAGAAATGACACTAGAGCTTTCATGTCGACATCGACGAAGCTCAGAATACCATGTTGTCCTGGTGGTATCGTATCGAATTCATAGCAACACATGTAGGATAGATATAGTTCCTCCGTCCTCTGGAACCGATTCCCCAGCAGGGACAACGCCGTCTCAACGAGACTTGGACCGCTGACAATGTCCTCTTTTCCATATAGTATACACTCATGCCTATGACTCCTCGCACGCACACACCTAACCTAAAACCTGGGCCGCCTTGTAAAACTGGTAAATCGCAAGGCCACTACCCGTCATCCACAAGACGCTCCTAATGAAGCTCTTGGAGTGGTCCGCGATCTGAATGTAGGCCACGTTGTATGCCGCCCTGACCGCAAACCACGCACCAATAAACGTCGCGAGGCCGGTGGGATCGAGGCTACCCGTGCCGCCAATCTTGATGCTGGGCGACAGACGCTCGGCGAGGATGGACGCAAGCACCGCGGCCGCGAAGAGCGGGAGCTGCTCGAGGTTGTTGTTCTGCGCGTTCTCGGCGCGCTGGTAGGCGGAGAAGACGGCGTCGGGCACCTTGCCCTGGACATTCGCGGGCGACAGCGAAGCCTTAGGGTTCGAGTTGTTGACTTTGTAGCCGGCGGACTTGAGGATGCTCATGGCGTAGGCGTGGGGCACGACGCTGAAGACGTAGTAGGCCGGGATGGCTAGGAGGGGGTAGTTGAGCCCCGTAGCAGTGAAGCCTGAGGACATGGCTGCAGTTCGATGGAGTTGGTTTGGCGGAGCGCGGTGTGACTTGACGGAAGGGAGGATGCACGATCAATTTGATCGAAAAGCGATGGATTGGGGTATGAAGGAGGATGCGGGAAGGGGCGAGCGTGTTTTAAGTTTATAGAAGCGCCTCTGTTCGCGTTGGAACGCGCATATAGTCGCCATGACGTAGTAAACAATCCGCGCCCATCGCCAATCAACACCATTAACGTGGAACTTTAGCACGGCAGGCTAAATTACCCGCTCAACGATGGTGACGATGTCTGAGCTTTGGTGTGTATTTGTCACGATGTGCAACTTGTCCGAAGCCGAGGCCGAGTTGCGAGAACAACTTAGGAGGATGTCTGTGCGAGCAGATGTTCCTGAAGGCATACAGCACTAGACCAAAGTCTTAGTAGCATCCGTATTTCAGTCTCTGAGTTGAAAAGCTCTACTCCGATGCGGGAATTCCACCCGCGAGCTGGCTGGCTACAGTACTGGGATGCGGGGGTGGTTCCCGCATCGAAGGGTTCACGTTGTAATTGAGTCGGCACTCGTGTGCAATATTAGGGCGCAGTCTCACTCGCAGAGACCTCAGTATCACATTTTGCATTGTTCTCAATTGATTAAACAGAAACACATCATACAGGCCAAGCGCCCACTCGTATCGACTCCCAAGCGCCAATGCTCAATGATGAACGCCGCCAAAAGAATGCAGAACCACGTACACACCCGTCCTAACTCAACGCCCCCCACGGGAATGAGACACCATCATCACAGCTCTTCTTCCCCTGGTGCGGATCTTCCGCGCACCTCTCTACGGCTTCTGCACTTTGTGATCGCCCTTAATGACCTCGGCGTAGGTTGGGGGAGGCGCCTGCTCAGAACTGCCCTCTCCAGCGCCGACCTCCTGACCCGCGACACCCTGCTGTGTTTGTGCGTTCTTCTGCTTGTTCGGCTGAGGGAACGCATTCGTGGTACCCGTCTGCTGTCCCGGAAACTGTCCCGCGTTCGGCTGGCTTCCCACGGTGCCATAGTTCATCTGTCCGCCCTGCGGTGCTGGTCCGCCATGCGACACGTAGTAGTACGTTGCTATCCGGGAGCCGTCTTGGCGCTCGTGGTCGGGCACATGTTCGTATGTGTGCTCCGGGTTGTTAAGGATAACGTACCAGGCATGAATCATGCCAGGGAGGACGCCGAGGCAGCAGAGTGCGAGGTTGATGATAGAGTCAGCACTGCAGATGCCCTTCTTGACCCAGACTGTTTGTACGGTTAGCAGCGAACTGAAGAGCGTTGCGCAGCTAGGAGCTGCTGGTGCCTGGCACTCACCTCCGATTGGCGGGAAGAGAAAGGAAAGAAACATCAGGAAGCAATCGGTGCCGCACATGTTGAGCGACTGTGTAGTGGTCTGATTGGGTTTTGCGGGTGTGTGTCGACAACGGGCGGTTGCGTACGCGTGAAGTGGAGTGACAAGGCGGCGGCGGCGGCGGCGATATTGCAGGTCACTTGAGCAGGCAGAGGCACGGGAAGCTGCAATGACGCATGCTGTGGCGGGGTGGCTGTGCTATTTTAGCGCCCGTTCAGGTTGAGGACCCACGCGCTCTTTTGGAGTCCACGCGTGACCGGACGACGGTCAGTGAGCACTGAGATCTAACGTTAGGCATTGAACCACACGGACGAGCAGGGTCCGGCCAAAGAGTTAATTCAGGGGAAGATAGTAATTTCGTCCATATCCACCTTGGCATGTATCCGAATCCTCTGTTGTTCCACACCCAGGAGGAGTGGTACAGTACCGGAACCATTGGTTTGCATTGTGGCAGTACGCCAGTGAAAGACTGTAAGCGGCCGATGTAAATTAAATCATCTTATGGATTTTTTCGTCCATTCCGAGGCTAGTAGATATGTACCCATGGATAATCAACAACTCCATTTTCGATTGACTTCGGACTGTCATCCCACCAAGCAAACCCGCCGAAGAAAAGAATCCATCAACAGCGTCCACAAGTTTTGTGAATCTCGGTTAAGAAACGATCAATAATACAAACGAGCGGGCTGCTTAGTAGCAGATACAATACAATACGAGGCCGCAATAAAATTATGTAGTCGCTAAGAAAAGGAAACCGGCCTCCGTGCCTTCTTGGTGATTGGAGCAACGCCAAGACGCCATGTAATGCTGTGCATCGAGAAATTTGATTAAGAGACTGTACAAGACGGCATCAATGATTGGAAGAGAAAATAGATGCGACTGCGAGTACAGTCAGGGTATCATCGTGGAAATTGGGGCGCAGGGCGAAGCTCTCATCAGTCGGACGACTTGGGCCCGTCCTCCTTCAGCTTAGGATCGCCGGCAAAGGGTCCGACATTGAAGTTGGGTGTCGTTTCCTTGTTCTGACTCGGGGGTCCGCGGTACTCGGATGGATCAGGTGCGAGTATGGGATCGGTCGATTTGGTGTCTGGGTGGACTTCGACACCCTCTTGTGCCTCCAAATCCGACTTACTACGTTCGCGAGAAAATTTCAAAGAGTCGTTGTCACCGGCTGGACGATCAATGGGTGACCAACCAGCCACACTGCCCGCAACAATACCCGCCATGACAGCGGCTGGACCGAAAGCGGAATTTGATCGCGACCTTCCGCGACGGCGACTCCGTGAATCGGGAGTCGGTGGTGCAGGCGAGCCCTCGTTTTCCATGTGCGAACCATTGTTGGGTGTACCTGGTAGTGACTGACTGGACCTGGAACGAGTGAAAATCTCGCGGGGATGCTCAATTTTGAACTTGAGGTTGCTGAGGCGCCCACCGCGAATCTTCTTGATGAATGCGAGCTCTTCACGAATCTCAAGAAGGCCTTGGTTCCACTGAAATTCGTCCGAAACAACCACTTCTGGCGTGCGCTTGCGCTTGAAGAATGAGGGAATGCATCGCGCGATCAGCTCGTCCGGAATGAGTCGTACTATGACACCCACGACCAGCGAGAGAGCACCCAAGACAATCGAGTACGCCCACTGAGCACTGTTGATCCTCACAACTGAAAATGCACGACCACCGACAAATACGATCATAGTCTGACCACCGATCATGATGGCCAAGATACCGATGAAAAACCAGTTATGCGTGATACCCTCAAAAACGTTGAAGCGGTTGTCCAAGCGGCGATTATTCAGGGAGTTAAAGATTTGCATCCAGACGAAAGTGTTGAAGACCAGTGTAGGCATGCGTTCCTTCTCCTCCGGAGTGTCGTACGAAAGGATCTTCTCTCCAGCGAAGTATAGAATCAACGTGACCACCAATTGGTAGATTGCCTGTCCGATGATCATCTTCCACATGTTCAGAGTAATGAGAGGCGCGGACTTCGGATCGGGCTTGCGGTTGAGAAGGCTACGGGTGGGTGGATCGGTCGCAAGGGCCAGAGCGGCGAAAGTGTCCATGATGAGATTGACCCAAAGCAGCTGTACAGCAGTGAGTACTGATGTTTCATCATCGCTCGACACGGCCGAAATGAAGGTGAGGAGAACAGCAGTGATGTTGACAGTGATCTGGAACTGCAGAAACTTCTTGACTGCATCGTTAACAGCTCGGCCCCAGAGGAGTGCTTTGACGATCGATGCGAAGTTGTCGTCCATAAGAATGATGGCGGAAGCCTCTTTGGCGACTTCAGTTCCTGCAATACCCATAGAGAAACCGACATCTGCAGTCTTCAAGGCTGGTGCGTCGTTTGTTCCGTCACCAGTAACTGCGACGGTCTCGCCTAGCTCCTTGAGCCGCTTTACAAGCTTACGTTTGTCGTCCGGACTAGAACGAGCAAGAACACAGAGCTTCGGGATCGCTGCATCCATGTCCCGTTTCGAGAGTTTCCTGAATGTGGGACCTTCCATGACGAGACCACCAGGTACCAGAATGCCGCAGTCTTCAGCGATCGCCTTGGCAGTCAGAACGTTGTCACCAGTGACCATGCGCACATATACACCGGCACCCTGGCAATCTTTGACAGCTTCGCGCACGCCATCTCGTAGGGGGTCCTGGATACCGACGATGGCTAGGAATGTCATCTTCTTGAACACATCTTCAAAAACTGCTCGAGAAGCATCGTCGTCGTGCTTGCGTGCATCGCGAGGGGGCCAGCTCTCAAAGTCGCGGTAGACAAGCCCGATGGTTCGCAATGACCGAGATGCGTACGTGTTGATGATTTGCTCGAGGGTTTCGCTGTTATCGTCCGACAAGGGCCTCTCGCTTACTTCCTTAGTGGCCTCAGAGATGATGGTGTCGCATTTGGCGAGCAAGATTTCAGAAGCACCCTTGACGTAAAGCCTGTAGCGACCGTCTGCCAGTTTAGCAACAGCTCCAGAGCATTTGATGGCAGAGTCAAAAGGAACGACCTGGACAATGTTCGCGTTGGATCGTTCTGTCGAAAGAGAACCCATGCCGAGATGATCGCGAGCAAAACCGAGGAGAGCAGTTTCGGTCTTGGACCCAATGAAAGGATCAGCGCCACCCTCGGCACCTTCGAAAGCGGTCGTGTTCTGAACAATAGATTGCAGCAGCAAATCCTTCACTTCCTTGCTGAGGTTAGAAACAAATTCTGAAGGCGTAACATCATCGAGGTTCTCGATAGGCGTTTCAAGACTGTGTTTTCCTTTGGTACCGTCGTCGATAGGCTTTGTTGAGGTTGACGCCTGCATCTTCCTATCTCCGAAGCGAAGAGCCGTGCCCAGCGTACCTGATACAACGGTCATCTTGTTTTGAGTCAAGGTACCAGTCTTGTCGGAACAAATGGTCGTAGCATTACCCATAGTCTCGCAGGAGCGCAACACTCGTACAAGGTTGTTCTCCTTGAGCATGCGAGTTGTAGCGAAAGCAAGAGCAAGCGTGACGGCAAGAGGAAGGCCTTCGGGGACCGCCACGACAACAACGGTGATAGCGACAATCAAAATATTCAAGAAGTTCTGTCCCTTTTGAGCTGCATTATCGTTGCTGGTCCGGAGGTGGACGAGAAATTTGATGAAAAGAACAACAAACAAGAGGAGAGCAGATGCGCCGCCGAGTTTTGCAATGTAGGTCGCGAGCGTGTTGAGCTTTGATTGCAAAGGCGTGACCTCGCTTTCTTCGCGCAAAGACATCATCGTTTTGCCGTAGCTCGAGTGAATTCCAGTAGCAGTAACCATGAAAGTACCTACACCCTCTGAAACTTTGGCGCCTGAAAGGATGAAGGGATCGATCTTCTTCGTTGGTTCGTGATTCTCGATAGCTCGGAAGGCATCGTCAGCCGGGGTCTTTCTCAGAAGATCAGATTCGCCGGTAGCAGACGACTCGTCGCATTTGAGACCAGAACCTTGAATCAAAATACCATCGACAGGTACCATGTCACCGGGCTCAAGGTTAACCACATCACCAACCAAGATGTCGTACACAGATATTTCGCGTAGTTTTCCGGATCGGATGGCCTTGACGTAGCGGTCTTCCTTCTTCTTGTTCAGCTTGACAAACTGTCGCTCCTTCTGCCAATCATTGGCAGCGCCGACAACGACAACAATGACAATCGCGACGATAATGGCGACACCTTCGACCCACTCGACCTTGGCCTCGCCAGGCTCGTGCTTGACGCCGAAAGTCTGGTAGAGACCGAGAGACAATGAGATTGCGGCAGCAATGGTAAGAAGAATCAACACCTTGTCGTTGTAAGCTATCCAGGCCAATTGGAGAATACTTTTCGGTTTCCGTTCGGGCAACCGATTGTCGCTATAAACCCGTTTCCGGTCGGCAAACGCGTCTTTCCCAGGCTCTCCAGCAGTGTTGGTCCGTTGGGGTACGTTGGATGGCGTGGCTTTCGGTGCAAGTGTAGAGCCTTGTGTGGTCGCTTCTTCAAACGAGATGGTGCCTTGAACGTGCACCTCGTCGACACTTAGCCCGGATTTTCGATCTGACTGGAGACCCTTCTCGAGTCCTTCAAGACCACCTAATGCGTAGAAGGCCGCCAAGCTTTTAGGGTTGTAGAGTTTCCCCAGCTGACCTGGCGAATAGGCGAAGGGGTTGTTTTCGACTTCAAAGTCGGCTTCGGTCCCTGGGTCAGGACGAAGCGCATCCTTGTCGTCAATTACGCCATTGGTGTTGTTTCCGCCGTGCACAGTCTCCCCTTGCGAAGAGGCAATGTACGTGCCGCTGGACGTGGACTCCCCGTTCTCGGTATCGAAGGAGTTCCCACGCGAGCGTCCTGGGACAGAGAGAAAGGCTTGCGATGAGGTTCCCCAGCCGGCAGGCGAAGAGATGTTGTGAGGGCTGGTCGGTCTACTCTCGCCGCTCTTGCGACTCTCGAAGGAATTAGTGGCACGAAGCTCAGTGGTCGGGTGCTTCGAGGTGCTCGGGGAGATGTCTCCTCCAGTTTCATGGTGTTGTGATGAGGATGAGCGGTTGTCCTGCAGGTCGCCCAATGGAACAGAGTCTCCCATGGCAGCGTCGTTGGGGTTGACAGCCGAAGTGTCGATGGTAATGGTGGGAGCCCTCTGTCGTCTAGGACCTGGTGAGGGCGTGTTACGCGCCTCCACATCTTTATCAGCCATGGTGGACGCCTTGCTGTGGCAGGGGCCGCGTATTGGGGCTGTACTGGGGTGAGGTGGGCTATGCTGGCCAAACGATGGGTGCTGAAGAATATGCTGGGGCGTCTCGCCGGTGTGATGGTCGGTCAAGCATGCGGTTGGGTGCGCAACTTGATAAAGGCGCGGAAGGACGAGCGGAAGAGGCGAGAAACGAGGCTGAGTCTCTCTTGGAAGTATCGCGGCTTCCTCGACGGTTGGGAAGAGGTGCTCTGGTCTGAGCGAGGAAGGTTGGGGTTAGCTGAGGGCGAATTGGCAGCGGGCGCTCGCGGGCGGGTCTGGGGTGTCTACACAGCCCCGTTGTACTCACCTGGGCGCCTGTTATTGTTGTTGGAGCAGGCCCGATGAGCTATCGGTATAAAGCGACCCACGCCTGCCGTCTGGGCGCTTGCGTAGTGGATGGCAAAAGGTGTTTGGGGCCCACGTGAAGCTCCCAGCACAGCTGAATGCGGCTTGCCTCGGGGGATGCTGCGGCGGAGGAGGTGAGTCTATGACGGCGGACAGGCAGTGTAGCTATGTGCACATGCTAGAGGGCGACGAAGGTCACGACAACGACACGGACGCCGGGCGCGCACGAGGGAAGCAGTGGCGATCAGCAGGGCCGTGGACAGCCCAGATATCGACTGCGAGGGACAAGACGAGGGCGAGGAGCAGCCTGCAGCACTCGTCGCCAGCCCAAGCGCCTGCCTTCGCTGGGTGCGAAGTGTCGAGGTGTGCACTGCCCCAAAGGCCCAACCGCAAGCAGGCTAGCGGCGCTGGGACGCCGTCTTGGGTTAGCTTGGCTGCGGCGGCTGCGCGACTCCGCTACACATCGAGGCCTGACACCGGCCCTTTAGCCTCGAATCGCAGCGTTTCACTTGCGCTCTGCCGCTGCGCGTTCCCCACACTCCCGCTGCTGCTGCACCTGCTGCGATGTGGTGCGAGACGCGGCCGGCCATGTGGCCGCGGCAGCGCGCGCGACGACGGGACGGCCGCCCAGCGACATCTCGGCTGTCCGTCTCTTCTGGGAGGCGTCGAGATGAGGCCAAGCGTATGCAGGAGCACACAGGCTCTTTGCGCGCGAGGCGGAAGCGCACGTATTGCAGCCAAGAGCCTGGGACGCCCCGAGCTCGGGCAGATGCGCAATTGACTGTTGGCCGCCCGCGCACTGCCGTGGCCACTTGGCTGCGAAACCACTCGACCCACCGTCCTGCAGCGATCTGACCTAGCCAGTAGCTCCCGGACGCTCCCATTCAAGCGTGACCTGCCACAGACAAGCCCGCCGCTGCCAATGCCCGCCAAGCGCGCGCACCTTGAAAACTTTGGGATGCCATGGCCCGTGGAAAACCTCTCCGCCGCGGGCGCTCCAGGGACAGCGAATCGGGCCATATCATTTGCGTCGGCGGCGCGTTTTCCCCTGCCCCTGTGCCCGCCAGCATTTCCACACAGCGCATCATGACTCCATCGGCGCCGCAGCACTGAAAACCACGCATTTGCCATGCCTTGGTATCGATGCATAGCCCCGAAGCTGGGCAGGCCAGCGGAGAGCGCCCAGTCCGTCGAACCTCGCGGAACCCGTTTGGGCGTACGTGGAGTGACCTTGCTGATGGTCAGTCCAGCGTCACGGCACGGAAAACGAGGTTGCACGCATTCCCGCCGTCCGCACCCCGCAGGCAAGCGCAGCCATGTCAGTCACTCCGCCGTAACTGTTGACGTCGCCGCTGCGCCAGGACGCTTGCCATGTCAACATCGCGTCACCAATCAATACGGCGCTCTTGGCAGGGACTGGACCTGTGCGTGTTACATCATCGCCGTGTCCTTGGTGGCAGCGGGCTGCACCACACGTCGTGCGTACAGCTGCAATGACGCATTGCTCTCACCAGCGTACGCTGACCGTAGTTGTAATCCTCACCAGCTACCCCGCCAACAAGCACGGTCTGCCCCCGCTGACCTACAGTCAAGCCTTCGTGCACGCCTTCATGCGGAAACACCACCACTCGTCCGCGCCTGCTGTTGTCTTGACCCAATCACCAACGAGCGCTAACCGGCCTGCATGGGTGGCCGCATCTTCACATCGTGACTTTGTGCAACAGCCTGCATTCATCCTCGTTCAGTCGTATCTACTCCAATGTTTGACGAGCAAGCATATGCTCTAGGCCAGAGCGCTGCCATCGCGGCCGACTGGTCAATGCTGACATTATCATGCAGGTGTGCACCCTGACACGGCCAAACTCAGAGTCGACCATTCATGCTTCGACCGTCGCTCTTTATCCACATGCCGCGATTGCTACTATTCTGACGTCGATACCAGCTCTGCGGTTGAGACATTCTGCACGGCCCATCCGCCCCCAGGGCGTTATTCTCGTCTGCCACACTTGTACCTGCATATTGGCCCCAAGGCCCCACGCTTGTCACCAAAAACAACTCGCGCGATCCGCGAAATACCCAAAATCCTCGGGCATTGTATTTGAGGCACGGCTACGTTCAATGCTTTCTGCCGCCAGCCACATGAGGCATTTTTTCATCTGGTATTCCCAGTTTGGGACATGGTACCATCATCCTAGATTGGCTAGGTTTGCGGAAGCGAACAGAACCGTTCTCTTGACATGCATACGGCGCATGGTCATCCTTCCGGCTGATGGGGCCAACTCACGTTGTTTGGAAAGTAGAGATTTGCTTTGCTATAATTATGAATAGACTCATGTAGATCCCTAGGACCAGGTTTTTTGGGCGTGCTGATAACGCAGTCGGGCGGCACAGTTCGCATCGATGGCGCGACCACCGATGAAGCGCTCGATCCCAGCGCTTATACTGCAGCGCGGCACAGTTCTCCAGACACCTTCCCAAAAATAAGACCGTGCTCCGCGTTGAACTGCCGCGGCACGATACGCTCTGGCAGGCAGGCGTGCTACTTGATCCATCACCACCATTTTCCCATAGGCCATGGCCTACATGACGGACCTATCACAGAGCAACTGCAGTTCCATCTCACCGATTGTGCGCTATTCATCGCGCAGGCAGCTGGGATGTTCGGTTTCCAGCCAGCCTCGCGTTTCTCCACCGACAAATGGAACGAAAAAGTGAAAGGAGTCGGCGAGCTGCGTTCGTATCAGATTGCGAGGATCCCACCTCTATAGAACTACGCCCATCTAACCATGCATCGGGTTTATCCCATCACAATTGCTTCGATCGGTTGTGCAGCCTCATGTAGGACCTATTTACACCCCACAGCCGAGAATCACAGACATATTTGATATTTATCGCTCGCCCAAGATCTCAAGTTGTCTAACAACTGAGCGTTGTATCATGATGCTAGTGAATCTGTGGTTTCAGCGAGCAAAAGAAACATGTGCGACATCCTCCTTTTCGTGCGCGCTTGCATCCCATGAGATGTGCAGCTTCGCTCTGGCTCAATGTCTACCTGGATGTCTATGCCTTTTGATTTCCGTAACACAGGAGCAACTATCTGTAATGCCTGAAGAACAAGGCATCACCTAACATCAGCCAGCAAGGCTGAAGGCATTGGCACGCCATTGGCAGGTACAGCCGCGCTGGACCGGTCAGTGCAGTAGATATGCACCTGCTTAGCATCTGAGGTAGCGTTGCCGCGGCTGAGACTGGTAGGGCTGAGGCGATCGGCAGGGGCGACGGCTTGGCTGGGTCCGGTGAAGGTGTGCCTGATATCCAAGGCACAAAGGTATCAGCGAGACTCTCGGGGCTGAGTGGAGGACTCACCAAGGACCGGTGAGACAGTATGTGGCGGAGAACTTGAGCTGAAGTGGCGCGGTTATCCTGGTGTTAGCATTGACTTCTGTTCAGGTTGTCCTTTGATATTGTGGAGATTCTCCTTGGTTTTTATTTCCCGCGAGAAACCTAGCGGTCCCGTTCGGGACAAAAACACAGTGCGTGATGTCTACTTGAACACCGTACTCTAAACGCCATGTACATCTCGGACATGTATTCCAAAGCCGTTGAAAGTCCGTACGTCGGTCACACGATTGATTGCATGTTTGATCAAAACTCATTTCTACGCGGCAAGCTTCTCCAGGCACATCGCCCTCCCCCCGATGGTTTCGTCCAGGCGAAAAAAAGGATGAACATCGCCCATGCAATTCAGTAACTCCATGTCTAGAGCATTGGAGAAGGGAAAGGTTGACAATACCATGTAGGCTACTAGAGACACATTACATCTTCCCAACACGTTTACCATACTTGCAACTACCCTAACTCTGGAATCTAACTACCGTAAATACAATGTATATCGGTGTTGCTTGTCAGGCCAGCACCTGAATGGCTCCACCATCACGGCAGTACAGCATCAATTACATATTCAGACAAAGCTCGCCTGCTCCTTGCTGGAATCATCAAAGCAACGCCGCCTCGGTAGGTCACAGAGCATAGACGGTACGGGTGTGATTAGAGGATTTCATTCCAGCCATCCATCACGCACGTCTGCTGAGGTTGATATGCTCCGTATAGATGAGGTACTGGGGTCAAGTTATCACGGTTCCAGTGGAGCGCTGTGGCACACCTGACGCTACCGCAGGCTACACACGGTAGTGTCTCTAGTCCCACTAAACCTATGATGTTTCGGCTTGGGGGCGTCCTTCGAGTCAACTATACATGGCAGGATCGAATAAAAGAGAGTGCTGCCCAACATGTCCAGGCGGCGTCACGAATGGCAACGCGAAAAGCAAATGGCTGCGTACTCTTGCTCGCGCAGGATCGGCACACTCCCGTTGGGAAAGACTTGAGACACTCGGCACTCAGTTGCACCATCTCAGCATTTCATTTCCCATGCGCAATCTGACTCTGCCGCAGAATAGGCAGACCGCGAGGCACAACACCCGTCCTCTCGCCCGAGCCTATCCTCCATGCCGCAAACGTACTCGCCCGCTAAAACGCCATGCCATGGTATTGGCAAAAGAAAAACTCAAGACACCGCTCACTCTGCCGTGACGTGGCCCAAGACGCACGCATGAGCGATATACACGGCTTCGGCGGTACTCGCCTCGTCTAAATCGCCGCTTTGCATCGCAACCCTCAACCTCGCCTTGTCAAGTCCCGCCGTGCCGGGCCAAGCAGCGCGCAACACAGCATGGCACAAACTACACAGCCCTTCCGCACGCATCCTGTTCCATTGTGCCCGAGACAACGGCAGTTCACGATTCCTCGCCCTCCGCATCGCTGCTCGCATCACCACCCTTCTTGGGCTTGAGATTGGGCAGTCTGATCGTTAGCACCAATATATTGACCACGACGAATACGGCAATGGCCGAGATGAAGGTGACGCGCAGACTGCGGCCGTATGCGTCGATTACTGTGGTGCGGAAGCGTTAGCGAGGGGGCTGTGTAGAGGTGGGTCCGGAAGCGGGGCGATCCGCGAGAGGACGGTGTACGCTGTAGATGGTGGGTGGTACAGAAACGGTCGCGGTGGGAGGACCGGGCTGGGGGCCTGGGAGACGTACCTTGGTGTTGGTGCTTTGGGTCGAGGTCGAGGATGGAGCGGACGGATTTGCGGACTGTGAGGATGATCTGCGTGAATGGTTAGTATCTTCACCGCATCGCAAAAGCGAGCATCAAATATGAAGGAAGAGCTCGGAATTGGAATACCCACGTCTTCTTTGTGCTTGCCGGTAACGAGAGCGTTGAGGTACGCCGTAAGCGCATTCTGCAGGACCAGACTACTCAACGCGACACCCATCACGGTACCGAGCTGCCTCCAAAGGATCAATGTACTCGTCATCACCGCCTGATCCTCCTGTGTACTCGTGGCAAGTACGCCTACCATTGTGGCTGGGTAGCTGAGTCCTTGTCCCAGACTCGGAGGCACGAGGAACAGCGTCGCAAGCCAGGTCGGCATATCATCCCACATCACAGATAGCAGCAAGCCACCAAGGAGCATGCTGAGCGACCCAACAACAATAAGCCACGTCATGCGTCCTGTGGCAGTCATGATGAAGCCCGACGATACGCCGCAAATCATGAGAGCAAGTGAAGGCCCGGCGAGCCGGAAACCAGACAGTGAAGCGGTTTCGAGCTTCACGGCTTGGAAGTAGAGCGGTGCGTTAAAGATGATGGCGTTGATTCCAATGTTGGCGAGGAAGTTGTTGAAGACGAGGGAGCCTCTGGGGCGAGAGAAGAGGAGGTATAAAGGCATGACTGGCTTTGCAGCCTTATGTTCCACGCGAAGCAGGACTGCACCTGACACTACGGCGACCACAAGCGAAATGATGACGAAAGGGTGATCCCATGGGAATACATTACCTCCTAGGTTGAGGCCCGCAATGAGAAAAGCGACAGAGCCGGTCAGGAGGACCGAACCTGCAATGTCGAAACCTCTGATCGCGTCTCTGAAGCCCTGGCCGGACCGCTGAGCTAGGTTCGGTCCAAGAGTAGAAGGAGTGGTCAAGTATCCATTGATGAAGATGGCGACGAAGAAGGGGATTTGGATGGCAAAGGTAAGCCTCCATCCCAGCTTGTCGCAGAGGAATCCCCCAAAGGCAGCACCGAGGGTGGAACCACTTCCATAAAATAGATTGATGTACGCTTGGTAAGTACTCCGCACCTGGATGCTGACGAGATCATTGATGATGATGTTGCCCATGGAGAGGACCGCTGCGGCACCGATACCGCAGAAAGCTCTGGCCGCGATGAAGCTTCCGATACTCTGTGCGAGGGCACACCATCCTGTCGTGATTGCAAGAAACGCTACCCCGGAAAGGTATAGTAAACGTCTTCCAAATGTATCGGACAGTCTGCCAAAAAGAGGCTGTAGAGATGTTGACGTTAGCAAAAATGCTGTCGATAGCCACGACGCTGAATTGGAGGCATTGAAGTATGACGTTATCACTGGATGGCTTGACGCCATGAGCGTAGAGTCGAACATTGCAATCTACTTCGAGTTAGAATGCCAGCACTCACATAAGTTGAAACATCAAGTTGGGAGTCAGAACTCACAAAATAGCCTGCAAATACACCGCCAATGATGCATCGGAATTTGGTCCTGGACAGGCCTGCGAGAAGACCATCTTCTCCAAATGCGCCAGGTTCGTCTGGCTGCTCTGGAGAAACTTCCTGATCAGGGGCGAGCCAATGGCTACTCGAATAGCTTCTCTGTTTGCCCAATGCAGGAAATTGGGGTGCCGTGAGAGCACCTTGCGCTACCTCTGCATCTTGGATGTCATCCTCGTAGATGGCTGATTCGCTGGGTCGGTCCGAAGATTGGGGACGCAGCAGCGGTGTCCGCTCTGAGGCGTTACGGTGGCCTTGCATTAACAGAAATAAGGAATCAACACCGGTTCGCCAGGCATAGACCACGAACAAAGTTATTAGAGCACGAGGGGGCAGGTAGAAGATCGGTCATCGTCACTCCGAAAGCACTCCGAGTTTGTCTGACAAAGCGGCGGTTATCCGCGGACTAGCCGCTTCCACGTTAGGACGTTCAGACTCGCCGCTTATCGCATTGCATCGCAACTCGACAGCGGAACAACACTTCAAACCCAACTCAGTCTTCACAAGGGTCAGAGATGAAGCCCCCGCTGCGGATAGCTATTCTGGAGGCTGACACCCCCCCGGATGACATTGTCGCAAGATACGGGAAATATGGCAAGGTCTTCCGCACCCTGCTTGAGACGGCAGCGGACGAGCTAGGCGAGCCGGGGTTCTCAAAAGACAGCCTGGAGTTGAGCGCATATGATGTAGTGACTGAGCAGAAGTATCCTGAGCTCGACAGTATTGATGCGGTCTTGATTAGCGGATCTAGTAGGTGTCTGGCCGGAGTTAATCAACCTTTACTCACAAGAAGCAGAGCACAACTCCTTCGACAACGACCCTTGGATCTTGAAACTTGTCGAGTTCACCGAGAAGTTGCTTAAACAAGATCGCGTTCGGATTATTGGCGTGTGCTTTGGCCACCAGATCATTGGACGAGCGGCAGGAGTCAAGGTCGGACGAAGTGAGGGGGGATGGGAGGTTTCAGTTTTGCCAGTCGAGTTGACCGAAAAGGGCAAAGAAATCTTCAAGCAGGACACTCTTGTACGGTTATCCTCCCTTTTTACTTGGCTCATACTAACAGTTTTCAGAGCATCCACCAAATGCACCGGGACGTGGTCTTCGAATACCCAGAAGGCGTCGAGCCCCTTGGCGGATCTCCTAGATGTCTTGTGCAAGGCATGTACAGGAAAGGGAGATTCATTTCTGTCCAAGGACACCCTGAATTCACCGAGGCCATCGTGAGCTATCTTGTCACCATGCGCAACAAGCAAGGCATTTTCAACACGGAAGAGGCAAAGGACGCGCTGGACAGAGTCGGGCACCACCACGACGGAGTTCCGATTGCGAAGGCGTTTCTCAGATTCTTGCTTGAAGACTAGAGTAGAGCCAATTCAGGTCCGGCACTAAGTTGCATAACTAAGTTGCATACCTTTCAGCCTTTGCATGTGAGAAAACGTGGTGGCGTGGTGAAGAATGCAGACCCCCACGCTGTCAAACGGGTCCATTGCCGCATTGGACGCGGGAAGAAATTTAGGGCCATGAGGTCATCGCAGACGTGATTCCAGCAGTCGGCAGATGTCGACGACGCAGGCGTGGTGTGGGAAGCAGAAATAGACCTGGCATGCGCTTCACGTCCAATACGAGAAGTGCACAGGGACACGAAATGGTCGCATGTGCCAATTGTTGAGTGGCGTGCTGAGTGAGCCCTTGGCTGGTGTACGCAGGTTCGCATCCAATTAACTAAGCTGAAACCAGCATCCGCCGCCGCGTACACCCCCAAGAACCCTCGTACTGTGTTCTGTGCAACCCGCCCAACGATACACTCCTGCTTGCACGTCGCTCACTAGCAGTCGCTGCCAGTTCGCGCTATCCTGCCCTGCAGTATCCGCGTTGTCGCACCCGCTTCCGACCCTCGAGTCCCCCTTATCCTGCGCGCTCTGAATTCGATGCCGCTTGATCGGTAGTCTCTGGCCTCGCCGTCTCCAATGGGCAAATGTGAGGGTTCCTTCCCTAGGACATATCCGTGGGCCCCATATGTACCCAGGCTGACAGCAGCGTAGGGAATTACGGAGTGGTCCTGGACGCGGGCTCTTCGGGCACGCGCGTCCACATCTACAGGTGGCTGAAGAGCGACAAGGCGCGCAAGAACGACGCCGACCTGCACAAGCTGCCCGAAGTCTCGACTGACAAGAAATGGACCAAGAAGATCCACCCAGGCATCTCGACATTCGGCACCCACCCGCACGACGTCGGTCCCGATCACCTCGACAAGCTGTTCATGCATGCGCTCAAATACGTTCCGAAAGATGAAGTCGCGAATACGCCCCTCTTCCTCCTCGCGACCGCCGGGATGCGCATACTGCCTGATTTGCAAAGGAAATCAGTGCTTGACGAGGTGTGCGCCTACGCCAAGAAGTCGACACAGTTTCAGCTGCCGGACTGCGGTCTGCATGTCCAGGTCATCCCGGGAGAGACGGAGGGCTTGTACGGCTGGATAGCCGCAAATTATCTGCTGGGAGGCTTTGATGACCCGGCAGGGCACGACCATGGGAAGAACCACCACACGTACGGTTTCTTGGACATGGGAGGAGCGTCGGCGCAGATTGCCTTTGCCCCCAATGCGACTGAAGCCGAACGACACGCCAACGATTTGACGCTGTTACGACTACGGACCTTGGACGGAGCGGCCCTCGAATACAAGGTGTTTGTGACAACATGGCTGGGATTTGGTGTCAACCAGGCTAGGCAGAGATATGTCATGCAACTGCTGGAATCGAGTACCGACGCGGAAGAGTACCCCGACCCGTGCTTGCCCGCCGACGCTGCAATAATGGTCAGCGACGATGGCAAGGTTATTGAGTCTGGTTCTAGTAGCAAGGGCTACAAGCTGGTCGGCACAGGCGTCTTCTCAGAATGCCTGACCAAGTCATTCCCACTGCTCGAGAAGGAGAAGCAGTGCTTGGACGCCCCCTGCCTCATCAACGGCCAGCACACCCCAGCTATCGATTTCGACGTAAACCATTTCGTCGGTGTATCCGAGTACTACCACACGACGCACGAAATCTTTAAGATGGCGGCCAAGGACGACGAGGAATACGACTTCAAGAACTACCAAAAAGCCGTCGACAACTTCTGTAGCAAGAGCTGGAAAGACATAGAGAAGGGCATCAAGAACAAGACCTGGGGCAAAGTCGACGAGCAAACCGCACAAGAAGTATGCTTCAAGTCCTCCTGGCTCATCAACGTCCTGCACGACGGCATCGGCGTCCCGCGCGTCGGTCTCGAGGACCTCAACAAGAATGTTACAAAGGTCAAAGTCGGAGGCAAGCACGGGTCGAAGAAGGGCTTCATCAACCCCTTCCAGGCCGTCAACAAGATCAATGACGTGGAGGTCAGCTGGACACTTGGCAAGATGGTCCTTTATGCCGCCAGCGAAGTGCCGCCCAATGCGACGGACGCTCTAGCTGTAGGCTTCGGCGCAAACGTCCCCGGCATCCCTTCGGATTTCCAAGTCCCGGGCGGCTCATACGTGCCGGTAAGCCAGGCAGAGGCAGAATGGCACGGCATCTTCTCAGAAGATGCCCACCGTATTCCCGGTTTCATGATCTTCACCCTCATCGTGATCATGATCTGCTACTTCACGTGCTGCAACCGCGAGCGCAAGCAAAGCTTCCGCCAGAAGCTTGGCGAACTCCTCAGCGGAGGCCGCGCGCTGAACCGGCATTCAGGCCCAGGCTCAAGCGTACAGCGACGTCCGCGGCGCTCGTTTTTCCCTGGAAAACTGTTCAGTCGAGGCAACAACACACAGTCCTATGAGCGCGTCATGGAAGACGGCGAAGGCGCGAACGACTTCGAGCTCGGCTCGTTCATCTCGGACGACGAGGAGCACTCTGATTCCAGCGAAGGGTCTGCCCGCTTTGGCAGGACGTCGGGCTGGGCGACGCCACAGTTCAAGCCGGACACTGGGACGCCGACGTTCGACTCGCCGTCGCGAGCTGACATTGTGGCGCAGGGTTCGGGACTGGGACTCGCGCCGCCCGGTGTGTTTGCAAATGCCATCGATCGAGGGGGTTTGATGAGCCGAACGGATAGTAGGGAGCGGATGGCGCGGAGCAGAGCGACGAGTCCGAAGCGCGCAAAGTTTGGGACTACCGATGCGTAACGAGTGCTTCTTTATCTGGCGTATGGGACTTGCAACTTCAGAGGGCATACCTGACCCTGCTTCTTTGAGCGATTTTGGGAAGGGTGGTTTACCTGTTAGAGGGTAGGGCGTTGGCTGTGGGCGATTGGCATGCGTGAAAAGACCGCTTGTATATATACGTCACGATCTGCATACGATTCATCCTCCATCTCTCCGGCTCTTCATTGGTGTCTTTGATGATACACGGCCACGCTCGAACATGTCTCTCGTGGGAATAATCATCCTGTTCAGTAAAGGCATGCATGGCTCTATAGAGTGAATGTCGGTACCGCACATACGGCAGCTCGCTTTTTCCGTCTATAGCTTGAGACTATGTTTGCTTGCTTCTGTTTCACATGGCCAAAGAGTCGTCTTTATCTGGTCTCTGCCCACAATTTTTTTTATTTTTTATTTTTTTTGTTTTTAACAACGAACTCCTGATGATGTCGAATATGTACACTTGACATTTTGATTACATGTAGACAACGCCTCCAAAGAGTACATACACCATATAAAACGATCAGGCTAGCTGTCCTACGCACCAACACGCGAAGCTATCCCTCACAAATCCCATCCATCCACACCTAGCTGCGTATCAAATCTCGATCCCAGTCACGCACCCTATGCACTCCCATCCCCACGCCCCCTACGCATACGTATCCTTACCCAGGCCCTTATTCCCAACCTCCTTCCCATCCAGCTCCCCCCGACTCTCCCACACCGGCATCTCGTGCACCTGGATCTGCATCTCGTCATCAGCCCTCCTCGGCGTCGCAGGCGGCGCTCCGTCCCCCTGATGACTCCCCCCACCCACCGACGTCCCGCCCATCGAATGGTCCCAGTGCGCGTACTTCTCCAGCGGCGCGGCGTCGCCCTCGAACGCAGGGTCGAGCTTGTACGCCGGTTCTTTGCGGGTGCTACGCCGGCGGCCCCACAAAATGCCCAGCCCGAGGAAGGCGAGGGCTGCAAGCGTGATGCCGATGCCGAGGCCTGCTTTTGCGCCGGTAGACAAGCCCGCAGAGGGCGGTGGTGCGGGTGTGGGTGTGGAGTTCGGGGAATGGGTGGAGGATGCCGCGGGTGTTGTGGAGTGTGGTGCGGATGTTGACGTGGACTGATCGGTGGATGAAGGGGATGCTTTCGTCGCGGAGGACGTTGGTTTGGACGATGCTGACGACGAGGAGGAAGGCGCGGTGTCGGTGAAGTTCTTGGGGTCGAAGGTGATGGGTAGGTACTCGATGCTCAGGCGGCCAGAGTCGTCGTTGCAGCAATCCTGCGTCATTCCGCAGCACCAGCGTTGCGACTCGTTTCCGGCAGCGCGGTTGCAGGGCGTGAGGAAGGGGTATTTGTCGGTCTATCTCACATCAACACTTGATCTCGAAATTGGCCTCTCAAACCTGAGTAATTACTTACACCACAAACATGCAAACACCCATCCTCACTCCAGTCCTGATTCGTACAGCTCGGCTTCGTCCACGCCGCGTCCGCTGGCGGACTCCCCTTCTTCGTGCCCACCTGGCACAGCCCGTTCGGCGCGCATATATCCGCGCCGTCCTTCCTGTTTGTCGCGCAGCAGATCGTTGACAGAGGGTTCGACGAGTCCTCAGAGCATGGCTGGTATTCTACGTTCTTGTCCAAGGTACCGTCTGGGAAGTAGCATCCTGCTCTTACATTACGCGCAAATAGGAGCAGCGAGGGGATTATTATGAAGTATCGCATCGTGAATATCGTCGCAACTGAGGAGGCAGCGCGGTCCTTGGCTGGCCTGGGGGGAGGTCTGCACGACGAGCAGGCCACTTGAAGAGTGATAACGCCAGTAAAGACCGGAGTCCGCAAGCCTACGGGGAAAGACGAGAGGACGGTGGCGAGCAAAGACGGGCGCAGGCGATACAGAGCATTCTCGCACGAGTTTGGCGACGTGCACCAATTGCATCAATTCTCGTACGGTTTCGGACGTTTATTCGAACGCCTAGCCATTCTAGGTCTGTCAGGTATAATCCCGCGCGTGGCATGCTTGGAGAGGCGCTACGCTAGGAACTCTGTAAGTTGTCTAGACTCATGGAGGAAATCTGAAACAAACGGGGGCTGATAAGCGGGACAGACGATCTACGCAAAGAGCCTTGCGCTCAGCCTTGGAGTTGCGTCCAACAACACCCAAAATATCAAGAGGACGGCAGAAATTGGTGACTACATAGAGGTCGTGAATCTTTGTCGATATTCTCCCTACCCTATAGTCGCGCTCAGAGCAAAGATACATGATGATGTTCATGCATCTCGCGCGAGAGGTCGTTTCCGACCTGCAGCTTTCGGTATGAACTAATGTACAATTCCGCGCGGGATCCCTTCCCGCTGACATCTACTTGGAGACGAGTATTGTTGGCCTTTCGTCCCAGGGGTGTAATTCCGCCAAGACAACTGCATATCAAGGTTCTGTGTTGCGCTTCGTTTATGTCCAGGGATTGCGAAAGGACGCCAACGACAGTCCGTAATGTAGGATCGCATGTGTGAGAATGAAGGGACTCGAGGTCGGTACTATCGATCGCTTGATCTCATTTCGTCAAGTTGATCGTAGTTTCGCGCGTAGTCCCGCAGTCGAGGGCCTTTAGCTACTCCAGATAAGGTTGAGCGCTAATCTGCCAATATGTGCCTGCCGTTGAACTTGCTGTCGTGGGTTGATGCTACTGACTTTATCGAAAATTCCATATGATTGAGCATCATCAAACCAAGTCTTCGATCTCGTCCTCTTCCTCTTCACCACTCCAATCGAGTTTCATGAGTAGGCGATCCACCCCTCCGATCTTCAACGGTTCATATTCCTTGTCACTGGCTGTGGCTTCTTTGCCTATCATGCCAGTCGCGCTAGTTCCTATGCGTTCAGAATCGATCTCTCGTAACCGTTCTACAAGGGCCTTCAGGTCGGAATCCAGGCGACGTCGGGAACGATCCAGCTCCAGTTTGACATCTTTCTCCTCCTGATGGTAGTTGTGCTTGTAATCTTCGAAGCCCTCATCTTCTTCTAGATCGAGATTCTGCTGTATGGATTGCAAACGTGTGACATATGCGACCAACTCGTCCACGTGGGTGAAGCAAGTGCGCAGAGCTGAGGTGAAAGCGTGGTCGGTGAGAAGAAGCGAGTAAGTGATCGAAGAGAGAAAGCGCCGGTGGGCGAGAGAAAGAGCCTCGGGATCGTGTTGTTCAGGGCCGTGTTCCGGTGGATCAGGGGTTTGCGATCCTCTAGACCCACTAGATAATTGTGGCTCTAGTCGTGATTCCATTCCAGGATTCTCAACCCAACGTAGAAAGTGCTTGAACGACTCCCGCACGACTTCACCTTGAAGGTACGCTTCGCCTTCTGACAAAAAGAAGATTGCTGCTGCACACGTAGCCCACACTTTCCGTAACTCCCGCGTGCGGGCATTGTTCCTCTCTCGTCGTCGTTTCAAAATAGCTTTGCCTTCGGGAGAATTGCTGTATTGGTACCCAGGTGGTGGCGGATACTCCCTTCGTATGGAGCTAATGCGCCAGAGTTGCGAGAGGTGCAGATGTGACCGGCGAAACGCTAAAAGATATGCGTTGATAGCTGAGTAGACCTCCATATCTGATTTGCTCATGAAGAGATCGAGTGGCGATTTCACGTTCATCGTCAGTGACGTCGGAACGGACAGAAGTAGATCATTAAAAGCAACATTGGATATCCGGGGGAGGATGTTTGAAGGATCTCTAGCCCTCCCTGGTGTTCCCGGGCGGTGGCTTGAGGAATCGCTAACAGTGAGGTGGACTATCTCAGAGGCAACATCCAAGATGTCATCCGTGTGGTCGTCTTCACCGCCCAATGTGGAAAGGACGGTAAAAGATCGTGCAAGCGTTTGAGTAATCTCGCCCTCTTTCAGTAAAATACCTTGGATCCCGCGCGAGGTCTTTGGGTTCATGGGTGCTTTATGGCGAGACTGCGTCTTCTCATCGGACTCTGCGATGAGAGTCATTGCAAATTCACCTCGCCCAAGAAGAAAGAATTGATGCAACACGGTCAAGATTTCGACTATTTTCTCCTGGGGCAACAAATGTTGCAACAGGTTTCGGGAAAGGGATAGACGAATGTTGGCCACGGCTTCAGATAGCTTGGCCGACAATATTGGTGCTTTGACCTCCGAGAGCTGTGCCACATGCGCGGGTACCAACTCCATCTCTGAAGCCCCAAAGGATCGTCCAGTCATCGACTTTGAGTTGGCTGGGAGCGACCGAATTTGATTCAGCGATTTGCCAACGAACAAGATGGAAGACGCAGTGTGCCGAGTGACAAACTTAGGCAATAGCTTGTGGTTTACGGTGAAGGAAAGATCCTCGTCGGACTCATCTGAAATAAAGAAGTCGGATGCCCCAAAGGCCGGCAAACGGCCATATATGAGCCAAGTGGAGAGCTGCCGCAACCAGGATGTTTCTGCAATGGCACTAAGATAGAGGGCTGCTTCCTCGATATCAGGGTACCCCGTCTGGGCTGCAGCACGCAGCCTATCGATGATCTCAGCACCCGATGCTGGCTTCGTGTCTTTCTGCTCGCTCCTTTTTGATGTCTCAGGCGCCGCTATGAAGTTGCTGATCGCCCAGAGCCACTCCAGTAGTCTTACCCACTGCGAGAATTCGCCGACGATGCCGGCGAGAGGAACGATGTTGTAAGCGCCGACAGTAGATGCATCTTGCTTCAAGATGCTGGCCTCGACGTCCAGGATCTTCTGCTGGAATCTTTCCAGATGGTGCGAAGAGATTGCCGTGGCTACCGCTCGGCACACGGTCGAAGGATGCGACGACGCGATCCAGGCAACATGGTCGCGGATTTGCCGATGGAGACGCGACAAATGGCCCAATGAAGAAAGCAATTCGGCTTCGGGGGGAGAAAGAAGGGCAATTGGCTTTGATGTCACGTGCGAGTGTCCTTGCTGGGGATCGAACAGCGCGGAGGGGTGCCCCGAGAGGGACAGGAGAATTTCGTGGAGCATGTTGGGCGCGACGGCGGTGAGGAATCGCCCCGGCGGGTATGGCTGCGGGGCGAGCCTTTCTGGAAGAGGTTGATGAGGACGCTGAGCAATTCAAAGCGGCACATCAGACTGACGGCGCATGGCTCGGGAGTCTAGAGACTTCCTGGGCACTGGTGTGGTGGAACGCGTCCTGGCGGAGCAAAGGTCCGCAAACAACCCCACCCAAACCCCGCGCTAAATCGAGAAGGTTCAGGGCCGCCCGCATTGGCCAATGAGGGCAGCGCTGTTCGAGCTGTGGATGACCGGCTGCAGCCAGGTCCAACAACATACCGCACCAACAACGTGGGCCGCCATATTGCATATTGACTGCTCGACAGTCCAGCCGCCAGCATGCAGCTCCTCGTCCACTCCTCCTCACCATGGCACACCGAGCCCTCCTGAGGCCGGTCCGGCTCGCGCCTTCCTCTGGCTTCGGCCGCACCTGCCGCATCGCCAGGCCATTCAGCACAGTCATCGACGCCCCCATCTCGGCTGCTGCTCAACAAGTCCCGCCGGCGGCACCCTCCAACGCCGGCAGCGTCTTCAGCGATGCTGTCAATGCCACGGGCCCCAGGACGAACTGGACCAAGGAACAGATTGCTGAGGTGTACAACACGTCGCTCATCGAGCTCACACATGGCGCCGTACGCATTCGCGGGCCTCCTTCCTCTGTGCCGTCTCTAACCGCCGCAGTCTACCGTCCACCGCCGCTTCCACGATCCCGCCGCGATCCAGATGTGCACTCTCATGAACATCAAGACGGGCGGCTGCAGTGAGGATTGCAGCTACTGCGCCCAGTCGTCCCGCTACAACACGGGTCTAAAAGCTTCCAAGATGGTCGACGTTGAGTCGGTTCTCGAGGCTGCTCGCGTAGCCAAGGCGAATGGCAGCTCGCGCTTCTGCATGGGCGCCGCGTGGAGAGACATGCGTGGCAGGAAGACCAACCTGAAGAACGTCACGGCCATGGTCAAGGGCGTCAGAGCGCTCGGCATGGAGGCCTGTGTGACCCTCGGCATGATCGACGCTGAGCAGGCCAAGGAGCTCAAGAACGCAGGCTTAACAGCTTACAATCACAATGTGGACACATCCCGGGAGCACTATCCCAGTGTCATCACTACACGGTCGTACGACGAGCGGCTCGCAACCATCAACAACGTGCAGAATGCAGGAATCCATGTATGCACGGGAGGCATTCTCGGTCTGGGTGAGAAGCCCCAAGACCATGTCGGGCTCATCTACACCGTTGCTACACTTCCTGCCCATCCGGAGTCGTTTCCAGTGAACGCGCTCGTGCCCATCAAGGGCACTCCCCTTGGTGATAGGATCTCAAAGGGTGAGACCAAAACGATTGCTTTCGACGCTATCCTGCGCACTATCGCTACAGCGCGGCTTGTTCTCCCTACCACCATCATCCGTTTGGCGGCCGGCCGGCACACGATGCGGGAGGAGAAGCAGATGATGTGCTTCATGGCCGGTGCAAACGCTGTCTTCACAGGCGAGAAGATGCTGACGACAGCCTGCAATGGCTGGGAGGAGGACAAGGCCATGTTTGAGAGGTGGGGGTTGAGGCCGATGGAGGTCGAAGAGACCATGGGTGGCAAGGAAGAACTCGCTGAGAAAGCTGCTGTTCAACCTGCTGGTGCGGAGGCTCAGAGCTCAAGCACGCAGCCAACCACCGCATGATCTTCAAGTGTAGCTTCGTGAATAGACCAACATGATCCATCATGTCTTTTGCCAGTATTTTTGCTATCTTGCTAGAGCCGAGCCATCACATTATTGTCCTGCTTCCGGACCTTTACATTTTGAGCATCCTGCTCGTCTAATGCCTTGTTACACCATTCTTCTATCACAGCCACAAGCCCATTAATCTCAGCCTCTGTGTTTCCAGCGTGCAGACACACTCGCACTCTCGACGTACCTTCGGGAACAGTAGGCGGCACGACCGCTCTGACCATCATGCCACGGTCCTGCAGGTACTTTGCCAGGCGTTTCGGCTCGGCGAGCTGGATTGAGAAAATGGGTGATTCGGGCCGCACTTGCGGTATACTCAACAAGAATGTGAAAGCTGCCGAATCCACGGTTTTTAGTCGCGTGAACAAGGTGTATATCAGCGACTGTAGGTTTGACGCTAACGGGACTGTTTTGCCCTGCGATAAAAACGCGTAGGAGGCGCGGATAGCAGCAAGTGAAGTGTACGACATGAACGTCGTGTAAATGAGCGGACGGGCGTAGTTGATCAGATAGTGTCGCAGGAGATTGGATCCGAGTATAATTGCTACATACTGTCAATACGCCTTCGCTCTGTGATACATGCAGAGATGTTGTCTCACCTCCGTTGCAGCCCAGCGCCTTCCCAAACGTATGCAATCTCGCAAACACTCTCCTCTCAAGACCCAACTCGCATACGAGACCTCGGCCCTCCTTTCCAAGGACGCCCGTAGCATGTGCTTCATCGATGACAACATACCCAGCCTCTGGTCCTAAGACCTCGTCCACCGTGTCGACAATGGCTTGCAACGGTGCTACATCGCCATCCATGCTGTACACCGCCTCTACCGCAACAAAAACATGGCGGTTCTCAGCTTCCAGATCTCGAATTAAAGGGCTCTCACTCTTGAACGCGCTCAAAACCCTCCTCAAGTCCTCCACGCAATTGTGTCTGAACGGCACCGTCTTCTCCGCTCGGCTCAACCGCATCCCATCATGCACACTCGCATGGATCAATTCGTCGTAAACCACAACATCGCCCTTCTGCGGCACACAAGCAAAAAAACCCGCATTCGCGTCGAAACCAGAATTGAACAGCAGCCCAGCCTCGGCGTTGTGGAACTCGCAGATCTCGCGCTCGAGGTCTTCCGCGTACGTCGAGTTGCCGTCCAGCAGGCGGCTACCGCCGGAACCCAGCGGCCGCTCCGAGGCTTGGATCTCCTCGAGAAGAGCAGTTTTCAGCGCCGGGTTCGTGGTAAGCGAGAGGAAGTCGTTGGAGGAAAAGTCGACGTGGTTTCGTGCTGTTGTTAAGCTGCGTAGAGTGGAGTTTCGGTGACGTTTCTCCAGGAGGGACTGGAATTTGCGCTCCAGAGCTGAAGGCGCCATTGTGTGATCTAGCCTGCGAGGTTCTGTTTGGAAGCTTCCTATGCCTGCAACTTGTGCTCCTCGGTTTTAATGAATGATTCACGTAAACTGCTCCGGGGGAGGCTAGATCGATGCAGGGATGTATGCGGGTTAGATGTTGGTGTACTGCTTAGCGCGTCTCCCAACATCCAGATGCGTCTCGGTTGGGCTTAGCAAGATAGCGTGCAAGGGCCCACACCGGGTCCATTATGCCATTGAAATGGTCGGCAAGTTATCTCTCGGCTGCCTGTGAGTCAATCGGGTGGACGGGAGCACCTGAGAGAGAGCGACACCGCAACGTTTCGTGGATTGATCGCTGCCGAGGCTGCGGATTAGGAACAGGAAACCGCTAAGCTGCATCACGCTAGTGGGCCCTCGCAAAGCTGGAGCAACACTGAGTACGCCGACTCAAGCCGATACAGCGATATTCATCCCATTACCAACGTCAATGTCGAGGGTTCCGTCGGGCCTGTGGCAGAATCTCATTGCGCTCCAGGTGTATGGTGCCAATACCAATGTCGGCAAGACAGTTTTCTCGACGCTGCTAGGTGCCCATTTCGTCCGCAGAGCAGGGAAGCGGAAATGGAGCCTGCACTATATCAAGCCGGTGTCGACGGGGCCCATGGAAGATGCTGATGATTCGTATGTTGCGGACGTTTTACTTACCATCAAGAGACGAGCTGATGAGCAGTTAGCTATGTCAAGAGACACGTCGATGGAGCATCTGTCACTACGCTGTTCCAGTTCAAGGAACCTGTGAGTCCGCACATTGCGGTGCGTGGGGCGGAATTTGTGGTAGGTCGTGAATCGAACTGGTTGTGAATCTTAGTTGACGGCCATCAGCCTACAGACGACCATTTGGTCAAGCGGGTCTACGCCAAAATCAGGGAAGATGCAGCCAAATTCTCCTGGGAGAAGCACATGGGCCTCACCATCGTAGAGACGGCTGGTGGTGTGCTGAGCCCTGGACCTTCCGGAGTACCACAAGCAGATATCTTCAGGCCAATGCGACTACCTGTTGTCCTGGTTGGCGACCATCGCCTTGGAGGTATCGCTTCCACCATTTCAGCCGCAGAGTCTCTGACCCTCCGTGGCTACGACATCAGTGCTGTGATCTGCTTCGACGATAAGGGAAAGTATGAGAACTCTGAATACTTGCTCAAGTACTTCGGAAACATGGATATCCCAGCTTTCACCCTGCCCTGGATACCGGAGTTAGGAGGCTACACACAAGAACAGGAACGTGCAGTCATGCGGAAATACTATGAACAGCAAAGCCTGGCTGATGGAATGAACAAGATTGCTGACTCCATCGTTCAACGTCACGAAGACCGCCTCACCACTATGAACAAGCTACCAAGCCGAACACGGAAGTCAATCTGGCATCCGTTCACGCAGCACAAGACTGTGACAAATACCGACGATATTCTGGTCTGGGACTCTGCATACGGCGACTACTTCCAAGCGAAACACACGCCCACATCTTTGAAAGGTAGGAGCTTAGGCCATACAGCTGAGAAACCGCTTCTCTATCCGGCCTTCGATGGCTCCGCATCTTGGTGGACGCAGGGTCTCGGCCATGGAAACCCAAGGCTAGCTCTTGCCGCCGCATATGCAGCAGGACGATACGGCCACGTGATGTTTGCTGGCGCAACACATGAGCCTGCCGTTAAGCTCGCCGAGACGCTGCTCAAGGGCATGGAAAATCCCCGTCTCGCGAAGTGCTTCTACACCGACGACGGCAGCACCGCTGCTGAAGTTGGCATCAAGATGGCGATCCGAGCGGCATGCAAGCGTTATGACTGGGACGGCTCTAAAGATAACATCGAGATTCTTGGCCTGAAGGGGAGCTACCACGGTGACACCATCGGCGCCATGGACGCTTCCGAGCCGAACGTCTACAACGAAAAGGTAGACTGGTACCGCGGTCGAGGATACTGGTTCGACTTCCCAACCGTGAAGATGAGGAGTGGAGAGTGGATGGTCGAGCCTCCAAAGGGCATGGCGAGGGAGCTCGGCGGCCCCGAATTCTTTTCCCACCTCGATGACGTGTTCAACTTCGAGGCTAGAGGCGAGGGCCAAGGACGTCGCTGGTGGGTCTACGAGAAGTACATCAGGGATCAACTGGATATCCTTGTTAAACGCCAGGGCAGAAAATTCGGTGCTCTGGTCATGGAACCCATACTCCTCGGCGCCGGTGGCATGCTCTTCGTTGACCCACTCTTCCAGCGCAAACTCGTTGAAGTAGTCCGGTCTTACCAGTTCACAGAACACGAGGTCACCCCGCCTTCAGACCCCCTCCACTGGACCGGCGTGCCTGTCCTCTTCGACGAGGTCTTCACCGGGCTCAACCGGCTTGGCCACTTCACGCCCTCGACCCTTCTCGAAGTGCACCCCGACATCTCCATCCATGCCAAACTCCTCACCGGCGGTCTGCTCCCTCTCTCTGTCACGCTCGCCAGCAAAGCCATCTTCAACGCCTTCCTCTCCCCCTCAAAGTCTGACGCACTCCTCCACGGTCACAGTTACACCGCGCACCCCATCGGATGCCACGTTGCCAATACGTCCCTGAAGGAGATGGAAGTATTGAAGAACGGTTATGCATGGAAAAGCTTTCGACGAAAGTGGGACTGGGAGAGCGGGCACAGAGGCGGACAGGTGGCCCCAAGGTGGTGGACTATTAAAGGCGGGGTGAACGCGAATGAAGCTGGAGGTGTAAAGACATGGAGCATGTGGGGGAAGCCGCTGGTGGTGTGGCTGAGTTACCACGATGCTGTTGACCACGTCATTGCTATTGGCTCCGTGCTGGCCGTAGCGCTGAAAGACGAGGGAGGTTCTGGTAAGTGCCTGCATTGCAAGGGTGTCGTTTAATGGATTCGAATCGCTGACCAAAGCAGGATACACTTCAAACGCAGCTGCTGGTTTGCGGGATGCGTTACTCAACGATCGGTCGCACACGGCAGTCAGTATACATTCGCGAGTGCTAGGGAACGTCATTTACCTTATGGCGAGCTTAACGACGGCGCCAAAGGACTTGGAGGCTGTGGGTGACGCGTTGAAGCAGAAATTGGACCGCGTCAGTGGCATCACGAGAAGTCCAAAGACGAACCCGAAAGATTCCAACGATGTCACCTGGATGGGGGAGGAGAGGTAGAAATAAAGTTGTCGTGGATCTGTTGGATGGTCTGAACCCTGCCATATATAAGCCCTGTGTCTTGTCGACCATGATTTAGATGCCGTCGATCTGACACCCAAACTTATTTACTCACGAAACTGTTCCGTTTGCCCCTCCAATTTCTACAGCTTTTAGCGGATACATCCACAGATATGTCTTATTAACCCCCTTGATATCTTCCTCACTTGGGTGAAAGGGCGTACCCTTTCTCGTTGTTGACTAGCGTGCATGCATTCGTCAACCGTGGGAGACAGTCCACATCATCTGCCAAAAACACATCACTGCGGTAGTGCCTGGTGCCTTTAGGGTCGTAGTTTTCACCGTAATCTGCAACTTCCCATTAATGAGTTCGCCCTTGGCGCGTCCGTGGATCTCCAGTCGAATGCCCGCGTACATAACGAGCCTAAGTGCGTAGGCAATATTGTCGCAAAGATCACTCCACGTCGCGTCAGATTTCTCGGACCAGAGCTTCTCAAATTTCTCGTTGAAGTCTTCGACGTTGTGGCACCGGTCCGCAACCAAGTTGTCGCCTTGAGATGGGGTGTCAGTGAGAGCAATTGAGGCCACGAAAGCAGAGACGTACGGCCTTTTCATTGATGCTCGTGTGTCATACCCGGCACATGACCAATTTCGTGGACCGGCGCAGGGTTGATCCATCCGTGTCCAAAATTTATCCTATGGATACCAGGGACAGGAGGTTCGGTACATGTGAATCCAACGAAGCCGATGGTCGCACCGCCGGCAAAGTCTTTGGTGTCGAACCACTGGATAGCTAAGGTGTTATAGTCAAGCTTGTGGTTCCCCGTGTGTGTAAGTGAGCAGGCAACCTGAAGTACCCGAGCGGCTGATTTCGAGATGAAGTAGAGGCTGCTACGAGACATGGGCTAAGTTCACATTTTCCGTTGTTTGGGTCCTCACAGAGCAACAGCATGCCATTCTCGTCCAAAGTCTCTTCAATTACTAATCTGTAACCCGTAGTACTTGATGCAGCACCACCCAATGCGCGAAAACTCACGCCAATGCTGTCCCGGGGAAACCTGTATATCGACTATGACCTTGTTTGAAGACAAATGAAAGGTTCCAAGTCCGGCCACCGCCGAGATTCAGCTCTGGTGCATCGGTGGCAGCAGAAGACCGAGCACTTGCGTACACATCAAGGCGATCATGTATCGCATGCCGTATAACTCCCAAAGGTACCATTGATAGTGGCCATCTTCATTTTCAACGTTGACTGAAAGCATTTACTCTCGTTCAGCCTTTTTGGCGCATGCTACGGTGAGATGTGGGAAAGCTGACCATCGCCATTGCTCGACGGGCCCTTTTCCTGATCTTCCATCGAATCCAACCGAGCTAGTCTGCACGATTTGTCTCTCCATGGTAGCTATTTAATTTCTTGTGGAAATGAGTCTGGCTCTTTCGCTCCAGGCTGAAGCTGAGATAAGAGGTGCTCTGATACCACATGCTCTATGGGCCACCCAACGTTCCGGTAACGCCGTTGGTGTGGCCTTGCTTTCATTACATCGCTCCGTAGCCGTGCGGTATGTTCGATAATCCGACAATTCGTTGGCACAGGATCTCATCGATAACCTTGGTTTCTAGGACTACCCGATGGCCTCTCTCAATCATTACTTGACAGTGCAGCGACTGTAGCATCCAGCACACCGAAAGCGCGTGTGGTAGAATCAACGCAATTTCGGGCTTGCAATGAGAATTCCATGGAACGCATGCGCTTGGACTGCCACTTTACTCAGTAACGTATGACCTAGTAGGGTCATCAATAACAACAGTCTGACCCAGAATAGAGTCGTTTATAGCAGTATTACTCATGAGCAAGAGTCTGGACATAATATTCGAGATGGGTGTTATCTCTGCATTTGCGTCCAGTTAGCCTGAGCTCGACCATGAAAGCCAGATATACGGGCGTGCCGATGCTCAATAAGCTACAGAGGAAGTAATAGATAGAGGTAATTGACGATGAAGATGGAAATTGTCCCCTCATGCCAAGATGTCGTTTTTCTCAGAAATGGTAGGGTTGGACTGCCCCACTGTAAGCCGCTTCAACGAATAGAATGTCTCAACCCACAGCAGGGATAATTTTGGACTGACAAATTATCACCAAAACTGGTTAGAAAGTGCGAGACTTCGCGCTCGAGCCTCATAGAGTCCACACGGTCGGGTGAGACCTTCATCGGGCTTGTCTTACCTGCTGGTATACCTCAGCTCGGCGTAAGTAATTGTGCCGGTACACGATTCAGAGGCATTCTTGGAAACAGATGAGAAACGCAGGTTCCTTGGACTTGCGCAGCTATAGATGATTTGAAAGCCTGAGTAACAAGAATCTGCAGCCTATGTACTCACGGTACCGGACATAAAAAGTCCCAGAAACGGCTCGCGAAGCTGAGTCTGAATTCTACAATGACTCAAAAGGACAAATGCGATGTTTGCCGACATCGCAAAGTGAAGGTAAGCACTCAATAGTGGAGCAATGAGCTGCCACTGATGCCTGCAGTGTGACGAGCAACGCCCTATATGCGGGCAATGCAAGAAGAAGAATCGCCCTTGTGCATATGAATATTCACATACCTCGCGTTTCGCTAAAGTGCGAACCAATGAATCGGGTACAGACCCTACGTATCTCACAATTCATGACACACGAGACGGACGTATAATCTCCATGAAAGCCGGCCCAGAACCTTCCGAAGGGATGGCTAAGGCGTTAATGATCCGATCAATAAAGGAAGCTGGGTCGGGAGATGGGGTCTTCTACACCTTCAGGACGGTACTCAAAGCAAGACACCGCAACCCGAGTAGCAGAGGACTTTCTTATATGCGGAAAGTTGGCGTACCGCGACCATTGGTATCTCGCGAAGTTTACCTATGCGCGGAGTTCTCAGATATGCTGGGCGAGAAGAATTTTGACTGGACTTCGACCTTCCTGTGGGGTGGCTGGATATCATCGGTTCCCGGAAGACTCGGTGTGAATCCAGCGCTCGATGATGCAGCAGATTGTTTCGTGTCTGCAAATGTTGCTTATTACAGCAAAAAGGGAATAGGCGATACGAGCGCGAGTAAGAAGTACAACGCTGCCATAGTGAGCTTGCAGAAAGTCCTCGACGCGGACGATCATATGAGGTTTGCAACTGAAACATTAGCGGCGGTGAATCTCCTTCTGTTGTTTGAGGTGAGATAGCCGTGACAACCCCGCATATCACTCGGAAACACCGTTGACTTTGTTCAGGAGGTGCTCGATTTTGGTCAACTGAGGTGGCAGTCGCATTACAGGGGACTTATCCAGCTACTCTTGGCACGAGGACCTCAAGTAAAAGCGGATGACATGAGTCGATCCTTGTTTTATGCTGCGCTAAATCATGATGTAAGTACCGAGCCCATTTGCCGGCCTAAGCTCACGACTCAGTTTTCGGAGTCTATCTGGGGAGGCTCCCAATCGACATTTGACTCATCGGAGTGGCTAAACTTGCCACCGCCGGAGAATCCAGAAAAGGAATGTGAAGACTTTACTTGTATTTCCAGAGAAATTTCGCGACAAATGATACAGGTGCCGCGACTTACAATTTTGGTGCGAAGAGTCTGCGAGAACCCCTTCGATGTCGATGCTGGCATAGAAGCATTAGCACTAGCGGAACATCTCTATTGCAGCTATTCCGACATAATAACCCCGAGGATCGTCGCGGCATTGAGCAAGCGCGCAACGTGGGTGGAAACGCTTGATAAAGATCTGGCAAGATACTGCCCACAATCGTTGGAGTTTCAGTGGTATAACATATTCGAGGGCCTAGTTCGCTGCTATTGTGTACGAATTCTGGTCTGTAGTCTTTGTACGACACTAAGAAGTACTTTCCCGTTCTCGCGGATCCTCCAGACTGCGGACTTGGAAGAGGAGGAAGCACATTGCGCAAGATTGATAGCGGCATCAGCGCAATACGCGGAAAAACAGGACACACCGCCGGTAGGCCCGCTCATCATGCGAATGCCTCTTCAAGTGTCATATGGTACCTGGTGGCGAAGAAGAGAACACGACGCCTTGAAGGATGTCCAGGTTGAGAAGCGAGCGGAAGCCATAGTCATGGAAGAATGGTGCGTCAGAAAGCTGAACGAGTTCATCAAGGTGTTGAACGGAGACGCGATCTCGAAAAGCAAGCTTCAACGCATGTACATGGCAGCTGCCGGAGGCGGGCCGTGTGTGTGCAGGAAAACGTAGAGTAGTCAATTCGTGCGCCAATGGTACACAAGACTTTGATCCTAGTCTGCATGAGTTGTACTGGAGGCGTTGGAGTACTTTGATCTCGTGGTACAACCCTATGCTGACCTCAATAATGAGAGTACAGTGAGACGAGCAAAACCTGGAGAGGGTATCGCCCTAGGCACCCGGCAGTCCCCTCATACCTGGGATCGCAAATGTGGAAGTCTTAGTCCTAGTCGTTGTCCCAGGCAGCGATGTTGTAATACAAGCAAGGCGAAGGCTGTTGTGGGAACGCTTGATCGAATCCTGGCTCAACAAATATATCGCAGTGGTGATGCGGTGTCTTAATGACGATTGCAAATGATTTACCTCGACAAGGCTTCGCATGCTTGATAGTGTGTTCCGCTGAAGGTGTTGTGGCCGGCGAAGGGGCGCGCGCCAACGCTAGCGCCCGAGAAGGGATAGCACAACCACTAAAATAACCGAAGCCAAGCACGGAACCCGCACACTCGCGGCTGCTAAACTTCTCATTTTCAGCAGCCACCAGCGACATCAACACCAACCCACGACGCCGCCGTCAAGATGAAGTACATGTACGCTTCCCGAACGCTCTGCACGCTCTCCCTACCGAATGGCACAAGACACTCCACGAGCCCCAGCCGACGGACACAAGCCTGACGCTGGGCTCGATTCGCACTTTCGCAACTCTTTACAACGGAGGGACTAGACTGACAATTGCGCAACAGCCACTCCGAGGAACTTCTCGAGATCCCCGAGGGGGTCAAGGTCGCCATCAAGACCAGGAATGTCGTTGTTGAGGGTGAGTTAAATGTCTGATGCTTGAACCAATATGTTGACTAACTTTGCGCCGCGCAGGTCCCCGAGTAAGCACGTCGCAGCGGATTTTCACGATAGCATGCTTATAATATCAGGGCAAACTGACCAAGTCGTTGGGTCACTTGGCTGTCTCCTTCACACACGTGAGTTGCACAGTCGCAAAAGACTGGACACTGCGCTAATACCGGGCAGCCTAAGAAGAACCTCATCAAGATCGAGCTCCACCACGGCTCGCGCAAGAGCGTCGCCACCCTCCGTACCGTCCGCACTCTCATCGTACGTCGCAACCACCTCCCGTGAGGGCTAGGACATTGGATAGCAGCGCTGACTGGAGTAGAACAACCTGATCATCGGTGTCACCAAGGGCTTCAAGTACAAGATGCGATACGTCTACGCCCATTTCCCCATCAACGTCAACGTTGAGAAGAACAAGGAAACCGACTGCTTCGAGGTTGAGATCCGAAACTTCATTGGCGAGAAGATCGTCCGAAGGGTCAACATGAGGCCCGGTGTCCACGTCGAGGCCTCCAAGAACGTCAAGGACGAGCTCCAGCTCTCCGGAAACAGCATCGAGGACGTCTCCCAGAGTGCCGCCGACATCCAGCAGATCTGCCGTGTTCGCAACAAGGATATCCGAAAGTTCTTGGACGGTCTCTACGTTTCGGAGCGGGGCAACATTGTTGAGGACGCATAAGCGGGTCATGAGGGTACGGGTTTCTTTACGGGCATATGAGCTTTCCTGCATTCGGGTGTGCAAACAGGCGCCATTGGGGACATAGCTCAAAATCATGTTCAACGAACAAAAACTTGATACCAGCTATCGCACGCCGTACGGCTGTGACTGAACGATGCATGCAGCTACGTTTACCTCTCGTGAAGCCAGGACCTTGGCAGCGTAAAACGAATGCAGTCTAAATGTCCGGAGTTTGGGCCATCCTTCTATTGTTCCCATTTGCTCTTCTTCTTGTCTACGAACATACTTGGCACCTCCCAAGATCTATAGCGTTTTCTTAATCACTATATGTACAGTGCCACTCTGAGCAATCCTCTCGAAAGCGCGGAACTAGTGACACGGTCAATATCGTCTGAACTTTGCCTTGGTCGCAACGATGGAATGTATGAGAGAAGTCATTTCCCGAAGCAAAGGTGCGTTGTTGACAGGGTGAGGCGGGGCAAGGTACTCCGAAGAGCACGCTAAGATGGCATCAGCAGCCATGGATGTGTCGACGTTAACAACTATCACCGCAAAAGCCGCCATCTGAGACGCATTCTGCCGTCTCGCTTCCTAATCAGCCGTCCACACGTCACAATGCTCGGACGTATAAAGCCATTGGCGATCCCAGAGGGATGCCGTCCCACCATCTGCACCTTCCTGCCGTCACTATTCAAGTACCCCACCCCACGTTGAGCTCGCAACCCCGCCATCATCATCTACTCAAAACGTTGACACCATGTCGGACGAAGTAGTTCAGAAGCTCCTCAAGGAATCGAAAGCGGAGTACAGGAGACTGGGAAAGAGTGGGCTGAAGGTATCGGTTCCCATATTGGGTGCGATGAGCTTTGGGTCCAAGAAATGGTAAGGCAAGGCCTCCGCGGGCCGTCGCGCCGTGACTCTCCACACTTAGTGGATTTACTAACCTTTGTAAGGCAACCCTGGGTGATTGAAGAGGAAGAAACCTATCCGCTACTAAAAGCGGCCTACGATAAGGGTGTCACAACTTGGGACACTGGTACGCAGCCATCTTACCACTCAATCAAGTACCTGTTTCCTAATGTGCACAAGCCAATGTCTACTCCAACGGTGTCTCTGAAGAAATTATTGGAAAGGCGATCAAGAAATACAATTTGCCACGCGAGAAGCTGGTCATCCTCACGAAGTGCTACGGCTACGTTGGCGAACAGCCAGAGCTCCGAGCAATCCAATACCCCAATGAGCTACCTCAAATCAAAGACTACACCAACCAAGGTGGACTTTCCCGCGCTGCCATCTTTAATGCAGTCAACAAGTCCCTCCAGCGGTTGGACACTGACTACATCGACCTCTTGCAGATCCATCGCTTCGACCCAAACACGCCTATCGAGGAAACGATGGAAGCGTTGCATGACTTGATCAGGAGCGGAAAGGTACGATACATCGGAGCAAGCTCGATGTGGGCTGTGCAATTTGCGCAGATGCAGTTTGTCGCTGAGAAGAACGGCTGGACCAAGTTCATCAGCATGCAGAACCACTACAATCTGCTCTATAGGGAGGAGGAGCGGGAGATGAACAGGTTCTGCAACGACACCGGCGTGGGGTTGATCCCAGTGAGTCTATCGTGCGCCCTTCGAACTGTTCAGGTAGCCTGATAGCATACAGTGGGCACCCCTCTGCCGTGGCCATCTCGCCCGCCCTGCCTCTGCTTACGGTGAAACGGTCCGTTCCGAAGGTGAGAAGAAAGCTGGCACTTCGACGACCGGGCCGCAGGTCGAAGCGGACAGGAAGACGATTGAGCGCGTAGAAGAATTGGCGAAGAAGCATGGCTGGAGCATGAGCTCTGTTGCCCTGGCTTGGATCAACAAGCGCGTCTCCTCCCCCATCATCGGTTTCAGCTCGGAGAAGAGAATTGACGAGGCTCTTGAGGCAAGAGGCAAGACGCTGACTGACGAGGAAGAAAAGTACCTTGAGGAGCTATACACCCCACGAGCGATCGTAGGCCATTCATAGAGTGCGACTTGAAGCTCACTTACGCAACGTCGCTTGCTACTTTAGACAAGATATGAAAGCAGTCGACCTATCGTCGTGAAGCAAAGATGCGTTGCTTCTGCACTCGTGAAGGTCTTACATTGCTGTGCCACGTCAAGCCCCGTTCTGACAATGGCGCGACCTCCCGCCCAATATTAGCGTCACGCTGTCGGCCCGGACTTGTATTGGATAAGCGCATCATGTGGACATGGTGAGTAGAGGATGTGTCGGCGCGTCGGAGACTTGTGTGAGCGGCACCACCGCACGCGTTCCAGGATGACGTAGCGCCGATGGATGGCGTGAGGTCGTTCGACCCAGCGCTCACCACGCTCCGAGCCTCAATATAGCGTGCGACATTGCAGCAGCTCTGCAGGGCAAACAAAGTCTACTGGAGAGCCTCATCATGTGTTTCTGAGCTTCTGCTGGCGCGCGACGGGGCATTGTTGCCGGTGCCGTCAAAGGGAACTGGCGGAGCTTACCCCGCATTCTCCAGCGATCCCCGTCCGTGCGTGCAGCTCACTCAGGCTGGGTGGGTCGCGATTGGACCATGGTGCCGTGATCAAGTGACTGTCTCCTGTCCTGGACGCCAGCTTGAATAACCCCTCATCGCCTGCGCCCTTTGCTCCTTCTCTTCTTCATCTCACTCTCACCTGTGCCTGACCGACCATTCTCTCTCAAGCACCATACTTTGAGCCCAGTCCCTGAGCTCCATCTTTCTATCCAACCTCCCACCGGCCTTGTTTGCTGTGCCCCTCACAATGGCAGCTGACACCGCAGACACCCTCCAGAAGGTCGACTCTCTCGTCGACGAGGGCAAGGACAAGGCTCCCGCAAAGCGGAGACAGAGCTCTCTGCGCGCCGATGTCTTCAACATGGCCGATCTCGGTGAGTAAATCTGCCCGCACCGCCAATTGCCCTCGACGGAGCGTAGGCGGGGGGTTGCGGGGCTGACATCCGAGCAGAGAAGGAAGGAAAGAAGATCGAGATTGCCCCTGAGACCCAGAAGCTGAACTGGTGAGTTGATTCTAGATTTGCCCTGTTTGTGAGACAGTGTCCGCTGTCAACTGATCCGTTCATTGCTGCCGGCTCCCCTCGGAACTCCTTCGATCGACGGGCCCAGGCTGACAAGACCCCAGGAAGATCAACAAGTCTCCCACAACCGTGGAAGACAGTGAGGTTCTCAAGAAACCTCTCACCACTCCCCTCGTTCGCAAGATCGACCTGCACTTCCCTCTTGGGCTCGAGGTCACTGCACGGAACCTCAAGGGCGTCACCATCAAGGATGCGCTGGACGCCATCTACAAGCAGTTCAGGAAGAAGGTATGTCTTGAACTTGTCGGTTACTTCAGCATCGCCGTCTATTGTCTATCGCTGCTGCCTACTCTTGATTATAATACTGACATCCAATACCAGGCCGACGATGAGATCGGCGATGCTCCCTACCTTGCGGGTTTCGAGTGGGATCCCGAAGAGTGTTACACGCGCTTCATCGTGCACCAGAAGAAGGAAGGCGCACCCCCACCTTCCAAGAAGAAGAAGAAGGGTGGTGACGAGTAATGAATTACTCGCCCCCAACTTCCCCAACACGACTTCTTACACGGCCTCGAACACATGCCTTACTCCGACCATCGTTAGATCGCGGACACAGATATGTTTTCGAGCGCAGGTGGATTCCGAAAGGGAAGGGCGAAGCTCGCTCTATCACGGACAGCATGGCCTTGTGTACTGCGAGCCTGGCATGGTGAGCGGTGCGTATCGTCGTGCGGTTCGGCGGTCGGTGAGCTCTTGCGAGATTTCTATGGGTTGCTAGCCGGGTGAGGTGGTGGCATCCATTATGTATCACTTTACTGAGCGTTCCCTCTTGTCGCTGGACAGCGGCCTCTACAATAGAGGATGATTATTGCTCCATAACGTTCTTCTGAGTTGTCGTGACGTTGAGAAAAGATGCGTTGCTGGTGATTCTGCCCCGCTGTGGAGCCCTTCGGCCCTGTCCCGATGTGGGAGGCATGCCCCGTTAACTTCGGCGAGTCATGTCACGATGCTTTCAACGTCCTCGCAGCGCGCCAACACCACTTCACTAATGTACAGGCACAACGGAGATCCTGAACGCTAACACTGAAGCAAATCTCCTATACTGATAATTAGCACATCACCGCACGTCTGAAGCGGTATTAGCTACTTGCCGCCTTAGTGGAAATACAGCCAGCGGTGTCGATGTTTGGTTACTGACGAGGCCTGGCGTATGCTGTGACAGCTAGCATACATCAACGCGAACAAGCCGCCAAACAGACGCGAACCGGATGATGACCATGTCTTGCTACACTCCTACATGATCACCTGCATGCCAGATCGCGCCATAGTATCAGACCGTCCTAAGTCTGCACCTGCCAGGAATTAATGTTACGTTTGACCATATCCGCAGACTCTACTGACGATAACGAGATCTTCGATCCAGCCCTCCACTCTCCCGATAACCCCCTCGTCTATAGGCCTCACCCCTCAGCTCCTGCTGCACTAAGCCGGCCGTCATTGAGAGTCAACACAGACATACCCATAGTATCCCGGATCCCATCGGATGCTGCGCCACCTGCCCAAGAAGCGCGTCCACAAGCAGAAGTCACTGTGATAGAAAAACCTGTATTGGGGAAGTGGGGAGTGAGAAAGGCGAAAACGAAGGCGATGTGGAAGCGGTACCGGGCGTGGAGAAAGAAGAGGCGAGAGGAGAAGATAGCGTGGAATGAGAGCTTGCAGGGGATAGGGTGTTCCAACGGGTAGGTGGTGAGGGGTCGTTATTATGGAAGGAGTGGTGAATCAAGTTCGATCGCGTAGTGCCCCCCGTGAAGGGAACATGCCCCGTGATGGTCAACTGCGCGCTTGCGTCGACGCAACTTGCAAGACAGTCGACAGTAATGGCCTGGCAACGGGTCGACTTTAGGTGAGCATGCGCGGTACACGTCCAGGGGTGAAATTTTAGTTGCAGGATGAAGCATGAGGATACTGCCTCAATTAGCTTTCGCACCTTGGTGCCGACGCTGATGTTGTGTGGTGAGTAGCGCGCGAACGTCTCCCTAAAAGAAACGATGAGTAGGAGCGCCCGGCGAATGACTACCGTAGCGTTGGATGCGGCCCAGTAACGAACCGGAGGCCACAACAACCAAATTGTCTGAAGATTCACCCTTGTGGTTGGTTACCGATGCGCGCGGGAGACTCTTTAAAGTGATTGCGGTGGCGCTGCTCTAGTGATATACTGGAGCCTAGATTGAGCTGCCGTATCGATACAGGCGTCCAGGGCGTGGCCTCGACACCTGATCGTCATCCGTGGATAGCTTTGCAATGGACTTACCATACTGCATTATCCCGTGCAGTTTGGAGTAGCTGCGTTGCTGAAGATTACCGATACTACAGATAAGATACTCAACACGATGGCTTCCACGTCACCGGCGTACGAAGATCGCATTCAACAAATTATGGAGCGCAAGACTCAAACTGGCCCCGATGCCGAATTCCGACGCCCTTGTTCAATTTTCAGTGAGCGCTACACTAACAAAACTATCCCGAGCGAGACTTCAGGCCGTGTGACCTCTGTGACAAATTTCTATGGACACTGAAGATTGGACGACAGTATATAAAATTTAGGAATACAAGCCGTGACGGATTTGCTTCTGGAGTAGCAGTTACGGGACGAGGACCACAAGCGCGTCTGGCACCGACGAAATTCCGTTCCAATCTTTTGGTCAATAGGCTCAGTCCTTAGCAAATGGATGCGATCTATACTTGCTTCTTTAGGAACAGCCTCTTGGAACCCTGCGCAGCTGCTCGAGTCTTCCCAGCTCATACATGTACAGGATACCAGGGGGGACAGGTACAGATCACACTGGAGGCCTCGCTTGAAGATTCTGCTATCAGCCTCAGCTTACGAGATGCGAAAACGCGTTGGATGTATCGTCGAACAGCTGGCCTATCAGCTGCATCCATGAGGAGCATATTCACCGGCTCCAAGGCCACGTTTGACCGTGCCAACAGCTGGCTTGCTAATTGTATCAAGAGCCATCAGAAATGCGAGGTCCGAAGCACCATCAGATACCCCACCCGATTATGGGAAGTATACGAGTCAAACACAAGAAGAATTAGAGAGCGAGATTTCAAGATAAAAAATTCGTGTGATCAAGTCCGGAGAATCATCGCAGCATGCGAAGAGACCATCATACATATGCTTGAGTCACCGATGGCAACTCGAACCTATACTAACTTTGGAAAAGGTGACAGAATGCATTCTTCGAGATGTTTTCAGTCTTGAAGAATTGCCTCCGACGTTCCAAGACGACATTATTATAGTGCATCGTTTAGGGTATCTTTACTATAGATTGACCCGTCGTGCATATATCAGAGCTCAACTGAAGACTAAGTTGAAGAGTAGAACAAAATAGGTGACACATATCGTGGTAGCATTTGTAAGCTTACTAACTGTTTTTCATCACTTGTCAAATGCCCCTGATGGTGCTTCCAGCATGATGAGAGCTGTACACTCCGTGAGGTATCATAATTCTTACGTGGAGGTGTTCGGATATTCCACAATCCTTTTTGGGGAACTATACAGGCGGAGACCACTCTTCCATTTGTTCATTGATATCTCTCGTCTCCTGAACGTTAGCGTAGTATTGAGCTAAGTTGTGAAGGTAGGGTCCTAAAAGGTTAAAATAAGTGTACCATAGTGAATTCACCTATAGGAAGGGATGTATCAATAATCTACGAGCTATGAATCGGGATTTTACCTGGAAAACCATGAAAGAGTGGCACATGAACATTTGGAAAGCATAATATACTCTGGGCGAGATCTCGTGGGAGTGCGGCACTGCTTCAGCATATGAGGGTTCCCCATATCTTCCGGCTAATCACTATTTAGGAGCATATTTTTCAGAAGGACCCAAAGTTAGAGAATTAGCGGGTTGCCTAAGGTATATAGATAACTGCAAGCGAGAGTTCAGGAAGCTTTATCAGGGCCTAGCGTCAGCAAATTGGTTCGTTCATCCACATCTTCTGTCGAGTAGAATTCTTCAAGGTTACACACAGTGTAATCTCATATATCCAGACGACAGATTACCAGCCATAAGGTATATAAGAAACTTTATCGCTCAGGTATCCGGCTTGACGCTGTGCCAAGGGCTGTGGTATAAAATCCTCTTGATCGACCTCCTGTGATATGCCCCAGCTCCTCAGCAGGGTTCGCTTCCACTGCGAGCCGAATCATGGACCTGGGGTCTCTCGATGTTCAAGCAACAAACGATTACATTGAGCTTGTCCGATGGGCTGCGTTTGACTTCGAATGGAGGGCGACCATTGATGGGCGGATAACACCAGAGGCAAGAACGCACATCCGTCTCTCAGCACCCCCACACCGCATTGCTGATCTAGAACATCGCGCAAGGAAACATATTGGACAGAAAAAGTGTTACCGGCCCATTTTAAACCCCCTCAATTCTGGGAATGCCGATAGGAAGCAGAGTTCAGCTGAATATGGCGAGCTTTTTGCCCTTGTTTTTGCGCGCAACTGCGCCGTACCTTCACGAGCGAAGCGAAGACTCGGGGTACCGATGCTCAGTAATCGAAAATGCGATATGGGTCTTCTGGGAGAAGACCGGGCAGGAGAAAATGTTTGTCAGAGGGTTGGCTACTTTGAAGAGCAATACTAGGCTGGCGATTCTGCATCGACATCTTTTCATGGGAAGCCTATTGCTCCACGTGAAACGATCTGGAACTCACTGCCAGAGTCGTATATTCTTTTCCATAAATCTATTTCTATTACATTGGGCCTTCCTTATTACTATAATACCCGATAAAAAAAAACGGTCATCGTTCGGTTTCGGGCATTGACGAGGCAACATGCGGCTTGCTTAGAGGTAGGATATCTCTAAAATTGAATCAAGTGATTCCACATGTGATCGAGTGTTGTTATACGCGCCAAAGTCTATCGTAGACGCAGCCGACCTTTCAACCGTTCTGTGCTCTGGAAACGCTAGCCTAGACAAGACTAGCTCAAATACTAGCGTCCCAATCGCGGTGAAACGAAGCGCCGAGCTTGGGAAATTTTCGGAGCATCCGCAAAAAGTTGAGCAGTGTAAACACAGCGAAGACTTACCTTTGCACTGACGTTACGAAATGGCTCCTCGCAGGAAACGCCAGCGAATTTCCGAAGACGGCGCCTCAGCCACCACGGCCGTCGCCGACGCCGAAGAACCCTCGCATGCCACGGCAAGCCCCTCCAAAGCAACGCAGTCGAAGAGGCAGCTTTTCATTCGATCAATCGCGCATTCTGTCACGACCGAAGACCTCACCGAATTCTTCTCCGAGAACTACCCTATCAAATACGCTCTGGTCGTGCTTGATAAGGAAACAAAGGCTTCCAAGGGCTATGGTTTCGTTACATTCGCCGACGCCGAGGATGCGCAGCGCGCGAAAGAGGAATTCGACGGAGCCGAGCTACAAGGCAAGAAGATTAGGGTCGAGCTTGCCGAGGCGCGTCACCGCGATGCTGATACCGCTGCCCCCGCCGTCTCTGCGGGCGCAAGAGCGAAGGCAGAGCGCGAGCAGGCGATCAAGGAGAACCAGGCGCCCAAGCTCATCGTGCGTAACTTGCCCTGGAGTGTCAAGACGCCGGAGCAGTTGCAGAAGCTGTTCTTGAGCTACGGAAAGGTGCACTTCACGAAACTTCCAAAAAAGCCGAACGGCGAGCTGCGAGGATTCGGTTTCGTGGCGTTGCGAGGCAAGAAGAACGCAGAGAAGGCGATGGAGGACCTGAATGGCAAAGAGGTCGATGGCAGGCAGATCGCCGTTGACTGGGCGGTGGACAAAGAGGCTTGGCAAGATCTGCAGAAGCAGCTGGATGATGAAGAGGTCCGACAGAAAGATGGTGCTAAGGGGGATGGTGAAGATGACGCTTCTTCAGCTGAGGATTCGGAAGAAGACAAAGAAGACGAGGACGACGACGACAACGAAGCAGCGAGTGATGACATGGACGAGGACGACAGCAATACCGACTACGAAGACGTCTCCGACGGCGACGAGGAAGGCGGGATAGCCCTCGAAGACCCCAAACCTCGAGCCCCCGACTACACCGTCTTCATCCGTAACCTCCCTTTCACAGCGGACGACGATAGCCTCTTCGAGCACTTCAAGCAATTCGGTCCGATCGCATACGCTCGTGTTGTCATGGACCACGAAACCGACAGGCCGAAGGGCACCGGTTTCGTTCGTTTCTACAAGGAGGAAGACATGATCAACTGCTTGAAGGGCGTCCCATCTACAAAACTGCAACGGGTCACCACCGATCGCCGAGACGGCACACAGATTACCATTGCACACTCTGTCCTCGAGAACGAAGACGCCGACCCATCAGGCCTTTATACCATGGACGGCCGAGTCCTCCAGCTCACGCGGGCTGTTGAAAAGAACGAAGCTGTACGACTCACTGCAGAAGGACAAGCTTCACGCTTCAACCGCGACAAGGACAAGCGCCGTTTGTACCTCCTCTCGGAGGGTACACTCGATGCCAAATCGCCCTTGTACCAGAAGTTGTCTCCTTCGGAGGTGAAGATGCGTCAGGATAGCGCCGATCAACGTAAAAGGCAAATTGAGAAGAACCCGGCACTCCATCTGTCCCTCACTCGTCTCGCGGTCCGCAACATCCCCCGCACCGTCACGTCCAAAGACCTCAAGGCTCTCGCGCGTCAGGCTGTGGTCGGCTTCGCCGCCGACGTCAAACACGGCAAGCGACAGCGTCTCTCCGTAGAAGAGCTTGCACGTGGTGGCGACGCCATGCTTTGGGCTGAAAAGGCAAGAAAGCGTATGGGCAAGGGTATCGTCAAGCAGGCCAAGGTCGTCTTCGAGACACCCGCCGGAAGCAAGATCACGGAGGAAAGTGGTGCCGGCCGCAGCCGTGGTTACGGTTTCATCGAGTACTACACGCACCGCAGTGCGCTCATGGGACTACGCTGGCTCAACGGCCACGCTGTCGACTACAAGACTCAAGAAACACAGCCGAAGAGCAAGAAGGCAGTGAAGGAGGATCAGCAAGATAAGAGGAAGCGCTTGATCGTCGAGTTCGCCATCGAGAACGCGAACGTCGTCGCGAGGCGCTCGGACAGGGAGACCAAGGCCAACCAACCGGCCGACAAGGACGGCGAGGAGGAGGCTGACTCGGGCCGCGATCGGAAAGGCGGTAAGAAGCGGAAACGTGAGTCGGGTGCGGGTGGTGCCGCGAGTGGTAAGAAGGGGACAGGGAAGGACCAGGGATCGGGCGTCGCGGCTGCGGAAGACGATGCTGCGAAGAGCAAGGACGAGACCAAGCAGAAACTGCGTGCACAGATCATACAGAAGAAGCGTATGGCCCGGAGAACGCGGAAGCAGGGCAAGGCGTGACGTTGGTAGTTGAAAATGTCACTGGGTGTTATGTTGTGTACTGTTGGTTTTCGCTTGTGCATGGCGATTCATGTGTATCGGTGCAGTGACCTAAAGATTCGTTTGACCAGCTTCCCCACGTCCCGGGCTCAGGTCGCGGATCATGCCCTTCCGGTGCAGAGGGGCGTCAACTGGCGCAGCCTGACCTGTTGCTGAAGGACTTGGCGCTGCAAGCTGCTGATGCCACATGTGCAGGCCGATTGTATTGGGAAAGGTCCTCCCATGCTGTGACCACGTTGACGATGAGAGTTCTTAATTCTCGTGCACTCGCGGCCCCTGCGGACCTGTACCCGCTGCACGGTGCAGGATGCAGCGTTGAGCGTGCCCTGGGCCAATGGTACGTTGCTCGTGCTTGCTGTCGTGCTGCTATGCTATACGCTGCGGCGCCTCAGCTGCATGCAGCACGACTCAGAAACGGTTCGTAACATGAAGCATTGGCATTCTCGACTCCGGTGAGACTCAAGACGATCGGATGAGATCCCGTTGCCCCATTTGCGATGTTGGAGGTGTGTATGCACACAGGGTGCTGGCGGGACTTCCATCCAGTATGTGGAAGTCTGGAAAGGGAGGAAGAACAGCTGTTTGTACTAAAAGTGGCGTGCAAGGTTCGATATATGTGAGATACAATTGCCACAGCGATCGATTGGCACACGCAGTTGCGCTCGAGGAGTGCGCGTCCTACTGGTTGGCGAGTCATTGTATGGTTGTTGACGAAATGAAAACTCAGCTTTGGTTGCCTGCCAGGATGATAGAACCCCTGACGACGTTACAGTACTAGGTACCCAGGCCCCATCGCTCCCGGAATCCCAGATGTCGCGACAGACTGTCCTACTATAGATGAAGACGGTGGCGGCGACGTGCATGCATGAACACGCACTGCACGACCGGCTAGATGGCCGTATCCGCGGAAGAATTCTCGAGTTAAAGCAGACTATGTGAAGTTTTCCAGGTTCAGCTGTACCAGACCGCTGGAAGCGATTGCACTACATGTTGTGAACACTGAAAACGTCTTTCGAGCGGCTAACAATGATTATTGAACTAGACTGCAATCTTGGGGTAGCGAACGAAAAAAGTTCAGTTCAAGGACATCCAGTACATCGTGATGCACAGCAGATTGTAACAAGAGAGCATGCGGCTCAACGCGGGATCCGATATAAGGTGAATGCGGCGACACCAGTTGCCAGATGAGTCAGTGGTGCATTAGTACTTTCGTACCTGGTGGTCAGTATGGACACAGTGCAATGTCAATGTATGTACGAATGTGGAATGTGTATAAACTCTCGTCGCCTCAATATCATATGGTCTCCAAATTATCACGTTAGGTGGGTTTACAAGAAGGCAATAAGCTTCTAAACCCACCAATTATCTTTTAAAGGTCGGTAACTCCTCGCGAAGTAGGCCATGGGAAATGGCCTCCATGAGAACAACATTGAGTTTTTTGTCGATTTTCACCAGCCTGCAATGCTCACTCGATTCTTTGGCCTGGTAAACAGGCTCGCAAGTGGGATAACCCCAAATTTTCTTTTGCGTCGACTTGACATCTACATGAGTTTTTTGTGACCAAGACTTGATATGCTACCAATGGGGAGTCGTGCCGCCAACTTGTAAAGCACTCCTGCGAATGGACAGATCATTTACACAGGATTCAAAGCACGATACACCAAGGTTCTTTCAGGTTGCTGGTGCTATACAAGCACTCGTCACACGACAGCAGCACAAGTGACAGGTCATTGGGCCCACGGGGTCAAACCTTGGCACAATCAGTTATCGCTTCCTCAACGACATCGAAGATGGAATTTAGACCGAGGGTTTCCGGTGTAGAGGCCCTCCCATGCTATCTCAAATGAACGCACCCGGCCACTCCGAGCTCAGTCTGGCGACTTGGCCACTTGAGACTCAATTTTTGATTTTCAGTGTTAGGTATCTAAGGCTGAACATGATTCTCATCATGCATAATGATCCCTAAAAAGTGACAGCTCTGCTTGATGAGGAGCAAGGCCAACCTCGGTTCATGGAGATTGATTGGCACCGGTGGACCCTGTCATGCTCGTGCAATGCTACCGTCAGGTGTGCAGCAGGCTACTGACGGGCACCAAGCCATATTGTTCCATGCAGAAACCGTCTCCGTGGACGAATATTTTGTCGATTGGTGGACTATACCCATGACCCACACAAGCTTGAATCATTCTGCATCTCAAATGTCTTTTTATTAGTGTGGTTCTGACCATGCCTGGCATCAGTTCATAGATGCACTTGCATTGCGTCTTGGGGAGCACTCGACCTAAGAGGCTGTTAATGTTCACGTCGTCGCATGCGATCCCTAGAAATGTATCAAGAGAACAGAGAAAGAGGTTTTGACGGCTGCACGTCGCTTTCAAGTTTCACGACAACAACTTGGTGTTGTGTTCCACTTCTCATTCTCTCGTTAGTACTCAACCCTGGATCATGCATTTGCTTGATTACTTTCCTTGCCATCGACTTGACCTCATTCCACAGTCGTTCTCACACCCTGGTCGAAGGACCCACCCATTGAGCCTCTTGATTGAGCATTGAGACAGGCGGAACAGAGTATTAATCAGAAACCGTGTCAAACTGATAAATTAGGAAGTCTGGAAAACGTTGATTTTGGTCAGGAAGCACGTTGGGGAGTAGATCTAAGCCTTTGTGACAGTATGCGGCTTGAGCTCATGTACTCGTGCGCTATGGATACTCCCGCGTTGTGTGACATTGGTTTTCCAGACTTACCAGGTTCAGAGATCGTAGACAGCTTCGATTTCCCTAGCAATGCGGTCATCTCTGGAAGTATATACTGCAGATCTTAGCAAAGTGAGGAGACATCCCAGCAGATTTATGGCAGATTCTATTTTAAATCTGGTTGCATTTTGTCTTAATGGCTACACAGCTGATTTCAGATTGGATATGGCATGCAGCCATATGCATCCATACTCGGCTGGGCAGGTACAAGAAGAATCGGCAACGGCATGGGTTTCTCGGCCCGTAGCGTCACATCCATGCTATGTGCTCCCCGACAAGGCACTTAATGCCTGGTTATCAGCGATTCTGCGACCAAGAAGTGTAGGTGTAGGAGCCAAGTTGTACGGCTAGCGCTTCTACCTTTGGTCGTACTGCAGACTGCCGGATTTATATAGGAACGGTGGATGTCCACGGGAGTGCAATCCCCAATTTCCACAGATTCTCATACTCCACAGGGTCTCCGTTAGAAAACACAGGGAATAATCTGTAAGACAGTCTGAAGCCCTTTCGCGGAGCCACGGAACACAAAACCTCCAATGTAAGCCTCCATGACATGACCGACATGCGCAACTTGACTTACTAAGTGGACATCTAGCGCCAAAGATGTGCTACTTCGAGAAGATCCACTTCATTCCGTGCGGCCACGATGAGAAACGGCTCATTCAACACTGCCATTTTGCCCGCAACGACCCAAACCACCAATGCTTTGGCGCTTGGAATATCAAGCGGGAATGGGAGCAACACGAGTCAGAATGCAAGGAGTGTACCGCCGCGAGACGAGATTTCCAGTACAGAAACACAAACACGCAATATGGATTCACTAGTTCCAAATGAGTACAGTTGGTCTGATCTTTGCATGGTGTGAAAACTGGGTTCTCAGTGCATCGAACGGTAGTGGGAATAGCCTCGATGGCCAGTTGTTGGCTTCATTGTGAATAACGATCTTACGTATGTACATTTGGTATCTGGTGCGAGCCACTGAGGCAATTCACAATTTGCTTGGCGTAAGGTTTGACATTCTATTATGTATTAGTGGTATAGGATATGCATGAAAAGTCCTGGGGTGGACCACTCAATTGAACCCTCGTCATCCTCGATAACTGCGTTTGGCGGCAACTTGCTCGCCGATTTCTTTGAACAGAATGAAGCGGTCGCGGTACTGGGTAAGCTAGTGACAGCCCGAGTGAGCTTTCCACTCCAGAGTGACTGTTGGGTAATGTCCTTATTGATTCGTAGACTTCACTGCATGAATTTTAGCAAGTCACACTCTTGATGCAGCTTGTGTAATTTTTGTCCCTGCTATCGGCATATCGCAACCGACAACCTTCGCGCGACGGTTAAATTTGATATTATTGTGAGACGTCTCTAGCGATTAGGCAGGTACTCCGGCGTGTACATCCTCTCACAGCTTCAAAGGCTCGCACTATTCTCGGGTTGGAGCCGTCCAACGATGTTGTATCTCTTTGAGAAGAAAGTGTGCCAGTCGTTCAAGACCTGTAACTTGTCCTCGGCAAGGTCTGAATAGTCTGAAATACAGTCTTTCGGCTCAAGAGAAGACAGCCCCAGCGCTCGGTTAGGCTCCTTGCCGGTAAAGACTGTAGGCACACGCTATTAGGAACGCATGTCACGCCGCATGAGGATGGTACATTTAACTGACCATGATAGTTCTTGCCCGGCGCGTACGTATCTTTACCGCTAACGTCAAAGACATCGCCCTGATCATCGGTGAATGCTCGAACGAGATGCCTTTGAAGGACTAGGGGTTTACCTTGATAGCCACTAGCGTGGGGAAGCCTTCGTTCGTACCTATCGCTCGCCATTAGCACTATCTCGCTGAGTGGACCTCAAGCACGCCGTACCATCGCATTTTGCCAGGTAATCGCGGGTAATGACATCATCTTTCGGGGGAGCGAGGTTCACGGGCTGCTTGGGAGCAAATCTCTCTTTCTGCTGTGGGGCTGAAGAGTCGGACATGATGGAATGCTGATGAGCGAAAGGGTGTGGATTTTTAGATGCTGTCCAGGTGTCTCGCAAACACGAAGCATCGCGCCCCGCGCTAGCCCCATTTTGGCAAGCCGCCGCTCTTTCGCCATCTCGCCGGCGCGCGTCCACGCCGTCGACGGGTACGCTTTGGCCACGAAATCTCGTTACTACAAAGGCCAGAGTCTCACTCGAGTTCAACATCAACTGTATCTGAGCAAAGTAGAGAAATTCCCGCATCGATAACGTCCATGAGCCTCTTCTGTACGACTTGCTACACGCTCGCATTTACGGGCGATGGACGGATGGGCACGGTGTATATTGATAGCGAGTACTGAGCAAAGCTATAGGGTCGGTATGGATGTTTTTATGATCATATTGCCACGCACTGCCTTGAACATGCTCCTCAGTTTTTGACAGGCTGAGCAACCATGATTCGAAGGAGCGACTGTACTACCTCCGCTGCGGCAAGCACGGTAGTTTCGCCAGGGTTGTCATAGATCGGTGCAACTTCCACTAGACCTAGTCAGCATATAAAAGGTATGGTACGACTGCTAAGTCCGTACCCACGTCTGCGCCAACGATATCGAGCCCAGCTAGACCATCGAGAATCGATAGCAGCTCACGAGTTGTCCAGCCACCTACTTCGGCTGTTCCCGTTGCTAATAGTTACTGTCAGCTATGATGTTCCTTGGTCGGTGTTGCCAACTGGTGCGGGGTCAAGAGTTCCACATAGACGTTTCGTTTGAGACTGACCTGGAGCGAACGCGGGGTCGAGGACGTCGATGTCGACTGAAACGTATACCTTTGAACCAGCCACTCGTTTCTTGAGCTTTTCGATGACCCCAGAGACACCGATACGGTCAATGTCTCTGGCTTTGACCATTTCAAACCCACATCGAAGGTCATTCCTTAAATCGCCTCTCGGTCGAACGACCGGTGCCCGAATACCAGCATGAATCGATGTGTTACGAATCAAACCTTCCTCATGGGCGATATGCAAGAACGTGCCGTGATTAACCCCGCTGTGGAACGGATAAGCCAATCCTGTATAACGACTGATATGGAGACCTACGCGTAATGTGACACCCCGCCCCCAAGTACTCTTGGATCCCACGTGTCTGCGCATTATACATCAACGACGTACCACTGTAGGCCAAACTCCTTACCTATATGGCTGTCAAAATGAATGACACTAACGGTTCCCCAGCGTGAGGCGACTGAACGCAAAGCGGAAAGTGTGGTTGTATGGTCTCCTCCCAATGTTACAATTCTCGGTATTGGATACTCGCTTGAGTTGGAAGCCCTTCCAGATATTATCTACCCAATCATCAGAACCTTCTCCAACATAATAAAGTAACTTACCCGATGGCTCGTATCAAGCTGCTTCAACGCTATCGTGTTGTCCTAGCTACCATATCAGCTGTCATCTTAACGATCTCATAGCATAGTCCACCCACTAAGAATGTCAGAGGCGCATCGCCGCAATCGACTATCTTTGATCCAAAATCGTAGAATACATTCTTTCCTGTTGGTGTAGGACACAGGGTTAGCTTCTTCACTTGTTACGGTTACCACACTACTACTGCGTCGGGTAGCGTAAAAAAGAGACGCAAATGTTAAACTTCGCCTCGTAATGTTGAGCGTCTGGTGTGTAGACCGTTGAGTTCAACAGCCGCAGTGCAGTACACCTTGATCGTGTAGCCCAGGACCGTCTGGAAGACTGCTCAAATAGCATTTATATAAGAATGTGGGTTTTACCAGTGTAAATGTCCCATGCAGCGTCCGGATCTATCCTCCGAGAACCCTGGCGAATGCCGCCTGGTCCAAACCGTGCACCTGGTCTTGCAGTCACACCCTGTTGTCCATGTTAGCTCAGGACCAGGTGTCTCCTCGATCTAAGGGTGGATTATGTTTTGATGTGGGCTCCAGTTGGCCACCTGCACCAAGTGCGTGGCTTTCGTGCTGCTTGTGATTGCAATAATGCCTACAAAGAATCTAGCCGATACGCGTCCCATGCTATAGAAGCACATCAATAAAATCGCAAATTGGAGCGGCAAAACCTAGCCTGCATGCGTGATGTATGGTGGGACGATGACGAAGCACGCTGTCCCGATTGCTTCAAGCAACCGTATCTTGGGGTCCAATCATACATGAATCGTTGTTCAGACTGATAGAGAGTCACTTACAGTGTCGAAAGGCGCACCTAAAATTGCAATATCAAATTTATCGACTTGTTGCCCTTCTCTGGCTAAACAATGGACGTACGGTAGATTGGCATAAGTAGTCAAACCTGCAAAGGCTGGGCCCGCTGTCACGTCAATTTCCCCTCCATGGCCTAGCACCTGCTGATTTGCAAAGCCGGAGACAGGTGGGAACGTGATCTCACGTGCAGCTGAAGAAGATAACAATGCCATGGCTACCAGATGCAAGGACACCATTGTAGGCGCGCGATTCGAAGATAGTAAGTTGAATTGAGATAGTAAGTCAGCGCAGAATTGGAGGATCCTGTGTACTCCTCGAGCCCACAAATCGCTAACACTGGACGTGGAGGACTATGACGTTCGTCGCACTAGTGACGAAACGGAATGGCCACGCTAGCTCATCCCGCCTTCCACGTTACAAATCGGTTCCTATATACTTTCATCTACACAGGTGGAGATTCAGAACACGTCCCTTGTCCGTCGGAATTTATACTGTCGAATTGCATGCCTATCTGGAGATATCCTTCTCGTGCATACTGTCACGCCGAGAGTCGTCTGATCGAGACTCTTTTTCGCACGCCAAAACGAACTGATTCCTGTAACCATTCTCTTGCGCTTCCGCGCACTTCTTCCTGTACAATGGCATACCTCCCATGTAGTTCAAAGACTGGAGACGAAAGTCAATACTTGCCAGCATGGCTACCTAGGGGATGCTCACCTCTCTGGCCTTGCCTGGGATATTGTCACCGAAATACCAGCTCTTTGTGTCCTTGAAGAGGCCTTCCTCCGCTCCTTCGTTGACATGTTCCTTCCACACAGTCTCGGCTTCCACTGTGGGCTCAAGTGATCTTATGCCATTCTCTCGCATAAATGATAAGGTTTCGCCGATCCACCTGCCCTGCGTTTCGGCACACTGTGGCCCAGTCGCAAAGGCCGTCGGTGCCTGAGGACCGTATACGAAGAACATGTTCGGGAAACCCGCTGACATCATACCAAGATGCGTCCACACACCTTTCTCCCATTTGTCTTTTATGCAGGTGTTTGTACCTCGAATGTCAATCTGAGTCAGGCCACCTGTTACGGAATCAAACCCAGTGGCAAGGACAATGACGTCGAAGAACTGTTCGTTACCGCTTCTGGTTTTGATACCATTCTCAGTGAAAGTTTCGATGGGATCGACGTTGAGGTCGACGAGAGATACACTATCGCGATTGAACTGCTCGAAGTAATTCTGTTCAAGGCTGATTCTCTTTGTGCCGAATGCATGCGGAGCAACTTCGGGAGCCAACTTCGCTATCATCTCGGGTTTTCGCAATCTGGCGATAGTCTTCTCCCGCCAGAACTGATACGCAAGATCGTTGGCTTTCTTACTCTTCAGCGTGTCAGTGAAAGTTCCCAGCCAGAAGTAGACTCCGCCTTTATTGAAGAGCTCTTCGTACAGCGCATGTCGTTCCTCTTCTGTCACATCGAATGTTTTGCGTGGATCGAAGTCGTACAGGAATCCACAGTATGTAGTCTTCATCTTTTCTACTTGTTCGGCGTACTGTTGCTTCGAGAGTTTGTTCCATTCCTCATCTCTGATGCACTGTCCCATGGGAAGAGCCATATTGGGAGTTCTTTGGAAGAGGGTAAGCTGTTTGGCAATCGGCGAGACTTCTGATACGACCTGTACACCACTGGCTCCTGTACCGATTACGGCGACACGCTTGCCTTCGAGCTCGATGTCTTCTGACCATAATGCGGTATGGCACATTACTCCTTTAAAAGAATCCATACCAGCAAATGGCGGAACGTAATGCTTTGAAGCGAACCCTGTGCAGAAGATAACATACTTGCAATGCGTTGTGCTCACAATTGTTCCAGTGTTCTCCGCATCCAAGCGATGTTCGATCCTCAGATCCCACCGACTCTTGTCCTGGTCCCAATACGCGCGCGTCACTCTTGCTTGGAAAGTAATATCTTTCCACAACTTCCAAGTGTCGGCAATGTGGTTGAAGTATTTCACCATCTCATCTCTGCCAGAATACCTTTCTTTCCATTGCCATTCTTTATACAGCTCTGGCGCATACAGCTGGTATACTGGGGTCTCAGTGTCCACACGCGCCCCTGGATAGCAGTTCCAATGCCATATTCCTCCAAGCCCGGTCCCGGCTTCGTACATGTGCGTTGCAAAACCGAGATCCCGCATGTGATGAAGGGAATAGACACCACCAAATCCGCCCCCAACCACGACCACATCGTACTCATCTGGGGCTGGAATAGAACCCATTGTCACTGTGACTTTACGCCGCTGCGAAAGTAATTCAAAATTTACAGAGGAAGCAAAACGTCGCTCGGACTTACGGATGGAGCATACGCTTATTCATAGCCCGTGTCGTCTACCTTCCTTCACTTCGTGTTTGACGTCTCGCCTCTCATGGACTCTTCGAGTGGAATTCATTTTCCGATAATAATTAGTAGGCTCTCTGAATTCACTGACTCACGCGCAAGCCCGTAATATAGCGTGAGCCTTGGCTCCCCTTCGCGGTCGTTCGGGTGTCTTTCAGCGCTTTGCTACTCGGTGGACATCAGTGTTGGACCCTGACCCCGCAATCCCTTACCATTGCCTGCGGAGCTAGATTGTCTAGTCTCCTCGGTTACTGAAATTTGGCGCTATTATGGTTGCACGACGATTGAATAATTGGTCCAATATGAACCCAGATAGCCTCGGTCACCACAATGGTACGTCTAGGGCGCCTCCAGCATCCTTTCATTGGCCAAGAGCTCGCACAAGGGCGGAATTTTTGGCCGTATGTGAACTGGTCTTGTACACGACAGCATTTATGTATCAGAACTTGCGAATAGTTAGATCATGTCCCAGACCCGCGGGTTTTCTGGAATCGTGCATGCACACACTGGCGGCTTCAAAGTGTACACTGAGCTTCCGACAAAATGAATACCGAGTCTATTCAAGTATCAAATGATGGACTGGAGAAATCAGAAACTCATAAGGGGGAAAACATTGGTTCGCATGCGACGCGGGTTACCACCGAGGGAGCTGTTATAGATGAAGTTACCGGGGAGGAAGTTGAGCCCGTTGTTACTTTTAAGACATGGATTGTGGTAATGGTACGTGGCTTCTTATTCTCTATAGATGGCGACTGCTAACGTGCAAGATCCTTTCTTGTGGTTATGGACTGTCTTTCTGGCCTATCCCGGTCATGGCCAACATTGGCGGCCTGATTGCCACTTCCTTTGACCAGCCCACCTCCTACGTGTGGTATATCCCGGCATGGACTATCTCCATTACTTGTTGTTTTATGATATGCGGCGCGAACACTGATCTCCTCGGTCGGCGCTGGTTCCTCGTAGGCGGCAATCTTGTCTCGACCGTTGGGCATATTGTTGTCGCTACAGCCAAAGGACCACGCGCAGTCATTGCGGGCATGGCAATAGCAGGGTTTGGCGGAGGCAACTGTCAAATGGCAGCTTTCGCTCTGCCCGAGCTGCTGCCGAACAAGTGGCGACATATCGGCGTAGTGATCGCAGACTTTACAACAGTGATAGCGGTCATTGTCGGACCCATATCCGGATTGTACGGTTTTCACGAGGGTTCGTGGCAGTGGAACTTTGGAGTAGCTGCAATCGCTCAATTCCTTTCCTTCCTGGGCTTGTTGTTCATGTATTTTCCCCCGGCGCATCCGTAAGTGCCCTCTACAGCCAATGACCTGTACAGCGCTGATTACGACAGCTACGGTATTCCCCCAAGACAGCTCCTCCGAGAGATTGACTACGTTGGTACGTACCAACCTTTCAAACTGGCATGCCAGAGGGTCTTCTGCTGATCGCCATACAGGGATGTTCTTGTTCGTTGCGGGCGCAGTGCCTGTCTTGGTGGGCATCGTCTGGACCACTGTCTTTCCGTCAGATGACGCTCACGTAGTAGCCGCACTGGTCATCGGGTTCGCTTTCATTGTGGCTTTTGCTCTTTGGGAGATCTTTTCCAAGACCAAACATCCGCTTACTCCTACATACGTCTTCACGTCATCCTGGGGTCGCGACTTTACAGCCCCTGCCATCGCCCTGGCGGTCGTCAACATGTTTTACTATTCTAGTAGCATCATATGGCCCACCATCGTCATCTCTTTCTACACGAACGGTGGGGTCAATTGGCGCTACGCTATGGCTCTATCTTTACCACAAGGCACGGCTATCACATTTGGTGCGATTCTGCTGTCAGTATTTGGTTCCAAGATCAAGCGCTGGCATTGGCAGTTGACAGGCTCTGTGTTCGTCATGGTGCTCTTCGGGTCTTTACTGGCGCTCGTTACACCGACGAACAAGGGATTGATGGTTGCGATGGTGTTCTTGTCACAAACAGGCTATGGCTGGGCGATATACCTGTCCATTGCTGTAGCGCAGATGGGTGTTGAGCATAAGGATCTGGGATTGAGCGGAGGTATTGCAGGCGTCTCTCGCTTTGCAGCTGGATCAAGTAAGCCCCATCACCACTATATCTATTCATACGGCTTATATTATACAGTCGCCGCCGCAGTGTACACGACGATTCTGTCCAACGAAACTACAAAGTCGATAGCCAAGCTAGTTCCCGCCGCCGCAATCGCCGCAGGCCTTCCAGTCTCGAGCATTCCCGACCTTATGAAGGTGGTGGGTACTCCGGCTCTGGCTAAGAACTTCAGTCCGGAAGTAGTAGCCGCCGTAGGTGCGGCGGTGGCACAAGCAACCGTCCATGGACTCAGGTAGGTATCATCCTAGCACTGTCATCCTGTATTAACGACTCCTGTAGACTGGTGGCGTTCGCATCTTTGGCCTTTGGTTGCGTAGGTATTATTGCTTGCTTGTGTTGCAAGGATGTCGATAAGAAGATGAACAATAAGGTTTGTACCCTGCATCATCAAGCGGGCGGTTATGACGGCTAACCCCTGTGTTAGATTGAGGTTTATCTTGAGAATACGGAATATGCCGACAGAAACAAGTACCACTAGTGGTGCATCTCACCAAGACAATCCTACAACACATATAGCTGATATTCCATCAATTCCAATGTTGTGTCGCCTAAACACTATTTTTACATGCTTGCTTGCCAATATTGCAGGAATCAACGAACCTCAAACCAAGCCACCATCGACCAAAAAGTCTTGTCCTGTCGTGTAAGAGCTTGCCTCACTCATCAAGTATAGCATTATGCCAGCGAGTTCTCCCGGATCAGCCAGACGCTTCATAGCACAGCTGTCGACAAATAATTGCTTTCTGCTTGGATCCTGCTCCATTATGCCCTTAAGCATGTCGGTCAACATAGTTCTGTACTTGTTCAGAAGGCGGGTCTCGATACTTCTCTCGGTGCTTACCCTGGTGAGATTGAGTTGACTCGTATGTTATGCTTGGCCATCTCGTGCGCGACCTGCTTCGCCAGTCCTCGCACGGCGAATTTGGATGCGGTATACGCAGCGATGGTTTGCGGGGCGAGTGATTTGTGACCTGCCGTAGAAGATATGCACACGATGCTGCCGCCGGTCTTTTGTTCGACCATCTTGGCTGCACAGTGTTGGAGGGTAAAGAAGACGCCGGTCAGCTACCCTGTTCATCAGAGACCCGGTCAAGAATCTTTGGGAGTTGACATACGTTGACATCGATCGTGTCTCGCCAGTCTTTCTCTGTGTGCTCTAAGAATGGCCGATCTCGAATGATACCGGCCGCAGGGATGCTGTTGCCGATTAGCTTGATCGAAGCTGGCTGACGTTCCTCACTGACCATCCGTCTATACTGCCAAACTCTTCATATATCTTGTCGATTGTCTTCTTCAAAGCCTCATAATCGGTCACATTAACTCGATAGTACTTGTAGTTTCCACCGAAAGGCAAGCTCGCGAAGTCCGCTGAAGGCTGCTCATTCAGGTCAATTGCCGCGATGTTGGCACCGCATTGAGCGAGCGTGTGTGCGAAGGTAAAGCCGAGACCGCGGCAACCTCCTGTAATAACAATATTCTTGCCTTGCACATCGAACTTCTTGAGAATCGGGTTATCGGCAGGCTCGTTAGAAGACATTACGAAAATGGAAGTAAACAAGTTTCGGATGCTGTCTAATCTTGTAGAACGCACGATGACCCTGCTGTTCACAGAGATGCCCGGCAATGCTGCCGGGTAACAACCCCGCTCCTTGTGAGTGCTATAGGGCGCTATGAAGGCGGCATCGTCTCCTTTTCCCCGCTTCCCCAACGTAAGGATGCAGCGCGGAATTAGCGTTACGCTACTGACACGCTGTGAGCTCGTGATGCAAAGGTGCGAAAATGAATGAAAGGATGCTCCGACGAGTGGAATCGCACTACCGGTAATTGCATCACAGGTAAGCGCAATTTCACTTCTAACAGCGAGCTAAAACCACAAGATCTGCCTGCGTTGCCTCCGTTCGAGATATGTTCCCAGCCACGACGACTGCATAGCTGTATGGAACAGAGGCACTTGCCAACGAATTACTCCAGCTCGAGCCGCCGTTGCGTTACATTACGGTAGCGATTCACTTTCGACATAAGATTCTATCAACCACGCAGACTTGCTTATGCGATTATGGTGCAACTTCTCACAAATGTGAATTCCGAGGGTACAATATGAGATGTTTCACCTTTGTCGATGCTACATGGCACTGGGAAGAGTTAAGGCGGGCTTCAGTAGCGATATCTAGCAATGACTGACCAGATAAGATTTGACAGTTTCCAAAGACCTCTTTGGAACCGCCGCAGGATCTTTGCACGCATTCAAGGGGCTTTGCAGCGACCACCGAATCCGGGCACCGATCTATCCTCAGCAGGCGGTGAGAAGCTGTATAGCTATGTGCCTGATCCTCGCCTCAATCTTCTGACGCTGGCGTTCATTGATATCTTAGCCGGCACTAAATTATGGGGCTGATAATCTTGACTTTGGTATATAGGTTTCTACTCCGGAACGCATGCTCCTACTCACGAGGCCACTTTGCCCTGTGGTACCACCTTTTGCCTTGCCAAGACAAGGGCTTGAGGAATGCTGTAATGAAGACGCAGCACACAGCAATATTGGAATGTTCTTTTAGAGGCACCTAGCGATGAAAAACATGTGGAACTTGCGTGATGTCATCGTTCGGTTGCCTCGCCGTCAGCATAGCACGCGTCTTTATGATTGTCTCGAGTATCTACTCTATGAGGCTAGGTGCGACAGCAACGAAGTACCACGAAGGGAGAATACCCTTTACGAGTCTCTACAAGAGGCTGGAAATCATGAGAGGTCTGGTCTATAAAGGCTTGCGAGATGCCTCACTCAATACGACATCTTCAGCATGTTTAGCGCTCTTGTCATTTGCCTGTTTATCGCATGCAGTGCAATTGCAGCTTCAACTGGTCATGAAGTCGTCTGCGGTCCATCATCGAACTGCGAAATCCTCAATTGCAGCGGCACAATCTCCCACCACTTCAAGCGCGGTCTCGGCCTCAACAGCTCTGACTATGCCGCGCGCTTCGCCACGCATGAAGCCCGTGGCGACCTTATCAAGACGTACATAACCCTAGGAAAAACAAAAATAGGCTGGGGCTGCGACCAACCCCTCGGACCCATCTTCAAAGAGGGCATCAAGAAAGTCTGCGGCGCCCACGGCTGCGCCGAAGATACCTCGTACACCAAAGACGTCTCATGGGTCGACGCCAACCTCGCCCGTTCAAAGCCGCAGAAACGCAAGCTCGAGCTCAAAGCTAAGGGTGAGTACGACTCGCAGGCTGATCTGGACAACTACATCAAAGCCTTTGAGGCCACTGCGACGCCGAAGACGGTTGGCACGGAGAACCGCGAGTGGTGTGATGCAGAGGTTAGTCACTGGATGAACGGCGGGTGCAAGGAGATTGGAACGTGTCCAATGCGTATGTTTCCAAGCTTTGTTAAGATTGCGAGGTTCAGGGGGGGAATTTAAAGGATATGATCGATGTTACGGTTAGCACCGATGGAGGGAAGGGTGAGTTACTACTGATTGCTTTGCCGACGTGTAATGCTGAAGATAAGAATATAGATGATTGCTTGGGGGAGAATCTGTTAGCGTCTATTGGAGGAGCGATTAACCCACTTGCCGGGGGCTTTTTTGGGGCTGCATCAGCGTGCTGTGGAAGTGACAAGTGCTGAGGCACCGCAGGGGTGCAAGACTTGATCACTTTAGATCCGGTGGATCAAATTTAGACTCACCTCTTTTTGAGGTTCAGAAGATGCAGATTTCTTTGGTCTTGCCGAAGAACCGTCTTTCAGCCTACTCTACATGTTGCTGTCCACCTGCATTGGAGATTACTGTGGGCCCATATACCACCAGTCCGACACAAAAATTGTTCACACCCAATATGCCCGCCAAACCTCTCTGCTTCCCGCTTTCACACACTTGACCATCTCAATCCTCTGTGCACTTTCCACCTTATTCCGCTTCCTTCTCAGCGTCCTCCGCAAAGCCGCATTCACCTTCTCTGTGTCTTCCATTATCCACTCATCCTCCTCAATCTGCACTCTCAGCCCCTCCACAACCATATCCCTCTCCCGAACCCGCCGTCTCAGCCGATTGACCTCGTACAAACAATCGCGCTCGCTCTTCCCCAGTCGAGACTCCAGCGAAGACACCTGCACCAGCGCGTCGTCCATCTCCTCTATGACGAGCCGTAGAGTCTCGCGGAGGTTGGCGCGGGACGCGCTGGCGGCGAGGCGCTCATGGGATAGTGCGGCTCAAGTAGCGAGGTGTATGTTTTCGTTTTCTAAGTTGAAGTTGTAATACGCAGATCTTGGACGTGAAATTTGACGAGGTCGAGGTTTATTTCCGTGGAGTTACTGGCTTGCGTTAATTCGGCGTCATTTTGGAGTACGGTACGCAGGTCGGTCTGCGTGCGCTGTAGGCCAATGTATACTTTATCGAGGCGCTGGTCTAGAAGGGCGAGACCATCTTGCATGGTTGTGTATTCTAACCGCAGGATTTCAAGCGCTCGAGTGTCAGTAATAGGTTCTGACTGTGGGACAGTTGAGCGATGACAAGGTGTTGGTTGCATGGTTGGTTTTATGTGTAGGGTAGCTGGGAAATACATGGTGAGCTCAGCGGGTTCAGAGGTCAGCAGGCAGTGGGTTTGGATCTGGCGACAGTTTTGGTGACAGTTTTGGTGGAAATTATTGGTTTTATTTTGTCATAGTATTGTGATAGTATAGTACTGTGCACTGCAAGCTTAGATAGCTTAAAGACAACCGACCTTGACATTGTACAGTCCGCGTCTGGCAAAACGCGCATGGCAAAGCCACCCAGTCCATTCCAAAAAGCTGTAATGTAGAGCATAGAGAAGCCTCGACCTGAGACTTTTCAAAACCCACTCATCCTACTCTTGACTTTCTTCTTCTTCATCGATCTCCCACCGTGCTTACCCGGCTCCACTTGACTTTGCACAACAAACATCTGACTGTGACTTGGCGCAGGCTGGCTACTGGCTGCTGGAGCAGCCGGACCAGGCGAACTTCGCAGCAGCTGTGGCTGACTTTCGGTTCTCCCAGTCTCGACTCTACCTGTGAAGAGCTCGTTTTCTCTCCTCTGCCTCTTCACTTGCCGTTCTTTCTTTCGGCGAGCCCTCTCACGTTTCTTTGACACGCCTTCTTGCTCTAATTCGAGCTCCTCTGCAAAGGCTCGTTCGGTGCCTTCCCAGTCGTATGTAAAAGGATCGGCCTGAAGCTGCCAATGGGAGAGGACTTGTTTAATGCTTGGTGGTACATCCGGAGGTGTGACATTGTTCATGTGCAGGTATTTGCTCAGGCGTGCCAGTGGGCCACTGAGAGTGATATTCGACGTCCGCGGATTGTCAAGGCTGGCAGGATCGCTAGGTTGCGAAGATTGTAAGCGCAAGTCTACCTGAGAGGATGAGTGCGGAGGAGACGAGCGTTCAGCAGCGACATGCTGGTTGAAGCCGGTGCCAAAGGCTGGAGGACTTTTTTGATGGATTGAATGACGGATTCGCGTGCTAGCCATTAGTATTTCACCTGCGAGACGGCGGGCCGAGCGCTCCTTGCTTTGCCGGATCCGGGCGGGGATAGCCCCTGGCAAAGATGCGAGCCAATTCTGGAGGACCAGGTCGTAAACAGACGACAGTGAAGAAGCCTGAGCTCTCTGGTCGCCAAAGCCGAGGACGAGAGCCGATGCAATCATGTGGGGCTCCAAAGAAGACGCATATTGTTTTGGAAAAAGCAAGTCCTGCAGCTTTGTAGAGGCATCTTCGATGTCTTGCACAGTCACAATTGCCTCTGCATATTCTTGCAATGTCCCCAGCGTGAAAGGCTCCACGTTCTCTTCTCTGTCAAGTCGCCAGATGATCTCTTCCACTAAGCCCACGACATCGATGCTCTCAGACAATGAATCCGCCTGGTACAGTGAAAACGGATTGTTCGAGCCAATGGCCTCGTACAGGTCAGTGAAGTCGAAGACGTCTCGGGATGAAGAAGCGGCCTCGTTCTCGTATCGCTTCAGCTGCTGGAATTCAGATTTCAGATGCGGCTCGTTCGAACGAATAAGGCCATTTGGCTCAACAAAGTCGTCTTCATCGCTGTCCACGATGTCTTTCGAACGCACGACGACCGATTTGACGGCAGTGGCCCAAGACGTAGATTTGACGTCTTCGAGGGTGACGTCACCCGAATCATGCCCCAAGCTGCATAGCATAGTCTGGGCCACGCTAAGATCATCGAAGACAGCGGATAGTTGGTAGAATTGGATTTCACGATTCATGTAATCGTCACCCACTCCCCTAGAGTCTCCCAATGTTTCCTTGAAGTCGACACGAGCCAAGTTAAGGTCAATGAAGAGCTTAGAGGATTGCGCATTGTCGAAATTATCGAGGCGAAGCATGGTCGGCCCGAAGGTGCGATATGGGGCCCCGATAGACGTTTGGTCCACCAAACGGTACACTGTTATCAATGTGTTCACGCGCGAATGAATGAAGACCACCGTTTCTAACGGGGTGTCAGTATGTAAACGAGACCAGCTGGGGATACACATACCTTTATCTGATATCGACTGAGTATGAAGCCGCAGCGTAATATCTTCCGTTCCTCTGAAGTGCGTCCACGACAGAACGATGACGGCATCAAGATCGCCAAAGTTGCCACGCGGTTCGTCGGACGTGACCGCGAACAAATACAGGCGGGTGGAAGTGAGCACAAAGAAGAGTTTCTCGTCTAGCAGCGGGTGTCTTCTGACATCCAGGATCCAGGATGGTGATGAATTCTTCGTTGGACGCCAGTCGATTACTTGTGGGATACTAAGAGAACGCGTAGGTTGTTTGAGGTCGATGAGCTCCATTCGTTTGCGATTACAGACTAGGACAGTGTTGGCATCGCCAACCCACACGATGCGGGCCCAACCGTCTTCCCTCCAAGGCTCTAGGCCTTCTTCTTGTTCTTTGTTGCCGTCTTCTTCTTCAGCAGGCATGATCTTGGATGCCACACGCTTCACGACATAGCTGCCTCGGGTGCCATCAATATCCCACACAGACCAGCTTGTCTTTTGGTCAACGATCGCAAACTGACGTTGATAATGAGGATTGAATGTCACATCGGCATGAGGTATGTTGCCAGTCTCCTTGGTGGAGACGGAATGGAAGGGATGGCAGTCTATGGCCGAAGGCGGGAGGTCATATAGACGAGATCTGACAGCAGCAGCCGGACGACGGCGGTAAGCCGGACGAAAGAGGACAACCCTTTGTGGCAGCCGTACCGCAAGAAAAGCCCCCGACCTCTCCGGCTGAGCGAAGCAGACTTGTTGTATGGCTGTTGCGTCCTGGTTCCAGAAGCCACGGCCGCCTTTCCAAGAGAGACAGTCCAAATAGCAACGCGAATCGCTAATTGCGCCCGAGCCCCATCCACGCTTTTCCTTGGAAAGCAATTGTAACTGAAGTATGTTCCCGCCTTCGCCTGCGGGCAGTGCGACAACGCGTTTTGCGAGATGAGCTCGATTGCTCAGTGGTGTGATGGTCCCGAAAGACATCAGCTGCCCGACAGTGGCGTCATGCGCTTTGGGGGAAGCCGTCGCAGCAGCAGAAACTGGCTCGAGTTGCGACACATGCTCGGACGCTGGCACAAGCTCAGGGAAGTCGCGGGAGAGGCTCTTGGTCGCTTGTCGGGCATCCCGCAGGGTTCGTGAGGCGCAGGGCGCAGGAAAACGTATTGCAGGAGGCACAACAGTCGTCCACGGGTCAAGCTGTCGGAAGCCTGCGCCAGTAGAGGCCCGGACAAAAGCCCAGCGACTGTTCTCGAGGTCGTATGCGGGTATCCCAAAGTGACCGGTGTTCAGGTCGTTCGGCGAGTCGTCAGTCATTTGGCTGAAGGAGCGGTCGTAGGCTATATGGAGGCGCGAGAGACCGAAGCATTGTGAGGCAATGAACCTCGTCCTGCTCTCATCAAGTGTCGGTTGTCGCACAAGTGAATGCGGGAGCTGTCCGTCCGGGCGCGCAGAAGCCGACGACTATTTTCGCGGAAAAACACGGGATCACGTGCGGGCTCTTATCGATAGTGTCGGCGCTAACCCGGTTGCCATTGTTTACGGCGCAACGCTTGCCAAAACAGAAGCCCACCCCATTGACGACCACGACTTGCGCCAAAAGCAATCTGCCACCTGATACTTGGCTTCAAAAGTCAACTACAACCGCCCACACCATGACTACCTTCGAACCTTCGCTCAGCGCCAGCATGCGCGCCTCTTCGCACGATGTGCCGTCCATGGCTGACCAGCTGCCCTCGATCAATTTCGGCTTCGAAGACCTGCGCAGCCGCATGAACCAGTTCACTGCGCGCTTCGACGACTTCATTGAAAAAGGACGGAGACGCGTGTTGGAGGAGCGCAACCAGTTCCGCGTGAATGTTGCAGAAATTCAAGGCACGCTCGTTTCCCAACGGCCTACCCCGGACAACGCATACTTACGATAGTGTAGAGGACCAGCGCATGAAGAAGCGCGATATAGAGATCCTCTCCCTCAAGCAAACGCAGCACTCGCAGAATCTCGCCAAAGAGTCCGCCGAAACCTCAGAGATGCACGCCGCCATTGGCACCCTGACCATGCAGCGCGACGAGCGGATGACCCACCGCGACGCCCTGCGTGCCCAGATCGCCGAAGTCCAAAAGTCCATCTCCGCACGGCGCGAAGCGCAGCTCAAGCACCGCCGCTACCTCGATGGCCAGAGCCGGTACAATGAGCCCGAGCTGGAGTTTTGGGAGAGCTATCTGGGTCTAAGGATCGAGGGACTAGGCAAGGAAGACAGCCTGAAATTCGTGTATACGAATGTATGTGAGCGCGAATGGGACCGGGAGGCCTGGTTCGAGCTCGATACCAGTGAGCGGGAGTACAAAGTCGGAGAAGTGAGGCCAAAGGTGGAAAGGGAGGAGATTGATCGCGTCTTGGAACGCCTGAACGAGACGAGGGACCTTGCAGCGTTCTTGAAAGGCATGCGAGAGCTGTTTGTAGAGGCGCTGAAGTAGGGCCATGTGTTTTATTCTCGCGGTCGGGTCAGGTTCAGGGTCGTTTGAAGCGTTTGGCAGGGACTGGTGTAACGACAGCGTAATACCCAATGATGTTTCCCACTACACATGTCTACTTCTGCTTGACCTTATAATACTCAGGCGCATACTCCGTCAACCAGTCCATCTCGATGGTGGTCAAATCCCTGATATATACCTTTCCCTTCGTCTCCTGTATCTCATGGTAAATGACCCAATCCGCCTTCCGATGGAAGAAAATCGAGCTGGGATGCGCCCAAAGCACCGTCTCCCCTCCTACGGTCACAAAACTTCCGTCGCTCTTCATGCGCGCTGCGTGTGCGAAAAACCCCGTCGTCAGGCACCTCTGCACCCTCTCTGCCATGCTCATGCCCCCGACGCGTATGGCATCCGAAGAGGCGAGGGAGTTCTCCTGTATGCCCATGCGATCGAGGTAGTTCCGCAGCTGCTTGCGCACGCTGACGGCTTTGAGCAGAGCCTTGTAGTTGAGGCTGTTCTCACGACACCACTGGCTCGACTGCTTCCCCACAGCTGGATTCGTAAACGCTTGGAACACATTGTACAACGTAATGTGATCGCCTTCCTTGACGGCGAAGCGCCGCCGTGCTTTCTCGAGGAGCTTCTGGTTGCCGTCGTGGGTTACGAAAGCGGTGCCTTGGAGCGTCATCATCGCGGAGATACTGAGCATCTCGGACAGGCAGCCAAAGGTGGGCGCGTTGAGCAGTGTGCGAGCTAGCATGGGCTCGAGCGGGAGCTCTGCCATGCGTGTACCGAGGGGCTTCGTCAAGCGTCCATGAACATCGACAGCTCCAAGTGAGAAAAGAAGATCGAGAGCGCGGACGACTAGCGCAGAGGGTGGGTTGGAGAGGTAATCGAAGCGGACGAGGTTCTGGATACCAAGGTTCATGAGTTGCAGCACAACGGGCGCCAAGTTACTCCTCTGGATCTCGGGGAAAGTGGCGGACTCAAGAGCCTCAAAGGCAGCTTCGGTATACAGTCTGTAGCATTTTCCCGGTCGTGTGCGGCCGGCTCTTCCGGCTCGCTGTGTGGCAGATGCTTTGGAAACGGGGACTACGTTCAGGCGCTCGATGCCGAGGGCTGGATCGTACGCGCGCAGTTTGACGTACCCTGTATCTACGACGTAGATTATGCCGTCGATAGTCACAGAGGCTTCAGCGATGTTGGTCGCAACAATGAGTTTCCGCACGTTCGCTCCAGCTTTCTGGAAGACGTACATTTGCTGATCGGTCGGAAGACCAGCGTATAGAGGTAGCGGCTGCAACGACTTGGAGCCATGAGGGAGGTCGACGATGCGGTCTGCGATCATATCAATTGTGTCGTCTATCTCTTCCCGCCCGGTGACAAAGAGAAGGATATCGCCATCTGTTTCGCTGGTGTGAATGTTCATGACGGTTTCCACAGCCTTTTCGATGTAGTTGTTGGTAGACGAGGAGAGATAGAAAATGTCGACAGGGTGTGTACGACCTTCGATGCTGACGATAGTTCCAAATTCCTCTTTAGTTTTGTTGTTGATAGTCTCCCCATCATCAGGTGCAAAGAAGTCGAGGAATTTCTCAGCATCAAGGGTCGCGCTAGAGACTACGACTCGCAGGTCTGGTCGTGCTCGTAGTACCTTCTTGAGGAGACTGAGTAAGATGTCGGAACTCAAAGATCGCTCGTGTGCTTCCTGGATAGATGCAAAGTCAGTATGCCGTGATAATGTCAGGTGGTTAGACTATAGAATATAGCGCCAAATTCTCGAACATGAACTAGAAGGAAGCCATGTTGACGCAATTTGGACGTTCCGGTGTCTGTACCTCCTTCTTTGGGGAAGTCTACGTACATCGACCATGACCACTGAGTACCTCTTGAGCAGGGGGTCCACGAGCATCTCACGCAGTAGCAGTCCATCTGTCAAGAACTTGATCTTCGTCCTTTCTGATGTGACATCTTCAAATCGAATGGAATATCTGCAAGCTGATTAGCTGGGTTTCCCTTCACATGTGATAGCTGTCATTTTTCTCCAACGCTAGGTCCAAAGTATGTGTGTGTTGCGTCGCTCCTGCCCGGTTAACACAGCGCACTCAAACTTTGTTACCACAGCACTGTGTCACATTCGACGTACCCAACCTCCTGTCCTAATTGACACCCTAACTCCTCGGCGACACGTGCGCTAACGCTCTATCATTGTGTCAGTATGTGCTCAGATCCGGAGGTCCGAAAGTGGAATACCGTAGCAGCGATTCTTCGAGGCTGAGTAACAGCAATTTGGGAGCCATCATTCGTCCAGCCTGTCTTGAAAAGATACTGAGGAATCTGTGCTGCATCAAAGTTAATGAAGGGATCCACTTCATCGAGCCGAGACCATACTTACTTGTCTTTCCGCTGCCGGTTTCTCCGACCTGGTGATAGTGTGAATCCTCTGTCTCAGGAGGTGACCTGTCGTGTTGCTGCATGCACTTACGATGATAGTGACAGGGAAAGTCTCGATGGCATAGAGAAGCGATTCTTTCAGCTGCGCAATCGGCAACAGGGCAGGGGGCTTGTACAATTCGGCTATTATTGGCGCCCCAAAATCGTCGTCCTCCGCCATTACATGTGACTTGATGGAAGTTCCGCGGCTGGTGAATCCAGAGCCAAGGCCGTCAGTCTGTGGTGCAGCTTGTGGAAAGAACTCTAGCCGGAACGGGCACAAGCGCTAGAATAAAGGTGGGTTAGTGGCTCCCAGCGTCACCTCGTCCAGGTTCCTCCCACAACCTCTTTCCTTGACATCATGACTGGCCGTCCCAGCACCAAGTCCAACCATATACGACTTACAAAAAACACCCCTCATTACACTGACGCGGAAACTCCTTGCGACAAAGAACCAGTGGGTTCCGATGGCACCGTATGCCCTATGCTGAGCCATGCGTATAGTCTTCAAATGCTTCAACAGCCTTTGCATCATAGGAGTATGGGACCGACGGTTCGTCCTCTAGGTACTGGTGTAGATGCGGCGCACTTTTGCGATGGTGCGCTTGCCAGCCCACAAATTTTGCCCGTGGACAGAGTGACAGCAACCGTTCCACAATGGACTCCGCCAGCCCGTATCTACAGTATGTAGTTTCCGCATTCGAATGTCTAGGCATGTCTCGTCGGGTAAGGTGTCTTGTTAGTGGCTGGTATTGAGCGGGTTATCTTCGATACTTTGATTGCCATGCCGCACAGCGACCTGACGTTGTCAACCCCAAAGGTTTAAGTCGCCAGCTCTGAAGCATTAATCGCTACTAAGACACCCTCACCACGTTCACGGAACATTAACATCTCCCACGGTGCGGATATGCCGGATACATCTTGGCCTCAATAGCTTTGAGGGGTTGGATTGACCCTGTCCTCACATGGTCCGCCGGTTGTTCAAGTTTGGTTGGACACCTTCTTGTTTTCGACATATCATTTACATCGCCGGTTTTGCTCCACAGCATTCACCCAAGCTAGAGGGGGCTATCAACGGAATGGCTGACGGGTCTCCGCAGGAAGCGACTCGTATAAGATAACACGTCACGCACGTCTCTTTGAGGTACGCCCACGGTCTAGTCCTTACACACAATCTTTCCTCGCGATTCTACCACCCTCACCATATATATATGATCGTTCTGATTTGTTCGCACTTGCAACAGTATTGTTGGTCTGAAAGGCTTGAATTTCCTAAAATGCGCCAGTTCATTTCGTCCATTCTATCGGCGAGTTTCCTTGCAGCGCTTTCAGTCTCAGAGGAAAGCTGCTGGCCAGAGTGGTCGGGCCTAGCTTCCGACTTCGAAACGCTCTTCATCGAGGATGAGACATGTTCCGACGCAGCTCGAGCTGCCATACGCCTTGCCTTCCATGACTGTTTCCCAGGTTCATGTGACGGCTCCATCATCAACGCAAACGAGTGTACGGAACGCGTAGAGAACACACAAATGGTACGCATATGTGGAACGCTCGGCGAAAAAGCAGATGAGTACGGTCTCGGCACGGCCGATGTTATCCAGTTTGCTGCAGGTAAGCCATTTCTCATTCCCGTACGGAGCTATTGCCAACCAGATGCACCAGCTATCGGACTCGCATCATGCAGTGGTGGTCCCGTGATCTCATTCTACTCTGGTCGTCCGGATTCGTTCTTACCAACTCCCCTGGGAATGATGCCCAACGCGACGACGGACGCCAGAACCATGGTGGATCTTTTTGCGCAGCACAACTTCTCGAAGACTGAGCTGGTCGCCTTGACTGGTGCGCACACGATCGGCCGTCAACTCGATGGCACGGACATGGATAATACACCCGGTGAATGGGATCACAAATTCTACTCGGAGACATCGAGCAACTCCGCGCCGCAGCCGGTCGCTGCTGATACATTTCTAGCGCAAGATGGAGAGACGGGGGAAGAGTGGAGGGCTGTTGGCAAGACGCAAGAAAGCTTCAAGGATGCGTTCATCCCCGCGATGGAGAAGCTTAGTCTGATGGGGAGCAACAAAGATCATATGACCGACTGTTCAGGCGTGGTGCAGTCGTACGCTGGACGTGCCAAAGGGCGAAGAAGAGTGCTTTTGAAGGGCAAGAGGCTGGAGTGATCGGTTTCTGCGATGAGTCCTACACCATTACTCTTCTGCTTGCTGTAGGTGATAAGAAGAGGTACTTAGCGTTCTGTCGGATGTATTAAAAAGCAAGTCTAACTCAGGATAGACGTAAGCTTAGGTACAACAACTTTATACTACTACTCAGTCAGTCACTCGTTCAAAAAAATACTCTGTAACCGAAGACAGCAACTCTTGGTTCTGCTTCTTGCATTTGCCGTCCAACCGCTCCTGCATCGTCAAGCGGCGCTTGCCTGGCTTGCGTTAGTAGGCTGATCTCATGTTCTTCGATGACAGGGTCGAACGCACCAGACAATCTGTCCGCGTCCTCTACTGCCTCATGATGTTCCTTCTTGAGCAGTTGCAGTATCTCTAGCTGTAATCCGGGTCCATCTTCGATGGTTTTGTTATGCGGCTCGAAGTTGTCTATGACCAGATCTAACAGCATATCGAAGACGATCCTCGAAAGGCACCCGGTCTAGACCATTGAGGGACATTTCCTGTTCAGAGTCAGCCTGCAGCTTGACAAATATTCGAACATACGACATGGCACTGTAACGAAAACTCACTTGGTGCATGATGACTCGGATCTTCCATGTTGGAATACCGTTGAGCATCTCCTTGACCTGCTCCGACGCATCGCCATACGGTGTCCCGACTTGTCATACCCCCCAACAAAATGCAAGGCGGCAAAACCGGCTTTTTGGGCCTTATGTTCATGCTCTTGCGTGGGATTTGATGAGAATGAAGTCATGATCAGATGCAAAGGAACATGATGGGTGCATTTCTACCATACTACGAGGTCGTCCAATACACCACTTCTCTCAACCCCACCAAGTCCAGGGGTTCCAAATCGAGAAAGCCTTCACCTTTACTTCTGCGGAACCATTGTAAGCGTTTCCAGGAAGACCGTTGCCTTCTGGCTGCTCTTCGCTCAGCGGAGCATCGTCTTGACGTGCCCATATCGATCGCTCGGAAAGCGGCCCCTCGATACTCCCAGCTCCAGCGCCTTCACTTCGTTGACGCAAAGTGGTATCGAGGCTACGCTTATTCCACCAGTTGAAGAGGCTATCCCACAACGAGTCGGATTTATTCTTCACTTGGACCGAGCCGCCGTTCCACATACTGGGGTCAAGTTGGCTCAGATCGAAATCGCCATCCTGTCGGACCTCGATCGAATCGACTTGTTTGTTCCACAAAGACGATGCCGCAACTTTTACATGAGCTGTGGGTTTGTTCGAAGGAGACACCTCAGATATCTCGGTCCGAGCTGTAGTTAGTCAGCGCATTTGTATTTATCTCTGCCTATCTTGTAGGAACTCACTCGTGACAGGCGCCGCAATGATCCCAGAAGCTGCCAGCATCAATGCTGGTATCAGACGCAGGAGAGCGACCATGTTTGTATATTACGAACTATGAAGAAGGACAGTGGTAGAATCAGCCCACGTTGTACAGGACTTGTGGAAATGAGCGAGTCGAAGTAAGGAATAGCAATATAGAGAGATACCAACGAATGTAGGTATATATATACAAATGCTAGAGAACTCAGCCGATGAATAGCTACTCTCACAGTCTTCCTCGAGGATATTCCCGTGGTGGAGGCACGGGACTTCTTCATCTCGCTAGTGCGACAAGATTTCTCTATAGGATTCATCTTACAAGAACGAAAAGACCCGTTATATCTCATCCTTCGAGAAATTAGGTTCTCGTGTCGTTCGCCCGTGCTGCAGCACTCGTACGGGTAAGGTCACGCTGATTGGACAAACCGTGAACCCCACAAAATAACAGAGGCGCTACGTCTAAATGGGGCAATTGTGTGGAAACTTATTCGAACTGGAACAAGGAGCTTTGTTGCACACTCTATTAACGATCTGTGTCGTACGAAAATAGCCTCCGCAAGTCATTGACCTTCTCGGGTCGGGTTTCTAATACGCGCCTTAACAGGAAGCCAAGAAAAAGGCGTTCACGTAGGCAGACTGCTACAATCTCGATTCTTGAAAAGAAGCGTTAGGCGAGAAGGGCTCAATCGCTACCGAATGGCGAATAGCCAGTCAAGCAACTACTGGCACTCTACTTGTGTACTCAATCTTGCGCTTTCGGCTGCTTGAGCAACTGACTTGATGATTTTCAATAGCGAATGATAAGATACATAAGCTTTCTGCAGGGCTTCTAGAACAGGCAAGGTATGAAAACCATCAATGGTCGATTGATGGTCATTTCTTGGTAGAAGCATGGACTGTCTGCAAAGGGAATACCAAGACACCGCGACCATCTTCGCGTACGACCAGCTCATGCCACAGCCCCTTCAGGATTCATTGGCTGTTACCGCTTGGTCCATCTCCCATGAACATCTAGACCGTGCTTGAAGCCATCATTTACGACTAGTCCGTGCGCAAAATCGCCGCCTGGCGCAAACAGAAGGTCTCTCCTTGGGCATCGAAGTTCGAGGGATTCCCCATTCTCTCCGGCAGTGCATCGTCGCTATGGGCCTCCAGTATGCCTTTCTCTTTGTCTCTTTCTTTGCTTCGATAACGATCGCTTCAAATGAATCTCTTCCTCAACCGTTTTCTTTCTCGAACTCGCAAGTGTGGGACGGCAATGATGGATATTGGTCGTCCTTTATGGTCCGCGTTGGAACGCCCGAACAGACATTTCGTGTACTCCCTGCATCCAGGCACGGCGAAACGATAATACCCATTGCTGAAGGCTGCCTCAAGATGCGTAATGCTCCATCAAATTGTGGCAAACTTCGCGGTGCCTATGCTTTTCAGGGGAAAGACAGCAATGGCTTCATTGTCAATGAGACCAAGTCATGGCAGGAGATTGGACTGTACGAAATGGGCATACGGCCTGAGATTGGTTTCGATGCGAATGCACTGTATGGGTTGGACACTGTTGGGTTACAAGTAGCGAACTCTGGTGGGCCTACCCTTAAGAACATGGTGGTCGCGGGTGTTGCAGAGCCAACAGTCTTCGTTGGTCAATTCGGCCTCTCGCCAAAGCCTTCGAACTTTTCCGAACTGGATAGCCCTCAGCCAAGCTTCATGCAGAAATTGAGAGATGAGAAGCAAATTCCCAGCGTGTCTTACGGGTATACTGCAGGAGCCTACTACAGTAAGTGTAACTATACCCGCTTGTGCGACGATTTATTAAAGCGACCAGAAACCCCGAAAGTACACGGAAGCCTTACACTCGGCGGTTACGACGCGTCACGCTTCATTCCCAACAACATAACCTTTCCATTCGACGCTGACGATGACCGCCCGACATCATTGACGATCCAATCCATCACCGCACAAAATACTCTTGAGCGTACTGTCACGCTTCTTAGAGACCCAGTATATGCCTGGATTGATTCGACGGTTCCGTAAGTCACATTCCGGTACAAATGATAATCTTTTTGTCTTGAACATCGAGACTTCGTACCAACCAAAAATGATACCCTCCTTTGCTTACACTAACATCTTGCCTCGCGTATCTAGGCACATGTGGCTCCCTGAGGATGTCTGCGAACGATTCGCAACGTCTTTCGGTCTGACCTACGATAACTTAACCGATCTCTACGTTTTGAACGACACTATGCACAAGCAGATGGTCGATCTTGATCCAAGTATAACTATCAGTCTCGGTGAGAGCTCTGATCCAATGAAGCGCGTCAACATTGTCCTACCTTACGGAGCATTTGACGTTCAAGCTTCCTACCCGTACTACAAGGAGGCTATGAACTACTTCCCTCTCCGACGTGGCAATAACGAAACGCAATACACACTTGGCAGAGCAGTTCTACAGGAGATGTACATAGTCACCGACTACTCCCGAGGCGAGTTCAAGGTTCACCAGGCACTGTTCCCAGGGACAAATGAGAAGCAACAAATCACACCAATCTACGTGCCCGGGGAAGAACCACGACCAGCCCCCACATCCAACGGAACGGCAAACGGTACTATCTCAACTCCTCCACCATCCACGTCGACGAAACATGCCCTTAGCGGAGGCGCCATTGGAGGGATTGTGGTCGGCAGTGTCGCCGGGATAGGATTCCTCGGGTTTCTCGCCCTTTTCCTCCTTCGTCGCCGTCACACCCAACACGGTCCTGTTTCCAGCGAAGCAGAATCGGAGCGTGGTGCTATACACAGTTCGAACAGTCACGATCTTCCTGCCGAGATGCTATCCCCGACCTCTCCCAGTTACTACGAACACGAAGCCGGCATACCTGGTTACCACTCAATGCAAGAGAAGATGATGTACATATCGGAAGTAGATGGATCCACGCGCATGTACGAGCTTGAGCCTCAGACCGTGATCCATGAACTAGGATCTTCGGAGCAAAAGTTCGACGCTGCAGGTGATGCTAAGGTTAAGCCTATGCCCGACGATGAAAAGAGTGCGCATTAGATAAGCAGGCTAATGCATGTATTCCCTTGGAAGTAATTCTCCCTGTATATATTGTCGCTGTAGATGCCAGCGCTTTCCCTGATGCGCGACGCCTGATCGTCAGCTTCCGAGATGCCATTCTGCACTGCTAGTTGTACGTTGCATGATCCCTCGACAAACGTGTAAACTCCAGGTTCGGCGTAAGCGTCCTGCTGCTTTCAAGTGGTTCTATTCCTTGCCATTGCCGCAATGAAGGCTTTCCAGCTTGCGCCAAAGCCATGATACATATCTGTGCTCCGTTCTGTGACGAATATGTATCTCGCTTTACCCCGCAACATGTGGACGACAAAGTCATCCACGCTTTCTTCTGAAAATCCATGAATCATGTAGCTTGTGTTGCTGCGATGTAATGTAGACCTCGCAAGCCAATTCTGAAAATTCCTCGTGTGGAAATCAGAATATGCTACTTCAGCTACTGTCGCAATGTCCATGCCCGTGATAGCAAGTCTTTCGTCAATTGAAGTGCCAGGATTATGGATGACCTGCAAACTAGACTCAGCAGTCTTCTCTCCATCGCATAGGGCAGTCGAGGGAAGCATACTATGCCATCACCGAGCAATGTGCCCATGTTCTTCACGTTCTGTGTGATTGCTGTAAGATAATTCCTCGCATTTTCCGTGAAAATATTCGGCGTTTCGTCGAAGAAGATCCCGTTCATACCTAGACTTCGGGAGTTTTTGTCCTTCGCCCAGCTTGCGTATTGTCTGATATCTTCGTACACTTCTTGAATTGGCCGGTTACAGTAGGCCGTGCTTACGTAGCCTACCGTGCGTACATTGGAACAAGCGTTAAGCTTGGGTACGTCCCGGAGATAATCAGCGTTTGGCCACCAAGGCTCAGACCCTGGTCCGCTATTTGGGTTCACAATTACAACAAAGCGAAGCGTTGGGTTGAACGCGATGCTGGTCACAGTAAGTAATGAATTCATGTAAGCGAGAGCCGGCAACAGTACGCTTCGAACAGTGGATCCCAGGCACCTGGATCTGGATAGATGTATAAGGGCATGAGGACCTCGGACGTTGGTATCGGAGTAGCCATGACGAGGTTTTACGGTGGTCGCACGCAAAGTGGCGGGCGGTTCTATATCCCAGACGGCATCCCTGCTGCAACCGGCCAATCATCGAATAGCCACGTTTCTTGTTTATCGCCCCTGAAAGACTCATGTATTCCCAACGCTCAATCACTAACGAGTCTCGCGAATTCCGAAGTTTGTAATCCCTGTTCGCTACTTCTTAATGCCAGAATTTTGAGATCCGAGCACTAGATACTGCCCACGGTTATACCACTCTCAATCCTCGCATTCTAGATCGAGCTCGGTGGAACTATGCCTCCCCGGGGATTTCGAACGTTTAGGGCCGTGGATTTCTTTTAGCTTCGAGTCTGCTTCAACCTCGCTCTCGGTCTCTGATTGAAAGATGATAAATGGAAGGTCGCTCGATTCGCTTCCAGCGGTATTCACTTGCATCCCGATGGCTTTAGATACGCGTTTGGTAAATATGGGAGTTTTGATACTTTGAAATGAGGGATATGGCATATATCTCTTCGTCATCATTGGGATCAACGAGAATATCTTCCGAGAAGGAATTCGCCTGCTAAAACACTCCCACCAATCGAAAAGAAGAAGCCGACATCGTAGGTCATGACTGCAAGCATGCTAATCGACCATCAGCCAATCGACTATTAGGAAAAATTAGGTAAATGCGCTTACAGTATGTAGGCAATGGCCGCTCTCGCAAACTCCAAAAGTGCACGGATCCCATCTTGCTTCATGTTCCGACCTTCACCAGCTACCCAAAATTGTCTCCGATGCCTGCGCTTTTCTGAACCTGCAATTGATTCATCCGGACTGAGCGGTTCAGACTCCCCGTGATCTTCGCGAAAATCGACATAGTCATTATCATCCTTGTTCGTGTTCCTTTGTGCCAATCGCCATGAGCGCTCAAGCTGCCACTTCACTGTACCAAGAAACCGCCCAAAGAACCCGAGAGTAAAGAGAAGCAGAATGGTGATACCATAGTTGATCGCGTTTCGTAGTGGCCAGTCCGTGAACAACCCGAAAGATGCTCCAGCAGTGTTCAGTGAAGTTCGATTGGTGGCATCCATGTTTGCTTCCGACAGGATCGCGTCGCACGCTTTTTGAAGGCTACCTTTATGAGAAAATTGGAAAAATCAATTGAGGTGCAGAAACTTGGTACATAAATGGTTCGGAGTCCGGAGAGAGGAGATTATGCTGAGTTAGCGGGCGCACCCCTGTCAGCGTGGTCGCTTACTCCGTGTAGGCAAACGCAGTGTCCACGATGGAACTTAGCGGCTTGACTCTATAGGTAATACACTTCGACTGATGGTTCCCACCCTATTTGTCTTACTCCATCTACAATTTTTAACTTTTATGTCCTTTGATTCGGATCTTTTGATGGTGCAAGGATATTGACGTGGCACTTAGATGTAGAATGCGCCCTCGCCACGGATTATATCCCTACAACTGACTCGGGAGTAATCTAAACTATAGTAATCGAGCAATGGGAGTTTCTTCGCGATGGCCTAGTCGAGATGGTGGGGACAGGCTCAATACCATTGAAGTGGCTACCAACAACTACTGGTGCTCATCCTCTCTTGTTTGATCGCGATCCATTCACATTCTAGTAGATCAGCTCTTGCTTGTATTCCACTGTTCTCTCACTTTCTGATCGGGCGAGCCTGGTCAAAACGTCAACACTCACTTTAGAAATTCAGGTATAAGTTCTCAACTTCTCAATTCGGGCACGCCTCGTCCTCTCCCCGCCCCGAAGGCCAAAGAATACAAAATTGACGCAGCCACATCTACGTGATCGAGAATCATTACTTCACACGTAAGTCAGAGCGTTCCTGGGTAGATTTAAACGACATGTCCATGCTCATACGGACAATTAGGACAGCCATGCCCCGCAGCAAAAGCAAAAGCAAAAATAAACTCGCCCGTGATGAGCTCGAGGACCGTTTCGAGGAAGAGGCCCCATGGATCACGGATCGAATGCCATCAGTGTCCAGCTTCAAGTTCTTCACCGATCGCACAACGCAGGAAAACGTATACGTCAAGGTCGGAGAAGCCAAGGTCGACAAGACCAAGGTCGGAGATACCAAAGTCGAACATGAGTTGGTTCCTGTGTACGTGGGACTTGGTGACGTTACCGGCAGCAGGATGATTACCTTCAACGTTCGCAGCCTATATCCTGAAAGAATCATACATGAGAGCAAGGAGCTTTCCCGTATTAAAACCATATACAACGAGCCGTTCGATCGATTGTTGCCTTTGCAATACGAATACCCGAGCGCCAGTTACGCCAACTCCTTACAATGGGTCACCGAACTCAGGGCCCTTACAATGTTTGCTTTCGTATGGTGCGGGCACCGTGCTGAGTTCTTCGACTTCAACAAGGGCGAGGGATTTAGGGTTCTTGTCGAAGTGCTGAAGCGCCGACCCAAGGCAACCGGTGCCGCAGCCAAGAGAGATGCTGGTCCCAGGGCACAGAAGAGCGCAGAAGCAGAGGGACCTGTGGCAAGTGTGGAAGTTGATTTAGTCCCGGGTGTCATCGCGGACGCGAACACAAACACGGACTTGGCGTTGCATATGGACAAAGACAAGGAGATGGACACGGAGAGCGGTACGGGTGCGGAGGATAATGCAGGCATGATTATTCCCATGTCCGCAACGGTCAATGTTCCGAGCAGTGGGCAAGATGCCAGTACACTCGGGAATCATGCCTCCAAGAAGCGCAAACTGATGAATTTGTGACAGGCCAGAAAGACTAAGCATCGAAGGTTCGCCATTTACGCCGAACCGGATTGATTTGGGTACTCATCACAGATTGTCATCTTCGATTACGTTTTGGGATGATCACGGCTCTGAATCGGCTACTATATGCAGAGAACTGAGGAAGAAAGGGTGGCAGTGGGGATACAAAGCACCGAAACAAGGTACCGTGGCCCACAGTCCCAGCAGAGGGAATGCAGATAATTCTGGCCGTAGCAGCGGTCGTGTCCAATCTGTGGGAGCTGTGGCGACCCTTTTGGCAAGCCGCCATATATGTGGGTTTGAAAGTGCAATAGAGCTATTTCGGGGGCCACCCTACACTCACATTTCCTTCTACACTGGTCCCAATTCGCTGACACAGGCGGTGGATTTCCGTGAAAGCTTTCCGTACACATGGATCCATAGCTGCTAATATAGTTTTGTGCATATGCATATTGGTCGACACCCCGAGTTGAGGAAGCGTAGAACGAAAGCATGATTTTTAAACTGATAGCATTTGAATCTCTCAGCAAGATCATGTCAGCCACCCGATATGTAGTCAGACCGTTGAACGTCTTGAGTGCATTCATGACGATTAATATTTTCGCACAGAGGTGGGCGTATCGCAATGGATGCAGGCGTACGAGGAGAAGGGTGATGCACACAAAGGTCGCGTCTTGTGAGTTGCCAGAAGTCGGAACGACTTCATCCGGAAGAATTTTCGGGAGGGTTGAAGAAGCTTACATAGCTCTGTGAGTAACAGCAAAGTGCCGTGAGTGGGTCTTCGGCGCTACAAACAGTAATGATTGTGCAAAGCAGCACGAAATGAAGACAAGGGGTGGGATGAGCAACCGGTCGTGTTTGAATGCGGGATGGGTGCAGCTTCACGCGGGGCAGCGATGACGTAACAGCCTTCCAAAGAAACCACATTGCGCTCATACAAGTTGAACGGCAAATACAGTATATAGTCAACACCTGTTGAGAGATAGTCAAGTTGCGAGTAGCTCTAGTTGGAAAAAGTGCATCGCGCAAATGAATCCGTGGTTCACCAGCACTGTTGACACTGGAGCAAGAACCACGACGATCTCTTCCCAACTCAGAATGCACCTGCATGCTCCTAGGACTGAGTGACCCACATAATTCATGACGCGCAACTATTCAACACCGGAGAAACGCTCCCTTCAACCTAATAATATCCTTCAGGTTACGCCTCGCCCTCTTCTCAAGAGAGTTCAAGACGGAATCACCTCGAGAATGTCGGTACAAAAGAAAGCCCGGACACATTCTGCAGGCCTTTATGTGGGCGCAGACAAACACCGTTGGTGGAAAGAAGCCGTCGTTTATCAGGTGAGGATCTTTAGAGCGTGATGTGATAGCAAGTAACATTAACATGCGCAGATATACCCTGCATCTTTCCTCGACACGAATGGCGATGGATGGGGTAAGTGGGCATGAACAGAATAGAATGGTGATGCATCAGCTCATCGTACGGTTCTTAGGCGACGTTCCCGGAATAACCCAAAAGCTGGATTATCTCAAAGACTTGGGTGTAGACGTGATATGGGTTTCTCCGAGTAAGCAACCCTCGACAAAATCAAAGCACTCAACTGACAGCACGGCAGTCTATAAAAGCCCTCAGGCTGATATGGGCTATGACATCGCAGAGTATATCACCCCTAGCGTGAGATTAGATTGCCTCCGGCTGACCTTGGATCTTTACATTCAGCTACGAGGACATCGACCCGAGCTATGGCACTCTCGCTGATGTTGACAACCTCATCAAAGAGGTCAAGAAGCGCGACATGAAGCTTGTTATGGACTTGGTAGTCAACCATACGTCGGACCAGCATGCATGGTTCCTTGACTCACGCTCATCCAAAAAATCATCGAAGCGTGACTGGTACATTTGGAAGCCTGCCAAATACGACGCAGACGGTAATCGCCAGCCCCCGAACAATTGGGCAATGATTCTCGGTGAAGCAAATCCAGCATGGACCTGGGACGAGGGTTCAGAAGAATACTACCTGTCTCTCTTCACACCCGAACAACCAGATCTCAACTGGGAGAACCCAGAAGTGAGAGAAGCAGTCCACAATGTTCTGCGCTTCTGGCTCGATCGCGGTGCTTCTGGTTTCAGGATGGACGTTATAAACCTAATCTCAAAAGTGCAAGAATTTCCGGACGCCGACGTCGTCGTACCAGGTCACAAGTACCAACCTGGAGACAAATACTTCGCAAATGGACCGCGACTTCACGAATGGCTCAAAGACATTAATCGCCAGGTACTCTCAAAATATGACACTATCACGGTAGGCGAGATGCCATTCGTACGTGATGAAGACGAAATTATCCGCGTCGTTGGTGCAGAATCGGAAGAGCTCAACATGATCTTTGCGTTCGATCTAGTTGATATTGACAATGTTCCCGGTGACTTCAAGTTCACTCTGCACCCATGGGATGCGCATGACCTAAAACGCATAATTAGCAGGTTACAAAGGCTTATGCTTGAGCGTGACGGCTGGAGTAAGTTACTTTGACCCAATATCGGTGGGAAATTAACGAAGGGCGATGTTTTCGGCCTGCTTTACGTTACCCACTGGTGGAACTTTCTGTTCGTTTACGGTCAGACACTGACGGCACATAGACTCGCTCTTCGTCGAGAACCATGATCAGCCTCGAAGTGTATCGCGCTACACTGATGATAGCGACCAGTGGCGCGAGATTGGGGCAAAGCTGCTGTGCATGATGCAGACAACTCTAGCCGGTACGATATATATATATCAAGGCGAGGAGATTGGCATGCGTAATGTGCCTCCCAGCTGGGGTCCGGAGGAATACAAGGACATAGAAAGCATCAACTTTTTCAAGAAGTAAGTTTGCTCAGCGTCCATGTTATTGCTCAGCTAAGCTGGTATAGAAATGCCGAGATGTACCCTGACGATGCCGACAAGCGAGCATATGCGCGCAAGGTTATGCAGCGCAAGGCCCGTGACAACGCTCGCACTCCCGTGCAATGGGATAGTACGAGCCACGCTGGATTTACTTCCGCGAAGTCGAAGCCATGGATGCGCGTGAATGATGACTACACAGATGTAAATGTGGCTGCGCAAACATCCGGGGCGAAGGCTTTTACTTCAGTCCACGCATTCTGGAAGCGAGGCCTGGCGTACCGCAAACAGAACAAAGATCTCTATGTTTACGGTGACTTCGAACTATTCAATCCAGATGAAGACCCAAAAGGTGCTGAAATCATGGCATATCGACGTTGGAGCAAAGATCGTGATGTGCTGGTTGTGTTGAATTTCAGCGGGAAAGAGGTTGAGTGGAATTTGGTCGACGGAATGAAGGTCAAGCGATGGGTCGCTGGAAATTACGGAGAAGAGGCCTTAGAGGAGAAAGCAAAGAATGCGTCGGTGTCATTGAAACCATGGGAGGGACTAATTGGCGAGCTGGAGTAGATGATATCGATCAACTAGAGCTCTGCATACCGGTCAGGTCATGGTTTCTGATGGCCACTCATCTCTGCTAGCTTGGGTTTCGCAGGTGCGTCTCCTTTTAGTGTGTCAAAGGATGTGTGCGAAGCTCCGCGTCGTGGAGGCCGGCGTGTTTATTTTCATAGCGCGGAAAGCGAGACATTCGCAACGGGGACTGAAGAATATATGTTCAATCGGGCTCAATGACTGTGGCGTCCATTCCGGTCATCGAGCTGAGAACGGCATCGATACATGTAAGTGTCCCTGTCCGAGGCTTTTGGGCTGACTTGTACAGTGTGGTCCTCAAAGTCAAATCCTGCACCTGTCCGCGGTAAGGGCTACCAACTGGCCGCAAGATGCTATATCTTGTTGACACAGAACCAAGCTAGGATTGCATTTCCATGATCATTGTCGATGCGGTTAAAGTAATAGTGACCAAAGATTCTCGCGGGGCATTTTCTAGTATATATGTCAGTTTGATTGACCGCTTTTAGCACAACGCATGGACAATTCAAGATTTCTCGGCATAAGGTCTCTTGTCCAATATGGTTGTTCTCCATTTGTGTAGCTGAATAGCAGCGCTATTCTGTTCAAATGATCAGTGCTAATATCATGGTTATGAATGCCCTAGAGATAGGAATGTTTCTTATGCTTTTTACGCTTTTTACGCTTCCATTCTCAGGAGTTAGTTCTACTAGTGTGCAACCGATTGTCTTGCCTGATGATACTGTAGGGTAAACACTGACCTGATACATCCTCAAGTCGCTGTGCATGGTCTACCAATAATACAACTGCCTCCTTCTATTGGAGGCATACGCGACCTTCGTTCGCTCTGGAAGATAAGGCTTTGCGGAATTGAGGATGCGCAATACGCAGCGCGCATGGACAAGACCGAGAGTGATATCCAAGTTCGTTTCATGCACAATCAATGAGATTGCGTGAAACGTACATGCAATACTACATCGATGATCAGGATTCAGCTTTCGATGCTCGAGAGAAAAATAGAACCACAAGATTGACTGTGAGAGACGTAGAGCGATGCTGAGTATGGACGGTGGTTGGGGGTGTAACGTGAAGTACTACCCATGCATTAGCGTCGTCGCTAAACATCCTCGCACACTCCGCTAGCATGCAAAATAACTTGGCCGCCCTCTGCGCAGGCAAAATAAACCCTCAAAAAGGAATGACTCCCCCGCGTGGGCTCGAACCACGAACCTCCTGATCGCTTTGTCGACGAGGACTTAACAGTCAGACGCGCTAGCCAATTGCGCCACGGAGGATGTTTGATGCTGCCTCAAGCCTTTGTTGAATATATATCCGTTGAGCAACTTCAGCGTGGCTCGACTCAGAGAAAGATAACAGAACTAGATGGACTTTGATTTGTGGCGGAGGAGGTTCTGTCTCGGGGAATATCCACTTTCGCATGGGCTAAGTGGGTCGAAATCATATCTGCATTCTTGGCCAACATAACCCCTCTCGCAACCATTACGAACAATTGAACATGTTGGTAAATTGAACTGATCTGTTGATGGAAGCGGGAGCTTCGCTTAACCCGCGTGGCCAATATTGAGTGCAATTGCATGGCACCGAAACCATCACCTCAATGTTGATGCACTCTATCATAAGACAATTTCTATTCAGTATGACTAATGTCTATGTACAACTGGATCTGTGGCCATGTGTTGAAGTGAACGGGAAAAGATTCTGCCTTTTAGAAGGCCGGGTTGGCGTTGGTCAACAGCTGAGCAAAGTACGCCTGGAACCACGAGCCGGCCTCCGGAGCGGGCTTCAGAGCATCGTCCAATCCGCAGTGGGCATCGTATCTAACCGCAGTCGTGTTTGATGTACCGTCACACTCTCCACCAGGCTTGACCCATACATAAGCATCCAGAAGAGGGTCGTCGGTGGACGTGGAAGGGCGGATACCAAATCCAGTGCCGATGACGTTGCACCAGTCGCCCCAAGCTTGCTGCTTAGTGGGCTGCACTCCATTACGACCTATATCGTATCAGTAAACCGAGGTCTAGAATCAAGTTTGAGAAAAGAAGAAGCTAAGGGTCTCAGCTTACCAGTGTCAGTGATGAAGTGCGCCGGGAAGCCTTGCGCTTGAAGGAGGGGAGCCAAAGCATTGACGTATTTCTTCTCGTCGCAGACAGCGTTTCCTTGAGTGTAGGATGGGCAGGTAGATATGCTCCAGGCGTTGTAATTGGCCACGTTGGTAGCAAGACCTCGAACAGCAGCCGGGGATCCGGCATCCTTGTAAAGCTGCGCGAATAGCTGTGCAGCAGGAGTGAGGTTGGCGGTCCAACCCAGCCAGCCCGCATGTCCGGCGTCAAGGTACATAACAACGTTCTTCAAGTTCAGAGTCTTGATGGCATACTGAGTAAGCGTCTTGTAGGCAGTCGCTGCGTTTGCGCATTTCTGCACGTTGAGGTTGGTCACCAGGTTGGCCAAACTGTCGGGCTCGATGACAAGAACAAACTGGACGTCCGGGAACGCATTGATCTGAGCAGCAATGTCGTCAATATAACCCTGGTACAGAGCAGCTCCGTTGTTGGCGAGCGAAAGTTCGCCGTTGGAAGCTAAAGCTGCACAGTCTCGCTCTGGGAGATCGTAGACGACAAGTGGAAGGACCAAGTTCGCACCGGCGGCATTTTTTGCTTGAACATCCTTCGCGAAGGTAGCGATGGTAGATACTTTGGCGCGCACGTCACTGGAAGGTTTTAGCTTCGCCACAACACATACATGCATCCGAGTCTTACAGCCAGTAGAACGTGCCAACTTTAGCGACGTTGGTAGCTTTAGCAGCAAGAGCCGCCGATCCGGCAGCAGATAGCGATGGAGCCGCTAAGCTCACGATCTCGGACGAGTAGTAAGGGTTCGCATAGAACGACTTGCCAGCGATCGGGTTTGCAGAGTTGGTCGCGGCTGGCGCAGAAGTGGCTTGGGTTGCTCCGGCCGAGGTCTTCGTAGCGGTAGAGAGCGTAGTTGAAGTACTCTTAGCTGTGGTCTGCGCTGTGGTGGCTACGACGGAGGAGCTTGCAGCGCCTGGCAAGCACTGCGAGTAGTCTGTGGAATATTTAGTACGACAACATCAAATCGTCATCATGAGGGGCGGTGTAAAACTTACAGTCGTTGATCTTAGAGCAATATGATCCAGACACGCAAGTCGTAGCACCTTTCCAGTCGATTCCTCCGCATTGACCATAGAGTTGGGATTGGGCATGGGCTGTGGAAGCCAGGACGGCGGCAGCAGCCAAGATGTTAGCGTTCCTCATGGTTTGCTTGAGTTCTCGAGAGGGAAGAGAATGACTGTAAATCTCTGGGTAGTGCTTCGATCACCAGAGACAATCCCTCCTTATGTACTGGCGTGCCCAGTAACCAAAGCTTGACCCAAGCTGCAGAGAAGCTCCAGACCCAGCTCATGATCGGCAATATTAGGTTCGAAATAATTCAAACTAACAACATGAGGCGGCTCATGCCTTCGAGAAGCCCTCAAGCGAAGCGCATGACCATGTTCGAGAAGCCGCTAACGGATCACTTTGAAGGTTTCCGATGAGTAAATCGTGGTGCTGGCAGGGTGACAAGTCTGATTTCTCCGTGCCCGTCGCATACTCGGCTTTGCTGGCCTCTATTACGCGGCTACCAGGTTATACCTATTCACAGAAGGCGCCATTCCTGTTGTTGCATGGACAATATCTTAGGTACCTTCCAAATAAGGATATATCCCTAGCAGAGGTGGGTCGTACAGCGGGTTCTAGCCACGCATACGTGGGGTGCAGGCACGCCTACCCGGTTTTGCTCGACCGTTGCGATGGATCCATCATACCACACGTGCGTATTCGTGTTCGCAGCAATGTTGCGCAAGAAAGGCTTGTTCGTGGCCAAGTTACGCTTAACAAGATTGCAAAGGGATCCAGCAACCTCGCGATAGGTGGACACGTCGGGCGCGCAATAAGGGTAAATTGGAAGGTTAATACAATGAAGTGACGCTCGGCCCGGTGTCATATATGATCTCGGAATGACTTTTGCGCTATCTTGAATTTGGCCTAGCCGAAGTAGCCGCTTGGGTCGAAATCCACAAGATGCCGTTTCTTCATGATAGCTCATCATAAACTTCGCAGACGTCACCTAACAACAAGGCGCGAGATGCATACTTTAAAGTACTGGGCAAGCACCCGAAGCCTGCGCCCCATGCAAGCAGCCCGGCCCGGACCTCAGGAACGACGATCCGCCTCAAATCAGCACAGATGTACACGCTCCGGAACTTCTAGAAGATCTGTGCTGTAATTCGGCAAGCCGAGGTTGAGGTAATATGCGTCAAATCGCTCTTCACATGTTCCGTCATGATACTGCTCGAGAGCGACTTGCAAAAGGTTGTTCTGCAGTCTAGCTTTTCCATTTCTCAATACGGAGGGCAGCAATACCTAGGTACAAGCATCTATGTTACTCAATCATCTGCCTCACTCGCAGGGATACAGTCCACTCCAATGTCCCCCTGAATATTGTCACAGACGATCTGCGATGGACTGCCAGCAGGGCTTGTCAGATTGATGTCTTCAAGATGAATCCCGTTGCAGGTTGCGCCGGGGCTACAGGTAAGATCCGCGACTACCTTGCCGTTCTTCCCACTGCTAGTACCCGAAATGTTCAAGAATTTGACGTTTGTAATGTTGACCTTCGACGGGTACGCTGCACATGTCGTTTCGTTGACGTTGAAGTAGCATTGGTCCAGGACGACAGGAGCATCGGTGTTCTCAATGTGGATGTCCTTGTAGGTAATGTTGTCGATAAAACCGTAGCCGACATTCGGCCCAGCCCAGGCCTTGAGACGAGCACCATTCTGACCATTGAGCAGGGTGACGTTCTCGATCCAGGCATTCGAAATGTAATCCTTGACGCCAGGGTATTGTCCAATGGAGCCCATCGATACGCCGTGAGTGCCGTTGCACCAGAGATTTCTAGCGGACGTTAGTGCTTGTCGCATTATTATACTGCTTTCCGGCGATCTCAGAACGGAAGGCTGTACACGAATCATACGTACTTGACAAAGATGTTCGTCGTATTGGGCTTTGGCGAGAAGCAATCGTCGCCGACATTGACACGGGTGTTTGTTACAGTCAGCCCATCGACATTGAGCGAGTCAAAGCCGTCGGTATTCTTGGGCAGCGTCGAGGCGTTGGTGGAAACTGCATCAATGTAGACATCATCAAATACGACGTTTTTGGTTCGCACAAAGAAGGTCGTCCAACAAGGTGAGTCTTTCAGATGAAGACCTGAGACCTCGATGTTGGTAGCGTTGTCGGTGAGAAAGAGGATGGGACGATAGTATTTGTTGTTGGGATCAAGGATCTCTGCGCCAGAGAAGCCATCCCACCATGCTTGCCCGTTACCATTGATGACACCGGAGCCATAGATTTTGATATCCCTATTATCGTCAACACTGACAGGATCAACGGTCGAGGGTTGATACTCACTTGCCACCCCATACCCAGAATGTAATGCTTTTCTGGAAAGCGTAGTAGAAGTTATTGGCTTGCCAGTACTCGATGTCGTTTGTGAACTGTATATATTAGACATGCGTTCTAGTGGAGATAAAGCAGTGTTGCTCAGGTACCTTGAGCTCGCCATCTAGCTTGACGTATACATCATTTAGGAAGGTAAGATCCAACTTCTTGCCTATCACATACTTTTTCCCCTTCTTGAGATGCACAAGGCCTCCATGGTTCGCTCTCTTCAAAGCCCAGAGGAAGTCTGCGCTGACGTCGTCGTGGTCATTCTTTGAGGCTCGTATGGTAATCTCCTTCCGGTCCTTCTCAACGCGATTGCCCCAGTTGTCCTTGCGGTGCTTGTTGTTTGAAAAGGGAAAGCGGGCCAGCAAAGAATTAGATCGTGGCAGAGAAATAGCGGCTCCAACAGGAGTGTCGTTCTCCAATGCAACGACAGAAGCCGATGCCAATGAGGCCAGCGAGCACGCGAGGAAGTGTGACAATTTCATGTTGCAGCCCGATGGAACTCGAGAACGTTTACAACCTGCGTGTACCACTCCATCGAGAGCTGGCCAAACTTTTTATCCTGCTCCCAAGCACCCGGCTCCCGTTCCTTCGTACCTGTCATTCATCGTGAACGAAATTCTTCCGTCTTGGAGCTGTATGTCACTGGTCTGGACCCTGAAATGACTGCGCCAAATTCCGTGTTACGACACATCATTTCCCACAAGATGATTCCCGGTGCATCTTAGTGTCGAAGCTTTCCCAAGCTTCCCCGCAAGCCTTGAGTTGCGTAATATTATCCGGGGGATCGCCTTTCGTCAGTGGAGCGTTTGCAATGTTCCTGACTTTCCACCAATCAGTAATGGGGCCAGAAGAAGTATAGCGTGTTCCTAACCCCTTCCCCGCGTCGCGCTTGGACGTTCCACTTTCCAGCACCAATGTCATACAGTGCTAGCTATCGTGAGCATGAGATAGTCCTTAAACAAGGCGCTGAAAAAATGCGTCATAAAACAATCAGATCACAATTCAACACAGCCTGTATGGACTGATTATGCCCTAGTAATCATGCTAATTTCACATATTGTTGATCGTTCCAAAATTACTGACCTGTTCCCAGATCGGTTTTAAAAAAGATGCTTGGAATCTAAGGACACCAGACTGTACCTGCCTTTACAAATAAGTTTCACGCGCTGGCCTGAACCACTTGCGCCCAATCACCTTTACTTCCTTCGTACTGCCCCGGGACAGCGTCTCCATCCCACAGACTTGCCAATATGACCCTGTCTTCCTGCTTTCCTTCCCAAGGTTGCCGGCCATGTTGCGAGATCACGTTGTCGTACACCAACACGTCACCTTGTTGCCATTTGTGTAGCACTCTGATCTCATCTGTTATATCCGCCAGCTTCTTGAGATACTCCTCGGGAATGGGTGTGCCGTCGCCGTACAGCTGCTGTGTGATGTTCCTGCGACGCGAGTTGGGGGATGCGTCATCAACGAAGTTCTTGTAGTACGCTGCGAGGCCCGTGAAAAGGGTTGGAAGGTTTGTGTGCGGATGCGTTCGCAACGCAGGAAGGTGGTGCGTCAGTATCAAGGTCTGGTCATCGTCCACCCATTCCCAGGTTGTGTGCTCGCCCCTACCATAGCGTCTTATTTGTTCTTCGATCTTCCGCTTCCTAGTCGCTGCGTCATCTCCGTCCACAATATCCTTGCCGAACGCTTGCTTGAGAGTAGAACCTCCTACATATTGCTGCTCGACTTTGTAAGTCACCTTGCTCAAGATGCCTTTCTCTGCCAGATCGCTGACAAACTCTGGGATTTCTTCTTTGGCCCGTTGGAGCAGCTCTAATGAGGACGAGATCGGTGTTTCTCCACCCTCCTTAGGAGCGCTATGACAGTAGAAGAAGATGTACTCGGGCGCGTGAGGTACTTGAGGGGATTCGTTATGGTTGTAGATGAGAACTTCTTTTGGAGCTTCATTTGCTGGGGCGACATTGGGAGCGAGGAGAGGCCGGTCTACAACAATTCCGATAATCTCATGGGGTGAGTAACCAAACGCATGAGCAAATTTGCTAAAGTCGTTTGCAGACTGGATGGGAAGTCCCCGAAACAAGAGAGTCCCATGCTGAGCGAGCTTCTTTGTGAACAAGCCTTCCTTTACCTGGAGGTCTTTCACGGTTTGTATTGCAATTTCCAAAGTTGTTTGAGAACCGTCCAATAATGAGGGCTGGAGCGCAAGAGGCGTGACCGTGCCCTTTGGATGAGGTTGGCCAAGTGTGCGTTGATTCGTGTCCGGAAGAGAGAACGATTCGAATATCAGGGGTGCAAACGTGTGTGCATCCAGCTGCAACTGCTGGACGTCATGGGGAGCGATGGAGGCAGTCATATTGATTCGTCGTTGTTGGTGAATTGTAATGTAGTTTTGGCTGCTTGGAAGGGGTCCTGCGTGTCAAGATCGGCGAAAAAAGTGACGGTAGGTCCCTCGGCCTCGAGAGATCCCCTTATCTGAGCGCTTGGTGTTTATATGCGCTGATACCCGCCCAGCTACCCCGCTTCGACCTCACCAATGCTGTCATCTCGCTCTAAGATTGTGCAACCGGAAATAAATCGTAGGAGCCAAGTATACTTGCGACAGCTACCTTAAAATTGTGTTCCATCTACTAACCCTAGTGGCTAAGTCTTTCTTTACTAGTGGCTGCGTTCAGTCGTTGACAGCCAACCGCACTGAACGACAACAGAGTCTCTCGGCACTTTCCCGAGGATTGCCAATAGTCATACCTCCGATGTGAGCTAAAGGACGCCTAGTTATCGCGTGGACGACATTTCCCGAACGACGGCATGGCGTTAAGCAAACGTCAGTTGCTTTCAGTCTTGCGTGCTTGCAGACCGCCGAGAGACACAGGAACATCAAAAACCTAGAAAATATCGCAACTCTCTGAAGACCATGAGTAACCACCGCCAATTGATTGTTTTCAAGCTTTCACATTTCGCAATTTCTGATGTCGACCAGCGATACTGCAGTGTCGAAAGGACACGCTCAGGTCGGAGACGACGATGTCTTATCTGAACAAATCGATCCTTTGCTCTCTCGAGTACCCTTCCAGCGCAGAACATTATTCCAAATCTTAGTGGTAGGAATATGCGCTTTTTGTGCTCCTGGCATTTGGTCTGCCATGAATGGCCTTGGTGTAGGTGGTTCTCAATCGCCTGACCTTGTTAATGGTAAGTTACCCAAACAACAGTACTAGTGTTTGTCCTCCTATGGTTGGTTGTATCGTAGTATTATTCACCATAGATTCATTGCTCTAATAACCTCTCTGGACTTGCTGACAATGTTCTAGCTGCGAACGCGTTACTCTACGCCTTCATGACTGTCACGTGCTTCCTCGGACCTTGGCTCACCAACCTTATTGGCTTTAAATATACCCTTGCAATCGGCTCGTTAGGATATCCCCTCTACGCAGCAGGGCTTTATGTGAACAACCGCTTTGGCGACACCTGGTTCGTCTATGTCGGTGCGGTGGCCTGTGGTATCACAGCAGGCTTCTTTTGGAGCGTCGAAGGTGCTATCGCAACTGGATATCCCGAGAGCAACAAGAGAGGGAGATACATCGCGACATGGTTCACTTTCCGGAACTTCGGCAACATCATTGGAGGTGCGATCTCCCTTGGGCTAAACCATAAAGTCAATCACAAGGGAAAGGTCGGCTACCAGACCTACTGGGCATTCATTGCTATACAGTGCCTTGGTTTCTTCCTCGGTCTGTTACTATCGAATCCCGAGAAGGTCGTCCGAGATGATGGAACGCGGATCCAGGCTCCACGCGGTATCCACTGGAGAACTGAGGGTAAGCAGATGTGGAAATTGCTTCGTAGCAAGCCGATCCTCCTGCTTACACCACTGTTCTGGTATTTTGGATGGATTCAAGCATACCCTGGAACCTATCTCGCGACGTACTTCACCGTGCGCTCGCGCGCACTCGGGTCGTTCATGTCCGCTGTCGTAGGCACCCTCGCAACCTGGCTTGGGGGCTCGCTGGTCGACATCCCATGGCACAAGAGCAGACAGACCCGAGCAGTCGCCACATTCACGTTGATCGCAGCATGCAACTCGGCTACTTGGATATGGGCCGTCTACATACAGAACGAGTACCGGCATACACGTCCGGTGCTGGACTGGGGCGATCAGAAGAGCTTCGGGCGTGGCTTCGGCGTGTACATGTTTGAGCGACTCAGCCTCGGCATGGTCGAGAACTATATCTACTGGTGCATCGGCAATCTTTCGGATTCTCCGGGAGACCAAATCAGGTATAGCGCTCTGCTACGGGGAATCGAGACTGCTGGTGTCGCAGTAGGCTTTGGAGTCCAAGCCGTGCCTACAGTACTGATTGCGACGGCCAGTATCAACTGTGGATTGTGGTTCTTTGCGCTTCCTTTCAGCTATTATGCGACAAGGCAGGTGGTGGACAAGTTCAATAGACTGGATGCGGAAAAGAAGCAGCCGTCCCCTATTGTACAAACAAATTAGCTGATGCCCCTGGTAGGTATGAATAGATCGAAAATGGAAACGGAAGAAGATTTTACAGTTCTTCACTGCATGCGAGGATTGTTTAAAGTGTAATTGTTTAAGATTATGCTCATGGGCATTGTGTATTTGTTAATCTGCCTGCTGAACGCACACCGCATCCCATCTCTAGTCCCTGGTCACATTCACTACTGGCCCCGTGAACTCTTTTCTTCCTTTGACCACGTAGTACGTAGTCGAGATGATGAACACCCCCGCCAACATGACGCTACTCCAATTCATCGTCTCAGCTGTCACAGGCGTCGACAGTGGCCACGTTAAGAAGAAAATCAGCGGTGTCAAGATAATCAACGCGCCAATATTGACCGCTAGACCCCATCGTCCTAAGGACCACCTCCTATCAGGAAGCGGTGCGCCAAACAGACGCCGGTGCACGAGACATCCGATTGTGAGATAATACGAGATCAGTGTTGCGACGGCGCCTAGCGATGTGATTGCGCCAAGAGCGACGGACGACCCGATGTTGATCAGACTGAGGAGCGCGCTGATGCTCAAGCTCACAATGATGCCGGGGAGCGGGATGTTCCAATGCGGAGAGACCTTGGATAGCCATCTGTGTCCGGGCAGGCCCTGGTCACGGGCGAAACTCCAGATCTGGCGGGAGCAAGCCGCGGCTTCGGAGACGGCGCAGATGGAGAGCATGAAGATGATAATGAAGGTCATGACGGAGGCGCCTGCGAGCGAGTTCGTAGCGTTGTAGAACATCTGGATGAATGCGTAGCCGGTGGGAGAAGCGAGGACTTCCTCGGGGTCGCCGAGCGTAAAGCAGATGGTGATGATAACGACGAAGAGCATGGAGACGTTCAGAATGACACTGCCCATGATTGCGCGCGGGAGGACAATGGAGGCATCTTTGATTTCTTCGGACATGTGAACTGAGCAGTCGTATCCAACAAGAACGGCCGTGGGAGCGAGCAGGCCGACCATGGCGCTTAAACCGGTGCTGGACCAGCCGCCGTCGTTGGTAAAGTTTAGTAGCGCATCAGCAGCGGAGCGGCGAGGTGCTGTCGCCCACAGTGTGATGACGATGGCCACGAATCCGCTAATATGGACAACCAGGGCCACGGCCTCTGATGGATCGTTAGCATGTTGGACCATTTGGATCAGCGAGATGGTCTTACCAACTTTGGGCAGCTTCGATGCGAATACCGTGTTGAAGCTGATCGTGAAAACAACGATGGCGATAGCGAGCAAAGTCCCGTGCCATCGCTCATAGCCGTAATTCACATTATTGAGGGTGATGAGCCCTTGAATTGTCGTGCCTACCAAGAAGCACACACTGGCCAGGTACACCTGCCAGCCGACGGCCGTCAACCATCCAGAATAGTAACTCAATACCTTCTGGTACTTGCGAGGAGAGAATTCAGAGACCCAGTGATATTGACCGCCTGCGGTCGGAGACATCGATGACATCTCAGCCAAGCTCGCATACACAAGAGTCATGCAGGTCGCGGTGGCGAAGAACCCCCAGAAGAGCAGTGGCGTGCCACCGTCTATAAGAACAAAGTTGAGGTACGTGAAGATGCCTTCCCATGACGCGATGCATGTCGAAGCGAAGCCGAGCATTGTTAGGAGCCCAAAGTTGCGCTGCGCTCGATTAGCGTGGTCCTATGTGAAAGCTGAGGATAGGATGCAGACGTACCCTCAGAACCTGTTGCTTTCCAAGCATCTCCATCTCATGCCTATCCGAATCCGTACCAAAGTACTTTGGCTTCACCGTGCCATTAGGCTTCCCCAACACGGAAACTGAACCATATCTCTCGTCAGCTATTGACGAGATCGCATTCGCGTCGCCATCCTTCCGGTCAGCAGATGCCATTGTACAAGCTCCAATCGAACAGGAATAACAAAAAGAAGACAACGAGCAATTGCGACGGGCCGACTGAGGACTGCGGATGGACGAGAGCTTCACAAGAAGCCTTATAAGGGTGCATACGATCACAACCCGTGGGGCGAGACCGTCCGTTGACCCACCAGCAAGCAACGCTACCCCTCGTAGTCTTATCCGACGCCCGGGTCGACTAGGATGGCGTTAGAGGCTTGGAGCTTGTTCCCCGCGTCCGGGGAGCTCTCCTCCGCGCCCAGCATTTGTACGACCGCAGAGCGCCGCCCTCGTAAATTATGCCTCTTTCCTCGACTCGTACGACCGGTCACATCTAAGAGTTTGAGATCTATGGACCTGACGACTTGGAGAAGGAAACAGTGGTATGTTAAGAATGCCGTAGCTGGTGTTATCTGTGGATAATCAAGGAGAGGCGGCCGACCTCGGGACGCGGAGGCTAGCATTGTAACGCCCGGATTAGGTCTAGTGCACCTTGGGCGCCATTCGAAATGGGCATCGTACGCGGACGGCTGCAAGGACATTCCGCGTCGATCTGTCGTCTAAGGCGTGTATTCCCATCGATTGCTAGGGTTCCAGGCGCCTGATGACCGTCGCCATGGACGCATATCCTATTTAGCGTTCCTGATGTCGTTGCTGTTGTAGCTTCTGTTACAGACCAATACGACCCACTCGTCAGAGATAAGAAGGTTATGAGCATTATCAACTTATGAAAGTGATTGCACAGCGAACAGACATCATACTGATAGATCTTATACACAAGGTCAGATTTACTGGGAATACAGTCATCCATGTCGCAGGTTGTTTTACTCCGGAACTAGATAATCGTCCAAACAGTACGCTATCCGATGACCGCATAATCGTCGACACAGTCTAATAAGTAGACATGCCATGGACCGTTGCCGTGACCAGGGGCGCTACGTACAAGCGATCTAATCGCGAAGTGGATAAGAGCATGGAATCGACCCGGCCACGCGATTCATGGCTGGCGATTACCTAGGCAGTATGCATCGCCTGCAGTACGCGGCACGAGTAAGCGCGGTAAGGCTGCGGGACGAGGGTTTGTAAATGTACACGAGGCAGGGTGGACTAGAGCGCTTTGTAGACCATAGAACGAATTCGCGCGTGCTATCGCTCATGTTCTCAAATCAACCATTGTCAAATCGCATTATCTCTTGGGCTTAGACAAACCTGGAGGTCGATCCTGGTTTGCACTCATGTAGCTCAACCGTGACGACAAAGGCTACGGTCGGACGTTAAAGCACGGAAATGCAGACAATATTCCTCAAATCCACCAAGAACAACACGTCAATATGCATTTTCATCAATCTTGATCCTCCGACTTGGGCAATCATCGTGGACACTCAGACTACGCGTGTCCATATAGCCAGATCCAATCACTATACTCAGACGCACAACCGCACCGCATGCCAAAGCCCGCTAACCCCAGGTCCCACCTCCACCCCTCCCTTGCTTCTTCTGCGCGCTCAACCTCCAATCATCCTCACCTGCAAACTTATTGTGCAGCGGTTGTATCCTCTCCGCCTTCTTCCTCTGACTCAACTTGTCCGTCGGCGCGACCTGGAAGAACGTCGGCGCCGCCTCCACCAGCCACTTGGGCTCAATGACGCTAACACAGTGCATGTACTCCTTCGTCGTCTCAACCAAACTCTGGTAAATGACGTGTTCAGCGGGCTTGCCGAAGAGCGAGGATGACGGGTGCAGGAACACGGGCGTGCCTTCGACGAGGGTTTTGTATCCCTCCGAGGGATCTTTGCGAGCGCTGTTGCGGAAGAAGCCTGAGCACAGCGCTTGGCGGACTTTCTGTGTGTTGCGGCCGCACGAGGTGAGCGCATGTTTGTGGCGCGCCATGAGGGTGAGGAGTTGTTGGCGGACGTCTTTAACGCGTTGCATGTTGCGCGGTTGGATGAAGTTTTCGAAGCACCAAGGCGTGCTGAAGCCGGAGGCTTTCCAGCCGTTGTACACGTTCAGTCTATATCTGTGTTAGCTAAACGTTCATACCTGGATCAGAATAATGAAATGTTAACTTACAGCGTCACATGGTCGCCCGACGGATCGTTGAATTTGGCCTTCTTTTGGTCCGCTTGTTGTTGCTTTTCGCGCGGGCGATGGAAGATATTCTGTGTGGCTGAGATCATGGAGACTATAGTAAGAACTTCGTCGCTGCATTGCATCTCAACGCTGCGAATGAGGGCTTTCGACAAGGTCGGGTCCATCGGGAAGTCAGCCATTTGACGGCCGAGGCGTGTAAGAAGACCTTCATCGTCAAGCGCACCGAGACCATATAGCTCTTCGAGCGCAGACAACATAGTGTTGGTGGGTGGTGGATCCATGAAATCGAAGTGAAGGAGGTCGTTGATGCCCATAGCTTTCAACATCAAAATAGTGTTCGACAGATTCTGTCTTTGGATCTCGGGTATCGTGGTTGGAAGCATCTCGTTTTGAAACGCTGCTTCGGTGTAAAGCCTGAAGCATTTACCGGGTCCTGTCCGACCAGCACGCCCACTACGTTGCCGCGCTTGTGCCTGTGAGATAGGTGTGATTTGAAGGCGGTCCATGCCAAGCTTGCTATCGTAGGAGGATTGCTTGACAAAGCCTGGATCGATAACATAGTCTAAAACAAGTTAATGATGGGTCGACTTTATGCAGGTATGTATCAGAATGATAAAAAGGGTATACGTACAGATTCCGTCGATGGTCAGACTCGTTTCAGCAATGTTCGTGGCAATGACCACCTTTCGACTTCCCGCGGGAGCAGGCTCGAAAATGCGACTCGCAGTCTCTCCCGGCAGTGCTGAGTAAATAGGTAGAATCATCAACTCCGGGACATTAGGACCCAAGGCTTTCATGCGCTCTTCAAGAATCTCGCAAGATGAATCGATCTCCTCTTTACCCGTGAGGAAAAGTAGGATATCACCAGCCGGCTCAGTCAGATGAATCTGCATGACCGTAACCAGTGCCGCGTCGAGGTAGTCAGATTCCGGCTCACGGGAATACATGATTTCGACTGGGAAGGTCCGGCCAGGAATGCTGAAGATAGGGGCCTCCATGAAGTAGCTGCTGAACTTGTCGGCATCCAGGGTAGCGGATGTCACGATGATCTTCATGTCGGGTCGGCGTTTCAAGGTCTTCTTTAGCAGTCCGAAGAGTACGTCCGTAGCAATCGTACGCTCGTGAGCCTCGTCAAGCATGATACAAGAATATTTCCCCAAAGTTGGATCAAGCAAAATCTCTCGTTGCAGTATACCGTCAGTCATGTATTTGATGCGTGTGTCTGGGCCGGTCTTGTCTTCAAATCGGATTGTGTAGCCCACTTCATTGCCAAGTTGGCAGCCGACTTCCTCAGCGACACGCTTTGCTACGCTCATGGCAGCTACACGACGAGGCTGCGTGCAGCCGATCATAAGCTCGTTTGCGTAACCAGCCTCGGCCAGGTACTGTGTCATTTGCGTCGTCTTTCCTGAACCCGTGTCGCCCACCACAATCAATATCTGGTTCTGGCTTACAGCTTCAAGAAGTTGTGTTCTGAACTTGTAGACTGGAAGAGATTCTCGCTGGTCTTTGATGCTCATGTCCGTTCGCTTGCCGAAGGATACCGCGTTCTTAGAACCTTGAGCAATCTTCTTCCACTCTGGGACAGCTTCAGGCGCCTGGTTCGTTCGAGTATTGCGTAGATCCGAGGCGAATTGCCGTTGTTGCGCCATCGGATCATTCCACTGGCTGCTGAGATCGACTTTCTCGGCCTCTTTCTTCGCCTTTTCTTGCGCTTCTTGTTGTCGGAGATCGCGGCGTTCGCGCGCGAGAGAGTCTCCTTGCATAGCTGCCCTATTAAGAGACCCATCTGGTGCTTTGACGACACGAATTGGTGAAAGCTCCAATGCTCTCGCAGTCTGACCCTGCAAAAACTTGGGTTCGTCGTTTGTGAGCTCGATATCCACGTCTTCTTCCTCTTCGAAGCCGCCCTCGCCGTTGATATGCGCATTGTAGTCTTCGTCGATGTCTGGGTAGTCCGATTTCGGAATGACACCTGACGCGATCAATTGCTTGATCTCCCACCTCTCGGGTGAGGTCATTCGCTTTCGCATTCCGTTCATTCGACCGTTGAAACCGCCTTCGACGACAGGGACGGGGTCAAAGCCAGCAGCCCCTCCTCCGAGGGCCGACATGTTGGCACCGGTTCCTATGCGCTGAGCTGGAGCAAGGTCACGACCTGTTCGCTGATCCACCTCTTTCATGGAAAGGCTCAGTCGAGAACCTTCTATCTTTATGACCTTGACCTTCACAATCTGGAATCGCTCAAGCAAGTCGGCAGGGTCGTTGACACGCGCACCCTCCTGGATTTGGGAGACGTGCACCAGGCCGTCCACTTTGCCCCGCACGCCCTGCAAGTTGACGAAGGCACCAAACGGTTTCAGTCCTGTTACTTTGCCAGTGTACACCTTGTGTAGAACCGGCTCGTCATCAATCTCAGGCGTGGGCGGCCGGCGGAACTCGTCCAGATCTTCATCGCGGTACTTCCTCCGCGAGCGGGTTTTATCCTTTGGTTTCTTCACAGTCATATCGCGCCCAAACTCGTCCTGGAAAACAAATTCATCATGGCGATCGTCGCGACGCCGCCTAGGACTCCTCGAAGCCGATTGCGACCGTGACCGTCTGTGGCGCTTGTTCCGTGATCTGTCGCGATCCTCGTCGTCGAGCGGGCTCATGCTCCTCTTGCGCGCGGACCTGTCCCTTCGTCCTCCGCCAGGCGTAGGTCCGGCCAGCCCCTCAAGCATAGCAAAGGTGTCATCGAGCGCATCCGGTTGCGCCTTGCCGTCCTCCTCTCCACCGCTCTCTACCCCGAAGTCGACCTCCTTGTCTGGGATCGCCAGGCCCTTGAACACACGCGTCTTGCGGTCTACCTCGTCGCCGCCGTCTTGCGTGGCTGCTTTGCCATTTGCGCCGCCCTTGTTCTTGTATTTCGGGTGGAGCGTAAGGATCAAGCGGTCGATGCTCTTGACCAGCGAGTTGGGGAAGTCTGCGCCAATTTCCTTAAGCTTCGAATCGAAGTCATCGAGGCCTTTTGCGCTGGCGTGTTGGTCGATTATGAACTCGGCAAGCGTCTTGTCCGCGATGCCAACATGGTTCTCGAGCTCGTTCGTGACGCTCGCGACGAGGGCCAGGAATTCGAGGTTGGCGAGATCGTCCATGGCGCGTCGCAGCTGGTCAAGTGCCGTAGAAATGAGCGTTTGGGGCGAGTGCTACGACGTATAGGCTGCCGGGGCTTGCGAGAAACTGTGGGTGGTGAAGGAACGTGTCGCCAACGTGGTATATCCCAGGCGCAGGGCGTTCAGCGTCTCAGAGGCGGTCGAGGGAAGCCAGGCTGCAGTCACAGTCACGGGGTCGCAGTGGCCATGTGCATTCGTCGTGACAACCAGAGTTGCAGTCGAGCACCAAAAAGTCCAGACGCTGGGAGCGGCAAATCGCGCCAAGGACATCCACCAATTCTCCGAGCCGCGAACCACTCGCCTCTCACCTCCGCCGCCGCACCCATCACCACTCCCGAGGTCCCGCCACACAATCCTTCTCCACCACGCTTTCCTCCAAATCATAATGCGGCCCATCATAATCCCGCCGCCTAAATTCCAGAATGTCGCCATCGCCCTCGAAGTCGCCAGCGCCGCCTACTTCAGCTACGAGCTCTCCCGCATCTACAGAGGCACACATCCCGTCCTGTCGCGCAGACTCGCCGAAAACGGCATATGGCCCCCGCCACAATTACCAGCGGTCAAGGGAGGAGCGAAAGTTGAGGGCGATGACAAGAAGGAGGTGGACGTGCGGTGGATGAGCATAAATGGCGTGCCCGTGCCGGCGAGCTTTGATGCACTGAACTTCTGGAGGCGGGGATGAAGGGAGATGTGTGTATATATGGGACTGGACAATCCCGTTTCTTCGAGAAGACTGTTGCTGGGTGCTAGCGTTCATCGGCGTACTGGGCTTGGGATTTTCGGATATGCTTCACTGGGTTTGCAGCGTTCTGCACGGGTGCATTGTTGAAGGCGGCGCATCGGCATCATCGCCGGCTTCGGCTCCGGTTTCGACTTCGACTGGCGAATATCTTCACTCTCTATGGTTGCGACATCCCGCCGCAGCATCGTAGGCACGAGGCTTGGTTGAGGGAGGATCAGGTGTTACTACGTGGGGAGAACACATCCTACATTCGACCCAGCCCTCACTCAACAATGAAAGAAGCCAGAACGTCACGGTACAGCAATACGCACAGTATCGTTAATGGACATGTCCTGCTACTATACTACCGCTTCCTGGTCTTCCTGTGCTCCAGCATGCCGATATGGCTAAATGGTCTTCGCTATGAGTAATGTCCATCCGACGGAGGCAGCCTCAGCGGCTGTACTCCATGATACTTGCTGGCACCTAATATCACACACGCGAAATCCTGAGGATTCCGAGGTATTCCGTCTTGATGATATTTCGTATCTATGCATTATACTCTTAATATGCTGGGAGATGCACACATGCACGTATCATGAAGCAGGCTCGCTCGCATCATATACCCGCATATTGCCATAAACCCAAACCCCCATCGCTAAACCGCAGCAAATTTATCTGAAGCCAAACGCCATTCCATCTCACAGCAGACGGACAAGTCATATAATGAAGACGAGAAAGAGAAAGCTCAGTCATTGTAATTCACGATCCCTGAGCCGTCCTTGTTCGCCTTCGGGATCCCGTGCTTCTCCGAAAGGTCGTCCTCCTGGCTCTTGCTCTCCGGATCAAGGTAGGGACGCTCCGCGCGGCAGCATACGCGGACAGCGTGTCTCCGGTGAGGAGCGAAGCCGTAGCTCGCGGAGTGGTTCTGTGAACCGTTAGCACTCATCCCGTCCCCTCCTCAAGGAGAAAGACTTACGCAAACACGGTTATCCCAAAATGCGACGTCGCCCTCATTCCATTGGAAGCGGACCTGCACCTCAGGGCTAGTCGCTACAATCTCGTTGAGAAGCGCAATGATAGCGTCGCTCTCAGTCTTCGGCACGCCCACGATCTTGGTGACGAAGCCTGGGTTGAAAAAGAGAGACTTCCAGCCTGTGACCGGGTTTGTGCGAACTAGAGGGTGAGCAGTAGTGACAGGCTCGCGGCGAACGGTCCGGCCGAGCTCACGCGTGCCCTGGGCTTGGAGATCCGCTGAGTGAACGGCGGTCAGAGACTCAAGGTACTTTTGCATGTAGGGCGAAAGCATGTCGTAAGCGGCATACTGGGAAGACCAGAGGGTGTCGCCTCCGCCGCCGCGGGGCGGACCGCTGAGGACTTTGAGCGAGGTGTAGGAGGGGGGCTGCTCTTCGTATGTGACCTGTTGATTTCAGCTGCTGGTATCAATGCAGTGTAGAGGCGAGAGAACTCACATCCGAGTGCCATAGGAAAGTAGGTGTAAAGAGAGCCCTCAGATCTGGTGAATTCTCCCCCGTGAACACAACGTGAACGTCCTCGAGGCCCTCCCTCCTGGGCATCGCCGTTGTAGCATGACTGTGAAGCTCGCCAAAGTACTTGCCCAGTGCCCGCTGCTCGTCGATGCCAAAGTTCTTCTGGTCCCTAAAAAATACCACGCCTCTGGTAGCAATCAAACGCGCGAGGTCGTTCTTCTGTAGATCGGTGAGGTTGGCAAGATCAACGCCGTGAATCTCAGTCCCGACTTTGGGGTTGTAGTCGAAGACGTCTGTCGCGGAAGAGAGAAGGTTCTTGAAGTTGGCATCACCGAGCAGGCCCTTGTCGTGGTATTCGACAGGGGTAAGGGCTGGCCAAGTGATATCGGGGAAGCGGGGTCGGAGATCTTCGTACTTGTACGTCTCGTCGTGCTGCTTGACGGTGGTGCGGCCAGGCACATAGTTGTGGATGTTACCGGTAGGCTTGAGAGTGGCCTTCAGGTTTTTGGTGGCCGCTTGAGTGACCTCGGTTGCGGTCTCCACGAGGCCGGGTGCCATAGTGTGTTTTTGTGTCGAAAGCTTATGTGCAGTTGGCGTGACTTCACTGCAGTGCGGCAGGCTTTGGTGGATTGCGAGACAGGTCGGTATAGCAGTAGCGGCCCCCGAACAGTGGATGTCTACGCAAGAGACAACGTGTTGCAATCAGGTCGCCCTTTTTCAAGCTGTCGAGCGTAGTCGTGTCCTTGGACGTGTTATCTTGCTCAACTATGCTGCAGCCAATGGTGTGATGGGAGGTGCAATAGGCAGGTGCGATTTCCGTCTCTGAACCGATACCGAGATTACAGAGATAGACTCTTAGGTAGGAGTAAGTCAAGGAAAACAAAGCACAATGGCCTACTCAGCTACTTATATGACACAAACAACTACCGCGGAACGTCCTAGATATCTCATGGTCAACTTACCTTCCTGGTACTAAATCGATGGCGCAATAGCACACAATGCCGTCTCGCACGGACATGGCACGGACAAAGTCATGCTGCTTCCCCACAATAGCAGAACAGAGCTATGTTGGCTCCGGGGAACCGGCCAAGAGTTTTGGGCTGCGTGGACGTTAATAGCCGTATGTTTTATATTGTTTGATGAAGATTGTGTATAATTTCTCCCTTTCCACAACGTGATCCTAGGATCGCCATGTCCGGTTTCGGGAGCCAGGTCCAGGGTCTTCGTTGTCTGGATTTGTCAGTGCAACATACGATGCAACGCAACATGCGTTTGACTTCAATTTCCTCAGCAGATAAGCAGGCTTTAAAATCGCAGAGCACTCTCAGAGACTCACGGTGCTATTAGTCGCCTAGGTAGCCGAGGCCTCCCATGGCAGTTACCCCGGATTCCTGATGTTGGAAAATGAGGTCGTGGCTGATCGTTTTGAGCCGCGCTAAACCTCTCCAGGCAAAGCGATGAGATTGCGCGATCTTCTTCTCGATGACGACTTCTCGAACTGGTATGCGGAATGATCTGGAAACGTATTCGAATGCTTCCAAAGGCATGATTACCCTCTCACCACGTTTTGATGTATTTGTGATCGCATTTGGAGATAGAATGTCGGACCTACCCTGTGGAGATATTATCAGTATCTTCTCATCGCACCTCTGGTAGCATTTTGCACCGTCCGATTTCAAAGGTCACTGCGTGAACCTATATCAGTTCCAACACGTATTAGACAGACCTGCCGATGTCGGATGCGACTGCTGATGCTATGTAAATGCAGCAGCAGACCAATCTGAGACTTCCACAAATGCAATCTGTTGTGCGTCAACATGGGGCTTGTAGTATATGAAGACATCAGCTGTGATATCTCCAGTACCTTTCATTTTCCCGGGCTAATATTCAGGAGCTGTACTCAAGCCCATATATCACCCCATTCAAACCCATCGACCTGGGTTTTCATTAATATAGAGACTGGAAGTGCTGGTCTGTGAAGGCCCTGGGCAGTTCCATTTGCACTAGCAATGCTGCAGCCCATCTCTTTCAAATAATCCTACACCATTTGAGCAGACCCCCGGCTCGTTCAATAAACCGTGATTCAAAAGCAGTCGAGGCTGCAGGTCAAGGCCTGCTTTCCGGAACTTGTTACTTTAATTTCGCACAAAGCGACCACGAAAGAGAAGAAGTTGCATCTCATAGAAGTAGCCTCCATAGAGACCATGTTGACGCAGTGACAGATCCGTAAGGTCTGCCGTCAACAACGCTGAGGGTATACCGGAAAACGCCCAAAAATCGCCGAAGGAATGGAAAAGATCAAGATACCAGTTAAGAACGAGCGATGCTAGAGCAACTGCATCAACCTTTGCGGTATTTGCCATCGAAAGACGCATCGAAGCCGTAAATCGGATTACCCAACTACAATGGTCAGCTATTGTGAGAGATGGAAAGCCCTGATACGTACTCTTTGCAGAGTGAAGATCACATCTCGCACTACAACGGTCTTCCGGTTACTCGGGTCGCCCTCGACGATGGTCGTGATACTGCGCAAGAGCTGTGTAGTGTAAGCAACATACACATAATACCATACAAGATACGTACGGTTCGTAAGCGATCCTTGAGCACATCGCGTACGTCATGGTATACGGTCGCTGAGATCCTCTTGATGCCGCCACGTCGAGCAAGTCTGCTGCGTGGGTATCAGTAAGCAGGGGTTTGAAGCTACACAAGCATGCAACCGTAGTGTAGCCAAGATGCCTTACCGAATATCGCCCTTGGTGATGCCTTGAATAGTGTCTCGCTGTACTCTTCTAATAAATGTTAGGGTTTTGCTGCATCTATTGAGCTTGGTCATGACCTCGGACTTACTTGTTTCGCTTGAGCAGACCCTTCGTTCCTAGACCCGCGGCGCCTTTGCCTTTGCCGAGTCCGAGACCCAGCTGTGTCGCGCGCGACGAATACACGCTTCCCGGTCGCGGATTGAAGCTGGAGCTCCCAGGCACGAACCGTGGAGTGCCACTGCCAGAGGCAAGGTGCCGTGGCACATGTCGAACTTCGCCGCCAGCGCGAGGCTTTGCCATTGTGTTTGGTGTGAAGTAATGGCCTTCGTTGGAAAAGGTGTTACGGTTTGGAGAGCATCAGTGTCAACCGTAGGTGACCAGCGAATTGTCGCGGAAGCAGACGAGCGCGTTCGTGCGGTTGCAGGTGTTCGCGTATCACGCTAATCTCAGGCGGGGTAGCTTGGGAGAAAGGTGCAATCGTTTTGGAGCATGGTGCAAACGGGGCGCCACGGCGAGCAATCGGATTGTTGAATGACTGTTCTTTCGTGATGTAAACATTTTCGTAGCACCGAACATGTGATACTCATCTCATCAACAACATAACGATTAAGCCCGAGAGCGTACTGAAAGACGGCCCCTTCTCACGTCCGCACCGGAATGCATCATTTGCGGGGGTAATTACGATTTATTAGGTCCTCAAGCACCAGTCCTGAGGTTCATGCAATCATTAAAGCTAGGCGTCGTAGGTCTATCCAATACGCATCAAAAATACTACGAGATGAAAGTGGCCTCAGCGAAGAGTGTACCTTCCTCCTCCTTTACCTCATCTCCAACCTTGACCTTAATCGTCAATTTGGACTTGTATTGGTAGATATAAGGCTTTGTGCCTGCGGCAGTGGCCACAATGGCCTTGACAAAGCCTGGAACTTCGGCCATGACATCAATACGGTCCAGGCGGTCGCCAAGACTGCCCTCAAGCTGAGCAGACACTTCCTTCCCGTCGTCTGACTTGCCCTCCCAGACGTAGCTTGCTGAGGTGGGCTCGGGCCAGTCGTTTTCACTGTCCTGCTTCGTGGCCGTATGCTTTACATCACCGGCGTTGGTATTCGCAAGAAGCAGCTCCCCGTCGGTTGCGATACCACTGACACGAACAAGGGTGCTGGCATACGAGGCAGGCGTAGTGAACTCCATCAAGATTGCGGAGTAGCTGGGCGATTGGAAGTTGACAAAATTCCATCGAGCGGCTGTTCCAGTCAGCATTGGCCGTAATATTCGTCAGAAGTTCGTACCTGCGTGATGAGGCTTCATGCCCTGAAGAGCCATGCTGAACATGCCCCGGCCCTTGAAGTCAATCTGCTCGCCGTTGGTTATGATTCTGCCTTCGACCTTTGCCCTCGGCCAGAATGCGTGTCGCATGGACCCCCAGGGTGCCTTGGCATCGGTTCCATAGTTGGTCGTGCCATCCGCGCCGCCCAAGAATCCTGGCGCCGTGCGCTCAAACTTGATGTCAACCATACTCTTGTCATTGCGGGCGGACTTGATGTTGTAGTAGGAACCATCCTCTGAGAGCTCGATCGAGATGCCATCGGCGAAGAAACAGAACTTGTCATCGTCGAAGCCGTAGTTCTCGAGGGGATCGCTCGTCCACACGACTGGCTTTTCGTTGTTCGGGTACCAGATCTTGACGTTGAACTGGGTAGTGATGCGCAGACCGCTAGTTGCTCAGTCAGATGCTGGGCTTTGCGAGGTGAGGGAGTAAGGGTTGAAACGTACGCAATGTTGTTGTAGATTACTTGCATAAAGCAATAGTGTCCACTGTCGGCCTGTAGATAGTACGTCTGCGTCTCGACGCAGGTCTGCTCGACGAGCTTCCATTTCAGATGCTCCTTCTTCAGCTCAGTATAGGCGGGGTCACCGGCGTTCTTGCCCACGGGGTGGATGGCTTCCGGGCCATACTCGGGTTCCTGGGTTCCGGCGACATTGGCCAACCTGCGTAAGTGTAAGCCCGCAGCCGGGAGAGAGGGATTACGGAACGCGGCACGTGCCGAGAGGTCCGGCGAGGGTTCTGGAGGGACTCACTGCTGCTGGGCCCAACGAAACATTTTACGGGCTTTTGCGGGAGTTCTGGGCACTAGTATCCAAGTAACAGCGGTAAGCAACGGCCAACAAAGAAAAGCTCTGGGCGGGAGGAGATTGCTACTGGCTCAGAGATTTCTTTGGTGTTGTTGACGAAGATGGCCAAGGCTCAGGAACGACAAGGCGGATGATGTGCAGTGGCGGGCCCGGAAATAGCGGCGTGCTGTGACTGTGCAACGCAGCGTGGGATGACGCGCCGAGCAACAGACGGCGTCGCGCAGGCAGAGAAGCAGATGCAGAGATGCTGGAAGCTCGGCGTCTTGCGACCTGAGTAAGCCGCGACTCGTTCTTCACATTATACTACAGCGCGTGGTCCTGGGCTGACTGTGTGCTCTCCGCAGCAAGCAGGCAGGCGCGCGGAGGTCGGGATGAAAGAGCTAACATCCCATGCAAAACTCCACTCCCGTTGCCCCTCGGCCGGCCGCGCCTGCTCTCCACTGCACATAATAAAACTTCTGCCCCGGCCGCTGTGGACCGCCAGAGTCTCGCTCACTGCATGCCCCGCCGTTCCCTCTTCAGCCATCTGCTGCCCGCACGGCTGCTGCGCACGCCGTTCCTGGACATCCGCTATCTCTATTCCGAGCAGCACGCTAAAACATCATCGCGGGGCTTTTTGGCTATGACGCTCTAGAGCACCTGCAGTCATATCCTTCACCGTCCGTCCTCGCCCACATTCGTCCAAGTCGCGCGCACAATTCCCACCCCATCCGACGCCATCCGCGCGCGTTGACAGCCCTCGCCGTGACGAAGCACACCGGTCGGCGTTCAGCTCGGAGAGCTTAGCTCCAGCTTCCATCCGCTACGCTACGACCTATACCGGGGACTATTTCGTCATAAGCGTCGAGCAGACGACGCCCCGCCAAAAGCCCGCCCATTGCCCGGACTTTTCTCCAGCACAATGGCGGGCAATCAGGAACAGCCGCAGTCGGTGCGCTTCAGTGACGTCCACCAAGAGATCGAACCCGAGAAGGCCTTGGAACCAATTACATCCATCTCAGGCAGCGGCGAGCAGCTCAATGAGGAGCTGTCTCCAGAGGCCGAGCAAGAGCTCCGCAACCTGTCCAAGACGCTGCAACAGTCACGATGCCAGGCCCGTCGCATGGCCAACTTCGCCTACGAGCCCGTCTCTCTCCCACCGTCCCGAGTAAGTCATCTGCCGACAGATTGATTACCCGATGGCAGACTGGCTAACAAGCTCTAGGCGGCATCGCCTTCACCCGCATCTCGCACTCCTTCTGGCCATTCCGCTCACCGCGGTTCCACTGGTCCTCGCCCGTCTCCGCCAGTGTCTGCAATGCATTCACCACCGCTGACCCCAGCAGGCACCTCATCTCAAGATGGGAAACCTGCCGTTTCAGCCGACCGTAGAAGGGACCCCGCCATGATGACACCTCAAGTTTCGCCGCCTCAACATGAGCCTCCCCCAACATCGATGGATTCCGTGCATGGAGGACAGAGGAGACCTCAGTCGCTCGTGGTTCCCCGTGAGCCGAGAGAACCTACAATCCGACCTACATCTGTAGTAGAATTACCGAGTGTTCCGGGGCCTAGGAAGTCTTCTGCCTCTGCACTGGGTCCAACAGGTGACTCGTTGCCTGCGTCAAGGGATGTCAGCCCGTCCGGTTCAGCCGGAGGCCCCGGTTCAGGACAACATTCGCCTGGAACGTCCACCCCCAGCAGTAGGCCATTCACGCCGCAAGGCGACAAGGACGACCCATATTCACGCTCGAAACGCCTCCCACCGGCTCACGATGCTCGTTTTGTTTTTGCGCCTAGCGGCCGGAGGACACCGAAAGAATCATCCCCATCGTCCTCTACCACAGCGCTACCAAGATCGAAAGGAAGCGGTTCTGACAGAGACGAGAACAAACGATCGAGTTTCTTCGGCGCACCCAAGCATCATGAGCGCCAGGGTTCGGGTGCAGAGGACAGTGACAGTCGATCGGTCCTGGGCAAGCAGCATCACGAGGGCTCCATGTCAAACTTGAAGCGCTTTTTCAAGCTGGGTGGGCATAAGCACAAGGACAAGGACAAGGAGAAAAAACAGAAGCGTCCACAGTCACCAGCACCATCGCTCCGGGAAAAGGCCATGAAGTCGAAGAAGACTGGAATGATGACACCGCCAATCACAAACGGATCGGTGTCAGTGCCATTTGCCGATGATCACGGGCTCGAGAACAAGTACGGCAAGTTTGGGAAAGTGCTTGGCTCTGGTGCCGGTGGATCAGTGCGCTTGATGAAGCGCAGCAGTGACGGTGTGACGTTTGCCGTGAAACAGTTCAGAGCAAGGCATTCATATGAGTCAGAAAGAGACTACAACAAGAAGGTAACTGCAGAGTTTTGTATTGGATCAACCCTCCACCATGGCAACATCATCGAGACTATGGATCTCGTTAACGAGAAAGGAAACTACTACGTTGTCATGGAATACGCACCATTCGATCTTTTCGCAATTGTCATGACTGGCAAGATGAGTCGCGAAGAGGTCAGCTGTTGTACTTTACAGATCTTAAACGGAGTATCATACCTCCATGGTATGGGCCTCGCACACAGAGACCTGAAGCTGGACAACGTGGTTGTAAACGAGCACGGCATCATGAAGATCATTGATTTTGGCAGTGCTGCAGTGTTCCGGTATCCATTCGAAAACGACATCGTACTCGCAAGCGGTAGGTGGCTTAACTCGAAACAAAATGGAATATCATTAACGCAGTGCAGGAATTGTTGGCTCGGATCCGTACCTGGCACCTGAGGTCTACGATTTATCCAAGTACGATCCTCAGCCGACGGACGTATGGTCGCTTGCAATCATTTTCTGCTGCATGACATTGCGCCGCTTCCCGTGGAAAGCTCCTCGCGTGTCGGACAATTCATATAAGCTCTTTATATCCCCTGCCAATGACGGACCGAAGTCAATCACCGCCCCATCTCAATCATCATCCGATCTGAATTCTGGCACAAACGACGAGGCCCGCAGGTCAGGCATCCAGTCGGAGCCTGCGTCTCGCGCACCTTCTGGCCAATCCAGCGGACACCATCATCATCACCACCGCAAGGATGGTGGTCATTCTGATCCCGTCACAAACGAAAATCGCCCTGGATCGGCGAGTGGCCAAGGCGGTCAACCCCAGCAACCGCAGATCATCAAGGGTCCATGGCGACTACTCCGTTTGCTTCCGCGAGAAAGCAGGCATATCATTGGCAGAATGCTGGAGGTCGACCCGAAGAAGCGCGCCACGCTTGAGGAGATCCTGGAGGATAAGTGGGTGAAGAATAGCCAAGTGTGTGCGCAGGAGGAAGGCGGAAGGGTGCTTCGGGCAGAAAACCATCAACATACTCTTGAACCTGGTTCTGGGTCAGGCTCCGCCCCTGCCACCCAACAAAAGAAATAAACCCACGATCGCTTGCTTTATGTTCAAGCATAAGTTGATCAGATCTCCACGTCGGATGGAGAGGCCGGAGTGTGGTGGCGAGGAGACCTGGCCAGTGGCCCCTCGACCTTAGATAACCTATGCAGGATCCGGTTGAGGCGAGCCCAAGCAGAGCGTTCTTGATATGATGTCCATATGGAACGATGTCATGTTGGCGTTGGGGATAAAGAGTATGGGTTTGGGCATTGCACGCTGGCTATTTGATTTGAGCATGTGGCTTTTGCATGACTCTCCGATTGTTTAGATTGCGATACTCACGGGTGGCTATCTTTTCTTCTTGATCTACTTGTCGGGGCTCCATTTGCGCGCTGGCTAACGTGCGTACACTTGGCGGATGCTGTGAGGAGGTTTATTGTGCATAGTAGGGTTGTAGGATGATGAGATAGCCAGTTGTAATACTGGCACGTTGACTGTCAGATGTAGATGGGATTTTCACGATGGTTCCTTGTAAAGCAAAGTAAAGTGTCCACGAGGCATCGGTTGAAATATTGCATTCACGCAGGCGAACCTTGGATCTTAGCATTGACTTAGTTATGCCTCCACATACCGGCGCTCACTATAGCCATGGAGCTCGGGCGGGGATGGCACCGGGTGAACAGGTGTCAGCCCGAGTCTGTACCGCGGGACAAACCGTCCATGTGCATCTCACGATCGACCCGCGGCGAACGTGACCCTTCGCCTGCCATTCATGGTGCGGCGTCCTCGGGGCGTCAAACAATGGCCCCGAAACAAGCAGGCCAGACAGACGTAGCGGCGATGGCAGGCACGCCCATCTGTCTCCCTTGGTCTGGCAGTGGAGACGGTCGTACGTAACGGGCTTCTGGACCACCGCGGAGCGGGCGTGCGCGTGCGGTTCCACCGTGCTTGCGCAGCTGTGTAGCGCACTGGGGCAGGGCAGCTCAGCAGCAAATGCGTGGTCGACTCGTCTTGCGCTGGCGGCGATCCGCGCCGCTAAGGCATATGTCAAACCCACGGGCTCTGCATGCGCAAGTTCTTTGGTGGTTCGCGGGCACGCAGCATAAGAATGGCATGCGCGGCGTGGGAGGGTCTGGCCTGTGAGCGTGCCCGTGTGGGGTTGCCATGGCGTCAGTGTGCTGGGAGCCGGGGTCGTGAGACACAAGGCTTGGACGGGGTGTTTGAGAGGTGCGTTCGTTTCATGGCGCAGGCGAGTCGCAGGTTGAGTGCGGCTTCGCTTGTTGCCTGAACGAGCACGACGTCCCGATCGGACCCCGGTCTGTCACTGGGGCTCCCTGACGGCGACGCAGGGAACGCGAGCAGAGGCTTCGTCGCCAGCCTCAGGCTGCGTCCCCGTCTGCGTCGTGTTGGGAGCGCTTGCTGCTGCAGAGACAGACGCAGCCGGAGCGGCGAGCGCAGAGATAGCAGTCGCACGATACGAAGGCAGCGTGCCGCATGACAGCAGCATGGCGTATTCCACTCGTGGGCCAGAATCGACTGGCCTGCGTTATCACCTTCGTAGGATCCCGCACAGCCAATGGGGGCCGCATGCCCCAGGTGCTAGCAGAAAAAGATCGCTGTATCCTCTGACAGAAGCGCAGCCTTGGCTTCCCAGCCTGTAGATATAGCACGTTGCGACGCCCGTCCCATTCATTCTGGCCTCCATTTGCATCTTGCAACTAAACAATCTTCTTCTTCGGCGCTACTTTGAAATACTTGCGTCCTCATTTGATCGCTTTCGTCCCCGGTGGCTTTATTTATGTAATCCGTTTGCGTTTGGTCTATTTTTTTCCGCTCGAGCATATATTTTACAAAAGAGGTCGCGATGCGGAGACAACTGCAGACTCCCTCCCATCTCAAGGTCGCATCTGGTCCTGTCGCGCTGCCGCAGCGGTATTTGGGCTCAGAGACCGTCGTCGTTAACCACTACGCTGGCACTGAGAAGCTAATTCCCGCGATCCCTGGGTTTCGAACGAGTGCGGGTATGTTTTTCTTTGTTCCACCTGGACTCGACTTCGAGGTGGTCGCGTGCGGGCGCTGCGGCTGAGGCGGCACCACAACAACCTCGAGGGACAAAATTCTGGCGTGTACCATTGGGCTCGCAAGTGCTAATCGTCTTGTTGCAGCATTTCTCACGAGCCTGAGTGCGAATCTGCGCATCGATCCCGACCTGCCTTCGCCTCTAGGAACGCCCATCCACTTCCGCACCAGCAGCCAACACCCTTTTCTCCCCCCGCCGTCACCGCTGGCCTTTTCCACCGTCTCGCAATCGCAGTACTCCATTCTCTCACCAGACACCGCCGTCATGTCGACCGAGTCCGTTTCTGTTCCCGCCGCGGCGCCTACCGATGGCCTGCCCCAACTCCGCACGTACACGGCAACCACCGAGGACGACCGCGTCGATGGCCTCCGCCTGATTGCCGACTCCGTCGCCCAGCAGCGTCAGATCGCGAGCAAGATGCTCATCTTCCACCCGCTGCACCTCGCTGGCTTCGCACTCTTCATCGCTATCCTCTTGCAGCGCTTCTGGAAGACGAACGACGACCTGTACATGCTGGGCCCGACCATTGGTGGCATCGTCATGGCATGTCTCGTGGCGGTGAGGTGGGCTACCGGGCGTTATCTCACGTATGCTGAGGAGACCAACTGGGACTGGCTGGGCGATGACCGCATGATTGTCGTCCGTTGGGGCGAGGAAATCATCGGGGCGCTTGTGCTGGGCTGGGCCGACGAAGCTGCGAAGAAGAAGCAAGGACGCAGGAAGCGTGGCAAGGCCATTGTGCGTGCGTGGACTGTGCGCTTGAAGTACAGGGGCAAGGGCGTTGGCGAGGGACTTCTGGAGGAGGCTGTCAAGGTTGCGGGAGAGCGGGGTGCGGACGGGATTGTCTTCGAGAGGGACCATGCGAGTGAGTTCTTGTCAATCAATAGATGCATTGGGCACGGGCTAACGTGGAGCAGATTCCAAGCGCATTCTTCCCAGCTTTTACAACAGCTTCATGGACCAGCAGGAGGCCAAGGCTGAGAAGGCTCTCGAGAAGGTTGCTGATGAGAAGGGCAACTTTCGCCAGCGACGTTCATCTCCTACCTGGGGTAGCAGATGATTCCACTCACTCCGCCATTTCAAGTATCTACAGCGCTTGTCTCATTCGGTGCCGGGCTTGTTTTTGCTTTTAAAGATACCCTCGCTACATCGCATTTACAGCTATACTAGAGATACTACATACTAATTACTACTTCACTACTCACTACCAACATGTTTTGTGCGAGATGGAAGTGTGAGCATGCATGACACTCACCCAGCGACCTGGCGCTCGCCCGACCTGTCGGCCTGGTTCCTTCACACCTTTATCGCGTCATTCTGAGGCCTGATAACAATGCGCGACGTCGTTGGACTGCATTCACGCTTGGCGGTTGGCGCATAGTGCCCCGCATTATAGTGTGCATGTGCCCTCACTTCTGGGGTAAGCACGCTTCCGATAAGAGACGATGTGCTCGCAAGCTCGCCAATTGTAGCCAGGTCTGCGCAAGCGGAGTTCCAGATAGATGTCTGGCGGCGAGCGGTCCCGGATCTGCTGCAAGTCGAGCCGTATCGAGATCGAGGTCTAGTCAATGATATCGTGACTGCAGGCTAGCTCAACGAGCGCCAGGCTCTTCTGCGCCGCCGTCGACCGAGTCGGTGCCGTATTCTTCGCGCAGTTCGCGGATGACGTTCTGCAGTGTTATCAGCACGTATGCTTGCACGTCGCACATGTTGGGGTCTCAGATAACAAGTGCATGGAGTTGCGGCGAGGTGGACGTACGGCTAAGGCCTCGGGATTTGCGCCATTTTCGATGAGAGATACGCAGTAAGAAAGCTGTTGGCGGTCGAGCTTAGTGTTCTAAAACTTGTTAGTAGGGCCTGGTGCATAGTGTTGACGTTGGCAGACGCGTACGAGCAGTGTCGCAATCTCGTGGAGGATGTCGATAACTTCGCGCGCGGCTTTGCGCTTGACGTCTTGTGGGGGTGCAGCGTCTGCGGGCATTTTCGTTTGAGCTGCGACAGGTATGCAAGCAATGGTTGGTGGTGGTTGTCAATGGGTTCGTTCGGTGACTGTTCAAACCCTCGACAGCAACAACCGAACGCGACTTGACGCACACCGCAGCGGGCTTCTCCGCATCACGTGAGTATGGTGGCCCATGCTTTCCGACCATTTTGTACTTTTTGGAAATCATGTCTGAGAGTCCGTCAGGTTTGGAGAATGGCCCGAAAAGAACATTAAGACGCAAGAATTGCAACAGAGATACCTAGCGGACTCGCGGTACAAGTGCACGAAATGATTTTCAAGAACATGAATGGTACAAGAATATTCCGCAGTACTTTATCGTCACATTTGTACAGGCCCGAAAAGGCCATTATGATTTCTAACATTGTCCTTCGCGTTTGCGCTCCACTTGAACACGATGCTGTTTGCCTCTCTCGGCGCCACACAGTGGCTGACCCCGCCAGCCCCACCATAATTCTCCAATCCACTAACTTCCTCACCACAACCTGCTATTCAGAACCGCGCCTTGTTTGTCCAGCCTTGACGTTGTCGCAGTATGGTGTACTACTTCAGCTCCAACACGGTATCCCCTGCCGCCTTTATATACGTCGGCAAAGACAAAGTAGAAAGTGCGTAGTAATTGCATGGTTGCTCAGTTTCAAGTCTTTGCACACTAACGGGAAGCCTAGATGAGGAGCTGATCAAATACGGCTGGGACGAAGATGTCTGGTTTCACGTAGACAATCTTTCCTCGGCGCACATTTACGTGCGTCTGCCTGATGGGCAGGATTGGGAGAGTATTGATCAAGGCTTGTTGGTGGACTGTGCACAGTTGACCAAGGCGAACAGTATTGAAGGTCGGTCTAGGATGCTGCTCTCCCTATGTTTCAATGCAGCTGAAAATTGCAGGCAACAAGAAGGACAACATCACAGTCATCTATACGCCTTGGTCGAACCTGAAGAAGGATGGCAGCATGGCTGTCGGACAGGTGGGCTTCAAAGACCAGCGCAGGGTTAGACTCATAAAGGCCTACGGCAAGCCAGCAGTCACTAACCATATCGAAGGTCAAGCGGATACATGTTGAGAAGCGAGAAAATCCCATAGTCAATCGCCTCAACAAGACCAAGATCGAGAAGTACCCAGATTTAGCTATGGAGAAGGAGGCTCGCCAGAAAGAGCTGAGGAAGAAGGATAGGGACGCACAACAGGCTCGGGTATGTGTGACTCCCTTGTGCCTGGTTCAGGCTTGCTCTGCCATTGTTCCTCTTTTTCATATCACTTCTCCCTAGGCGAGCTAGCACTGACTTAACCGTAGAAAAAGGAAGAAGCTCGCATCATGAAGGAGCGGAAAGAGCAAAAGTACCAAAAGGAGCATGCCTACGACGACCTCTTCTCTGAAGAGAACATGGCGTCTGCCAGCAATCAAGACCGCTCGGAGGACTTCCTGGACGACTTCTTCTGATTCCGCATGGAATCTCTGAGTCCTGTCCACATCCAAGCATCCTGCACAAGAGCTTTCCCAGGCACTGCTTTCTGATAGAGCTGGCCATATCCAATGTATCACCCCAAGATCTTCTATGTGGGTGGCGTTATTGGGCGTATGTGTCTGAATCGGGAGTCGGGAAGGCTTCAAACAGGGTCGCGGACGGTCATGGCTGGAAGGCAGATATCCATGCTCTCGTTCAGCATATCTATGTTGTGGTTGAAAGCATCAAAGGCGATTGTTTTCATGCGCAGCTCTTCACGGGTCCTGGCTGAATGTTAGCCAACTCCTAGATAGAAGAGCAAGCAACTGACATATTCTTCTGATTTGGTTTGCTCTTGCCGCCATCTTGTTGGCTCCACCAAACAAACAAAAGATTCTTCAGTATCTTATGCTCGAGGCCGTTCTCCTTTGTGGCGTATTGTAGGAACTCTAGGGTGTTCTTGATCCGTTGCGCGTCGAAGTCGGACACAGAGCCCTTCCGGAAGGCCAGGCGAATTCGATCGCGTAGGGTAAAGCGCGCAGGTTTAGAGAATTGTATTGCGCGGAGTCCCTGACGTAAGAGGTGCCTGTATGCGTAAAGAATCTCCTGCCGTGACATAGTCGAGATGATGGAAAGTCGGGAATGCGGAGGTCGCTGATTGGTTTCGCGCGGCGAGGCAGGAAAATTGTTGGGCCGCAGCCGGCTCGCGTCTCAAGCCGAACGGCAGCGTCGCCTCACTTCCTCTTCTTCTCCCGCCACCTTCAACCCTACAGCATCCGCAACGTTTGCATTCGCGAACGCGGGCTGACTCCCTGGTTTATTGTAGATAGTTTCCGTTTGGGAATTTGCCCACCGTGCGCGACGAGATCGACTAACTACTTACATTCACAGCACAGTAAATACACCAAAAGTAGGACGGTCTTCAAGCCCGGTTGAAAGCGGGTTCACCGAGACCAAAACCACGCGACTCGAAATTACGCGCTGAGGGCCTTCCGTTACGGTCTTTCGCCGCGATCTTGGCATCTTTGTAACCTATATATATGTACCGCCTTCACTCCAGTCTGCCCTGCTCACTCTGGTCAACTGCCCTGGATACATCCCATTACCGTTGTTACCTGAACTTGGAATGACACGTGCATCTCGCGCAACCTCCCAGCGTGGAGTGTTGACTGCGGCGCCGCATGATCGGCCCGGGGCCACTCTTCGAAAAAAGAAACCGTACAAGATCGTTCTTGAGGCTGTCACCCAAGAGAAGCGAAAACTTAAATCTTCTGTCCGTCTTGCTCTAGCATGTTGACCACTCCAACCAACTAACATTCTTGCAGCTCACATATCATGATGCTGCACCACCTGGTTTCGGGTACATTCCAGTAGGACATCCGGAGATAACAGAATGGTGCAAGGAACAGTGCCGGCAGCGAAACCTCGACGTACACATTGTGTCGGTAAGCGCGATCATAATGGTCTTGTCATAGTCGTGCAAATCTAATCAGTACAGGCGAAACCACGCAGCAAGGCCTTCTTTGACCCCGAAAAGATTTCTTCTCACGTCCATCGCATTGGTCATCACTTCCCCATTGAGATCATCAAGCTCGCTTGCAGCAAATTCGGGTACCAATACGACGAACGCGGCCTCCGCCGTGTTAGAGGCAGCCCTGTGTATGGCCCAGCTTATGTTGAGAGGGGAATAGCGAACTATGAACAGCGACAGGCTCTACACGGTAAACCTGTGACTGATACTGAGCACAAGGAGCATATACGCGGTGCCATACGCGAGATCTTTCCCAAGATTCCTGAAGCCGACTTGACTTCTATCGTGAATCACGCCTTCGAAGAAGTAAATATATCTTGACGTGCTGGTTAACAGGCAACTGACACTTCTCAGGGAACTAACAGGGTTGGCAACGCGAAAGAACTCTCTTTAGCTCGCCGTGTACAGCTTGCAGTTGTTGCACATATTCGCCATACATATACCGAGTATGACAACATCCTCAAGCACAAAACGGGCACATGGACCGAGGCGCGACAGCAAGTTGAGCATGTCTCACTAGCAAAGCTCAAGGAATGGCGAGACGAAACGGATGAAGCGAGCAACGAGCTAGAAGAGACCTTCCGCGAGGTCATTGTGCTTGACGATGACGAGGATTCCAGCGACGATGAGAGCTCATCGGCTCCCAATACCCGTGAACCTAGCATGGAGATTGTGTCTAGTCGAGCCACTGCGCGAGATCTACAGCCGGAGCTCATTGATCCCATGCGTGCTTATGATCCCTACATGAGTAGAGCATCGCGGAGGACAATAGTTCTTCGACCCATGCCTACATATTCACCGCGTCAATCACACATTTCTAGTCCTTCTCGTTCTTACTACCCTTCACAGGCAAGCCGAGGAGATGTCCGAGCCTTGCCGCCCAGTTCGGCCGTGGGTCGTGAGCCCTCTCGAGCGCAGGCTGAGATGTATCGATCGAATGGTGAGTTCACCCAGTACCTCCGAAGGCCATTAGAACGCTTGCTCATTGCAGATGATGGTATAGGCCGACCGGTAGATATGTAAGCGCATCCTTCTCTCCTTTGCCATGCGCCATTATTTACCATAATAGGAGACCTCTACAACCTGCACCTAGAGTCGTCCAGCAAGTCATGCGTGACTCTGCAGGTCGATTATTCACCGTGAGTAGAACTGGCGTGGTGTTAATCGCTGACATAGAAGCACCTTCCCCCTACCTGCCTGAGACTAACATAAACAGCTCCAACCAATCGACACGGCTAGAGAGCCGCGATCTCCCGCGTATAGCTACCATGCGAAAAGCCCATACGAAACCACTCGGAGCCCTTACAGCAACCCGATTTCCCATGGCCATGGACATAGTGGTTCACTAGGCAGGCAAGCTATGTGCCCTGTTCAGTACCAGGAACCACCCCCGCAACGTAGCAGACCAAGATTAACACCTAGTTCCAGGAGAGCATCTGACCAAGACGTGGTACTGCCCTCTGTTGAACGCGAACCTGAACCACCCGCACAGAAGCGGAAGAGCCTCCCGTATTCGGCTTACGAGGACTATTCGCCCGCTGCATATGAGGACTATGCCGGGCATACCGCCAAGCGGCCGAGACCAGCACAAAATGTGCAGCCTCGTCATGAAGGTTCCCATATGATATCTAACCAAGTACAAGCAGCGTACGACAATGGAAGAGATGTGTATGAAATGGCTCGCCCACGTGCAGCACCCGCCGATCATGCGTACAACCCTATGCCTCCTCGCCATTCGCCCCCGAGAGGTGCGTATCGCGAAGTTGTTCCACATCCACTTCGTGCTTACGTTCCTGCCTGTGATAGAACTCCTCTACACGATAGGCGAGTTCTTCCTGCGATGGAACGTGGTGCGATGAGTGGGCCGGCAACGCGCTACGAGACCCGAATCGGTCCGCATGTAAGGGACAGTGGCAGCAATGGCTATTATACTACGCGCTGATTAGCGACTTGATTTCGGGAAAGCAGTCGGCGTTTACCTGGACGATACCCTTTTCCTTGTCTCACTTACACCTTAGCGTCATTTTTCGATTTCATGTCACTCACGACCGCATGGCATCTCCCTTCTATTGGCACGCCTTGGGATGGTTTCCAATTGGTTCGCTCGTACCTTGCGTATGATCTCTTGATACGGAGAGCGATGAAGGAAGTTCCGGTCTAGCTGGATCTGAACAGCTGTGTCCAAGGTTATTGTGCAGCCTGAAAACGTGGGACAATTCCCCAGCGAATTGAGGCATGCAATTGCATAGTTGAGATCATGCCTGGAGTTTAATGGCCTCGGACAAGCAATGCATACCATACTCGAAGAGGGAGATCGGTTACTTCATGTACAATGTTAAAAGACAATTACTGTGATTTCAAGAAGATGATCCAGGCACATCACAGGTGATGTCTTTGCTCCCAATCAGTCTCAACAAGCAACACGAGAAGGATGCGACTCTCAGCAGGGATGGGTGCCCTTTTACCTATCACAGCTCCCATCCTTTTTCCTGACAAATTAGTATTCATCAGATCCTACAAGTCGCGCAAGACGCTGAATACGGACGAGCTCAGAGATGCGCAGCGACAGGGCAAGTTTCTGCATCTCACAGCTATACTCGCCCTGGTTGCCATGAGTTACCAGTGAAGGCTCGAGAGCCAATGATAGGGCTCCGGTTTTAGTACAGGAATTCGTGTGGGTCCCTCTCGGAGTCCCTTCCCTGGCGCACTGCCACAGATCATCGTCATCCATCTGCGGCGCCACAGGGGCTAAGCTGAAACTCGTCTGGGTAAAGCTTGTAGCAGGGACTGGGTTTTGTCTGCTGGTGTGCCCTCATTGTAAACAACCACGATCGACTGCCACGGTGGCTATTTGATGACAATAGTCGCCCTTGAGATCTATGGCTGCAGCAAACAAATCAAGATTGCATGAGGTCAATCATGTCATCGTGCCCGGTTAGCGTGCCGCAGGGTCTTGGCTGAACCATAGAACTGGGATTCATTGGGGCTAGTTGCAACCCTCATAAGCCCATCGTATCAAAACACAGGCGCTGTCCTCTTGACGCACTCGTTCCACGCTGATCACAGGTCCTGAGATTCAGCTGTGATCTGCAGGCGACCGCGCACTCCACACTTATCATTCATTCTCCATCTGCTTTCGCCCTTCGCGCATAGTTCAAGTTTCCAAGGCGCAAGAGTTACGGTTGCGCTCAGCTCATAGACGCGCCTGTAAGATTTAATGTGGGTAGCATTTGCGCGAGGAATCGTGCGCGTTATTTCCATCTGCTCGATTCTTATGCTGACTGTTGCGCGCAGCAGATATCCTACGTCGTAATCGAAGCCACTCTCCCTCCCTCATACCCCTTTGAACCGCATTCGCAACCGCCACAATGGCCGCCCAAGTACAGCCACACACAGATCCTAGCGGTGCGGAAGGCATTGGGCCTGGTCCGCAGCTTGTTAGCACCGCGCCTGGCCTGGAGGTCTTGGTGGGCCCGCTCCTCAACTACAGGCGCATGAGCAATGAGCTTGGAACGTCTACCTGGCATGGCAGCGTGCTCGTAGTGACGAGACCCGGACAAGAGACTCCCGAGTTGACGCTGGCTCCTGTGGGCGCCGTGGATGGATCCATTGAGAAGGCATCCTTCACCGTGGGTGCCAACCGCTTCTCCGCCGACAAGCTCTACGAAGACATCGACAAGGCATTTTGGCGCTTTTTGATTCATCTGCCCTTCCAGGAATTCGAGTCGCGCTGGCAATATAGCATCAACGGCCTCACCTACGTAGATGAGTCCAAGACGGAGAAGCCACAGGTCTTCGTTGTGCCTTCGACCTCGCAGTCGATGCGCATCCTGTTTCATTCGTGCAATGGCTTCAGCGTTGGAACCGACGTCGACGCTTGGTCTGGCCCTGCGCTGTGGAACGATGTGCTGCGCATGCATGCTCAAAAGCCGTTCCACGTTATGTTGGGCGGAGGAGATCAGATCTACAACGACGGGGTGCGCGTGGACGGACCCTTGAAGCCCTGGACTGCCATCTCAAACCCGCACAAGAGACGCGAATTCCCCTTTGGCGAGAAGATGCGCGCCGATTGCGATGAATACTATTTCAACAACTATGTGCGATGGTACGGCCATGCGCCCTTCTCCACGGCCAACGGTCAAATTCCGCAGGTCAACATCTGGGATGACCATGACATTATCGACGGCTTCGGCTCATATACGGATCGTTTCATGCGTTGCGCCGTTTTCAGGGGAATTGGTGGTGTAGCGCACAAGTACTATCTGTTATTCCAGCAACACATGGCACCGCCGAAGAGCACATACACCACGGATGCGCCCCAGACGACGAGTGCCGGACCAGAAGGCACCGATGTCGACCCTGAACAACTCAAGAAGACGTTTGTGATGACCAACGACGTTCAGGATCCGTCCTACATTGTAGGTCAGAAGCCAGGCCCGTATGTTGAGGAAAGGAGTCGCAGCATATATGCACAGCTGGGCGCTCGCATTGCGTTCTGTGGTATTGACGCACGTACTGAACGTACTCGGCATCAAATCAACTACCCGGAAACATATCGCATGATCTTCGACCGCCTGAACAAGGAATTTTCGGCGAATAAGGAGTTGAAGCACCTTGTCCTACTACTCGGAGTGCCCATCGCGTATCCGCGTCTTCAGTGGCTCGAAAACATTCTTTCGTCCCCCATTATCGGCCCAATCAAGTTTTTGAACAAGCGATTCGGCTTTGCAGGTGGTTTGTTCAACCAGTTCGATGGCAGTGTCGATCTGCTCGACGATTTGGACGACCACTACACCGCTCATCAACACAAGCACGAGCGCCGCGAACTCATCCACATGCTCCAGACCTTCTCCAAGGAGCACTCCGTCCGCGTAACCATCCTCGGTGGTGACGTCCATCTCGCAGCCGTCGGCCGCTTCTACTCCAATCCCAAGCTCGGCGTCCCAGCTGAGCAGGATTTCCGCTACATGCCCAACGTGGTCTCCTCTGCCATCACCAACAAGCCCCCGCCCCAGGCGGTCGCGAATTTGCTCGCTAAGCGAAACAAGATCCACCACCTAGACCACGACACGGACGAGACGCTCCTTGAGATCTTCGACCGCGACCCGCGGCCCGCCGACAAGGCCAACGGTGTAGTAGCCAACGGTCACGCAAACGGCGAGACCAATGGCAACATCGACGTTAAGAAGAAGACAGCCGACACCAACCACGCGACCATGCCTTCGCGCAATTACGCCATCATCTGCGAGTCCAATCCCTCCGCCACGGGCACGTCTTCGGCCGCCGCGCCGCAGCCCCACGCCGTGCCTTCGTCCGCGACGAACGGCGACGCGCCGCAGCAGACGTCCGCGCCTGTCGACAAGAAGGCCAACACGCGCAAGCCGATGCACGTCGGCGAGCAAGGCGCTGGCACCGAGCATCCCGCCGCCAACGGTCTCACCGCCACAGGACTTTGCGGACGCTACGGACTGGATGTGTCGCTGCGCGTGGAGATCAGCCCGAGCGATCGCGAGGGGCACACCGATGGATATGGGTTCAGTATCCCGGCGTTGGAGGTACCGGCGGCGGTGTAGGGTACCAGAGTCGTGGTTTTTGGCATTGAATCCAGGCTATGGACGAAACATGGGACGAGGTGGATGTAATGTTTGGAAGGGGAAGAGCGGGCCTGGGAGTGGGAGCGTTGCGTGTATTCTGAGTTATACCCTGCTGTAGTCATCTAGTCTGCCTGTGTTGTTTCTTATGTAGTGTAATGGTAGGAAGACGCGTCTGTCTTTCTTCGAGAACTCGACTGGGTGTGACGTGAAGGGCTTTTATTTTATTTTATTTTTTTCGGTGATTGAAACCTGCGTCATCTCGATACTCGCTCAAGACCTGACCCGGGGGGTTTCTTTCTTTTTTGATCCAGCAACCTGCAACCGACAGTTTTTGGCAAGCCATCAATGCCGGCACATGTTTCGTGTGGACACGCGTGACGCCTCATTGGTCAGGTTGGCTCGAAGCACGCGCAGAGCAGAAGCCAACAGTTCCGGGCTCGATTGTCCGTCATCATCAGAGATCATGGTCAAAGTTCAGGGCATGAGATAGACAGGGATTGCAAGTTTTGATGCTGTTCATTATCGTAATATTAGGAGATACTTCTCATCAGAGTTGTTCGTCAGGGCCAGCCATGCCATGCAGATATGCAAATGCAACTATAATACAAGTAATCGATCACAATCAATCGCTTTTCGCGCACCTGCCGAGTTCACCGCGATCAAGCTATTTCTTCGAGTCCTCCTTGGCCTTCTCGGCCAGCTTTTCCGCCTCACTGCTCTTCTTCTTGAGAATCTCCGAGATCTCGCTCACGGCATCCTTGATGATCTTCTGCGCCTCGTCGCCGTGCTTCTCAGCGGCCTCTTGGAGCTGGGTCAATTTGGGGATGATCTGGTCGCCGCCGGGGATCTGACCGAGGTACTTGTCCAGGCCACCGAAGCCTGACTCCTTGGCCTTGCTTGCAGCGCTCTTGACGTACGACTCCAGGTCGCCCATGTCGCCGGACTCGACTGCCTTCTTGATCTTATTGTACAGCTCCGACACGTTGCCCGACTTGAGCGCATCAGCGTTCGACTCGACGAGCTCCTTGACCTTGGGGTTCTTGTCCAAGTAGGGCTTCGCTTGCTCAAGGCCCTTCTTGTATGCCTCGTCGCCGAGCTGCTTCATCTTGTCGACCTTCTCCTGCACGATCTTCTGGATCTTGGTAACGTTCTCAGCACTCAGGCCCGTCTTGACGACATCCTGAATCTGCTGCCATGTCCTGTCGGCCTCCTTCTTGGCCTCCGGGCCGTACTTGTCACCGTACTCCTTCAACTTGTCGATGTTGCCACCGACCTTCTCCTTGAGCTGGGGATGGTTGTCCATGATCTGCTGCGCGGAGTCGCCAGCAAGATCACCGATGCGGCCGAGGTGCTTGACGATGATGTCCCAGGCGCGCTTGGCCGTGAGGATCGAGATGTCGCCGTTCTTGGCGACGCCCTGTAGCTCTGAGTAGGCCTCGCGCACGATGTTGTCAACCTCGTCGCCGTGCTTGGAGCGGATGTCATCAAGGTCCTTGAAGGCGGTGTCAATGTAGCCACTTGCGCCGGGGATCAGGACGGCGTAGCTCTTGGAGGCATCGCGAAGCCAGTCGAGGGCCTCGTTAGGCTCGGGTGTCGCCTCCTTGAGCTTCTTGGTGCCAGCTGAGACGTAGTCCTTGGTGGTCTTTGTGGCGGCGAGCAGGTCCTTTGCTCCCGACTGGCGGTACCAGACATAGCCGATGGACAGAGTAGCGAGGGATCCCGTAACAGCACCAATCAGTGCCGGCGAGGTACCTGCAGGCGCGTTCTGGCCTGCTGATGTGGACTGAAAACGGGCATTTTGTACACGGATGCGTGCAACAGGTGTGCGAGGCACAGGGCGGAGAGCTGTACGGCCCAGAGCACCAGCTTCGGCAGCTACGCGTTTTGATAGCATTGTGGATGTGAGGTTGGAAGAGGGGATGAAATGGAGGGATTTAGCGTTGATAGAAATGGTGGATGATGGATTGGAAGATGCCTAGTCACAAAAAATGGCCGCGGTGCCCTTTAAGGGTTTGTTCCAGCCGTGTCTTTTTCCAAGCTCTCATTGCGGACAAATGACGTCGCCATGATGGAGAGCTTCGTGTGGGGAAGACGTAGCCTCATGCTAACCGCATCTGGACCTCGCTATGCAAGGCACACAACTTCAGAGCATGCGATTGGCCGCGATTTAAGCTTGTGGTTGAGAATGGAACTATGAAAATCACTGCACGCTTCGCCCCATGACGTTCGGCGCGCGTTTCGATGCGCACATGCCAGACTGCAGGAGCTGCGGATAGCCGCGGCGAAGACTGTGAACATGCCAGACCCTTTAAGCACGCGCTCAGATCACCAAGCCCCTGCTGAATGCGTTCTTCCGTACATAGTACAGTACCACCCCAAGCGCCCAGATTGCGAGCAGGACACCAGCCTGCACTGGTGCAAACACGGCTCCTCGTACGACCACAAACCCGCTGATGACTGCGAAAAGAATTGGGATCAAGATCAACGGCTTGACCGGACGCTCCATCTCGGGCTCTCTGAATCGCAATATGATCGCGCCGAGCACCGTCAGAAAGAAGAAGGCGTACTCAGCCAGTCCATTCAGTGTCAGAAGGATTCGCATATTTCCGAGAAGGATATAGATGGCCGAGAGTACGAAATTGAGGACCAGGGCGTTGATGGGAGATTCGCCTTGGTCCATGGCTTCGTCTGTATGCTGTTCGCCTTCTGTGCTTGACTTTGAAACTCTGAACGTTCCGATGTGGCCTACAGTGCCAAGAAATTTTGGAATCCAATCTTTGTTCGACGCTGCAACTGTCATGCGGCCGGCCACGAACGAGTTACCTAGAGCTGACCCAACGATGACGAGGCAGATGAGCACAGTCGCGAAGTAGGCTACGCCTTTGCCGAGAAAATGAGTCACAGCGGTCTGTATATCGTCAACACCACAAAGTTGTCTGTAGAGACTCACAACTTACAACAGCTGCAGCATCGGTCGCAGAGACTTCTTTCCAGGGCAACAGAACGTAGTAAACTGCGTTGGCAGCGACGTAACAAACGATGATAGTCGGGATGGCCGTGTTGATAGACAGTGGAAGTTGCTTTCTCGGGTTTCGCAGCTCAGCGGCGACGTAGTTTGCCTGGAACGCTACATCAGCTGAATTTCGCACACATCCATAGGTATGAGCGTACCTTGTCCCAACCTGAGTATGCCCACAAAGCACCGTATAACGCGGTACTGTAGAATCCCAGACTCTGCCACGCGCTCACGCCCCTCCAATCGAACAGGCTTCCATCAGGGTTGACTGTACTCCTTGGTTCGAACCATCCCTTCTCATGCCAGTCGCCCCCACCGAGATCTTTGTGTCCACCTACGAACATGGATACAACCGTCAAGCCCGCAACGATGAGCAAGAAAATCGTGAGGAGCTTGATTGCCACGAAAAAGCTACTCAAACGCGTACTTGTTTGGGTGCTTATCGAATTTGCCGTAGTTACGACCACCAACACTAGTAGGGATAGCAGCTTATGTGTCATGGGTGGCTGCGGCTCATTGACACCGAAGCTTGAATAAATGCTTTCGACGAAAACGATGCTGAGGATGGCAAGGGTCGCAGGCATGGTCGCAACGATCCAACTCCACGCTGCCATGAAGCCAAAGACCTCGCCGTAGATGTACGAAAGGTATGGCTGGATCCCACCTTCTCCTGGGAAAGCGGTACCTAGTTCGGCCATGGTGAGCGCACCAGTCCATGCAAGAACGCCGCCCAGAAGCCAGACGAGGAGCGCAGCTCCCGGAGAAGGGACATTAGCATCGACAGGACCGGGAGAAGAAAAGACGCCTGAGCCGATCACGATGCTGATGAGGAGCGCGAAGCCATCGAGGGCGCCTAAACGGCGGGCGAATGTCCCTCGCGGTTGAGGCGCTTCAGCTTCCGTGGTTGCCACTGGTACATCTTGCTCCCGTAGCAGGGGCGTCTGTTCTGTTGGCGCCATCTGGGTTTGTGACCGTGGTGATCGAGTGGAGATGGAGGAGTCACTTGATTGCGTGCTTGGACGGGTATATGCGATCGGAGAAGTTTCGGATCTCGGCGGGCTGCCGCTTTCGGCCTCCTCCGAGAACAATACCATACCATATATAGGTCCCGGTACCCTTCTTCTCGACACACACACCGATTGAAATGCTAGCTACACCGAGAGTCCAGTATCATGTAATCATAACCCACGTTACAGTACTCTCTGTTGATGCACGTTGCAATGACACTCACACTGCCAAAAAAATAATTCAGGAAACCTATTGCATTTCCGTGGACACATGTACGCGTCAGCGTACATGAATCTTTCATCGTTGGTGATCTGGCAAATTTAAACCCATGATGAACGACAGAGAACTACATCGCCCACCAATCGATCGATTCGTCGTCAGTCAATGTGCACGAGAAGTCCCTGCACGCTACCCACCAGGTTGAGATTGCTCTTGGTAAGCACCCTCAACGTTGTCCGTACAGATCAGTCGTCGGTCGCCTTCCATCCCTCCTCGATCCTAGTCTGCTCCTAGCAACATCCATTGCTGGCAGCTGGGCAGCGTTCATCGCCCGCTCCCGCTCAAGCCTCAGCTGGATCTTCTTCTTCTGCTTGACCTTCTCCTAGACAGCCAAAATCCGCTCATGCTCGCCTTTGTCCGGATCCTCGAAGTATCCCTGATAGGAGTCCTTTTCGTCCTTCTCATCCAGCCAGTCGAGCTTGGCCCACTCCTCGACCTCGCTGTCACCTATCCTGCCCTTGCGGACCATTGATTTGAACGCCTGAGAAATTTCCTTGTCGTCGTCCTCATACATGGCAAGTGAGCTGATGGCGCTGAGCCGTGCCATGTATGAGGCTTAGGGAACGAAGTGGTCTTGTGATGGTTGACGAAGTCGCAGCGGTGAGTACGGTGCAAATGTACTGCCTTGTGGCATTTGTAGTTCTCTTGACCCAACGCGGTGCTGCAGAGCTTACATGCCGAGGCATTTCTCTTGCACGAGGGACTCTGATGGGTTGTGGTCGGACGATCCAAGGTCATCCTCTGTGTCGCAGTAGAAGCAGAGGTGACCGACACCCCACCGAGGAGCAGACTCTTGCTTCTTCTTCGTCGAGTGCTCCTAGAGAATCTGGCTTAGGGGCTTGCCGTTTATGAACGAGTCCGGAGGGAATTGGAAACATACCGTAGATTGACAAGCTTGTGGAGTGTCGATAGTACGGAGTGTCTCATGTCCTTTGACAAGCTGCCATGGATGAGCAATCGGCGGTCTCCTGTACTCAACCTATTCTCAATCACTCGAATGAAAAGTGCTGAGGAACAATGGAGATGTAATCTTTGATTGTACTTGACGCACTGTGATCTACAACCGACACTAGATCTTACGCATAGTCTCCATTCCCCAGCTCCTCTTGCTCCATTGATGCTCACCCTTCAACTCACCCACTCTCTTCTTTTCCTCGAAGACCTTCTTACTCAGCTGTCTGTACAAAAACTTTCCATTGTTATGGTAGTTGATGCTGTGGTCACTGTCCGTGAACCAGGTGTTCTGCATCTTTTCGGGGTTGACCTGGTCGCCCATCAATAGATCCGTCAGTGCTGCGGCGTTCTGTAAGTGCACATTGTCGTCGCCGGTACCGTGCTGGATAAGGAAGCCCCCGGCGATCTTCTTGAAGCCGGTAGAATCATGGACGCGCGATACGTTATAACCGGCAGCGTTGAGTTCGGGAGTCTTCATGTAGCGCTCCGTGTAGATGGACTAGATTCGTTTGAGTAAGCAAGCTATCTAATATGGTTGTGAAACTTACGTCGTAGAAGCGCCAGTCAGATACTGGTGCCGTAATCATGGCGAAGGAAATGATAGGATCGCCAACCTCGACGACCTTCGAAGAAAGGTATCCACCGTACGACCAACCCCAGATACCAATGTGGTTGCTGTCGACGAAGCTAAAAGTCTCTGACAACCACTTGGCAGCCCAGATCTGGTCCTGTGCCTCCAGATCTCCGAGGTTTGACGTCACGGAAGCGCGGAACTCGCGTCCCTTGTATCCAGTTCCTCGGTTGTCGACCGTAAAAGTAATGTACTCCAGCTCTGGGTCGGAAGCCACATATGCTTTCCAGTTGAGCGCGGTAAAGTCTTTGTGGACTTCCTGTGCATTGGGGCCACCGTAGGGAATAAGAAGCACAGGATACTTTTTGCTCGAGTCAAAACCCGGGGGCAGACGCAGCATCGCGTTGAGCTTGACACCAGACGGGTGAGGAAGTTCGTGGTATGTGATGTTAGGTAGCGCATACTGTTGTAGTTTTTCGTAGAGCGCCTTGTTGTCAACGATGGTGCGGATAGCCTTAGTGGAGTTGACCGAATACAGCTCTTGGTACGGGACATCTGGACCAGAGTACCGAAGTACGTAGTAAGAGCCGCCGGAAGAGAAAGAGGCTGTCCAGAATGCAACTTCTGTGTCGTCGACTAACGCCGTCTTCTTTCCGGTCACGTAGTTGACTGAGTAGAGATGGCTTTCAGTGCTGTGGTGCTCAGTCGACGTGAAATATATCAAGTTGCGCTTCGAATCGATCTTGAGGATGCTGCGTACTTCCCACTCTCCGGAAGTAAGCGCGATCTTCTCGCCACCGTCCACAGGGAATAAATAGAGATGGTTCCAGTTACTTTCATCGGACAAGTCGATGTAGTACTCTGTCGAGGTGTTTCCGTAGGTTGCGTTAGAGCTAGAGATTGGACCGACGTAAGAAATGGCGATGTAGTTTTCCAGCCAGCCGTCAGACCCATCGCGTTCGCGAACCAGCTTTGACGAGTAAGAGGGCACATCAACGACAACCAGCTTCTCTTGATCCTGCACTCGGTTGTAGGCACGGTACAGAACTTTCCCGTGGTCTTCTGTCAACCAGGCAACCTCTCCGAGCACTAGATCGTCTTCCGGCCACACCGTGATAGGCACATTCGTCACCTTGAGCGCCTCCACGTCGAGCACATTGAACCCAACCGTGGGGTTTTTGGCACCGACTTTAGGATATCGCAGCTCGAGCTCGCGCGGATACGAAGGTGCAACAGCTTCGCTGTCCATGTAGTACGGAATGCGAAAGGTCTCGACGCCTGTCTCGTTGAAAGTTAGGAAAGCGATGTACTTGCCATCTGGAGACCACCAAAGAGTGTAACGATCGCCGAAGATTTCCTCCTCGTACACCCAATCAGGCACAGCATTGAACCAATCCGGGCCGCCATCCTCAGTGATACGGGAAATTGTATTATTTTCCCAGATATAGAGGTCATTCCCCTGAACAAAAGCGATTTGGGAAGAAGATGCGGGATTGAACTCGGCGTATTGGATATCTCCGCTGGAGCCGGGAACAAGCGGCTGAACCTCCCCGGACTCTACATCTTGCACTAGATAGTCGGCAAAATAAGAGTGCCGATATTGCTTGGTGTAGTTGACAGACCAAAGCACACGGCTTGCATCCGGCGAGATCGAGTAGTCCCAGTAATCGGCGGGCACCTTGTCCGCTGAGAGGAAGGTCGTCGATTCTCCCGTAGCAATGTTCTCGAAGATGAAGGAGCCATCGTCACCGGTGTAGATGTAGTCGCCGTCTTCTCCTGTGCTGACCCATGCGAGAGATCTCGTCTGAGCGGACAGAGTTCCGGGAGTCAGCGTTGTCTCGTTGAAAGACAAGCGTTTCGTGCCATTGCCAAGAGGTTGATGAGGCACCCGCGGGGGCTCGATTGCCCGAACAAGCGGGAGCACCGCTGCCCAAAGCAGGTATGACCTCATAGTGGTGATGATTTGAGAACTTGAGGCACAAACGGAACAGTCTTAAAGATCAAGGACGCCGTGAGTTCTACCTCACGCTAATCGTGCCTTGCAAATTAAACGCTAATGCCGCCCCACAACTAACAGCCCGGCGACGAAGTGAGGAAAGACGCGAGGGAAGAGCGACCCAACGGATAGCGGATGCCTGGCATCACACAGGGAGCACAGCACACTCTTAAATGTCCCCTCACGATGCCATTTGATTGCGATTTCCGCCTGCATATGAACTGCCCGATCGGGCAGGAGGTTAAGGTTGTCCAAGGAAACGGAATCCTCGCCAAGAGGCCATGAGAGCCCATTAACCCGGTCAAGACGTGCAATTGAGGAAGGCGAAGGCGCTGGTGGCAGTAATACGTGATGTAGGTATATCGTCCAGCCTGAGACGGGATGATTGCGATAATTGAGACAATCTCGCGTCAATAGGCGGGTAGAAACGGTACTAGAGATTGTTGGGGCAGGCTCTTGGCCAGGCTTATTCAGCAAAGCACACGTGACCAGTGTCGACCTCAAGTTTTAGCCTGAACAAGTGTGGGCTGTGAGTTGCATATGTGATTACTCTGAAATATGAGAGCCACGGAAGGGCGATGTGGATCTGCAACACGGTAATCGGAGAGATCGCCTGCCAACCTACTAGACAGCAACCTTTAAATCCTAAACTTGGAAACGATTGGCTATTGTCAACCCAGAGATGACGAATGGATGAGCCCGACAGACAAGTATCTCTTTGGATGATCAAGCCACCCGCACCTGCATTTCACAATTACAATGGCAAGACTGGAGAAACTAGTCCACCACTTGAATCCGTGCGTACGCGATTAGCATCGAGCTGCCAGGGTTGAATCTCTAAATAAACCCTGCGAGACACTTCACAACCCGATGCCCGTGAGCTGTTGGAATAGAAAGTATTGTGACTCGACTATTTTCGAGTCATTAGAAGATCAGTGCTCAAGTCACTCGTTTCTGAGGCCCCTGCCAACGTATATAACACACATCGCCGTCTACCCATACATGCATACTTCGACGTTCCGAAACTCTCGTGCTACCAAAATCCTTTTCCAGTACTTCCCCTCGTATACATACTCGGGAGTCATTCTCAAGGCTCCCGAAACCTTCAGTATCTATTCAAGCTCCACTCAAGTGACAGTCACTAGTTACGGAATCAATTTAAGCAAGTTCCACGACCGGACCAAGTCTAATACCTCAAATATTGTACGTACTATTGGTTGTACTACATTCAAACTTACTTGAATGTAGTAAAGATCTAATGACGCTGCTAATGATACCTTTAGGAGTAGGTAGCGACGCGGCATGAGTCGTGCGAGCATGCCTAAGTCGGACACCGCCATGGCTGGTCTCATCGTGTTTTCGGAAGACTCTCTAGCGACCAAGATGAAGGAGCTAAAGACATTCGTTCGCGGCCGCTCTAGCCTCGAGGTGCTTCGTTGATTTTCACCGGTGACGAAATTTTTAATATGCCGCACTGAGGGTTGCTGGAAAGGACCGAGCATTTCTCATTGGACGAAGAATGGTGGTAGTAAAAGCATCTCAACCATAAAATCACCGAGCTTGGTCTAGTCATTGTGAAGGGTAGTGAAATCAAGGAGAACGCACTCAATATGGCGAAGACCCTTCGTATTGCTGACACCAACTACTTGCGCCTGATCGAGAACTGCCACATGATCAAACAACAGCTGAACGAAAACTCGGAACGCCATGCGCTCCACGCCCATACTCATTTCTCTGAGATCGAAGACATCAAGGCGAGGTTTCTCGAGATTGTAATTGTGGACGGCGAGGACCCAGTCATCTTCGTTGGAAGAAGCTTGTAAAACATTGACAAATTGAACGTTCTGTGGGGCGTTGATCAACCAAGTCGTCCATGTCATCGATTCGGTTCTCAAACTTGCAAAGAAGATTGGAATTCAGGACGGGTGCAAGCAGAAAAGGAGAAGCCAGGAAGTCTCCCCACCCTTATCAAGACCTTTAGCATCATTCCTTCCCGGATACACAAATGCTGTGAACAACGCGATGCACACGTTGCTGCCGGTCCTCCTGCCGGGCTTCTATCCTGACCTGTACCCGAACGACTGCAACGACTATCCGAAGGACTCTTCGATTCTCAAGGAGCCTTCCCTTGATCAGACTACTCGCCTGTCCCTGGACCAGCTATTCGAAGAAGTCGCAATACACCAGAAGATCAAGCGCCCTCCCGCTATAGGTTTCGCGGTGTACTGCTAATACTGCAATGCAACTAAGCATAACATGCTACTACTGCGCCAACACCCCTGGCCAGCCTAACGAGAAGTCACGAAACAAGGCCAAGCCGCAACGAACTCATCGCTGTGCATACAAGCAATCCCATGAGATACCCGAGTTTAGCAACGGACTCAGAGAGTGATTGCGTCTCTCAGAGCCGCAGACTCTGGGTCGGGTTGCGTTCGCGCGGGACTGGGCGACCTATGGGTACCTCATGTGGAAGGGAACAGGAGCTGGCAGAGTCGGAGACAAGGAAGTCGAGAAGTGGCAGACCGACGGCTTCCTGCCCATCGAGTCCCGCGACGACATGATACCCGGTTACGAGACTGCTACCGAGTGGCGCAACGAGCTGGACAACAAGGCGAAGAAGAACGTCCCGAACAAGTGTGATAAGGTTGCGAGCCCAGGTTTCTCTGACTTTGAACCCCAACGCCTCATCGTCGCGTGCCCTGGAAGAGGACCTTTAATTTAGGTACGCTCACTGTGAACCTAGGTACCAATCCTTTCAAGTCGAGTAGGGCAAGATTACGTCGTCCTTGGCGTGTTGAAGGATCTGTGGCTGGGGGCTATGTCTAGAGGCTGTACTGCAGGAAAGTGGGAAGTTGCATCCTTTGATTACATTGAACGTATGGTGGCAGTCTTACGGACGCAAGGCTCGCTAAGATCGAGGGAATGTCCAATCACAGAGTAAGGCAGGACAAGGACGGGTCGCCGGCACCTAAGAAATCTGACAACCCCGGGTATGCGGCTCGATAGCGCACGTCGCCTATGGCATTTTTCGATAGTAATCTTTGCAAAGTCGATGGTGCATAATATTCTCGCTCTCGGCCGAACGTCCTCAGACCTCTCAGCCTCCGCAACCACCAGTTCACATGTTCGAAAGAATGGATACGCGCGCCGCATATATACTCCTTGGAAACTTCACTGGCACGGGTGTACCCAGGCACAGGAAACCGCGACCAAAGAATTTGGAAAGGGCCGAAAACGGTATACGTAAAGCACTTGCCCAGATCATCGCTGCAACCTTATATTCCTTATTCGCCACACGAGTCATCAGAAGACGCCCAACTTTGGAATCTCACCATGAAAGTTCAAATCAGGCTGCAGGCATCATTTGCACCTCAGCTCTTAATGATTCCAGCCACCCGGGAAGCTAACCTTCCAAGCACTAGTGGATATTGTCTATTTCAGGCCATCCAGTGATAGGACCACATCCTGGCTGCAACCCCTGAAGCGAGCCCCCACCGCATACGCATCGAGACCTCGAGAGGGCTAATCTAGCGAAAAAGGATCCGAGTAAGCCTGGGCAGGACGCGATAGACGATACGAGGATGCATACGAGAGGACAGGCGGCGGCGTTGGGCGGGTATATGTCATGCGTGCCTTCCTCTTCATGCCTCTTTCTTTGCGCGTCTGAGTTCCTACCAACCCACTGTCACTGTTGTTCTTCGCGCGCCGTGTCGTTTTGTTTCAGTCCGATACACAGCATATCATAATCGCAGATTAGGCTGCACCCGAAGCTATGAAGACTACCCCACCCGCCGGCGATGGCGCCCAACACGACAACAGCGACAACAACAAAGCGCCGGCTATGAGCTCGCACCGCGCGCTTCTTACACTCGCCGCTTTCCTCGCCCTTCCGCTCGGCGTCGTATACATGATGTCGCATTGCAGTCATTTCTCACCATCTACATCTTCTCTTGCACAATATCAAACGGGATACCGACATCCGCACGGGACCATGCACGCCAAGCACACGAAGCAAGCAAAACACGCAGAACAGTCGATGCTGGAGAACATTGCAATGCTCATGGCTGAGGCATCTGCATCGCCACCAATTCCGAACATGCAGATGCGATTCTGCTCCGGCGCCGATCTGCGGGATTGCGCTTCGTATGCGTACACCCAAGGCTGCACAAAGATCGAGGAACAAAGAGTCTTGAGTATTGCGGAGCCGGGAATGTTCGAGGGACGCTTTAGTGCTTGCACCGTCTATCGGTACGCTCTCATCGACGCTTGAAAGGAGAGAACACATGCTAATTCTACGATTTAGACGCGGTGTACAAGATTGCGAGACGAAGGAAGAGGACTCGTTCAAACACGTCAAAGAATTTGTGGTCAACTGGGATGCGCAGGACGAAGACGAGGAGCTCGCCAGCAACGGAGTAGTGCCGCTGCTGCAGAAAGACTGGATATCGGACATTGGATCGTTCAAGTGCCGGTGACGAATCTGAATTCGGGCGAGGAGGAGAGGCGGTGACTTAACGAGCTATGAGTTGGATCGATGACGGATTGCTATATACCCTTTTGTTTAATTCTATGCTTTCAACACGAGAACCCCAAGATCCACAACGAGATGACCGAGCTGATGGGCAAGGCAAGAAGATACCGGCCCAACTGTATGCCACTTACAGATTACACATGCGCACAAACGTTAGACGGGCCGATGTTGACAAACGGTCAGGAGGCGCATGACTGGAGTTCCCCTTTCTGTGCTGCCGATAATAGCCAGAGTGAAGGAAGCGGACCAACCTGCTCCTGTCCCACGCGTGTTTTTGCTTACCCCAGTCCCTCTTCTCTTTGGCTTCCTCCCTGTAACGTATGAGTTCCTCTAGCCGACGCGTCAATTCTTCGTAACCCACGCTTTAGCCAGCAACTGCCTCGCATCATTCATCGTGTTCAGTTGTACACTACTCGATCTGGATCGTCTGCCTCCGCGGCGTCTTGCATCTGGTGGCATAGCCTTCCATAGGACTATCTAAGTACATTGAATTCCATGTGCATATGGGTGCCGCTTTGGAGGGTATCTTGTTTTGACATGTCGGCCAGCTTCGTGGTCATACTCTCTAGATGCATGTTGATACCGTGCTGGTTTACATTCGGGAAGACATGGTGGTCGTCACAGCACGGCAGTCTGAAACGTGACGGGTTCAAGTAGGAACGACGAGAACTGATTCCCAGGTCGCGGCGTAGTACAAAATTTGGGCGCGGATCCTCGTTTCAAAACAGCAATCGGGCGGATGCAGCTCGTTAGTAGTGGACTCTGAAATAACATGAGAAGAACTGTCAAGTAGTTTGAATTCACGTTCTTGTGCTTCGGAAATAGTCTGGGATGGCCCAAAATCAACCTGAGAGATACAATTCCATCGTCACCTTACCATGGGCTTTGCGTCAGCGAGACGTGCCTCCAATAGATTTGTGCTCAGGGCAGGGCGACGGTTCTAAAACTGCAAATCTAGTTTGGTCGCAAGCTTCTGGTCTATATTTGCATGCTGCGGAGGTCGATCAAGGCAAAAGGCCTATCGCTCAAGATTCGGAGGCCTAAGGCCGAAAAAATACCTCGTGAATCTCATTATAAAGTCAGTATACATTAGCCGTGGCAGAAATCACACTCTTCATACGCTATCTATACAGGCTGAGGGCTCTGGTCTTTACCTGCGATTGGCTCTCTGAGGGCACCGTCGGGGATCGAAGGGTCTCACTGGTTGACCTAGATCTAGTGCTGTAGTTATACTCCTATTCTGAATCCCGGGCTCTAGTTAACGTTCCGCAAGATAGCCAGTCAGACACCTACAATCAATAAAAGGTAAGGCGTTAGCTAGGCAGCAGGATAGAACCACGTTGTGTCTAAATAAGTCACTTTGCCGAGGCACCCGATTAGATTAAGCTTGGAACCGAAATGTTGCTTTATTAAACAAACAGAGATTCGTATTACTCATGCCCAGAAGATAAATCAAGCGCGGGTATCCATTTCATGCTAAACCAGTAACAGAAAGAAAAAGCACCTTTACTGAGCAAACACCGAGCCGATTTTCAGGTTCGTAATGAAACTGAGACCCAAGACCGCAATCGCTATTCCAGGGAAAACATGCATAAATCAGTATAGGTGCTCACCGGGATGAACAAAGCCGTGAACATGCTAACACCTTACACTCTCTCCTTAACAGTCATCCATGACGCAGGCGGGATTCCTAGATTGCACGATTAAGACGAAAGCCTGACCCTTTAGATGTTTGGGCCGAACTCCTCATCAATCAGCTTCTTGGCCATGGCAACCGCCATACCCCAATTTGCCACACCACCCTCCCGGTAGAAGTCTTGCGCAAGCTCACCTGCAACCTTGTAGCGATCTGCCTGGCAAGCGTTGTGTCCCTTCTTGGGTAGAAGCTGGTGGCAGACGTGCAGGGAGCGATCAACAGCTTCTCGCTCGAAGACCAATTTGTTGTTCTCCCTTCCAATCAGGCGAAAGATGGCCCACTGCGCTTTGAAAGAGATGATCGGGTGCATGGAATCGTCGTAAACCAATTCAGGAGAGTTGGAGCTTGACTTAGACGCAGCCTCCTTGAGCGTGCGAAGGGCCGCGCGGGTGTAGGAGACGATCGTGGGCTCTGAGTCCTCGCTATTGATATTGTGTGCACCAGCTGGGCGGTTGTCATAGGCATTGCTCCCACGTAAGTTTTCAACTCCAACCTGTTTCAAGTCTTCGTCAACGTTCTGGTCCTTGACATGGTCAGTCTCGCATACATTCATGTTCTGGTCGGAACTAGCCTCGCGCTGGAATACGGCTTCGTTTTGAGACCCGACCTCGCTCTGAGATTCAACCGCGTTCAGGACCTCGACCTCGGAGTCACCGCCACCGGTCGTTGAGATTACGCCCTGGTCGTTCGGCATAGGAGAGACGTTGCGAAGTGGCTCTCGGGACAGGTCATGAGCCGTGGCTGACAGCTGACCTCCCGCGTTCTTCCGGTCGATATTGGCTTGATGAAGCTCTTGAGCTCTCATTGCCATAGCCTCAGCCCGGGTCGTTTTCTTGCCGTTGTAGGTTATATCGATCGTCGGAAACTCCTGGGAAATGTCGACACCTTGAGCCTCTAAGTACCTGATGATCTTGGTACTGGCGACTTTGTTGCGCAATGTAGACATAGCGTAAGGCTGCATGCGCTCCCAGTTGGGGATGAATCCCTCATCTTCTCCTTTCTTGCCCATCATCCTATTCTTCTTGTTCTCATTGTTCTTGCCCAACTTCTGCTTCTTGGCAGGGGTAGATACAGCAACCGGCGCTTGTCGATTTGCGGGGCGTGTGTTTGTCGATGCATGTTGCAAGTCTGGGTGATGGTGCGGTAGACCCAATGCTGTTTGCTTGTCAATGGAACCGCTTGACGATTCAAATACTCATGGTAGACTGCTCGCTCACCAGGGATAGCTTCGCTTTGGTCGCGTTCTCCGGATTGTTCGCGAGCGTTGATATAGCGCGAGTCAGTGCTGTGTCCAATCGAAGACATGGTGCCAAAGATGTTGTGATCCATCTTCTTAAGTTGGTCGCTCCCGGATGGTTTAGAACTTAGACGTCGCGCGTATCAGAACGCAACCTAAACTCACTCGACGAGGGTATAATTGCGTCTAGACGACCATGGCGCTGTGTTTGCGAGGTTGGTCTCGCAGCGGGAAGTGTGCTTTGTATCAGGTCAATCTAGCTTTATGAGCGCTAGGAATTGGTCAACAGTCAGGAAGGTGCGGGCACAGAGCCGCTTTACTAGCTTAAGTGAATACAGCAACTCGGAGTTTCAGTTCCTCCGGAATACCGTTTATAGCTGCCATTCGAGGTCGAGTCACCAGTCCTTCACTGTGTAGCGCAGCGGTGGAGCCCATATCCTTTACGTCATAAGCTGAAAGTTTTGTTTATAATAGGTACCATAGAGTCAAGCAAGATAACAACATCTAACCAATTTACAGCCATCGTCCGTAAAACGCGAGTTTCTGACTTTATGTACGTGTCTGTCAATACAATGTATACATCGTATCGTGACCCCATAGGTACGCCTAACATTATCCTTGAATATCATACTCCAGTTACAAACAAATTGACTGTGCACTGAGGGAAAACAGCCTAAGAAGCAAATGAACACCAAAGTCCTTCATAGCAAGTCATCGTTCCACAAAGCCAGACGCCGTTCACGGGATATCGAAAGATATCGGAGAGCAAAAATACCTTCTCGGACCTTAAACGTTTGCAGAAAACTCTTGCAGAACCAACTGACACGATATTTGCACCGAATTCTGGCCTTTTAACCAGTGCACAGCACTTCGCAGCTCAGGGATAAGTTCTGCACGATGTTTGTGAGTCTCAGATGTAATGCCAGCAATATCTTCCTCGGTGTCTGCGCCGTGCTCTTGACGTATGCGAACGGTCCGGAGGCGTGTGTGCCAGTGGTTTTGAAATCCGGTTGAGAGAAGCGCGCTGAGGCGAGATGAGAGTAACTGGTCCTTATGACCGCATTGCCTACGCTCGCGGCTAGCAACTTTCACACGGGCACCTTGCCGACCTAGAGTTTTTTTTTCACGGAGGTTGAGGATCTATGGGCACGTCATGTTTATTTCACCGAGCCTGCTATACAAAGCAACCCTATGACTGAAAAGACAGTATTCAAGATTGGCTCCATTCATCTGCTTGCGAAAAGGGAAACATACGCAAACCACTCCTCCGCTTTTACATGTCGCGCTAGTACGGCATCCATTGTGACGTTGGGTTCAGTTGTATTCCAGCCACTCCATTCTGTTCACTGAAGATGATAAACATAATTCTTGTGGCATCAACTAAGCAGGCTAAAGTTTCCAACGCAGACTGATTCAGTGAGGTTGACTTATGCTACGCAATGATTTGAACGAATGTTTGATCCAAGCCTCCGTGTATAGTTTTCCAAGGGTCTACCAACAATGGTATTCTTCCTTTGTTGGCTGCTCCCTCTGGCAACCAAAGCTGTCGAGAGCAACCCCAGTTTTTCAGATCTTTGCTGAGAAAGCACCGAAGGGAGGTAAAGCGTTCGCTAGTACATCAGTAGTCAACGAGCTATCAAGTATAAGCTCAGAACCGGCTCTCACAGCTGCGGAGGGAACTCCTGCACCACGAGCTTTGTAGCAATAGCCGCTACATCAACGTCGTCCTCCAAGGTCAGAGTTTTCTGCAGCTCATCCCTCAGCCGGAATCGCAACTGCCCATGCTCCACTGGTATCTGGAACCGACGATCCCCAGACTCAGAGACGTGAAGGGCTCGAAGTCTGTTGCCGCGAATCTGGGCGTCGACGACCTTGTAGACGAGGCGTTGCACGGTAGCCGAGACAAGTGGCAATTTGTCGCTACCAAGCTCCGGCTCTGTGAGCTCAGCTGCCGATTCTAGTTTGTTGTTGTAAGCGGCGTTAATCTGGGTCGAGGCGTGGTCCCTGATAGCCTGCAGGTTGATCCGAGCCAGCATAGTTTGGTGGCTGTCAGGAGCCACGGCGTCCGGGAGGTCGTGGCGATGCCCTTCAAAAACCCGCTTTGCTTCCGCCTTACGAGACGCTTCTTCAGCCATGGCAGCTTTGTGAGAGTCGATGAGTATCTCATGCATTTCGTGACACTTTGTTCCCAAAGCTTCAGCGCGGCTGATAGGGTTGTTTTCGTTATCGTAGAACGGGGTGTCCGTCTTCGTTTTCAACGGAAACTCGGTGGCAACGTCAATTCCAAACTCTGGATGGCTCAAGAAGGCTTCCATCCCAGTAATTCCAAGCTTGTTTTTGAAGGTGGACATGGTCCACGCGTGATGTGACTTCTCGTTGGCGACGAACAAGCGGTTCTTCTTTCCCATCTTCTTCGCTGCCTTCTTGGCCTTCTTCAGCACAGCGCGACGTTGGGTATCCGACGAATCCTCTTCAGAAGCTTCATCAGGGATATCGTTGGCGATATTTCTAGGTGAGCTGCTGCCTTTTCCAAAGTTAGTTGGCGGGTCCCAAGAACTCTGTGTAGCAAGCTTGCTCACCAATTGTAATCACGTCCTCGCTGCCAACATCAATGTGTTCCTCATCAAAGTCCAGGGCGAGATCAGTAGCTGTTGCACTGTGAGCATTTCTATATTGTGTCAAGAAAACTTCAGTATCATGTGCTTACCACCATCTTCTCCAGCATCTTGAGTTTCTAGCGACTCATCACTTGAAGTGTCACTGTCTGAGGCTGTGCGTGCGATGTGGGTTATGCCTGCGCTCCGCGAGGCACTGGGCAAGCGCGCAGATCCAGATACAGACAAGTAGCTCATGGTGGCCGGGACAGCGTGTTCTGTATGGTGTAAGTCGGAGCAAAAAATCAGTGAACCGCGTTCTAAGACAAGGCAACCCGCAGTCAGGATGACTTGCATTTTTTCTCTCGTCGAAATAGCTCTGCCTAAAAAGACTCATCAGTGGCTTCAGCATATATTGGTCGAGGTCACTTACCAGATTAGATGGTTCTCTCGGTCGTTGCAGATGAAGCTAGTGTTGAGGCAAAGAGATAGAGTTTAAGAGAGCAAGGCACAAAGTAGAATACGAGGTCGTGTTTCTGGGAGCACGAGACACCCCTAGCGCGCTCTGACCTTTCCACGGGAGTTTCCGAAAGAGGATAATGAGAAGAGGGCAAGACAGCGGCGGCGGGTTGAAAAGCGTTCATGTCAAGTACGTTTAAAACCGCAGATAGGCAAGACAGCTAGACTGTCGACGCAAACTCGGATAATTACTTCGTTTCCCACAGCACCGAAAAGTCGTCGCGAATACATCCAGTGACTCAAGCTAGAGCACAGGAGTAGCACAACTCCGAAGCTCCATTATTCGATCCACGGCCATCGATACGACGTTTGGAAGCTTGAGGTGACTTAGCTTGAAGGTTCTTACCAAAATCGTACCCAGGGCAAAGACAAGCAATGCTTTAGCCCTAGTTGCACGTAAGCGCTACGGCAATAGAGAGACTGCCTAGCATCTCCCCCGTTGCAACTCATTTCAACGGGCTCACTGCGGAAGTCGCCCAGCTTTTACCAAATGCGTGTGGGTAGCTAGGTCCCGATAGGGCCGGATCGTACGCAGCAGTCTATGGGCATAATGCAGAAACGCAGATCGTACTGCGAATTCTCCCGTACCCTCGGGTGTGAGAACCGTGCCTGGTGGAAGCAAATAACGAAAATGTGCTGGACATTAGAACTTCTGAATCTTGTGGGTTCAGGCTGCGTTCAACAGTCATCTCTTGATTATATCTCATCTCATCTCGAGGGCATATGGGAAGAAGATAAAGGGCTGCGTAAAGTGTTTTTAGCCTGTAATTTGGTATCCTATGCGCTAGGTTTCAAGTTCTTGAATGTCTTAGTGATGTTCGTAATAGCCTCTTCCACCGGCAGACGTTCCATCGAGCTCGCGCCGTAAAAGCCATGTACGCCCTTAGTTCGAGATATTACATACTCTGCATCTTCCGGCGCAGCAATTGGACCTCCGTGGCATAGTACTATGACATCCGGATTGGCCTTGATAGCTTCGTCTCGAATCTCTTGTATTAGCTTGACGCAGTCTTCTAAGCTCTTCCCGCTCGTTGCACCGATGGATCCAGAAGTGGTCAAACCCATATGCGCAACGATGATATCCGCACCAGCCTCGCTCATCTTCTTCGCTTCTTCGACGTTGAAGACGTACGGCGTAGTGATGAGATCGAGCGCACGTGCCTTCTGCACCAGCTCGACCTCCGCGTCGTAGCCCATTCCAGTCTCTTCTAGATTTTGTCGAAATTGGCCGTCTATGAGACCGACTGTCGGGAAGTTTTGGATACCCGCAAACCCAATGTCTTTCAACTGTTTGAGGAAGCGATCTATATCGCGGAAGGGATCAGTGGCGCATACTCCCGCAAGAACCGGCGTCCTCTTCACAACGGGCAAGACTTCGTTTGCCTGGGAAAGGTCGTAAGCAACCTGCTATAACGGGTCTAATCGATATGAACCCACCATCTCCAAAACGACGTCATTTGCGTTCCCATAAGGCATCAGACCAGCCAAAGAGCCCCTGCCTGCCATGCGAAACCGACCGCTGTTGTAGATGATGATCAAGTCCCCACCACCCTGCTCAATGAACTTGGCCGACAGACCGATGCCAGCGCCTGCACCAACAATGACAGTGCCATCTGATATCAACTTTCGTAGGTTGTCCAGTATCTCTTTGCGATCGTTAGGGGGCGCCATGATTGTGTTGAGTTGCAGTGTGTCTTCATTTGTGCGCCTGCCACCAATGCAGTAGACGATGACGTCATCGTACACCTGGCGGGGCTGCTGGCATGACTACTACACATGCAAACATACGCGTCGCCCAACATTTGGATGATTATAGTATCTCAGTCGCCACCATGGTACACGTTCTTCTTCTAGGAACTTGCGACACGAAGCTAGACGAACTCTTATTTCTCCGCACAGCCATCGAAGAAGCGGATCCGAACGTTGGCGTCAGCTTGGCAGACGTTGGACGATGCGAAACCCAGCATGAGGCTATCAAGTATACACACAGCAAATTGATCGAGAGCTATGGCAACGGTCGAAATGTCGACGACTTGCCACGTGGCGAGCTCATCAAGACAATGGCAAGCTTCGCTACGGCGTTAGTGAGGGACCTGCATCAAGAGTTCGATGGCACCTGCATTGACGGTATCATATCTGCTGGAGGATCGGGAGGAACCTCGCTCGCTGCAGCCGTGATGAGAGATGCGCTTCCCATTGGCTTCCCGAAATTGATTGTCTCGACGGTTGCAAGCGGCGACACTGGGCCTATTGTTGAAGAGACGGACATTACATTGATGTACTCGGTTGTAGACGTTGCTGGACTGAATGGGGTATTGCGTAATGTTCTCAGCAATGCGGCTGCAGCCATTGCGGGTATGGCATGCTCCTACGCAGGACGACGTCAAGCAAATACAACCGAGGCAAAAATCAGGGTAGGCATCACAATGTTTGGTGTCACCACCCCTGGAGTGGACGCGATTCGCAAACATCTTGAGTCAGAACACAATGTTGAGATTTACGTTTTCCACGCGACGGGCCACGGAGGTAAAGCCATGGAACGGTTAGTCAGGGAAGGCGGACTTGACGCGGTGCTCGACCTCACCACCACAGAAGTCTGCGATCTACTCACAGGCGGTGTAATGAGCGCCGGTAATGAACGCCTTGAAGCAGCTGCCAAGGCCGGTATACCCAACATAGTCTCTGTAGGAGCGACTGATATGTCTAACTTTGGACCCAAGAACACAGTACCCGAGCGTTACAAGTCTCGGAAGTTGTACGAACACAATCCAATGGTGACGTTGATGAGAACGTCTCAGGAGGAGGCAAGGGAGGTCGGACGATTCATTGCTTCTCAGCTAAAGCAGCACGCCCGGGATCCGGCGATGATTGAAGTATGGTTGCCCAAAGGTGGCATCAGCATGATCTCAACGCCCGAGGGGCCATTTGCGGATCCTTCTGCAGATGAGGCCATGTTCAATGCAATCAAGAATGGTCTTGAAGAGAGCGGCATAGAAACCAGAGCCGACAAACGGGACATTAACGACACGAGTTATGCACGCGACATAGCGGAAGCGTTGATGGAGAAAATCCGAAAACACAGAAGCGGGCAGTAGGTTGCGAGGGCCAGTACGGCCGCAAGACAACTCAGCCGCCTCCCCCAAGAAATCCTTTGTTAGAGAACAGAGTCGCCTAGTCGGGTTTCGGCGCTCCAAGATGGGCTGCGGCCAATCTAATTTAAGTCACCAGGGTGATTGGCCCAGGAGGAGTAGTTGCCTGATGCCAAGCTCGAGGATTGGAACAATAAAACCACGAGACTCGCAGGGTGCGGACTGTACCAAAGCTGGAAAACTTCACGTCACTCGTTCAAGATGTTTATTTGTTTATTGTCTCTGTCACTCGCTACATCTCTCTTTGCGCACTCTGGCGCGGCTCTGGATATCGATGTAAAGGACCAGGGTAATGTTTCAGGGGAGAACGAATTTCGACATCGATCTAACCCGATTTAGATTCAATCAAGAGCGCTGCGAAAACGATCGCTGGAGGCATTGTCAAACTGTACAAAGATGATTTGAAAGAGGAACTCATTCCCGGACTTTTCTCTGATCCGTACTACTGGTGGGAGACGGGTGCCGTCTTTGGAACTCTAGTGGATTATTCGTCCTTGACCGGCGACAAACAATACGATGATCTTCTCGGTGAAGGGTTCGAACACCAGCTTGGCGAATTCGATGCGTTCATGCCCAGCAACCAGACCAAGACTCTTGGTAACGATGAACAAAGCACCTGGGGGCTTGCGGCCATGTCAGCTGCTGAGAACGGGTTCTCGACTTCCAAGATTGGAAATCTGACCTGGGTACAACTCGCCACCAATGTCTTCGACACCCAGGTTCAGCGTTGGAACGAAGAGACCTGCGATGGAGGCTTGAACTGGCAGATCTACCAGTTCAACAATGGGTATACATACAAGAACGCCATCTCCACTGGAAACTTCTTCCTGCTTGCTGCACGTCTCGCAAAGTTCACTGGCAATGCGACCTACTCCGAATGGGCCGAAAAAGCATTCAACTGGGCACAGGACATCGGCCTCGTGGACGATAAATACCACGTCTACGATGGCGCTGACGAGACCGAGAATTGCACCAGCGTCAACCAAATCCAGTGGTCCAACAACAATGGCCTATACATGGAGGGCGCAGCCCATATGTGGAACCTGACCAAGGGCAACGACAAGTGGAAGAAGGCGACCAACGGATTTGTTAACGCCACCCTAAACGTGTTTGTTGAGGATGACGTCCTGCTTGAAATTGCCTGCGAAAAGAATGGCAAGTGCAACACCGACCAGAAGGCCTTCAAGGGTCTTGCCGTCCGCTCCTACGCCCGCGCCATCGCGTCCGCGCCTTTCATCTCCGATTCGCTTACGCCTGTGCTCGAGGCCTCTGCGAAGGCGGCGGCGAAGGTCTGCAGCGAGGACGACAACGAGGTCGAGTGCGGGCTCCGATGGACTAAGCAGGTCGACGACGGGGAGGGCGCTCTCGGCGGGTTGTTCAGCGCACTGGCTGTACTTCAGGCGCTCCTGGTGCCGGAGGCAAAGCCTCTTGCTACTGGATCTACTTCCAACGGCACGTCGAGCGGAAGCACGACGCAGAACGCACCAGCTGCGAGTGGAAGTGGAAAGCCCGTTGAGAACGAGGGTGGAGCGGATATGCTGTTTGTGTCCCGCGGCTTGGTCGTTGCGGCTGCGGCGGTCGCTGTGGTCTTCCTATAGAGTTATCAACGAGTCCGGTGATTGTAGTGGGACCAGAGGGATAGGATAGACCTTTCTTTTGTGACCAGCATCCGTGCACTTGAACCGTCGCCAGCCCATTTTCCCACACATACTGGACCGCCCCTCTGCTCAGGATAGCTTCCAATCCAATAGTCACATTCTATCATTGTGCTTTGTCTTAACAGTGGCCGTCTACTTCGCATGTGGAAGGAACGGCCAACCTGTAAGTACACAAGCAGAGCACCGACATACCTGCTCCACTCGTATTCAAAGCCACGAAGTAGGTCACATGGATGCAGGAAGCTCAGTGCTTAATGTAAAGAATATCCTGATTCATTCTAGAGACTAAAAGAAACATGGTATATAAAAAGTGCATCAATCGTACATCATTGCGTCAGAGGTATCCATAAAACAAGCAAGTACAACAACAACAACAACAACAACAACAACAACAACAACAACAACAACAACAACAACAACAACAACAACAACAACAACAACGACGACAAAGCCCCTCAATCTGTTCCACTCCCGTACTCCGAAACCACCCGCAAGGTGGTTTACTTGGTGGTATTTTGGGCAACTGCCTCGCGATCGCCCTTCAAGTCGTACCCGCCGAATGTGGCGTTCATGCGCCCGGTAATGCTGCTGCGACGGTCAAGGCCAGCCTGGTGGTCGGCCTCCACGCGGTAGCCGCCGGTGATGGGGTTGACCGGTGCACCGGCGAGGCTGGAACGGCGGACTTGCTCAACTTCGGCAAAAGAGAGACGCTTCTCGTCGTAGTGGACAGTCTGAACAGCGCCGCCGACAGCACCGCCCTCGAGCGCGGTGGCAACTACGTTCTCGCCCTTGACGCGGAGGATGTGCATGCCGTGGCGGATCCAGTGGGTGGTGACGTAGGCCAGGACGATGATGAAGCCGACCATGGGGACAAGGTAGGAGATTTTCGTGGTAGCAGCATCGGCAATGGCACCCTGAATGGGTGGGAAAACAGCGCCACCAGAGACACCCATGACAAGGATACCGGCACCACGACGGGTGTTGCGGCCAAGGTTCGCAGTTCCGATGGTGAAGATGCTAGGGTACATCGGGGCCATGAAGAAGAAGATGACGATGATGCAAGCGACACCAGAGGTTCCGTGAGCGTTTGAGACGTAGGCTGAGAGGGCGATGCAGACAGCGGCGTAGACCATGAGGACGAAGTTGGACTCCAGGAAGTAAGCAATACCAGCTGCAATGAAGCGACCGACAGTGAAAACGATGAGACCGTAGGATAGCAGGCGAGCGCCCTCCTCTGAAGTGTACGAAGCTGCCTCAGTAGAGTAGTTGATGAAGAAGGTGGCAATGGTAACCTGGGCACCGACGTAGGCGAACTGGGCGACAAAGCCAAAAATCATGTTGTACTCTTTGTACAGCGGCTTCTGCTCGATGATGTTGCCATACTGGTCCAGGGGGAGACCAAGCTCCTCAGAATCTCCAGCAACGATGGATCCTGCACGTCCAGCGGCTTCTGAGACTTCTGGCAACTTCGAGAAGAAGAAGAGAACACCAACGGCGACACCAGCGCACGCTACAGCAAGATAGACGTATTGCACGTTCGTGAGGGAGTTCGCATTTTCGCCGGAGAAGAAAGCCTTGGAAGCAATAAGTGGACCAGTAAAGGACGCCACACCATTCCAGCTCTGGCAGAACTGGAGGCGAGCAGAAGCGGTAGCCGGATGACCGATAACGACAGCGTAGGAGTTGGCTGAGGTTTCCAAGGTAGCAAGACCACAGGCAATGACGAAAGTGCAAGCCAAGAATCCACCGAAAGCAGCCTTCTCGTTTGTGGGGGTAGAGAAGTGAGCGACTGGCCAGAAGAAGATGGCTCCTAGAGAGTAGAGAGTGAGACCCATGAGAATCGTGACTTTGTAGCCTTTGCGTTTGAGGACCTCAGCAGCAACTGGAGAAAAGCAGAGGTAGCCACCACCGAAATACATGACTTGGAGCCCGGTAGATTCGAGACGGGTGACACCGAGGACAGTTTGGAAATGCTTGTTGAGTACATCGAGGAGGCCGTAAGAGAAACCCCAAAGGAAGAAGAGGGAGATGACCAAGCTCAGAGGGTAGATGAGCTTCTTGCCGCTGAGATATCCTCCGGCAACGCCAGGGACATCCGTGGGAATGCCACCACCAGCCATTGTTGTGCTTCTGGGTCTTAGACTGTCGAAGATTGACTTGGAGCTGTACTCAGGTCAAATGAGTAAGCGTGGTGTTTGAGAACGAGTGATGGTGATGTGCAGTGATGATGATCCAGAGTAGTGGACAGCCATGATGTCTTTATACAAGTTGAGCTGCCATCGAAAGGGTCTTGCAAGCCTTGCGGCTACCACATAGTCGTGATACGCCAGAGTAGTTCGGAATCCAGATTGACCACCAGTGCAGTAGCTCCGAGCTACTGTAGGAGGGACTGGGGTTGACTGGATCCTTGGCGCATGGCTAGTCTCATGCTACCCCGAGAGTCTCTCCGCACCCCGCCTCGACTGCGAGTGCGCTAATGGCTCCCCAGGCATACGTGGACGGAGGCCTCCACTCCATGCTGCGTATATGGGTCCATGTCTGGGGCATGGCATGGGTCATTCGCCCGCGTGATCGTAGAGCCTTGTGGAACTATCTTCATCGTGCGCATCATTGAAGTTCTCCTCCTTTTGAACTTCTGTCAGCGTTTGTGTGTGTGTTTGTGTGTGTGGAGCGTCAACCTCACAGCTGCTATTGGTGATAAATTCTCCATGAATTCGAAATGCGCATGCATAGTTTGGTTGACCATGTCTAGACCAAGTTAGCGTGAGAGTCTCAACACCTACTTCTAGCTTGCTTCTAGCGGTGTTCGATGCAGCGCCATTAGGCCTCGAACACAAGAGCCTCACGATAGTGCCGCGTGCAGCAACAGCCCCTAGATGCATATCGGCCCTTCTCCGGAGTGGGGTGATTGAATGCAAGGCGAAGAGCCTCAACTAAGCCCGCATCTGTCCTCTTTGGGTGATAGTAACGCGGCTGTTGAGCCGCACGTCACGGTCCAGGCGACCTCCCCCAATGATGTCAATATGCGCGACATCGGAGCTATGCGTTGATTCGTTGTGGCTGACGCCCTGGTCCTCGATCTTGCCCCCCGGCCCCAGGCGCCAATGCGTCCCAGTGAACGATTGCAGGCCCGGCGCTCGTGGGCGAACTACGCTTATCATACAGTGGCGAATCACGAACACGGCATGCAGGCTGGTCGTGGTGCTCAATGCTGCGCCTCTTTCGACGTTCAACAGTTGCGCTGTCCAGGATCTTTGGGCTCGTCCAATGGGCGGTTGAGATGAAAAGTTCTGTGCCCAGACTTGAGTTACGACTACGCGAGGCGTAAGAGCTGCGTGGAGAAGTAGACCGCCCCAAGCCTACGCCAGCCTCCTTCGATGCCTAGTTGAAACAATTTTGCAAGTTTAGACGATCACCTGAGCCAAACAAGGATTGGGAGGGCCCTCTTGAATCGTCAGATCTAAACCCATGGTGGTGTCAAATCCACGGAGAAGATGTAAGTTTCAGACGCTGGCCGAGCACTCGGTGGGCTGCCTTACACTGGGTGATTCGCTCTTGCAGGTATTACTTGGGAAGTGGATACTCTCGGTGTCTGTCCGTTTAGGTTTCTTTTTGTGCAAGGGCAAGTGATCTCGTGTGACCGTTTGGACACCAGTATGTTGATTGCGCAGCTTGGCCTGGTTCGAAATACCAAAACTGCGATGGCAGTGTCTATCGGAAAGACTCAATCTGACACATGGAATGGCACCCAACGGCACTCTCAGTGGCCAAGTTTTACGATATGGGTGTCTTCAATGTCAACGTGTGATAAATAGACATAAGTAATTGTGCCTTTGATGGGACCCTAGTTATGAGGCTTCGACGGATTGCTGGTGGCTTCGTGTTGCGCGAAGCAAGCCTGCGCCGCAAAGTGGGCGATGATCCTGGCCTGCAGGGTAGGTGGTTGATGCACGTACGGCAATTATGCCTGTTTCGACGCGCTTGGAGCCCGAAGAGGCTTTCAGATGGGCCGATGGTGTTATTTCGCTCAGCATCCAAGCTTTTCCAATTGGCCGAGATCGGCAGACATATGGTGAATGTCTGGGGATTATCTCCAGGTTTGGATGCGGCAAATTTGGGGAAAGGCCATTCTAGGTGGGGACCCCCAACACACTGACAAAGACTGAGCCGACAGATTCGAGAAGACAGGCTGCGCTGATCTCGAATTTTAACGAATTTTAACGCCTGCCCGGAGTATTCTCCTCTCGCATGTCTCTCCCGCCATCCGGTCAGTGTGGCTGCCTTGTGAGAGCAGTATATTTACAAGCAGGGAAATAGAATCATGTTCAAATTTGGTGATCATAAGGTGAAACAAGACCATGGGCAATCTCTTGAATCTTTTGGCGTCTGCAGCGCATCGATCGCATGTGCCAAGCGCAGCGCCCAGGGAGGCTCGGCGGCAACAGCCGCCCCAGGCTGTGTAGCGCGTCACCATGCTCCGAGGAGTCTCTTGCTGCCCAGTATTCGGTAGTTTGGTAGTGCCACCAGCTCCCGCACTCAGAACTCTTGACAACTTGTCCAGGGTCGCGTCGTTGGTTGATGTCTGCTTCCAGGCCCGAAATGGGGACCATCCGGGGTGGGGCCGACGACAACGCGTCGCCCGTGGCTGGCTGGTGCAATTTCGCGTGGAAACATCATGATGCGAACTAAGTCATGAAACAAGGTAATGGTGATCGCTGTGATGTTGGTGCAGTGTGGTTCGTGGGTTTGCCTCTATCGAAGAATTCGCAGTCCTGCCGAACCAGATTAGGATTAGTTTTGTGGCTTCCCAACAGACCTTCCCAAGCGTCCACAGTGCTCACCTCGAGTGTGCACGAGTGTTTACTTCTTTGTCGTATCTCAACATCCAAGACTCGTTGGTCAAAGGCAAGACTCCGGAGGTTTGCGGGAGAACGTCATGTCGTTTCAAACTTTCTCAAGGCTTCCATTGCCCATGCGATCTGCTTCTGCACCCTCCTCCCGACATCTTCACAACCGCCATCTTCGCCTGCCTCACAACGCTATACCCGAACAGTAACTCCCACATCACCTCCGTATGATCCATATTATGCTCCGACAGTTCCCCTTTGTACCCAACCTTCGAGATGTCCTACTTGAACGCCTCCCGTGGCAAGGGTCACCTAACACTTAACAAATGAATACACCTCACTCTCGGCTTCCTGAATCTTTCCCAGTACCCAAGATATATCCGCAGCGTCTCGGGTCTCAAGCCATCATCGCTCCCATCCAGAAATGGATCTAACGAGGCCCCCATCCATGATCGCTGAACTCGCGCCCTGCCCGTGATGAGGGAGATAGGCATGTACAGCGTCACCAATGCCCACAACGCAACCGCGCGCCATGCGATCCAACGATTCTCGGTACACGGAAGTCCATACGCTCGTGTACGTGCTCATGCCTACCCATCGCTGAATCAGGGGACGGAAATTCTGGACGTAATTGCTGGTTTCATAAGGGGGCACGACGAGGAGGCTTTTTCTCTCCCGTATTGTGAAAGAGACCATGTCTCTATGATCGCGGTCCCGCATGAACGCCGGATCGGGATCCACTTTCATCTATTTCAGCGGCACAGCGACTCGGTACGCTGTCCTCGACCACTGGAGAGGCGGGAGCTCGCCATTGTGGAAGATGTCCGCTTGCAGGCTCTGTCGCTTGTTAGCTATCTGACTTACACCAAAGTTGCAAGACCTACGTGCACCCCATTCGCCACCACAACCATTTCGCCCGCCCACTCCCTTATATCCTTCAAAACAACCCTCTTCTCATCCTCCCTCACATACGCCACCTCCGCGTTCAAATGCACATCTACCCCCTGGGCCGGCGTCGATTATGGCGATTTGGAGGGGCGGCATGGTGTTGGTGTTGGGTTGGTGGATGAGCGCGGAGGTTGTGCTAGGAATCTTGCTGTTGGAGGACATTATGTGTTGCTTTCATGATCATGAAGTACGGTTTGGCGGCGTAGTGTTGGGTTAAACGACTAACGCTTACTGGCCGCGGTTTTGATCTTCGCATTGCCGTCAACTTACATACGAACCCTATGATAACCATCGTAGACGATTTCTTTATTCCGACGGTTTATTTCACTGCACAGAATCAATAGCAGTATATCAGATAACCGCAACTCTAAACCCCAGCCGAAATGGTTACGCAAAATGAGTGTATTACTATTACCAGCCAGTACGGCGTATCATACTATATGCTAAGCGCTAAGGAACGTGATAGGCTTCTCCATTCAAACCCAATTATGCGACCTCAGATGTGCAGCCCCCAGATGTGTGCCCCCAAATTGGCACATTTCCCTCTAATCACTGACTGGCACACACGCGACATCAATAATCTTCCCAAGCTGCCCCTTCAACTGCTCCCCAACTCCATGCTCAGTGCACACGGCCCTCAACTCGATCGCCGCGCAACTCGCCAAAAACCTCTGTCCAGGTTGTACATACGACAAGAAGATCTCCCCGGAACCTCCCTTGCAAGCCTGGAACCGTCCACCGTTATGCCACAGTGTCGGAAGCCCAGACGCATTGAGCTGGATATCCATCGGCGCAGTGCCGTTATTGTTAATAAACTCGATGGCTTTTCCATCAGGGACTGTGGCAGTGCCGCCGGGCGTGATTGTGATGCCAACGGCGGCTTGGGCGATGTGCGGGTTGGTGCCGTACTTGTAGAGGAGGCCGGCCGAGTGCAGGTCCGAGGTCAGGACTGCGCGGCTGTTGGAGGCAGCGAGATACCAGGTACCGCTGTTGAGCTCGGCCACAGGGGCGGGAGCGTTGCCGTTGGGGGTGTACATGAGGTTGAAAGTGGGGAATGTGGATACCGAGCGGGCGGTGAGGGTGGGTGCTGCGGAGGCGAGGCCCAGGAGGGAGAGCGAGGCGAGAGTGAATTGCATGGTTGGTTGTAAAAGTTGAGATGGAGGTTCTCAGAATCGGTGTTGTGGTGAAGGTCGTGGAATGTGATGTTATTGTGAGGGCGACTTTCTGCAGCGTAGTTGCCGCACTTTATATCCGTTTGCTCCATATTGACGACAAAGTTGCTGCTTGATGTTGGTTGCGATGACGTTGTATTCTATTGGCAATAGACATTTCAACGTCTCGTGGAGACCAATCCACACGTACTGTTCCGTTACTGTCGCACGCGCAGTGAGCGTATTCACAGCCTGTAGTCGATCAATACCTAGAGGCTATTTTCAGCTATAATGGATCACTGTATACGCCTCAAAGAAGGCTGTACGATGGGGCACGTGCCGATCTTCGTGCTCCGCCAATGTTCTCAGAGCTTGGTCAGTGACGGTAACATTAGGATTGAGGCGTGCCAATAGAGCTCCGCGCCGCACTCGGTAAGAGTATGTCATACAAGCATAACATAACCACCAACAAAGGAAGAGCTGCATAGATTGTCGCAAGGTCCATCAGTACGCGGTGTAGAGAGGTAGCAATGGTATTTCGAAAGCGGCGATGATTAGTGTAAAGGGAGCTGAAGCGTGCATCAGTGTGTGTCCAGCGATTCATTCAGATTAGATTAAACCGCGAACAAAGGCAAAAGTTCGCATAAATTCGCTATTAAGAGGCGATATAGCGAATCAGCAATCGTTTCCAAGAGGTGGCATGGGTCGTGCACATGTTGAAGTTGGCAGCGTAGCGTCACAATCAACCAAGATTCTTCTCTTATCGATAAGAGCGTCAACATTTTGGAAAGAATGCAACAGGACCACAGCAGTCTGCCACACAACGCCGCATAATGGCCTTCCGAAAACGCAATGTAGCGCTTGCACGCTCCCCAGCTGAAAGCCCCGCTGCCGAAGCCCCCTCATCGCCCGCCTTCCACCCTGCCCCCGCCGCTCCCACGCCTGGCACGCGCCCCTCGCCCATAGATGGCCGCCCCACCACCTCGACCGGCACGCCCTCTCTCGACTCTATTCTCGCCGGGCACGCCGGCCTGCCGCTGGGGAGCAGTATCCTGATCGGCGAGTCAGGTACGACAGACTATGCGGGCGCACTGCTGCGCTTCTACGCGGCGGAGGGCGTGGTGCAGGGACACCGGGTGCACGTGGTGGGCATGGGAGAGGTCTGGGGCCGCGAGCTGCCGGGGATAGCGGAGGAGAAGGACAAGCGGCGGGAGGGCAAGGAGCGTGCGGAGAAGATGAAGATTGCGTGGCGGTACGAAGGCCTGGGGGCACATGGGAGCTCGCGCGAGAGAGGTGCGTTGTACATACTTCTTGGGACGAGCGTAACAAATTGCAATTGTTCATCAAACTCGGGTGGCTTTGGAAAGTGTCTAAGTGCGATGTAGGTTCTCCGGCTCCGAGCACAGGTGATGCCGCCGGCGAGGCGGCCGTGTTCTGTCACACGTTCGATCTTGCTAGGAGGCTTACCCTTCCTGTGGGCTCGGCGATTGATTACATTCCCATACCGCGAACGACTGGCTCGCCGTTTGCTGAGATCTTGAAGAATCTGCAGAAGCAGATAGCCAAGTCGCCGCCGGGCTCGATACATCGACTCGTCATACCGTCGCTCCTGTCACCTGCACTCTACCCTCCGGGTGCTTCACATCCGTCCGCGGTTCTTCCCTTCCTCCACGGCCTCCGCGCCCTGCTCCGCAAATATCCCACGGGCCTCACAGCGGTCATAACACTTCCTTTGACGCTCTACCCACGGTCGTCAGGCGTCGTCCGCTGGATGGAAATCCTGTCCGACGGCGTCTTCGAGCTCTCACCATTCCCATACTCGCACCTGGAGTCGCTTGCTACCTCAGCGGGTACGACGAAGGATGAAGAGCGGCCTCAGGGCATGTTTGCGGCACATAAGCTGCCGGTGTTCCATGAGAGGGGTGGGGGAGGCAGCACCGAAGGACTGGGTGAAGATCTGGCATTCACTTTGTCGAGGCGAAAGTTTGTCGTCGCAAAGTTCAGTCTGCCGCCGCTGGAGGGCGACACAGAGGCCCAGGAAGCGGCTGTGAGGGAGGCGGCCGGGAATGCGATGCCACGGAAACAGGACCTTGAATTCTAGGGTGGTGTTTGGCGTAGGGTTTGCGGACTTGTCGCGTGTGCCGGTGTAATAGACCTATTCGACATGCATGATGAACATTTCAGCGTTCCACAACTCTCCAGCTCTTGTTTTGGCTCTTCGAATGTTTTCCAGTCGTGTATGAACGATTACATCTCATCCTCGCTGTCTTCCCTCAGGAGCTCATCCATCTCGATGCCCTCCCAACCACCGCTCCCAGCTCCACCTTGTAAATTCCTGGCATACGCGCTGTTGTAGGACGCATGTCGCGGATTGAACGTGATACCTGCGACCCTTGCGCGGAAGTCGTTCCCCAAGCACGAGGATAGCGCCAGAAATGCAAGAAAGAACAAAAACGGCACGCCGAGCAGGAGAAAAAGTAGGAGGAATACGTTCATGTCGTGCGTTTGGTAAGGAAGGATGAAGATGAAAGCGAAACTGAAATGGGAGTGACGTCGGTCCGCTGTTTCACCGGCGGACCCTTGTTTGGCCCCTGTCGAGGTCCATTGACCTCCGCGATGTCCAGATGGCAATTGCGCAACAACTCGCAAACCTACACACAATGAGCAGAGCACTCTGGATACCGTTCCACGCGTTGGTTCTGCTGGCCAGCGCGCTTAATGTCGCCGCGCACGGCGGGCATGACGGCAACGACGGGCATCAGATCGTTGTTGCGCCGGACGCAGACTGGGCAACGCGACACATGGCCGGTAAACATGCTCTCTCTGTGTAGTGCCACGGTGTTTTCTGACGCACACTACAGAGGAACACCACATCTCGGCCTTTGACGCAGGCACCTTTTTCACGCTGCACGACTACGACTCAACGGGTCTCTGGACCACCGTCGACATCCGGCGCACGTACGGCCTCAACGACGCCTCGACTTCGCACATCTCCGAGACGAAAAAGCAGATGGTCGTGCAGACCGTGCTCGACATGTTCGACGCGAACAAGGATGGCGAGATCTCCGCAGCCGAGTTCTACGCCAAGGACCACGACGGCGTCAAGTTGCCGGACTTTGGCATGGGGCCCGGCCACCACGGCGACGACGAGTACGAGTATGAGATTCACCACTGGGAGAAGTATCATAGTGGGGACAATGTTAAAGAGGAGGATTTGAATCATCCCGAGGACATTGAACATTTCAAGATGCATGAGGAGATGGAGAGGAAACAGGAGGAATGGGAGAGGGCGGAGCGCGCGGGGATAGTGCTGAAGAACATTCCGGCGAAATTTAGAGTGAATTGAGGGGAGGGTGTGATCCGGCGTTTTGGGGAGATGATACCAAGGGATATATTGTATACGTATTGTACAGTTGATGATTATGGGGTTTGTAGAGATGGGTATGGGGAGACATGATAATGCGGTGTCATGACGCAGCAAGGCTCGACGTCGCACTGATCCAGATGTCGAATACCACATGGATCACGCCCGGCGCATACGTCTTCACCTTCTCCACATGCTCGCACCTCACTTCTCCTCGCAGACCCCTGGCCTTGACGTGTCCTGTTATCTCCGTCACCACCTGCACCTTCCTCTCCTCGATGTCGCTCACACCAACGTTTTCATGCGCGTGGATCCATCCGCCCAGCTGCCCGTCAATCATGTATACAGCGGTCTTCCAAGAGAGATTAGAAGAAGGCAAGAACCCGCAATTGACATGCCGAACAGGAGGCAAGTCCATCGCACGCTTCGTCTCCGCAAGATCCTCCAGCGCAAACTCATTGGAGCGTGCGAAGACAATCAAGTCAGCGCTCTCGCTCGGTGCTTCTGACGGCGCCTGCCCACGATCTATAACCTGCGACCGCCACCCGTTCATCTTTGCCCCTTTCTGCAGCCCTCTAATACTCCACGGATTCATCTCCCAGCACAGCACTTTGCTGACGCCAGCTTTTCTGTAGGGAAACACAAAATAGCCGATGCCGGCGTAGAGGTCGACGCTCGTGCAGCCCGCGGGCTCGGCGACAGAGGCGATCACGGAAGGCAAGCGCAGGACACGGGTTTTCTCGCGGATGTTGCCCCGGCTGAACATCGTGTACAGGGGAGCCCAGGTCTGGTGTATGCCGTTCTGGGTGTGTGTGACCCACAGAGCGGCGTCGAAGTCGGCGGCGGTGGGGGATTCGAGGGTCTGGGGCGAGGGAGGGGGTCCAAAGAAGCCGTATATCGGCGTGAGATTGATCGGGCTGCGGAGGGTGTTCTCGCTCGGGGTGCCATCGACACCCGTTGGAACTGCATCTGATGTTGCCCCTTGAAGAGGTATAGGAGCATTGATGGCGATGTGCGTGACTCCCATGCGTGCGGCGATGCGCGCCCAGAACGGCTGGAACCCAGGCGAACTGAGGGTGCTCGTCTGACATGGCGTGAAGTTATTGCGAGGTAGGAGGAGCATGGGTTGGTAGATGGTGTATGAGGAGGAAAAATGTTCGATCAGTGCGCGTACTGAGAGATCCAGAGAGTCCAACAAGTCCGGCGGCAGAGTATTAAAACTCTCCTTCACAATCTTAACGAAGGGACGGCTTCGGCCCTGATGCGCAGGATCGAAGTCGTTTCTGGGAAAGGAATATGAGGTCGCTTTTATCTCGGATTTGATATTCCCCAGGCCCAGTGTTTCGAAGAGGCGTTCATAGGTGGCTTCTGGTAGGGCTGTTATTTCTGATGTCACGAAATCGTTTACGGTGATTGCTTGAGTCGTGGAGATGCTCATCCATGGCTCGGTGCCAGGCTCGGATGGTGTGGTTGGTTTGCAGCTTACGATCCCTTTCTTTCTATTTAGCAGCTTGTGCTCTTCCAAAGCTGTCTTGACGCGCTTAACGTGTCGCTGCGGAACTATGAGCTCCACGTATTCTGGCCAGGTCTCCTTCTCTTCCACGGTGTGGTCCATCGGCACCAGTCGTATTGATTTGTCCATGTGAGTTTGCATGGCGTTACCAGATGACGAAAATGGTGTATTTTTGTGACGTGATAAGTCTTTGAATGGTCAACTCAGTACGCCTTTATAAAGTCCTCAGCGCAAGTGGGAATTTTGGGCGGAAGTCAAGACTTCGATTGTGAATATGTTTTAGTCTCAAAAAGTTCAAGACTGTCGGCCGTTGGAGGAAGCTTGTACCCCGCCCCCACCAATCGCACGGGCACCGACAACACAAGTGTATCTCTACACTCTCCCTCGTACCACACCCTCCAGACGACCATATACACAATGTCTCTCACGAACCTCGATCTCATCAACGCTGTCGACGGGTAATCCTCCTCCCCAGTCTCGCCTCGCATCCATTAACACCTTTCCAGCTTCCCTTACTACCAAGTCGACCCCGACCTCTACGCCGCCAGCATATCCACCTACTACGAACTTCGCGTCACAGACCACGCCTACGCCCTCGGCTACATTCTCCCTTCCGTCGCCGAAGTCTTCCGCGGCGTCGCGCATTGGGACCTCGACGACGAAGACCGCATCCTCACGCTGACCGGCGGCACCACTGCTGCCGAGCGCTCCGCCGTCGTTGCTACCACACTCGAGGCCCTGCGCAAGACGGGACACTTCAAGGTCCTGGATAAATGGCGGAACGAGCTGTATCCCGTGTACGGACGCAACAAGGAGCTGCTGTTTGATGTGGAGCGCGCAGCGAGCCCGCTGTTTGGCGTCGTTACGTACGGCGTGCACCTGACTGCGTATGTGAAGCGGGACGATGGGCTGAGGATATGGGTGCCGCGGAGGGCGAAGACGAAGCAGACGTATGGGGGCATGCTGGATAATGCCGTTGCGGGCGGCATTGCGACGGGGGAAGTCGCGTTTGAAAGTTTGGTCCGCGAGTGCGCGGAGGAGGCATCGCTGCCTGAGGATTTAGTGAGAAGTGAGGCGAGGACTGTTGGGTGCATCACATACTTCTACGTCAGGGACAAGAGCGCGGGTGGGGAGACGGGACTGATGCAGCCGGAGGTAGAGTACGTCTATGACCTTGAGTTGCCCGAGGACATCGTACCCAAGCCGGGCGACGACGAGGTCGAGCAGTTCTATCTGTGGACTGTAGACGAGGTGAAGGACCATCTGGCGAAGGGCGAGTTCAAGCCGAACTGCGCGGCGGTCATGATCGATTTTTTCATACGGCACGGCATGCTGACACCGGAGAACGAGAAAGACTTCATCGAGATTGTGGCGCGGCTGCACCGCAAGTTCGAATTTCCTACCCTATGAAGTAGAGCAGGATGTAGAAGATCTAAGGACGCCTCTCACTCTGGGGGTATCCGTGAAGCAAAATAGACTAGACAACCCAATGATACCACTCCGCCTTTTTCCCTGAACGCCGGCCATGCTGTTGTTGCGTGCTTCGTGAGTTTCTTTCAGACTGGGCGCCTACTGGCGCTTGACGAGCAGGTAGAGGTGCTCGATCTTCAGGCCGGTCAGTTTCCTATACGGGCCGGACATGACCAGCAGCAATCCTCCGAACGAGAGATAGACCTTGCTGCGCGACGGTTAGCTCTGCACATTGAGACATGTCGGCGTGCGCCAACTGACCTGTTGCCGTTGCTCTCCTCGCCAGTGACCCTGTACACCTTGCCGTAGCACACATAGTCGTACATGTCCGCCAGCGTCTGCTCTCCGCTCCTCTGCACGTCTCTCCACCCTGCCTTTGCATCTTCCTTGACGCCGTCCAGTCGGATGGTGTTGGCCAGGACGACCGAGAGACGCTCGCCGCGCTCGACAGGGAACAGCTCGTGGTTTATGTCGAGGGTGAGATCGACCGAGTTGTCGTCGGAGAGACCCCTGAGGCGCGAGACGCGGTCGTATTTGCCCGAGTTGACGTCGCTGATAGAGAAGGTGTCTTCGAAGAGAGTTGCGTCGGTCATAGTGGGCTGGGCGGCTTTGCGCGTGCGCTGGCGGGTTTTGCGGTGAGGAAACGCTCGAGTGGCAGACTGCGATATCGCGATGGCTGGGGGCGGCGGCTGTCGAGGGCGGGAGCTGGGGTGGCGGGAGAGCTCTCGAAGCTGTTCAGAGCGGGACGTGAAGGAAAGAAAAGATATCAAAGCTCCAACGGATGGCTTACCGGCGCTGTGGTTTCCCCGAACCTCCGGGCTATGCCGCCTCTCTCGTGGAGAGGCCCCCGCGGTTACAGCTGCCAACACGACATCTCACGCCTCAAGACCGCCAGTAGATACTCTCGCCAGATTGCGCAACGTCGGTCACCCCAAAGGCCAAGCAACAAGTCTGTGCAGGCGCGTTGTCTGATTGTCCGGCGGTTCGGCGCCTCTCATTCACCTCCGAAGCTCCCAACGAGCTCTCACCTCCGCCCAGGGCAGTGCAGCCTCGCCCACGATATCCCTCCTTCACGCGTCCACACGCTCCGAGATCACTGTGACATGCGAGACGCCCGCGCTCGCACCCGAAAACCTACTATATGAGTGCGCTGAACGACCTGCTGCGCCTCTACCGACACCTCGGATTCCCGCCCATCGACATGCCGCCCTCGCTCTTCGATGACACCGACAGTCGCGAACCGACCCCTTCGCTGCGCGACATGGACCTCGATTCATTCCGCGAGCATGGCGAGCATGGCAAGAGCAAAGAGCAGACGTCGCCGTTCCTGCAGCTGCCCAACGACCTATTCCGCTGCGTGATGGACTACCTGGACCGAGAATCCGCCTGGTCTCTGAAGCGCGTTTGCAAGGGCATGTCGACGTCAAAAGCCATAGACGAGCTGCTGTATCGGTACCCGCTACAATTGAACGATGTCAAGGACATCAGGCTGGGCGACTGGAACTACAGGCCCATGGGCCAGGCGCGCTGGAACGGCTTGAAGTCGAGCATCAACGACAAGAACCGACACCACGTGCAGAAGCTCGCTCTGAGCCACTGGTGTAGCATCGGCGACTTCAAGTGGATAGAGCAAAATCTGCCTTCTCTCACTAGCTTGGATCTGTCCGCCATCAAAGACTTCGTCTGGACGCCTGAGGAGACCTGGACGTGGAAAGCACTGTCTGAAGCTTGTCCGAAGCTCTTCGCACGCTTGGAGGAATTGGAGGTGTCGAATTGGGCCGACTACACTGCGCATTCGCGTATAGAGTACAGTTATGCGTACAATGACTATAGGTTCAAACAGCAGTTTCGCTTGTCGCGGCGGCGAGACGGTGGGTCTGTTGCCAAGATGATCTTTCCTCTGTGCAAGAAGCTGAAGACTCTGGTAAGTCTTTGCATTTACATCATCGTCCCTCATCGGCCATAGCGTCCCTCTCGAACTGCGTTTCACGTGCTAGGCCAATGGCGTACTGTGAATAGCCAAGCTAACGACATAGGCCATTCGCGAGCGTTACTCCGGGTTTCACACTTGGAATGAGTGGGAAGTTCACCAACGTGTGTGTTGCCTCATAGATGGGATCAAGAACTACTGCCCGCCTACCTTGACCAAGCTACGAGTTCATGACTATGGTATGTTGCTCCAAAATCCTTCGCACCTTGTGTACCAACAAGCTTCAGCACCTTACCGTTCACTCTTTTCCACCGATGCATCCACGTGGTCAAACATCAAGGTTGTGGAGATCGGTCTCTACTCGTGGATGGAAGATCGCCGAGATCGGGATGTGATTGGACCGATACCCTATCGGATTACTCAAGGCCATCATCACCGTGAGGAGGAGGAAGCATTCGATGACAAGACTTACGATGATTGCAAGCGGAATCATATGGACCTCGGTAAGATCAAGCTATTTCAAGCGCACTTATCCCAGGCTCACTCAATCGCACAGGCAACAACGTAGTGCAAGGTGCCGGTGCATCCTTCGAAGATCTGCTCAAGAGTCTTCGTAACATTACACGCAAATATCCGTCAGTCACCATCAAGCCCATCGACACTCTTCGTGATATCACCCTGCACCCGTTCCACCTTGTCAATGTCAACCAACGGCGGCTTCACGGAAACGCACAGCAACATATCCAACAGCAGCCAGATCCTGTAGCTAATGTAGAGATACAAGAGGCTTTGCAATGGTTAGCAGAGAAGTGCGGGTGGAGGCCCATTCTGGCGTGGGACAGCATGATGTGCGATGTATTCCCAGCGAATCTCGAGCCGAGTCGTTCATTCCTTCCCAAAGAAGAGGTTCTGTCCCGCATCAAGGCCATGATCTCTACCCTTCGATCGCTCGATATCCCCATCCGCATCTCAATTGGCGATCGAACGAACAGCTGTCCTAGCTCAGGGCTGGATGGCAATCTCTACTTCGGTGACTACAAGATGTTCATCGGCGAGGGCGAGAACAAGCGCGAGCTTCTCGCCCCCACGCAAGCCGGTTTCAATCTAGCTGGCATCGCCCACATGGTCGACGAGCTCACAATTCAATACGCGGGCGATGTGCCGGGAGTGCACGGCTGGCTGCGCCAAACTCGGACCCCCACCAATGCCGAGAAGGTGTTGATCGATCGTGAGCTCCTAGGATGGCGCCGCTTTTGGGAGCGTTACGCCCGCCTATTTACGAACCTAAAGAAGCTTACGACAAACGTTCCCATTGGTATTTACAACGACTGGGGTCAGTGCGAGGGTCTGCGCGAACTACTCGGCGACGAGCGGTGGGAGATGCTGGAGGTGGAGGAGAAAGGAGGAGACTTTGGCTTCCACGGAAGCTATTTCCCGTTCACGAGCCTGCGATACAGTCATCTCAGGAGAAGGACTCGCCTGAAGTTCGTGCAACGCGTGTTTTTCCGGCAGGACGCCAAGCCGCTCCACTTGAAACCGAAGCATCCGCAGCTCGAAGACAAGGAGCGCGAAGCGTTGGAGATCACCGATGCGGACATCGAAACGCCGGACGGTCTTGCTGAGCATTGCTTCTGGCCTGCGGAGCAAGAGGAGCTTAAGGGGAAGGCAGTCGGCGAGAAGAGGTCAGCGAGTGACGTCGATGGCGAAGACGGTAATACCGAGGCAGAGGGGCCGGCGACAAAGAAGGCTAAAAGCGATTGACTAGCCGAAACTCGGGCTGCGGAGGCATTGGAGGAGTTCATCGAAATGATCGAGGAGGACTTGACGTTCTTCTAGCCGGGTGAAGCCCTCCCCTTACATTCTTCGCAGCACATCTCTCCCACAGAGGACTCTCGGATCTATCGCTGCCAGCGGTGCATATTTACACATGTATGAAGGTATCACTTAAAACCTAATCACCTAATGACCTACTTTGCACTTATCGGCCTCTCACCTGTTTCAAATTAGGACACATCAACATGTCCGTACGTAGTACGTACCGGGGGGTCACACGCTGTACTCAGCACTGTAAGCTAGGCCAGAGTGCCCGCGGCATATGATGGTATCCTCATGCATCATGGTCGTCGAACACAGCATGGCCATCGAAGAGCTAAACCGCCTTGTCACAGTGGTCATCTTATCCCTCGTCTAACCCCTCGGCCATAAACCCTCTACCAACCGCCCCGCCTCCCACTCCTCATCTATCCCCGCTTCCCACCCCACACACCCCACCAACTCCCTCACCAGCCTCCTCTTCAACTTCTCCACCTCATTCTCCTTATCCCTGTTGCCAGCAACGCCTTCCAGATCAACCAACTCATAAACAAGCCTCCACACCCGTATCGTCAGCGGCCCCGCAAACGCCTGGTCCAAGATCGGGTTCGCAATGTCCTCGTTTGACAGGGGGATTCGGGAGTGCAGGATGGCGACGACGTGGCGGCGGATGGTAGAGAAGAAGGGGGTGTGCGCGGTGGCAGCGGAGGAGAATTTCGGGTAGCGCTTAGCATTTTGTGGTGCGTGAGCTGGGTCGATGGTTTGCAGTGTGAAGAGGAAGTTCGGATTGGGTTGGGCTGCTGGCGGCGATATGTGTTCTTCGCTGCGCTGGTGAGAGGGGTGGAGGTTCCTGTCTGGCTGTGCTGCTAGGGGCGGGGTCGGTACTCGAGACGCTTGTGGTATCTGCGCCACTGGTGTTGCTGGTGGGGAAGACGGTGCACGGGCGCTATGCGGTGTTGGGGGAGGGGGCGAGAGCCGGGAGAGGTAGGGGTCCGCTGTAAGTTGGGCGAATACGTCGTAGGGATCCTCGATTGAGGGGGTGCGTTCCATAGGGATATGTGCAGTCGTTGGATGAGATATGCTGCTGGAGGGACGCAAGATTGGTAATGGACTACGTGAAGCTTTTCGAAGCTGCTAAATGGTCTTGCTAAATTGCGGTAATATTTGAGGGCGTTACTGCTGTTTGAGAACAAAGGGGTTTGAAGTGGAAGCCATGACGAACAGACAAAGAAGGCGAGACAAAACATCCATATGGCGAGGAGAGACAATCGATTCCAACAAAGACTGTGTTTGCTAACAGACCCACCAGGCACATCCAACTCTGTCTACTTTCGCAGCTGTCCACAATCTCTGAAGAACATATCACGTACTAGCCTCTCTGCCTCCGAGCGGGCATCAGATTTAAACTCTCCTGCAAGTATTCTGGTGCCTCGTTGACCAATCGTGTCCTCATCCCTTGCGTCTCAGAAGAGTACAGCTCATCATTGACCTTGGAGGCTAGCTGTTTGACGATTTTTTCAAGGCCGGGGTACTCCCTCGTTTTGAGAATTCTGTTCATTTGCAGTTGAACTAGCATCAACGTCAAGAAATACTGAAGACGTCTCATGGACAATTATGCGCGGAAGTGCCTTCCCAGATTTCCACTATGGAAGACACCAACGGTGGAGAGCTGACCACGAAATGAGATTTGCGCCCATCTCTTGATCGCAATCTTCCACATCGACAATTGGAAACACGGCGGATTAGATGCGCCTGAAGTATCCACCTCGAGCAATGCATCTGCAGGATTTCTCTGCCTGCACCCACTGAAGGTATCATTTATGGACGGTCGTTGCTGATAACCATGAGGGATGAGAAGAGTTTGTCTCCCTACATACAGGGACATGCGAAAGTCACAGGTCGCGGGTTGAACGCCTGACTAGCCCGAGCGATCTTAGGCACGTAAGGTGCGAGCTACTTCATTTCTACGCCGTTGCCAATGAAAATCATGCCGCACCGCAAGATACAATGACTGAACTAGCAAGAAAACCCAACCCAAAAACGGGTATCGACAGTTGGATATCTCCCGTCCCAGGACAGGACCTCTACCAAACATCGTGGAACAGATTGGAAGTATCACCAACTCCAGTTGTGCACATTTTCAGGATCGGCTCTGTTTAGCGTCGTGCCAATATCGCACCAGTTTATGGCACAGCAGATTCGGAGAGCCATCTGGGACATCCATTCGAAGGCTCTCCCACGCCTTGTCCTGTGGCTCGTTCTTTCTGTCGGCCAAGTAGTACTCCCTGGACACGCGAGTACGAACGTATACGCATTGGTGATACCTAGGCGGTTCCCAATGGGGGCTTGTCTCATCGCAGGTGCCAGGTATGGTTGCACGACGTTTTACGAACTTCAGCTCCTCGACGTCTCGCATGTCAATTGTGAACTTTGTCTTTTGCATGTCTGAGCAGGTGTGGTTCAGCCGATACTTGTCATAAAGCTTGCGCAAACAATCCTCATCGAAGCACGTTTTCGTGGGCTCGATGACCAGCTGATGGTCGGCGACCCGCAGCAAGCATTCGGTCATCAGTGTGGCGAAGATGTTTGACTTCGATACCCAGACGCGGATCCCATCTTGAAGAAGGTTGTCGGCAATTTGCGCAATGTGTTCGCGGTGGCGTTGCTGGAATTCGTTTTCTACAGCCACCCGGATTGTTCCCTCCAACTCGACAGCTTCTTTTGTATGCGCAAGTAGTGCCCGTGTACGGTCAATCAAGACTTTTGAGTCCGACTCCTCCTTTGCGTGGGCCGCTGCCCAAGCTGCACCGGCCACTCGATGTTCAGATATGAGTACCTTCTTCGGGGCGTGTAACATCAAGATTGTTTCATCTTGATCATGTATCTTGAGGTAGCCTTGATTCTGGACCATGGTATTTATCCTCCTGTCGACGACGGCCATTTCCCGAGCGTGGTCATCCTCCAGTTTCATGACCAACGAGTGCGACTTCTCGAGAACGGCGAGCTGGGATCGCAGCTGTAACAGCATATCTCGATGGATTTTCACCACAGCGGTAGCGCTTTCGATCGTTCCGGAAATGCTTTTCTCGAGGTCATTGATCATTGTTCGCAGCGTATCTACAAGTTGAGGAGATACCGCGTCCCTCGTCCAACAACCACACGCGGCACACATCATGGGTTCGTCAGGGCATATGAAGTGTACTAGCTGGTATCAGTCCAAGTAACGTAGTGAAAGTGATTATGCTAGTATACCAAATCGTCATGGGAAAACAGTGATGTGGTGAGAGAAGCGCTAGACCTTGTAGAAAGAGGTTTACTCTCCTGTGAGGCAAAGTAGGTAGCAATGCCGAGGGAGAAAGTCTGGGTTATCTTGTGCAACGATAATAGGTTGTGGATTCGGTGAATGTACTTGACAAGTAGACCGGTACATTGGTGTGTGCCGTGGAGGCGGAATGTAGCAGAGGCGTAGAAAATTCGAGTGAGTCGATGGTTCCCCCGTGCAAATTAGTGATAGCCTGTTGCCTATAAGTTAAACCACGCACATAGGGCGCACAAGCCGCGAAGCATGGATCAAGCCCTACAACAAACATCTCGTGGCAGGGTGAAAGTTGATTCAAAATAGGGAACTTAAGCATACAACACGAAATACATATTACATTTTCCTTTTCATCTGCAAACCTCCAGCACCAGACCTTGTTCCTAGTTCATTGATCTCGGATGCCTTGCATTGCCTCAGATAGGCTGCGTAAAGCTTGATTGTCTTATGCGTCACCCAAATCATGGGCTGAGATTCCTATTTTTCGGAGGACAATTTGGCAAACCTCGATGTTGCGAATGTATTACCGTTACTGGGCCTCTTCTCGAGAAGGATTCCACCGGATACTGCGAGCTCCAGTTCAGAAGCGGCTCCAGGCATGATGCGATGACCGAATGTCTTATATATTTCTTCCGATTGGAGAATTCGCTCGCTATTGTAATGTGGAAGGGCTGCATGCAGCTACTAACGATATATAGAGCCAGTGTCCTTGGACTGCCCAAGAATATGAATAAACATTGTGGGCTCCTTGTCATTCCTTCTGCATCCGTTGCGTTCAGGGATATTTGTGCTGCTAAGGAGCAGTGCCATTGGGCCTTCTTCACAAACTTAGTTGGATTGAAGCCCATCTATGTTTTCTTCTTATCTCTCAGTTGAGCACTAATGGAGATCACCATCCCTGCACACAGCTATTGCCTTTTGTATCAGTCAAAGTACAGTTTTGTTGAGTCAGAGGTGAGCCATGGTATCTGGCTGTCCAATTTCTAGTCTGTTTTCTTTCGAAGTCTTTTGAGAGTGTCGCCGATTCTGCGCCTCTATGTCGTTTTGAACTGTTCATCTTGTCGTGATGACGTGCGATCGTACGATACTTAGAAGCGTCCTGTATCCACTGTATAATTTGCGAGTTGATCTCACGGTCATGTGCGACCTTATTCCTGGTCATATATCCAAAATGTTGAGATGATACGCGGATCTCGTAGTTTGTGGTTTTTGGCGTGGCCATTGAAGAGTTTGAATTTCTTTGAAATTGTGGGAGTTTTGAGTATGGAAAGAGACACACCAACGGCAATAGCAAACCATTCTTGCACCTCTTGATGATTGCGCGGGAGTCGACCCGCTGAAAAAGAAAACCATAAAAAAAGGTCGTAACCTTGACGGAGCATTAAGAGCTCCATGTCCGGTCAGCGCGGGCTTTCCGGATGAAGAAGATGGACTGCGAGGTACAGATACATGACCTAAGAGGCGAGCACAAAATCAGGGTGGTCAAGATAGCATAATGGACATTTTAGCTGGGTTAGCAAGAATTTCTTGTTTTTATGAAGAAACATCCCTTCTATTTTCTTTTTAACTCGGGGGATATTTGATGTGAAATCTATGCGTGATCTGCCTGTTGTTCTGTTTTAAACCCAGTGAGATGATAGTTCAAGTTAATGCTGTATTTCAGGAATTCCACATGCAATCCGATGGTCCTGCCACATTACCAGCGGACCTTCACATAACGAAGAGAGATATGGGCCAGCCAGAATTCTGTCTTTCATGACACAATTGGCTCGACCACGCAGAGATTCATAACGCGCAAGGATGAGGGAAAGCCTTTCGCGTGTACCACGATACTGTCCTTCCAACACTCTACTAGCTAGTAGGATGTATTAAACATCTTCTCCAAAGCAGATACTAATTTCTCAACTCGTTATGAGGACGAGCTAGTTCCTTCATTCCTGCCAGTACGTGACGGACATCGAGCCCGATCAGAGCGCCGAACGTGACTCAGAAAGGGATGCTTCCTTCCTCGACGAAGTGGTGTGGTAGATCTCCGCGACCAAATGTGACAAGGTAAAATGCTTTAGGAACCCGGCTACGTGTCAATGAACATATATTACAGCTAGTTTCGCACACTAGCTAACCAATAAAAACAAGAATACTAGCTCACTTTACCTTATGTTGATGTATACTACTATATGTTTATAAGCTTATAACAAGTTAGCGTAGAGATTCACAGGACGACCTGCCGTAAGGTCTGTCCGACGAATCTTTATTTCATTGTGGACCACTGTGACGAATAGTCGTTCACGAGTATTTAATACATTTCATCGCAGGGTGTGGAATAAATCACCATACATAGACGGATCTCAATGCAAGTTCGCGTATGGAGGGCGTCAATTGGCTGGACCGTTGGTGGTTGCACCGTTCGTCGCAGTGGCGGGGGCTGGAACCCACTGCACGACTGTAACCGAGTGGCGTCGAATCAGACAACTCAATCAAAAAAGTCAGCTCACCCAAAAGACAATTGTATGTGACACTAGCTGCGGCTGAAAAATGGCCAGAATCCATAGCTCACTCTTTCAAAAAGTCGTGCCTGCGGCATGAAACCATTGGTAGCGCCTGTCTGAACGGATGCCGTTCACCAGCATGGCAAACAGGAAGCACGTACGCCAACATACCACTGCTCTTTTCACCCGATTTCCGAAAAATGGACGCATACCCTTCAAACAAGTCGCTTCAGCAACTTGGATCTCGACGACTGCCCTGCTGATAGGAATCGGATTTGTGGTTGCAATAGCGTTCACCGTGGATGGGAAGCCAACGAGAGGCAACACGTGGTACGAGTACGCCCCTACATTCATCGCATTAGGAGCAGTTATACTTCGAGGCGCGCTTGCTGCTCTGCTCGGGATTGCGCTTTATCAAAGTCTTTGGCAAAATATTGCCGCGCCGGCCTTGGACAACGGCGAGTCGCTTCTTGGAACTAAGAAACGAGGTGGCATTTCGTTGAAGAGGATCGAATCGCTTCATTTAGCCTCACGTCTGGCAGTCGGCATGTTCAGTTATCCGCAGTTCAGGGCAGGCTGGATAATCGGCGTCCTAGGATTGGCCGTCACATCAGCAGTGCAGCCTGTCTTGCAATCCGCCATCACAGTGAGGCAGGAAAGGCAGATCGTTCAGACAGGAGTACCTATATACCATCCCCAGTTCAACGGGTCGCTGGCTCAAAGCGAATCGGCCGTAATGCTCGCAGGGGGTGCAACGACAATACCGAGGCGATCAGCAATAGCAGCCTTGCTGGGTGAGCACAGTAGTCTTCGCTACACGGACACCAATGTCACTGGCTCTGCAAAATTCGGATCCGTCGAATATCTCGACGTAGATTGCAAAATAGACGCCATCCCAGGGAATTTATCCAATCTGAATGGCTGGGATGTGTATAATTTCACATACCGATATCCGGACGCAGAGAAGTTTTCAGATGACCCCCAGGAAGACCTGACCCAGTTCCGGGATGTATCTAATTCCACGGTACTATATGATGGCGTTGACATTCAAACGACACTGAAGTCCAGAATTGAGGTGCAAGCCGTCATGTTCAATAATACACATTACCTCAAGCATCTTTGCACGGTCCAAACGGCAGTAGGAACTTGTACCACTCGTATTGAAGGAGGCACCGGAAGCATGGGTGGCCTTAATTGTATTCGAGATCGGTTTATTAACGTTGACAGCGATATGGATAAAGATGGTTCATTCTACGGGCCGGCGGGGGGAGTGATGGCACTATTCTCGTCATTTCTTAAAGTGTTTGTGGGCAAAGCGGTGCTAGACATACGCGCCAGATTTAACTTTGGACAGTCACTGTTCATGCTGGGAACCATGGTCGTGGATATCGATACGAAGCTTGTCATGCCGTCCGACCTATTGTCTCACATGCAGCGCGTGCTTTGGGTCACACCTTTACTGGCAAAATCCGGAAGTCCGCAACAGGCGGCATTGAACGTCACCATGTCCGTCTCAGACGAGCATAACGTGATTATCTACGAAGTCAACAAGCCGCGCGTTGTCGCCACGGTTGCCGTCTTGTTGCTCACTGGGTTCGGATGTTTGGTCTACCTATCTTTTTGGAGTAGCGGGGCATGTGGGCGTCTCGCGAGAGACAGCTTGATTCATTCCCTCACGGTCGCTGGTCCCAATGGCCCTGCTATACAGGGCGCGTGCTTGGCTTCCTTGGAAGAAATACTGGACAAGGCGGGGGACGAGAAACTCAAGTACGGCACGATCTTGGAGGCCACAGATTCGTTAAGCGGACATCTTGGGTTCGTGGAACAACAATCTTCGCCGTCCACGTATCACGGTACATCGATGATGTCCCTGGGGAAGCCGGTCCCGGGGAGATGGTATGGCGGCAGAGGGAATATACGGAACAGGAAATTGAAAGAGAGTTGCATATAATTTGAATATAAAGAGCTGAGTCCTTGGAAGCTTACTTTAAAACTTGTAAATGACTAGTCTATTGAGGCATGGGTATAAAGTTTGGCTGTATATGCTTGGCGATAATCCTACCCACTCTTTTCACGACGTGTGCGTAATAATATGAGGCGCATGCAGCGTGCTTCTAAGACTCACTAATCATACAATCCAAAAAATCGAGCTACTGCCTTAAAATCTCTCCTTCGCAGGTACTGCTTACCGTAAGAAGCCCGAACGCCGATCAAATGAGACAAAAAGATCGCAAAATATGGGTACTAACCACTGTGGACTCCTGGCACCAAGAAACTGACGCAGACCCAAGCTCGTGTATGTCTGATCAGGCAGAAGCGTAGCTAGGTTTCGAGCCAACAATCGAACGGACAGATAACGAAGTCTGTGAATCTTCCAGTGTAATCCACACACAGTTTTCCAAAGTCTATATCTGCAGACAAACAATCGTCGGCGGAGTGAACATGGCAATCTACGATCAGGAAGTACCTAGACCGTTCGCGTTAGAATTTTCCTCCAAGCATTTAACATTCTACAAATCAAGAAGATCCGGATCAATGGGGATGCCAGGGATAGATAGCTGCGTAGTGTCGTTGGTTACACCAGGCATCGGAATCGTGTAGGCCGAGGTAGGGACTTGTGAGCTTGACAGGTACTCATTCTGATGCAAGCTGTTGCAGGTAGAATCGTCCTGGTAAGAGGATTCCTGCCCATGAACCCGCTGTCCGACACTTGACCATTGAGGCGACCGAATAGTGTCGTTTTGGAACCCCTGAAACTGGTGGTTTAAATTCGCTTGATCGAGCTGATGGTGGATGTGAGAAGCAGGAGACGCGTACGGGTGCGAGAACAAGGCTGATCCATCTAATTCGTTTGCGGCAGGATGCGGTTGGAAGGCCGCACCATACTCTGTCGCTACATATACTGATGGCATAATCGGTTCCTGTTTAGTGACTTGGGCGCCCTTCTTCATCTTCGCACCATTTCGCAGCCGCTTCTGGGATAGTGCCTGGATTCCACCGTTCTGCAGATCTTCATCCCGGACGCGCTTGGTCTTGGCAATGCTCATGCCAGACGTAGCAGAAGGAACCTTCTTAGATCTAGTCATGCTCTCTAGTTTCTTCGATGATGGATGCAGCGATACCTGGACATTCGGCTGATCAGTTTCAGACATAAGAGTGGCTGGACCGGTAGCTTCCTTTGCTTCCTGAGCCGCAACATATGCTTGGAGACGATCGTGTGTCCACGGCTCCTGAAGCTGAGCTCCACTCTTGATAAGGCTTTCCCGTTCCTTGACTAAATGTCCGGCAAGCTTTTCATGTGGAGACAAGTCGTTCGGATCAGTTGGAAGAATACCGTAATCCTCCAGGAGTTGTTTCGTCATGTTGATATTGTACTTTTGCTTGATCGTGAAAGCAGACATCTTGAGGCTCATCGAAAGAGGTTCACCCTTATTATTTCCAGGTATCGATAAAGGGTAACGGCCTACCCGAGCAGCAATAGCTTCGCGGCGAACTTTCTCGGGATCAGGTTCGTTGTTCTTCCTGCGGCCCCGGCCATGCTTGGCACGCACAACTTGACCCATGGCTGTGGTGTCAGTAGTGAGCAGCGCTATTGGGGCTCCGTTCGCATTCAAGACAGTGTCATGCCTAGAAGGTTTTTCAACTTGGTCGAGACCTGGACCAGTCACGAGCGATGTAGGGTTGCTGGTGTTGGCTGTTGGGATCTTGTTACCAAGAGTCAGAGCAGAAGGCAATGTTGGAAATCCTGCGTTGGCGAATTCGAAAGAAACTTGGGGTTCCTGGAATGAGTACAATGCAGCCATGCTAATGGGTCCATGGGCGGGCTCTTCAGCTGTAGTCGCCTCAAGCGGGTTCTCGCTCTCTCCAGCAATAACATCAGAGACCCCTTCACGGGCCTCTTCAGTACCGCTATCCTGGAAACTTCCTCGGGTTGAATGTAGCTGATCCCGGCGGTGCATCCACATCCTCACAAGTGCATCGGTGCTCATGCTTTTGAGACCTTCAACATCATCAACACCATCCTCATACAACGCTCGCCGGAATTGGAGACTATTGAAGTGATTCTTCATGCCGAGGAAGTGCTCTTTGCGACCCCAGTGTAGAGGTCTCTTCTTCGGAGGGATTATGCCAGGGAACACTTCTCCAGCCTGTGGTCGAGCTTTTGGGAGCTTGGCTGCAGCAGCTTCTGCAGCTTCGATGGCCTCCTTCTCTTCGAGCTGCCGATCGGCTGCAAGCAACTCTTGAATGGTTAGCCGCTGCTGCAACGGCAGTGCCTCGATATCGTGACCCTGCTCCTCCATATGACGGGCGAAGCCGATGGTCACGTTCCACATGGGCTTTTGGAAACGCGTGCGAAAGGGGCCAGCTAAAGGTCTCTGGCTATAGCCATTTCTTGGACGATGGGCAAGTTTATCTTCTACCTTCCGGTCCATCAATCGAACACTCGGCTCATACTTGTCCTCGATTACGGTGTCGGAGCCGGTGTCTTTGAGAACGTAAATGTCGTCCGGTTGCGCTTTTGATGCCTGTGTAAGCCCAGCGTCTCCTGTAATAGTGTTAAACAGTTTTGGAACACTCTTGCTAACTACGAGACCTTTGTGCTTCATGGGAAGAGATGCTGTAGACATCTTGGCGAGAAATTCAAATGTGTGCGCGGGTTGCGGGGGCTGGAGAATCGAGCCCAAAACCCAGCGATCGCAAGCGGGAATAATGTTGAGTGTAGACAAGAGCTCGGAGTGGGTGTGGTGTGGGTATATGGATGGGGATGGCGCTCTTTACGCTTGCTTGATATATTTAGAGACGGTGCGCGCATTCACTACGCTAAGGAACTATCACGAATCATATCCCCGCGGTGAAAAGTCATGTCACGTGTCAGAGTAGTTCACGGGCCCATGGGCATGGATGTGAATGCGGACATAGATCGACGGCTCTTTGGAAGGCCTCCGAATGGGAAGCACGGATGCAGTGACGTGAGCGAAACCCCTCCAATCGTCGCGGTGGTTCGGATCCCCGATTACGTGCAAGCGGCATTCTACCTTGGTAAGAGATGTCGATTTTGGTGATCTGAACCTTCCCTTAACTTCGGAAAGCATCTGGACAAACCTTTGGTCTCCCGATTGCACCTTACGCAAACATCCTGGATTGGCCAAGCAGGATGCCGGCGCAGATCTTGTCAAAGACTTTGGGGATGTTGATAGCTCTGAATTAATGTAATAGTCTCCGGTATTTTGACAGAGTTGATAACTTCCCAGTGTATCCCATGCCCTCAGCGGCCACATCGATTGTAGAAAATGGTTCGATGGACCCGAATCTAGTAATAGAATACCTCCCCGGCCTTGATGTTGTTAATCCATTGTCACAACTGCCGAGGTCCGGGTACTCTCTCGCGCGATACGGCCTCTTATATACCGCTAACATTCATCGTCTCTTTAGCACATTTGCTCGCGATATCCCTTTTTCTTCATCCTCCACTTCTTCGGAATACCCCAACAAGTCGCTTGGTCACAGTGCTAAAAACAGTCGCTTCGCCACTAGCACTTGCAAAGATGTCAACAAACGGCCATCGGCGGCTCCCTCCGGTCCCAGGAAAGGCCAGGTAATGCTTACCCGCACAAGGACCACAGCCAAACAGCCAGGACTCCCATTGCAAGCACTCCCAACGTGAATATCAACTCGTTGTGAAATATTATGGTATCTGTGCGCTGCACGTCGGGTATCCAGCCTGGCGGAATGTCATCCAGGGAGACGACGATCGGCCCAGCTACGTAAGTTGATGTTGTGGCGGTGTTTCCTGAAAGAAGCGGGGTCTCGGTCGGCGATACCAGGGAAGTGACGAGCGTCGTGTGTACGGTGAAAGACGCGGTGGTATTTTCGGCGCTGTGCGAGCTCGCAGTCTCGAGGGGGGTCGTGGCAAGCGCGATGCCAGTGGTAGTTGTCGATTCGGAAGCCATGGTGGGTGTTCAGCGCAATGAGATTCGTGTTCAAAAAATATAATCAACAGTAAAGGGGTGCATGGTAGCTTCTAATATTGGAAGCACGAGCTTCCCGCAAGCTACACAGGCCCAAGTGTTACGTAGCTTAAACATTGAGTCACTGTTGGGAGTAATCAAGATTAGACACGTTGGGTCGGGCTGGCGGCACCCGAACTACATTGACGGATCGCTACAGAGGCGAGTTTTAGCAATGTACAGTTATGATCAATCAGCGGTACGCTGCCGGAACACAATTTGTCATGATTGTAATATGATACCTTCCACAAGCTACACCACAGGATCGGACTTGGAACAACTGCGTCAATTTGCGTCTGTGGATGTAGCGCGACAGCGGGCTGAACTAGTGTGGCCAACATTCTGTCTTCGTTCAGTCGAATCAAGAACATAGAGATCCATTCAGTGCACTTGCCCGGAAATGTAATGCAAAGAAAGTAACAATGAAATTGAATGCTGGGGGAGCATAGTCACTAACGGCCATCTGAATTTCAGGCTATGCCTCAGCAAAGTAATAGCGCACGTTGTCGTACGAGATGAGACGCTGTATTCAAAAGCCTTAGGGAAAATACTACGCGCTTCATACAGCAGCTATTCGAATCAGCAAACATCTATCTAGAACCTCAAGAACATCCCAGATGGCATCGGCAGCTCTGAAAGGTATCGTATGATTCGGTATTTCTCGGCCGCAAAGGAAGGCTCTAGCAAATTCGACGGCGATACGATCAACAAGCATGTGTATCGCACGACCGATGTCTTAAGCACGTTTTCCATGCTCATGTGATCCGCCAATGAACACCTCATCATCAAGGTCCTTTCAAACTTTGTAACAGTCCCAGGGAGTCCAAGTTCAAGACAGTGTTACGAGGCTATGACTCTTCGTCAACCCCTGGGCATCCAGAGTAGGTCTAGTCTTCAAGTGAGTCCTATCCGGGAAGGACGAGGATCTGTACCGGTACTGCAATGGATTACAGAGACGCGCTCGCTAAGATGGAGAGGATCAAAAGTTATTGTTCGCTTATGGGGTGTAGTTCGCTGGGGCTGAGTTTTGCGCAGCCGATGGCAACATTGGCTCCCAGAAACAACCTTCCCGTAAGTGGATTGTGGACGGATCATTGCCTAGCTCAACCAGGTGCGGGCGTGGACCTCGGGATCCTCACCCACACCGATCGATGACCAAAGATGGTCAAAAAATATTGGAGGATGCTTTGAGCCGCCGAAGTTCTTGATAGCATTGGTCGAGCTTGGCCATCAGAAGTCTGTTGCCGAATGTAGTCGATCTCTTCGCCGTGTTTTAATGACCACTAGTTTTCCCGCTCGTTCAAACCTGCTTTTGACTCAATTAATAATGGCAACAACACCAAGAAACGTCGTGGTGGATCGGCTTCTTCACCAGGCCTAGGCATAGAGGCTGCATCTTTTTACACCTCTTTAGCCCTCCGGAAAAGTTTACCCCTGACCGCACCCATCCTCGCAACCTTACTCTTCAGCTGCCCTAACACACCCCTCCTCTCTACTCCAGACTCCTCCTCGTCATCATCACCACCACCAAATTTACCTCTTATCTTCCTATAAAGCGACCTAGCTTTCCCCAGAAAGCTCCTCTCAAAACGATCCTCTCTTTTCTGTGCTTCGTTCCATTCCTGGAAGGTTATCACCTCCTCCAGCTCGAAATCTCCCGTCAGCGCCTCCGACACTGGCGGGCTCCCAACAAGCACCTCGCTCACCGGGCTGCCCTGCGACCTAAGCTCAACGTCCAGCGAACTAAGCTCGAGGTCTAGCGGCTTAATCCCAACCGGGTCTTGTTGTCTTCGCCGCGGACGTATTAGATCCGTGTTACTACTTCCTGTGTACTCGGGCAGCTTGTAAAACTGCTCGCTGCTTGTAGATGACGCATTGCCTACGCCCTCCTCATAGGCCGGTGACCGAGGCTGCACTCGGGAGGCGAAGAAGTTCCCAAAGCACAGCGAAGAGACGTCTTCAATACCCGGGCAAGGCACAGGGTACGGCGAGATCACGCTGTCGATGTTGGAGAGCTGACGCTCCCTTGTCGCCTTGTTGTGCAACGGGGAGTACCGCGCTGCGAGAGGAGTCCGGATTCCAGGGTGGAGCGGAGTTGCAGTACCGATGGATGAGATAGAGAGTGGACGCCAGCGGTCGATTTCCTCTGGTGAAGGCAGGGCGGGTGCATTGCCCTTACCTTTCCCTTCTAGAACACTGAAGGACCGGGGAGGGGAGGGGAAGAGGTCGAGCTGGAGGGGCGAGGACGAGGAGATGCGCTCAAGACGTGCGGGCGAGGTGCTGTATTGTCGTTCGCCGTCTGAAAAAGGGTTGATGTGCTTGTTTCCTTGGCGTTTTGTATATTGGCCCAACGCGAAGGGCATGGGAGTCGGTACTCGCTCTGGTTTCGTGCCGATTGGGGTGCTCCTTGCAGTGATATAGGGAGTCGGTATGCGCTCCACTTCTGCAGTCATCGGGATGTGTGCTGCTTCTTCGTTCAGGCCGGCCGTCTCGTGTGCGATACACACATCTAGTCCGACTTCCCTAGCCATCTCTTCCTCTTCATCAGCCACATAGGCGTTCAAGTTCTTTCGCGCTCTTTGTCGTCTTGAAGAGCCCTCGACAGTGTCATGATGGAAATCCGACCCGGTGGGATTCCACACACTCCGTGGGACTCTGCATTTCCTCCCCTTCACACTCTCAGGCAACTCCAGGTACTCCATGGCGTCTGCGTACTTGGCGGCGACTGCGTGCTCCATTGTTGATAGTGTAGCGTGGGTGGACTTGTCGCGCGATACGACAGCGCTGAATCGCAGCGCTGAATCGCAATACGGACTTGAAAGAGACAATTGCTTCTCAGAAAACAGGATAGAACGAAAAGGTAGCGTGGGTGTACTTGCAGTGTGTTAAGAGCGCACCAAATTGAAGTACAGGTTTAAGGAGACGGGCAACGTGCCGAGAGAGATTTTCGAAATGAAAGTGTAGCGTGGGAGAGCTCGAGAGCTTACATATGACCGCGACGCTGGCGCATGCTATGAGAAAATAATGTCAACCGTGGAAGGAAGCAAGATGATGGGAAAAGCGTACCTGCATCATGTGCGTGAGCAAACCACGTGAGCCGTGGCCCAGGACCGTTGGGAACTGCACTTTTTCGCTAATCAAATTCATGACATTGGCTACCTACTGTATCGTAGTTGAGCTTTCCACGTCCACAACTGGCTCCTCCGGCATCCTAAACATAGGGACCTTCCTTGTCGGACTTCCAAGTGGATTTTCAGGCGCGAAGCCTAATGGTATCTCTTCCTGATACATGCCAGCATCCTGTGCTGCCTTTATATTGGCATCTTTCGTATTGTGACTCAGCGGTGGGAACGCGGAGTCGGTACGATTCGCTTCCTCAACTTTCTGTCGAATTGATGAGAGCGCGGCTTCATTGTTTTCGTACGGGTGCGGTGGGTCGGATGTGGCTTCTAGGTTATCGGCCTGGGCCGGTTGTGGATCGGTCCCAGAGCTGCCAGCGGGAGTGCTCTCAACCTTTTCTTCACTCGCTCTCGAGATATCTTTGGCGCGCTTCCTAGCATTGGCGATAAGATCGTCAAATTGGTTCTTGTGCGCCGTAGCGTGATTCTGCCCATCGAAGTCCTTTCGCATGATGTGTGATTCCTTTGCAGTCGCGCGACCGCCTTGTGTCCGTTCCCATTCGTCTAACTCTCTTAGTAACTCTCGTTTCGGCTTTCTGGCCTCGTCGGACGCATCGCAATTAGAATTGTAGATGTTCAACCATTCCTGATGTCGTTTCATCAACTGCTGCTTTGTGCCCCAAGTGGGTATGCCCAGCTCTTGCAGCTTCTTCCTCAGCGCCTTGTCATTCAGCATTGGGTAGTGTAGACCGGAGAGGCGCGTTGGCGGAGGACCGTTCTCTTTCATTCGAGCTTGCAGATGGTTTGGGAAGGCGTCGTCCTTTCTGTTGCCGTCTTAGTAGTGCCCAGCGGTGTGTATCGAACATGCCTACCTCGACCTGGTCTTGCGCGTCCCAGTGTCGTCCTGCGCAGCCGGACAGATTGGTATGTGGTTGAAGACTGCCTCCTCCTTCATAGGCTTCTTGCATATCGGGCATGGCACCATACCCTCAGGTACATACTCGTCCTCCTTCTCCTCGTCGCTATCTGGTATCACGACAGGCATGTCGTCCGTAATGCTCTCGTTGCCAAGCCGCGTACTTCTTCGTGTATGTCTCGACCGCGTCGTTCTCCTCCCCTCATCCTCCCCATCTGCCGTCTCGCGCTTCCTTTTCCGCCCGCTAGCCGGTGCGGCTGTCTCACCGTCGTCATTGTCTTCTTTCGCACGCGCTAGCTCTAGCGCCTTCGGGCGCGCCTCTTGGAATTTCGTTGCGATTTCACGCACCGCGATATTCGGTTGCAATTTGTCGGCCTGGCAGGCAGACTTGCATGCGGGACATTTCCCGTCGATTGCGATGCATCTTCTTATGCATAAGGAGCAAAATGTGTGCGCGCACGACGTAATGACAGGGTTGTTGTAGAACTCCTTGCACACTTCGCAGCGGAGCGCGGCTTCGAGAGGTTCAAAAGCGGGAAGAGACGTTGTGAGCCAGTCGGTGGAGTCGGGCAGTTCGAAAGACGATTCCATCGCGAGCGTGGCGGGAAGTAAAGGCGCTGCGGGACCTTGCGATGGAGGCGACAACAGCAGTGTCGACGGCGCGTCGGGGGACGCGATTGGCGACCCGTCATCACGTGATGTCTTTGTTGTAGGAGTCGATCTTGCCGTATCGGGCGCTTTGTCATCGGGTATGGGGTTTGGAACTCGCAGAGATGAAGAAAACTTCAGTCTCGACTGGGGTGCCATTGTCGTGAATTTGGTCGAGAACAGTGACCGTGGACACTGCGAAAATCGCGGTTTGTGAGAAAGTTTTGCGGTGTTTTGTTTCCCGCAAATGGAAGGTGCGACCTGGCCAGTTGATGGCAGGTAATTGAGGTGAAAGAGAGACAAAAACTCGCATTGAAATCAGTCGTAATAGACGCGTAGAAACATGTACGAAGCAGTTATTGGTATCATCTAATCTAACCCAGGTTGAACTCGTCAGCCATACCCGCATGACGCATGAACTTCTCCCGCGCTCTCACAGCCTTGCGCATCTTCGCCGCTTCCTCCGTATCATCCACCTTCGTATCCTCCAGCGCAGCCTTGCTAGCCACTGCACTTTTGTTGGCTCCCGTAGCAGCCCCTCTGATCTTCGCCGGCTTCTTGCTCTCTCGTCCAGCCCCAGTTCTGAGACCTGGCACCTTCATACCGCTCGGACGCTCTCTCAACGCAAAAGCTTTCGCCAAATGACCCAGATGCAGCTGCTTGATGTCGAAATATCCTCTTTCAGCCGCCACGTGGGTGGCATAAGCGCGGACGTGGCTTTGGTACGCTCGCCTGGCGCTTTCTAATCGTGCCGGCGAGGCTAGAGCCCATCGTTCCACGGCGAGCTGAAGGTCGGTTGCTTTCTCCATGTACTCAGTCTTATCCTTCATCACGCCGGATGTGACGAGTCCCTTCTTGAGGATCTCTTCAGCGTCCTGACGACCGATGTGAATGCCCGTTTCGCCGTCCTTCCTGTCAGTCTTCAAGATGTCGACATATCCTTCTTCACAACCTGGCATGAGGAAGATGCAAGCGCGGCCGTCGCGACCAGCACGAGCTGTTCGACCAATGCGATGCAGATGGTCTTCCCGCGCGAATGCAGGGTCGAACTCCACCACCAGATCAACATTTGGCAGATCTAGACCACGAGAAGCGACATCGGTGGCTAGCAGGACCGCGGGTTCGTTGTTCTTGGTAAAGTGAGCGAGCGTAGAGGTACGGAGAGATTGTGGTAAGGAACCATGGAGGCGATATGTCGTGACTTTATGTGTGTGTGGCGAAAGTGATGGCGATTCGGCGTGCGTAACAGCGATCTTGGTTGGATCTGACTGTACCACTGATTTCTTTTTAGATTTCTTTACGTTGGCCTCTTCGTCGTCTTCTTTCTTTGTGTCTTCTTTAGCATCATCCTTGGCTGCCACCTTTTCCTCTTCCAGGTTGCTGGTGAGGATATCGAAATGGAAATCAACCGAGTCGGCGCAGGAAATGAATACGATAACCTTCATGACGGAACCTTTACGAGCGAAGGCACGCTTCAAAAAGCTAATGAGGGACACGAGTCGCAGCTTAGGGGCAACAACAGCGTACGACTGCTTCAATTGGGCCGGCGCTAAGAAGGCTTGATCCTCATCATCTGCCCCTTCATTCTCAGTCCTGTCAGCAGGATCAGACCGTATGTGCACAGCATCCTTTAAACTGATTTCACCCAAGCGTTCTACATCCAGTTTCATCGTCGCTGAACACAGAACTGTGGTTCGCTTGGCCGGCAATCCAGGAATTCTCGAAGCCTCATCCTTTTGCGCTCTCATGCGCAGATTGAGATTGCCGACAATTTTCTGAATCTCGTCTTCGAATCCGAGCTCCATGAGACGATCTCCCTCGTCTAGCACCAACCACCGCACATTACTCACGTCCAGAGCCTTTGTGTGCTCCAGATGATCCGCGAGACGTCCGGGAGTTGCGACCAGAATGTTGATGCCCTTCCGTAACCGGGCCTTCTCTGACTTCTTCTTCTCACCACCAATCACGGTCGTCGCAACCAGCCAATGCGCACACCTAAGGAGGTTGTCCAGCACATGGGCGATCTGCTTGCTGAGTTCTCGTGTCGGTGCCAGAATGATCGCAAACAGTCCTGAGTCGCGAGATACGGAGTCATCGACCTTCCGCTTCTTCATGTTCGCTGACAGCTCCATCAGTCTCTGCACAATCGGCAACAGGTATGCCAGCGTTTTTCCGGAACCGGTTTCGGCTTGTATGAAAGCATCCGAGTCGTCTTTGATCAGTTGTGTGACAGCTGCCTTTTGAATTGCCGTAGGCGCCTTCAGATCCATCTTCTTGAGCAAATGTGCGGCGAGCGTTGGCGATATGCCAAGCGACGTGAACGTATCGAGCTCGCTCGTGAGCGGTGCGTTGGACGGTTCGACGGGTGCATCTTCGGCAGGTTTTGTTGATAGCGTTTGGGTCGTTGAGGTAGGATTGAACGAGAACAGTGACGAAATAATCTGCTTGCCGCCCTTGGACGTATCCTGCTTCGCTGCTGGGTTCTTCACAACGTTCGCATCCGTGTGCGGTCGAAAGTCTGCAGCGGACGCATCGTCGTCAACTTTCTTGTGGCTATCTCCGCTCACTCTGGGTCTTTTTGCAGGCCTGTCGTTGTCGTACTCGGGCGATCGGTGCGGTCGCTCGGGGCGCGGGCCCAGCTCGGTACGATTTACATCTGTCGCATTGACAGACAAGGGAAGAGGAGCCTTCGGCGCCCTTACTCCAGTCAAGCGCTCGGTAGCTTTCGTGTGCCAGTGCGCCGCCGCCTTCTTCGCCGTCTGTCGCTGTTTCCAATTTCCTCCCTTGAATTGCGGCTTGTTCAAGATTCCGCTGTCCGGTATGGAAAAGTTGAGAAGCATACCATCGTCAGCCATGTTGTGTTGCTTGAGCCCGTTGTTGGCTCGGCGGGGTCTGAAGTTGCGCAAATCTCGACCACCCAACTTTTTAGTGGAGCACGGCCGATTTCCGAGGTAACCCGCTGCACGTGACAGCCGTGTTCATATGTGCGCCGCAGATTTCAGACTTGCAGTCATGTCTTCGCGAGGAAGTGAGAATGGAGGACCATTCACTTCCTTCCTGCTTCGCAACTGCACAAGGCACTTTCCATCGGAAATTTCATTGGATATAAGTACGGGAGCGGGTTTTGAGCTAGTCAGTCAGCTCCTCCGCTCCTCCCCGCCATGTCTTCTATACGGCACTTTCGAGGTACAGCACGCTTCCCAACCCATTGAGACCACTGCCTAATACTTCCAAGTCCCTAAAGCCTGCAGCTATGCAACTGCAAGCTTCTGTCGCATCCACCAAGCTCCCAACACCGGCAATGCTCTCCGCTTCCTTTCTACCACTCCAGCTCTTAGAGACGCGAAGCACTTCGCTCCGGAGACCAAGATCTTCCGCGATGTAGAACCCCTACGGGAATTTAGGAGAGCCGCCCTCCTAAATAAGCGCACCGTCGGCCTGGTCCCCACCATGGGCGCCCTGCACGAGGGTCACCTCTCCCTTGTGCGTCATGCCGCTGCCGAAAACACGGACGTCATTGTCACCATATACGTGAACCCTACGCAGTTCGGGCTCAACGAGGACCTCGCCTCCTATCCGAAGACATGGGAAACCGACCTGCGCATGCTGCACACTCTGGACCGGGAGCTCGCGAGCGTAGAAGGCGCGGGACGTGTCACCGCTGTCTTTGCGCCGTCCACAAAGACAATGTATCCCACGCTGCCACCTGACAGCAGCATACCGGGTGTGGGCAGCTTCATTGAAATGCGCCCACTAGGGCAGTTACTGGAAGGGGCGAGCCGGCCGGTCTTCTTCCGCGGCGTGGCTACTGTCTGTATGAAGCTTTTCAACATTTGTCAGCCGGAGCGCGTATACTTTGGGCAGAAGGACGTCCAGCAGACCGTTGTCATCAAACGCTTGGTGAAAGACTTCCACCTCCCAATAGGCGTTAAGATCGTGCCTACGTCGCGCGAACCAGACGGTCTTGCTCTGTCAAGCAGAAATGTGTACCTCGGTGCCCGTAGGCGTACTGTAGGCATCGTGCTCAGCCAAGCCCTGCGCAAGGCCGAAGCACAGTACAAGGCTGGAAAGCGGACACGCGGCGATATCCTGTGGCCAGCGAGTGATCATGCGGACCAAACGAAAATGGCGCAGGACACACTGGAACCTCACAAACGCGCGCGGTTCGAGGTCGATTACATCAGCCTTGCCGATCCAGAAACCATGGAGGAGCTTGATGAAGTAGATCCCGCGCGAGGTGCCATCCTCAGTGGCGCTGTTAAGATGCTGCCTGTCGAGGAGCCGAATGAGTCCGAGGACCTGGGTGTGGGCGGTGGGCAGATTCCCGTGAGACTGATTGATAACATCGTGTTAGATCCTGTCTCATGATGCTCAGCCATAGAACGGTCATGCTGGAGCCGATAGCTAGACTTGACCTCAAAGTGAGAAATGTAAGAGTTTTTCCAATCCAACCTATGGTTTGTTTGAGCAGTCTTGCTCCTGTCCATCCGTAATTCCAGCCTACTACCCGCCAGAGAAGACTTTTAGCATCGATCCTGCAGGCATCAACCCCTTCCTGTGCATCATTAAAATAATTCTGCCAACTACTGCCGCGCTTTAGAAAGTTTGGCACCGCACTTGTCACTCCCCTTCCAATGACCTCATAATCTTTAGGACACACGGAAGCAGTTCAGTGAGGCTCTATCTCGAACTCGAAGACACTAGAAGCATGCGGAGCTTGACCAAAAGTGATGCGGCGCCAACTCGACATCATCACATACGATTCGTCGAGAGAGCTGGTTAAATGACAAACAGAAGGTTTCCGGAAAGCGCCGGGCGAAAGATTGGTGCCAACAGGCCGACATAATCTTCTTTGGGGCCGAGAAGTACTATGCAACGGGAAAGAGCGACTTCCTCAGTGAGTAAACACGATACGCTGGAAGGAATTACACCCCCAGCGGTAAAGAACGACATGACTCAGGCAAGAAAATTACGCAAAGGAACTGCTGAATGTTACGCTGGAGAACAACACTGATCTGTATTGCTGACGTCGTGAACTATACGGAATGTGCGTCCAAATGCCGGGCCTTCTCAATCGCGGAAGACTATAATCGGCAGTTCCAATGTATGATAGCCGATCGCCTTGTCGATCCACATCCCAATACCTTGCCAGGTATATATATTGCGCTGATTCAGAAACTCCAAGGCTCCGCATGCGATTCATACCCTATCAAGTCAATTTCCAACACAATCCACCAGACGTCGTCCAGGCAAATCAAGGGTGCAAAATTGCGTCGTAGTCATCGTCCGTCATCACCATCATCACCTGACCCATCTGGCCTGCGATTTCTAGCTCGGCAGCCTCTAGGAGGTGCAGCTTCCGCTTCTTCTCATCGAGCTCCACCTGCATCTTGTCGACCTCGCGCTGCTGAAAAACACGGAGCTTGATTGCTTCCGTGCGCTTGGCCTCGAGAAGCTCGTGCTTTGTCGGGCGATTCTCTTTATTTTCTTCGTTGTCCTCCAGAGCGGGCCGCTTGCCGTTGCTGTTATGGGCTTTTCCGAGGAAGAGCGAAACGCTAAGGTCATCCAGGGTGGAGTAAATCCCAGCTGGAGCAGTGTACTTGCTCGAGCGAGAAATCTCGACACCATGAGCACCGAAGAAGCCGGGGTCTAGCGGCTTGGTGTTACGACCCTTGATCTCCTTCAAAGCCTTTCGATACTTGCCGAAGGTTGTCTGTTTACTCTTCTTGAAAGGCTGCACAGATGTGTCGACTTGGCCACCAGTAGAGGAAACCGGCGCCGGATTCTCGCCAATGGAGTTGAACTCGCCTGGCTTTCGCACATGCGGCCAGCCAGTTGGAGGAGATACTAAGACTATCAGCGAGGATCACCACCGAGCCAGGAATAAACTCACGTGTTCCATAATACTTCCCCACGGTGTTGGCAACGGACACAGAAATGAAATGCTTCTGGAATGAAGTGGCCATGTTCACGGCCACCTTCGCCTCGCCAAAGCAGAGAAAGATGTATCCAACAGTATAGAATAACTTGCGCCAGCTAAGAGAATCACCCTGCTCCTTGAAAGACTGGAAGGGAAATGTGAGCGTGGGTAGAGCTGGCCACCATGACGCGTGCGTCTGCTCACCCGTCTCTTTATCGATGTTGATAATCCAACCGAGGATTGCCTTGTTTGGCTCGCGGCTTGGGACGACCCAGCTCTGTACCTCGTCGTTCTCGCCGAGGAACAACATCCGGTCATAGACCTTGGCGATGCCTTTCACTTTGAGCGTGGGCTCGGGGAAGAAGTCCTGAAAGATGTATACGGAGGGATAGGAGACTAGACGAAGCATGTTCCCAAGAAGGTTCTTATCCTCCAGCCACTCGTTGATCTTCTCCAACTGGCTCTTATCATTATCGGAATCGTCGCTCGCCTGAATCGTTCTATTCACGGTCGCGGCAGTAGGATGCGCGTCTGAATGATTAATTAGTCTCGAGCAGGCTGTCGGACGACAAGACTTACCATTCGGAGCATACGCCTCTTTAATGTGGGTCAGTGCAGTCGACAACGCTCCAGGATTCTTCGCTGAGGTCGTGTAGACGACATCCGCTTCACCGCAGAGCAAGAACACGTAGCCGACTACAGCTTGGATCTGCATCCAGGCGTCTTCCCGCGAGCTGTTCGTGAAAGCTTCCCAAGGGTAGTAGAGTTCGTCGATGCAGTCGCGGAGCTGTGTGATATCCTTGATCGCGGTGTAGGCGCCTTTCGCGCTCTCCCGCAGAAGGAAGCGACACGGAAAGATCTTTTTGTCGTCCGCGGGAAAGATAGCACAGACTTCCGTCTGCTCATCCTGGCCTATAACAAGTTTTCTACCCTGGTTCTTCAAGTGAAAGGGTTCGGTTCGCACGTCTTCATCAATGTCTTCGAAGATGTACTCCTCCACATCGGGCAGCAGGTCAAACTTGATGTGCTTCTTCTCTTCGATCCAGGCTTGTACCTCTTCTAGTTGGGTATCTGGGCCGCTTGCGTCTCCAACGATCTTGCCTGTGGGGTCTGGCACTGTTAGTCGATCTCTGCTTTTACCCCTCCTGGTTTCGACCACGACTTACCGCGTGAGAGGAATTTCCTGTTCGCAGGTCGGGGATTTCCCGCACGATCGAGACGCATTCTACCCGTCTCTGTTCGAACTGCAGAGCCATTAAACGGCGCGGGAGATGTTGCTGCACATGTCTGCACAGGCTTCTTCGCGGGGGTTCGTGGCTTCGTTGCAGACTCGTCAGCCGGATGCGTGTCGGAGCCACGGCGCGCGGGATGTTTGCCTTTGGAGGAGTCATAAACGTTCCGCGTGGCAACTTTGCGGTCAAGATCTATCTGCAGAGTTGATTTGCGGTTGTAATAGGACTGCTTGCGTCGAATAACATTGAGGATGGCCTCGCCTGTGCGCGCCGCTTTGCGAGCAGACTCCGTCTGCGGGCCTTCAGCATGCCGAATGGATTGTCCGGCTCGCTCCAGCTCAGGAGATGATGGCGGGTCAGACAAAGTGCAGCTAGGCGAAGGCCGCCATGGGCCGCGGCGGGCGGAAACACTGTCGGCTTGATCAGCCATCGCACAGATTATTTTCTGTCTGATACGGCGGAGCCTATGGAGTGGAGCGGGGTGGATGGGAGAAAATCAATATTTTTGGAGGGTGACCGGCTTGTACGCAAGGCCTGCGCTGCGACCGCAATTGAGTTGGCGCCCCGCCAGTGCTGAGTGAAGGCTGGTGTTTGCGCGGGGTGAATGATCGGAAATGGCAACTGCGGGAGTTCAGGCCAAAGTTCTTCCCACTCGCCGGTAATATCACTGCAAACGCTCGATTCAACGAGGAGAGTGAATAGCAGGCATCACGTGGTGGTGACGCCGCCCGCGTGGAAGCGAGGAATGGAGAGGAAATCAACATCCACGCCATTCGACGTGGGCAGGCAAAGACAGACCCAAGACGTCGCCATGCTTTCTGTTCCAAACGAAAGCTCCTCCAGGAAATACCATCCGCCGCTCAGTCCTGCCTCCTCGCACGGCAAGTTTTCAAGCGCTGCCAGCTCGCGCGAGGCGCTGCTCACCACGTCCTCCAACGACATCCCTTTGCGAAAGCTTATCGCTGCTGCTTCTTCCTCGAAGCCTTCGAGACCTCTCCATACTTCCACATCCAATCTTTCCCTCCAAAGCTGGCCTGGGCATCCGCGGCAACCACCACAAAACCAAGGCCGCCGCATCAATGACCATACTATTGCTCTTTCGGTCACGATAACACTTGCAATACTCGTACTCATCGGTGTCCCGCTGGGAGCTATTCTGCCGCAGAAATATGTTGTGCCACTACCCATTAACGTCCTTGTTCCATTCTATGTGTATCCTGACCATAATTCGTGGGAAAGAATGTTCCAGGCGTGAGTATCAAGTCTATCTACTGATCTTTTCCCGCCACCATTGTGCTGACTGTGGCAACAGCGCCATCAAGCACCCGGAATCTAACTTTACCATCATACTCTCCGTCGACCACGGACCCAGCGCCTCAGTCTGGCCGCCAGGAATATACCTTGCCCCCATTAAGCGGCTGAACATGCTGCCCAACGTCCAGGCGATTGGATACGTTGATACCGAGTACGGATCACGCGATGGCGAGAAAGTGCGAAAAGATATAGCGACATACGCGGGGTGGAACAACACCGATCTTGGGATATCGGGCATCTTTTTCGACCATACACCAGCTGAGGACGTCAACGATGCGCGGATATATCTGAAGAATGTCAGCGCGACTGTAAGACACACCGAGGGTTTTCTAGAGCCTACCATTGTCGTTCACAACCCAGGCAAAGTGCCCAATGCGAATATGACCAATTACCAAGCCGATGTGACGGTGGTGTTTGAGGGCGAGTACAAAAGCATGCCACCAAGAGAGGAGACCAAAGCTAAGCTGCGGGACCTGGGCGGCAGACGCCAGGATTACGCGGAGATCATACACTCCGTTCCGCGGACTATGAGCAGAGGAGGTATCAGGAAGATTATCAACGGGGAGAGGAGGTACGTTGGATGGTTGTATGTTACAGATCGAATGGGGGATAATAAGTATGAGTGGTACAGCGATAGATGGGAAGAGTTCTTGGATCTGACATTTTGATTACACATTCACTATGCCCCGAAGCTTTTCGATGTGATTGATCTTCAGACGATCGTGATACATCGCTCGTCCGCTCCGTATCCCGCGACACCCTGGTGTAACAATCCCTCCCAGTGACAAATCCCTAGTCTTTTCCAAGAGCTATCCCCACTTCCATCAGGTATAGCACACAAGCAAACTATCAACTTCTCCACCTCATTCTCGGCCATTACCAGGCACCATACGTGCTGAGGCGTGTCTACGTCGGAGTCGAGTGTCCAGCGTTCAGGGATGATCTTAAGCTTAGATAGATTACAGCGTTTCCACACTGGCGGTCTATGCAGATCGTCTCTCGTGAGATGATATCTGAAGCAAGGCCCCTTCACTGTGATCCGTTCACGGAGCTGTTGCTATTTGAATGTCGTCTATGCTCACTCTGGACTGCAGATCGGTAAAGTCGTATTGCTCAGGTGCCTTGGAATCATTCGGGGTGTTTTGGTAAGACACAGGATATCCGCTCCCGAGCCATAACCATGACGGCGCGGGAAATATCTCACGTGCCTCGGCGGTGTCGTGATGTCTGGAAGACCTGGTTTTGTACCAGAGCAATTAACTCCGGAGACTAATGCGCTGCATCCCTGCTATCGGGGTATCCTTTATGATGCCACCCACGGCATTGAGAATACCTTCCATTACGAAGATTTTGTCGCAGATCAAGGTAAAATTTCTCGCAGAATAATTTTGAATGAATTCCTTCCGCACATCGGCTAGTCTCTGCTGTAGGACCTGCGTATCCGCTGAGCCCACGATGGAGATTCGAAGTAACTTTAGAGCCCAGGTCTCTTTCGGATTTTCGTCGTTGAGTATGCTAGTGGGGATTCAAAGGCAGATGCAAAAAGACGATCCCAGAAAAGCTCTCCGTTACCGTAGTAGAGAATACGCGGTGACAGCAGCTGCTCCTGAAGGTTCCACCCTTGAGTATCTTGGCGATCCTTCGGACGACTACCAGACTGTGTTTAACTCGTATATAGGAGCACGTAAGACGCTCCTTCGATGTCGGCAATCTTGCGATCGCGATATGGAACGCTTTTGAAAGGATCATCCCTATGGATACGAAATGGCCGAAGACATCGAACATTGCGCGGGTGGAATTTTCCCTCAGAGTGCTCTTGACAGTCCGCGACTGCGATGGTGAACAAAGCCCCGTTATATGCAGAAGCCATTTTGGAAGCTTCAGCTAACCAGCCCTCTGGCAAATCCTGGACAATACAGAGAGTGTCCATCTACAGATACCGGAGGTCGAGGCGTTTGACGATATAGATGGCCTCTCTAGTCGTTTTAGAGAGCGAAGGGTAACAGAGAAGATTCGAATCCGAATTCTGACGACGTGAGTTTGGGTCGAGGCTCGTCTGAGTATCCGAATTGTTTAATCTCTCATATAATCTCACAGAACGTGTTCGGACCCTCTGCCCTTACTACAGTTCTTCGAAATGTGCAGTAACCCATGTTAAGATTTGCTCGCAACCCCAGAAGCTCACGAGCTTCTTCAGCGGATGGCCATGTGGTTCTATCGTGGTTCCAGTAGCGCACAAAGAGGCCACCATATTAGTCGTTCAATGCTTGCATCACCCGGAAGTCGCAAAGTATTGTGGCAGGTGTACATGAGCTATCTAGGTCAGTAGCGAAGAACGTTGAGTCGACAATGTTTGAAACATTTAGACAGGCAGCAATCCTAGGTCATGATATGGAATGATGAGAGAGACGGCAGTGCGTTATCCATGAATACGGCTAAGGAGGGGGGGAAGGGCAATGAGTTATGGCTCACCGGTCACTCCATATGGAATACGAGACCACAACCACACATACAAAGGGCAGTATCGATACAGCCTACAAGCGATACCAAGGATTACCACAACCCTCATTATCATGACGGACGTATTCTAGTTTGATAAGTTCGGCGGCGTATAGTATCGGGCACTAGCGGTATTACCGCTCTTACGAGGCATTGGCGGCTCGCCGATCTCCGACCCCTCCCACCTTGTGTAAGCGCTAGCTCGGCTGCAAAGCAATGACTACGCTTGTCGAAGCACCTCATAAATTGACATGTGTATTTTCTAATGCTCGTGCCGCAGAGCCTGCTACCCAAAGTACGAGGACGATCCTACCATCATGTCTACCACTACTGTCGAGACCGTGCCTTTGCCCGCCCTCAGCCTCACACTACAAAATGGCCAAAAGATTCGCTACCATTCAGATATCTCAATCGAGGCCGACGAAATTCCAGTCATCGATATCAGCGACATCTATAGCGATAATCTTCAAGCCCGTAAAGCCGTAGCAGAAAAAGTTCGAGAGGCGGCGCATCGCATCGGCTTCTTCTACATCATTAATCATGGCATCGATCCCGAGCATGCGGAGAATACATTTCAACAAGCGAAAAGGTTCTTTGCGCAGCCCGAAAAGAAGAAGATGGAAGTGTGCACAGATTTGGTTACAGAATATTTCGGTTATTTTCCGATGGCAAAGGTTAGTCTTCAGAGAATGATGATGGAGAGTTTCATAACACATATATAGTATAATCGAAATGGAAAGAAAGAGAAGGACCTCATGGAGGCTTACAATTGGGGCTATAGTCCAAAGTACGATCCCGAAGTGGCGAGTGGAAAGGAACCGGATGTTGACTACGTGAAGCTCCTGTGGCCCGTAGAGCTTCCTGGCTTCAAAGAAACGCTTTATGAGCACCATTCTCAACTGTTGACTCTTGCACGTCGCTTGACAAAGACATTTGCTTTAGCGCTTCATCTCGACGAGGACTATTTTGCCGAGTACATCAAGACTCCAGCAGCGGGCATGAGGATTACACATTATCCTTCACAAGAAGTACGCATTTGCAACAGAACTGAACAGGATAGTCTTATTAACCATGGAATAGGCCTCGCCTTCAGACCAGCTAGGAATCGGCGCGCATACTGACTTCGAGTGCTTTACTTTCGTGACACAGGATGAGCACGCCGGCCTTGAAGTGCTGTCAAAATCTGGCTACTGGATCAAAGCCAAGCCAATACCGGGAAGTATCGTCGTGAACATCGCAGACTGTTTCATGCGACAAACCAACGACTTCTTCGTCTCGACTGTGCACCGCGTCGTCAACAAGGCCGGCGCAGAGCGCTATTCCTGCCCCTTCTTCTTCGGCTTCCAGCAAGACATGAAGCTAGAACCTGTACCCACATGCGTAAGCGATAGCAACCCGATGAAGTACCCTATCGTCAGCTCGGGCGAGTATCTCAGGTGGCGAGCCGAGCAAGCTAAGAAAGTGGTATGATGGGGGTCGGCTTGGGTACGGAAATAGCCATACCGGGTGAATACTTCCTGAGGCTATCACCAACTTCCGGATCTTCAAGCGCCGTAGCAGAAGGATTCTTGAACTATCTCATTATCATTACCACCTTATTGGTACATATCACGACTCGAGTGTACGCTAAAGCTCCCTCCGCGTTACCCCACTATCGTATTCTTGGCTGTCGCCTTCCTCCGAGCCCCAGAGATACCGTCTATCGCAAAGATAAGCGGTACAAGACACTAATGCGCCAACAACGACTCCCTAAGCCACGACTTTCGCCATTCTGGAAATATGTCTGATAAGCGACATCCGTTAAAGTAGAACCAGTACTTGGATCGCTGCTGCCGACCGCCGGTGCTGATGGAATTACTCTGAGAAGCCATGGTGTTTTCAGCAAAGGTCTTGCTAACTACAGTCAGTGAGAAGTTTCAAGAGAAGAAAGTCGCATTAAAACGTGTATTCTCAAGTCGCGAGAATCTCGTTCGAGCGTTGGAGGTCAATGAGACTGCCTACGGTCGCACCGAAGAACGCAGCTTCTGGAAGAATGAAGACCTCGATCTTACACCACCGTCCCAATGGACTTGGGGATGGTATGACTTCGCAGCTTTCTGGTGGAGCTATGGTTTCAGTGTCGGCGTATGGAGCGTTGGGTCTTCAATGGTAGCAATGGGATTGAACGCCTGGCAATGTAAGTCCTGCAGCCGGTATACAGCCGCACTCTGACATAGAATAGCCATCATCTGCGTTTTCATCTCCCATATGCTAGGGGCCATCGCCATAGCCTGGCACTCCAAGATCGGTGCCAAATGGCACTTTGGATTCCCTGTTGAAAGCAGAGTCATGTGGGGCATGTACGGCAGCTTCTTCCCCATTGTGATACGACTCCTTGTCGGGCAGATCTGGACCGCGGTATTGATGATGCAGGGTGGTTACTTCTTGTCCATTTTCTTCCGCTGCGTTTTCGGCCACCACTGGCACAATCTCGAAAACACCATCCCCAAAAGCATGGGCGTAACGGTCCAACAACTCGTCGGCTTCATCCTCTTCGCCGTCGTCACCGCGCCCTTCCTGATGCTCCGCCCCCACCAAATGCGCCGCCTCTACTCCATCAAATCCGTCGTCCTCCCACCTGTCGCCATCAGCCTCTTCGCCTGGTGCATAGTCCAAGGCCGCACTGCCAGCGCCTCCGCAGGCACCTTCAAATCGCCCATCCCTAATCCCAAAGGCGCCGCCCTCGCTTGGGCCATGCTCTCCGCGATTAACTCCTGCATGGGCAAAACCTCCTCCATCGCCGTCAACCAAACCGATCTCGCGCGCTACGCCCGCACGCCCGGCGCGCCCTTCCTCTCGCAGCTCATCTCCCTCCCCATTGGCAACACGCTGTGCGCCACCCTCGGCATCTTCGCGACGTCCTCCACGCAGCAGGCTTGGGGAGTCACGCTGTGGAATCCGTGGGACCTTTGCTCGGCGATCTTGGACCGCCACTGGAACTCTGGGTCGCGCACTGCTATTGCGTTCGCGAGTATAGCCTGGATGTTGTCCATCTTCGCAAGCTGCATGGGCGTCGACGTGTTCCCCTTCGGCGTCGACGTGACGGCGCTGTTCCCGCGGTGGCTCAACATCCGTCGCGGCATGTATCTCTGCTATGCCATCGGCCTTGTCATCTTCCCCTGGAAGATTCTACAGAGCTCGACGACATTCCTGCGGTTCTTGGGCGGGTATAGCATCTTCCTTGCGCCGCTGGTGGGGATCTACATTACTGATTACTTTGTTGTGAGGAGGGGGAATGTGTGGGTCAAGGATCTGTATACCGCGGAGACGGGGGGCAAGTATTACTATGTGTGGGGCGTAAATTGGCGGAATGCAGTAGCGTTTACGACGACGGTGGTGTTTCTGGTGCCGGGATTTGCGGCGCAGTTTGGCCACGAGGTTGGGGTTGGGTGGGAGCGGTTGTATAGCCTAGGGTGGGTCATGGGGTGTACGTTCTCGAGTGTCATTTACTATGGGTTGGCGATGATAGGGGACTTCTGCAAGGAAGAGAGGAAGATGCGATTTGAGGAGAGCTATGATACTCAGGGTATGTTCTGTGCGGGGGTTGTCGAGGGTGTGGGTGCGGAGGGAGACCAAGAGAAAAGACCTGAGCTGAAGGGCGTGACGGAAGAAAGCAAGGTCAGCGAGTTGTAGTCGGCGATGAGACATGAGATTATTTGTTTAAACTCTTGCTTCAATCGTTCTTGATTGTTAGGACGTTTTCCTTTTGATATTCAGGATGACACGTCCCATGTCAATTTGCCGTCTAAATAAGTCCTTTGCTCTTTGCTGAGTTTTCATGTTGACGGATATATGAAGTTCGATATATCAAGACAGGCTGCATGATGCATCTGTAGTCACACAATGCGACACGTCGGGATAAGTCCTCACCACGATCGAGATAGGATGATACTGTGCTAGCCTGGCACTAAAGGTAGTTAACGTGAGGTAGAACCCACGCATAACGTATTAGTGTGGCGGTTCACGATGGTACATGATAGGAGCGCACTTTAGACGTTACGGTTGTACAATGGCAGAATTACAGCATGTTTGATTGGGTATCGCTACGAGACAGACACGTTGAACTGCAGTGGGGATCGTCCTCTCTATCGTCTAACGCCGTTACAATCCAGCCCACTCAATGGAGAAAGCTCTGACAGGCTCCACATCCACAAGCGTCTTCTTCTTCATCTTCTCCTCCTTGTTTGGCCGCAATGCAGGATTCCATGATGGGGCAGGCGGAGTTGGCGGCGTGAAAGTATCTCCAACCTTTTTACCACCCGGTTCCTCGCCTCCAATGAGGTATGCCTTCTTCACACCTGTACCCAATCTGCCACCGCCGACGATGTCGAGCAGGTCAAACTCCTCGTCCCAACCCAAGCCAGTTGCGAGAAAGTGACTGTGGAAGCGTAATGGATCTCCGGGGTAGACGGAGTAGTGGCAGCCGAAGCGCAAACCGGGCATCATGAAGTAGCCTTTGGTATGCAGGTACCGAAACAATGGGAAGCTCTTCGGTACCTCCGGAAGCCCTAGAGCATGTGAAGGCAGGGGCTTGGACAGGGGCGGGTACGACGTGGTTGGCGTGATGTAAGTGGTTTCCAACTTCTTCTCGGGAACCTTCACAGCGGGCACGGGTGACTCATCCCCGTCGAACAGCGATGATCCCACGTCCTTCGGCGTCGAATCACGACCCTTCTTGCTCGGACGCAGGCCTTTCTCCCGCAACACCTGCTCGCTTCTCTCGTTCGCGCGACGGACGACCTCTCGGCTCATTTCAGCACCTTGCTCGTCTAAGTCTCGAAGATACGCCAGTCTGTCCTCTCGGGTCATCTCTAGGAAGCCCTCGCGATGCACCGCCGCATCATCGACGATATATGCGTGGCCTTGCTCAACTAGGACACGCGCCTCTTCAGGCTGAAGCTCAAGCGGGATGCCGAGGAAGACATTCTGCTGGCTGAGGTTGGGTATCGTGCCCACGAGCACGCCGATGACGTTGTGCGTGCGGCGCGCATGTGCGACAGTCGGTGGGTCGAATAGCAGGTAGCGACCCGCTACATACGCGATGGGGAATGGTTCCTGGACCGGAGGCATGTCCGGAGCCATTGTGTCCTGCGCAAGTGTTACGTTAGCACGACTTCAAGTCAAGCTGGAACGAAAAGAAGTTCGTGTAGAAGCGGTGAATCATAGTGTGAATACAAATAATTTGAGTCATCAAGTCCCGAAGGATTCAGGGGATTGACAGATTAATTTAATAATCATAAGACGGCGGAGTGTTTGGGGTGGGAGAAGCTTACCTTCACTTGTACGGTTTCATGGCGCAAGTTGGAGAGTTGAAGTGTGAAGAAAGCTTTCTCGCGATTTTATATGGCGGCTTGGCGTGCGCTGAATCAGGTGACTAGCGAGGCAGGTGCTGGTTCCGAAGCCAAAACATCTCGGAACGCACAGCAACAACATTGCCCCACCAACCACAAACATACACGCACAAAATGTCCAATAACGTGCGCGCCTCCACTGCGCATCCCGCCGGCGAGCAAGCCCCGAAATCATACTACGAGCAACAGCGCGAGCTTCTCATCCTTGAGATCGCGCAGTCCCTCAACAACGCGCTGCACAATCTGAATGCGCTGAATCGGAGCTTAGAGGAAGTCATTCAAGTCGGCAACGAATTCGCGCCTGTGGAATCGCTGTGGAGCCATTTCGAGAGCGTGATGGGAGACCAGGGCCTGGAGGAGAAAGAGACAAAGCGGGAAGGAGATGCGGAGGAGGGGGCGAGTCAGTGCTGAGAACGCTGCATAATCTTGCCCTCACACTCTCCCAATTCCGCGATACCCTTTCATTGAACAATAAGTTGGCGGGTTGCTAAAAAGCGCTGCGCTAGGAGCGAACGTGGAGCCAAAGTTAGATGCTCAAGTCGACGGACATGATAGGAAGACGCATGGCAAGACTGAGGACGTACAGGACGAGCATGTTGCGAAGAGAAGCACGCAGAGCTCGGAAGCATTACGGAGGTTGGGTGTGAACGTGAGCCGGCGCAGGAGAGAGTCTTTGTGGAATCAGGCTTGGAAGAGGAAACATGAGTGACAATGACCTAGATGGAAGACACGGGATGGAAGTGAGTGGAGAGCGACAGCGGCGTTACAACATGATACCCGGATTCTACTTCGGAAAATATCACCTCAAAGGAATATACAACACAATGCAACGAACTAGACGGTTGTAAAGATGTTCTGTTCAAATTTATTGCACCTGATGTGGCCATGCTAGCCACACCCCATAAGATACCGAATACAGACAGTAAAGACAAGGAAACATGTAAGAGAGACCAATGCCGCTCGCTGCATGGGAAACCTTCCAGACCAACGCCCGCTAACTATGTATATGTATGTCAGTCGTGATTTGACAACTCTCTCTGGTGGGTCCGCTTCCACGGACGAACCCACTCATGCAATCGACCAAGCGACTGCTAGGCAGCGCGATAGCGAAACAGGCCGCGAAGAAAGGCCAGCGCGTCCGTGATCAGGTCATTAAGCATCTCGATCGTGTCGTCCAGCGTCGTGAATCTTGATAAGCCCTTGTTCGTCTTTGTGGATGCAGAAGTGGTGTTGGAATAATCATCGTCAGATGTAAAAGGAGAAGCAGAAGACGGACGCGGGGATAATGGAGATGAAGCGCTTTCACTCAAGTTCAATGCTGTGACGGACTCTAAGAAACGATGGACGAGTGCCTTAGAGAATGGTGCACTTTTCTCGCTTCTTGGTCTTCTTACCGCCACTGGGGAATCGTTTGTCTGCTCGCGGCGCGCCCGGGGCGACTGAATGTGATGTGATCTCGGGCTCCTTGTATTCGTCGCCGACGGCTTCAGTCACCGCTCGGTCGAAGATCTCTTCTACGCCGTCTTGTTCTTTACTGCTGCACTCCATGTACAGAGCGCCCATCTTCCTGGCAACGGCGCGCCCTTGCTCGGGGGTCACTGGCGTGAGGCCTTGGGTCTTGAGCAGCTCGATGCAACTCCGCTTGTTGCGTAGATCCGACTTGAGACCAAGGAGCATAAGTGGTGTGGTTGGGCAGAAGTGAAGGACCTCCGGGTACCACTATCTCTGTTAGCACTGCATGGACAGTAATGGGATTGGAGACGCACCTTGTCCATGACATTCTCAAGCGAGTTCGGACAGTCAATGGCGAAGCACACGAAGATGATGTCGGTCTCGGGATAGGATAGCGGTCGCAACCGGTCATACTCTTCTTGGCCGGCAGTGTCCCAGAGCGCCAACTCGACCATCTTGCCCGTGGGCGGATGAGGGGTGTGGGTGATGTAGTTCTCGAAAACAGTGGGCACATATTTCTGGTCTGGTCAGCCTTGAAACGAGACGAACGACTGAGCTGGTGACGTACCTCCGGGAAGTTACCTGTGCTGTAGCTGATCAGCAGACACGTCTTGCCGCAGCCGCCATCGCCGACGACGACGAGCTTCTTCGAGTACGTAGGCGGCTCGGTGATGTTGGTGTCTCGCGTGGCGGTGGTGGCATAGGAGCTGACAGTGCCGTTGCTGTTGCGCTCGCTGGGCGTCCTGATGGGCCGGCGAGCGGGTGTGACGGACGAGATGGGCGCTTTTGTGCTTTGTTTGCGGCGCAGATAGTCGTAGTTTTGAGAAGGCGCGGTCGTGGCAGACATTGTGGAGGATGTGGTGGAGAAGCGATGCGCAGGCGCGGGCGGTTGGTATCAATATACACAGGCAACTCGTCGTGGTTGCGTTGCGGGAGCGAGTGGCTGGGGTATTTAGGCCGAGTGTATGTTGACGCTCAGCTGCGTTGACACAGCAACCGCCTGCCCGCATCGATCGAGGCTGCGCTTCCAAGCGGCCGCCAGACACAAGCGAAGCGGGCGGGCAGGGGGCGGCCGGGCTCCCATCGAACAGCACGTCGACCAAGCCCACACACCCCGCCAGAGTCCAGCGTCCCTGCTCCATGCTCATTGCGCGCCGCGGGCTGCCATTTTGTCGCCTCAATGAGTTCCAACCATGAGGGCACCGCGTCGCCCGCGCCCGCAGCGCCGCCCGCCCGCCCTGCGAAGGCCCCCGAGAAGGAGCCTCGGCTGGACGCTGGAAACAAACACCACGACCACTGTGCGCCCAAAATGCCCCCCGCCCTCGCGACGGCTGCTAATGCGCGCGTGCAGACGCTCGACGGTTGCCGCCATGGCGCCATGCGATGCGCAACTACCTGCTCCCCATCGTGCGCTGGGAGACGCCCTGGCTCGCCCTGATGCAGGACAAGCTGCGCTCGCCCGCGCTCGACTCGTACTTCGCCGTGACCGCCAATCTGGGGACGCACACCTTCTACATGATCTTCCTGCCCATCTTGTACTGGTGCGGATATACCAATATCGGTAGAGCGTACGTACCTCTGTGCCAGTCCACCTCCCCGCACTGACACTGGCAGGATGGTCCACATGCTGGCAGCAGGCATCTTCTTCACCGGCTTCATCAAGGACATGCTGTGCCTTCCTCGCCCACTGTCGCCTCCGCTTGCACGCATTACCATGTCGGGATCGGCCGCCCTCGAGTACGGCTTTCCATCGTCGCACTCGAGCAACGCCGTCTCCGTAGCCTTTTATGCCCTCTACAAGTTCCACAGCGCACGTGAAGACTACAACCCAAACGTGTTCTTGGCGCTCCAATTACTCTGCTACTGGTTCGCCATTTCCATTGTGTTTGGCAGGTTATACTGCGGCATGCATGGCTTCCTCGATGTCGTTGTTGGCAGCGTGTTTGGCGGCGTTATAGCCGTCGCCCAACTGATCATCGAGCACAGCTTCGACGACTGGCTCTTCGTAACAAGTCCAGTGCCGCCTTTGATCATCACCCTGGTCATTTTTGTCCTTGTTCGGATTCATCCCGAACCAGCAGACGATTGTCCTTGTTTTGACGACACTGTATCGTTTGTCTCAGTTGTCATAGGCATCAACGTGGGTGCGTGGCACTACGCAATGACCGGCTTGGCCATCGATGACCCTATTCCTTCCACGAATCCATTCCGATTGGAGACTGTTGGCTTGCCGCGGGCCACGCTTCGAATTTTACTGGGTGTAGTGGTCATCTTCCTGTGGCGTGCCGCCATGAAACCAACCCTATTGAATGTTCTACCGCCTATATTCCGTTTGCTGGAGCAGCTCAGGCTTAATTTGCCACGAGCCTTCTTCCTCAACGCTTCGTGAGTACCTGAAATTCCTCTTAGTAATGGTTGTACTAACATGCTCCAGGAAATACACCAGTATCCCAACACTGCGAGGCGATGACAATGTCATTCCTCCGGCCTCAGAACTCCCCAACATGCTCAAGAACCTGGCCCACCCTCGCAAACGCTCGGTATCAGTAGGACCGCAGTCTGCGGCTGATGCCTATGAAACCCTCGCCTATCGCAATAGACGGCGCAGGGAAAGCATCAACTCTCTTGACGGCGCCATCCAAGAAGACGCTGCGTTCGCCCCCGTAGAGAAGAAGCCTTCGCTCCGAAACCTCAGATCATCTTCTCGACAGCGCGAGAAGAACACAATGGGCGCCAATTTGCTGCCCACACCAGCAGCATCAAGAGTGCACTCTTACGAGCAGATGATGGGCACAGGGCACGTCGAGGGCATCGACATCACGCCGCCCGATAGCGAGACGGAGCTCGCGACGCAATCACCCGCCGAGGCAGAAAGTGAGAAGCGCGAAATTTTCATGCAGTTGATGAAGCCGCGTGTCAGGTACGATGTCGAGGTTGTTACGAAGCTGATTATCTACTCGGGTAAGCGTCCACCCCCATGACAACGGTCTCTTGAGCCCGCTGACTCTATGTACAGGTATCGGGTATGTCGCTGTCTGCGCAAACCCTATTCTCTTCGAATTCGTCGGTCTGGGTACAGGTATCCGGACAGGTTCAATCTAAGTATTTAAAAGTGCATTGCACACAGCCCATTCTTGTGCAAAGATGTGCGGGAGTAATTTCTGGTAGCGTTTGATAGCATGGATGAGATACCCTTTCTGAAGTCCACATTTCGTCTCGGTGCTTGTGACACAATGCCACATCACGAAACGAGGTTTCGCATTCAGCCTACAGTGGTACATATCGAGACCAATGTCAAATTAGATCTGCCAGCACACGACGTCGCAGCCTGAGTCCCGTTTTCGCCGACTGGCCCGGTGACACGGGCACCAGCCACAGCAACTTGAAAAAGTCCGATACGTCGTACGGCCGGCGCTCCGCGACCTCGTTTGAACCCTGGCAGTCAGATGGAGGCGTTGCGATGTGGAAAACGCACCAATCGCATCGGGTCTGGTGCGAAACAAGTAGGGAAGCTGCAACACGTCATCGTACCTTGTTCGCAAACAAGTGTTGCAGGTGGACGAGTTGGCCTGCATGCGGCGTTTAGACTGTTGAGTCGTAATCATGTACGTGCAAGAATGCGAGGGGGAGCGGGTGGTTATTTTGGTGGAGATGCGGGTGAGATTTGTGCCCAAGGCGTGCTGACAGGATGGGGTATTCTTGTATGGGGTATGAATATCAACACTCGCATGCACCCATTTGGCTGCATGCTTACCGTACAGCGAATGGCGCCTGCCCACGGGGCAGATTAATTCGATTCGTTGGCCGATCAGTCAATTGCGTTCCCGTAAGCGAAGTGACCCAGATTGTTGGCCGAAACTGGGGATAGCACCGTGGTGATCCTGGCGGAGATGTAGACGGACTTCTACAGCAACAACGTGGCTTCGGTCTTCGAGGTGCTCTCATCTGTGGGAGGGATTGCAGCACGGAATTACACTCAGTTGCCATTGTTGGAGAGCTTACTGTAGCTCGCAACATACGCCTTTCTTGTGTTCCTAGCTTGTGGTGCAGCTCCAAGACACCAAGCAAGTCAAGCCTCCATCCGCCCAGCTGTGCCAGCTTACTACCTGTCTTTCGGCGCTGCCTGGTCGCTGCAGTGGAGCTGAGACGATTTGAAATTCGGCACGCTTGCTGTTACGGCGTAAGAAGGCGTGTTCTCGCTGTGGCGCAGGAGGAAGGAGAACGCACCGCCACACCTCGGGCGACGTAGTGTCGTCGTTTCAAGCGTTTAGCCGCGGCGATCAAGCCCCCATCCCGTTACGACAAGAGGGCCCAGTGCCTTGATTTTGTGGGCCAAGCCAGTGACGTTGAGCTTCGCAGAGTTGGCACCGATGCTTTCCGTGCTTCGCACATGTTAGCGTCATTGTCGTGGCGCGCGCATCCTAATCATGAAATCGTCCTGACAACGGGGAATCCAATCGAGCCGTCCACTAAGCGAAGCCGTCGCGAACAGAGTGTCGGACAGCGCGCGGAGGCGTGCAGGGCCATTGTAATTGCGATCTAGTGCGCTGCACACTGACCGCATCTGTGGCTGGTGCAGTACGCACCCTCATTGCTCATTACCCCTGCGGCCCTGCGGGCGACTCGTCCAGTCTGCCCGACCGTTTAAACCCCTTGTGTGCGCCCGTTGTCCTTCCAGTTCCCATCCTCCTAATACGATACGGCGCCTGCGCATTCTAGGCTGCAACACAAAGCTCACCGGTACACCCAAGACTGTACAGCGCGCGCCACGAAAGCTAGAAGAAGCACTCAAAGATACAACCGCGCTTGATCGACCAACAACAATCGCGGGTTGCAGCAGCACAGCCGTTTCGCCCCCAAACCGAACGCGCTTCCGAGCCTCAGGCATAGTTCCGATCTGCACCACCACTGAGCTGCTCGTCTTTGTTCGCCAATTACTTCACTGGCGCACTGCTCGTTGAGCAATATTTGATCACATCTACACTTCAATATGCGTAAGTCATGGTCTCCTGTTGTGTTGGTCTACACGATGAGCCGCCCTCCCGAGGTTATTACCGTGTGTACCATTGCTTGTGTGTATTCTGATAGTAGTATACAGACGCCATACGTAGACAAGCACATCGCGTGGCTAGTAGCCCCGGTGTGGGTACCGCCTACAACCCTTTTTCCCGTGTACGATCTCGGGATACCACACATCAACGCGATGCAGAGGCAGCGCCGGACAGATCGTATTCCGAGGCGCAGATGCAGCTAGGCCACGAGCAAGATAGAGCTTTGGAGAGCGCCCAAGCAGAGAAGGAATTTGGCGGTCCCCATCACGCGAGCACCGAGCCCTCGCCCATATCGGGACGAAATTCTTTGAATGGAGACGCTACAGCGACCACCGACTTCGCGCCGAGCGGCAGCGCAGCGCCTAAGAAGGCATCTGCGGATATCAGCGACAAGACCGCAGTCAACAATGGTATCGAAACGCAGACGAATGGATCCGTTGTGAAACAACGTGGATGGGTAAAGAAAATCATCCATGGCGGCAAGAAGGAGGAGGACTCTGACGACGACGAGGGCCGCCACGAATCTGAGAAGCTGGACATGGAAGAGCGCAGGAGAAGATCGCTCAAGAAAAAGATTCCTATCGGCCAGCAGATTCGATATGTGGTCTTTGGCGCTTGGATCAATGTCCTGCTTGTCATGGTCCCCGTCGGCTTCGGGGTGTACTACACGCACAAGATCAATGACATTGGTGTCTTCCTGATCAACTTTATTGCCATCATCCCATTGGCTGCGATGCTCAGCAATGCTACTGAGGAGCTTGCGCTTCGCGTCGGCGAGACGCTCGGTGGATTGCTCAACGCGTCTTTCGGGTATGTGTTCTCTTATCCGGATGCGCGCATACTTACATTAACATCACTAGTAACGCTGTCGAACTTATCGTCTCAGTCCAGGCGTTGGTTAAGGATGAAATTACCATTGTCAAGACCTCTCTCATCGGTAGCATACTCTCCAACTTGTTGCTTGTCCTGGGCATGTCCTTCTTCGCTGGTGGCTTCAACCGCGTCGAGCAATTTTTCAACATCACTGTCGCGCAGACTGCTTCTTCTATCCTGGCTCTTGCCATTGCTTCACTGATTATCCCGACCGTGTTTCACAACATGATCGCCAACATTGGCACAGGCGAACCTGGAGATGCACAGTCAGACGCGAAGAAAAACTCAGAACTGGTAAGACCCAACTTTGCCCGTACTACTAGAGGTTATACTAACAAGTGGCCTACAGTCTCATGGAACAGCCATCATTCTCCTTTTTGTATACGGCTGCTACCTCTTCTTTCAGCTCAAGACACACGCAACGATGTACAATGCGCCTAGCGAGAAGGGTGTTAAGCGCAAGCAGTCTGTCGACGGAAGCGTCGCTCGCGGCATCGCCACGATCGGAGCCGGCACTGCTGCTACAGCAGGCGGCGCCGCAAACCAAGACCGCCACCTACAGAACAGCAAGGAAGCCGCCGACGACGAGGAGGATGACTTCGAAGAGCCCAACCTCACCATGTGGGGTGCGCTCGTCACTCTCGCCATTTCCACCACCCTTGTCGCTTTCTGCTCTGAATTCATGGTCTCCAGCATCGACGGCTTCACCCGTGAAGCCGGCATTTCGACAACCTTCGTCGGTCTGATTCTCCTGCCTATCGTGGGTAACGCCGCCGAGCACGCCACCGCTGTCACCGTCGCCATCAAGGACAAGATGGACCTCTCCATCGGTGTCGCCGTCGGATCCTCCATGCAGATTGCACTCCTCGTCCTCCCTGGTATCGTCGTCATCGGTTGGATCGCTGGCAAGGAAGACATGACGCTCTACTTCGACACCTTCCAGATCGCGATCCTGTTCGTCGCGGTGCTGCTCGTCAACTACCTCATTCAAGACGGCAAGTCTCGTAAGTCCTGCCCCATACTTGTGCGTTCCCCAGCGCAATGCTAACAGCCCCCAGATTGGCTCGAGGGCGTGCTCCTCATGTCGTCGTACGTCATCATCAGCCTGGCAGCATGGTTCTACCCCGATCTGCCCCAGGGCGCGGAAAGCTAGAATCCGCGCGTTTTTCCTGTCCTGTTCTTCTTCGCTTCAAACCTGTACATTCCTTGCGACCACTCGCCTAGTCTCCTTGAATAACGTTATGTTTTTCCTTTGGGCGCGGTTACGACCTAAATTATTGAGCCGGTGCGGCAGGCATCTGGCCTTGTCTTGTCTTGTGTTTAATTCCTTGATACCCTGCGGGAGTGAGCATTGTACCAATAAACGTGATCCAGCGAGATCTTTTCTTTGTGTGTGTGTGGAAAATATGATTTTTAGTGTCAGGGTAATTCTATTGTTCATCAATGCATGTGCTCGAACTTGGATGCTGAAGGTGTGGTTTTGTGGTGTGAATTCCTGCGCTTTTGGAAGGAAGGCACGCTCGATGCGGTGGGTGACACAACCTTCTCCATCGTCCTAACTGATCTCTGGACCTGCTGACGATTGCACGCATACTGTCGAGACCGACTTTACAAGGTGGCCTGGATAAACGCAATACCTCTTTCAACAGCGAGGAATCCCGACGTTGTCCATGTCCGCACAAACGCAGCATCCCCCCGATCTCTACCCGAAGGAAAGAATCATCCACGACCTCAGTTTCGATAGGTGTCTTAACGACTATGCGACCGATACGATTCACTACGATCTTCCCTGTGCGCTGCCCTGACTTTGTTCTTCTTTCACTTGGCCTTTGATACCTCGTCGCGTTTCTCTACGGTCAGCAGCAGACGCCTTCACTACAGCTCTCAGAAGTCCTCACACCCCAATCTCTCATACACTGGTGTACTTCTCTCACCACAATGGACGTGAACGTTCTGAGAGCGGTGCTCGCCCTCATCTATATAAGGCTTCACCTGCGATTGATCTTGTTCTTTTCTAGACCACACTTTCCGTCCTTCTCTCTCCTCTCTCTGGAATCACTCTTTCCCATGTCTGCCCCTCATTAGCCCCCAACACAAGTCATCGCCACCAACAGCCTCTTCAGACACTCTTCCTGCAGCATCCGCGCGTGAATTGGTGTTTTGGCTCTCATATCTTCACACCACTCTGCTGCTGGCCACGCGCAAGAAGCGCAAGCGGTTCTTCCTAGTCTCCGAGTGGCTTCTCATCCGTTCTGGACGCTGGTATGTATCATGTCACAAGTTTAGCTGCGACGTCATCAGTCCTGGGGTAACACAGTGCACTCAATTTCACCGGATATGTGGATGGTTGCAGTCGTCGACAGCATGCTGACTTTGGACTAGACACCATGGTGGATCCAGGCCCCAACATTGACAATGCTGGGCTCAATCAAGCTATCGAGGACAGCCAAGCTCCTGATGGTCAGGAGAGTCAAGTGCCCGACATCTTTGAGAGTGAGGTTCTTGCTCCCGAGATGAGCGATGACGGTCTTGGCGATCTGTTTGGAGACAACGACGAGCCTGATGACGAAAATTACGAAACTCTTGCGCTCAGCCCAGATTCTGTCAACCAAACTGCACCAGATCTTACCGAGGATGTTGTCAATGCCTTGTCGGACCCTGAATATGATGAAGCTCTTGCACTTACTCGAGATTCCATCGGCCATACCACGACGGGCTTCATCGAAGACACTGTCAACGCCGGCCCCAACCCTGAACACGAATTTGAAGCTCGGGCTGATGCGCAGAATCCGGAATTTGACCGCGACACGAACATCGAGCATGAAAACGGACTTCCGGACCTGGGCCAGACTATGACTGAGGCTCAAAGCCAGGATCAGCACGGTGGAGAAGCACACGGGCACGAATTGTATGGCAACATGGAGGATATACAGCATCCACACAACGAACAAGAAGACCTTGTTTTTGGTGCCCGTGGATTTTCCGAAACATATGAGGAAGACGATCCAGCCCCTCATGCTCAGCTTCCCACGCGCATCAATGCGGACGAAGACAGTCTTTTCATGCCAGACGAGCGAGTTCCTTCTCCAAGTCCAAGGGCCTTCTCCAGACCTTCTGTGACCCGTGGTCCCTTCAACAGGTCATCCGCTGCACCTGGTCTTCTCGGTAGGTCCTTCGTAGCTCCTGGTCCTAGCGCTCAGCAATCTTCGTCCCGGGTAGCCTCGCCATCGGCTCCCGCATCTCGATCTGCCGGTAGGTCATCCGCAGGTCTGTTCGATAGGATCCGCGCTATGCAGCAGAAGGTAGGTCAAGGTAGGGCTTCTGCTAGCAGACATCCTCAGCCTACCCAAGCTACTCCTCATAGGTCAACATACCTCGATGAACTTCTCTATCGTGCCCCTGGTCGTGAAAGTGCTGCCGGAATGGCCATTACCGTGGAGGACGAGCACGACAAGGCGGATCGAGAGGCGCGTGCCAGATATCAGAAGCGTAAGAAGCATTACGAAGAGATTCGAAAGAGGAACGGAAAACTCGGGTTTGCAGAAGACATCCAATGGATGAAGATTCGCGGCGCAGAGGAAACTCGACTACGCAAGAGGAAGCGCGACCAAGATATGGCAAGGCAAGCGAATGGCGAGTTGGATCTGCTTCCCGAAAGGTCTGGTGACCATGGCCAGCACGATGATATGATCGAGGACGACGACCCTGCAGGCTCGTCTCGAATTTCACCATCGTCTTCTAAGCGTGTCTTCCCCTCGATGATGGAAGCTGAGCTTCAAAGCATGCAGGTTGCTCTTCAAGCCAACGGGGATAGGCCGAGCAAGAAGAAGAAGGGTGCCCGTATGCCCCAGGAAGAAACAGAAACAGCACAAGGTCGCGGCAGAGGAAAGGGTTCAAATTCCAAAGCATACAATGCGGCCTCACGAACAGCGAAGAAAGGTAGACGCCAAACCGCAGCCGACAGAAAGGCAGTGCAAGGTGCTACTCGCCTACACAACTCGCTCATGTACTCTGACGTCTTCAGGCAGCAAGCCAACGAGAATGCCCCCGAACAGCCAACCTTCTCATCGACGAAGAAAGCAGACGCGCTCAAGGAGTTGATTGCCAGTGTGCCGACCGAGCACCAGAAGTCTGCTAAGGACGATACGCAAGCTTTGCTTCGAGCGACCAAAGATTTCGACGGTCACGGCTCGTGCAAAGCAGATGGTAACGGGATGTGGAAGGTGAAAGGCATGGCGACTAGCTTGAAGCATTTTCAGGTCATGGGTACGGCTTTCATGAGGCGACGCGAGAACGATCTTCATGAACCACGTGGAGGTCTGATGGCCGATCAGATGGGCCTCGGAAAAACACTCATGAGTAAGTACTCGTGCCCTATCGCATCACAACTTGGTTGACAAATATCGCTAGTGCTGGCCAACATTGTCAATGGCCGAGGAAATAGCGACGAGGACTGCAAGACCACATTGCTCGTTGCTGGCCCGGCTCTGCTCACCCAATGGGCCAGCGAAATCGATCTGCACACAGATGGCAGCCTTTCCGTGATGAGACACACCTCAGGCAACCGCATCAGTTCGAGCCATCCTTACGAGGTTTTCGCAAGACACGACATCATTCTGACAACATATCACGAGGTTCTGAGGAGCTATCCCAAGAACGAGCCTCCTATCGAATGCCAGAGTGCGGAGCAGAAGATTGCTTGGTGGAAGCAAGTTTATGAGAAAAATCGAGGATCCCTTCACCGCATGATGTTCCACAGGGTCGTTCTAGACGAGGCCCAGGCCATCAAGAATCACCAGAGCAGGACCTCGCTCGCATGCCGCGCATTGATGGCACGCCACAAATGGGCACTAAGTGGAACACCTATCCTCAACAGTCTCGACGAACTCTACTCTTATTTCAAGTTTCTGGGAGTTCCGTATACTGGCTCTTTCAAACTTTTTAAACGCAACTACGCAGACCCCAAGGAGCCCGAGAGCATCGAGCGCCTCCTGATCCGACTGTCGCAGTTTATGATTCGCCGGGACCACTCGAATATCATGATGAACGCTCCTATCTTGAAGCTCCCCCGGGCTTCTCAGATGACGCATTGGTGCGAATTCAACTCAGTTGAACGCGGCATCTACGAAATTGTTCGCCAGCGTTTCGCAAAGCGAATCAACTTGGCATCGCGGGAAAACGAGTTGGAGAAGTCATACAACAACGCCTTGGTGTAAGTATACCATTGTTTGAATTTGATCGATTTGCAGACGTCCACTAACAGTCAAAAGCATGTTGTTACGCCTGCGACAACTTACTGCCCATATCCTGATGCTTCAATCAGTCGTACAAGATTTGTTGGAGCAGGAAGACATTGAGAAGATCCGTGAAATTGTTCAAATGGAAGCAACCAGTCAGGGAACCCGGAAGGCCCGGACTATTCTCGCCATCCGCAAACAATTGGACCACCTCGAGGCGGAAGCAAAGAAGCAGTCTGCAAACAAGGCAACGAATCGGTCGAAGAAGTCACATCGGCTGACGGGACGTAATGATGACGATGACTCGGGTGAACGTGATATCGAAGAACTGCTGGATGACAGTCAGGAGATTGTAGACGACAACCAAGCAGCCGCTGGACGTCCAGCCTCGAGTGGCAGAAGCTTCGGCAAGAACTTCGATTTCCGACCCTATTTGAATAGTTTGACGACTGGCGAGAATTGGGATAAGGTCAAGAAGAAGGCCGTGTGTGCCGATTGCGCTGGTCGGCTACGTGGTGCGTGGCTGACGAGTTGCGGACACATGCTGTGTACCGACTGCTATGATGCCGCGCAACTTGAAGCAGCAGAAGAGGATCATGAGAAGGCCAAATGCAAAGGCTGCGGTAGCATTTTCACGCATGCCAACGAAATACAGGAGAATGGGGATGAATTTGTGAGCGCCGGGCCAGCGACACGAGCAAAGAGACAGCAACACTCGAAGGAGGTGCTGCGCATCGAACAGCAGGACATTGCGGAGGATTGGCTGACGTGGGGTGGCGAAGGGGTTCTGCCGTCAGCGAAGACAATTGCATTGAAGGCCCAGCTGCTGAACTGGTACGTCGTGAACCTTTGTTGCAGTCATTATCACTGACGTGGATTCCTAGGTTCAACGAGAACCCGAACGTCAAGGTCATCATCTACACGCAGTTCCTGGCCATGTAAGTAGGGCATTGCTCAGGTTGTGACGTGCCACTAACAGCAGCAGGATTCGAATCATCAGGAAGATGTGCACAGAAGAGCATTGGGGTACAGAAGAGGTGAGTTATCTAGTGCAAGCAGAGCTGGCCTTGGAGCCTCTGTGTTACTCCAGGACTGCTTTTGCCGACCTCCAGGGATGTACTGACGACTGCTAGTACCATGGGAAGATGAGTCACGAGGCGCGCGATAAAGCGATCCAACACTTTGCCAACGACGCGGGCGTACAGGTCCTGTTGGCCTCTCTTCGTTGCGGCGGCTGTAAGTGCATGGCCCATCGCTGGAAGCTCGAGATGCTGACGACATGGCAGTGGGCCTGAACCTCACCATGGCGTCGCGGGTGGTGATTCTGGATCCTTGGTGGAACTCTGCATCGGAGCAGCAAGCCTTCTGTCGTGTGTTCCGATTCGGCCAGACGGAGACGACGTGCCTCACACGTTTCTGCGTCAAGAACACGGTCGACGAGCGACTGATCCAGATGCAAGAGCGAAAGGAGAAGGAGATCGACTCGGTCATGAAAGATGATGCGGGCGCGAAGGCACGCAAGATGGGCATCCGCGACCTCATGCGCTTGTTTGGCAGTGTCGGCGACGACGAAGAGGGCCGGCCGTTTATCCTGGCGGACAACGGGGACGCGCGCGGTGGTTTCGTCGCTGATGACGATCACGAAGGGTATGCGGACGAGCTTTGATTGCGGCAGAATTGAGGCGTATATTGGGGGCGGGTGTGGCCCCAGGGTGGACTATTGCGAGTTGGAGGCGACATGATTTCTCACAATTTGGGCGAAAGGTAGGCAACAGGCCTCGAGTGCACTCTGGGTGGGAGTCGCGAGGGCAGGCTGATTACTCGGAGGCCTCTGATTGGGCGGCGTAGGCTTGCTTTTTGCTGCGAGGTAGGGCGACGATACGTGGGCTCGTCTCGGGTTGCGGCTCGCCCGGGAAGGGCTCAGGGCGTCTTGCGAGCGAAGATATCCAGTTAGACATGTCGACCCGCCTGGTCGTGGTTCGCGTTCTGTGAGGTGCACCAGCTAGCTCGGAGCTAGAGAGCGATCCGCGGCGCCGCACGCACGCGTCAACGGGCGACTGCAACGCCCGCGGCTGCGCAGCTCGCCGCAAAAGCACCAGCGCAGCGCTCGCAGAACAGAGACAGCCCGCGCGGTCCAAGTCTGAGGGTGCCGTCTCACTAGCGATAAGGCTCAGCCAGGCCAACCACAGCGCGCTGGACCCCGCCGTCTCCGCATCCGACGTGCACTGCAGCACAGCATCGCATCCCCAATGCGGCGGCCGCGCTGATATCGCACCTCGCCCGACTCGCACGCGCCTGCCCTAAAGTATGCGGATGGCCGCCTGCCCGCTCGACACCGACCGACTTCTTCGCGCGGAAGCCTGAGCACGCACGACCCCGCGGTGCCCCGCCATGGACGAGACAGCGCCCGCCGACAAGGGCCGCCGACGCAGCAAGAAGGACGGGGCCAATGACGACTCCAACAAGAAGCGCAGGTGCATCTCGAGCGCCTGCGTGCCCTGCCGCAAGCGGAAGAGCAAGGTGAGCTTGTCCTTGGCCGGCCCAGGTGTCGTGGCGTGCATCTCCGCGCCCGCCCACGCTTCTCCGAAGGATGAGAGCACTCGCTGACAAGGCTTCGCGACACAGTGCGACGGCACGACGCCTGCCTGCTCGGCGTGCGCTGCCGTCTACAACACGCCCTGCGTCTACGACCCCAACTCGGACCACCGCCGCAAGGGCGTGTACAAGAAGGACATTGAGGGCCTCAAGACAAGAAACTCGACCCTGCAGTAAGTAGTGCTGGCGTCCACGGCGGAGGCTCTGGCTGCCACCAACGTCTCCAGAGTCCAGTCAGTGGTTCCAACCTAGAGCGCCCGCACCTCCCTCTACCCGACTACCGCTGCCTTTGACTGCCTTGCTGACTTTACAGGACCCTCATCCAGGCCATACTCAACTACCCCGAGGAGGATGTCGCCCCGCTCGTCCAGCAGATACGCACGTGCGAAAGCCTGGATGCCGTCGCCGAGGCCATCATCGCCAAGGAGAACGGCGAGGACGTCGACGATGAAGACGACGTCAGCCCGTTGGCTTCGCCCGTCGCGCAGACTACCTTCGAGAGCCAGCTGAGCGGCAAGATGGGCGAGCTGCGGCTCGAGGACGGTTCGACGAGATACATTGGCGGCACGTCGCATCTGATCTACATGGGCGCGGGCGACGCCGACACGCGTTCGCCGGCGTCGCTAGTCGGCGCGGAGCAGTACGACCAGATCGAGGATCCTCTCACGTCGTGGACAAACGTCACTACCGACCCGGAGCTCGTGCGCCACCTCATCAACATGTACTTCTGCTGGCATTACAGCTTCTTCACCACACTGTCGAAGCACCTCTTCATGAAGGAGTTTCAGCTGGGAAGGCCCCCGCCCGGGTCGAGACGGAAGACGGAATACTGCACGCCGCTGCTTGTCAATGCCATGTTGGCGCTGGGTTGCCACTTCACATCGTGGCCCGCGGCGAGGGCTGTGCGGGACGACTCGGCCACCGCGGGAGATCATTTCTTCCGGGAGGCGAAGAGGCTGATACTGGAGGATGACCTGCATGAGGTGCCTGCTCTGACGACCGTGCAAGCACTGGCGCTCATGTCGGTACGGGAGGCCGGCTGCGGAAGAGAAGCGAAGGGCTGGGTGTATAGTGGCATGAGCTTCCGGATGGCATGCGACCTGGGGCTGAACATCGACATGTCAGGTAAAAGTAAGATTGAGGAGACAGAAGAAGATGCGAGGCGAATAACGTTCTGGGGCTGTTTCTTGTTTGATAAGTAAGTGGAGACGATGTTGAGAGGGAACCCCGACTGACTTCCGGCAGATGTTGGTCCAATTATCTCGGAAGGCTACCACAGCTGCCTAGGGCGATTGTCACTGTACCAAAGCCAGAAGTCTTCCCGACCGAGGATGCGGAGATCTGGTCCGCGTATACCGACTCTGGTGTGAGCCAGGCGCATTCGCAGCCTTCGCGAACACGAGCGGTACGTATTGACGGCACCCTAGACGCTTGCGGTTTTCTAACGACTTGCAGGTGGCTATACAAATCTCGAAACTTTGCGAAATATCCAGCGATTTAATGAACTACTTTTACAATCCCATAGACATGGACAAGGCGAAAGGCAAGCAGACGGAGCTCAAGAAATTGAGCGAGATACACCAGCGACTAGAGACTTGGAGAAGAGAACTACCCAAAGAGCTTGAGCCGAAAGAAGGAGGGCTGCCTTCAATGCTTGTTATGCAGTAAGTGGTCCCGAACTATTGCTATCATCTCCCGAATCCTCGGCTAACACCTCGAAGCATGTTCTTCCAACTCCTCTACATCCACCTGTTCCGCCCCTTCCTTAAATACAACCCCAACAACTCTCCACTTCCAGCCCACGTTTCACCCCGAAAACTCTGCACGCAAGCAGCCGCCATGATCTCCAAGCTTCTTCGCCTGTACAAACGATCACACGGCCTTCGCCAGATCTGTAACATTGTCGTCTACATCGCTCACTCCGCCTGCACGATCCACCTTCTGAACCTCCCCGAGAAGAACGCAAAGCGCGACATCATCCACGGGGTAAAACACCTCGAAGAGATTGCCGAAGGCTGGCTTTGCGCGCGGCGGACGCTAGGTATCCTCACCGTCCTTGCAAAACGCTGGAAAGTCGAACTCCCGGAAGAAGCTGCCACTGTGCTTGCCCGCACCGACGCAAAGTACGGGCCTTGGACAGACGTCACGACGGCCAAGCCCGCGAAACGCGACACCGAGGCTATCGAAGAAGAGCAAAAACCCACCAACGCAGACAGCTCGCCAGCGCTGCAGCCCTACGGCCTGTCGTTAGCCAACACTGCATCCCAATTTTTCAACCGCACAAGCAACGACCTCAGCATGTCCACCATGCAGAACAGCACCTCGGAAGCGCCGCCCACAGACGCCGTCCCAGTTCCCATGTACTCGCGCGCACAGCGCACCTCCCTCACACATCCGTCCCCCTCCGTCGCCACCCCCGTCTCCACAAACGCCACGCCTTCCACCCAGGGCGCCTCGCCGTCTCAACTCTTCGGCGGTGTCGAACAGCTCATCCGCGAAGGCCAGGACTGGTGGCTGCGCGACCAGAATCAGCTCGCTTTTGGCTTCGACAACTGGAACCATGGGGTCGAGGACATGGCTGGATGGTTTACCGCACAAGGCGGTGTCGTGGGTAGTCCCACATTGGTGAACCCTGCCGTAAATTCTGGGGCAGGGGCCGCAGTGACCTCACCGGAGGGTATGAATGGCGGGCCGGTGATGACGAATGGGAATGGTGTTGCGAACGGCGCAGCGAATGGTGCAGGGATGAACGGGGGATTGCCTGGGGTACCAGGGTTTGGCGAGGGGTTGAATGCGTACAATGAGCAGGAGTGGTATCAGTGAGCCTTTTCTGCAGGGTGTATAGGGTGTATGGGTGTTTTACGGCGTCGAATATAGGGCTGCTTGGGCGGAGGTATATACCACGGCTGCTTTCTCTTGGGAGAGGTAGCTCTTATTGGGATTGTATAGTTCAATGATATTATCTACGATTTTCTTGGTCTGGGCACGTGACCTGATTCTAAGCAAGTGCTCAGGGCAGGACGCAAGCACACTCGGCGTGCATCGAGAAAAGACTGACACGCGGAAAACTAACACTCATAATCCACTGTACATCATCATACCTCAACCACCGCCCAAAAATGGACCCTTCGAGTTTTACTCGTCCGGCGCCTCAGCCAGAGCAACTCCCAGAAGCAACAGCTCCAACCAGCGCCTCAAGCCCCACCATCCCTTCCCCCCTCCTTCCCCACTCCAACCACCTCGCCCCCCTCCTCTTCACTCGCCAGTCTAAACACCTTCTTCAACACCTCCTCCGCTCTCTCCTCCCTCACCTTCCTATCCCCCGGCAACTGCGCCCCAATCTCCTCCTTCAACCACCCCCAGACGATGCCGCGATACTGCAAATCCGCCTTCCGCTCTTCCACCGTGACCCCCTCCTCGCCATCCTTCATGTTCTCGTCCTCCTTCGCAAACAGCGCCGCATAACACAGCACCAGCCTCACGCAGTCCTGCGCCCGGTAACTCACCGCCAGCCCCGCTCCCCCGCGCACAGTACCTTTCGCAACTACATCCAGCAGCGCGGCCTCGCTCGCGGTCCGCGGTCCGCGGTCCTTGCCCTCCCACATCAGCGCCTTCACCTCGGGCAGGAAGTACTCCCGCACGAGGAAGAGCTTGTTCTGCATTAGCTGCATGAGGTGCGGCACGAGGATCGGGTGGGGGTCGGGGATCTTCCTGGCCGAGCGGCGGACGTATAGGCTTGGGAGGGCGGTGGGTGCTTTGATTTTCTTGAAGCCGTAGTTGGTTGCGTCGAGGTCCCGGCGGACGGAAAAGGGGAGGTGCGCGTAGGGGTGGTCTTGGATGGGGGTGTTCGCGTTGCCGGGAGCTGGGTAGTGTGAGTATTCTGGCGATTGGGAAGTGGCCAAGGTGGGATGGTATGGGATGGGATGGACTTACTGGCTTTCTTGCGTGGTGCTGTGGACGAGCGGGCTTTGCGGACTCGCGGCGTCTTTGCGGTCTTGTTCTTGGAGGCTTTGCGCTTTGCTGCTGCCATCTTGCGAGTGCTGGAAGGTGTGGTCTGTTGATTTGCGTCCCGGATTTCGTCCGGTGCTTTCGATTCGTGATGGCTCGATTTCTCTTGTCAATCCCGAGTTCCTCGTGCGTCTAGATCTGCGCGGTATGCAGTTGATCTTGCAGTTTTGGGTGCTTGAATGTAGTGGAGCACGCGTAACCCTGATATAGCGGGCATGTCTCGGTGAAACGGTCATGATGGCGTTTGTCTTGTTCACCAGGCGAGGCTCATTTGGTGTTGTGGTCGTAGCGGTCGTCAGGTCAACGGGTTGAGGTGAATAAAATAACGATTGGTGTCGCATAGACCTCGCTTCAGCCTCCAGAGAATCGTTAGCAGCAACCTTTTGGCGAAAAATAGCGCTCGAGCTACTGTGTGTTCCACTGTGGGACGTGTCGGCCAAAAGAATGCTTTAGAGGACTGATATTGATAGGGCTAGGGCGAGCTTCACATTCATCCTCCGGAAGTCAACCCTTTCTTCTGCATCCCGGGGAAACATATCTCAACCGTACAGCAGGCAGTTTGAGGCAGGCGATGGATTCCCTCAGTCGAGAGAAGAAGACAGATATCAAGAAGCTACACTCAAGCTAAAAGTTTTGTTCCACCTAACGTAGACACCTGAGAGGTTCTGTATGACGTGAATGGAAAGGCTGCCTTGACAGCGCTAGGTTGTTTTGGTAATATTCGTTTGCTTCGAAATACTATCAGTCTCTCACCTTGCCGCTTCAAATCGTCATTATCTCGGTAACCCCACGCGGCGCTTGCATCGTCTAACTGGCAATTACCTCTTTCCACTACAGTATCTTCACACTCAAAGAAGCTTACAGCCTCTTCCAAGGTATGCACCATCCGCACTCAGGCGTACTCTAGTTCACCCGTTTTAGCACATACATAACGTCGGACACGCTGCCGGCGCTAGGCGCCATGCATCGCGTCCGGGATGCAATGGAGAAGCTCCCAATAGCTAGGATCCTTGTCCACGACCGAGACAACCAAGACGACCGAGATGTACAAGACAACGTTGAGAGCGACTTTTGGCGGCGAAGGAAGTTGGGTGAAGAAGAAGACTAAGACTCATGGCTTGCCAGAACAGGTACAGGTCACTGAAGCAATGCTGCACGCTCCAGTGCCCTCTGGAGCATCGGACAAGCCAGAGATCCGCCGCGTGTACAAGCATCCCTTTAAGACCCTCAAGGCAATCTTCGGTACCGACGCGTACAGCGAAGGCGAGGTCTCGAAGACCATCAAGTGGAATGCATTCGTGCGGGCCATGATTCGGACGGGATTTGCAGCTGAGAAACTTCAAGGTTCGACCTGGCGGTTCATTCCCCACGGCAATACTGTCATCGAGCGGAGCATCCAGTTCCACGAGCCTCATCCTGGTAGCGACATCCCATACAGCATGGCCCGCCGTTTTGGCAGGAAGCTTGAACGCGTTTACGGGTGAACGCGGGACACGAGATAGATGTGAACAAGGAAGAGGCCAACAGAGAGCCTTGAACAAAGCCTCTGGTTAAATGAACGTAGGTTCTCCGTAGGATCTCAGCCACTGAGCACCAAGTTCAAAAGAAAAATTGTGCTACACCTCTTACTTTCCGGTGAAACACTCCTATCACAAAGCTGGCTTGCCGCATTTTTAACCCTGATGACCTCACGTGATCCCACGCATGCTCACGCAACCGTACCGTATTCAGTAACTCCATCCTCCTTACTGACCTTGACCACTTGTACGACGTACTCTCCGTGAATCTTCTCGTCCCAAACCGGCTCACCCTTCGAATCGACCGGAATGACTTTTTGTGCCTCCGGGTCCGACTTAAGCATCGCACGCTTCAGCTCCAACGACTTAGCTTTGAACATGGCCTTCCGCTGCAGTAATTGTGCCTTGCTCAAGACTGGCAGCCACGGTCTGGGATCCACGCCATATCTGAGCCAAGTTAGCACCTGTCCAACCAAACGACCATGACATGCTCACTCTGCTTCCAGCTGTCTCCCGATATCCTCCTCCGTCAGGCAAACCTTGCGTCCTGCTGCCCACCAGTAGTTCCATATGGTGTACATTTCGCTGCTGCCGGCGATCAGGATTTTCGTCTTTTCATCCCACGGCCCAGGCGCTCCCAGTTTGAGGAGACGATCATGACAGATCTACGACATACCATTCAGCTAAACCTCCATTCAAGGGTTGTAAATCCTTACCCCGATTAGGAGCTGCTGATCCATGTTCGGACTCACGCCATAGTCGTACTCTCCCCTGCCGTAGATCCTGAAGCACCGTCTACTGGTTTCCATGTAGCGCACGAGTGCCGCATGCGCATCCTTTGGTAACGGAATGGGTGGCAATGCATCTTTAGTGGCGTCGGGTCGTTGTTGAGCTCCACCCGCCGTATCCTCTTGCGCACCCGCAATACTTTGAGCTATGTCGCTTGCGTCGATGAGCTTCTTAAATCGCTTGTTCCCGAGATCCCAGTTATTCTCAGTTTTGAGAGTGGCGAGAGCCTTCGCACGTCCTATGTTTGGGTTTGAACTGTATAGTATACGCGCCGCGTCGAGGACCTGGCCGTCGGTGGGTTGCTCCATGGCGTAGGGTTTGACGCAAGGTCTGCTCTCGGCGTTCTATATGCAGTTTTTCGTGTTGGCCGTGTTATGTACTCAGACCTGGAAACCGTGTTTGTTCCTTGAACACCTACGGTCGAATGGTTTCTACTACTTAGTAACTGGCCAGCAGATGGTGGGCTCTGGCCGACCTATTGGGATGTGAATAAATACGAATCACGACATAGCATCAGCAGTGGAGAATAATGTCCAGATCACATCAGTAAAGGTCTGATCCAAATTACTACAAGACACTCGCGTCTCCCTTAGTTCTTGCCACAGGTACGCGTCGTGGTGCAAGGGGTTTCGCGTGACGTCAGTCAGGAACTCGACACTTCAAAGTTCAACACCAGATCTAGACCTGAGAGCCATATATCAAATTGAAAACATGCGAGTATGATATTGTAACATCTGAAACACGACGTGGTGCACATAATATTGGTATAAACCGCGGCGACTCAGGTTCAGGGTCCAATCTCATCGTGACGCGCACGGCTCTTCTTTTTCCCATGCTGTATTGCTCTGATTACACGAATACATTTTCCTACGATACCTTGATGAATATACGTTAACAATGATGAGATCGTACTCTTGACCATTGTTATTCCACGCACACTATTCTGACGTCATGACTCTAGCCATGAAGTCGCCATCAAAAACCCCATCTTTGTAAAGACTCGTAGGAAATTCACTACAAGAACTTAAAAAACATTCCAAAGAGAAGGAAACAAATAACAGTCCAAAATGCCTAGCCCCCGTGCCCAGCAAATAATCAACGACTACGAAATCCGCCCCGACCCCATCGCCCTCACCCAAAACCCGGATCCCTCCAAAAACTCCTCTTCTGGCGTCGATTACGAGCCCCACCCTGAGGACTCTATCCCCTTGGAACCCGAACGCGAGCGCATTGTCCAGGCGATATGCAACCTGTACTCGGGCAGCGCCAGCGAGACCGACATGCAAGTCTACGCCGAGGAGGCCATCTACGACGATCCGCTGAGTTTCTGCGACACGCGGTACAAGATTGCGGGGCAGTGGTATGGTGCGTGTCTCTCCTTCCTAGCCATCCCGCACAGTGTCCTGACCATGAGATCTAGGCATCCCTAAGATAATGTCCAAATCGCAGACAATAAAGACGCAAGTCGTGTCGAGCAAAGAGAATGAGATCATCTTCAAGCTGCAGCAGGAGTATATGCCCAAGCTGGCGCCGACAGGGAAGAAGGTCAACTCGCTGGTTACGCTTTCGCTTGATGCGCAGGGGAAGGTCAAGTACCACAAGGATATGTGGAATGAGAAGGATTACAGCCACCAGGGGCTGGGGAAATTGATCAAAACGCTGAATGGCGATTACTTGACCAAGATCACGCAGCCGCCGGAGAGCTTGGGACCGAAGGAGTGAGCCATGGCTGTAACATTGATGTGCAAACCTTTAGCATGAGAATATCTCGAGTGTAGATAAGAGCTATATCTATTAGTTAGCCCCTGGGTAGAAGCTTTCTGCTGTCACCAAAAATGCAAAATCATCCGAAGAATATTCAACATGTACTGAGAACGACAAATGTCTATAATATAAGCATATACAGAGTGAACCACCTCTCAAGGAACGAACAGCCTCGAGTAAGCCGTGACATTGGTGCGGCAGCACACGCAGGCGGTGTAGTTCTTCGATGCAAGTCCGACCCTGCAGTCATCACACAGAGACAAACAGCCGCAAGGCCAGACTAGAACTGTGCGAGGACTGACCTGACACACCACACACTGGGGACCATCGCTGCCCATACCTTCTGCGCCGCTGTCCCATGAGCCAGAATTACTCTTGGCGGCCGCATCCCGTTTCTCGAGCATGAACTCTTCCAAGACCTGCTCCTCCTCGTCTGGCGACATCGGAGCAGCGCCGGCCTTGCGGTGACGAGCTGACGCTAATAGCCTGACGTCGTTGCTCTGGAGGACCTTGCGGTACTGTGAGCGCGTCATCACGCCTGGGCTCTGCAGGTGTCGTCCCAGCATCCTGGCCTCTTCCCTTTCCTCTTTCGATTGCGGGTCCAGCAGGCGTGACAGCCGGGAAAGATCAAGCGTATCGGCATGCATTGGTGTAGACTCGCGACTATCTCGATAAGACGTCTGTGTCGGCGTTCGCTGTCCCTCATCTTCCGTATCCGACCACTCATTGGCATCTGATGTGGTCGAAAATGAGATGACACTTGTAGTGTCATCCTCATCAGCAGGCGATGGAACATAATCGCCGCTCGCGTCGATGTCGCCCCACTTACCGCCGCGTTTCCACCAGTCGTAAAGGTGGTTGGATATGCGCTCTTCAGAGTCTCGCTCATGCAACATGCCGTTTCTCTGCCATTTCTCTCGCGTGAACGTTTCCACGTCGAACGGGACGTCTCGCCGTGTTCGAATTCTGCCCCCGCCGATGTCGTTGTCATCGAGCCATGACTCTCGCTCCGACCGTGCAACGCCATGTCGACGCTGAGCTTCTTCATGTATCCGCATTTGAGAGAGATGAGTAAGCAACCGAGGTCGCCAGGTGATGTGAAGCTTCTGCATGATGGCCATCACTAGCCTGGCTTGCACATATAGCAAAAGCGCCACAATGCCTTGGAGGAAGCGAAGAGTCGGCCACCATCGATTTTGCCGGTGTTGGACTCCACCGGCTTGGATACCCTGTCCCGATCCTACATCAGTATCGGGTAAGGACGCATCCATGCCTTTGGTCTTTCTCTCCTGCGCATATCCGGAGGTCAGTTGAGCGTTCGCTCCAGCTCCATTATGTATCCTTTCTCCCGGGAGTCTGCGGCGAGTCGTCGCTTCGTAATACCTCTTTCGCTCTAACCAAGTCGATGAGTGCACGTTGACACGCATAGCTTCGTTCAAGAAGACTGCCTCGCTCGCGGCGGTTAGGACAGTGAGCCCGACCTTCAGTACAGCAGTATAGAAGTCCTCGCTCCAGCTGACACTCAGCGGGGTTATCGCAGAGAGGTGTATATTAGCATGGAGATTTCCATAGGCTGTCGAAAGTCGCTCGCGCCAAGTCGCATTGGGCTGTCCAGGCGGAGGGTTCAGGACAGTAATTCCCAGTGCGAGCAGATAAATGACTGAAAAATGTCAGTGGATTCTGGATGGGTCATGTGTTCAGGTACCTACCGCCACAGCATAAAATGCCGGCAATAATAACAAGATGTGGAATGAAGCCAACCATGCAAACCGTAGGGAATCTCAAGATGCCGACATGGCCGCCGGAATCAAATCCATTCGTTACAAATCGGATCAGACTCCAAGTGAAGGTGGCCATATAAGCAGCGCCCCATATGCCTGTGGTCACGAGTCGAAATCGAGCGCGGTACCCAATGATAGCAAGGAAATTGCTTGTAAAATGGCTGACGCTAGAGATCAATGATATCAATAGCACTTCTGGGGGGACGTTTGCAAATGCGGATATGGTCGACCGAGCCAGTGTGAGTTTGGTGGAATCAGGGGTAAAGACTGTTTGCGGCTTGAAAAAACGACTAGAATCCAGGGCGAACGGTCGAGATACCACTGCTTCTGCCTCTGCGAAGGCCAATGAATGTTCGAAGATAGTCATGCCCACCTCTGGGACCGGGTGACGTCCCTGGAGAGCACATGCTAATGTCTCGACGAATTGACCGAACCCGAGCGAGATGAACAAGGGCCACAATAGTGCCAGAGAGCCAGCCGGTCGTGTCGCATCTGGCGCGAGCGGGAGCATGTTGACTGCCCTGCAAGACTGCTCCACATCTTCCCAGAAGAGTGCAGCTGAACTTGCTCGCCAGAGATAGCCACCGTCGCCGGCGAAATCGGTGTCTAACTGTCGCCCTGCAGGCCCGTATTGTAGGTCTGTCCAACCCGGATTTGTCTGGCAGCGGATAGCTCGAAGCACATTCTGTATGCGGTATGCGAACAGGAGCAGCGGGATAAGGTAGAGTGCAAAGCGCAGGTGGAGTCGGTCGAACGAGAGGGGAACTCGGCTCGAAGCGTAGAAGTATGTACGGTTGAGAATAATGGCCTAGCAAAAGGTCAGATACGGTTTCCTAGCCATGCCCAGACGGCCGCGCAGGTTCGTTACAATGGAGAAGGTTGCTATAGCCCACTTGGACGTGATGTAGCTGAAGAACGAGCCCACGTTCTTCAGCGCCTGGAAGAAGTTCATGTCTTCCTGGAATGCCAAGCCTGCGTTTGTAGCGGCCGCGATAGACTCCTGAACAAATGTGCCCGATGTCGTCGCGGCGGTCGCGTTGGTGAGATTGGCGGTCGGTTCGGCGATGATGCTGCCGCCTGTCCGAATCTTGCCAAAGACGCTGTCTATGTGCTCGCCGAGCGCACCTGCTCTGGACAGTAGGCGCGGTACGGCCATGAGCAGGTCCGCCGGCGAGGGCAGGAACGAGCTCACGTTTGCGAAAGCCGCTTGTTGTTCCATTGTTCCCGGCCTGCCGCGTCGGAAGCGCTTTGTTAGACAAAACGAGCTTTGGTCGCACAAGGCTACTCTTCGTGTCTAGCGAACGTGGAGCATGACTGCCGGCGGGAAAGCGCAAGCAGTACGGTAAGCGGTTGTGCCCAGAGGGATCTCTGAATCACGCTGCTTGGGGGTTGTCGCGTTATCGTCATCCAGGCGGAGCGGACGAGCGAGCGGAGCCGAGGCACTAATTTGGAATGGCGCTACAAGCACTGGATACTATCGACCAAGTACATGTATACCATCTCCATGCTTGAGCAGCATACCTTGAAACATGACTTACGCGTCTATGTAACCATGTTCATTACTTGCTGCATTCCATTTTGACGAGTCTGCGAGCTGTATGGTCTGACTCTGACTGGGGTGGACTGGCCGGAACACCGGCACCAGCACTCATCTTCTACATTCTGAGCAGACTTGGTACGATGATAACAAACTACCGAGAAGGGCCTCCAGATGACAGTCTCCTTTTACGTAGACACGTTGTAACGCGTCCACGTTTGGGGCCTTGTTCTGCTCTTATCTGACGCACAAGATATGTTTAGTCTCTGTTTAGGTGAAGCTTGCTGTGCGATATACCCAAAGCGTCCTCTGCGTTTTCCGATCACAGGAGATCATTCCTGTATGGTGAACAGTGAGGAACTCGGTAATGGCAATAGCAATTGCTTGGCCCAATTCGTGATTCGTTGTCACTCCAGCATCGTGACTTCCCAAGCTCGCCATTGCTTGCTCGTGTTCCTGCAGGAGGACCCTGGACCAAACAGCCACAATATCGATGTCACCCAAAGGGCGTGCCAAACACACAGTTGGTTACAAATCACTGCACTTCGAAGCTTAAGATAACGAGAAAACTACGCTCGTACGGTGCAGACATCAACAAGAATGACCGAGCGCAAGCGACCCTCAAGTATCGCGGGCGGTTGCCTCTGCGGCGCTATCCGCTTCGCAATCCGCTTTCCAAATGACTCTGACTGGCCTCCAAAAGGCGTACGTGATAACCTATCTATTTTGTGGATGAATTGCTGATGAATTCTAGAACGGCATCTGCCAATGCACCATGTGTCGCAAGCATTCCGGCTCGCTCCTGCCGCAGAACATATCCTTTCCCGTCGCGCACCTCACTCCCAACCTTGCCTCTTTTCCAACCTACAAAACCTATTCCAGCGGGCCGACTACTTCGCGCGGATTCTGCTCCACATGCGGGTCCCCACTGACCTTCAACGACGACAAAAACCGAGATCTTATCGAGATCAACATCGGCTCCTTCGACGAGGAGGTGCTGATCGGAGAGAAGGTGGAAGAAGATGCGTGGGAAGACGAGTACGGCAGGCACGTGCCGAGGAAGGGCGGCTGGGGGTACGAATTAGGGTTCCCTAAATATCACATCTTTGCAGAGAATGAGGTGAAAGGTGTGACCGATGGGTTCGAGGGGACTAAGTGGCTGACTGATCGGGAGGGTGGAACGTCCTTCAGAGGGAAAGTGAGTGGCATGAAGAGGGGCGTCTGAAGCGCGTAGAGTGGTTTCAGGAGGGTTGTACGGGAGGTGAGTCAAAGTGGAAGCCAGGAAGAATGCGACAGCTCTAGGGAAATCAGTTCATATCGGCTTGTCAGACGAGACCCACAAGGTTCGGGCGCATGGGACGGGAACCGCCATCTGCCATGCTTCAAAAGCGTTAACTAGTAGTTTTCTTCTGCAAAGTGACATGACTCTATCGTTCGAAAATGTTCCGCGCGCTTCAGCGAGAGTGCAGGTGGGCACAGCAGACGTAATAAAACCACCAATCATCCAGAGTTGGAGCTCCAAGGGCCTGTACGAGTTATACTACAATAGAACATATAATGTATCACTATTGTCGAATGTTCACCATATAGCTTTCGTCTTGCGATGACGTGTGAGTCAGTTATGGGTCCTCGGAAGGGTCGCGTGTCCGCCGACGCAGGTTAGGACACGATCACCAGGCGGTGAAAAATACTGCCAGATGCGCATCAGCCTGCACCATTTGATTTGCCAATTGGGCTGCACATATCAGCCATCGGCCGCGAGTTGCGGAGACGAACCCATGAAGGTGCATGGCGTGCACACAAAAAAGTGTCCCGTTTTCCCCGCCTCCCACACTGCAGAGGCCATGTTGCGGTCCAAGCGAGCATTAGGCCGATCGCGGCCCGTAGCTTTCATCATCGTAGCCAACGAGAGAAAATTGTTTCTTGACTCACTTGCATACTGCGCGTGTCCTTCAAATACCCGTGCTTCTCCCCCGACCTTTTCCTCCGCTCCATTCCTACATTCACAACAACCATGTGTCCCTCAATCGAAGAGACGCCTACCAACGGCGCCGCCAACGGCCACACCAACGGCAATGCCGCCGAAGAGTTCACTCCCATTGAGGCGCGCCCCAACCCGGTGCCTCACCACAAGTCGTCGCCGTATCAGCCCGTAGGCGACTTCCTCTCAAACATCAGCCGCTTCAAGATCATTGAGTCGACTCTTCGCGAGGGCGAACAATTTGCAAAGTGCGTACCGCTTTGTTCCGGCATGTGCTCATCAACTAAATCATGACAGCGCGTATTTCGACCTCGAAGCCAAGATCAAGATCGCCAAGGCCCTCGACGAATTTGGCGTTGACTGTGAGTGCACTTTGAGCGGCGGGCTTCCTTGATGTACGCACGCTGATGCTTATCGCCAGACATCGAATTGACGAGCCCTGCGGCTTCGGAGCAATCGCGCCTCGACTGCGAAGCCATCTGCAAGCTCGGCCTCAAGGCCAAGATTCTCACCCACGTACGATGCAACATGGAAGATGCCAAGATCGCCGTCCAGACGGGTGTCGACGGTCTTGATGTCGTTATCGGCACGTCTAGCTTCCTTCGCGAGCACTCCCACGGCAAGGATATGACGTACATTAAGAATGCGGCACTTGAGGTTATTCAGTACGTCAAGTCTCAGGGCAAGGAGATCCGATTCAGTTCCGAGGACTCTTTCCGATCAGACCTCGTCGATCTACTGTCTTTGTACAGCGCCGTGGACAAGGTCGGCGTCAACCGCGTCGGTATTGCGGACACAGTCGGCTGCGCAAGCCCCAGGCAGGTATACGACCTCGTCCGTACGCTGAGGGGTGTCGTCTCTTGCGACATCGAGACTCACTTCCACAACGACTCGGGCTGCGCCATCGCGAACGCCTACTGCGCTTTGGAAGCCGGCGCTACGCACATCGACACCTCGGTATTGGGTATTGGCGAGCGAAACGGCATCACCCCTCTCGGAGGCCTGATGGCCCGTATGATCGTTGCGGACCGCGACTACGTCATGGGCAAGTACAACATTAAGAAGCTCAAGGAAATTGAGGAGCTTGTAGCCGAGATGGTTGAGGTCAACATTCCCTTCAACAACTACATCACCGGTTTCTGCGCCTTCACGCACAAAGCTGGTATCCACGCCAAGGCCATCCTCAACAACCCCTCTACGTACGAGATCATCTCGCCTGCGGACTTCGGCATGTCAAGATACGTGCACTTTGCCAGCAGATTGACTGGTTGGAATGCCATTAAGTCTCGTGCTGATCAGCTCGGCTACAACATGACCGACGCGCAGTACAAGGAAGTTACCGCGCAGATCAAGATCATGGCCGACGTCAAGAAGATCACGCTCGATGACACGGACGCAATCATCTCTGCGTACCACCACAATATCGTCAACGGTGTCAAGAAGCCACTTCTTGAGGGTCTCTCAGCCGAGGACCAGGCTAAGATCGACGCCGCTGAGGAGAAGCTCGGGGGCGTCAAGGAGAAGCGCCAGCTCGATGCTGAAGCAGCGGCCGACGCGCCGCCGGCCAAGAAGAGGTAAACAAAACCGTCCGTTGAGCGGCGACATCTATCCTAGCAGTGAATACTTGGAGTTACGGGTTTTCCTATTTGTCTTGATCTCATTTTGCATATATCTTCCGGATCCGGAAAAGTTCGTCTGTCTTGATACCTGGCCTGCCAATGTTCATATGGCGATGGCACGTACCGTTATAGAGAAAATGTGCCATTAGTGTGTGGACGATAATGAACAAGTTCACCAACCTTTCCTGGAAATGCAGAGATACTGTTTTGAGAACAATAGTAACTTATGCACATTGTGAAGTACAAGTCTTTCGGCATTGACCACACAGGGAAGCGTCCGATTACGACTCCGAGTAGAACCCCGAGTTCGCCATTGGGTCGCGTGGACCTTGGCGGCTGCCAAAGCTTCAGGGTCTCAATGCTGCAGGGGTCGCGGTCTAGCGCGTGGTTTTCACCATTTTATTGCCCCTCTCCACCGCTTCCTCCGCACTTCGACGCCGCCCTCTTGGTTTCCTACGCCTCCAAATCCCACAAGATGAGCACAACCGAAACCCTCACCCAGCCCGCGGTGGTCACGCAACCGATTACTGTCGCGCATCCCGCCATCACCGCTGAGAACGTTCAACAACTGTTCCCCGAAGTCAACACCACAGTAATTGGCGGCTCGCACGCTTCAGCCACCAGCGACAATGCGCTCGACGGCTACAACGAGGAGCAGATCCGGTTGATGGACGAGGTTTGCATCGTGCTGGACGAAAATGACTTCCCGATCGGCAGTGCGACCAAGAAGTATGGTGAGTAGTTGCGGGGTGGCACGCGATATGATCCTGGCCGAGCCCCCCCTCTCCGGACGCTGCTAACAGACTCCAGCCCATCTCATGGAGAACATCAACAAGGGACTGCTCCATCGTGCTTTCTCCGTCTTCCTTTTCGACTCTCAAAACCGATTGCTCCTCCAGCAGCGCGCGACCGAGAAGATCACCTTCCCCGACATGTGGACGAACACTTGCTGCTCACACCCTTTGGGCATTCCGGGAGAGACTGGCTCAAATCTAGAGGAATCGATAGAAGGAGTGCGCCGCGCGGCGCAGCGCAAGCTGGATCAAGAGCTCGGCATCAAGGCGGCACAGGTGCCAATTGACGATTTCCGATTCCTTACCAGAATACACTATGTTTCGCCAAGCGATGGGAAATGGGGAGAGCACGAGAGTCAGTGTATACCTGAGAGCGGGCTGATGGTGAAAGCTAACAAGATGCAGTTGACTACATCCTGTTCATCAAAGCCGACGTCGACTTGGACATCAACCCCAACGAGGTGCGCGACTCACGTTACGTTTCCCAGGAAGATCTGAAGACCATGTTCAAGGACCCCTCGCTCAAGTTTACACCGTGGTTCAAACTCATTTGCGAGAGCATGCTGTACGAGTGGTGGGACCACCTCGACTCCGGCCTAGAGAAGTACTTAGGCGAGCAGGAGATTCGAAGAATGTTGTAGTTCCGTAAATATACATCATGTCCTCAGAGCAGCGAGAGCGATGTCTCTGACATGGCGGTGAAGAGAGAAGCGGAAGGGGCTGAGAGCTAGCAAGTGGGGAGTTGTTCTGATTGGATTGGAGACGTGCGGCGGCTCCCGGTGTGCAATGCGAAACGCAGGCATGGCCGAGGCAGATAACAGATACCACTGGCGAATTGAATGCATAAACAGGTCAAGTGACCATTCCCCACGCATGACTTGCCTTACATGCTTGCGCGTCGCAAGAATCCCTCCCTTTCGTCATGAGCGCCTGCGCCGCACCGAGTGCCACTACTGCGACTCACCTGTATACCAACTCGCTGTTTCAAGATAGGAAGTGTATGCATAAGTACGTATCTTGAGATAATGTCCAGTGCGGAACCGTCCCGAAGCTATTAGCAAATGAAGCCCCAGATACGAGTAGACGCAGCGATCAGAGCTGCACTAACTCGGTAAGGAAAGTACAGCCGGGCGTTGGTGACAGTTCCCGACACCCCACACTCGCTTCCGACCAACTACATGCCTCAGTTGCGCTCTGCGAGCTTCACTTTCTGTTGGTTCCGGACTTTGTTGTCCGTTACCCAGCTTGTGTTGCAGCATGGTCCCTCATGTTCTCAAGTCATGGTCAAAGATGGCCAAACGGAATGCTCATTCCCAACGCTCGTGGCTGGTAGACGACGCTGACTATGATGAACGCTAGGTGATGCCGGCAACATGAAGCAAACTAAGCATCACGGGCACGGGCTGCTCGGCACCTTAAAGATAGGCCAGCCTTAGTTTGCTCTGGGGTCATCGGTCACGTTGCATGGGTTCGGAGCGGAGTATATCAAGTGGCATTGCCCAGTACCTCTCCCAAGCTTCAGAAACATCCTCTGGTACGACTCTGTGCAGCTTTATCGTCACAGCCAAGTCTACTCCGCCAACCAGCTCTGCCATTCCTCCACCCCCACGACGCACGAGCACTCCGCTGCAGCTGATCTAACCCAACAATCCTTCGCCGTCCGCTATCCGGTGGCCGGGATCCAGCCTAGTCTTCTACAAAGGGCGTCCACTGGTCCAGTGTCAAGCCTCACCGTTTGGAATAAGCAAGCGCCGATAGTTTCCGCAGCCATACATCTACTTCCACAACTACTTCCCCGCTCACGGTCGCACAATACGACAAGCGCATACATCAAGCAAGTAGCTTGAACATATCATCTGAAACCACACTCTCCCACTCAAGGGCAGCTCAGCCAGCTTCACCCTATTGATGTCGGTTGACGTCCGCCAAGCTTGCACCTCTCTACGGTTTCCCGCCCGCATCGAAACCGTCTCAAGATCGCAGCTCTCCAAAGTTCATACAGGAGATAGTACTCGTCCCGCTGAAACGTAGACTACATTCGACAAAAGGTATACTATGGGCAGGCAATCGATGGCTTCGGGCCTTGCTTCATCATGCTGCCATACCGACCACGTCCCGACTAATTGCATCCCAGCAGCGTGCTTTGAATTGCAGGTCCTGATCTAGTATCACCTGGTTCGAGTGACCACCCATTCCCACCCCGAGCCCAGATTCGTCTGGCCACAACACCTTCACGCTGGCGTATACAACGAATCTACCCATCATCAAAAGAAGCGGCAGATCCCATTTGAATACTAGTAGAAAACACGCGAATCCGCAATCATGGCGACTACCGTCAGCTCGCTTCGCGTCGACTTCGAGCCCAAGGATTCATCGCTGAAGTCTGCTAACATCAACCTCACTGGTGCTCCGTTGAACCTCCTAAAGCTGTTCGGCTTGCGGCCGACTTCTGTGCCTGTCCCTCCGTTGCCGGAGGGCGTTCGTGTCGTCACGATAGCAGAGTACAAGCAAGCGGCCGCGTGCCTGGCCGAGGCGTTCGCAGAGGACGAAGTAGTTCGTTATCCTGTCGATACACCTGACCGTGCGCACTGGACGGAGCAGGAGAAGTGGGATCTGCACGTGGAGATTCTTGAGTATGTGACGTATGCTCACATCCTGAAGGGACTCGTCACTACGGTAGGAGACTTTGAAGCAGTCGCTCTGTGGTATGCCCCCTTCCCCCGCTCCACATCTTCGCTTATTCCCTTAGGATGCCGCCCGGCACAAACATGGACGACTACCTCACCATGTTCAAATCGGGCATGTGGCGCCTCAACTACCGCCTCTCCGCCGAAGGCAAGCGTCGCTTCTACAACGAATTCCTGCCCCTCCTCCACGATACTAAGCACGGAACGCTCGGAGCCCGGGACGCTGACAGTTGGTACCTCGTGTATATCGGGACCAGCCTACGCGGTCGCGGCAAAGGCAACGCGAGCAAGCTCATCCGACACGTAACGAGTCAGGCTGATAAGGACGGCGTGCCGGTGTATCTGGAGAGCAGCAACGAGAAGAACCCACCAATCTATAGGCGCTTCGGTTTTGAGACCGTGCGTACGGTGTATCTGCATCGCGCGGAGAAGAATGTGGAGCTGGATATCATGGTGAGGGAGCCGGTGAGGGTAGAGAAGAAGTGAAGAGGTAAGGCTTCTGAGGATGGGAAGAAGCGGACGCTGCGGATTCAACACCCACGTCAACTGTAGAGAAGATCAGATTGTCATCCAGTGAGGTTGGCATGTGTGAGGCTTCTCCAACAGAAGCCCAGGATGATTTCTCTTGCTTTTGCTTGCACTTGTTTCGCTCGTTACCTTCGATGTTGTTCAGCATTACTAGTTCACACTTGTAGATCGATTGGAATATTTTCGAGATCCGTTCTCTGATACATCATGTGGCTCGTTGACGGTTCGGTGGTGAACAGACCGTGTTAGGCGTACAGGGGTACGCGGGCGATGGTCGAATCAGCTCCACCGCTTCACTTGACTGACTTTTCAGCAACGCGAGACGTTGGCAACGCCTAATACTTCAGGGGAGCTGCGAACCGCCGTTTGAGGCGCAGCTGTCCTCCATTACTTCACAGTTGTTCTTATCGCGAGATTACGGTAGACGGGATGGTCGGCGCAAGGGCGAGGTGGGAGATTAATCGTGGCTCAGCGCATGCGCGTCTGCGGTAACGTACATAAGGTGCAGCGTGACAAAGCGGATGTTGCAGAGAGGCGACGAGATGGTTGTTGTGCACCAGGAAAACTGGCTGATGAAGTCCAGCAGTATTGTCGGCGCAGTTGTTGGCAAGCCTGATGTTAGAATGTAGGGAACGGTGGTAGCGAGATGCCAACCAAGGTTATGTACTGGAGATGGCCGTTAGAGCTAGACATGACGGATGAAATGTCCATCTGACTCGCAGCCCTGGCTCTTATTATGCAGTGGGCCGGGCCCTTTGCGGCGAGCGGGAAAGCCATCAATGTTGTGCGCCCGTCAAAGGCCAACATGTCCCTGGCCGCATGAAACACGGCCCTCTCACTTCAGCCTGGGTCAGTGTGCACATTTCACTCCTGTTCAAAGTCGACTCCCATTCTGCTCTTTTCTCGCTCTACTCCACGCCCCGGCGCATTAGACTGCTCCGCAAGGTCCCTGATACGGTATCGATAACGTGCGATTGGCGTTCCACCCCGCAAGCCCTCCCGACAGGTCTAGGATAGACGCGTCGTCCAGTGCCTCCCGTGCACGTCAGGCTGCCAGCGCATCAGACAGCCCAGCTCTTGCGCGATAGCCGGCATTCACGTCCCACAAAGACACCGCCGCCGCCTGTTTGCCCTCGGCCACTTGCCCGCCCAGCTCCCCGTCGTAGTCACACCACCACCGCCAACGGCCGTCTCAACACCACGCCATGGCGCCAGGGCCCCAACTGCAGCGTCGGTACTCAGTCACGGGTCTGACGCCGCCTGAGGATGTGCCCCAGGTCTCCAAGCAGCAGCACTCGCCCAAGCTGCAGGCGCTGGACACCAGCGTGCAGTCGCCCAGCTGCGGCTTCTGCGACCCGGGCGTCGACGCTGCGAAGGCGGGCGTGCAACATATCGAGGACGTCGAGGCAGTAACAACACAAGGCGGGGATCGCGGCCGCAAGATCTCGCACCACGCCGTGCGCCGCATGGCTTCCAAGCGTTCCGCGACCCAATTGCCATCTCCGAACACGCCTACGACACACCAGCTCCCGTCTAAGATCGCGAAGCATGCTCTGGAGGTACCGGAAATGCATATGGATATAGACATGGTCAATACAATGGAGCTAGACGAGGGCGTGTTCACAGACCCCATCTGGGACGACGTCGGCTCAATGCGCAGCCAGGACTACGGCCGCTTACAACTCGACATCCCGCCCTCCTCACCACTTACCGTGTCCTCCGGCCCACCAGAAGACGAATCAATTGTCGACCCCTTCAACCTCGACACCCCCGACGACACACCCTACGACTCCGGCGTCGAAAGCCTCGCCCTCACGCCTATTCTCACCTCCTGCGCCCTCACCCCGTACAGCACATCATCGAGCACCTCATCTGGTGCCCCAGACCCCAAAACCTTTCTCACCCTGCCCCCAGAGATCCGTCACGAAATTTACCTCCGCCTCCCCGACCTCATCCACACCCAGCCCCTCATCTACTGCCTCTCCACCTTCAACAACGCCATGCAGCACCCACTCGCCTCGGTCAGCCGCCAGGTCCGCCAGGAGGCCCTCGCCATCTTCTACTCCCAAAACACCTGGACCATTAAGCTCGAGTTCACCCTAATGTATGAGGCCTTCCGCGACTGGATCATCCGGCTGGGCGACGGCGCGGGGCACCTCCGTCTTGTCACCATCGCGGTCCGCGGGAAGTTATTCAAGCCCGGGACCAGCCACGCGAGCATCGCCGCGGGCCTGCATACCAACGTCGCGGTGTTGCCCGGTGCACCGCCGTTTGCGCTGCAGGTCGAGCAGTACTGTCCGCCGGACGGGGACGCGTGTTTTGGGATTGACTTGAGCGAGAAGTTTACCGGGGGGAGAATATGGATTGTGAGGAACGATGGGACGCGAGAGGCGGCGGAGACGGCGTTGAGGTGGTTGAGGGGGAATGCTGGGGTGTTGTGGGAGAAGAGGAGGGAGAAGACGCTGAATGGGCAGGATTGGGTCGATTTTGTGGATGCGTTTTTGGCCTTTGTTCGATGACTCTAACACAATTTGAAAGCGATACGAGAGGCTGGTGAGCAGAGGAGATGGAGGACGATCTTGACTGCATTTTTGGAGGTGGACGAGGGATACGGCCGGTTCGTTATGGCAGATTTTTCTGCTTTTCATATTCATTTTGCACAGCGTCATCTTGGGAGCAGCATCTTCTGGCAAAAAATCGGATCTTGGGGCATATGGCGCATTTTCATGACATGGAAAATGGAGGTTTGCGTTTGCTATTTTGTAATGTAGACTCGGCCTTGGACGAGTGATCGTTGTAAGGACTGTGAGGTTGTTGGATGAGGTAATAACCCTTCAGGAATGAATGGATGTTTTGATATTATTTGCGAGGCGTTTCAAGTGTGGGATGAACAATGATCGTTGTTCTTAATGGGCGCGAGAACTGAGTCGGTAAGATCGAAGTTAGAGCCGCGGGCTGAGACCGCCACAGAAAGGTCATCAGCCAAGGCCACAAAGTAAAGCTGCGAGGTGGGACCGCATGGTAAGGCGGAAGGTTTAGACCGCAACGTGAGATCTCGGTCGGAGACCGCAACGTGAGATCTCGGTCGGAGACCGCAGACTCTGGCCAGCAGAGGTGTTGTGGCAGGGAAAGCGTGACCGGGGAGACTCTCGCTCTTGGGCAATCATCCAGGTCTTCAGCTCCTCTACAACGAAGATAAAGAGAGCTGAATTATTGGTCCTCGGATGCTATACATCGGTCTCCGGGCCACGGTCCGTTCTTCCCTGACTTTTTGCGAACACAACTTATCTGCATGGTTTGGTCGATACCACCGCCGTCAGGGCCTTCGGGCCATCCAGACAGACTACCACAGCTGGGTCTCCTTGATCAATTGACGTAAAGCAACGATACTCTACGGCAAACTTCCCAAGAAGCGTTTTACCGGATCGCCACCGGCTAGGATTCAAGGCACACCCGTCGTCTGATCAAGCGCGGAGCAACGACTTCGCGCTTCTAGCACAATTCAGTCTCCCTTTACGTCCTCTTATCCTACCGCCGATTCCCCTGCGTCAATTTTTCGATTCCATCAATTTTCGGAGCCCTCAAGTACCGAGGCTTTCCTCGGTCCATTTTATGTTGATCATTCTGGTGTTTGCGATGGTTTTTGTGGGGGTTTTTCTGGGCTTCAGAAATATTGTACTCCTCTCCACATTTCGAGAGTCGACAACATAACATCAATCTTTCGTTTGGTCCGTCAGAAAACCTTGCTACCCAGTCATCAAGTCTAATCGAAGCTGATGTCCCGCGTGGTCCGGAGAACTTTTTCCATCTTTCGAACTCAAGTGGAAGCCAAGAATCGATTGCGTTAAACACAATGCTAGGATTCCCTACAGCCGGTCTGCATGCCCTGGTGTCGACAGACTTCGACGGTCCTTCTTCCCTATCTTTGCACGGAATATCAGACTTCGATACCTTCGATACGGCTACTTCCGAATTGTGTCTGTGACCCGGCCAAGTAAAACGTCAACATCTGTCTTCTTCAATCAAGAGATCGATCCGGCAGTTTTGGAGACAGTGCAAGATCCTTTCCCCGAGATTATCTAATCTATAACCATAGCCTGTTGTATAAATCAATCGACAGGCCCTGAACACAGTTCACCTCGTCCCCATGGTTCTGGCCCGCCGTCAGCATTATGTTCCCCCGGCATCGCGATCAGTCCAACAGTATGAGTATTTCAATGCAAAAATTCCGGTTGTGTAGCCACATTCACCGACCGTAAACAACTCCAGTACGTTTACTTATTGCTTCTACCAAGGTCATTCAGGATGTACAAGAAATTAACAGCTACTATAGAAATCACATCAAAATCACAGGGACTCCAAAAATGTCCATCAATCCTGCTCGGCATCATTTGGCCACCGAAAGTCGCTTTAGTACCATGAGCAGGCGGTACACAAGCTGTTGAAGCACACTGCGAGGTTCAGGGTTGTACGTACACCTCCACGAGGAGGGGAAACGTGAGGATGCACATAAAGAGTAAACACGGGACAAGTTAGCCAAGCGATTGAGTAGTTGCACGCGATTCAATAATGATACAACCTTTCTTATGACGATATAGTGGAGCAACGATGTTGAGATGCTTGCGTTTCGCCTATCTATAAAAGAAATCAAAATGTCGCTCATATGAATGGTTCGACCTTTGCAGGACACAATATGTAATCTCTAACGAGCGACTCTATGGTCATACTTGCCCAGGTGACGTGCGTGCTTTACCTGCCCTGTAAGGATAAGCTGTCAAATGCTCTCCAGATCCGTGCAGAGACTTTCTACTTGAGGCGATACGAGTGAGTCACAGTCGGACTATAGAAGAGAAAGACAGCATATTGTATGGATAGCACGATTATTGGTACACTAGCGTACACTGGAAGCGTTAGCGCAGTGCCGGTGCTAAGCCCTATTCGGACCATGCGGGCTGACTAATTCCCCTCCACGGGCAACCAGCACTTGGACGTAACAGCCTAACATCTACAGATATCCCTCAGACTCGCATCATCCGTGCGTATATCGTCCCGTAATCCCCCAACTCGAACTGACTTATATTTCTTGAGCTCACCAGCGCTGACTCGCTGTGGCACACGTCCACAACTTCAGAGATAATCTCAAGGATACCCAGATACACTATTCGTAAGATAACGTCAATATCGCTATGGGAGTGAAAGGCTGTTGGACTTGCAGAGGTAGGTAACGTACCCATGATAGCCACTGCCAGCTTATCTCATCCCATCAAGAGCGAGCAGGCGGGCGAGTGTCGAGAGTGCGACAAGTTCAATGAACAGCACGAGCGGAATGGCTTGGTCGACTAGAACCCCAACTTACGAACCCTAGAGCGCAAGGTACGATGCGACGTGCAGAGGCCAACCTGTGGCAACTGCTCGAAGGCCAGACGGGTGTGTCAGGGCTATGGGATGCAGTTGTCGTGGCCAAGAGACGGTGATGGCAAGAGAGCCATTGTGGCGAGAGATGTGGACGCGGCTGCGCGGGGGCAAAATCGGAACCTGTACCCGCCGCGGGCGAGGTTTGTGAATGCAGGAGCTTGGGATGTGGAGCTCGCCATGCGACTGGAGCTGGAGAATAAGAATGAAGATTGGATCACAGTGGCGATTGGTGATTATGACCGCAGATACAATGGTACTGTACCATGCTATCTGGGTGCTGGATTGGAAGCCCTAGGTTACCTACTGACGACGGTTATGTGTAGTCAGCTTCCTGCGCTCCATGTCCTTGCAATCTCCCCGCCCGACCTATCTACCGCCTGTCGTCATGGGAAAGGAAGAATCGCACCTCTTGGAATTCTGTACGTAACGCACACATACAGCTCTCCACTCCTCTCCTCGCTCCAGACGCGATTTCAATATCCTTCCACCCCGTACACCCACTGACCTAGCCGCCATGTGCAGTCACCGAATCAACATCCCTCATGCTCGGCCCAACCGACGCAGAGACTCTAGCAAACTTCATCCTGCGAATCGCACTCTCAAATTCTGAGTCCTCCGACACGAGGAATGCAGTTCTGCAGGCCGTCCTTGCCATCGCATCGCTCCAGCTGCACGGCAACGGCAGCGCAGACGCGTTCCGGTATAAGCGGCGCGTTGTATCGAATATTGCGGGCGAGACGACCGACTCATTGGGCGAGAGAGCACTGCTGCGAAATTTGGTCGCGACGATGCTGTTGTATCATTATGAAGTAAGTCTCAGCAATTTGGAGGGGCTGGTCTGCATGGCCTATATCAGCAGGCTTGCCGTGCGGTGCGCATACCTGCCATGCCCATTTGGCTGGTTAATGACAAGTGACAAAACAGATGTCAATGCCTGGATCGAGCTCTGAAGGAACATGGGTAACTTTCTTCTGCGCGGTAAAGCGCATCATCAACACGTCTCCTGCAATGTACAAGCTGATTCGGCGCGAGTACAAAGTCTTCCTCGACTGGATTTACTACCACGAGGCACTATCGGAGTTCACAGTCCGGCATTGGAAAGCTCCGTATGATGGGTGCGGCTTTGTTCCCATGGTGAGATCGGCTGGTGTTATGGATGGCTTCAGACCCGGATCAAAGGTAGTAAAGACGGCGCCTTTGCCTACATACTGCTCGCATATGGCCCCAGGCATGTGGGAGTTCAGCAGGCTAACCATGCAGCAGGTGGACGAAAGCATTGGCTGCCCAACCGAAGTGCTCGAGCTCGTTGTCTATGCCTGTCGACAAGCCATCGTCGCGCCACGCCCCGAGATGGCATACACAGCTGCCGAACTGGACCGTGCCACGGTGCTGGAACGGCACATATCGATGGAGGTGGGGGATTTTGGACCCATCCCCGCTCCAACGGCGACACCAAGGAACCGGCGTACTATAGTCGCGGATCTCCATCGAGTCGCGTGCCTGATCTACGTCAACCGCGCAGTGCATCGTGTGTCTGAAAGGGACTTCCGCCATAGGCGGCTCGTGAGAGAGGGGATCCTGTTGCTGAGCGAGCTGCAAACATGCCAGAGTGCGTGGCCGCTATTTGTCATTGGCTGCGAGGCCATGGACGAAAAGCAGCGGGCTGCAATCTTGGATGTGTGTGAGCGTAGTCGGGGGGATACGAGACGGAGATCCAGTCACGTTGATTCGATTCAGCGGCTCGTTGCGGCAGTGTGGAACCAGCGTGATCTGGATGAGGAAGGGCAGATAGACCACATGACAATTCTGGACGCGGTCATCGGGGGAGATGCAGTCATGCCATTGTTTGCCTGAGCTAGGAGGGCTACTTGAAGAGAATTGCATATCTCTTTCCTGCGCTGCGCTCTGCTTTGTCAAGACTAGAACCATTGCTCCTCGTCCCCGTAATGAGTGAGGAACTTGCCACTATCTGCCTCGTTCAACTTCCCAATGACCCGAAGCATATTGGAGACGGCTTCTTCTATTGGGGCCGGACCCTCAACCTTTGGGTCGACCTTGTGGAACATGTTGAGCATGAATTTGCGTATCTCCGGGTCACCTGTTACGGCTTTTGCTGTTGTCGGTCAGTCAGTCACCCAAATCCTCTTTGCCCGTATAGTGAATATTGGCATTGACTAACCAGCATCCGTGTTCACCCATCCTGGGCTCAGAGACAGCGTTTTGATGCCTTCAGGGGCGAGCTCACTGGCAAACTTGGTCATGGCCATGTTCATGCCAGCCTTGCTTACCGAGTAGCCCAGCAAGGTAGAGAAGCCAGTCATGCGCGTGAAATCGAGATTTCCACTTTGACTAGAGATGAAGACAATCTTCTTCTCGGCGCCGTTGCGAATGAGGTGGAGGAAGGAATTTATCGTGTAGATGTTACTGAGAAGATTGTTCTTGATCTATGGGCGTATAATTAGTAAGTGTAGCCTAGCCAGCCTGTGAAGGCGCAGATGGTGGGCTGGGGTTCGTACGCTCTCACCAATCTCCAAATCCAGTGCTTCTTTCTTGCCATGGCTGCGCAGTGTCAGCACTCCCAAATGAATTGATCCTCCGCTCAACGTCAGGCCTATGGACTCACAAAGCAGACGGCGGCAGCACAGCCGTGTCTGGTCCCGCGGAGCCGGCATTAAGAATCAAGACATCGAGCGAACCGTCTGTGACTTTGGAAACTTCGGCAGCGGCCTCATCCAACTTGGTAGGATCAGAGATGTCTGTTATGATGACGTGGATGTTTTTTCGTTGTGCAGCCAGCTCCATGAGCGGTCTAGCTGTTCCCAGACTCCGGATGAGGGCGAACACTTGATTCTTCGAATCCATAGACTGTGGCACATCAGTCAGTGTATTCTCTTGGCTGTGGATGTCCCTGCAGTAGTAGGCAGACTTACAAGGTGTTTGACGAACCCGAGCTGCCGTGGAGGTCTCGTTAGCATCTCGCGCTGTGGTCGTTGGGAGGATCAGGGGATGCTTACGCCAATGCCTCGCGTCGCACCTGTGATAGCCCAGGACACCATTGTCAGTCTTTTCGATGGAAGCAACGAGTATGTCGTATTGGAGATGTATGATATAGAATGAATCGCTGGATTCAGTGCGCTTGGTAGTGATGAATCTTGAACAGATGGCGCGGTCACCACATGCTCTTATACCCGTCCTCAGGCCCATTGCGCCCATATTGCATGCCGAAATCAGTGGAAACTATTTTCGAGAAGGACGTTGTGACTTTTCGTTGACGTGGTCGAAGGAGAATAGTGAAATGTAAAGCGAGGCATCTTTCTCCGAAACTATACGCGGGATGGGACGCGGTAGCTGACCAATCGCGTGAACTGGCCAATTGCACACCTTGGGTGTGCGCGGAAAACGTCGTCGGTAAGACCCTCGCTTCTGGCCAATTATCTGTATCAACCGTATATGGACTAGGTATCTATTGAAGACCGTACGATTTATCCTCTTACCACCAGCGCCAACGCCTGGTATGCAAGCTAATAGGAGTCCTCAGTTTTGCCCCACCTGCCGCATCCACACGCCAGTTTTGTACAATGTCACCCTATCCGAGATTAATCAGGGAATATGAGAAGGCAAAAACACTGTACAATGTCGCGTACTGATTTGAACGTTGCATGCAAAGAAACACGCATCGGATTATTGAGGCGGGGTCAACAGCGAATCTTACAACGAGTTTGCCCACTCATCAATACAGGCCAGATGGGGGTCCATGTTTGCATGCCCTCCAATGCGGGCAGCATTCCATCAGGTTTTGGGGGGCCCAGTGTGCCAGCAACTGAGCACACGGCACAAATAGGTATATAATCTCCCTCAACTTTCTTCGTTTCAGTCACTATCTTAAAAGAGATTACAACGTCTCGATTGCTCAAGTGCTTGAAATTGTACCTGGGATCATGATCCGCCTGTTGAAGCTTGAGAATGGACAGCTCCAGATTGAATGAATCGACGACCATCGTCAGTTACTAGGCGGCGCTAAATACGCGATACTATCAAATTTATGACTCAAGGACCCCGATGAAGAAGTGAAGTACGACGATGTGTTGAAACCTCTCTACCGACCAAGACGAGGGTACTGGAAGCTTGAGCTTTGTGGCAAGCAGGCCAAGGAAGCCCAGTGCAGGTATTTCTGGGTCGATCCATGCGCCATCAACAAGACAGGCAGCAACGAATCATCGGAAGCTTTAGAGTCCATGTACATGTGGTAGACGGATTCCAAGGTGTGTTATGCATATTTGGAAGACGTAGGCGGCAAGCACGTGGTAAATTTCGAGAGAAGTAAATTGTTTACAAGAGGCTGGAGTTTGTTATCTGTGAGCCACAAAACGGGATAGAGAGCGCCATGTATTACCTCACAGCTAGGCAAACGCAAGAGTAAAGGGTGGAAAAGTTGCGTACATCTGCGTGTGTTCTCAATCTATATGGACTCTACCCAGACACCTTCAATACATAATTGATATTTGCTACTTGATACCCCACTGTGGAGTAATTAAACTGGGTGGGACAACACTACTACTTACCTTTGCGATATCTCTAGCGATAAATCCGCAGAAGTCAATGCCTTCTGATGTTGTCAGCGAGCCGAAGCCCAAGCACGAAACGAGAAAGGAAGCCAAAGGTAAAGAACGTTTCTCGAATCGGCGATTCTAACAAGGAATCCAGTAGTTATGGTTGAAGCGCGCATAGTTTCTGTCATGCAAATCGCCACATGTTCACCGAAGAGAATATCGCGACATCCTGCAGCCAAACCCCTTTGATTTTTATTTTGGCAATAACAAAAAGACGTTGAGACCAGCGTGCATATACCAGCCCTCTGCGCCACCTTTCCGACACATAAGGCTGGAAAAGCCAAGCTCAGCCGCCTCGTCATGGAGGGTGGTCATTGGCTATCACAATGTGGTCTCAGAAGCCTCAGGCACGAGGTTCTCGGTTAAATACGGTGCCAGCTGTCGCTCGGTGCAGTTTCGAAAACGCCTCGTGTGCTGATTTTGGCACTTGCACATGCTCTCTTAATTTCACACTCGGATCGACTGGCCATGATATGGATGAGACACAGGACTTGGCACGAGAAGACAGTGCCTCAGCGTCCGGACGGAAGTTGGCAGAAATCGAGTGCGAAAGCGCAATCGAAGATCTGAATGGCTCAGAACCTACGTGGGAGGATCCCGGCGACTATCATATCTCGCGGCTATTCGAAACAGACCAAAAGGAAGAGCCGTCTCCCGATGATAATTCAGGCCACGAACCGGTTCATCGAAGATGCGGCAACTACCAGTCGCTCTCGAAATCCGCCAAAAGACGTGTCCGGCGAGGAGTCAAGGCAGAGGAGATGCGAAGCCGACATGATGACCCTCCTGCTATACGTCTGAGCGAAGAGAAGGTGTTTGACTGGTTTCATGTCGGAGAGGTGCAACAGGGAATGTCACTGGGGCGCATTCACCGGTGGCGCAAGCGCAGGCTCTCGCGCAAGGCCAATCCATTTGTCAATTGTGTTGGCGAGTTCCATCACTTCGACTGCAGACATATCTTCAAAGTCTTATGCAAAAACTGCGCTCAGGGATGGAGGGCGGGACACTCATGTTTTGCACCTTGTATTAGCACCATGCACAAGTCCGACCACCTACGCTTCAAGCAACCCTGCCCTCACTGCTTGAAGCTGCCAGCCGAGAAGTACTTGGCGCGAAAGAAGTTAATCAAGGGCACATCCGATCCTTGTAGGGATCTGGTTGATTACCTCTGTTGTTATTTGAGCGCCGACGGTACAAGGAACCATGCCCTGCATGATGAGGGTGATGATATGCACGGGAAAAGAGAGGTTTACTTGATCACAGATATCCAGGCATTCACTTAGAATCGCATATGGGGGGGAATAGACCATTCTTTGCAAGAGCTAGTCTAGAGTAAAGTAAATCTAAGTACGAAATACGGAGGCGGAAAGGACAGGATGGTAGTCAGAAAATTAAAGCGTGGCTCAACCCCCCAAAATCAAGAAAGCAAATCAAAGATCAGTCGTAGTCCTCTAGGTCAGTACTGGTTAAACTTCGAAGAGTGGTTGGCAGAACGGTTGGAAAACTTTCATTTGGCGAAGATGGACAACTTGGTCGCGTGGATGCTGGTGTAATGCTCAAAGTCCTTTGTGTAGGGAATTTCGATGTCTTACGAGGTTGGCTTTTTTCTCCGTCGCGTAGGTGCAGCTTTCGAAGTTGCATGTGTGCCATATACCGCGATGCCGTGCTTGTACGTGTTCGAGAAGGTTCTTGCGATGAGCGTATGTTTTGGGACACTCTTTGCAGTAGACCCTTGAGTGTGTGCTCTTCGCGTGACCGCTATACCATATGATCAGCGTGCACAAAGGGTGCTAGGTTGGTATTGCGCTACGAGAGTAGGCGGACCGGGTAAGAGAAGCTTAGGACAACCGATAAGATAGGAAGGAACTCACTCGAGTTTTCGACGTTCGACAAAGGACGCGGAGCACCCAGTTGAGCTGCAAGCGTACCGTTTCTCAGCACGAGGGATAGGTACAACCCCGGTTGATGTAATGGAGCTGCTGCTGAAGTGGAGGTGTGAAAGCTCTTGAAACGGCGATAGAATGGATCCGGCAGCAACGTGTGGGGGATTCCCCTGATCCAGCGGAGGACAAGCCAAGGAAGGTGAGCGACCAGTATCCTGCATACAAGCATTGTGATGGGAGGAGGTAGATGTTGACGACGGGCTGGTCGTCAAGATGATGTCCGTTTTCGGCCGGCATTGAAAGTTTCCGAAACCATTGTTGGGAGCGCTTTCATCTGATTCTTCACGCGAATCAAGTGCATGCACCTGTTTGTGAGAAGTAGAAGCAGGTGCAATCTCCATAGTCGGCCAGGGTGAGCCTGGTGACGAAGGTCCAGTGGCCCGAACTTGAAGAAGCTCGCCCGGACTCAACAGCCACACAGTATCCTCCTTTGCCGACCAATCTGAGAGAGACGATAGTGTATCAGGCTCCAAACCAGAAAAGCCAGACCATGCTTCGTCATTCGGCCAGGACGGCCAGGAGGTTGTATCTACGTGATCATAATCGTAACCAGAAATGGCACCAGCGCGGAGTCTCGGCTCCGCGCCAAAAGCGCCGGCGGGTTATGTCTGGGGAGTCAGTGTCGTGGTATCTTTAGGACAACTGTGCCGTTGTAAGTCAACGTACCAGAAGTAGTAGTCGCGTCTCCTGCGTGGAGGTTATGTGGTGCCCTAGAGCAGCAGGTCGGGGAGACCAGGATTAATATACTCGAAAGCCCAGGCGAGGCTGAGCGCTTAGTTGGGATGATTGGCTGAGGGTGCGAGGTCTCACCGGTGGTGTTTTCCCCAATCGATGAGACCCCCGCAATGAGACCTCAGTGTCGCCCATCCGCTCCTGCCACACCACAAGCGCGTCATCCCGATGCATACCCTGTGCCCTGCCATGTAGCCCAAGCGTGGAGATTGTGAGCACGTCACCCTGTTTTCCTGGGCTCCTTGACTTCACGGCTGGCTCTGTAGGACCTCGGGGGATAGTCCGGCACGTGACTCTCACATTGTCCAGGTGATTGCTTCCTGCCCTGGTGGCTTTGCGACTTCCCTCGCGAACATCCCAGTGCCGATACAACCCTCGTGTAACCCGCCCAATTACTGTTCCTTTCAAGCTTTGGGATGCCCTTGATCCACCTTGAGCATGGAGATTGCAACTGGGCCGCATAGGTTCTCTTAATCTCTGGCATTTTTCTCCTTGGGGACGAATTCTTCTTATATATACACAGCCATTCATGACTAGACTCCTCCCACAGGTACAAGTATGGTACAACCCTGCCCGATCCCAGTGTTATGACCCCTCTCCATCCGCTGATGTGGGTTTCCGCCGGGCGCGTTGGACCTGGGTTGTGACAGATATCTGCTCCTCCTCTTCCTCCGTCTTCTTCAATCCCAGCACCTGCCCGATCAGCCCACCAGGCTTGGGCACCGGGCACTCCCTCTTTGGAATCGCCCACTCCTCCACGTCCTTCATTTTCCTCCGTTCCTCGCCCATGATGTCGTTGCACGTCTCCTCCTTGAGAATCCTTCGCCGCCGCCGCTTTGGCTGGCCAGACAAAGCATCCGGGTCCGCGGAGTCGGCGAGCGCGCGCGGGTCCACGGGGCATGGCAGGAGATGTGGGGTCGCGACTACGAGGAAGGAGACCGCGAGTGTGGTGGTGAAGAGCGACATGGTCGAGCGCGACCGTGGATGGAGGTGTGGCGGCATGGTGGTGTGAGGGCTAGCGGGCGTGCAGCGTAGGCATCGCAGGCCCTGCTGGGGTCAATGGCTTGCGCAAGCTCCGAGGTGGTGCAGAGAGGCCGTACCGAGCCAATTGAGATGCTTGCGGGCGCAGAGAGCGTGGGTGCGGGCGCGGGCAGCTGATGGGAGAGAATGGTTGCGGGCAAGCTCTCCTTCTGGTGTACCGAGTACCAAGCCGCTAAGCGGCTGCTGTGCTGATCCCTGCACGCCCGCATCGCGCATCGCAAGTGCAGCGGTGCGCTCGACTCCATCTTTTCCCGCCTACAACTCTGCCTGCCGTCCCAGCGCCCTCGCAGTAGGTCCGCCTCACGCACTTGCACCTGTTGTTCCAAGTGCTGTTCTCTCACCATCCCGCCTCTCTTCAGCCTACACGCGCCGCCCGTCCCACGCGATCATACGCCCGCCACTTTCTCCGCGTACTGAAGCTTCCCGGTTGGCGGCATTTTGGGCCACTTGTTCCCGACCTTGACGGGACTGCGCATACGTTTGCCCTCGTGGGCCGAGGTGCAGTTGCCACCATGAGCATCGGCGGCAGCGACCTCGATCGGTACGCAGAATAAATGGCCTGCGTCGGGACACGAAGCTCACAGCCTTCAGCGCCATCACACAGCTTCGCGCATGCCGACCCATACCCGAAAACCAAGTTCGCGAACTCTGCTACAAAGCCCGCGAGCTTCTGATAGAAGAGGGCAACGTGGTGGGGGTGGATGCACCAGTGACGGTACGTCATCACGTGTAGATTCTGTGGGCAAAGCTGATGCAGGCGTCCTTCTAGATATGTGGTGACATACACGGCCAATTCCACGATTTGATGGAACTATTCAGAGTAGGCGGCGATGTGCCGGACACAAACTATCTTTTCATGGGTAAGCTCAGCGACCAGGCGCCCTCCAGTGGCTGCGCAGGCACTGACACATCTAGGCGACTTCGTGGACAGAGGCTTCTATTCACTAGAATCATTCCTCCTATTGCTTTGCCTCAAAGTCCGCTACCCCGATCGAATCACCCTCATCCGCGGAAACCACGAGTCGAGACAAATCACAACCGTGTACGGCTTCTACGATGAGTGCCTACGAAAATACGGCAGCGCAAACGTCTGGCGGTACTGCTGCGAGGTCTTTGACTATCTTGCATTGGGAGCACTCGTCACTGGTGCTGCCACTACGCTCGATCCGACCGACGGCCCCATCGCGGACAACGTCAACTGTGAGCTGCCTGATTCCGAGATGGACATCGAGATTGAAACTCTGAACGCCAACGGCGAGATCATGTTCCGCTATGCACGGAATGGAGACTCACAATCAAGTGCGGCATCACAGGCCAACTCAAACCCAGCTTCTTCCTCTCCCATAGGACCTACCCCGTCTCGGTCAGGCGCCGCAGGCACGGGTGCCACTTCTTCAGCCAACGGCTCAACGCGGAACGACACCGGCGCTATTCTTTGCGTACACGGAGGTCTGTCGCCGTTGATTGACTCCATCGACAAGATTAGATTACTCGACCGGAAACAAGAAGTGCCACACGAGGGAGCCATGTGCGATCTACTATGGTCAGATCCTGATGAGATCGATGGATGGGGTTTATCCCCTCGTGGTGCAGGCTTCCTTTTCGGCGCCGACATCGTCAAATGCTTCAACTACAAAAATGACCTCAGCCTCATCGCGCGTGCGCACCAGCTCGTCATGGAAGGTTTTAAGGAGATGTTCGACTCGACCATCGTCACCGTCTGGTCCGCACCCAACTACTGCTACCGATGTGGCAACGTCGCCGCCATCCTCGAGCTGGGTGAAGACGGCTCCAATGCAGGCTACCAACGGCGCAGCAACGGCGATCGCGGTGGAGGCGGCGGCGGCTGGATCCTAGGCTCCAACGCCGGGCCCAACGGCACGAACGATGAGAATCGCCGTCTTTCGTCTGTACTGGGGGAGAGCATGCAGAAGCCGCGCGACGGGCCGGGCCGGCGGTACAGGGTGTTCGAAGCCGCGCCGCAGGACTCGCGCGGCATGCCCGCGAAGAAGCCCGTCGCAGACTATTTCCTCTAGGCGAAGGCGCGAGGCTGAAGGCGGAATGGATGTGCGCCGACTTTCGGAAGAGGCCCGTGGAAGTTCGCGTCGTGAACTGCAAGCTCACGGTATACACGGCGTGGAAGGGCGCGGAGTACTTTTCGTAGATGAGGAGTTGGCGGTGTTTGGTTAGGATACCCGGATAGTATACTTTTTCAATGGATGCAAAGCAGCGTTCAATGCATGTCTACAGTCGACTTTACCCAGTGCTGTCATGTACGTTGCTGGTGGAGACAATGCGTCTTGAGCCTACATGACTCCTAATGCCTTTCCATGCACTCGACACCACGTCGAACATCGCACCATTGGCATTATCAACCGCAACTACCTCACTGCAACTGCACGTACACGCGTATCGCAAATCTACACGCGTGTAGCTCAATGCAGCAATTCCTCCCGCACACCGCTACCCCTCCGCGGTATAGCTCCCGCCACTTCGCTGGTAAGAATACCTAGCTCAGCATAGCGACATGCAGCTCTCACCTTTTCCCAACGCCAGGGCTATCGTCAATAGTCTCCGCTGTGAGTTTTTTTCCAACGGGCGTGACAGAACGGTGAGGTCAACGTGATAGCCTGAGTGGCCAGCAGTCGGGCGGCGTTGAAGACTCGCTAAATCTGGCGTTCTGCCCCGCAGGATTTATTCAGTGGGGGGGGCGGGACAGACCAATGCGAGGGGAAACAGTCATCGGGGGCGTGCTTATCGTGAGCTCGGGATTAGGGTAGGCACTTTGCTCTGAGAAAGTGCTGTGCCGTCCGAGCTGTTGTTTTCTTTGCTTCTCATCCATGTTTCAGCCGTGATCGCTGCCTTTTCAATTGCCCTCTCCAAAGCACACTGGGCGTGTCCGAGTAGGTATACGCTCACCATGGCATCCGCCGCCCTGCATGGCTTCTTCGACATCCAACAGTCCTCTTCCACACCCTCCGGTTCTACACCCCTTGTAACCAGTCCCCCAGCCACTCACCAAAAGACCACATCAACTGTGAAAGGAGCGCCCTTCAGCATCGAGCTCGACGACCTGGCCTTTGGCCAGCGCTACAATGGACCTTCTTCACCGACCACAGCACCGCAAACTCCCAAGGAGTTTCCTGGCTCACAGACCCCGAAGACACCTAATGAGCTGGAGCATGACGGTGCTGAGGGGAGTGGTGCGGTGCCGCTGATGCAGACGTGGAGGGAGCCGAGCATGAACAAATGGCGGATTTTGTGCTGTTGTTTGATTTATTTTGGGAATGGGATTAATGACTCTGGTAGGTTAGCTTCCTGTTATCAAGGCTGATGGGCAACGTAGGAGGGGCGAGAACCGACAGCGATTTGTAGTGTGAATATAGGATGTGTGCAAAGCTAACGTGTCGCAGTCGTCGGGGCACTGATTCCCTATATGGAGGAATACTACCACATTGGATACGCCATCATGTCCATGGTGTTCGTCGGGAATGCAGCCGGCTTCATCAGCGCGGCATTCTTCTGCAACACGACTCTGGGCAAGCTGGGTCGTGCGAAGACACTCATCCTCTCTGAAGTCATCCTGCTTGCTGCGTATGTGATACTCGTTGCCACGCCCCCATATGCCGCGGTTGTAGTATCCTTCTTCCTCCTGGGCTACGGCGCGGCCACCTCTCTCGCACTAAACAACGTCTTCTGTGCGAACTTGCACCCGCCCAGCGCTATCCTCGGTGCTGCTCATGGTAGCTACGGCCTCGGTGGCATCGTGGCCCCGATCATTGGAACGGCACTGGCTTCGAGGGGCATCCTATGGTCGCGATTCTATTTCCTTTGTGTCGGGCTTCGGCTGTGCTGCATGCTCTTCGCTGGCTGGGCCTTCTGGTCGTACAAGGAAGACCAGCCGCAGACTCTTCTCTCCTCCCTCCAGCGCACCGCCACCCAGCAAGCTGCGTCTGAGTCCCAGGAATCTAAATCCAAGAACCTCAAGCTCGCGCTCAAGAACCGCGTTACTATCTTCGGTGCGCTGTTCGTCTTCGCGTATCAAGGAGCTGAAGTCAGCATCTCAGGATGGGTCATTTCGTTCCTGATCAACTACCGCGATGGTGATCCAGCGCGGGTCGGTTACGTTACCTCGGGATTCTGGGGTGGCATTACGCTGGGACGTTTCGTCCTCACACACCTCGCACCGCGGATTGGAGAGAAAGCCTTCGTTACTGGCCTTACAATCGGGACATTGTGTCTCCAGCTGCTCGTGTGGTTGGTGCCCAATGTCATTGGCGATGCTGTAGCCGTTTCGCTGCTGGGACTCTTACTTGGGCCGGTGTATCCCTGTGCACAGACGATCTTTAGTCGGCTGATGCCACGGCATGTGCAGACAACCGCGATTGGATTCATCGGTGGCGCGGGGAGCTCTGGCGGTGCGGTGGCGCCGTTCACGACTGGTATATTGGCGCAGGCGGCGGGTACCTGGGTGCTGCATCCGGTGTGTATTGGACTGTACGGAGCGATGATTGTATTCTGGTGGAGCCTGCCAAGGATGAGTAAGAGGAAGGAGTAATCGAGTGCTCTGAGATAGTGGTGACTTCCGTAAGTATTGACAACGGCGTTGGGGTAGGTGCAGTCCGAGATACTTCTTAAAATGAAGCTCGGACGGGGAGGATCGTAGAATGTTCGATATTTGGTATCATAGGAACGAGAAGAGTAGTGTGGTGTGACGACCCTGTGGTGCTGCGAAGCCATGAAGTCTGGGAAAACCGTGGATTTTCAGATGAAGAAGCCCTTCTAGGTGAGGAAAAATCCGAACACGGTTAGGATTTCCCTCCCTTTGAGAATAGTATGGTCGAATTATCTTCCTCTACTTATGTTCTGTCCTGGTAAAATGAATTTGGAACAATCAAGAAAGCCTTTGATCAACTTACCGGTTGTTCGTCCGATGATAACCAGGCTGGCAACGTCCGTGGCCTCTTGACAAAAACCTATGTCTCTCCAATCTTTTCGGAAGTTAGGATTCACCTGCAGACCGAGGGCAGAGGCCCAACCGTTAAATGCGGTGTGGAATCCACAAGCCCAGGGATTGTTTTGCATGGCGCAGTCAATCCACTTAACATGTTCTGGAATTTTACGCTGGACTTCTGGGCCATGGGCTGCCCGCGGCGACCTTTGCAATGTCTGAGCGATATTGTAGATAACATTTCGCACTATGCTGTTCAGCAAATAATTTTCACGGCTCAGCAGTCTCTCTAACTCATGTTCTTGCGGCTAAGAGCATGCCCTTAAGTCCAAGATCAGTAGTTCCGTGTTTGAATCCTGCTTTAGTTGAATAATCAAGACCATGATGTGTCTATCATTCAGTACCGGTACTACAATGCGTGTAACCCACGGGAAAAGCAACAGTCGTTGTCTACTGTATATGAAAGAGTTTGAAATAGATGCTTCCGGCTCAAGTGAAGCATAATTAATACACTTGAGGCTGCGGTTCCTGCCCTCGGCATGTGTGACGGCCTGCACAAAGGAAGCTATGCTGCGGTGTCCTCTTTGCACCGATTTCATCGACGCCCCCATCAGGATCGACTCCATCTTACTATTCTTTTTCCTCGCAATTTGATCCGCAAGTTGCTCCATTCTTTTGCGCAGGTACCCACATAGGTCCTGCTCCTCTAGAAATTTTGATGTATCCCTAAAGGCCCAGTATTTCGGCTTCTCAGATGACAAAGAGGGTACTCGGTTAAGGGGGATGCTCCCTTTTTGAAGAATTGTGTGGTCCTTCGTACTCTAGCTTCATCCTTTCCGCCACATAGGCCTGGTATTCTTCGACTGTCAAGCGGGGTCTTGTGTTCTTCCAATCGTCAGGCAAGGATTTGAATCGCTTACGTGAATATCCAGATGTTGTCGAGAATGATCTCCGTTTTCACGAGTGGGGCTTTGAAGGGCTCTTAAAAAGCTTGCTTGGCAAGAGTGTTGTGCTTCCTAACAGCTTGACCCGCGCTTTCTTCTGGTTGTCGTTTAACACCAATCTCAGGTCTTTGATCATCTCATCATATTTGTTTTAGGCGTCAATCTGGTTCTTGATAAGACTGGCTACTGAAGTCTTCTCAAAGTCGAAATGACGATCCGCTTCTAGAAGTTGCTTGCCGACGACGTAATTTTGGGCCTCCAGAAATCGATGCACAATCTCCCAGTTGAGATCACGGCCGGAAAGAGCACGATCAAAGAGCTCTCTGGCTGCTTGAAAGGAACAGGCCCGATATTCTTCACCTGAAGCTAACAGGTTGCTAGATTTGTGAAGCGGCACCCAGCTTGAGTTCAGTTCAAGACCCATAGCGAGCGCCCAAGCATTTAGTATTGTAATCATGGAAGCTTCCTATTTATCAAGAGCATTAGGACTAGGGATTGACTAAAAGGAATCAGGTAAAGTTATTCGTAATTCTTGTAAATTAAAGCCGATACTAGCCATCCACCACTGGAGTATACTTGATCCCGATGCTGCGTCCCAGATGTCATTACGAGTATGTTCGTCAGATTTCGATTCGAGAGGATTTAAGACACGAATGTTGATCTCCAGACCTTCACACGATTTGTGTAGTCTTACACACTGCAAAACCAAAAGAACAGTGGCACAGACGAGACGGATATGAAGGATCCATGGCTGGCCTGGCCGAAGTAGAGAGTTTTTGATCTCTACACAGAAGCCTCTATTTCTATCCTGTTGCAGCCAGTTAATTGCCAGAAGGACTGGGTTGACAACATCTTCGAGGCTTGTTGCGCTGTTGTATGATACCGCTCCTTGCAGGGATCGCTGCTGTGGCTCTCACTGCTCTCACCGCTCTGGTCCTTCTCAGGAGTGCTAGGCTTACTGTTGTTCGGTCGATCACTATGCGGCGTATTGCTAGTCTGACTTTTACCATTTGGCGTAGTCCCCGTCCGCCCGTCATCATCTGGCTCGTCACTACTTGTGGCGACATTGCTTTCCCCTCCACTACTGCTTGGTCGGCTACCGGCGCCATCCTCGTCAGGTGCGATTCTGAAGGATAAGATAGCAGCCGCACGCTCTGGTTTTGAAGGTCTCAAACCCTTGCGGTCTTGCCTTGCGCATTTGAAGGCGCATCTTGACGGTTTCTCCATAAAAGAATAGGTGCGCCAAGTAACTCAATGATTGCAAATTTGCCTAGAGGCCCGATGAAGATTCTACTGCTCTCTTCGGGTGCAATGTTTGTGTATGGGATACCATTTACTGTGACCGTAGTGTCGAAAGGAACGATCACAAAGTGTTCAGCAGTCGTCTCTTCGGGTGAAGTCGTTCGCAGGAGGACCTGCACGGAAGCTATCTGATCTTCCCCATCAGGCACCCTGATAGTACTGCTTCCTGGTCAGTGTCGGGCATCGTGGGGTTCTGTCGAACGCTTACGCTCTAAGCTTCGCATCCAAGCTTCCCCCGTCCAGGACTATCGGGACCCTCATTTGCCATCCCTATCATACTAGCTTCCTCTCTTTTAATGCCATCGAGGTAGTGCTCACGCCTATCTTGTATATTTCTGTAGAGGGTGCGCAGACCCTGTGGATCATTGGAGTAAGATTTGTTGTTCCCAGTCTCTTCTTGATACAATAGCGAAGGAAGATGCGGGCGATCGAAACTGTGTTGTTTCTCCTTCGCAAGCTCTTCCCAAGGCCTTTGGAATAGTATGGTAGCCCACTCCGAGGACTTTCGCCACGGAAACCAATTTGTTACTGGCCTCGTCCAGCGAACATGCTTCTTATCCAAAGCCTGGTTCAGCTCCGCTACAATTTCTGGCGGTTCAGGATTATACTCTCCATCAGGTGGTGGAGCAGCCACCTCTTCTGCAGCGTCATCATTCTGTTTGACTGGCTGTTTCTTCGGGGACGGCTGTTGCCCGGTGGCCTTCTTCTTTGGCGGCATCTTTTCGAAGAATTGTGAACAGACGATTTAAAATGGACGCTTTTCCAGAGAAAAGCGCAAATTTTATGGTTGTCTGCGATGTTGTCTTTGTCCGTCACGACACTGTCGCGCCATACCGCAAATCCTTCATGTCGCAAGACAAGGACAACTGCCGCATGTGGCACTCCTCAACCACATAGAAGCAAAATAATATGAATACATTTACAAAAACTGGGACAGAAAGTATTGAATGACTGTTGCAATTGCGTACGGAAAGCCGTAAAAGCCCTACATGTATGTCGGGTGGGACAGGGACCAACGCGCAGACGCTGTCCACGTGTCCAGACGAGGTTCCGTCTGCTATCTAACATCCAAAGTCCGTCGATTCGTGACCTTCGTGATCTCGTTTTCGGGCATTCGACTCGGCCTGAACGTATCTATCCACTTTGGAAGGATCCAATGGCTTGTTTGATATCATCTAGCCGTATGTGTACCGCCCTGCAGGCCAATCGGTGTGCCGAAGGCAACGCTTCTTTTGAGTTGCTGGTAAGGATCAGCGTCGATTCCATGTCGTTGTCCCACCTGGGATGTTGACCAAGTCTTTCAAGGTAGGCGTATGAGCAAGCAAAAACATGCTTCCCTCTAGTTCGCTGGAGTACAGTCACTGGCTTATGATGTAAGGGTTCTTCTCTCTGGGGGTGCTGTGTCTTTTTCATACGCCATGCGGACTCCCGTATCTGTCCAGATTGTTGAAGACCATCGAATTGCCAACGTAGCAGTGTTGCCCAGGTCGGCAGCTAAGGTCAGTTTCCAGCTCTGGACCTGTGCCGGTGCGCATTGTCCGTATGATCTTGGCTGCATCGATGCAGGATGTTGCGTTGTAGTAACTCGTGGGATTTGCGACGTATTGTTCCTCGTGCGTGTGCTCGTGCGTGTGCTGGTGCAGCTGTGGCCAAGGATGTTGTATAGACGGATCGTATGGCATGTATAGTGGCAAATCCCCTGGTTTAGCTCCAGGGTCTGGTGTCAGAGTGTGCATGTAGGGCGTACCATGAAACGAAGGAGGAGGAGTGCCCATATCCGAGATGATGGAGTGAGGACTTGGGGAATCGTTGCTGCTAAGTGCCGCGGAACGAGGCATTGGCAGCGCCAGCGGCGCTACAGTAGATGTATGCGGGCCATTCCTGGCGTCCGATGGGTATGGGCTGACCGGTGAGGTCAAAAACGCCGTTGTGTTGCAAGTAATCTTCTTCTCAAGCGTAGCACTTAATGACGCAGATGACGAAATCTGGTCGTATGATCGATCGTTCAAGCCACCCATTGCCGCAACGATGTCCGAGTCAGGGATGCCACGATCATGGAGCAGCGCTCGCAATCTGCGGTTCTCGTCCAACACCTTGCGGGCAGCACTTTGGATTTCTGCGGAAGCCTCGATGCCCACCTGCTCGTAGTCACGCAATCTAGCTTCCAGCTCGTGCAAATATTCCTTTCGCCGCGCTCGTGATCGTCCTACGTACCAGTCAATATACGTTCGCTCGGGGCTTTCGGCAGCCTCGGGTAACTTCGCTATCGCGACTAAGACGAGTATGCAGCATGCTAGAGTGTAGAATGCGCGTAGTCCCGTGTCCCCGAAGGGAGCAGTGGTTGCTCCGAGAGAGCGATACCATTGGGTAGGCTGGGTCGACTTACGCTGATTGTCACGGATTCGAGCAAGATTCTGTGCCTTCTAAACGCATTATCAGCTGTGGTGTCTTCTCGGCCAGGGCAACCAGTACGCTCACCTTGGGGTCGGTCATAGTGTAAAGTGACAAACAGAAGAAATCGCTGCGAAGGAGAAATTTTATGCGCAATGTGCAAGTTGATGGTATGACGGAGGGCCAATGGAGCAGTCATGATAGTGGATATGTACCTACACAACTAGTCGATCTCCAATGGTGTGCGGATGGGGATTAGAAGCGCCACCAAGTACAGGGAGTGCGAGTAGCTGCAGTAGGCCTTGCACCAAGCGGTCTGTGTCTGAGCGTCGCCCTTTGGTAGCCCCTCGCTCTAAGATACTAGGTGCACGGCAAGGGTGGTGTAGGGGCTTATTCCGACTACACTGGATCAGTCGGCTAACTATCGCGTAGATGACTTATGTAAAATTACGCGTAATATATCAAAGTCTATGCCATCACGTGCGTGCCCCTGCGACCCCGGACGCTAAGGCGCCCGACAATTTCGGAGGCGGAGTCTCAGCTTCAGCCCTAAAACACGGATTCTGCATGCGGCGCGACGTCCTCACAGCCTCGTCGTGCTGAGGTCGGTATACATCGTGCAACGCAGCTGCCGCTGAATTGTGTCTCTCCACACTGCCGAGCTCACCAGACCATCAACACCAGTTCTGAACAAAGCGCGCTAATGCGACGCGCCAAATAGGGGCCTCTTCAAACTCAACGACATGGCTATTTGGAAACGACAGACCTCAGGTCATAACGGCGCCTTCGACCCTACCTACCGGTTCTCGACGTCGTGGATCCTTCCGCCGGGTGTACTCTTCTTCGCGCGCGCGCTTCTCTCGCTATATGCCTTCGCGACACTTTTCTACATCTTTGGTTGGAACGGGGCACATGGGAGGAACATAGACTCTCGACGTTCGTTCTCATTCTTCACCATCCTGACATACTGGGGGCTTGCATTCTACTTCGCATTTGCTGCTGCACATACTGGAAGCTACTGGCTTACGGGTAGGCCCTTTCTGAACCGCTGGTTCGCTCCCCTCCGGTGGGCCCACAGCGCTTTCTACTCCACCATAACTGTGTATCCTTTCATCGTGACTGGTACGTGCCTGTATTCCGAGTGATATCTCGACCCACTAAATCTATGATAGCGGTATTTTGGGCTCTGCTCGCACCGAAGAATGGCTTCGCTTCTACCAAAGACCTGTGGTCCAACACATCCCAACATGCGCTCAATTCGTTCTACGCCCTCTTCGAGATAGTGATCCCCCGGACAGAGCCTCTTCCGTTTCTCCACATGATCGTCATCGTCTTCATCTTGGCCTTGTATCTTTCCCTGGCTTATCTTACCCATGCCCTGCAGGGCTGGTATACATACGATTTCTTGAACCTGGACAAGCATTCGAGCGGGGTCGTGGCAGGTTACATTGTTGGAATCCTAGTGGGGTCCCTCATTATATTTCTTATCGTCAGGTACTTGATATTGCTGCGCATGTGGCTCACGGAAAAGAAACTGGGCAAGACTGGAAAGTTTTCTAACCGTGACCACCGAAGCATGAGGGACGAGGAAGTAGGGAAGCATGAAGAAATGCATAGCATGGGCGTCAAATAGTGAAGCTTGCAGTAGTGAAGCTAGTTAATGTTTATCTTAGGCTTTGGATTCTATTTCTGTACACCGTACCCGCATCAGCAGCCGGCGAGTGGAGGCCGTGCAATCATCAATCAATGTCATTTCACACTTCTGTTTGCGCTGCATATCCCGGCAAGCAAGTTGCTTTTCTCCAAACGTTTAATGCACGTCAAGGCACATATGTCGAGCACACATCCTCGTCCCTGTCGTCTCCCGCGTATATGCAACAGGAAAACGTTGCTGCTAGGCTTGGATCCCCTGACCTCCGTACGTGCGCCTGCTTCTCGGGTAATTGTACACTTTCGCGTCGCCGCTCTAAATCTTTGCAGATCGCCACGTAGGACATGACACAACTAGCTAAGTCCATGGTTTCGCAGCGTGGCGCAATAGCCTTTGTGGTGGAATGCCCAAGCTTTTATACTCGTCTCATGAGGTCTAAGAGTGGCATTGCTGGTGTGGAGCCCGACCCCTGGTGACTGCAGAAGTTACCCAGTAACACACGTTGGTGGACGATGGACAATGTGCGATGGCGCTTTACACTCCAAAGCGGTATATCACCATGAACAGATGACCCGGTGGGGGGGCTTAGCATTCCAGACCAATGCCCTGCTTCTCTCCCACGCACATTCGCCGAGGTGCTCTCGCTGTTAGTGGGGACCGAAGGCAGCGTAGATGGCCGTCTGTGACAGGGGTAAAAGGGCCCTGACTTGTAGTACATGGTGCTTGTCGGGAAAGTACCGCATTTTTGGGACACTGAAGAGGCGGTCTAGTTGGAGGGAAAGGCCGTTGTGGGCCTACGAGTAGGTCGGGGTCCTCTGAAGCCCAAAAGCCCCAGTGGCAGGCGACCGCCGAGAGCTGACAATTTCGGAGCCGGCCATCACTGTAGAACATTCCTGCTGTGGTGCGCTAAGCGGGTTAGCTAACTAGGAGCTACTGATCCTAAACAGGTGGGCAACGGATCTCGTGCTAACTTCCCGTCGCACAGTGGCCAGTGAACTACAACACCAAGCCCGAACAGCGGACTTCTATGGCCTCCTCCTGCATCTATCTGAATTTTTCAGGACCAAAATTGCGAGTTGTAGCCAGTAGCATGCGGCTCAGGATAGAATCTCAGCCATTGCTTTGGCTTACAATATGCAAGCGAAGCCTGCATGGGGCTTGAATCGCGGCTGGCTGCTTTCTTGTTTTCCTGGCGTCATGCCTGGAGTATCGATTCACTGTTGACACTGGTGACTTTTGCAATCAATATGGCTGATCTGTTGCGCAATAGAGACTGAACTGACTTTGGACGACGGAAGGGTTAGTTGTTTGGTTGTTTGGTCGTAAGGATATGGATCTTGTTTGAGAGGACCCGCACGAGCCTCGTAGCTGATATCAGTAGTCATACCAGGTCCTGGACGGTACGATCGTTCGGTGCAGTTGCCAAATGTTCAGGTGCCTGGACATCAGTAAGGGCTCCCAAGCATCATGATAGGATCTGGTGCCATTGTTCACTATGAGGCCACCGTCTCAGAATGACGAAGTTTGAAGTTCACGTGGAACGTTCTATATCCTATCCTACCTACCCTCGATTACGTACTTGGCCCTTCAATGGGCTGCTGCACTCCTCCCGCAATCCCTAAATATCCGTTTCCGCCATCATCCCAATGGGCCGAGATTTAGTGTACCGTGCGATGCGCGCAATTTAGAAGCTAGGTACGAAGTGATCTCTGTCCATGCACTCGCCCAGTCAGTGTGAACAAAGGTGTCAGTCCCTATTCGAAAAAGCAGCGCACGATTCGCAAGATAAACCGTCCTGAGCTAACCCTGTTCTCTGAAGGATCGGGATGCCTGTCATTACGCGGTTCTTGCATGCTTGGAGCCATCCCTTTGCGGTAAGTTATCGCTAGGTGTCCCAGTCTCAAGATGCGGACGCCGATAGACTACAAGTGCACTTCATGTAAGCGGAACTTTTCGTAGCGTCCCGCCGGCTCGGGACTAATTGTAGCCGTTGGAGCCAAACATCGTCGTCAGACACGCTACTGACCCAGATTACAGATGCAAGCCAAGTGGCCTGGTGTTCAAGGCTAGCACCACGCAACGGCACCCAAGATGTCGCCGATTCCAATAGGTCGGAAAGAATGAGAAAGCCTAAACCTTTCCTGAGTGTGGTGCATGTCAGGGTCAGTACGTGAAGGTGCAGGCTGCGACGCGACTGGGATCTCTCTATGGTGGCACCCTCTCCATGGAGATTACCGATTATCGGGACGTGGGTGGGTTCAAGCTTGAGGCTCACGGCATTTCCTATACTTGCACAGGGGCGGAAATATGACGCCATGCCCTGTCGCCACCTGTCGACAACGCGTGTAAGCATCCGCGCAGGGGGCCTGTGGGGGCAATAACCAGGGCCTAGCGCGTGGAAAGCAGGCAGGGGACGAAGAGTGACCGGTCACGCTTTCGGGTAAGTGTACGACACTGGCTATGTATCCTCTAATTCTATGCTAATCAGTTCTCCCATCGGCGAGATTCACTTGTGAAACTCGTACCATTGCGGCCCGCTGCGCATTCAAGCGTGCGCTTGCGCGTTACTGCGAGATCATTCCGTCGCAGATGCACAGATGTAGCCGTGCTTCTGAACTTGCATTACGGGCGCATCAAGCGCGCACCGCCGACTGATGGATGCAGGAAAGCCTGCCTTTCACCACATGAACGGAGTAGAATCAACTATTGGCATGATCTAGGGAAAACATAGCCGAGGTCGACTCCTAACCCTAACTCGATAAGGCTTGAGGCTAGCGTGTAATTTACACAGCCTGTATTCATCATCAAGGTGCTCTTGCGACTGGCCATCCCAACGGCCAATAGCAAGAACATCACGTATAAGCACGCAAATCTCATCATTGAAACAATGATAGAAACAATATACATCGTCCGACACGCAGTGAGTCCCGTCTGTGTGCGGCTATGAGCCACAACAGCCCCCCCAAGCGGGCGGAGCCCCGCCAGCGACAGTGCCACATGTCCTATCCTCAGATGCAGCAGTGTAGGCCGGCTTTACAAGCCGCAGCATTGGATGCTGGCTGACCTCGCGGCACAGTTTCGCTCAAACTGGGATGTGAATCCTCAGACAGGCGTGTATACAGCGAACACACGGACCCCGACTGGAATTCCAACGGACCCAGCGCTTGCAGCACACGGTGTAGCACAAGCTGCGGAACTTGCCGAGTACCTGTGTGCCATCGAACCACCGGTTGATCGGATTTACTCAAGCCCGTTTTATCGGTGTTTGCAGACACTTAAGCCGACGACCGAGAGACTATTCAAGGAGGGCAGTGGAGGCCGCAAAATTAGGATAGATCGCGGTGTTGGGTGAGTAAAAAAGATACTGATCTCCTGATTGACATTTTCGTGCAGCCTCGATGCTTGCCAGATTGTACCAGACGCTGATGCACTAATGCCGGGCAGCGAGTTCTTTGGGCGGGCCGACTTTGAGCATCCAGCTCCTCCGAGCATTGAGATCCTGAACAAGCACTTTCGAGACCTCGATCAAGACTACGTCTCTGTACACATTCCGCCCGCTAACGGGGAGTGGCTCAGCGAGCTCCATCAGCGCGTCACTAGGGCTCTGACCAAAATCGTCACTGACCTCGACCATGACCCCGAGCAGCCCAAGACTCTTCTTATTTGCACCCATGCAGCTACAATGGTCAGTCCCGCACTCGCGATCAACTTGTGTTACTCCAGTACTCTACGCATCGGGGAAGTAGGCAACCAGAGCTCGCCTCTAGCCCGCACACGTGCACTACCTAATGTGAAGGATCGTTGCTAACATACACATCAATCGTGCAGATTGCCGCCGGTCGCGCTCTAACCGGGAAGATACCGGCTGATCTCAATGAGGACGACTTTCAGTGTTACACCGCCTCCTTATCAAAATATGTGCGGAGAGGCTTTGAGCTTGAGAAAGGCGTGGCGGGTAACTGGGACTGCGTCCTCAATTCGGAGACTGGCTATCTTTCAGGTGGCGCAGAAAGAGGATGGTAAGTCCCCCGTTTGTTCTCCACCATCGTGGCGAGCCTGTGCTCTAGACGACCCTTTCCGGCAGGCGAAGAACGACGAGGCAGGCGATCCGAACTCATACGACAGCGGCGCAGCCAAGCTGACACCTAAGCGCGACGAGAAGTTCCTGATTTACAAAGCCATGGGATGGGGTCCTCTACTCGCTCGGCTTCCCCGAACACATAGACCACCGCTAATGTCTCTAGGAAATTCAACGGCGAGGAAAGCTTCGTCGGTTTTCCCGAGGACGCTCAACGGGAAGGTGAGTCACCAAAGCTTTAGTGCTCTTTCAAACCGAGCGCTCCGGCATGGCATGGCATCTTTGGAGTATAATATTGTGGCATCTCTAGCGAGTGCATCGAGGAGATCACTACTTGGTGGAAGGCTCTCTACACAACCTGTCATGCATTTGGACAGCAAAGTCGGTTCCCCAGCATCGTCTGCCAAATATCACAGCTTGCGGCCGACTGCCGGTTACAACCGTGCATTTCAACCCACTAAAGCGCTTCGCCCCCGACCATCAGTTTCAAAGCCCTGTAGTGCAACTGCCCGCCGCATCCCGTTCGTTAGTAGACCACTTGTCTGGGACTTGGCTCAGAAGACCGCTGCTGAATCACCTTCCTCATCGTCAAAATAACCTCGAGCGCAACCCTGCACATATAGCCCATTAGCCTACCCGGCGCATTGGGACACGTCTCACATTGTAAGATCCGTGACCAACAGACCTGTGACGAATACAACGGCTGTGGCGCGTCTCATTTCGCCAGCTGGGCCCAGATGTCAGGTCATCCAAATCCTGCGCCCGCTGCCCGCTGCGCACGTGCGTTGCGCGTGTTGCAAAGGGATCGCTGCTGGAAAGGAACAGGATGCCGGCTGGAATACGGCGACTGAGATACGGTCTGTTCTCACGTCAAATTCCTTGGTTCTGGTTGTTAGCGCACAACTGGGCTGTGGAGACGTACTAAGATTTTGGGGGCGCTCTAGGTGCCTACTTAGGAACAGGTTGAGGCAGCATTTCGGCGGTGTCGGAGTTCGAATAGGCGACCAGAGGGCAGGGTTTAGACAGTACCAAGCAGCGGTTCGGGGTGCGCGGCATGTCCGGTTTTAGATAGTTCCTTTTCCGTGTGGGTGTTCATACCGATCGTGATGTTACAGACACTTCTTATACTACAGAACCCTGGGGCGTTACTCTCGCGCATATCATCTTGGAACCTATTCAAGTACAGATGTCACGTCCAACACAACCTCTGTTAGTAGGTTGATAACTTGTTAACCTACAAATTTCAGAGCAAGCCGATCGCCAAGTAGTAATCATTACTCTCTGGGGTTTTGCGAGGGATTCTATCCTCGTGGGTTGCATCAGACGTGCCAACACCCTGCATCTTAAGGGCTCTGCCAACAGCTGCAGTACGCCTATGTATGAAGGTCGCGTCATGCGGCGACTATGTAATATTCCTACTTTAGGAGCATAAGCACCACACCGTAACGAAGCAGTTTTCAGGCCGTGCGTATCTGCAGCACGGAGTTCAGCGACAGGATTTTCGACCGTAAACTTTTGCACTTTGGATTGACTCCTCTCCAAATGTTTGCTAATCACAGAACGTGCATCGCTACTTGACCTGATTTTACACTCTGTGCTGAATCTTTACGAGTCCGCTTCTAAATACATCAGCTGAGAAGAGCCAAACTCCGCGGTACTACATTGACACTGTAACGACAGCCGCTCGAGATGACTGAGACCGTACTCGCTCAATGACCAATATGACTCTGCCTCCTCCTGCCTCTTCACATAGCCCTTAAGTGCCTTTTGAGCAGCGAAAGTCTTCCCTTTGTCACACACTCCCACCATTCAATGATTCCATTGAAGAGAAGTATGGCCAAGCGAAAACAATCTTCACGGGAGGGGAAAATAACAAAGCTAGGAGACTGAATCCATCAAATGACACTCCCAGCTGCATACTTCCCAAACAATGTTCTCTTTTGAAAATGACGACACATATCATATAGTCATCCATCCTGCTTTAGAGTCAACTAGGCAAACAGCGTGTAGTCCAACTATCATGCACTTCTCATATAACGTCCTCAGCGCAGGATGACTCACAACATCATTTCACTATACTCATCAGGAAATCATAGACTGCACCCTTTCCTAGGTTTATACACCATACTCGTTTTCCTTACATCTACCAGGATACACTTTGCGTCAAGTTGATTAACTTCCACACTTTATATCCAGCACACGCTCGGGCGCTGTCACAGCCCATTACAGTTGATAAACAAGTCAGAGAATCAGGCATTCCTAACCGCCGTCCCACTTTCACCCATATCACCTTATATCTCATTGTCCTCCAGACGCCACCGTCACTGACACAAACACACCATGGTACACAACGGTGTCCAACCCTCTATCAGAGAATGTGCGATACGTCAAGGCGTACAACGCACATCGAATATATAGCAGCCAAAGATAGTCAAACACGCCGTGAGCCCAGTGCGTCCAGTCTGGCTGGATGACCTGTACTCGAATAGGTCGTTGAAAGCTCATACAGCCTCGACACCAGGCCAGGGATTGCCATGCTATTGCCAGGAGATATAGCGACTGGCTTCCCCGTGTAAGACACCGGCGATACCATACTTGAAGACATCCTCCCTGGAGCCCTGATACGCGACGAGCTGCACGCTTCGGAAACAACTACCTGCTCTGACATCTGCGACATAGACGTACTCTAGACTTGGCACACACTCCACACGCGACAACGAGATGCATCCCGCACCACGGCGCCACGTCAGAAGCACCTCTAAATGCACGCATAATCGAGTCTATACAATGCGGATAGGCGACTGGCATGAGCCTCCCAACACAGTCACTCTTGCAAGTCGCAAATCAGCGCACGGCCATGAGTGACCGACTCGAGAACGAACGCAGCCTAACGGGGGTAAAAGCATGGCGACTAGGGAATGAAGGAAGATATGGGCTTTGCCCAAGAGCAGACGCATGGTAAAAGCTGTGATGCCCAGGACGAGCGCTGTCACTACCGCAGCTAGAACACCTTGCGACTTGGAAGTGAGTGAAGAATAGCACACTGCTCGCGAGTCAATTGTACCAGCACCTGCGAAGATCATCTTTCCTCGGGCTCTCCGACACGTTCGTATTACGGCCGAGTGAAACCTAGGCTCCCCCCTCCCTCGCACGCTTCCTGCTAGCACCTGTGTGTAGTCTCGCTCTGTGATGGCGTGGTATTCGCCCCGTACTCGCGCTGTATTCGCGTCTTCTACTTTACACTCGCACGCCACGCCTTGAGCCTGCAGCACATCTAGCTGGACCTCGCGTAGGCAACGCATCATAGCAGTAATCCAAACACATGCTCTCCTCATAGCGGCACATCCTCCATCATCTGTAGCGCGCCCTCTCGCCCCACGGTGATGATGACGTCGCCCAGCGTCTTCGTAGCAAACCCCGCCTCGCTGTACCGAAAGTAATAATCCCACTTTCTCCGGAACACCTCTGCGCCCTCTGCGTCCATGCCCTCGGCCTGCTTCTCGAGCAGCAGCTGCGGCTTGATCCTCCCCTCCCAGTTGCCCAGGAACGCCTCGCGCCAGAGCCGCAGCGCCTTCGCGTAGTGCGGACCGATGTTCTCCACGCTGTCGACAACGAGCGAGCCGGCGGAGCCGTTCGTGATCGAGTTGACGAGCTGGGTGACAGTGGGGAGATGCCCGCCGGGGAAGATGTAGCGGCGGATGAAGTCGTCTGATTTCGCGTAGGCGTCGTACCGCGCCTCGGGCATGGTGATGCACTGGAAGCATGCGATGCCGCCCTCCTTCTTCAGCAGCTTGTCTATACACCGGAAGTACGTCCCCAGGTACTCCTTGCCGACTGCCTCCAGCATCTCGATCGACACCACCTTGTCGAACGCGCCCGTCTCAGGGACCTCAAGACTTCGGTAGTCGCACAGCAGCACTGTGATTCTGTCTGACATGCCGGCTTCCCGTATCCTCTGCTCTGCCAGCTCTTTCTGCTCGATTGAAAGAGTTAGCGATGTGACCCGGCAGCCAGTCCGTTGGACGGCCCGCATGGCAAAGCTGCCCCACCCGGTGCCAATCTCCAATACGTGATCGCTCGATTCTATGTGTGTGTTGTCTATGAAGCGGTCGAGTTTCCGAATTTGCGCATTCTCGAGCGTTTCGGTAGCGTGTGCGGGGTTCGATTTCGGAAACCATATTGGGCTCGAATAGGTCATATCTGGTGAGAGAAAAGCGGCAAACATTTCGTTCGAGATGTCATAGTGCGCAGAGATGTTCAAGCGGGCATTTTTGAGGTTGTTGCTTCCTCGCACGAGGCCGGCGAGGCCTGTAGATACAGCTGACGTGAAAGTCGAGCCGTTGGAAAGGTAATTGCGATTTAATATGAAAAGCTGTCGTGGTAAGCATAGAAAATCTGGCCTATGGAATCCCGCTTACCTCAAAGAACTGTGTGAGGTCTGGCGAGGTAACTTCTCCCAGCATGTAGCTCTCCGCGAAACCCTTCCCTTTGTGAGCGCGACGATCTCAAACCAGCGCTGGGCCTCAGAACCTACCATATCCGCGAAAAGTGCTAACCGAACCCAGAACTTCTCATCGTGGACTGCAAGCGATGCGAACGGGTGCTCTGGCGATTTGTGCCCAAAAAACGTTGCTGGTTTATCAACGCCGTCCTCGTACACCGCCAGCGATCCAATTTTGATGCCTTTCAACTGCGCGAGGGTCCCGCTCTTGCAAAGCGAAACAAGCGGTTCCCAGGCATGGGAAGCCACACCATTCCATATAGTGGCAACGGGACTCGTCAACGCGCCCAGGACCGCCATTGTGACCTCTTGTCGTGTACGTGAGATTGGCAACAGTGAAAAGAACGCCCACCGGGGTATCACTAATTGTGGAAGATAAATTCAAACGCTGCAAAGCCAAGCTATAGTGATTGTCAAGACCGAGGGACGACTCGAGGAATGCGCGTGTATAAAAGAAGCGGATGCTAACAGCAGACACCGCAAACACCGATTGTGGACACTTCAGACGGGGCAATGAAGTCTGGCCTCGGCCGTGCCCGGATGAGCCGAAGCCGACGGCTTTGCGCCATCTTGCAAGATTTGTGTGGCAGGTGTTTGAGGTGCAGAATCGACGAGGGACGTTGGAGGTACTTTGCCGTTTTAAGCGTTTGATGAATCATGGAATCACGATCGCGTGCGCTTGTACTTTATGGCTTGCACTGTAAGGCGGCCAATTCACATTGCATTTGGATCACAACCGTCGCAGCATGTGTCCTGGGGCAGCAGCCGTTCATATACTTGACCGGCTGGTTGTAGGTGTGTACATGACGTACCCAGCTCTGCAGTTCAGTTTGCGGCCGCGGCGACGCGTCGTGCTAGTGAGGGGCTCTGCTGCAGGGCGCGAAGCTTGTGCAAGGTACTGCGTCTGCTTCTGTCATGCAGCCTCATGCATGCGCGAGCCTCAGATAACATTCATCCACGGATTAGTTCAGTAGCCGGCGGCAGTTGCTGCTCTCGCGCGACTTGTGACTTGGTGAACTGGCCCCGCAACTGCATGGAGCGCTGCCGCATCGTCCACCCCACGCAACCCGGTCGCACACCCGAACACACATCCACCATGGCGGAAACAATCGATCGCAACATGGACGACAAGATGGAGTTCTCCACGTCCAAGGAGGTCACCGTGGCGCCCACCACCAAAACCGTAGCCGTCGTGGCAGACCGCCTGTTTCGTTTCGGACGACTCAGGCCCACTGTTGATATAACAAGCGTAAAGCTTATCGCCCCCTCGGCGATGCAATCCACAACGGGATTGTGTTTTGAGTGTGAGGAAGAGTTCGAGGTGGTCTTGCTGTTTGGACAGGGTTGAGCCGCGGCATCCAGAATCGCAAGGATGAATCGGCCCTAAGCGCGCAGCGCGTGCGCGCGACGCGTCTCCCAAACGAACACTGTGGGTTGGCCTTGACGACGTACAACATCATATCCGCGATCCAACAATACCCACAACCAACCCTACTGATCACCGCCCTAACGCTGTCCTGCACCGTGCGACACTCACCATGATAGCCATACAATCCGCCAGCGCAAAGAAATGCACCCCAAACCTCCTCCCCGCCCGCCTCAACCACAACGGGCCCGTAAACGACACAGCGCACTACTGGAAGCCCGAGGTAGACGACAAAGGTAAACAGTGCCATCTGGTCCTAGCAGGACTGCTCAAGCACTAACATGACCCCAAGGAACATCCCACGCCTACCTCCGCGGCCGCCATCTGCACGGTACCCCTCTCGCCCTGCCTTCAACACACACCGGCGCCGTCCTGCAAATAACAGATAAGAATCTACCACAGATGCGAACTCAACCCGCGGACGACGAAGATGACGAGGGCGAGCAGGAGACTGTGGAAGTCAAGGTTGCAGAGCAGATAGGTGAATTCGAAGAGGTGGTGGTCTGGGGGCACGGCGGGCAGGTCGAGGAGGGACAGGACATGTTCATTAGGGGGATGAAGGAGTGGATGGGGTTTGCGGAGGCTATGCATGGAGAGGACGAGGACGAAGGCGCCGAAGGCGAGAAGAAAGCAAGTTGAACAAGAGAAGAGTGCATGAACAGACCAATGCCCTCACTGAGAAGAAGGAAGCCCAAACATAGGACAACGCCACTTCCAAGCGGCATGCTGTGGATATACCCCGGCATTACCCGAAGATGTCACCGGGAAGACATGACAGCTAGCTTGAGGAAAGAGCAAGCGGCGCGGAAGGCGCAAGACCGAGAGCGGAACCCAGCAATCTATTTATCAAAATTAGAGCACCCTTCCGTCTCTATCTACAAATTCCACTCCCTCTGCCCTCCCCTCAACTTTCTTCACCAATCCACTCTCATCCCACCCAAAATCTACCTCCCCGCCACCCCTCAACCTCAACCCCTTCACGCTCCCCCCACCCCAACTCTCCGGAATCGCCGGTCCCAGCACCACGGTCCTCTCCCCTCCACCGTTCATCCCCACCTCCTCAACATCCACAACAAGCATACTCAGCACCGCCCCGGCCAGCCCGAAATTCGCGTCGATCTGAAACGGGGGGTTCGTCCCAGAGTACATGCTCAGCGCATTCCCTGCGAAGTTCTGCTCAATTGCGTACTTCAGCTCAAAGTATGCGCGCTCCGTGTTGTTCAGGCGCGCCCAGCATGCGGAGCGCCAAACCTTGGCCCAGCCTGCGTTGGCGTCGGGGCCGTTGCCTACGCCGCGCGAGTAGAGCGATGTCTCGATTGCCTCTTGGATGCTGGTGTTAGTGTAGCCGCCTAGGAAGGAGCCGGACCGTGAGGCGAGCGTGAGGCCTGGGTACCAGCCCCAGAGGTGCGAGAGGTGGCGGTGGGTGTCGTTCTGGACATCGTAGACCTCTGCGGCTTCGGGGTCCGGGAGTTTCCATTCCGCGACGCTGTCCCAGGAGGTTTTGTGGAAGCCTTTGTCGAGTCGTGTGAGCGTAGTGCTGATGTTGCTGATGAATGCGGAGTCGGGCTCTTCTGCGAGAGGGCCAAGGATAAGCATGTTGGCGAAGAGTTGATGGAGCAGCTGCTGGTAGTGGGCACAGCCGAAGGTCGTAGGGCCATGCTCTGGGCTGTTGCAAGGGTTGACAACAAGGCTGCCATCGTTCCAGAAGCGGTCTTCTTGAAGTTGCGATAGCCAGAACTGAGTGACCCCTTTGAGGAGAGGGTAGCCTGTCTGTTGCAGCCAGGTAACGTTCTGGGAGTATGAGAAATGATCTGTGACGTGCTGCATCATCCAGGCAGCTGAAGCTGGGTAGTTGGCCCACTGCGCCTCTTCTTTCATGCCCGTATGTCCAAAGATGTTCATCTCGTCATGGACGACCCAACCAGGTGCTCCGTATAGTAGCTTTGCGGTCTCGGTTCCTCGAGGCACCCATGTATCCTGCATGTATCGCCAGAGACCATCTTGGACTTCTCCAAGTCCAGTCTGCTCAGCAGCCCAATAGTTCATCTGTAAATTGATGTTGGCGTGGTAGTCGCCCGACCAGGCCGCAGTCAAATCGGGGCTCCAACGTCCCTGCAAATTCGCAGGAAGCGAGTTCTCGCGAGAAGACGAGATGAGTAAATGTCGCGAGTAATCAAAGAGTAAACCTTCCACGAAAGGGTCCCCTGCTGCAGAATTATAGCCATCAAGTAGAGTCGCAGTCTCGATCCGAGCTGAACCATTTGGGTCAGGTAGTTCCAGCACAAAACTATTCGAAAGCTGTTGATAGTCGTTGACGTGTCTTTTCTGGAGCGCGCTAGGACTTAGAGATGCAGCAGCTGCCGTCACATCCTGAACGTATTCCACCGGATCATCGCCTTGAAACGAGAAGGCATTGGCTACGTTGCCCTTCGTCTGATCATAGTTGGTCCCTGCGCTTACCACTATACTCAAAGACCTCAATCCTGGAGTTGAAGGAACAATAACTTCTCGGCCCTCGCACCTGGTCAGATTACTAGATCCAACGATCCTCGCCACGCTCTCGAACTTCATTCCCTCTGGAGGTCCAACTTGGGTGACGCCGCTGAGCTTGGCATATCCATCGACGCAGGAAGACTGGACGAGTGTATCATTGAGCAATTTGTTTTCCAATTCGATCGAAAGCTGCGGTAACGTGGCGTTGGCGTTGAGCTGGTACAAGCAAATTTGGTCGGGGAAACTGCAAAATACAGTACTCGTGAAGCTTACTCCTTTCACGTCGGTGAATCTCGTAGCGTGTAATCCCGTTGTGAGATCCAACTCTCTCCGGTAGGATCCCTGCTGGATGCTGGTGTTGTATGATATCGACAGGTTGCCCATGACTTGGTAAGATCCATAATTATCCCCACTACCCAGGAGTTGGGATACATCTGTACAAGTTAATGGAGCTCGAATTACTGGATGCTTACATACTGCCTGTAGTATTTTGGAATATCCAATCGCGAATGCCGGCAAGATATGAATATTTTTCCTCGCTGGGATTGCCTCCAACGTAGCTCTGTTCCTGGTTAGAGCGGATTCGGCGTACGTTGGGCGCGGCATACGGATCATACAGTGGAAGCAAAAGGTCCCCCAGACCATAACGAATCTACGTTCAGTATAATCTTCTCATTACCGGGAGAGCCAAACGGCATCGCTACTCGGATTAGCCAATTCCTCTGGAGATCAGACCAGTTCATCTTACCTCCGAGCTTCCCATTTCCAAGTAGGTATGCTTCTCGAATTACATTAGCGTAGTTTGTCGCTGGTAGTGATGACCACAGGGATTTGGCAGTGCAAGGACCTGTTGCCAGTAGAATAACGGAATAATGTCGAAGAGGGAACATCGTTGATATTGACGTTCACGGCCTCGGTGGCAGGTGATCATTCCCAACCATTTATTCGACTACAGGTTATTTATTGCTGTGTACATGCGGAGGAATACATGGATCTGGTCGCAGATCAGCTGCAGGTACAGCGGGGTAAGAGCTACGGTTAATTAATATCCTCATGCTCGATGTCGAAGCTCGGAAGCCACACTGCAATTGCGAATGCTTTTGGGGTGCTTTTCTCGGGATCTCCGTGGCTCGGTGACATTGTGTACACAAGTACGAAATTTTCCGTATCGGATGATCGGGAAGGGACAAGTAAAGCATGGAGTCGGATCTCTTATGCCAACCGCCATGATCCGAAAGAGGGGAGGCTTTTTTTTTTTTTACATCAACCAGACAATGTAGTGCGGGTGAGAGAGCGCCGAGTCTAGGTCATGTCCTGGGTGCACAATCTTGGAAGAGGTTGTTACATGGACGAGCTGTACCTGTTGTGGAAGGTTATCCCGCTTGATTGACTGTATGAAGAGTTGCTCGAGTTGGAGACCATCCAGACATATAAATAACCATTGTATAAGGCTTAGGCACCAAAGCCTCATACTTCCCGTCGCCGTGACCGAGTTTCCCGATTAGGCAATTTGCGACGGTCGTTGATTCCGGTGTGAAAGTGATGGCGCCATCACCAACCATTTCGCCCAGCGATTGGTGGCAAGCGCAAGCGAGCAAGCCTCGGCAGCACCTTCCCCTGCCATCGCTACCCACCGCGAACCCCTCCAAAAACATCTTGGTCCTCACGGCAAGATCTCCAAGTATTCAAAATGCCTCGCCCAAAGCGCCAACTTCATGCCACGGTTGAGGAAACCCTCACGCCGCCCGATACTCTCACATCCACGCAAGTGATCGCGCGCATCACCACAGGCGCCGGCAACAACCTCTACAACGCCGAGCTACCTGACCGCAAGCCCGTCCTCGTCGAGCTCGAGCCAAAGTTCCGGTCTACGATATGGATCAAGCGCGGCAGCTATGTCGTCGTAGATACACAGACACTCGCAGATAGAGACAACAAGATCGACGGGGAAATCATAAATGTAGTGCGCGACGAGAAAGCTTGGAGGAAAATGGGATATTGGTATGTCTACACTATGCTATGCTAGAAAACGCGGGTATATGGTGCGAAAATGTACAGTTTTGTTGATACAGCACAGGCCGAAGGAGTTTGCCAAGAAGTCGTCGTACGGCGAGGACAGTGACGAGGAATCGACGGTGGGAAAGCTGCCGCCGTCGGATTCTGACGAGGAGTAGGTCGCAATGCCATGTTACTCTGCGTGGGCATGCTCGACGGGCTTGCCGTTCGCCTCCACTGCTTCGAGCTCGGAACGAGTGCCCCACCATACGCCCACGATCGTTGTCGCGAGTACGCCTACCACTGTCGCCGAGGACAGCGGCGTGCTGGGATACACGTTCCACGCCCACTCTTGCGCGCCCCACAGCACATACTGTACGACGGGATGGAATCCTGCTTTCCACAGGAGGAAGGGCGTTGTCCATGCGAGATAAGCATAGAACTGGTAGTGCAGGGAGCGAGCGCAGAGCATGCCGATAGCCACCGCGGAAAGCATGGTTGTCATAATAAAGTTGGGCGTGATCCTTCGGGCAATCTGATCCTGGTCGCGAGGCTCGTCCCGGATCATACGCAGGAACGCACGCGGTCCGCGTCTGGAGGGCTTCATCCAGATGGTGCGGGCAAACCAGTACAAGAGGCCCACGTGCACCGCAAGCAGACCAAGGGCAAACGGCCTAGAGAGAAAGGTAGACTCAGGGACAAAACGCCAGTTGACAGTCCATTTGTACAGGAACTGGCGGGTTAGTTCAAAGGCCCTGGCGAAATAAGACGGCGCTCTTTTGCGGAAGGGGTAGCCGTATGCAACCTAGGCAATCGATCAGCATAAAGCCTTTACACCTCCTGCGGATGATTGAAGCATACCGTGACCTGCACAACGATCATAGCCTGCGTGATAGCCTCCGTCGACCCCAGCGCCTGCAGAAAGATAATCCCCATCGCCGGCAACGGCAGCAGCAGGCTCATCTTCACATTCAATCCCGTGGTGTAGAAAAAGCTGCCCAGATGCCAGTTCTTAGTCTGGTAGCAATAAATCGCTGCGAATAGCCCCAGCACCGCAAAACAGTCATTAAAGCACCGCAGCACAAAGATACTGTGCAGCCGCTTCGACAGGATCAGCAGCGGGAACACATACGGCGGGACCTTCGCATTGCGGTAGCACTGCAGCACCACCGCCAGCGTGAGCAGATACACCAGCGCGAAGATGTACTGCGCGAGCTGGATGTTGGTCCCCTTGTCGGTCAGCCAGTACAGCACGCGGTAGATTAAGACGTGCGCGCCGGGATACACCAGCGGCCCTGTGCCGCCCTCAATAAGCTTATAATCTCTTTCGCCCTTGTTGTAGATGGCTATCTGCTCCATGTAGGCTTTCCAGTCGATTTCTGTGTCTGCATGATGAAGCGTGTTAGAATGGTACACGTGGTGCTACTCTCGTCGCCAAAGCACGTACACGGCACAAATTCGATAATCAGCCCGCACAACGCGGCGTCTGCAACAAGAAGGAGTGGATATATCCATTTCGTGTGCGCGGGATTCGTCGCCAGGTCTCGCAGGGTTTCCATTCTGGCGTATTGGGGATGGCTATGTGGTGGGCGTGCGGGCTTAGCGATGGTGATATAGAGATGCGTGGTCACGTGGGGACCATGGCCGTCGGGTTTCAGGTTGGAGTGTTCAAACGGGGAAGCGTTTCAACGGCGCAGAATTCGTACGATGGGGAGAGGAAGGTTTCGCTGGTGCCTTAGGGCGTGCTAGCTTTTGGCTATGTGGTTTTGTACTTATGGTCGGGTTGTGGTAGTGTTCATCTGATGTGGACTCCTCATTGTTACTTCATCTGTGCCTTTACGATTATGTCTCTTGACCACAGATATAGATTGCGGTTTAATGGTTTATCTACTTTTATATGTGGGAGCAGCAAGTGACTGAAGCGCTCCGCTTCTTCACTTGACGTGCTGGTCTACTGGATGAGGTGCTACTCTGCACGAATCGCAAGCCCAGGTTTTGGTCGAAGAAGGCATGTCTACACGCAGTACACGGGCCGAGGATAAACCTCTAGAGCCGTTCTGTGTAATGCATACCCTTACTCCCATTTTGTTCCCTTTAATCGTTGCATCAAGTAGTCGACCTCAACCTCCTTGGTCAGTGGGATGACCCAGTCCTTGTACATGGCCTTCACTGCGTCTGCGTTGACCTTTGCAGGAGAGCTAGACGAGTCAGGCTCGGTGCCGTACGTCGCCGCCTTCAGCCGCAGCCTCTCCAGCACCTTCTCCTCTACTGCTGCCACGGTGATAGCCTCGTCGATACCCTTGGTATCCCCAGCCTTGATGAGCTTCACGAAACGTTCCGGATCTTTCACGAACTTGGCCTCCGCCACGAACTTGCCGAAATGTATACGTCTTGACAGAGCCTGGATCACCATCACATCGCAGGTCGCAGCAGAGCCATAATTCTCTTGGCTCTCTCCTCTGTCGCCGCGGTCGGACTGCCGGCACGCTGCGGGGAGAATGTGCTCGATATAGCTTTGCTTCAGCTTGTCGTTTACGTTGACGTCGTTGTCGTGTAGAATTTTAGGGTAGTTGAGGGGCTTGAGGATAGGTTCTTGGAGCGCGTCTGGGAAGAATGGGTACTCGTCGGGCGACTGGTAGCGGCGCACGAGGGATTGTAGGCGCTCCTGCTCACGTAGCATCCAGTCGAAGAGCGAAAGATCGGAATCCGGTATTGCGACACCGCCGGGCACGTATATGGTCTTGTTCAGGGGAAATTGTACGCGCTCGATAAGGTGGAAGATGATTGTGTCTTCGAGGCGGCTGTGGATTGTGAGCTTCCATGCGACCATGTGCGATGCATGCAGAGGGCGCAAGAATCACAGCCCGGCGCATAAGTTGCGCATGCATTGCGCATGCCAGGGTAACATACATGAGTTGAAAGCGGATGTTGGCCAAATCCAGCGCCTGTTTGGCATCCCACGAGTCAATTACTCCTTCCATAGTGCCGCGGTGATTCAGCCGTTCTGGTTATCCTGTATAGGAGCGCACGGAAGACTGGTTAGTGTTTTGGTGGAGGGAGTCATTGTTGCTGAGGAGGAGCAGCGCAGAGGCAGCACCGATTCCGGCGGCAGTGCGGAGCAGTTGCGAGGAACGTGCGTCATGCGCGTCTGGCTTCTGGCCTTGCCGAAAGGTAGAGCTTCACGCAACACCAAACACATTGAGTTACGACACGCCCCGCCCATTGCGCCGCCCCAAAGACGCTCGCTTACTGCATCACGACTACAATGCGCTCATAAGGCAGGCACGCGACGCTGCGCATCCACTCGCTCCTTCTCCCTTTTCACGTGCCTCGATGGCCTCGCGAGGCAATGGCTCGCCGTCACGCGGCAGGTCCACGAGCCCGCGTCCGCTGCGGCCGCAGGAGGACATGGACTACGACTCTGACGCCAGCTTGATGGACAATCTGCCAGACGTATGATCAAACGCAGCTGCTTCTACAATTTGCGGTGCTGATTTGCCACAGACCCGCCACTTGCAAGCATTTGGCAGGAAGGTCACCGCGACCGCAGGCAGCTTGATCGGCGCAGAAGGCGTCAGCCAACACTACCAGAACGCATTAGGAGAGCTCCACAAGGAACTTCGCCGGCCGATGTTGCAACGCTCTGTCTTCTCCTTCGCCCAGACAACCCCACGCGAGCTTGTGCGCTCCAGGATATCAGTTCCCGAGATCCAGCATCGCGCCCTTACATTTCTCCCCGACGAACTGCTCGCGAATATACCCGAGGACAACAACTCATACTCGCTGTTCCAAGGCTTTCAAGCCTCCCTGCCGGAGGAGAAGGGTTCAATCGGCCAGAAGCATGGCAAGCACAACTCAAAGGGGCAGAGGCTTATCGGCGCGGCAGTCGAGGAAGACGAGAACGCAAACTTGCCGCCGTCTATGCGCAAGCTCAAGAATCAGAAGCACAGCATGGGGCACAAGCTGGAGATGATGGGCGTGAGGAAGCACATGTGCGCGGCGGAGATCCACGAGATAGACAACAAGATCGCAAACTTGAACACGATGCGCAAGATCGTGCTAGACAGGCTAGCAGGCATCGAAATGGAAGAGGCGGAGATTGAGCACGAGCTGCTGGACGTGGACAACCGAATCGAGGATTTGCAAGAAGAGCTAGATGATGCTGCGGCTTTGGCACCAAAGTCTCCCAATACCCCAACAATTGGCGCGAGTGCAGAAGAAGCTGCAGAAGCTGGAGATGACTTCATGTCCGAGTCCATCTACCAGAAGATTCCTTCGCCGAAGAGCAAACGCAAGAGGGTTACACGCCGCATATCGATGCCAATCCTACATGAGCACCTGGAGCCAGGCTCAAAGATCAAGGAGCTACCCGCGCACCAGGACATTATAACCGCGTTGGATTTCGACGCTCCTTGGGGCACGTTGGTCACTGCATCTTTGGACGACACTGTGCGAGTCTGGGACCTGAACGCTGGTCGCTGCATAGGAATGCTTGAGGGTCATTTGTCATCGGTGCGCTGCTTGCAGGTGGAAGACAACATTGTTGCGACCGGTTCCATGGATGCCAGCATCCGTCTATGGGATCTGAGCAAAGCGGAATATGCACCGCAAGACAACCGGATAAACAAGGACGGCGAAGACGAGGAAGACGAGGAAGACGACGGACTTGGATTCGGAAATGCAGAAGATGCGCCTCCCCCGCCACCGGCTACTATCATGCAGGACGTACCGCTATTCTCACTCCAATCTCACGTCGACGAAGTCACTGCTTTGCATTTCCGAGGAGACACGCTTGTGTCTGGCTCGGCCGATAAGACATTGAGGCAATGGGATCTGGTAAAGGGACGCTGTGTGCAAACTCTCGATGTACTGTGGGCGGCTGCTCAGGCTAACGCAACGACCACGGCAAGCAGCGGACAATGGCGACAGACTGGAAGGGTCACGGATGCAAGTGCCGACTTCGTAGGTGCTGTCCAAGTTTTCGATGCGGCTCTGGCATGCGGCACTGCAGATGGCATGGTACGATTGTGGGATCTACGAAGTGGCCAAGTACATCGCAGTTTAGTCGGCCACACTGGCCCAGTTACTGCTCTACAATTTGATGATGTACACCTCATCACTGGTAGTGCAGACAGGAGCATAAGGGTGAGTTTTGTCCAGCCTCATCTTCAATCAATATGCTAACGATGTTAGATTTGGGATCTTCGAACAGGTTCGATACACGATGCATATGCATACGACCACCCCGTGACCAGCATGATGTTCGACGCACGCCGCATTGTCACGGCAGCCGGCGAGGACGTGGTTAAGGTATACGATAAGACTGACGGTCGCCACTGGAACTGTGGCCCTGGCGTTGGTGCGGACGAGGATGCTTCTAGCTTGTCTGTCATTGAACATGTACGAATAAAGGAGGGTTACATGGTAGAAGGCCGTAGGAACGGTACTGTCGGAGTCTGGTCGTGTTGAGGGTTGTACATTTGGAACACATGGATAAATATGCGGGGCATAGATGGAGCATGCTTGTATTACTCCTATACCGATCATTCTATCATTTATCCAATTGTGTAAACGAGAGTCTATTGAGGAAGATTGATGCGCATCAGTCAGCCCGAGCTCGCAGAAACAAGCATTAATCGTTGCTGATGATCGTGTGGATCGAGAGAGCTAGTGGGTCCCTGGCGCGGCTCGCCGGACGACGTCGCTACGTCACCCATTGTAAATAATCGCTCCCGATTCCACTATATCCGACAGGCCTTCCTACCACCACTCCTCCGTTCGTTCTGCGCACCTCAGAATATATACTACTGTACCTAGTCCGCAGCCACTTCCTCAATTGACACCAAACGTGGCCTTGTCATCGCGCCAACCGCAAGCCCGTCGCTGTCTTGAGCTATGCTCGCCCGGCAGGCCGGAGCTCTGTCGCGAGCGTCGCACAACTCTCTACGAGCCTCAATAATAAGCCGAAGTGTTCCGAGAGCGACCAATCTTCAGATCAGGGCCTCCTTCAGCAATGGCGGGCCCGCGACATTCCGCAGGCGACCGCAGCTTGCCGCGAACCTACAGAAAGCGCGTCTGAATCAGCACCGCTCCCCCATACTACGATCCGTATCCACGAAGCCTCTTCCGTCGCCACAGTCGCGTCTGGTCCGATTCGCATGGAGATCAGCGGCGGCATTGGGATTGTTCGTCGCTATGAGCGGCGCGCTCGTCGTCGCATTGTTCGTCTACGACGCGTCCACATACAAGGACGAGGCGGAGACGTACGACCTCCCCGTGTCAGAGCTCGCTCTGACCCCAAGAAGAGGCGGGCCGAAGAACCTTCCCATTGTCGAGTATTTCGTCGACGATGATGAGCCCGACATGAAAGAGAACAAGCACAAACCTAGGCTGGTCGTGCTAGGCACGGGCTGGGGCAGCGTGGCTGTCCTGAAGCAGCTGAATCCCAGCGACTACCACGTAACGGTCATATCGCCGTCGAATCACTTCCTGTTCACTCCCATGCTGCCCTCCGCCACCGTGGGCACGCTGGAGCTGCGGTCACTGATCGAGCCTGTGCGCAAGATTGTCAAAAGCGTGCATGGCCACTTCCTGAAGTGCATGGCCGAGGACGTGGAGTTTTCAGAAAAGCTCGTCGAGGTATCTGCGATTGGAGACGATGGAAAGAAGCAGCATTTCTACGTCCCGTACGACAAGCTTGTAGTCGGCGTCGGTTCCGTCACCAATCCCCATGGCGTCAAGGGCCTCGAGCACTGCCACTTTCTCAAGGACATCAGCGATGCTCGCTTGATCCGAAACCGGGTTGTTCAAAACTTGGAGAACGCTTGCCTGCCAACAACGAGTGACGAGGAGCGAAGACGCCTCCTGTCGTTCGTGGTTTGCGGTGGAGGACCTACTGGAGTTGAGTTCGCTGCTGAGCTGTTCGACATGCTCAACGAGGACCTGTGCAAGTACTTCCCCCGAATTCTGCGCAACGAGATTTCCGTCCACGTCATCCAGTCCCGCAGCCACATCTTGAATACCTACGAAGCCGCTCTGTCTGAATACGCCGAGAAGCGCTTTGCCCACGATGCGGTAGATGTACAGACCAACTCTCGCGTCAAAGAGGTATTCCCCGACAAGATCATATACTCCCAAAGGGATGAAGACGGCAAGATCATCACCAAGGAGATACCCATGGGCTTCTGTCTCTGGTCCACCGGTGTTGCCCAGACCGACTTTTGCAAAAAGCTGGCTAGCAAGCTCGAAGGACAGAACAACAAGCATGCACTCGAGACCGACCCGCATCTCCGTCTAGTTGGCGCTCCCCTGGGCGACGTCTATGCTCTTGGCGACTGCGCGACCGTTCAAAACAATGTCAGTGATAACATCATCAGCTTCCTTCGCACAACCGCCTGGGAGAAAGGTAAGGACCCGGAGAAGCTGCAAATCTCATACAGCGACTGGCGCACCATTGGCAAGCGCGTCCGCCAGCGCTTCCCTCAGGCCGCAGACCACCTCCGTCGCCTCGACAAGCTCTTCGCGGAATATGACAAGGACTCCAGCGGCACACTCGACTTCGGTGAGCTCAGAGAGCTCCTTTTGCAGATCGACAGCAAGCTCACCTCTTTGCCGGCAACAGCCCAGCGCGCACATCAGCAGGGCCAGTACCTCGGTCGCAAGTTGAACAAGATTGCGCAGGCGGCGCCCGGCATGCAGCTCAACGAGATGGACTATGGCGACTTAGACGAGGCTGTGTACAAGGCCTTCGAGTATAAGCATTTAGGTAGTCTGGCATACATTGGCAATGCTGCGATCTTTGACATCAACGGTTACGGAATGAGCGGAGGCCTGTTGGCCGTATACCTGTGGAGAGGTGTGTACTTTGCGCAGAGCGTGAGTTTCAGGACAAGGTTTCTGCTGGCGATGGACTGGACAAAACGGGCCATCTTTGGACGAGGTAAGTTCTCTTTTGCATCGTGCATGAGAAGAGTATTGCTAACAGTGTGTAGATCTCATGAACTTCTAAGAGAAGAACCCTTAGGGTCAATCCGGGATTGTACAATGTTTCCATCTGGGCGGTCTTCCTGGCGTGAGCGCCCTACTTAGATTTCGAGGGTGCCTGTATATCCGTTGTACGAGGCGTTTAGAATAGCGTTCCCTATGTCATCAACTTGTTAATGACCCTTCACCTTCCCCCTCTACCCGCCGTCCATCTTCTGCTCCGCGACTGTGTACAACCACGGGGACATGTCAAGTCCATGTAGACGGCCCCCATGCAATCCTATCCAGCAGGCAAATACGGTGACCTCGCGTAGATCACAACCCAGCGCAACGTGACGCTTCAATTCAGGTGCATACGCTCCCGTACGCTCGCTAGCCACGCGATCCCAGCTCGGTATCTCCCGTGCTCCTCGGGGCCAGGCTCGGGTAATTTCCGCAGTCTGATTTAGGCTTTGGATGCATGTAGCCTGCCGAATGCGAATGTGAAATTAGAGGACAATGCACTAACGCTAGCGTATTTTATACTCAATACTGTACACACGACACGGCGCAATACACATGGTCGGATCCTAGGCGCGCTAGTGGAAAGCAGAGTCCGGGGCGGGGGCGGGACCTGGAACTTGCCGGAGTACATGGTGGGTGCTGGCGCTTACGAGATACGTTTTCGGTCGGCGTGCTTATGTCGGCGAGGTTTACGGCGCCGGCGTGCGAGGCTGCGCGTCGTACGGGGAGGGGCGGAGAGCAAGGAGGGAAGGCGGTTGGATGATCCCGTGGGTCTTGCAGTCGACCGTCGGTTGTGTGCTTGGGGCCGTTTTCGCAGGCAAGTTTCTGTTGTAGCTGCAGCAGTTCTGGGGGTTTTCCGCTCGGTCTTACTGTAGGAATGACCCGCAGACGACGAAGACATGACATCGGTGACTTGTGAACCTTTGGTGTGCGCTGTTGTATGGAGAAGCAGGAATCGATTCGCTCGCTCCTCCCGCAGGATATGCACTGGTTGTTGGCGGGGTTTTCTTCGGTCCTCTTCTTCAGCGGGCACGCGTGTGAATGGTTTAGGAACCGTGCAGCGCAGCAGACACAATTGATCGGTTTTAAGTCTTCGTCCCCAATATATCTTTGCTCCAGTAGGATTCCACGAGTCCCACAGCACATCCAATCTCTGCTTTTCTCATGGTAGTCCTCTCCTCCAGCATATGTCCGTCGACTCCGGTTTTCGGCCTCCCAGCACATTGCGGGAACATTCCTTCTTTATAGTGTTGGCCCTTTGAACGACTGACATTGTAGATCCCGAGATAAAGACTCACACACGAGTATTTCATAGGATATTCGCTTCCAGGCGTATTCATAGCTTTAGTAGAAGGCCATTGTTGAAGACCTTCTTTTCCACGAGGACTTGACTATTCTCCGTTTTCTCTATGGCCCCTTCCCGCAATATTGAAAACGGGAGGCACCTTTTGGAATCTGCAGCAACTGCTTCAAAGTCCATGCGTAATCTCCGGGCATCCGGTCAGTCCACATATTTTTCGCGCATGTGCAAGATTCACTGCTAAATGTTCTTCTCGGGGCCAACATCTAGCCACCTCTCCAGCATGAGCTAAAAGACTCTTGGTTTTGAAAAACGCCTCTCAAACGCATCGAGCGTCGCCCATATCTCCTCGATATCTGGGAGAAAGCGAGTGATTGAGTGACGAGAGAAATAGCCACAACGAGCATAAACTCACAGGGACATGGGTTCTTTTGTGTGCTCCATATGGGAGTTCCAATATCACGACAGGTTTGTCTTACACGAAACCGTGAAATGTTTGATTGATGTCCTTGGTTCTCCAACACAGCATTCCGGTACTCTTCGATGGTTTTTAGGGTCCACGCGGTGCACACCTGCCTGCTCGCCTCGTTTTTGGAGAACGGACGATATCTGTAGATTGTCTCAAGCGAGAACAATACCAAAGCATAGGCATCACGATCATGGTCCGCTCTATGGAGTACACCCCAGCTATGCATTCCACTGGCACCGCGGACTCTCCTCCATCAGACCATAGAAGCATTGAAGCACCTTTTTGATCCTCGAGCACATGATTTGCTCAGCGGGTGGTTTCCTTTCAAACCCAGCCAAGGCACATTTTTTGACCCATTTCTCTTTAGTGTACGCACGATACTCAATAGTTATGGGTAAAGAGAGGCGCGAAGAGGGGGCTTTCCATGCTCTATGTTTCCCCGTGTATACGCTTGTGTGTGGTTTGAGAGCACTTGCGTGCGTGCGGAGCGGAGAACCATCAGTGGATGGAGAGAAAATTCGAAAGTTGTGCAAAGAAGAGAACTTAAGTAGAGGAGACAGTCGGCTAATTATACAACCATTAGAATCCATCCCAGCGTACACAGTGTTTCCATCTTAAAGCTCTCTGAAGACGTCAGTTATAGCTGCTCGAGCCACTTTTGCACCTCATCGGCTCCCTTTCCCCACTCCTCGTGGTTCTGCATATGATGCGCGACTCCGTCTACTACCCTGAATCGAACTCCATCAACCTCTTCATCTTGCTGTTCTTGTGCAAATACTAATCTGTTATCGAGGCTCATGTCTCTGAACGCACGTCTATATCGCCGTGCGGCATCCTCGAGAATGGTTGGTGTGCACAAGACATCCCTCTGCGCGGCGAGGATGAAAAGTCTTTGGCTCGGCTCTGACACTGGCTTGTCGCTTGGTGACGTTGATGGCACAAACCCTCGGCGGACCCAGCCAGTAATGGAGGAGAGTACATCTGGACCTGTGACGAAAGCGTTGAGCGCCTGCATCGGCCACAGCATAGATTCGTACGGCGAGAGTAGCTTTGCGAAGCTTTCAACATGTCGAAGCGGCGTCTCAGCTGTGAAGAACGCGTCTTTCACCTGTTCGACATTCGCTAGGAGATATCGCGAATGGTATCCCCGGTATGTGAAGTGGAGTGGTGCAGTCAAGGCCCAGAAACTGTAACAGCCCCAGCTGCCGAAGCCCGGAACGGCAGCAAACATGCAGAAGCCCTGTACCTGGAACATCTTCCTGCTGAGCGCATACTGGGATAAGGCTCCGCCGGCCGAGTGTGCGATAAGCACAACCTGCGTCCCGGGTGCGCCTCTTCTTGTCGCTTCCAATGCTTCGACGTACTTGACACCAGCGGTGAGATCCTCCGCCATTGTGCCTCGCGTGGTGAAGTACATGCGCCAGAACCACGGATACCAACTCTTTCCGTGGCCACGGTAGCTGATTGCATAGCAAGGGTGGCCAGCCGCAGCAAAATACTGCATGTAGTTGAGCCATTGCTCCGCACAGCCGAAGCCTCCATGAGCGAAAAACAGAGGAGGCTTCGCTTCATTGGAAGATGAGGTGGACTTCGAGGGCAACGCCGTCAGCAGTTCAAGTGGACCTGATGGAGTGTGGATCCAGGAGCGTGTGATGCCATCAGGAACGGGTGTCGATGATGGAGGGTTTGGCGACGGACGCCGCCATTGGAGCGCAAATGGGCCGAAAGGCATAATGGTACGTAATATGGATAGGGTGAAGTCTCGTTGGAGGTCTCGTTTCGAATGCTTGAAATGGTGCCCTTCCGATGCATTTTATGCTCAACAGGTCTTCATCGTATAGGCCGATGATGACAAACACGAAGGCGCGCGTGACGCTCCGTTACATACGGTTGTGAGGTTCTGTGGTATGCCCAGAAATCGCGAAAATAGAACGGCTGCATTGCATAGTTGCAAGAAAACGTGAGCCGCCCTTCAGCTGAAAGAGGCATCTACATGCGGCGCTACTTCAGCCGCCCATGCAGTTATTGGTGACTCAACGGACTGTCCGACACACGATTGAAGCCTGAGGGCGCGCATGTTCTTGAGAACTCATGTAGGAATAATTTAAGACCGAAGGATTGATGGTCGCGTCACGTACAGATGAATGGCGCTAGCCCATGTTGGGATAACGCGGGGGAAAGCTGCTGCCTGCGACGTTCGACTGTTGTTCTGATGAAATCGCCCCGCACAAGCAGACTGGGCAAACCTCGTGAACTGCGTACCGCAATCAGTGCATTGCGAGTCTCGGTCCCGACTCCGTCGACCTCCCTGGAATTCATCCCAAATACCCTTCTATTCTACTTAAGCAGGCAAACTCCCTTCGATCTTTAGGAAACAGACTTTGCAAGCATCGTACACGACAGGCTTCACAATCTCGTCCAGAATCATATGCCGACTTGACCTTCTCAAGATACAAGCACTGTCAAGGAACTACTGTGTTCAAAGAGAAGATTGAACACAGCGGAAGTTCGCTTAGAAACCAGTCCGAGTTGGAATGCCAAATTAAAGCCTCATGGGGGCAGATCGGTGCAACAACACCCTTTCGTGGGACGGTGTCCTCTGTCAACACTGTCGACATCTATTCGACACGAACGTTGTACGTTGGAAACATGAGCAAGGATCTGATACATGCCGGCGAGAGCTACCTGAAGATCTCTCGTTCCCATTTATCGCTCCACGTCTTTGGTGGCACACTGTGCCATCACTCAGAATTTGTGCTTCGCATTCTTGCAAGCTTTGCGAGATTGTGCTGTATTCCATAGGCGATGAGAAGTTGGAGCAGTTGGAGTCGTGGGAAGCTACTATACCGGTACAAATTTGGGCTGATGATGGGTTCTCAAACAGATTCTGGGTGCTAGGACCTGAACAGGATCCGAGGCCAGAAGCAGAAGCGTGCGATGCCGAGCCTAATGAGAAATATCGTTGGATCATGACGGTTTTAAAAGTACAAAATATCTCAGGTGAGTATATGCAGCAAATTTCAGTCCAGCACGCTGACGAGACCTCCAAACCATGAGCCATTACATTCCCACGAACTTTTGAGCCTCTCTACGGACTCAGAAGAGACATTTGCGCAAATTGATGCCTGGTTGCATGCTTGCAAATCTCATAAAGCCTGTAGAGATAACTCAGCCTTGCTCGGTCAAGACATTAGAACAATGCCAACGAAACTCCTGGAGCTTTCACACGGCGACGAACATCCAAGCGTCAGGCTTATAGACACTTCAAGGACTGGAGTGGGTGATATCCAATATGCCACACTCAGCCATTGCTGGGGAGGTAACCTTACTGCCAAGCTGCTGAAGTCACTGGTCGATGACTACAGGCTGAACATCCCGTGGGAAAGCCTGCCGCTGAACTTTCAACATGCGATAGCTGTCGCGTTAAAGCTCAGTATACGGCACATATGGATTGATGCGTTGTGTATCGTTCAAGACGACAACGAGGATTGGAATCACGAGGCCGCTCGGATGGGCGGTGTCTATGCCAACTCCTTTCTCAACATCTCGGCGCATGACTCGAAGGACGGAGCTGGTGGTCTTTTCAGGATGCGAGAGCCACGTGGCCTCCAATCCTTCTTCGTCCCTCACCAGAATGACACCACCAGCCGCTGTGGCTCTATCTTCTACAACGACAGATGGCGGGACTCAGTCTATGTTGGAGCCCTATCGAATCGAGGATGGTGTGTGCAAGAGAGATTTTTGGCACCGAGACTGCTCCACTTCACCCAAGAAGAGGTTCATTGGGAGTGTCTGGAACTTCTCGCTGCCGAAAGCTCCCCGACCTGCTTTAGTATTACTCACGAGGAGCCCTGGAATGCGACGAATGTCCAGAAATCTTTACTTCAGCGTGGAGCATCTGCAGAGCAAAAAACGTATTACACCTACCAATTGTGGTATCAGTTGATGTTCGCATACTCTAGAGGGGCGCTGACTTTCACATCCGATCGCCCAGTTGCCATTGCTGGGTTGGCTCGAATATTCTGCCGACTTCTAAATCTCGCCGACCGCGACTACCTTTGTGGGCTGTGGCGGCCGCAGCTCGAACATGATTTGATGTGGGAAAGCGGTCAAGACTGGATCACTGCCCCTGCAACTTTGAGGGTACCAGGCTTGCCATCATGGTCATGGCTATCTCTATGCACGGATGTACGGATGAATCACAATCATCTTGGAGACGGCCAAGGCACGTTAGAAGTCGTCCAAGCTTTCACAATGCCCTGTAATGACCCTTTCGGATCAGTTTCATCCGGTGAAGTGACACTACGAGCACCTCTTTGCCAGATTACGATAACAGAAACGGAGCGGCCGTCCCGCGGTTCCTTCAAGGAACGGAATCTTTTTTCTTTGCATGTCGGTGGACATTTACTACGCGAAGAAATGCACTTCTCTTTTAGTCCAGATGATACTACAGACACTGGTCTGCGAGAGATCTCGGACGCCCCTGTATATCTAATGCTGGGACGGGCCAACGCACTTGGAGAACCAATGATTATAGATGAATCTAGCGTTCCCACGTACGAGGAAGCAGCAGATTGGTATGGCCATCTCCTGGTGCCTATGATAATATTAAACTACCTCCTGAATAGCCCAAGCACTAACAAATTACATAGTAAACACGCGCCTCTAAAAGGCTCTGGCTATGAATGCTTGGTACTCAAAGAGAACGGCCCCGTTGGCTACTTTCGGCGCGTAGGATACATACGCTTCGAGCCATTGCATTTTCAGTTCATCAGTAACCTTTCTGTGGAACAAGCGAGGATGCTTCGCCGCGAAGCTGAGGGGATACTCCACGAGCAATTTGTTCACGGCAAGATACCTAGCGACATATGCGGACCGCCAAATGACGCATACATGTATACGCTTACGTTGGTCTGATTTGGCTTATACCAGCGATCAATCCCCCGCATTCTCACAGTCTCGAAGTAATGAATGATATGACAACATGCCCTCCGACCTATTTTACATTATGCGCTCACGCATCTAGCTTCATCAAAGCACCTGTAGTAGCTAACGTCAATGCAACGACCGAAAGCAGCTCACAATAGAGCCACATGAGCTTTGTGGCGATGCATCCATTCAAATAGCAAAATCGCATCGCCGCAATGCTTTGTCTTCCGCTTTTGCACATTCACCCCGACGGCAGTCACCCGGCTAGTATAAAATGACATTGATACTGGGTACGTTCTACAATACTACAGGTGGCTACATGATCGGTCTATATAGTCGGTAAGAAGTAACATAATCTGAGAAACGACCAATTCGGTTTCAAGATACCTCCCTGCGAGAACCAACACTATGCAGCTCCACTCTGCGATCTACTCGTCAGTACTGACAACCCTCGTCCGATTCGCCTTCGCAAACTTCGACGTCTACACCGACCATTACAGGGACTGGAGCGCCAGCGCCCCGCCGAAACTCGGCTTCCGCGTCTTCGGCCGCACGCCCGATGACGCCTGCAAGTACGTGAACGACGTACGCATCTTCCTCCCTCCCCCCTTGACCTCCTCACTAACGATTATCCCTAGAAAAGCACCGTGTTCTGGCCCGCGCGCGCCGACGCCTCGGGCGACAAATTTGGCATCCGCTGCGAGGGTGCTGGCTGCCAGTACGAGTCGGCCAACCCCTCCGCAATCACCGCTTTCGAGATGCATTTCGCCAACACGCCCGCCTACCACTGGACGCTCTACGCTGATAACCACGGCTTCAAACCCCCCAAGTCCTTCCCCAACGGCTTCTGGATGCTAACCGCGGAACTCAACACCCGGGCGCCAGGCTACTGCTTCCCGTACCCCGGCGACCAGTATGATTGTGAGAGCATGCAACCGGCAGGGCCGAGCGGGACGGAGTTTGTGGTGGGGAGTAGGGGGCGGAGGTTGTTTCGGTGTGTGACGTATAACGGGGATGTGAAGAGTGATGCCATTAATGGACTGAAGCTGCAGGATGTGGATATGTATTATCCGTATCCGGATGATAAGATGAAGAGTGCGAGTGAGGGTGGGGTGCAGCTGGATGAGAGTCAGGGGATGATCGGGCAGTAGAAGATGGTTGGGAGGATGGGTATGCGTTGCTTGCGTAGGGTTTCGTGCCTTTTTCTGCATGTGGTTCGTTGGAAGATGGTGGGTTATACTAGAATCTAGAGTGTAGATCTAGAGATCCATATTTCGATTGCATTTGTTGAGACGTGGAACGACCTCAGTACGCACGAGTCCCTCTCACTATTGAAAATGATACATTGGGTATAATTCTATGTCAAGAGCTCACCGCTTTGCTTTCGCTTTGAGTCTAGCAGCCAGCTTCTTTACATCATCCGGGTCGCCCGTTGCTTCTTTCTTAGGTTTCTTCACTTCTGGCTCATCCTCCTCCCTGTCCAGCTTCCTCTTCTTACGGCCTTCTTCCAACAACTTTTTCATTCCCGACGTCTCCTTGAACCGAGGGTTTGTCGGGTCGATGGCAAAGTCATGGCTTTCAAACAGCTTTGCGAAACGAGGATCGTCGGTGTTCATCTCGAAGTTGTCCGCCGGGACTTCCTTGGCTGCCTTCTTGTTTTTCTTGCCCTTCTTTTTCGCCTTTTCTGCCTTCATGACCTCGTTCATGTCAAAATGCTGCACCTTTGAGTCCTTCTCGTCGATCATGAGCAGCTCCAAGTTTGCGCGCTCTTCGGCGTCGGCCTTCTCTTGCTTCTCACGCTCTTCCCGTTTTTTCGCCCTCTTCTCCTTGTTTGACTTGATCTCCAAGGCCTTCTCCGCCTCGGGGTCTGAGCCGAAGAAAGGGTCGTTCCATGGGTCTTCCTCATCTGCCCCAGCCGGTGCATCGCCCTCTGACACGGGTTTCGCATCAGGATCGCGGCCCTCTCTGATAGCTTGCCCCCTTTCTTTCCGCTTAGCCTTGCGCTCTTTCTGCTTCCGCACATACTTCTCGAGCGTGGTTTCTTCAGGTTCGTTCTGGAACACTGAACCCTTGGCTCCGTCGGCTGCAAAACCGGATGTAAATGTGACCTCCATCTCTGCGTTCGGCTTCTTCATATCTCGGTCTTTCTTGGACGAAGACTTGGACTTTGGCTGTGACGATTTGCTTGTTGCGTCTAGGCCGAGAGCTGCACGTAAACTAGCAGCTTTTCCGGCTTTATCAACTTCAGCCTCGTCTTCGGATGACGAAGAGTCAGTTCCAAGATATGCCTGAAGTTCGTTCTCGTCAATCTCTTTCCTTGAGAAAGCTCGCTTTTGCACTTCCTTTCTTGTCGTGTCGTCTGCGTCCCAGGTGAGTTTGACTTTCGAGTGCGAAAGGGCATCAGTGACGAATTCGTTGGGCTTGTATCCGTTTGGCAGCTTCTCGCACTCCTCGTGCGGCTCAGCATCGAATTCGACTTCCTCGGGAACGAATCGCAGGTCGAAAAAGTTGGCACTGGAAAGGTACTCGCGGCCGTCCAAGTTGTCGTAGATAGCTTTGGCAACATGAGGTGACGAACACGAGATTAAGGCGTAGTAATAGCGGAGACGATCGAGCTGGTAGGTTCGCAGCGCCTTGGAGTCAAAGTCTTCGGCATCGGCTTCATTCAGAGCATCGTTCTTCTTCTGTTCTTCATCTTCCGAGTCGGACCCTTCCAGGTGGTCCACTGTTTCTATATTTTGTTCCCGGTCCTTCACAGCTGCACTGAAGATTTCTTTGGGTGGGCCTTCGATCTCCTCGCGCTGCATTCGCTCCAAGCCAAATTCGCTGGGGTATATGGTGACGTTGAGAATGCGGCCGTCGGCAGGAACGAAGGAGCTGGCGACAGCCATGATGTCTGTTGCCCGGATGTTGTCCCAATCCAGGTTCACGGCGGCTAGCCTCGCGGTGACGTCTCCCATGGGCACCTCGTTGCCCTGGCCTGCCAATACCGTCTGGTCTTCCACGTCGGCCTCTTCGTCGTCGTCGCTATCGCTCTCGTCCGAAGACGACTCCAGGCCCCCATCGCGGATCGGATCGAAGCCTTTCTGCTGTACCCTCGCCAGCTCGCGCATGACGTGCTTGTCTCTCTTCTTGTCTTCGGGCGCATCGAGCTCACTGCCGCTCCCCTCATCTGAGCCCAACTCAAACATGCGCTCCAAGTCCTTCTTGCCTGCATCGTGGGATACCGGACGTCCATACTTGTCGACAGAGGCCTTGTTGTAGAAGTCGGAATCGGTGCGTAGCCGCGAGAATCGAGGGTCGAGCTTCGTCTTCGCGTGCTTCTTGGAGGGGAGGCGGAACTTGGGGTCGGTCTCGAATGCAGCGAATCTGCTGTCGCTCGGGCCCTTGGCGGCCTTGGGAATGGCCTGGCGCTTCGGAAGCGGCATTGCGACGCGCGGTCTGTTGCTGCGCGGTTTCTGTCGTATGCGGTGCGTGTGCAGCCTTTCGAACTTTCTGCGGGCGGTGACAATTTTCTGCCGCGGCCGGCCTCCTAGCGTGCCAAGACCCGCGTATCGATTGCGGCCCTGGTGCAGCCTCGGTTACCCAGCGTCGGGAGCGCCAGGGTCTAGATGTCCTGGGGCAGCCGCGAAGCGTGCCAGAGAGAGGGGAAAGAGGGAAAGGGATCGCGTGAGCTCATTGACGTCGCCCAACAATTCTGGGCATCGTTCTTCCAGTGCTCTCGCCCTCGCATAGCTTCTTACACGCCCAATACATCGACAACCGACACTCGTACCGCCACAATGGCATACTCTAGGCTGTTTACGTGAGTACCCGTGTTCAGGAACCCCGTTACGCCTCTTCGTGACTTGTGGGAGCCCGCGCGAGCCATGCTGTGCTGATGTTTGCACCAGACCTCGCAACCTTGCCTTCTTCTCCATGTTCTCACTGGGCGGAGGCTACTTGACCATGAAGTCCCGAGCGCTTGCCGTCAAGCAGCGCGAACGCGGCGACTATAGCGTAACCGTGGATCGCTCGGGTAGGTCACGGCCCCCAGGCGTCCTCGCCCGTCATCCAACTCAAACAACAGCTCCTCCCTGGCCATGATACGGATAGCGTTAGAATCTCGTCGAACGCTGCTAACAACAGTCAAGGTGGCGGTATCTGAAATTCAGCGAACGAATTGGCGTTGTGGCGTCAGCACTGTGGCTTCGGCACGGCTCACATGAACTTGCATCGGCAGACTCTCTCTGCATTGGGCGTCATTATGAAACGTGCAGTAAACAAAGATGACTTCAGGCACACAGCCAACTCTTCTGCCCACTGTGCAAAAATGTCCGAATGATGCGTTGGCTCACAGACGCTGACCGCACGCTTCAAACAAGCCCACTCTCCGAAAGCAAGCAGCACATACCACCTGACGGAATTCGGACAACGGGAGTAATGGTGGTCGGCGGTGATTTGGCCAGTAACGCGCACTTGTTCTCGGTGAAGGTCGTGCGATGGAAAAATATGAGGAAACTCTGCATCAAACAATTTGTCCAACTCTCGTCAAAGAGAAATCACTGTTTCGGAAACTGCTGCAAGCGATGCGCGTAGCTGTCGCGTGGTCGGGCATGCGCTTACAACTCGGAACATGGCAGCCGCAGTCAGCCCCAGAGGCGGGCATCCCGCTGCTAAAATAAGCACCTCAGCCTCAGAGCTGGCCCACTCGATCCTATCAACCCACAGCCATAGCAACACAACACATTCCAACCGAGAAAATGCACCAGTCTAACCGCGAATTAAAGATCTCCCCCGTGTGTGGCTGCTTCTTAGCTGCGCTGTCCTCCCACCGTGCCATTTCCATTATGGACTGCTGTGTACCCTGCGGCCAATCGCTGCGGCCTTCATGTAGGCCTGCTGCAGAGCCCGCTGGGCGTAGTCTGTTGGTCCGTGGTAGGCCTGACTTTTATTCCCTAAATCAGGCGTTCGGTCTCCTACCTCAAGGGCGCAGCTAGGACCAGCTTTGTGCTCTGCGTCATTCTCAGTGTTTCCATATTACCGATTGCCTGCCCCGAGCTGAGATCTATCTGTGATGCTCCGTCCTCACGACGCCCCCCAAGAACGAGAAGCGAATGCTTTTGATCTTCTTGTTTCCTTTGCATGACGAGTCTAGCTGCCACCCGTAAACATGGGTCAAGATCAGAAGTACTACGATGTCGACGATTACTTAAGATGGAAGAGGAGCCAAGGCAAAAACAACAAGATCGCGCCTCGACCGAACTTGCTGGCAGCCACAAACTGGTTGCGCAAGTTCTTCGATGCGCGCAAAACAAACTGGGCCGCCATGGGCAGCCTAGCCATGCTCTGCCTTGGGGCGCGACGAGAGATACCCGACATTCACGTTGTCTACGACGATAAAGACTTCCAGCGCATAAGGATGAAACTAGAAACCGACCCTAGGTATGTCTTCAGATGACCGATTCTATGCAGCCAGCCTCTTAACGTTCCTAGGGTGCGGCTGCCTAAAGACATGAACTCCATGTTCTCTTCGAAGCTACTGATATCGACCGGCCCGAAACACAATGACGCTGGTTGTACCGAAAATGCGGATATTGAAGTAGAGATGATTCCGCCAGGTATTTGTTGCACTTGTATAAGATGACAACGATGCTGACAGACGTTAGGATCTCACGGCACGCCACCCAGCGATATCCTACGCAACAACCAAGCCATGCTATCTCTCAACCTGAATGGTAAGATTACCAATATCAAGGGCTTGAACATCTTATACCTGGTCAATACAACCGTCCACATTTGCACCAGTTCAGACCTGCTTTGGGACCCCAAAAAGGATCTGGTGTGGTTGTGCCGGAAATATGGCAAAGAAATTCAGTCGATACGAGCGCAATTGAATGCCCGGCAAGTCAAAGAGAACTTCCTGGGCACTGCGTTTTTTTCGGCATTGTCTGCGGAGGAACAACGACTATGTTACCACGTTCTGCTAGGGAAGGAGCCTCCGCCGTCGATGTTCCTCACTCCGGCTCCGGCCCATGGCCAACCAACAGGCCCTGTAGCCAGACCGCCTATTCCGTCCCACAAGTCAGCGCCATCACTGAAGGATGCTGTGCAGGAACATTCGGATTACTTGAGACCTCCCATGCACGGCAAATCCAAAACAGCACCGGCCCCCTCTCCTAATGGATCCATCACGAAAGCTTCACCTGACGCGGTTACGAGTTCACAAACGAAAGAGACCACTCCCGAAACTTCACGGAACTCTCGTTCCAGATACCGCAACTCGAGTGCACCGACGACCCCAAGCGCAAGTCGAAATGTCAGCCCCGAAGCTGCCGCAGCTCGATCATCACAGGGCATTATGGAATTTAGATCGGCTCATATGCAGCAGCACAGCATGATCTACCAAGCGCAGTCCGTAAACATGCAGAATTTGGCGCCTGCCACAAAGCCACAGGTAGTGAGGACGAAGAAGTCGCTCCCTCGCGTCGGGGGCCATCCGTCGAGCGCGCAAGCTGTGCCGGTTTTTGCGCACAAGACACCGACTGCACGACAAGCGCATGCTCAAATGATTCCAGCGGCCGGCTCCAAGCTATCCGAAACAACGAAAGGTCCCGATGATGATGGTTCCAAATCGCACTCCCACGATAGCGCCCTTCCGTCAGCAACAAGTGCTCAGCCGCACGTAGTGGCGCACGCGCACCCAGCTCATCAGATCATGGCCCAGCGTAATTCGATGCTGCCTAAAAGCCAAAGCGCAGTTACAGGCGCCCCTCCAATTTCTCAATTATCAAGCAGCAAATCTGAGACACCTCCAAAGGGCCTTGCTGTTGTAGGTCCGGAAGGACTGTACCCGACTCCCAAATCCACAATCCAGACTACGAAGAGTCAGCCTGCTGCGACGACCATGCAGAACAAAGTCCAAGGCACCTCGAAGGATCATGTTTTTGAGCTTGACGCTGCCTCTCCTCAAGTGGAGAATTTCGCCGAAGCAGTTCCAAGTGCGAAATGCGTCGCCGAGCTTCCCGCTGACAATAATCCACCACCGCAACCAATACTTCAAAGATTCAATACCCTACCAGATACTCCAATCAGTCCACCACAGGACACAGCACAACTTAGCTCCATTTCGGCCTTCGGCAATTCACCAGTGAGCCCTCCGACTAATTTTGCTCCACTTGCATCTAGAATCCAGCCGATCAATGTCGCCCTCATGAATGGAACACCAAAATCAGAACCTGCTCCACAGACCTCAAAGTTGGCTCCTTCTCCTCCTGTATTCGATTCGCTTCCTCCGAGTCTTATGATCGGCTTCCGTGGACTACAGCCTTCGTCGAATACAGCGCCTCGAACACGTACGACATCGCAGTCCTCGAACGGCTCGGATCCGCCAGTGGCTCTTAGCAACTATCAGCGCTACTACTCGCCCCCTAACAGTAGAGAAGCCTCCCCTAACACTGCGTCTACATCAGCGTCAAACAGTAGACATCCATCGCCAAGTCGAGGCACAGTATACAAAGCGTATACACCTCCGCTTACGCCCCCAATGCAGCCAAATCCCGAACCTGCCCAACCCCAACTGGCACCTCCGATGAGGCATAGTCAGGTTCTCACGCCTCCAGCCCTAAAGTCCGCTACATTACCCGCTCAACAACAAGGGAAACCCACGCGCATGGATCGCGCTTCCGAATTCATAGGCCGTGTATCCCCACCAAGTATACTAAGGGCTGGAGCAAACTTACCTCAACCGCTCAAAACCACAAAGGCCAACCACCACCCCAATCCACTTACCGCCAACCCACCAACACCCCAGAGTGCTTCCCACGTGAAGCATGACTCCCACCACATGCAGAACCACCGAGCTATCTCTGAAAATCACAACGGCCCAGAGAATCCGTACTTTACCGCCGCCCCACAAGTCCAGGCATACCCCCCACCATCTCACTCTACTGCAAACCAATACATTGCATTTAGCACGCAAGACGCCTCACCACCCGAACCTCGTCGCCAATCCTCACTCCACCAGCGCAACGCGTCTACTGAATCAAGCACGTCCACGAAATCACACGATTCGGAGAAGCTAGCGCAGGAGTACCAGCTGGACCTTCCTGCTTTCGATGACGGGTTCGGATCACATCCAAAACGTAGCGAGGCCGAGTCCGAACTGCGAAAGTCATACCGCCCTTCATATGCCGGGAATGGATATGGGTCCCAATATCAACTGGGGTCCCCGGATTTTGGAAACAAGCAGGGGAAGTTTATGGACGACTTTCATTTTTTGCGATGATTTCATGATTATAATGCATAGGAGTTCATGGTTTTGGTTTGCATCTAGCATTGATAGCTTGGGTTTGGAATTGATACCATAGAGGGGGATAGGCAACTTGGATATAATGGGGATCATTTGGGACTTGGTGCCTACTGTTGTTCGGGACGGATAGAAGAATCATCAATCGCTTACTCCATAATAATGCTCTATCTACATGTCCATCTCTCGTTCAAGATCTATCTGTACCTTTCTCACGAAATCTCCCAACTTAATTCTACCGCACCCCCTCACCCCAGCAATGGTGCTCTCTCCGCCTCCACCAAGCCCTCCCGCTCATCCGCTAACCTCGCTCTGACATGGAAAATCGTCCACATCACCATAATCCCAACGAGCGGAAACGGTCCCGCCCACCCAACCGCATACACCACCACCACCGGCAGCCTAAAAACTAGTACCGCGAACAGGCCTGCAAGAATGTAGAACCATAGCATCCAGACCACACTAACCTCGAAGATCATACGCCGAAACACATCACTGCTCTCATACCTCGCGCAAAACGCACCGCGGTATTCCACTCCGCCCCCGCCGTCAACCGCAACCACATCCTCGACGATGTAGTACACCGCCGGCCTCAGCACGTTACCCTTGGGCACACTACCGAAGCGGCATGGGAGGCGCCACCCGCCGAGATTAAGCACCAACGAGATCAGCGTGAGCGTTGCAACGAGGGCCATGAGGACCACGGTTGGCAGCGATAGCAAGCGAATTCGGAAGTCGAGGTCTGCGTCTCTGCGTGCGAGTGCTGAGGATATGAGGGCCGAGATGGAGATCAGCACGGCGAAGTAGCCCCATTGAAAGATGTCGAGGGCATAGCGGGAAGAATCGAGCGGGCGGTATTTTGAGGATCGTTGAACTAGTTTCCAGACGCGGTCGATGGTGGCGACGGCGGTGAAGAGGCCGAGGATGGCCGTGGGGAGGGTTAGGACTGCGATCAATGTGTTAGTGGATTGTACGGGGAAGATGTGTCTAGGGGAGAAAGTACCGAGAGTGCGGTCTAGGTCTGGTTTACCGTACCAGAGGCCGTAGAATAGGCCGAGATTGAGGAAAATGGGCGGGGTGAGGATGACGCTCCAGGCGGTTGCTATTGAGGCATAGCGCGTGTGTAGGGTGTAGGGTAGTTTGACAGTCATTTCTACCGTTTGTGAGAGATTAATGCATTTGGGTTGTGGCTGTTGTTGCAAAGATGGGTTGGCAGGTGCGTCGGTGGTGAGTTCCGAAACGTTCCGGACGGGGGGCTACGACAACTCGGGCGAAGAAAACGGCGACTTCGATTACAGATCCGATGATTCTTATAACAAACTCGAACGAAGGTTAAATCTCTCTTTCAATCTGGATGTGCAGAATAGAGGCGTGACGGTCCAATTTCGTATCTTATCACCTGCACTACGTATCTGTATCCGCTTCCATCGCGAGGAAATTGGGATTGAGAGTCCACCAAATTGGAGGGTAGAACCCAATGTTAGACTTGACCGCTGGGAGCATAAGACAGGGCGGCATGCTGATGAATAGCAAGACCCTTGCGGGGACGGAGAACGCACGTGATCTTAGTTGATGTCGCTGTCTATGCAGGGTATTATGCAACGCGTACAAACGGTCACAATAAAAGCCCAGATAGACTAGCCAAACAACACTCGACCACGTGGTTCTCAGTACTCCGAGGTCGCGAAGGGCCGAGGGGGGCGCATCCCCACAAGCTCCTGGCCAATCAGAGGTGGTGCTTAAATTGCCGACAGTACAGGTACGAGCGGGGAACCACATCCCCCACAACACCAAGCTCGACCCTGAGTCGTGAGAACGCCGTCCCAGGCATGGCTTACGAGCATCCCCTGCCCCACACATTCAGCCAGCCAGTAACGTTTGAGGCTACGCAGGAGTAAGAGTAATGGACGAATTGGAGGCGTGTGGTGCACGGGGGAAACATCCAGGTCTGGAGAACGTGAAGTCAGGTCGCTGGAGGTGGTGATGGAGGCGGCGGGGTCGCTCAGGCCTATGCGCGGATTAGGTACGGATGACTGTGGTGGAGGAGACATAAGTCTACCCACCCCGGGTCTCGCCTTCCCTGCAGCTTCTTGTCCAAAATCTCGCAGCAATCATGGCTACCAATACAATGACCACGCATCACGAACCCATCGTGAACGATGCAGAGTCTGAAAGAATTACAAACAACAAGCCGCACCTCTCTCACACCACAACTAATATCTCTCTCAGCCCAGAGCAGTTCGAGCGCTTATACCTGGCGCCAAAGGTCCCGCATGCAAGCCACAATGCCGCGAAGTACGCGAATGCTGTGCCTTTGGGTTTTCTTGGGTACTTTGAGCTGGCATGCCTACCCGATAGACTCCGACTAACAGGATCGACAGATTCGTAATCTCTACATTCACGTTTAGCATGGTGCTCATGGGCTGGGGCGGCGCATCCGGCCTACAAGCCGTCGTGGGCATCTTCTTCTTTACAGGCCCCGTGCTACTTCTCCTCTCGACGATATTCCTCTGGATCCAGGCACAATTCTTTCCCATGATGGTGAGCAGCTCTTGCCCCGACCTATTCCGTATATTTCCACACCTCTTCTATATTACACGCTAACGCAAAGCAATACACCAGGTCTGCGGCCTCTTCTGCGTGTTCTGGCTCTCCTTCGGTGTTCTGCAACTGCCCACGCTTGGACTGGCAGCTTCGTACGGCGGCGGCGACGCCGCCGTGGGCGCAGTCTCGAAGGAGATGAACGCGGTGATAGCACTGTACCTACTTGTCTGGGGCTTTGCGCTCGGTACCTTCTGGCTCTTTACAATCCGGATAAATGTCGTCTTTGCGGGCATCTTTGGTTTTGTGACGATCGGCTCGTGGGTGCTGTCTGGTGCTTACTGGGCACTGAGCAACGGGCATTTTCAGAAGGCGCTGCGATTGCAGAAGGTGAGTCTGGTTCAAGGATAGTGAAGACGAAGCTGACTGGAAATAGGCCGGCGCAGCATTGCTTTTCATCGTTGGGCTGCTTGGGTGGTACATGTTGTTTGTGATTATGGCGGCGGAGATGCGCTGGAGAGTGTGTCCCCCGGTGGGAGATTTGAGTCACTATTGGGACAGTACAGACGTTGAAATTGGCGCGCTAGAAGGAGAAAAAAGAGAGTGATGGCCTCTGTCATTTACGAGTAAGCAAGGCGAACGGCCAGAGAAAGAAAAAGAGAGAGAGCTTTCGTGCGGCTTGCAGCAGACCCGAGTAAGTGCGGGTAATATAAATCCCTGTAATTCTGGTCTCAGCCTCGTGAGTCGTGGTGAGACCGTCTCCCCGTTCGGTGACATAATCCTATAGAATAAACAGTATACTCCTCCGCATTCCCCGCCCAGACATTCGCGAGCATGGAGTCTAACAATTACAGGCCAAGCAGATATGGATGCAAAGTGAGCTCGGACTCTCGAGATAGTACTAAGATTATGATTTTACCATTGCGGGAAGTTGGACTGATGGTTTATTTCTGACCGCATCTGGAGATTTGGACTCGATGCCTTGACGCAGGCTCGAAACACCATGCTGCTGAAGCCCATCCTGGTGGATGTGATCGCCAAACCTTCGTCCTCAATCGTCCCGACGAACACCGCGGCAGCTCCCGGGACCAGAAGCAATACGAGTGTAGAGTTGTCTACTTGGATGCTTTACAACGCTGAGTACCTCAAGAATCGGCCTCGGCGTTGTTCTGGGAGGGGGGTCTCGTGCTTGTCATCGTCTCTTTGATGCTTAGTCGTCGGAGGAATCGAATAAAGAAAAATTTCTCAGAGACAGAACGTACACCGGCAAGCATGAACTTGACGGTCACGTGAAAAAAAGGATACTCACGCTCATGAAGCTCAAGATGATCAGATATATGAGATGAGGAGGCGTACAATTGAATTTGTGGGGATTGATAGGTCAAGGCAGATACTTAAGATCTAGGGCACAAGCGCTCCAGTGGAAGCTCGCACAACAAGCAATGTTCCAGAATTGGAGGCGATGCATGGGAGCATCGAAACTTTTGCAGCATCAACATCTGGCGATTTGAAATTTTCTTCAGAAGATTTTTCAAAATCGTACGCATATACCGCCCTATCAGATGACGAAACCCAGAATATGCACGGCTGTCGCGAAATAATATAGGCTACGGTGAAGATACTTTTCTGTTCACCAAATCGCCGCACGAGCATCAATGTCACTCCCATACTTCCCAAAACCATAGACTTTGAGCAATTTCATAAACGTGAAACACTAGGTTGTGAATTGATGCTCTCTATGAGATCTCACCAGCGGCTAATTCCATCGGCCGGGAAAACCAATGCAGGCGGTGCGGCCAAGGAAAAAGGCAAACATCAAGACTTGTTGCTTACATAGCAAGGGTGTTCAATTGGACGCAGGCAGTGTCGACACGCAGGGGTCACCTCCGTAAAACAGTACATATGTTGTGCGTACCAAGATTGTCAGTGGTCGCTCCATCCGCTGTGTTACCCTACGACCTCGGTCGGATTATATATGAGTAAGTGCATCTCCCAGCCTTGCAGTGAGGTTTGTGTGACCCTCGTCGCTGAGTTCCTCCATGCGCTCCCCTCTGCAGCTGCTGAGCTCAATAGCATTGAGTCACCATGGAAACCGTCAAGCCAAGCTCATCTGGATGCACGATTCCATCGCAATATAGTTTTGATGCGTCTGTCTGCTGGTCTGCAACTTCAGCCGATTTCTTGCGAGGGGATGTGAGCGCTGCGGTCCACATTTCCACAATGACTGGCTCCGTATGCAGCGGTGACGATGCATCTTCGGAGACGCAGATTCTACAGGGCAGGACCGCAATCATATGCCACTTAACTCAACAGCAGAGTTTTAATACCTGGACGTACTGGTCATTGACGAGTCTCTTGTCTACGTACACAAATCTCGAACTTGATCCTGATTCATCTACAAAAACCGTTATTACCACATACACCCAAACGTACGAAGGGGTGAATGTACCATCGATGCGGGAAAAATGCTTTCCAGGCCCAAGAGATTGCGGGTACAAGTACAAAGGCGCAGGTTGCCCAGACGGACACACGCCACTCAGCACAGCTGTCTATAGTAGCACCTCGACTCTGATTTGCTGTCCCTTGTAAGCTACAGCAAGATACTTTGAGGACATATACTCATCTAGGCCGCAGTGCACAGAATATAGATCCAGAGCTATATACTGACGCAAGCTACGGTACGGTCAAAATAGAAGGAATCAAGACTTATTCCTGGGACGATGGACCCCTTGTAGGTTGCGGTATGTATGGTCTTAGTTTTCAATAAGATATTCTGACTGATCTAGTCTACACTGGTGGTGACCTGGCAAATGAGGTGTTTCCCACTTCTCCGTTACTATCGACATCGGAAGCTGCTACGATTACGATCAATGTCATCCGAATGAAGGCGATCTCGGTAGAGGTCACCGGTACTCCGTCCACAAATTCAAATGCAGTACCAGGCTCTACGCTCTCTTCGGTCATCGCATCGTCTACCAATACATCATATGCAAATCCGAGTCCAGGTCTTGATACTCCGTCGAAGATAGGCATTGGTGTAGGTGTCGGCCTGGGCAGCATACTCATGTTGGCTATTATTGCTATATTAGTCCTCTTGACACGGCTACGGAGGAAACGATTGCTGAAAGAGGATGTATACCATGACAAGCCCGAACTCGACAGCCAACCAACCAACAAAGAGGTTTACATGTACGCTCATGAAGTACAAGATGATCAGGTACACGAGATGGACGGTACAATTGAGCCAGTAGAAATCGAGAGATCGCCGGGCATACAAGAAATAGATGACACTGGTCTGCCTGTAGAGGCTGATAGAAGAAGCAACGTTCCCGAGTTGGAAGATCGGTAGGACGCATGTGATACAGAGCTGCCATGCGTCGCCTACCTGATTAGTAGCAAACAGAAACATAATATCACTAGCCTGACGCATGTTCGAACGCGAACATAAGCAGGAACCCTTTTCTTGTGGGTCAGTATGATATTCCCTGTCACTAATACTATCAGAAGGAATTTTTTACGACATCTGTTATGTCCAGTAACACCTCCAGCCGCTTACCTCATTCCTCAGCCAGCATAGCCCCCCGTTCCACGCCCTCTACATCCACGCGCTTTCTACCGCCCTCCGGCCGCCTTTCCCTCTCCCACATCCACGCCACGCACCCGGTAATAACCCCCTGCATCACAAATGCCCCAGCACTCCACCTAAACCCCCTCTTGAACCTCGGCGCCTCTCCTGCCGGATACGTCACAAGCGGCACCCACGCATTAAACGCGTAACCCAAACTATTCATAATCCCAATAACTACCGCGCGCTCCTCCGCATCCTTTCCGCAGATCTCGTTCGCCCACGCCATGCTAAGCGGGCCGTAGGGCACCGATGCGCGCTGCAGGAAGAATGCGGCCCACTTGAGGCCCGAGGGAATGTGCCAGATAGCGAGGCAGAGGGCAGAGAAGAAGCCGAACAGCGTGGAGAGGGTCATTATGGGTGCGCGGCGGCGGACAGCGTCGGATATGATGGCGAAGACGACAGTGAGGACGAGTTGGATGGCAGCGGCGGCGGTTGGAATAATGTTCTGGCGACTCGTTAGCTGGTGTGATACTACACGGTGCTGTTTGGAGCTGACGCACTATGTTTTCGACAGAGTAGTGCTCGCTTTTGAGCCAGAGCGAGAAGGGATTCACGCTGCCGCCAGGGCCTGTGTTGATGAAGATGATGTACAAGATGGTTAGGAGGTAGACGTGCCATCTTCCGAAGATGCGCTTGAACGCCGAGCGGCCGAGACGGGTACGGGGAGCGCGGCCGGCGGATAACATGCGCTGCCTCGCGAGAGTGCGGTCGCTATCGTTGAGGTAGAAGGCGCGTGTATTCTCTGGCAGATCTGGAAGGAGGAAGAACCCCGCGATGCAGATGGGCGCGCTGATGATCCCATCCATAATCTGTAGAAAGCGTCAGTAAACAAGATGATGATGATATTGATGCCAATCACTGGAGTCAGATCGTACAAAAAGCCATTGCCAACCTGCAAAGCCACGTGCACCGTTGAGACCTTTGTACACCGCTGCTTGGAGGTATCCTGAAAACATGCCCGCTGCAGCCGAACTCGCGTGAAATATACACGCTCTCTTTCCTAGCTCCGAGGGCTTATACCACGATCCCAGTATGGTGTGTGCAGCCGGATAGAAGATGCTTTCCGCCAGTCCGACGAAAAAGCGGATGGCAATGACTTGTTTGGATGTTTTTGCCGCTGCGAGACAGAATGTCAACAGGGTCCACACGAGCTCGCAGCTAGGTACCCAGATGCTCGGGCGCACCTTGGTGATGATGATCTACAGGAATTCTGAGTAAGTAGAAACACGAGCCTCATGTGTCCATCGTACCTGAGAGGGAATCTGACCAAGAACGTATCCCACCGTCCACGCAGTATCCATCAGGTTGACTTCGTTCCCGTTCATCTCCAGGTCCTCCTTCATACCGCTAACGAACGCAGTCGCGATGTTAGTCTGGTCCAGATTCTTGATGAAGTAACCCAGCGACAGCAAGGTAATCAGATATGCGTCCAACTTTGAAATGAATCTGCGCTCTTCCTCTGTCCTGCCAGGCTCATGGTCCCAGATGTACGACCACCACGGCACTTTCTCTTTAACACTACTCTCATCCTCAATGGGCCGGTCTGCGGGCCGAGATATTGGAATTTCTTGCTCAAGCTTGCTGTCTAAGATTGCATCAGCACCCACGGCAGAGGAAACGCAGCGGGATGAGGCGAAGGTGCCATAGAAAGTCGTAGAACCAGACGATCTAAATGAAGACATCTTCTGGGGAAATCAAAAACGCACACCTGTAGCCACGAAGCCCCACTCGACTCCAGATTATAACGGTGAGCGATCGCAATTGCTCCATAGACGCGTCGATTGCGTGCGTATCACGAGGGCCGTACTGCTCTATCTGGTCGCACAGTGGCCCGTTTGGGTTACTTATGGGGAATGATGTGGGTCTCTGTGATGACTTAGGCAATCTGGGATATTTGAGAGAGTAGATGTGTGCGTGGTGAGGTTGCACGGTCTACCGTCATTCCTGGTGCGGATGAGGTGCTCGAGAGGTTGCAGTTTCGCGCTTCTCATTGGTCAACACACAGGAAGTCTGAGACATGCACGTTAGCAGGACCGCGGACACAACAGTTCGACAGTATAGTGGCCGAATCCAATATATAAAGTTATCTGGCACGCTGTTCCTGGACGCTACAATACACGAATACTCCGTGGAGTCTAGAGCTAGGGAGCTGCTAGGCCCGTGGGTTTGGTTTTCACGAAAAACGAAATCATGCCGTATTCATTTGCTGCCCACGAAACAAGGCTCACTTCTTGTCGCTCCCAGGAAGCCAGCCCTATTCCACATTAGCTTACGTCCAGAAATGTACGATGCCTTACACGCCCTACCTTCTCCTTCATCTTATCCCAGTACTTCTGGTCCCTGTCTGCACCTCCAACATGCCCATCTCGAGTACTCGGCGTAGCGAAGATACTTCCCTGCGGTCGCTGGAACTGGGATGGCGGAACCTTGGATGCATCCCATTCACGGCTGAGACGGCGATCTTGTGTGGGGTGTTGCTGGGCTTGTGGGTCGGCTGGATCGCCGCTGCTGGTATCCTTCTTGGTGGCATCTTCAGAGGAAGTATCTGTGTGAGAATTAATGGCACGGTCGAAGAAAGGTTCAATGCGAAGGATGCGTCTCGTACTGTCTTTTTCCTCATGCTGGGCGGCGGTAGGGTTCTTGTCGGTCTGGTTGATGCCCGCAGACGAGTCGTAGCCTGAGAGTGTCAGAATACGGTCATCGTGTGTGCTGCGCGGGCGCACCAACCTACTCCATCCAGCAACGACATGCTGTTGGAAGCCATATTATGTCGCCTTCGCTGTTCGCTTTCCACACCTTAAATCTCGTTGGAATAGGTCGAAGAACGGTGCGGGGTCGTCTTCTAGGCTTTGTCTTGATGAAACAAAGTCCACAGGCATGGAAGGACATCTGGTATATCCACCCAAGACAAACGGAAGAAGCATCCTGTACGCAACACCCACTCACATAACATCATTGCATCACACCAAGTCGTTTGCTCCTCATTGTGCATGCATGCCTAGGCCTAGGCAGCAGCCACAATGCCCGAGCCCCCAGCTCCAGCAATTGGTAGCATTTATCCTGTCACGTCGCGGCATGGGACGCAACACGCACTTATTGGCTGTGTATTGAGCGGTGGAGGACAAACGCGACGGGTATGACATCACGCGAGTTGGCAGCGCTCCGTCGCCAATCCGAGTTGTGCTCGTCTTGCAGCAGGAGATTGGTCTAGAAGTAGGGGTACTAATGATACCGCGGCACCTTCATTCCGCATACATTGCCGGTCAACAGGCGCCGCTTACCGTCATCTATTAGGAACACCCACTCGATGGGGTCAACTGCCTAACGGGGTCAGCGAGGCGCAGTGCTTGCATCGTGGCGCCATGTTTCATTTTATCTTGCGTGCCGCACCACAAGCAACTAGTGTCACCCGGCAGGAGCGGTTTTGATGAGGAGATAGTCTTCTGAGTAATTTGAGGGGCAAACTTTCAATATATGACATCCAGATAGAAGAAAATTGCGCGTCCGGGTTGCTCATCATGTCCTGTGCGCAGCAGCAAAGTGTGAGCCTCGCGCTGTCGCACAACCCAATCAAGTCCCGTACAGTTGATCTGTCTTTTTCCTCAACCTGACAAAAGAAATCCCTCGTGCCAGCTTCGTCCAGCCCACTGTTATCCTTCATTTTGAACTGTCCGCAGGTATCAACGCCGGGTATGCAACTAGGTATCCACCCCGAGATATGTGCTTGGCACATTGAAATCAATCCCCATCAGGGGCAGAAAAGAAACATTTACACAAGCAAGCAAAAGCTGAAGAGTAAGTGAAGAGCAAGTAATACCGAGAACGCCGTAAAATGCACAAAGAGAGGGGCCTTCTTGCCTGTCTATGCAGGATCGTAAAGTCGTCATAGATCATCGTCGAGGTCGATAGCGTCTGGGTTGGCGGCAGGAGCTGCGGCGTCGGATTTGATGTTGCCGCCCTGAGGTCCTGTGCTGGCAGCGACGAAGCCGGAAGGAGCTTTTGCTTGACGTTCGAAGGCGGCCATAGCGTCTTCGCCCTCTGCTGCATCGCCGTTGACGTGCTCACCGTTTCCATTTTGCTGGCCTCGCGCGACTGCCTGGGAGGCGATGAAACTGACATCGGTGCTATATATTGTTAGCGCTGGAGGTACAAACAGAAGTCGAGATGGTACATACTTGTACTGAGCTTGAACACTCCGCTTGATCCGAAGCATTTCCTTGTAAGTGTCCTCGTTTCCGTGTTGAACTTCGAACGATTCCCACTTCTTCCAGAACTCTGGACTGGTCCTCGGATCGCAGAACTGGCTCGCGTGGCCATAGATAGCTCTGGCTCTGTCGATTTCACCCAAGCGTCTTTCCATCTCGGCGAACTTGAGACACATCTCCTTGGCCTCGCCGTCAGGCAGCGCTGATATGGCGCGTTCGTAGATTGGGCGTGTGGATGTGAGTCCGAAATTGGAGGCCGACTTGGTGATGTAGAAGTTAAACATCTCCATCCGGTCTTCGTCAGCGACTGCCTCGGTAGCACGCTGGTAGATGCGCATGGCGTGTCGTGCTAAGCCGCGGTCTTCTTCGAGAGCACCGTACATAAGGTACAGCACCTTTGCGAACTTGGGCGGACACCCTTCCACAGCCTGCTCAAACAAATCTCTCAATCGCTCCATGCCGATCTTTCGATCGACCGCTTTGGTCAGATACAGGTTCCATATCTCGAATGCGACAGGGTAGCTGAACAGATCTAATCCCCGTTCGTAGACCTTGAAGGAATCTTCAAAATAGCTGTTTTCTTCAAGAAGGTTGGCGTAATTGACAACGGTCTGCGGCGTGGCGATGCGAAGCTCGAATACCCTCTCGTACACCTTCTTGGTTTCTTCCAGTGTGCTCACACTCTCCACAAGATCAAGATAGACACTCCACAACTTCCAGCTCTTGTGTACCCTTTGCTGCGGGGTCAGCGACTCGTCGAAGTAGTCCACGGTAGACCTCTTCGGGGCTTGTGTTGCCTTGGCGATAATCTCGACAGCTCGGTCAAAGTTCTCGTGGCGCAACTCCATCTCAACCCACTCGCACCACATCTCGGCTAGTTCGGCGACCGACTTGAAGGGCACCTTTACCGCTTTCTCCATGATAACACGGGCATTTTGAATATCCCCGCCGGCTTCGTAAAATTTTGCGTATGCAGTCCACAGCTCATGGAACTTGCCGACTGCCTTTTTGGGATTTATGGCGGCTATGGCGTCGGTGTACGTCTGCACCACCTCTTTGCTGTTGTCGCCCCACAACGCGACGCGCTTCTCCCATTCAATGACATTATGCGGGTTTTGTCTTAGCATAACATCGTTCAATAGGAATGGTCGCCGCTGCATTAGCGACTCGAAGCGGACCATCCGGATGTCTAGATCGGCGTCGGCGTCTTGATCCACTTTCTCCTTATCGGACCGAGCAGCAGCCTCTTGCAGCTTAATTCCAATCAAGGTCTCCTCGGCCTCTATGTATGTGTCGAAGACCACGGAGAAGTCGCGGACCGTCATGACGGTGGTGATGCCCTCCTCGAAGACATCGCGAGCTTTTTCGTACTCGTTCTTGTTCATCCAATAGCGCGCGAGTCCGACCCACAAGATACCACGCTGATCAGGGAATTTGGAGATGCCACTCCTGATAATCTTCTCGACATCAATGCCGCTGTCGTCGCCGGTTTCGATATCCTTGGCGTGGTCGATGAGTAGATCAATCATCTCAGTCCAGAACTGGAAGGGTCCCTTTGCCTCCTTGCTCTTGAACTTGGGGTTGTTAAGAATCTCCATGTACTTTTTGACGGCCTCTGTGTACTTGCGCATGTCCTTGAGCAGCTCGATGAAATCTTCCGCATCTTCCGGGTGTATCTGCATGTAGCGCCGCCATATCTTGACGGCCGTTTCCCCGGACGCAGAGGTGGCGAAGGGCCTGTAGAGCGCCCAGATGCGGTTGTGCTGCGTCAGGGGGAGTGCGCGCAGGGCGCGGTCGAAGGTGCGGCGGGTGGTGGTGACGAGGGGCTGCTGCATGAGGAAGTTGAGGTACATCTCCCAGATGCGCGGCATCTTGTTGAGCAGCACGAGGGCGCGCTCGAACAGGGCATTGACCTTGACGTAGTGCGGCGCGTACTTGGCGGGGTTCTTCTTCTCGAGGTGCTTGGTGCGCAGCTCGAGGTAGAGCTTCCAGAGCTTGTAGGAGCGCGGCAGCGTGGTGCACGCGCGCTCGAGCACAAACGCCTGCTCCAGCAGGCTGCCGCGCGACTTCTTGAAGCCGTAGTAGTCCAGCCACGGCTTGACGCTGCCGGGATTGCGCTGGATGTCCTGCTCGTACGCGACATCCTGGTCGTTGATGAGAAAGAGGTCGCTGGAGCGCTCCATCTTGCGCTTGGGCGGCCGCGAGAGGCTCGCCGTCACGGTGCGGAGCAGCTCGCCGGGCATTGTGTCGCCGGCAAAGGCGTAGGAGAGCCCGCGGAGGGCAAGGGCGAGGGAATCGTGCGTGCTCGAGGTGGCCGTCGAAGGTGGAGACGAGGTCAAGAATCTGAGGGAGCACTTCGGACGGGCGGTCAGCAGCGTGGTCCGTGCCCCAAACATGGCGCCAACAGCAGCAACGCTCGGCGGCCTACTGCAGCCGTAGCCGTGCAGCTGCTAAAGCGTCTGAGCTGTGCCGTCATTAGCAGCACCGTGCAGTTCACCAACGCTGCGACGCCCCGATCCCACAGCCATTCCGCGCCCCAACGCTGCGACCTGAGTTCCCGTGCATTCTCCGTCCGCTACTCCACTCCGTTACTCGGTCGGCCCAGCATCTCGCCATGTCAGGCAGCGGGGTACGTCGCCGCTGCATCAAGATAGCTACGCTGCAGCACCACTGACGCCACCATCAGGCGAGAGAGGCCGTCTTCCCCACGCGCCAGTCGCTGGGGTTGATGAAGACGAAGCTCAAGGGTGCCCAGACCGGCCACGACCTGCTGAAGCGCAAGAGCGAGGCACTCACAAAGTACGCCCTCCCCGTCGTCATGGCACCCGTCGCACAGCACCCCTGCTAACTCCCCTCTCACAGACGCTTCCGAGGTACGACCATGCCACACATGTGTCCTATGTTCGTTGCAGCTAAAATCCTCCCCCAGAGATCACCCGCCGCATCGATGAGGCCAAGCGCAAGATGGGCCGCGTGATGCAGATTGCTGCCTTCTCCCTCGCCGAGGTCACTTACGCCGTTGGCGGTGACATTGGCTACCAGGTCCAGGAGTCGGCCAAGCAGGCACGGTTCCGCGTTCGCACCAAGCAGGAGAACGTCTCGGGTGTCTTCCTTCCCCAGTTCGAGAGCTATACCTCCGACAGCGCCAACGACTTTGCACTCACTGGTTTGGGCAAGGGCGGTCAACAGGTGCAGAGGTCACGCGAGACATATGCAAGGGCAGTGGAGACATTGGTAGAATTGGCAAGTTTGCAAACTGCCTTTGTCATATTAGACGAAGTGATCAAAGTCGTGAACCGTCGCGTCAATGCGATGTGGGTATCTTCCATCCTTCAACGCCAAAATCCATGCCCTGACAATCAACAGTGAGCACGTTATCATACCGCGAACCGAAAACACCATCAAGTACATCAACTCGGAACTCGACGAGCTCGACCGAGAAGAGTTCTACAGGCTGAAGAAGGTGTCCGGCAAGAAGCAGAGGGACGCCGCCGAAGCGGACGCTGAGCGCGAGGCATCAAAGAAGGACGCTGAGGCAGAGGAAAAGGGCAATGCTGCCTCAGAGGCGGAGACGCACGACTTACTGGGTGATCAAGAAAACGAAGACGTTATCTTCTAGGGGATAACGTGTGATACCAGTTTAGTAGTGACGGCGCGAATGGTGCTGACGATGCGGCGGCTGAAACACGGTGGGATCGTGCTCACCACGGTCGACAACCCATGACGCATTCCGTACAATGTACCTCCTGGCCGGGGGATGGTGGAAAGCGTTCCTGGCCGCGTGCTTGGCCTTCTCCTCAAGATAGATCCTGACGTTGCGGAGATCTTCAATTGTTCGGGGATCCTTCCATTTGTCGCTACTGGGGTACACGGGCTGGGAAACAACTGCCTTGACTTCATCATCCCTAGATGTGCGTGAGTACATATTCTGGCAGATATGGCAAGACTATATAGTTGAAAGACCCTGTATTGAGTTATGGTATCATAATAGCATCATCACAGCATTCTGGCTGCGGAGAATCAACGCCTAATCCACATGCAATAACCTACGTCCGCTGGTATGAGACCTTGAGGGGCTTTTGGTCCTTTCCGACGCGAGCATCCGCCGTCTGCTCCTTGGCGGTAATGGAGAACTGCTCGTTTTCGAACTCGACGAAAGCGACCGCCCTCATCTTGACGTAGCGCACCTCCTTGAAGCCTTCGAAGCGCTCGAAGATAGCAGTGAGGTCGGCCTCCTCGGTCTCGTAGGGGATGTTCTGCACGAAGAGAGTCTTGTTCGGTCGCACGTACTCGTCCGGAATCAAGGCGGCGGCTCCTGGCTTGCTTGCGCGCGGCTTCTCGGCGGCAGCCGCAGGGTTGGCCTGCGCCTTCGCATCCTCCTGCGCACGCTTGAAGTCTGTGACATGTCAGCAACACGAACGGAAACTTCGCATCGGAAGACCACGGTACCTTTCTGGGTGAGACGCTTGCGCTTGTGCTCGTCGAATACCTCGGGCGCCTTCCTCTTCACTGTCTCATCGCTGTGAGTCTTCGCGCGCGCGACCTTCATGGTCTTGCCAAAGAGCTCGAAGCCATCCATCTCCTCGACAGCATCTAAGGCGGATTTCTCGCTGTCGAAGACGATGAAGGCCTGGCCCTTGCGCTTCAGGCTGCTCTTCGCAACGATTTCGAGAATGGTGCCGTAGTGCTTGAAGATGACGTCGAGGGCTTTCTTGAGGTAGTCGATGTTGATACGCTCCTCAAGATTGTTGACCTTGCTACGTTAGCATGAGCCACGAGGTGCAATGTGAGCTGCATGCTGGCAGCAGGTGCAACTCACGTAGATGCTGCGACAAAGTTAGCGCCTTAGCGACAGCATATTTAAGGGACATACGTTTCAATTGGAACCCCGTACTTGGGATCAACCGCGCCGCCGCTGGGGACTACACCCTCCATCTTGTCTCCCATGGCGAGAGGTGTGGGGGTAATGCGTTGTGGTGTTGTCGGAAAGCTCTCTGGAGCTGTTTCCGAACTATTGGGTATCGCCGCTAGCGTCCGCCGTTAGCGTCACGTGACTTTGCAACATGAAGGCGCGCTACTATTGCCTAGCATCCGCGTCTTTATGGCACAGGAAGTGCGCAACTATCACCCAGTGGGCATGATAGATGGTTGCGAGAAACGACCGTACAGCGAGTCTCACTTCTACATGTTCAAGAGCCGGGCCACGTTGCACATAGTTGCGCACGCCTCCCGTGGTTCAGGCATCTCAACCAGAAGCAATCAATATATTTTCCATGTTGTTTAAGTGCAATCAGACCAGATATAATTTTTTAAACGCACTGTCAGCTTACTTATTTTATCTGCTCTGACTTGGACGGACAACTATCACAAACGATGAACTTCTGCATTTGCATATCAAAGATTCTCCTTGGACAGTGTCCTTGAGCAGACTGCTGCCTGGCTGTCGAGAACCCATCAGCGATGCCTAGCCTCTACTTTCCACCGTCAATAATCACTGCGACCTCAAAAATGGATATTCACGGAGCCGATGAGCCTGTCTGCGTGATGCCACCAAGGACGGTGATTGACCTGTCTCTGCCTCCAAGGGAGCGATACAAATCTCTCGCGCGTAGTCAAGCGGACAAATTACGCTCTTTAGCAAGTCTCCTCGATGAATTGCTACTCGATTACGGTGTCCCCTGGAGGTTGATCAAACCTCTCCATATGTTATCACAAGTTTTCTTACGCCAGGTTCGCAGCTCAGAAGAAACGGAAGAGTTGAAGGGCATTGCCGAAGTGACAGGTCTTCCGATGTACTTGTTAGTCGCTTTCAATGTCCTCCTAGATCTTCTTATGGGCTGCACTTCTGGTGGCGTCCTCAGCCAAGAGGATAGTCAACCTCGATCGTCTGCGAAGATGCTCCACTTTCGAACCCTGGACTGGACCATGGATCCCCTGAGAGAAGTCGTCGTCCAGCTCGACTTTATCCGGAGCAAGTCGTCGCAACCGGACACCGTTCTTGCATCGTCTATAACATACATTGGTTTTGTTGGCGTCCTCACGGGCGTGAGACCAGGACTGAGTCTGTCGCTCAATTTTCGAGCGGTCCACGATGCTACAAGTACAAAAGATCAAGTACGCTTCTATCTTCATCACCTGATGGTATTGCTTGGTCGTCGTCCTTCGATAGCAAGCATTTTGCGACATCATTTACTTGCAGATTATCGGTCCATGGGAGTAGGACAGTCGGCCTTGGAGCTGGTTATCGATAATATCGCGAAACGACACACAACAGCTGCTTATCTCATATTCAGCGATGGCCATTCTACAATAACCATGGAAAAGGACTATAGCACAGCTTTGACCGACCGATCTGACACCTTCATCGTTCGGACGAACCACGATTTAAACGATCATGGAGTGGAACCCAAGCCGATTCCAGTGGTCACTGAAGATGTGGATATTGTAAGAAGAGCGGTTCATACTCTTGACGAAATCTTAGATGAGAGTCGTGAGAGGCTCGGATGCATTACGAAGCAATATGAGACGAAGATGAAGATGAACAGGGCATCACAACGTCGGTCTGCTAGGGCCCTACGCCAGAATTCAGCGCAGGTGGACAAGGAAGCCAATCTCCTTCCGACACGCACAGAGATCATCCAGTGGTTGTGCACCTGGACAACCACGAACGAGAGTACACATTATTCTGTAGTCATGGATCCCAAAGCTGGAAAAGTGGTCTGGTGTAGAGTGTACCCTCGGCCGCTATATGAGCCATCGAAAGGGTCCAGAGAATGGTTTAAAGTTGGACCAGGGAACCGAAAGTGTCAGTGGGTCTCTGTTGCGGCGAAGGAGTCTGACCGCTCTTGAGCCGGTACATCCCCTACGCGGACAGTGTTGTAGATCATCCAGTCGAAGCAACTCAAACTACTACATCATTTACTTATTCCGGTGCGACCATCTCAACGACTGTTCAACCCGATGCGATTCGCTTTGAATTGAAATATTTCGAAGATGAATAAAATGCTCTATGAAAGCATCCAGCCTCGCAGTTGGAGAATTCAAACTGGGAACCTTGCACAGCCTCTTTTATAATCTATCCAAACCGATCCACACAGACGCGAGAAACACATTTGTGCTGTCACGTGTCCACATATATTGCAATTGACAACCGGAATATCAGGGCTGTACTCAGGGTCATCCTAAAGATCCATTCCTACTCCACAACTTTCGAATTTGAGCTGACTTCGCTCACAATGTGCTTCGTATTGGGCAGTCTACAATATTCCCAGCGTGCCAGTACGGCAGGAATTATATTCGGCCTGGTCCATGGTGGCGTCACCAAACCGATGGTTTGTTCCCGGCGAAGGCATCGCGGAAGAAGTCATATGTGCCGACATCTAGAGGTATCTCGGGCCGGACGCCTCAATTCAACCCGGCGAAGACCATGGAACGCAGAGTTACTGGATCCCAGCGCAAAGAACGCTCACCCACAAGGAGTTACAGGGGTTGTAGTCCGACTCGCAAGGCTGGAACACAGAGACGCACATACTTCCCAGTATAGCATACCAAAATTCGATGTCCTACGTTGCTGACGTGGTTGAGACGACAATACCTCCAGAGCCACCGTTCGCATTCAGTTTGGCCCCATTTTCTTTTAGCTCCGCAGGCACTTCTCGAGCATTCACGAAGGTCGAGGTTCCTATGGTAGCGATGAGGAGGGCGATGGTGATGAGGAGTCCACAGAAGAAGAGCACAAAATCATCTTCCAACCGCATCAGAGGTTTGAGATGCCCCTTTTATTGTCACGACCCAGACCAATACTTCCACCAAGCATGCAGTAGCGCTTCGGGTTTTCCTAACATGACTCGACTTGTGTGAGACACTCTGTTCAATGCCCAAGCTCTCAAGTAAGCAAGCTAACAAGGTATAGTCAACACTTAAAAAGGGGCCACTGGCAAAAGCACGTACTGGAATGTCCTCGATGCCAAGAGGTGTTGCTATGGAATCAACGACTAGAAGTCCATCTGAATGCGGAAGAGCCTTGTCCTAGACGTGAGCGGGTGAAGGAGAGCTTATCTGATATTGCGTCATAGATGCAAGGCCTACCGTGATCGATCAGCTCCAACATCCTCTTGCAGCTTCCATCGAAGAAGTTTTTGCTGATGAATGGGGTTGATTTGTTTGCGAGACGGTCCAAACTGCCATTGATGATCTGAAAGCGAACATGCCGATGAGATTGCAGAGAGCACAAGAGAAAGTTGAGTCTCGTCGCGGAGTGCAACCATTGGGAGAAACTGGGAAGGCAGCTACGGTGGAGTTATCACGAAACGGCAAAGGCAAAAGAAGAGCTATGGATGACATGATGTTTCCCACGCACGAGGTACCGCGGCCGTCTATTCGTAGTCCATCCAGCATTTCCACGGTTGACTCCAACAAAGTGCCACTTCCGGACCAAGTCGAAATAGACAACTGACCAGCTAAGGGCTACCCAATCTCTAACTCAAACGGCCATCCATGTATGGGCCAGGAAACCATGGGTCCGCATGCTCACAGATCTCTTCATCTCGGATTGGATTTTGACTTAATGGTTTCTTCTCGGACGATGCTATGCAGGTGGGGAATTTCTTCTCCAATCTTACCTTGACAGCTGCGAAAGACCCACACGTCAACTCATAGGCAAGCTATTATTAAAAATTGGGATTTGTTGATGGACGAGTTCATCTGATGGAGACTAGAGGGTGTGGTGGGGCCTGCATACTTCGCTCAAGCATGTGGCGGAAGGCCGCTGAGCAATACCAAGATGAGCTACCACTTGTGTAGTAGTAATGTGTACACTGTGTCAACTTTTGCTCAGCAAATGTCTACACAGTACAACTTTTGATGTTGTGCTTGCCGAGCAGTGACTGATTGTTCGCGTTGTCGAGTCCAAGCTCCTTGATGTAGTCGTCATTGCCGAGAGTCGTAATTGTAAACTCACAGTTGGGCTGATATGATCGATTGACCACTGCCTTGAAGACTTCGAGGCAGTCGAGCCCAGCAAGACTTGCATCGCGCGAAGTCAGGAGCTAGTGACAAGCTCAACTCGTGGGTGGACTGATTGGAGCGCGCAGCGCGTCATCAATCGGTTGTCTTGGCACAGCTATCTCCAAAACTTCATGAGAGAAGGCGCCCGGCCACACCATCACGACCCCTGAACCACGCGCAAGACACACATATCACTCGACTGAGCAGCATCTCTGAGCTCAGTCTATCGCGAACATCCGCCTCCCGCTTCCTCAATTTTATGCAACCAGAGCCTCTACACGCTTCCCAGAACACGCTGTCCCCACCACTTACCCCCGAACACCCCGCCATCACCTCCCAGCATGGCCCTCAGGATCGCGACCAGCAGCTCTTCCCACTCTCTCACCACCATGGGGAGTCGGGAGAGCCTGTGTCTGCAGGCACCGCTGATGAGCACGCGTCGCGCGAATCAAGTCGCGACCGCGACCCCGACGCCACTCGACTGAGCCGCGCGAGTCCCCCGCCCCGAAACAGAATCACGGAATATGAGAATGCATTAGTCCAGTCGCCTAAGAAACGGCCTCATGGTCCAGTATTTGAGGTCATCAAGTCTGCGAGGAAACCTGACGACAAGAGCTGTCCACTTGCGAAGCTGCCGAATGGTGAGTCAACACACGGTGCGGCACCTGCAAATCCATGTCTGACACCCACACAGAAGTCTTGACTCACGCTCTCTCCCACCTGTCTCCGCACGACCTTGCCGCCGTGTCGCTTGTCTCAAAACGCTTCAATGGCCTCGTCACGACCCCTCATGCCTGGCGTGAAGCCTTCAATCGCTACTTCCCGGGGCCTACAGCTCTTGTCGACGAGGATGTGCGATTGGCTCTTGAGGAAGCGGGTGATAGCTTCCGCTCGGAGAAGCGTGCCTTCACACGTCTCACTGCGCTATCTTCGTGGCGTAGCGAATACATACTGCGCACCCGATTGCTGCGCTCGCTGGCCAGGGGTAAGCCCGTCCAGATCGAACCTGTGACTGCTGCTCGCTCCGGACAACCGCAGAACAACGCCCCGGTCAACATGTACAATGCCTTCACGTACACCACTATCAACCACCTGCACGCTACGTTCGGTACAGGGGGGTTGAACAAACGAGTTCCTCGCTTGATTCACGGAGCAGACGACGTCGGCATGTGCACCAGCAGTGACCCCACCATCACGAAGGTCGATCCTTGGGGCCAGAGCGACCCCAACTTCTACGCCCAATTCTCCGAACGCTTCCCTGGTGTCGCTGAGTGGGGCTTAGGATCTGGCGAAGTAGTCGGTCGACCGAATGTTATGGATGTGTCTCAGCAATATGGCATGGTATATGGCCAGGGCTGTGCCGAAGGGTCTTGCTACTACCGAGCCACCGATGAGCAGCGAGGCCGCTTCATCGCCGAGCCCACCGATTTCTCGATGCCTGAAGCCGGCATACCTAAGCTTGGAGTGGACGGCGGCGCCATTTGCAGTGTCTGGATCGCTAAATCAAATGCCATTCCCACCCTGACTGATGGTTTGATCGGAGTCCTCATGGGCTCTGCAGCCGGTGTCATATCAGCATGCAGCCTTGGATCGGATGGCCTTCGTGGTGCCCGTGTTCAGCGCGGCGACCTCGTCGCTCGCTGGGTGCTCAGTCCAGGCGTTCCAATCGTAGCAATTGCTGTTGACGATAATTACTCTCATCAGCGCCAAGCTCAGAATCGTATCTGGGCTGTGGCTCTCAACGCGTTGGGCGAATTGTTCTATCTGACCAAGTTCCCCACCAGGAGCCAAGCTCCAAAGGGCCGACTCAACGAGTACTACCCTGAATATCTTGCTTGGCTCACTGGTCGCAGCGTCCACTGGAACATCGTCGAACCCAGCAGACGGACTGCGAGGCCAGATCCTTACAAGGACGTGGAAATGGACGGAAGCTACTCGCCGAGAAGCTCTTGGGACGGCATGTGCTTGAGCAAAGATCAAGTCCTTGCTGAAACGAGAGAAATTCACAAGTTCATTTCCAAGACACCCAAGGAGTTCCGCAAAACGTGCCTTGGTTGGGATATGCGTAGGCGTCTTGAGGTTGACTTCGCAGGCGATGATGGCAACTTTGCGGGAGAAGCCATGGTCGTTGTCGAGTGTGGGCTTGAAGAGGGGGATGTCACCAAGCTCACTCGGTTCACGCGCTGGAAGGCTCGTGAGACTACCAAGGAGAGCACCACCTCTACTCGATTTGCTTCTCAGCAGGCGTCTAAATCTGCGTCACTATTCGGCGGGTCTGGTGCCACTACTCCTGACTTTGTTCAACAGCAGCGGCTCCCCCATCGATTGCGAAGCCAATCTTACGCATCCGACAACAGCTCTCCTGAGCGGTCCAATCTTGTCGAAGAGTGGAGAACATCCGATCTGACCTTCGGCGGCTTAAAGGTTCTCCAAATTGCTACTACTGCCATCGACTGCTCTACCTTTGCTACAATGACTCTTTCAGAGGATCCCGCTCTGGGTTTCTCGGCTGCGTCGACAACCTCTTCACCTTATGCTTCGCCTATGTCAGTGGCCAGTCAATCGGCGTCTCCTTCAGATATTCCCGGCCAACGTGCTCGCTTTGTTGCAGCCGGTACGAAGACTGGCGAAGTCCTTTTGTGGGATCTACGCGCTCCCGTTTCGCGAAGCGCCGAATATCCGAATAGTCTTCATCCTGTTCGGATTATCTACACTCAATCGCCTGAGATCAGTTGCCTTGCTCTGACAGCATTGCACGTCGTGATTGGTGGCTACGACGGATTGGTCCAAGCCTGGGACCCTTTGGCTTCAGATCCCAAACCCGTTCGTACACTGCACTCCCGCCATGCTACCCGCGCTCGTAGGCGCATCCAACAGGCCCAAGCTTCGATCCAGGGCATCGGTGTGAACATGTATGCGGCCGGTGCTATTGTACTCGACCCCGACCCAACAGTCTTGCGCGGAGCAGTGTCTGTTGGCAACCAAATTCGCTACTGGAGTTACAGTTCCTCCGCTGCCGACCAATACAAGAGCAGCAAACGCCGTCTCCGCCGTGGTGAACGCGGAAGCAACAATGTGGGCGAGCGCGTCGTTGGCGCGACGCGCCTCAACCTGAAAAATTACATTGACAATGAGAAGCATGAGCTCGAACGGGAGACGGTGGAGCGTCGCAAACAGGCCGATCGCCTCGCTGGCCGCTTCGGCGTCGACCTTTTGGGCAGCGAAGAGGAAGCTCTGGCTTACGCCACGATGCTTTCACAGGAAGCCGCACAGGCGGACGAGGCTAAGCGCAGAGAAAGCGAAAGCAGCTATGCCATCAGCAGCGACACCGCGACGCCTGAGCCCAGCATTGCGCAGTCTAGCTCGCCCACCATGGCTATCGACCCCGAGCTTGACGCTGATATTGCCGAAGCCATCCGCCTCTCTTTACAAGACAGCCCCGCGTCCGGCATCTACGGCTCTGACTCGCCGGCTCTGGACGAGGAGTGGGACATCCCAGTGAAGTACGCAAAGAGTAAGAAGAATGGTAGTCCAAAGCCAGCTGGCAGAGCAGGTGGCGCGTCCGGGTCAAGCAAGGATGCAGAGATGGACGATCTAGAGTTCGCGCTGCAGCTCAGCCTTGCAGAGGAGGCGAGTAGGAAGGAGGTGGAAGCGAATGAAGATGCTTTTCCGGCGCTCAGTCCGCGCTTGAGTAGCGGAAAGGGGAAGGGAAAGGGGAAGGCGCCGTGGTGAGCCTGGTTGTGGGTACCTGATTCTCTCTATTTGTTTTCTCGTCGGGCTACGTCATGGTAGCGTACGCCCTGCCTTGAATGTTCTCTTCTTTCTCCCAGCACCTCAGCGTTGCTTGGCTTATTTGTTTTTATAAGCTTCTCTGTCGATGCGCAGTCTAATACCTCCTTGCGAGTTGCCTTCTTAGTGCTTTCTCTGGCTTCCCTAGCTTATCTAGGTTGAGGCTGAAGGAGCTTCGCTTGTTTCGAATCTTACGTCGTTTACTTATAACTGCGATCTTCTCTTTTGGTTCGTGATGCGCGTCACTGTCATTTTTTGGCGACGAACCTCGAGCAACTGTTCGACGGCAGACGAATATCGGTCGACTGAAACCATGGTTTAAGTAAGGTAACGAAGGGAGCATTTCCAGTTTCTAAAAGCTTCTTTGCAGTACGGATAGATAAGGAACGGTAGCAGACAGGATACAGGGTGGGCAATGGACTTTGGGTGTGATTGCCTGGAGACAGCGTGTTCCATATGAAGAATTAGTGCTGCAGAGAACCAGCGCTCCTATGAACCTAGTAGCTTTCTTTGGAAATACAGCAACTTCGAGAAAATAAAGAACAAACCCGAAGGACATAGTCGCGAGTCGATGCAAATTCGAGAGAATCCGGACGCTGTAGCTTCCCGGAAGTCATTTTATGTATCCGATGATGAGGTTTGAAGGAAGTCCATGATGAGACGTAACCCGCTGCTTGTTTCCTTAAAGGTAGGGGCTGAGGATGATAATTGTCCATATGAAATGGAGATAGCCATTGGCTGCGGAGGAAGACTAGAAAGTCACGTGAAGATGACCACGTGCACACCGTGTTCATGGTCAATATCAATGCGCCTATCAATCCACAGTAGATGCGAGTGCTCTTTCTGCACTGATTCATCCGTGCAGTGTCTTGGTGGTATGATAAGAGGTGACATACTATGGTGATGTTAGAGACGGCTACTGAGGCTCTGTGCTAGCGCCGTGCCAGCCCTTGCAGCTCCTTCCTGTGGAGCCGCTCGCACTCTAATGTTCTCTTTCCCCACTAAGTGAAGCCCAATAATTGTGGCTCCATCCGTCCACTGGTGGAGATGATGCTTACATTGCCTCGTGGGGAACCGACTCAGTGCCCATTTTGTCTTCGTTAGGAGTCTCGGCCCGCTTTACCCAATGTGGACATTTATCACGGGGAGCAGAAGAGGAGAAGATGTCGCAATCACCAAATACCACATACAGAGAGGAAGAAATACGTAGTGATGCGATTACCTATCATGCTCAGCATAAGCAAAAGTCTATATAATATACAACGTTCCGGCTGCATACCTAGCATTACATTCACTCGTAAACCTCAAGAAACAAGCAATCAGTAAGTGAGGCGTTCTATTTGTGGAAGCTGGAGGAATATCGGCTAACATATTATAAGTGTCACAAAGAGCCGTTCCCCTCACTGTCATCAAAGGCGCAGGTCATGAATACATACCTATTCCTGAGGGCGAGAGTGCAATCGTCGCAGACTTCCACTCGTACGTAGTCTCTCTCCGCTTCTGTCCTCGTACCTATACACGTTTCTAAGCACCTTACAGTGTCCGAACCGAAACCAAAGACAACCCCTCCTACCTGACCTCAGGGTTCTACCGGATCCAACCTGGCCCCACGCGCAACATCCCATCCTACACCTACGAAGAAACCAAGTACGTTCTCTCAGGACAAATCGATGTACTGGATGAAGCAACGGGCGTCACACATCATTTGGTGCCTGGAGATTTCGCGTTCTTCCATGTAGGCACAAAGTGCCAGTTCAGCAGCAAAAGTGGGGGCTTAGCTTTTTTCGCGGTTACGAGGCCAATCATTACGCAGCATCCGGGTCTACAGGGGAGGGAGGAGAAGATTGCGAGCAAGCTTTAGGAATCATGTGGTCATTCATTGGAGACTCTCCTGGTGAGAGATAATAAAAGCCAGGGACAGCATGTAACAAAAATGAGATTCAACTTTCGGCCTTACTGAAGTACCACGTCTGCAATAGTATAAGCGTCCCCGGGCAGCTTTGCCTTCGGTTACGATCCAACATGAGAAGAATTGACCCACACTTCTCAGTCTAAAGGCACAGTCCACACAGGACATCATCTTTGATCGCAGACACTTTGGTAAGTCAACTAAGGGAATTAGCAAAATAACATCTGCAAGGAATGTCGCGACCAGGGAACAATATACACATCTCCTAAGACGATGCGGGATTCGATTTTATGAGACACAGCCTTGCATGAAGTGCCAGGTATCTGAATTTTTGTCCCCCGCCAGGTATCCTCATGACTTCTGCCAGCGCTTAGTTCTAGAACGTTACAGTCAGCATGTGTTGTAGCTTGGCATCCTTTTATACATTCCGTAGAGGGAGTGTAGAAGTGAGGTAACAAAAACAAAGCGGAGAGAATCGGTCTATACATGCAGGCCTCATCTGATCCGAAATCAACTGACGCGGCCTCGAAGGATGATTATGGTGGCGAAGTTCACCACCGACCCGGGCTTTTGCATTGCGTATTTTTGTCCTGCCTTATTGGAGCTCGAGAACCAGCTTGCATCGCGTGACCTCAGCTGAAGGACCTCATCGAGGTGAAATCAGTTTCACGATTAATTAGTACACATCTTTGTCAGGGATATGTACTTTTGGTGACGCAGAAGAGCTGCAACTGTGTGAGGGGCAGTAACTTCGCAGTGAGCGCACGATTATACCTAGTGAGACATTTTTATGTGTCTCTTGACTTGCATTCTCATGATGACTGGAATTTAGACACATGAATCTATGTAGTCTGTGACTAGCTACAATCAGGGCTGAGAACAGTCGGCCTTTTACGCCCTGGCTCATGAACGTCGCATGGGCCTTGAGTGCGCCTTTTGGAGCACGCAGAATATATTCACGGATCCATTCCTTTTTTCAGTACTCCACAAGGATCGTGAACTGTGAGATGCTGAGTAAACACTTCTAGTGAACAACATATATGCTCCTAGCGCTTAGAGCTCGCGTGTCAGGGTTCGATTGTATGTGGGAGCGTGGCATACTCATCGTAATGCTTTCTTTACCGTTAACAAAGTCCAGCATACCAATCTACGCCAAGTAGCTTGAGCACCAGAGGGACGACGACTCCTCACACGGAGGGTTCACTCTCCTTTTTGTTGCCCCTCCCCGCGCCAGACTCTCCAGATCCCACCTGATTCTTTTCGGGCTCGACCTTAGTGCAGGTGGAACATGCCTTGATGAGGTTTCGCCTTTTTAAATCCCGGTAGGATTCTTGGAGTGTAAACAATGAGGGTGGCCTGGGAAGAGTATTAATTATACTCACGCCCATTCTCTGAGGTCTTTGACCTGGAGCTGATACACAGATCGGGGTCATCGTGGTGATGGCCATTAGGATCAGCACAGGTCGATGCTGCGTAGTCGCCGTAACATATTTTCTCGAGCTGTCTGAATAATCACACCTATCAACTTGTTGTAAATGTCATTTGGGCTCAGGAGGGCACATCAGAAGAGTAAATCTACTTTTTAGTGCACTATGAGAGCTGGAGAAGTGTGAGGAGCGATACTACGCAGAGAAGAGAGTTTATATACACCGGTATCTTATCGAGCAAGACTTTGAGATGTCTTGTAAGCTGTGGTGATGATACTCATCATCCTGTGTGCAAGTGTCATGCCGGCGCTGCTCAAAGTTATTGAAAGACGCAACGCATCACGAACTGCTTGCTCGTCCTTAGTTTCTTGAAGAGGGTTGAAAGTGTGAACAGAAAGATGGGTATGGAAAAGCATTTTATATAGCTCACGATGTTCCAAACCTCGATACCGTCGCACGTAGGAAAGCATTTAATGACCTTACAACCAGCCGAAGGAACAAATGATGGCAATGCATATCACCCACTACTCTCACATTTCGCATTGAAAGGGGTTTCGTGACAGGGATGAAGGCCTTCGTGGATGAGATTAGCTTCGGTGTTTAGACCCAGGCAGAACACATGGCTCCACCTTGCCATTGTTTTCAGTACGGCATCAGCGACGTGGAAGTGTGAAGAATCAAAGACCGCAAAAGGGGTGATGTTGTATATTGTAGCATCGGTCTATCTCCTAGGGTTTGCTAGTTGCCCTGGTATGGTGTCGCTGGTGGGCATCATCGTCACTGTCCTGCACCTTGCGAGGCCTATGCCTGCGAGTCTTTCCCACTAAAGGCCGCTCACGTTCTTGCAAGGCGTGAATTCTAGACACACGGGGGCGCCATGATATTCCCTTGGAATGAATTTTAGCCTTTCACCGAACATGGAGAACTGTGAGGAACGAGACACTGCGAAAGAGGCACCACCCAGCATCCTCATAGCTGTCTGCAGATCGGGAAGATGGTGATGAGAATCACCACTCCGTACAGCAATACGGAGTCCATGTGCCACAAAGCCTCGCGCCAGCAAGCCTCCCATAAGCTTGAAGGACGCAGTTCTTTGAGACACGCACGGGGGCGCCATGTTTCAGCGCATCCACAATTTTAGTCTTCCGTGGAAAACGCAGTAGTGTAAGAACCGGGGCACTGCGAAATCAGGCAGATTTTATACAAGGATGTCATCCGAAAACTTCCAGCTCGTTGGCAGATTGGGAAAGTGGCGATGAGTGTCCTCACTAGATAGTGCATACAGGGTCCATATGAACTGCTGAGAGCCGAGAAGCTTCCTTGAATCTTGCAAAAGACCATTATGGACACGCGACGCCCCATTATAAGGCAGTATCGTCTTTTTGGACTTTCAAGGATATTGTAAAAGTGTGAGGAGCTATAAGGTGTGAAATGAGGGTGATTTTCAGACGAGAACTGTCTGGATTTGCTGGTATGAGGATAGTGGTGAACAGTCGGGAGATTGGTGATGGGTACCATCACCATAAGTTTCGTCTATGATGTACGTGGCTCGCGGGTAGTGGTATCAAGAGACAACCAGCCGCCCGCCCATACCACTTGTTGCTCATTTTTAGGCCAGGCACAATACATGTGAGTGTTTTTCGGTTGCCTTGGAAAGCATGAAAGTGTGAGGAGACAACAAAGTGCGGGCAGTGAGTTGCTTACATAGAAGGACTCGGTCCGATGTACTCTATAGCAAAGTATCGTGGTGGTGGTGAGCATCATCAATTGCATCTCCGCAGAATAAGCAGCTGAGGTGGTCGCAGAGAAAACCTTGAGCAAAACAAACTTCTTAGCTGCGATCTTCTCACCACCGCCGCTGCTTTGATTTAGATGCACCTCCGTAACACTCCACGAAGCAAGCAAATGCTAGAAAATGGGTATCAAGCCTCCCCAACAAGAGCCAAACTTCACCTGCTGGAGATCCTATCGGAAGACAGGCCGCAGTTCCGAGCCAGTAAGGCTTTGAACTCAAGCCCTTTGCTCATCCATGGCATTTCTCTCCTCCGCAGCTGCAACTGCGCTCTCCCAGCTCGTCTTGTATATGTAAAAACCCTCGATCGCAGCAACGAAGCCGAGCGCAATGGCCGGTCCCTACGGAATGTCAGCAATCTGTTTCTCGCTCTCGCTCGTACACAAGACAAACTCACCGTCCACAAGCCCCAGAGTCCCCAACCCGCGCCAAAAGCAAGTCCAAAGCTTATCGGCATCCCAATGATATAGTACGAAAACAGCGCAATGTACCCGCCAATCTCCTGCTTTCCGATCCCGCGCAGAATACCATTGCAGTTCGCCTGCATACTATCGAAGAGTTGGAATGCAGCGCACAGCGGCAACAGCGAGGCTACAAGATCGATGACGTCATCGTCGGGCGTGAACAGCCTGGGGATGTAATTCCTGAGCAGCGAGAGAAACAGCAGGTTGAAGATGCCGACGACAACGGAGAAGAAGATGGCAACTCGTGCCGCCATCTTGGCGTGTTCGTGCAGCGTGGCCCCGATGAGGTTCGCGATGCGCGTCGAGGCTGCTACGCTCATGGGAAACGGGATCTGGAAGGTGATGCCGGTGACAGAGCCGAGGACGGACTGCGCGGCAAGCGTGGTAGGACCCAGCCAGCTGGACGACAGCGTGAGGATCTCGAACGCGAGGAACTCCGCGAGCACCATGATGAGACCTGGAATAGCGAGTCGGATCATGGGGCCCCAGTTCTTCAGCGCGCGCCGGTCGAAACCGCCCCAGCACTGGTACCCGTCTACGAAACGCACGTAGCAGAAGAGCATCAGTGGCATGATGTTCTCGGTGATGGCCACGGCGATGGGAGCGCCTACGAAGCCCCATTCTAGGCGCCATACAAAGATGTAGTTCATGAGGGCGTTGAGCGGCGCGCAGAAGAGCAGGATGTACATGTTGGCGGAGAATAGGCCCTGGGCTTGGAGGTAGCGTTTTCCGCCCTCGAACGCGGCGTAGCCTGGTGCTCCTGCGATCAAGACGCGTAGATAGAGACCAGCCAGTCGTGCGGTTTCTTTGTCGGGGACGATGTGAGAGAGGATTTGTTCACCGCAAGCCCATATTATTGCAATTGGGATGGTGATCACCCAGAGGAAGTAGAGCATTCGCTGTAGTTGCAAACCCACGAGATGGGGGCGGCCGGAGCCATACGCTTGCGCGCAGAGAGTGTCGAGAGAGGTGGCGAGTCCTTGGTATACCGCATATCCAGTGATGCTGGCGGTCACTGTTTCTATCAGCAATATCCTTGACATTTTGGTGAAGGGACATGGTTCTTGGAGACTTACTACTCGCCAAACTCACTGCGCCGAGCTCGATCTTTCCAATGTGTCCAACGGTAAAGATGCTCGCGACCGGCAAGCTGTACTGCAACAAAAATGTTAAGATAAGCGGTGCTGAACTCTTAAGCAAAACCTTCGTTTCTCGTTGCCAAGTGGTCTTCAGTCGCCCCGATGCAACCGCCTCATCAAATCGTTGTGCAATTGTTCTTGGTGTATCTAGCCCCGCATACGGCAAATTTGGGTCTCCCAGAAGCGGATTTCTCTCATTTGGCCCTTCCTGATCTTGCCGATTGTCGGTTGTAGCACTCTTTGTTTTGCGCAGCCCAGGTAGACTTAGTCTTCGGGCGATGGCGCCGTAGCCTCCGCTTTCACTACCTCTTCTAGGGTGTTTTGGTGGAAGTAGGTCGTTGTCGCGGAGTAGGCTCCGCTCCTGCTCCAGCACCTCGTCACGCTCTTTCTTACTCAAATAGCTGTGCTTCTTCCAGTTCTGGTGGTCCGAGACATAGTTCTGACTCGGCACACTGGAAGAAAAGACAGTTCCACGGGCGCCTGGGTTCATGTAGCTCGGTCGTTGGTACGAGTTGATCATGGAGAACTGCCGGACAGTGGACGAGCCATCCGTGTCTGACTCTGTCTCGTCCTCGGAGGGCGAATCATCTTCTTCGTAATCGCGGGCGATTGCCTCCTCGGCAATGTGGGGGGACGAAGAAAGGTGCTCCAATTGCGATGTGATGTCGGATATGGGGGCAAACTCGCCGTTATCGTGATCCCGCGGCGGCGCCATGATGCGGGTGAGCAACGAGGTTGCTCGGACGTCCCACAGACAATATCGCCCTCTGTAGTAACGGTCAGATGGCGAAGATTGTATTGCAGGTTTTGAGTGTCGGAGAGCATTTAAGCTAGAAAAGTAGTGAACGCTACGTATGTGGAGTCGGAGCGGGATCGCCGTGTGAACTAGAATTTGTGGTGCATCAGCAGGCTAGATGCGGCAGTTCCATGCGCGGGTCCTACAGGTTCTGAGCTTAGCTCTCCGCCCTTTTCTTTGACGCAGCGCATGCAAGCGAACTCCCAGATCGGTGACTCAATCCTCATCATTCTTGGCTTTATATGCAGACCGCTGCTCATCCTGTCTGTAGTCTTTCGCTGACACTGACGCTTTGCTGCAAATTTTCGCGTGAAAAACTTGATCTCCGATAGGCGAATGCCGTGGTCCGCGCGGTGTAGGGTAACCAAGAGACGAGACCACGGCATCCATGCGAGACGCTGGCTCGAGAACTGAGGTCGCAATACGAAGCTATGGCTGGGCCGACAAATCGTTTGTTGTATGTTGCGGCGAGGAAGGGCGATGATGCGTCACCAATGTCGAGCGCAACCGACCTGTAGTGTAACCTGATCACAGGAGTCGAGGACTTGCCCAGCTTCTTCCGAGGCTACAGACAATTTCTCTGAGAGTTACGATCCCTCGATGGCTGTGGCCGAGGCATCGCCTCAAGAAATGGAAGATACAGTTTGCTTCCAAAGTTGTCCAGGTGCAGGTCAAGTATGGAAGAAGCTACCACAGCGGACGAAGCAACATCGTAACACTGAAATGCGAATCGATTGTCCTAACTATCCACCAGCTATGCCATTACCAATGAGCGGCGTTTGCTCATCACTCTCACCATTTGCGTCCACAGCGGGAGAGCTTCCAGACTTGGCCGCTTGTCGATCCCTCCAGATGAACCACAGGCTCATTCCGAGAAGTACTCCCTGTAACAAGCCTGTGAAGATGAAAAGACCCCAGGCGCTCCAGCCTCCAGGGCCCAGCCTGACAGCCAAACTTGCCGCGAAGACAAAGCTCCCGGGCGTCTGTATCAGCATCATAGGTACCGACAAGCTTCCGGTTTCTTGGAGCCTCCATGTAGTAATAATCTGGGGTATGTACTGTATAGCAGCGAGCGTGGTGGCTAGCAGGCCTAGGAAATTGGCCCAGCCTCTGATATGGGAGGGTGCAGCATACACGAAGATGATGGAGCCAAGGAAGGCGAAGACGAAGAAGGCGAGGGACACAGCGAGGACGATGATAGCCTCCTTCCAGGTGGGGAGGTTTGTGTCTTGCGACTCGGTGTCTTCGGCGTTGCGTGGAAAGAAGATGAGGAACAGGAGCATGCTGGAGTTTGTCAGTGGCCAGGGGTGGCGGACCCGCTAGGCGTCCGACTCACATGAAGAAGAAACACGTCCACTGCACGCCTATCTGTGCGATGCCCAGCAGCGCCGCTGCACACGGGAAACGCCCTATCTCGCTGCAGCATGCCATGTCGCGCGTGCTCTCGGGCAGGGTCAAGATGTTTGCGATGCTGGCGGTCCCTGACACGGTGCCGAGCAGCACGAACAGCGGGCTCAGACCGCGCGACGAGCGGCGTATTATGATCTTTGCATGCTGAGGGAGGTACGACACGAGGATGCCGACGAGAATGAAGCTGCGCGGCGGGTCAGCTCCTACGCCAGCTTGTGCCCATGTAGACTCACACTGAGATGGAGAAGTTGGCGATGTCGGGATGCTCCAGCTCCCGACACCTCGCAGAGCTCGCAGATAGTATCATCGCCGTGTCCGAACGAGCTGTGGTGGTTCAACCCGCTGTGAAGAGGCCGAGCTGTGCTGCCTACGCGCAGCGCGTTCTGGGGAGCTTGCAGGCGAGCTTGTGACGTCGGCCTGGGGGCGGCAGGTGCAGCCGACGGCGCCTGTGTCCCGATGCCTCGGCCCAGCGCGCCTCGTCCATCCCTCCCAACCACAGCGGACTGAAGATATACATGTTGCGCGCAGCATCCGCGCCCAACGACACCCGGGCGCCATGGAGTTCCTCCCCAGCCTGCAGCACGGCATAGACGACCTCAAGCCGTCGCTCTTCGAGCTCCTCTCGGAACAGCAGCTCGCGTCGCTGCTGCCGCCCTCGCTCCGCTACCTCCTCGCCGTCTCCACGCATCGGTATCCGCGCTACCTGCTGCCCGTGCTCAATTCCTTCGATGAGGCCTACGCGCTGGTCATGCTGCTCGTGGAGCGCCACTTCCTCCGCACCTACGGCGGCTCCTTCACAGAGAACTTCTACGGCCTCAAGCGCGCCAAGGTGCTGCGCGTCAAGGGCGGAGAGGTCCCGCGCGCCGAGCTGGGCGCGAGCGAAAGCGTGCGGGACGCTGTGAAGTTAGGCGAAGGAGACATATGGCGCAATCTGGCCGTCCTCGTGGGGCTGCCGTGGCTCAAGCGCAAGCTCGACGAGGGCTACGACGTGCACGCCGCCCACGCCAACATCCTCGGCGCGGGCTACAATCGTGAAAGAGACGGACTCAGGCCCGGCGCGACCATCAAAGAGCGCCTGCTGTTCTACTACAAGTGGTTTCTGCGGAATGTCTACCCCAGCGTCAATGCCGCCTACTATTTCTCCATGATTGTCTTCAACATGGCATACTTGTTCGATGGGACCAAGTACTCGTCGCCCTTCCTGTGGCTGATCGGGACGCGGATACGGAGACTGGGTGAAGCAGATCACAAGGCCATTGCGCTGGCCGCGCTGCCTCACAAAGTTGGTCCGGCGCGGCCGGGAGAGGGCGGCTCCATCTTCTCGCCCAGGAACATGGCACGCAGCGTCAAGCCTCGCTTGCTATCTTCGCTGAGGATACTGCTACCCACGAGCATATTCGCTTTAAAGTTTCTCGAGTGGTGGTATGCTTCCGATTTTGCGCGACAACTGTCGCAGAAAGCTGCAGAGAATATCGAATTGCCGCCACCGATACTTCCTAGCCTCCCTCCTTCGACCAAACCAGAAACAGCAAAGCAAGCATCCACGGATGAAAAGCAACGACCTTCTTCATCCCCGTCGGAGAAGAGCAAACGCATCGACCCACCAATATCTTCTTCTTCACTTCTACCTATCTTCACTGTACCAATGCCGTCCGACTCCCATCTCTGCCCTATCTGCGCAACACCCATTGTCACACCCACCGCCTCTCCGACTGGATTCGTTTACTGCTATAAGTGTATACACCAGTGGGTCGAGGGATCCCATGAACGCCAGGTAGCTTTTATGGAGGGCGCAGCTGGGTTCAAAACCGAGACCGGAGAAGAGGGAGATGAAGGCTGGGAGAGGGAAGAAGGTAGTCGAGAAGGCCGGTGGGAGAGCGGAAAGGAGAGAGATGCTGTCACCGGGCGGAAGATACTCGGAGGCACCGAAGCACTCCGGCGCGTCGTGGTCTAAACAAGCTGGCAGGCATTGTTTCAGCATCGGATGCGAGGCCAAAACGAGTACAGCAAAGTACATACAACAATGATACCCAAATTCAAACGCCAGAGCCTTCCGACCGCAATTACCCCTACTGTCACTTGAAGTAAGCTCCACCCCTCAAATCCTCAAGCATCCCCTTCTCCTTGGGTTCCCACCCCAACAGCTCTCTCGTCACCGCACTTTCCACCGGCCCATCAACCCCCAGAACCCCAGCAAACCACCCAAACACCCCCTGGGCCTCCTTCATCGTCTTCGACTCAGCCCGGAGACCCAGCTTATCCCCAATCACCCCTGCAATATCCCTGACCTCGACACCCCCCTCCGCTACCACATGCAGCGTCGACCGAGGCGGAACCCGCTTCTCAATGGCCAACCGATACGCAACCGCCGCGTCTCTAACGTGCACTGCGGGCCAGCGATTCCGCCCCTCGCCAATGAAGCTGGACACCCCGTGCTCCCTCGCGGCCGCGATGAGACGCGGGAGGAACTGCGCATCGCCCTCACCGTGCACGACAGGCGCGAGCCTGACCACAATCCCGCCGAGTTGCTTCGCGAGCTCCTCGCTCTCGCCGCGTGCAGCGAACGGCGCTGTCGAAGGGTCATATCTATCGTCTTCGTGTCCTGCACGCCCGGGCTCCAAGAGCAACGTCCCGCTCGTGACGACCAGCGGTTTCCCCGTGTCTGCTGTCGCATCCGCCAGCGCGCGAATAGCGCGCCTGTCTGTCTCGGCGCTGGCGGCGAAGTCGGAGAAGTCGTGGATGAAGGCGAGGTGGATGACGGCGTCTGCCGAAGCAGCCCCGGCCGCGAGGGCGGGGAGGTCGGAGAGGGTACCTGGGTGCGGGGTGCAGCCGATGGAGGTAAGGAGTGCTGCGGAGGTGGAGGAGCGGCAGAGCGCGGTGATGGTGTGGCCGGCGGAGAGGAGCTCGGGGATGAGGGCGCGGCCGATGAAGCCGGTGCCGCCGGTTAGGAAAACGTGCATTGTGCGAAGGGAGGCGGGGATGGTGGTGTGGGATGCGCGGGCAGAAAGCGATGTGTGTCACTGATCTACACTTCGTCCTGACAAGTACTGGCTCTTTCATCTACATCCCCTTCATGGGGTTTGTTCTATACATACATTGTCAGATCTGTTTTCTCGGTATCTGACGTCCGTGGGTACAAGCAAGGACACCTTGATGCTGCTGACATATCTCGGCTGGTGGGTGGGAGTCTACTACTCGAACTTCCCAAAGTAGTATGCCTACGGACCCCTATGGAAGACGGTAATTCGCCGTCCTGCAATACCACACGAGAGGAACGGGTCCTCATTGCTCACAGCATGGGGCTAGCATATGTCAGTACCGTACGGGAGTGCACAAGGAATCTCGTTCGCGTCGAGTAGCTTCACGGAGGTTTAAAGCTCCTGGTTATTCGTTGCATGTGGTTCTGTCGTGAATCATCCGGTAGCGCTGACAAATGTAGTTGTGGATGCATGATGACACCGCGATAATGGACATAATGAAGAGAATTTGAGAATTCTTCCGGAGTTACGGTTTCTATAGTCATGGTGGTTAGACGTGACTGCCATGGTGACGCGAACTCGATGATGCGCGCGCTCGTCCGGCTGTATATACGAGTCATGTGCGATGTAGTCCACCTGGACACATGATTCATTATGTACTGTAAATCTCAACTTCCACATTCGACTGCAGATGTTGTGTCTCTGTGTAAGCTCGGTTGCGCGTGTAGAAACCCCGTCAGCGTTCACCCGTTCCGGACATAAAAGCAGTGAACGGACTAACCGTATCCATGTCAGGACCATGACTTTCAGCCAATCGCACCTCGCGTACAGAATTAAGGGCTAGCGCGACGGCCTTCCTTCGGACGGACCCAGTTTTTCCTAGAGGTTGTACGCGCGTCCAAACGTTCTTTCATCATTTTGCCTTTTTCTGTATACGGAGACTTTTGGTTGAAGACTGCAGATGACATCTGAGGTCCAGAGTCGGAGACGTAGGCCTTATAAAAAGTCCGTCCGTGGATGTCGAAACTGTAAATTACGGAGAGTCAAGGTACGTTGCTCCACGGCGGTGCTGCAATTGCCAGTGTCGCGTAGAAGTGGACGAAGCGATGTATCTAGCTGAGGCACAGCTGACCATGATAGTGCGACGAAACCAAACCGCATTGTCACAATTGCTCCACCTACGGTGTCGTCTGCAATTACGTGAGCAGCAATACCCCAGATCTACATGTCTCGGCCGTAAGGCTGCATGGTCGGAGCGCGAACGGATGCGGTCATCGTTCAGACCTGCAGGCTCGACATTATGAAGTCACACCATTGCCATCAATTGTCCAGACCACCCTAAAGCCAATTGTTTTCTGCTCTGATGGAAGGTACGAGTTTCGCATGGACGGGCGATGTTTTGCGGGTTTGGAACGTTTTGGAGCAAAGGCCATTCCACCATATAGTTGGGAAGTGACGAAAATCTGGCGAGAAGATGTTCCGCGCTTCGCTTTCAGTGTAAGTGAACAAGTGTCCGAAGGACTCAGACTTTGCGTGTCCTTGAGTTCTGACAAGTCTTGTAGAATCCATACCTGATGCACACATTGTTAGCTGTAGCTGCGGCACATGAACGGCTTCACGAGATGGTGAGTCAAACCCAGACCTTCTGTCATAAGTACGATTTGACGTTCCGATCTCAGGCGGAAGATGCTCAGCGGACACTGAACGAAACCTACCATACCGCACGCGCTATTTCTCTGTTCAATCAAAAGCTCTCTTCACGCCTCACACCCGCCGACTACGACCCATTATGGGCGACGGCCGCTCTACTTGGTCTGCTGTCCAGTAGCGCCATCGACACGTTGCCTGAGAATTCGTGGCCACTTACGACACCTTCCCCTTCAGATCTTGAGTGGTTCATTCTTACTGACGGTAAAAAAGCTGTTTGGGCACTGACTAACCCATTGCGCCCTTCCTCCGTCTTCTCGTCGGTCGCACAAGAGTACGCGGCTTGGGACGTGCCAATACCCGCATCAGGTGTAGGGAGCATCGATGCGCGGCTCGCATCGCTCTGCGGAATCACCGAATCTAGCTCGGCGGAGAATAACCCGTACTACGCGGGTGCGCACATGTTGTCAATTCTGCAAGCCCTAAACTCAAATGCCGAACCAAGCACGCATGAATCACTGGAGGAACTACATATCAAGACGACAGGGACCGAAGATGTAGCTTACGTCAGCCAACATCAAGTACAACACATCAGTTTGCTGAAGCAGAGGGACAAGGTGTCCCTCGTGTTGCTAGCTCTGTGGTATGAGCGGTGCGAAGGCGTGTGCTGGTGGCTCGACCGACGGGCTAGGACCGAGGGGCTTGCTATCCGTCTCTTTCTCAAGCAAAACTATCCGGACGATAAGGCCATCTCCGAGCTGTTGCCGATTCTCGACTCAAGAGACAGGTTTGATGTAACCGGGCGTAGAGAAAACGCCACCGTCGGATTGCAAAAACGTTTCATGGAGACTCTCCTGGCGTGGGAGGATCTACGGATCACATATCGATCAAGTAACTTCTTTCTAGGCCTGTGAGCCAAATAGGCTGCATGTGCGCTTTCGCGGGCTATGCTTCAAGTGGGAGAAGGCTAACGATGGCTCTGCCCCAGGGGAGTCAAAGATCGGTGATGCGGAAAGGTGGCGCACGCAGGATTGGAGTATTTGAGGCATCCGACATAGAGAAGGTCGGTGACACTGGAAAGACGATGGGCGAGTTGTTGTGGTTGAAGACGAGATGGAGACGAGTTACCGCTGGGATGGTGCTTTCCGCTTCGGAAATGAGAAATTACAACGAGATAACACCTGCCCTTACTCGCCAACTCACACCGTAAGCCGTCCGATCTTGCACTTCTACAGCGCCTTGGGATTTGTTCGTCGTTCGAACTTTTGTCAAACTTAGGGCTCGCAATGACTTATTTCTGGACCAGTAACGCCGTCCGGTTATGCCCCCCACCACACAATCGTTGTTCCCTACGGCGATTGAATGACACAACAACATGGCGTATGTTCCAGTCATAGAAAGATGTGGCAATACTCGCCGACGGGAACAGATAGCCTGCGATGTGGACGTTATCTCGGCCGTGGAAAGCGCTGGATGCCTTTTCGAACAAAGACAGCCATGGCCAGATGTACCGATCTACCTAGTCATTACCCTTATCGCCGATGAGAGCAGCCGCCCGTGATCCTACAGAACGGAAGCTGGGTGTGGCGTCTGTCACGCCCTGGGACTCGGAAATGCGGCTCCCTATATAACGAATCATACCGACAGGCAGCACCCCGTATCACGGCTGCCAGAACCATGAGGTTTCGTGCTGTAAAGGGAACTGATAGACAAGACACCAACGTCCAGCCACGGCAGCGCGTCTGACACATGGGATGGGCTGCGCAACACGCCCGTTATCGCTCGGTTGAGGCCGCCCTAACCTCGCCGGACTAGCGTCTCGTACCCTTATCACCACCATTCTTCCGACACATGAACCCGAACGTGCGCGCCCTGCGCCTCTACCCTGGCTGTACCTGCACTGCGGACCCGCGGCGGTAATCGAAGCACGCTCTCCCGCATCGTTCCTGATTCGGTCTTGTTTCCGCCGAGCCCTCGGCGCTGCGCGACCTGAGTGAAAGGACGCGCGACAACGGCAGGTCGCACCACGGCGCCCTTATCTTTGCCAAGGGCCTCGGGCGGCGTAGTCAGAGGATGCGGGTGAAGATGGGGGTGTGTTGCTCTGGGGTTCGAGAATCAACAGGCCTCGCGTGTGTGGCCTATATAGACGGAGTGCGCCCCCTGCGAGGTACCTCAGGACCGTCCGCGTAGCCACAGCGACCCCAGCTGTGTAGTGAAGAAAGTTGTACAAGGACTCCACTCGACCACACCGTCACAATGTCGAGTGCACCCACTCCGGTAAGTCTTCTTGAGTTTCCATTGGTCACAGTCTTCCAGACCAGTCTTGTGCAGCGTCGTCGGCCGCAAGCACCTTTCCCGCATTGTATCGCTTCCATCAAGTCAAGACGAAATGTTGACCAAGCACAGCCCGAGTATGACCCGGCGAAGCCAAACGGAGGCAACTCTCTCGATGAGGATGTCAACGCCCAATACGCTGGCCTCGAGTTCCACTATGTCTACCTGATGGTGTGCGCCTTTCTCGTGTGGCTCATCATCCCTGGTATCGGTTTTCTCTACAGCGGACTCGCGCGTCGCAGGTCGTCTCTCGCGCTTCTATTCCAGTCCTTCGCTGTTGCAGCAGTGTGAGTCCACAATACTCCAACACTCTTTGAGTGGTGAAACTGAACGAGCGTAGTGTTTGCTTCCAATGGATGTTCTGGGGCTACTCGCTCGCGTACTCTCGCACGGCCAATGCATTCATCGGTGACCTCGCCAACTTCGGCCTGAAGAACGTGGTGGCAGCTCCATCTCCCGGGTCGGTCCTTCTACCCGAGATCGTCTTCTGCCTGTACCAGATGCTGTTCTGTATCTGCACCGTGGTCCTCGTCACTGGCGGTAGCTTCGAGCGTGGTCGCATCCTGCCCTCGCTGATCTTTTCGTTCTGCTGGGCTACCATCGTGTACTGCCCTATCGCCTGCTGGACCTGGAATGCCAATGGTTGGCTGTACAATCTCCCTTCTCTCGACTTCGCTGGTGGAGGCCCTGTGCATATTGCAAGTGGCTGGTAAGTCGCTTCAAGCGTTTGCAAGACACGCTGTAACTAACGCATTCTGTCTAGGGCTGCTCTCGCATATGCCTTCGTTCTCGGAAAACGCGTTCACAAAGGAGAGAAACTCCACGGCAAACCTCACAACACCACTTTGGTGTTCATTGGAACCGTTTTCATTTGGTTCGGATGGTTTGGCTTCAACGGTGGCTCTGCCCTCAATGCTTCAGTCCGCTCCATGATGGCAGCCTTCAACACTAACACTGCTGCCTGCTTCGGGATTATCGGTTGGACATCTGTCGAATACATTCGCACCAAGGGTCACTTCTCGCTCGTCGGCGCCTGCTCTGGAGCCATCGCTGGTCTCGTCGGTATCACACCCGCCGCGGGTTTTGTCAGTGTGTGGATCGCTGGCCTCATCGGCTTCCTGACGGGAGCCATCTGCTCCTCGGCCAAGAACATTGACAAGCTCCTGCGCATCGACGAGGGTATGGATGTCTTCAAGCTACACGGTATCGGCGGCATGTGCGGATCTTTCTTCACCGGTATCTTCGCTCAGAAGTGGGTATCCGCTTTGGATGGCGCGTCCATCTACGAGGGTGCGCTTGATGGTGTTGGCGTTCAGGTCGGCCGTCAGCTTGCTGAGATTTGCGCCATCTCCGCTTATTCCTTTTCCGTGACTTGTATCCTGCTATTCACGCTCAAGTACATTCCGGGAATGCACTTGCGCGTTACCGAGGAAGCAGAGATGATCGGCCTGGATCTGGACCAGTTCCTCGACGAGCAGATCGGTGACTGGAGCATTTTGGAGCAGCATTCACTGCAGGGTGTCACTCAACCGAGCAGCGCCCAGGGAAGCTCGGAGGCTGTGGCCGCCAAGTCTGGATAGGAAGGAAAGGAAACAACTGGAGCTGCACAAATTGGCTTTTGTAATAGAACGTGACTGTATACCCTCGCTTTAGTATGTTTAATATAATAACGCAGTAACTCCGAGGCGTGCTTGCCATTGATTAGTGTGACGCTCTTGCCACAACCTTGCATCGCTGCGTGCAAATAATTATCAAAATCAGCCTACCAAGCGCGTACTTCTCCTTCTCATATTTCACTCCCTAGCGCTACGATGCACTTTGGCCTCGGGCGAATCCCTTCCTCAATTTATCTCAAGATACCCATCTCTTCTCGGACAACTACCCGCCATCCAGCCGTCAATGCCAGCGCCATGGGTTTTGTTCGACAGCTCCGCCGCTTACGGCGGTGATTGCACCACTGGAGCGGATACCGACATCGCTGGAGTTGGGGTAACTCTTTTGCGGTATATGTCACCTACTCTTCGCTAATCTCTGCAGGTGGTGCTTTCCTTCGTACTCGCGAGCATTATGACTACGACGGCGTCGATCCTTGCGATGATACTTGACCAGGCGTTTGATGCGAAGGGTCAGTTTACGATACGCGCGCCGGTGCGGTTCATAAGGGATCGGATCCTAGATACGGAGTGGAAGAAGAACTATGCTTGGAGGCCATTCCTCGACCCGCTCATCATCGGACTGGGAGACCAGCAGCTTATCACTGGATATGCGGTGTTGCTCAGCGGGTGGATAAAGGTGTGACTTGCACACTCCTGGTCTATCGGGGCTCACTCTGTCTCAAGGTCTTCAAAAACGCCTTCGAAGTCCAAGGCGCTCACTTCGTCCTCGTCCTCTACATCTGCGCGCTGTCATCCTCGTCCCATCTCGCCGCACTCATTACGTTGCGCAAATACTTCCGCCGCTACCGCCTCATCGCGAAAATTCGCCTCACACTCGTCATCGTCTTCGCTTGCTTTCTTCTCGCGTCCATGCTCGCAGCAATCAGCATGCCGGAGCTGATCCCCCTGACACCACAAGGCGCGCTAGAAAAGCAGTCCCGCGCCCAGCGGCTGGCCTTCCTCGTACCCATGTTCTTCATCATTGTCGGTTTCTCCACCGCTCTCGTCTGCATCATGTGGACGCCGCAGCGCCAGACAGCATCGCCACGCGGCACGAACATCTGGAAACACGACGGCCGAGGGGCGCATCCCAGACTCGAAACACGAAGCAGATCGATGACCGTGCCCGCCAACTTTGGTATCGGCCTGTTTTACATACTCTTCCTGAACCCGCTGGTTGCCTTCATCATACAGCTCATCTTGGCGCTGCTGTCGACGATCTTGGTCTTGAGTCAAAAATTCTCGGTGCCGGAGGAGCCAGGAAAATGGTGCGGGCTGCAGGATCAGGGGGAGAATGAGTGGGGGTTTGGTCAGACGTTGAGTGTGGTCATGCTACTGCTTCCGGCGATGAGTGCTGCGCAGGCGTACCTGGAGGGGAGACAGCATATCCAGGAGGGTGGAAAGCTCTGAGTGACTGGAAACGCTAACAATATCATTTCTGGAGTGCTCCAGGCTAACGGTGATCTCAGCCTTTCCTTTCTCTAGCCCGCGCGACATTTTCAGTAACCTAGTGACTGCGCCTTCACTCATTGATTCAGTGTGAAGCTTGAAAGTATACGGAAATCATTTAAACATTACGTACGTGTGTATGTTTTACATCCTAATACATCACTCGTCCCTCCCACAATGGGGCCTGTCGTGCATTCTGCCCCACCCACTCCACCTTTCCCTTTTGATTCACAATGGCCCCCTCATCTGTGGCTACGACCCCATGCTCCGCCAGCTTTTCTTTCAAATCAGCTACCTCTTTCCCACTGACGCCCAGCGAGTCCCGCGCCAGCCAAATCACAGGCGGCTCCGCAACCACCGCCGGATGCAGATACGCCTTGCGCGCATCCTGCACATCGTACGGCGGCACCGGCTCTCGGAACCATGGGTTCAGCGACGCCGACAGCTCAGCTGCGGACTGTGACTGCGGCTTGAAGAGGCGCTGGAAGAGCGAGCGTTTCTGCGGCCGCGGGGCGGCGGCCGCGATGTCGTGGGTCTCCGCCTTTGCTCGGTAGTCGTCTGAGAAGTTTGCAGTGGTGCCAGACACCAGGCCCGTTCCGTCGGGCCCGCTCGTGATCAGGTCCTGCTTTGCCTCGTACCCGGGATGCGTCACGTTGCTGTCCGCGCGCGCCGTGCCCTCGTTGCTGACGGTCTTTCCCACGGCTCCGCTGTGCTTGCGGCGCGCCTCGGCCTCTTCGAGGAGGGTAAGCGGGAGCGTGTACACAAGTGGCGCGAGCTTGCGCCTCATGGCGATGTGGAAGACGATGGTGGCGATGATGAGGATGACTTGGAGGACGACGGGACCGACGGCGATGGCGCTGCTGCCGATGTTGATGGCAAAGAGGCCGAGGAGGCAGAGCTCCGCGAGGTAGATGCCAACCATGAGCTGTTGCATTGCGCGCGCGTAGCAGGCGCCTTTGGTGTCGATGTCGGTGGTGTAGACGTAGCTGGGTAGTGTTAGGGAGGCTCCAAGAGGGTTTGTATGGATGGGGGACACTTACAGCATGTTGTACTTGTAAGCCAGGTATATCAGGCCCAGACCGACCGTCGAGAAGCCCAGCACCAGCGGTGCGATGATTGCATACGAGATGGCGATGACGCCCATGTTCGTCCACAAGGGGTACTCCGAGCCCCACGAAGGAGCAGTGAGTGCCATCCACTTCTCATACTTCTTCCTAGGGGTGCCGGCGAACTTACTGAGAACGAAAACGCCAATGAGGCCACCGATATTGATGAGGTAGCTGGCGGTCTGCGCCACGCCGAACAGCACAAAGTACGAAATGTAGAAGTTGCTCGCTTTGGGGAGGTTCTCGGCCAGCAGCGACACGGCCTGCGTCGGGTCCGAGACGATCTGTGAGGCGACTGCTGTGGCGCCTGAAGTGAAAGTGGTGATGAGGAAGACTTGAATTACTTGGAAGGCAAAGTACCATGACTGGGTTTGCAGCTCGACCTCCGAAAGACTTATTGCGCCCGCAAGCCTTGCGACGACTGCCAGATCATTAGATGTGTTACATCCATGGGGATATTTAGAACTTACTGCGGCAAATGATCGGAACCAAGGACATGAGTAACGCGAGCATCACGGACGGCAGGAGACCAGTTACCACTCCCAAAATCGCCTGTGGGATATCGTTGATCCAACGAAGGAACGGCACGTTCGCGGTCAAGTAGTTGACATTGCTGATAATACCGACGAGAGCGACAGGGAAGCTCCAGAAGAGAATCATGGCGAAGATGAACGCCGTGGCGAGACCACGCCGAAGCGAGCGATCCCAAGAATTCATCTTCAGGTTCTTCCAAATAACTTCGCCGGGCAGGATGCCAGTCTGGCGGGCAATGAAGGTCGCAGGCTTGTCGTGTATCGCAATGACGCTGGCTGTCTGTGCAGCAGCCACGGTCTCGAACTCGATGAAAACTGCATTGAGGAGTTTTTCTTTTCCGGCAATGTGGGAGCGCTGGCTTGCCTGCACCTCTGGGAGAACTTCTCGGAGGTGATCTTTCCCGTAATCAATTGTGTCGACTTTTTTTCCAATGAGTAACTTGAGTCGATGCGTCGGCCTGTCCTTGGATTGGAGGAACTCGTTCCAGGACGTGAGTTTGGGCTGTCTTCCTTGGTCCTCCACGCTGCCACCCTTCTTGCTCTTTACCGCTGCTTTCACTGCCTTTTTTATCAATTTCATTTCTCCACCTTCGAGCTTGATCGCCGTCTTGTTGACATCGTCGACCTTTTCTTGCAAATCGGTGAAATCGGATACGAGCCATACCTGCGACACTCGATGGAACATGCGGTGCAAGCGCTGGTGCGTGAGGTATTCTTTCGGCACGTTTGTGAAGAGTACGGTGCGCGAGGAGATGCGGGACGAGTTCCATGCGGAGAGCAAATACGCTTGTCGTAGCTTGATTAAGTACGAGACCTCACGCCATATCAGGTACAATACGAAGCCTGTGTTTCACTGTTAGTTGGGTGCCTTGAAGTAAACCAGCTGAAATGGTTGCACTGTTCTCACCAAAAAATGCCCAGGCGATGAACGCATGCGCGAAGAAACGCGCTGGCTGAGCCACGTTGCTAAAGGACAGGATGTCCAAGTCTGACTGTCCACCGCCTCCAGTCGCATTGACAGGAAAGAGGACAGGCCAAGTGATTAGACAACCGACGAAACTCATGAAGACCAACATCTTGAGAAATCGTATAAAGAGGTAGCCATCGAGGGACTGATGATTGAGAATGTAGTCATCTTTGGTAGCGCGGAAGTCAGACATCCAACTAAACATGCCCGATTTGGAGGACGTTGGCGTTCTTTCACTGCTCAGACGGTCAAACCCTGCAAACAGAACCGCGGTAACAGAACCGCGATATAGCACACAGTATCAACATACTAGTTGCTCAACTTTTCATGTATTGTTCGTGTTTGGTAAAGGCGCTGCTGCTTCCTGCGTAATATGAGGAAGAAACCAATGTAAACAGCCGCGAGTGCAGCGCATGGCACAAGCGTCGAGACAAAAGCTGATATCGAAGACGAGGAATTTTGGGCGCTGCCCTGCCGCGAATCTGAGGGCGTAGGGGACGACATGTTGACGAGCAAAGCCTCACGTTGTCAGGTGGAAGAGGTGCCACACCACCGTTTCTTATCTTCACCGCAGCCCACTCACATGCCATCGTCATCCCCGGACCCACTTCCAACTTTGCAACAAGGAGATCGGACTGGCGTCAAGCTACGGTACACATCTCCCGCCGTTAGAGAGCAGTCAACCGACAATAGCTCGAGTTCATGGGTGAGAGGGCCAATCGAAGACACCGTCTAGCTCCGATCGATGTTTTGAGTTTTGATGCGTCGCCGGATAGGCGGGTACATCGAGCGGTTCGAGCATATTGGCGTGCGATGGGGCGACGGCGTGTGAAGCTAGGGACGACGGTGGTCTTTGGTGATGGTCTTTGATGTCATCAGGGTCCAACTGAACGTGGGGAACCGCATGCGTCGAGTGTTGGGATGTTCAACTGTCAGCTGATACAGGGTTTCACACCCGCAATGAGAAGCGCATGCTGTACGAAATTGTATTTGAGAACAGTCGCTGCCGGGAACATAAAGGGTTGCGTGGACGGCTCCATATTATGTGAAGCTGCAGAAACAAGATCAAGATAGATGGCTGCTGCATGTAGCAAACCCGTCGTGAATCTAGAACACTTACATGTAATTATACAGCATTTCTACACACCAAACGCTTCCAACGGGCCAGTATCAACCTGATTTGGAAAATATGCTACCAAACAGACCGCCTCCTCCACCACCAGCACGCCCACCTCTTCTTGCCTCGTTCAACAACCATTCTCGCAAGCGCTCCTTGTTCTTCATTTCTTGTGGGTTTGTGAGTCTGGTATCAAACTGCGCTTCCTGTCTGCTGAACGCTAGCAGCGTAGGCATAGATGTGATCTGCGCGGAGCTCATTAGCACTGGCCATACGCTTTCGCATCGATAATGGCCCACCATATATTTGATACCCAGATCCCCTATCAATGTGCTGTCAAGCTCCACCTCGACAAACCCCAGTCCCCCTTCCTCTTGTCCCACGCGCTCGTCCTCAATCATTCCCTTGACCAGCGGCTTTATAGCCTGGCACGTGGAGCACCAGCTCGCGCTCCACATGGTTATGAGCGGACGGTTCTCGGCGGCCGAAAGCAGCGTAAGGGTGTGCAAGTCGTTCGGCGTGCGCACATTGTCGAAGATGCGGTTCTGGTTCGATCGCGTCGCGGAAGCGCCGAGAAAACCACGTTGGGGCACGCGTGGGAGCTGCAGTTGTAGCGAGCGGGCTATCGTGGGGGTCGGTCGGAGTATCATTGTGTCTGTTTGATTGCAGAGGGACGACGGCGAAATGCGAAATGTTGGTGGTTTTCGCACGCGCAGGAGAATGCGACGTCATCGCGACTGGCGCTTGCCGAGTCGCTAGGGCTGAGCTGAGACAGGGGTCCCCCATGATCAGTCTCCAGGCCTGCGAGCCGCATCGCTTTACTCACAACCAATTCGAAAACAGGAAGTTAGTCGTATCGAACTTCAAACGGGTGAGGGGCTTCGGCATCACATTCATGTCGGGCCTATCAAGTCAGCCGGTGATGGCTCTACCGGCGCGTCCACTCACTGCCGAGTCGAAGGAATATCATAGACCTGAGCCAAGCACAAGCCGAATTCAAGCGCATTCACAAGCTGTCCCGAATCAAAATCGAGGAGCATCGTTGAGACAAACGATCTATATTTCTGCCTAGAAGTCTACAACCACCATGCCATCTGATTACAAGAACAGTCTTGCCTTAAGGAGAGTGAAGAGTTGGACTGAAAGAAAGGAAAGGGAAATAGCACAAGGAAAGAGGGTGTCGCTTGGTTGCGACCCATGTTGACTGCCGGTCATCGCAACGTCCGGCCTAGAGCGCTAACACGCGTCTGGAGAACGCCAGATGCTCCTAGTCTCACGGGTGGGCCACTCTCGGTCCCGTGGAGGGACCGAAGAGCGCTCCAGGAGATACGCTTAAGCGCAAGCGATGTCAGAGACCTGGAAGGACTGGCCGGCCGTAGCCTTGGGGATCTGTGCAGCCGCAACAGAGAAGAAGCGGCAGACGTTGGCACCCTTAGCGGTGAGCTTGCCGAACTCGACACTGCAGGACTGTTAGGCCATGCTTTGCAACGGAGGTGTGGGAGTGAACTTACGACTTGCAGGAGGTGTTCTTCTTGCATGCGGCAATGCACGCTTCCAGGGAGTTGATGTTGGCAGGAGTGTTGAAGGGCTCGACGTTGCCAGAGCCGGCCGGGGCAGCGCCGCAGGTCTTAGCAGAGGTGGAGGTGGAGGTCTTCTTCTGCTCGGTCTCCTTGGTGGTCTTGGCCTCCGCCTTTTGGCTGGCCTTGGGTGCTGCAATCTGGCTGGCCTTGGGTGCGGCAATCTGGCTGGCCTTGGGTGCGGCCTTCTGGCTGGCCTTGGGTGCGGCCTTCTGGCTGACCTTGGCGACAGTATTCTGGGTGATTTTGGTTGCAGCCTTCTGAGTGGCCGTAGTGTCGGTCTTTTGCTGAGCATTCGCCTTCTCGTTCGTGTTGCTAGCCTGAGTGTTGGTCGATCCCTCGGCTAGGCCCTGAGGGTTGGCCGTGGTCGGCTTGACATCGGGAATCGAAGTGCAAGCTTTGTCGAACGCTACAAGGTTGGAGCTATCCTGCTTGGGAATCTGAGCCGCAGGGACATCGAAGAGCTCGCACTTGATAGTGCCGTCGACCAGACCGAAGAGGAAAGACTTGCACGAGGCGTTGGCAGCGCAGTCGGCATAGCATTGCTCGGCCGTCTGAGCGTTGGTGAACGTCTCAAGCGGAGCCTTGGAGGTGCTGGACGCAGAAGGAGCAACGCCGCAAACGTTGCTGCGAGCGGCGAGAGGAGCGGCGGCGGCGGCGGCGCTGAGTGCAAGGACGATGGCGCTGTAGGAATGCATGTTGTAGATAGTCGGCGTGGATTTGGTAAGTTGAAGGAAGAGGAAGATGTTTTTAGAGACTGAAAGAGAATTAGGTGATTGTGAAGCGAGTGTTGGAAGTGAAGTGAGAGTAATGGAGTGTTGTGGTGATGGTTTGAGAAGTCTCTGGAACCCTTCTTATACTTCCGACCTTTCCATCCTGCTCCATCTTCGACAGTCGATATCCGGCTCTAGGCTTTCCCCCTGAGCTATCCAACGAGGCCTCGTAATGTCTACATGGTCCGGTGGTTCTTGGTGAGGGCAATTCGTCATGTCAGTCCCGTTGCCAAAGGGGTTGGGGGTGGAGGAAACGCCGCAAAGTGCCCGATGTGGCTGCTATGCCACGTACGATGAAGGGCCGTATCGTACACTGGCCATAGCATCCACGGGGCATGCTGAGATGGGATCCACTGCGGTCATGTCTAGTGTCGTATCTCAGCTGCGTTGTGCAGCTGCAGTACGTGGAAGATAGACTTCGTCATCACCGGTGCTGCATCTGGCAAAGGTCATTGCTGTGATCCACTGCAAAGGGATCTGGGGCTGTCTTTACCTGAGCTATGCAAGATTAGTACGTGGACGGAAGTCTCGCGACTCTAGCGTTATCACCGACAAAGTTCAGACCCTCAAGTCGTTGTACCTACAACGCGATTGCTTTACATAGGCTCAACGAGAGAACTTGGAAAGCTTCCTTTTAGTTCGGTTCAACATGATGTGCTGCTATTGTAATTCTATTATGGATCCAGTGTTGCTCAACAAAGACGTGACAGTAGGTCCTCGACAGTGGGCTTCGTAGCTTGAATGAAACAGCGGATCATGACGGTTACGTGAGCCACAGCCCGCTCAGTGCACGGATATATCTATCCTGTCCGCATATACTTAGAGGAACTCTTAAGTGTGAGGGTTGCAGATGCGCTGCTCTACTTGCTGATGGTGAAACATCCGGGCAACTCCACTCGTCTACCATCTAACCCGTCGGAGAGACTCTGACCGTCAGGGATTTAGACTTTGCATTCCAAAAGTTGATACCGTGAATGTTTGAAATAGTAACCTTATTTTCAGTCAGTGTTTACCCCTTGACGTGTTGTCGATCGGTGTCGATCAGCCGTGTACCATGTGTGTTTGAGTGCTTATCAGATGGCTACCTCGCACACGTACATAACCGAAGCTACTCCGGAGCTAGTTTGGTTCCGCAGCTTGACACCAGAATGATGAAGCCAAAAATTTCTTGGACGCGGGATTGGTAGACGGCCTGCGGAAGCTCTCTGACATGCCTTGCCCGATGGAGTTGCCCTGTCACTGAACGCGTATCGATTCAAGAGCACGTACAGATACGCGTACATGAGCTCCTATAGCAAATTATAGTTTGTGCGCAATCTGCTTAATCGCGCGATTGTTGAAAGCACCTGGGCAAGCTTCTGCTGACTTGCAGATATATCTTAAAGCCTTTGGCTAACATGCCACTTTCGTCTTTGCAGTACCTCTTGCACTGTTGGGGAACGTTCTGTGCTTCCACTCGAGCATAATGAGCAGAAAGCTGAGTGTGCTCTGATCCGACATGCCCTTGTCATTGCCGTGATTGGTTTGGCGGCATGGAGCTACCTAGCGCTGGTGTTCCTGGTCCCGCACCGATGGCGCACCGAGTACCATTTTCGGCCGTGACGTGTTCACGCAACTCAACTACACTCCTAGATGCACCGCCCCACCGAGCGACGCGTACTCATGGAGCAAATTTGTCGTGCGCCACACTCGTGGCCTGAGCATCCCCACGTTCCCCAGCATCAAACATTGCGAGATCGACAGATGTTCCAAAGCTGGTCTCATCATGTCGCAGCCCACGCACCCTTGAAAGGAATCACCTGACGATTTCAGGAGGTATCTTCATGGCTGGGGCGTCAATGTGGCGTTTAATTCCTTTATTATAGCAAGAAGGAGAGCTTGAACACATCTCAGGACTGATTCTCCCCGAACCTATGGAAGCTCGTTTGTTGAAACACATGGTGGCATCTTGCTAAGCTCTGCAAGGACCGATATTAACGGCGTCGATTAAATCAGGATATCTTTGTGAGTCAGCCTCCGCAACAACGCAACTTTGGGCATCTTACTTACACCTCAAGAATTTCTCTTCCTAGGGTCCAATTCTTTCCATTTCGTATATGTTGCTCGAAGACCGGGTTCAAACTTGGTTCAGTCTTGTCATGCAAGAAGATATCCGCGGCTTCGTAGGGCCAGTTGACCGAAAACGTTTTCTCGCAGATACGCCGCACAAGAACATCTTTACCCTCCCATTTGTCGGCCCGGCATAACCGTTCTCTCGCAGAAGGCCATGCCAAAGTGTCTAACCAGGCAGCGTGTCGATTGAAGATTTGCGACGGTGTAGGACGCAGCCACTCGGGCATAGCGTCATAGTTGTATTGGGTCGGCGAGATTTGCCACCGAATAGAAACACCCATTATGTATAATATGGCAACTTGCTCGGGAATTGTACGAACAGCAAGCGCGGACACGATGTCACGGACGATGGAATTGGCGAGGGGGGCTTTCACAGCATCGCCAGGGGGATTGAGCAGGCTCTGCACACTGGGAAAGATAGCTTTTTGGAACTCTTGGATATTGCCACCGGTCGCTTCGTGAGAGCGGCGAATGTTGATCAGGTTTAGGATTGCGCTATCGAGGGCACAGGTTGAGGGCACATGTCTAGGCAAAGCTGTCCAGACGGCTTGCCCGTATGGCAGATCGTTCTCGGCGCCTTCAGCTGGTGCTATCCGTGAGGTGACAGTCTCTGGGTCAGGAAAGTCTGGTGAGCCAGCTAGCATCGCGTCGTTAAGAATCTGCTCCCATATGGAAAGCCCTGATGGATGAGTATAGACAACGATAGGTTGTGGACGTCAGTCTCTTACCTAGGGTTGGATTGTCTTCTAGTGTCGTGATCGATTCGATCCCAACGGTATTGAGCCAGTTGATGTCTCTGCCGACAACATCCATACTGCTAGGCAATGAAAGTGATGTCGCTGAATTGAGATGTGCAAATGAAGCTCCTGACGGCAGCGGTGGATGCACCTGATTCTCTGCTGGGACAGATAGAACTTTGCAGTCACATTGAGCGAGTGTGGCTGTCAAGTCCTGCTCAAGGTGTAGTATGCGCGTTTCCAGAGTCAACACCTGATTTTCCAGCTCGCTGATGATAGCTTTGCCTCGTTGTCTCGCTTCGCGTTGGCTATTCCTGTCATATTCGCGTTTGCGGCGTAATTGATCAGGCGATAGGAAATCGATGCTACGGATCTTTGCTTTCGACATTGCGGAGAATATGTCTGCCAGAATAATCTTGGAATGAGTTGGGGAGGAGATGGTCAGCATAGCGGCTGAATGGAGTTGCCGCACTTGCGCATATCGTTAGCCGGAAAGTTCTTGGTGATAGGCCGAGAGCTGTCCGGTGCACGCGATTTCCCCGCATGAACCCCAGAGTGTCCACAGTGGCGCGCTAACGACTCGTTAAAGCCTATTGATCGTGATACCGCTTGATGGCCAGAAGATCAACTGTACGTCTTTGGGTGTCCGAGCGCCCTAAATTAGGATGAGAACAGATAGGTCGGTCACACTTCACATTCAGGATTACGAAAGTTGTCTTGCAGCTGTATTAAAGTGAAACTTGGATTCTCACCAACGATTCCGTTTCCTCCGCTCATCTGCTAAATACCTTCGCCTTCACGAAAAGTTCTGGCTTGTCCCAGAGCACATAGCAAAGCTGCTCCCTTGCCCAGTCGAAATTGTTGTCGTCGAGCTCAAAATCAAACATGTACACGAGCTGGGCGGCAATGATGCGCACCTCAATCCAAGCCATACTGATATTTGTCAGCACCTATCAGAAAAGCATATGCAAATAGACGCATACTTAATGCCCATACACATTCGAGGCCCGGTCAAGAATGGTTTGCTAGCTTCTAGATTGTCTATCTTCTCTATCCAGCGCTCAGGGCGGAATGAGTCGGGGTCTCTAAAATACTTTGGGTTGTGGGTGATGGACCAGGCATGAACGCCTACGACTGTCTTGAAAGCTTTTAGAGGTGGACAATTCAGCGTAATGCGAGTACTCACTCCTGCGGGGACGAAATGTCCGGCGATCGTACAACCACCCTCTGGGGTGACTCTAGGCATAGCAATAGGAATAGGAGGGTAAATCCGAAACGTTTCGCTGATGCATGCAGTGAGATATGGGAGTTCTCCCGCTGCCTTTGCTGTAATGTCGTTTGCATTCGAAAAGTGAGACCGCAGTTCGTCTTTCAGCTTCGCATAGACGTCGGGGTGTTTGCACAGGTAGTAGAACAAACCACTGAGAACCGTCGCGCTCGTCTCCGATCCAGCAATGATCAACGCATTTGAGTGAGCAGCAAGTTGCCAATCGGTAATGAGGAGCTCGTCTCGTTTCTTTAAGATGTACGAGACAAAGTCGATGCGATCAGATTTGGGACCTTCCCTTTCCCGTCGAAGAATCTTCTTCTTAGACTCCAGCGCATGACGTGCACCTCCTTCTCGCACCGCTTTTGGTGTGAGCCAGGATTGGAAGTAGTGCAGGAGGGGAAATTTCCATATGGCAGCATCCCAGGCCATCGACTGCATGTGGTCCAGGATGATCGCAATCCAGCTGTCGGTCTTGCGATTCTTAAGTGATCCAAAGGGCTCACCGAACGCGAGTTCACCGAGAATGTCGAAAGTCGTCCAATTGAAGAAGTTGACAAGGTTGATGGGACCATCCGCGCCCTTCTCTCTTATAGCTTCCCGCAGCTCGCTTGCGTATTGTAAAATCAAATCTTCTTGTTGTAGTAGCGCTTTCGCTGAGAAAGCATAGGACATCATCTTCCGGATCTCCGCGTGCCGCTCTGGATCTTCGGCATTGACGATGTGCTCGGCGCGTAAAGTCTCGTCCTTGCGATAGAACACTGGATCTTTGATGAGGACCTTTCCGTCCTTACGTCGGTCGTAGATGTCCTTCCACGCGTCCACGCAGGCAAACGATAATTCATTTGGTCCCCATCGCACAACGTCTCCATACTTGTCGTGTAGAGACCTGACACTTTGATGAGAGTGCCCGCTCGTGAACTGTTTTGCCCAATACAAGTTGGAGGCAATGGCACGTTTCGGGCCAGGAAAGTGAGAGAGGGGATGAATCCAGATAAGCCAAACAAAATATGCGGTGGACGTGACTATAGCAACAGCTACCGTGTACATGAAGTAGGTTGAGTTAGAAGATGAATGGATAAGCCAAGATAACTCTTCAGGAATTAGTCCAGTAAGTGCGTCTATGGCGTTCATTATGGCGGGCAATGTTGTTACGAGAAGCCAATTGCCTTGAATGTAAACAGCTTTTAATGTGCCGTGGATCTTGAGCGAGATAGACGACATTGACCACAAGATGGCAAGTCTGACTCGTTAGCGTGATGCGGGTGTGAGAATCGTAGCTGCCCCTTCTACCAACTGTAGCTTGATTGACGAACGAGTCGTTAGCGTTATGCGGGGAAATCTAAAAGTCTAGACCGGCTACTATTTTCCCAAGAAGAAGGCACGGACGTACCTTCCACAGATATATCAAGTCCAGTTATCCTCCTGCCTCTTTCAATCAGCAAGTCTTTAACGCATTCATTACCACAACGCATAAACTCCGAGACGGCATCGAGAAACCGAGCATGGAACGCAAAGAATTGGCTATCTCGCATCATGAGAACAATGACAATAGTCACAAGAGTCAATCCAGTTCTGTCGATGACGCGCATCTTTATGGATTTGCGGCCGACGAATCGACTATTCGAAAAGGATATTTTCGCAGTCCCCGATTTTTAGGAACAATGCTGGCGACTGGGCTTGGGTTAAGTGTCGCAGTCGGGGGTTTCGGATTAGCAGCACCAAATCTGGCGTATGAGAAATCTGCCTATCATTGACCTACCTCTTTCTAATTAAAAGTGCAGTCTGATCAACAACGAGATTGGTCCCGATCCAAATATCAGCTGGGTCTCACTTGTATACACGTTAACCTTGGCCATTGGACTGCTCCTGGTCGGCCGATTGAGTGACCTCTTTGGACGAAGGGTTGGTGCCGCACCAACAAATATTGAGGACTGTGGCTAACTCTCGCATTGCAGTGGTTCTTCATCGGGGCAGCGGGTCTGTCTCTGATCGGATGCGTCGTTTCGGCTACCGCGCAGAATGTTCAAGCGCTAATTGCGGGGACTGCCATCATTGGATTGGCAGCATCGGGGCAGCAGTCGTTCGCTACTATCACCGGAGAGCTTGTACCAATGAAGGTAATCGATGATGCCTCATGATTGCAACTGCGTTCTAACCATATTAGCACCGATTTGCTGCAAATGCAGTCATGTATGTTTTTTGCATTCCTTTCTCTGCACTGGCTCCCGCGTTATCGAAGGCGTTCGTGCTTTATTCGGCTGCAGGCTGGCGTTGGTAAGTCCAAACCTCCTCTGCACGGCTTCTTAGCACTGACATATATAGGTGCTACTACCTCATGATCATTCTTTCGTTTATCAGTGGCCTTTTGTTCTTTATCTTCTACTTCCCACCCACTTTCGAAGACAAGTTCAAGAATAAGAGTAGGGGACAACAGATCAGAGATTTCGACTATATCGGAACAGTCCTCTTTATCGGAGGCTTTGTCATTTTTCTACGTTTGTCCACCAACCCCTAGATATATGGATCCGAGCTGACAAAACCCGCAGTTGGGCTTTCGTGGGGTGGATCCGTATATCCCTGGAAATCCGCTCACGTCATCAGCACCATGGTGGTCGGAGGGCTAGTACTTATTGCTTTCGCACTTTGGGAGTGTTTTGCCCCGCTGAAGGAGCCTCTGCTTCCCATGCATCTCTTCAAAAATGTTGCGTGGGTAGTTGCCTGCGTCTTACTAGGGATCGGTGCCATGATTTATTACGCGATGGCCATTGTATGGCCGTCTATGGTGGCAGTACTGTATACAGATGATGGTGGCGCTAGTATGTACGCGGGATGGTTGAGCTGCATGCCTGGTATGATCAATGGTGGGCAGATCGTAGGAGGATTCTTAGCCGTACCAATTGGGAAGACCCGGATCCAGGTCATCGTTGTATTGATACTGGGCGGGTCGCTGCTCGCAGGTAAGTTGAAAACCTGATCGTATGCTCTATCACTGAAGTTTTGTATAGCAATCGCATATGCCGGACCAGACGACTTATGGGGCGCTGGCGTGCTCATGGTTCTATCAAGCTTCTTCATTGGATGGAACGAAAGCGTCTGCCTTTCGAACGCTGGCATCGAACTACTTAATCAGCAGGAGATTGGTACAGCTATTGGAGGTAAGTCTTTGTTGTCGAATCTCGCCCACCAAAGCCTGGCTAATTCTACGCAGCGGCGGGTTCGATCAGATCGGCGATATCTTCTCTGGGCAGCGCAGTATACGTCAGTGTGCTCAGCAATCGGTTGTTAGAGACCATCCCTGCAAAGGTCCCGGCAGCCGTGGTTCAAGCGGGTCTACCAGAATCTTCCGTAGCGGGCTTCATGGCAGGCCTCACCTCAGGCTCGTTTACTGATGTGTCTGGACTGACCCCTGATATAATTTCTGCAGGAATGGCGGCGTACAAGTCTGCAAATGCGCAGGCTTACCGTACAGTATTTCTTGCCACGATCGCATTCACTGGCCTTGCAGTCATTCTTAGTTTCTTCGCCCCCAACGTTGACGACAAGGTATGCAGACAGACGATATAGTTAGAGCGCCATTCGCTGATTACCTCCTAGATGACTGGGCAGATCGCAGTTACGCTCCATCGTGAAGATGATGATGGAAAGGCAGAAAAGGTCGATGGTGTTTGATAGATTTCGATACCATTGCAAACATCAGTTGCACGCCACACGGCACCTGGAGCACAAATAATACAATATCATACAGATCCAATTGTCCACAGACCCACGATACTGACGCATTGCGAGTAAGCGGTCGATTCAATGACAAGCCCTGCCGTATTTCCTCAGGCGCACGTAATTGTATGGCAGAGGCGCTATGAAGCCTGCTGACACAGAGAGCAAAGCCGCACCCCAGAAGGCTGCAGAATCCAGCTGCACTACTCCTCCGGTTAGGTAGTAGTCAACGACGTTCTCCGCCAGCTCCATTGTGATCATTGAGATCATGCTCATCCCCGCAGCAGTTCGAGCGGCAGCCATCCAAGGAAGACGATCGTAACCATATCGGAGGAGCGTAGTCTCCAAAAGCATCGAAGAGGTGATACCTGAAGCCACTGCAAAACGTCAGTCGGGCTGCATGATGAAGAATAAAGAAGACGAACTGGATATCGCCATTATAGTGCCCATTCCCAGAGTCGGGTGTGAGAGTTGGAGATACCACATTGCCGAGAAATCTCCAGCGGTGCAGCCAACCAGGCACCGGAGCGTGTTGACTGCTGCGCGTTTCCAGGTTGCTGTTGAGGCCCAGAATTGCGATGTTGTCATGGATGCAGAAATCGTGGTCTGGCTGGAGCACGAAGGAGTCGGTATCCTATCCTTACTGCATTTGAGGCTTCGTTGCAAAGTCAGAGGACCTTGCGGATGACCCCATGGCGCCCTGCTACCGACAGCTAAATGAGGTCGAGTACATGTCCTTAGTAAGGGTGCAGATTGACTTAAGAGCACAGTTGCCCGAGTTGAGAGCAAGCGCATGGCTGGCCGTCGTGACATACAGATGAAAGTCTGAGTTGTGCAGATGAGAGGATCGTCCTAATGTCTGATGAGGAATCATCTAGCTGCCTAATTTAACGCTAGGTTATCGCGCTAAGTCCACATTCGGCAATTCAGGAGGACTACGCATTCGCAAGAGCGACGAGTTTTCCCTATTTGGGCGTCTCGATACGAGAATGACCTAGAGAAAACTCTGGACCTAAATGGTCTGACATCCTATTTCCTGATAAAATCAAATAAGAATGAAGTCCTCCAAAGGTATTCCTGCTTTTCGCAACGTCCCTGGTGAACCATGGAGTCTCAAAACTAGTTACTTCAATCCCAGCCTCTTCTAGGAGCCCTACCGGGTCCGTCACAATATCGCCAGTCGCTGCATTGTGCAGGGCAAATGGACCGCCGTCAATGGGTTCGGAGGTCCGCCCTTTGAGTAGCCAAACAGCATCATACGGATCAGCCACCTTTTGACCGTAGATTGTCTCCCCCTTCATAAATCCTGGTACTTGCACGTGCCAACGACTGGCCAAGTTTGTCCAGCTTGGTGTCCCTGAGAAGCGCGAAGGACGACAGGAAATCGGGAACCGAGTAGTATGCAGATGAAGTCGCCTTCCTGGGTTCCTAGAGGCGCAAGCCTGATGTAGTTATTGCATGCTTTGAAGATACACCGACCTTCTCATATCGACTGGTGCCGGGTCTCGGTCTCAGAATTGAATTTTGCCAGTCGACTTCGATATGGACAGCTAGGCCCTAGAGCAATCGAATGGCGGCGTTACTGCGGTCCTCCTCAGGTTCCAACCAAGCCGTTACACAACTAGCAAGGGAGAATACGTCTCCCATCATAGCGACTTGTTTACTCTTCTCTTCATCATCTGTCTGATTGATACAGATGGCATCTATCCACATCGACCGCTCTTCTTTCTCGAGCCGAATATGTCTTAGTGCAACATCCGAGTTTTGCCCTATACCGATATGTCCCTGCGAAACAGAAGCAACGCTCGCAAATGTGCATGAGGTATATAGTTTCGACCTTACGCCTTAAAAGTTATACTCGAGAAGCACTTTTGCGATTACACCAACTCTCAAATGTACAACCATGCGCTCAAATGCTCAGGTCGGCACAAGAAAAAGCCGGTCTCGTACTCCCACTATAATCCGCGACAATAGCATCGCACGCCGCATACAACCCTGGGCCCAAGAGAAATAGTCCTACCACCATCACGACCGCATGGAACACCGTCTTCACCGTGCGTCCAAATCCCCCGAACAAATCGCGCTTGTTCATCTGCCAGTATGCGACGGCGAAGTAAATGAAGCCGAAGAAAGAGTCAAACGCAGCGCCAAGAAGAGACAGGAAGTCGCCCATAGAGGGAATCACCTCGGCAAAAATGAAGCCAACCCACCAAATGGCGGCCATAACGGCAATCCAAACGCTCCAGCCGATGAGGGTGTTGCTATGTGCGTGATGCGAACCGCGCATGAGGTGCTTGTAGACATATTTGGCGGAGACGTTGGCGTATATGACCTGTACTCGTTAGTAATTTATACTCAGAGAGCCTCAATGGGTGCACTTACTCCTATGACGAGCGTGGGCACAATCACGAAAGCAAAAGACGCCTTTTTGTAAACGACGACACCCAAGCTGCCGAATGCGGGTGCTGTAGCATATTGGCCCAGGTACCTGAATCCGACCGCTGGAGGCACGATGAAGAGGAAAGCTGATAGGCAGGATAGGACAGCCAGACTCTTGGGGAAATCCTGCGGCTTCTCCATCTCAGCGATGAAGGTGGGGAACAAGATCTGTGGCACCCAAAGGAATGTGATGTTTAGGACGGCGTTCATAGCGGCGACGAACGTGGTTCCAGACGGCGGGAAGGCGTACGTTTTCACGAGTCCCGCCTTAGGGTAGACACCGAGGTATCCATATCCAGGTGCGTCTTCGATGCCGGCGAAGACCAGGAAGAGCAGGATGGCGATGCCCATGCACGCGGCTGAGAACATGGACATGAACGAAACGTGTCTCAGGGTGCGCGGGAGCGACATGACGATGCCCATGAGGGTCACAATAACAGAGAACGTGACGGTACAGAGAGAGTGGTCGGACAGTGTGTTGATGACCTTCGCGCCGGTAAGAACGTGGAACCCAATGAGCATGATGTTATTGGCCAACAGCATGAAGGCTGTGAAATGGTATGCCCAGCGCTGCTTGCCGAAGGCGTAGTAACCAAAGTCGCAGATATCCATGATCTGGGGATGCCTAAGATTATCAGCCTGATTGGCTAGACCAAAACGAGGTGGACGTACTTCATGATGAATCTCCACATAGTCATGCTTGTGAAGTAGAACAGTATTCCGGCAAGCAGCATAGTAATAATGCCAGGTACCCAGCCCAGTACGCTCAAACTCCAGCTCTGCGCCATGATGGCTAAGCACACTTGATCGCCTGCAAGCAGCCACGCAGCCTTCTGCCATGACATTGTCCGGAGCTGAATATCGTGACCATGGTCTTTCGCGACGAGAGCGTCGAAGGTCACGCCTTCTTCGTCTGAATCTGTGAAAGGCGCGTCGGCGACCGCATTCGGTGCCTTCTCGTCGGCATATTTGACGTCAGACATGGTAGATCGAGGATGGTCTGAAGCCCTTTGTCGGCAGGCTGCGTAGAAGCTTGGGTGCCGAGTCAAGCGGATTCAAGCAGATTCAAGCATGTATAAATGCTTAGCTGTGTCTTGGACACCAAAGACGCGATAAGGCCGGGTTGCAGGGGAGGCTCGCTACGCTGAACGGGCTGAGATGTAGCCGGGTCTAGACCCCTGGCGAACTCCGGGCGTGGGTTGCAAAAGTGGTGTAACTCACACGCATTACACTTGTCCCTTAGCAACTATCGTCTTCCTGTTGGTGCTGATGGTGGGTTCAGCCTCAAACCAGTCCCATGGGTATCGCCAGGCACAGCCGGGCAGGGCCAGCCAACGCCGCGGTCCTGGTCAGTATGATCGTCATAAAAACTTCTCATTGCGAAACTGGCTGGTGAATTCATGACAATGGTCGGATCGATGTGATCAAACGGGCGTGGCGTAGCTTCTGCGGTCTCGCCCACTACGCCATTCGACGCGATATGGCGTGATTGGCAAAAAGTACCATAGGCTGTAACCCGAAATCCAAAACCCAGCGGACGATTCGGAGAATTTGTTGATGTAGCTGCATGGACATGGAACGAGCTGCGAAAACATTCGTTAGCTCCGGGGACACCGCGTGGCTTGTTGGGTTCCACTGAACTTTCCGCGGCGCGCTCGCTGCTTTGCCCTTGATGCGGGATTCTCACGCCTACATAGGTACAAGGCCATGGCCACAAACCCATCCCTTGGCAGCTCGGTGAGAACCGAGCAAGTGAGATTTTGAGCATTGTATGGAAACCGCTTGTGCAAGTAGAGTGCTCCTATCCAGACGAAAGGGTCCGCTTTCTAGGCAGTCCCACGTCTTGACTTAATACCCGCACACCTGCGATAGAGTAGACTCTTCTAACATCTGCTCAACTTCATTATGCAACAATACAATAAGCTTCTCCTACAATCGAGAATCGATGTTTTATCCCTGGGAAGTTGTCGCGCCATGAACAATGGAGATCGCCCCCACTCGTTCAAGAGGATGGTGACCCGCTGAATGATGGCCCAAGACTCTTAACTCCATATGGCTAGCGGAACCCCCGCGTCTTTACGCCTCAACGAGAACCGCACCTTTCGCAAGGCACTGGACAAGCAGACAGGATGGCTCTGGCGCAGAGAATGAGTGTCTCTGGTCCCATCCATACTCCAAGCCCAGACGAGAGGTTCGCTGAATCAGCGTCTAGGCAGTGACATTCCACGAAAATCCCGGTGGAAAGATCCTGCGAAGCCAGGCGGCATCAGGCAGGTGCGAAATCGACGCGGACGTTAGACGTCCATCATCACATAGTTCGATAGGATAAGCAGAGCCGGTTGGATCCTATGCCACGCTACATCTGGGCACCTTGGGTGCAAGACCGTGAACAATGGCGCACGATAGAATACACCATTTTCAACACTTCACATTATCCGGATCCGACTACGATAGCTCAGGGCATAAGAGATGGGATCATTGAGTCTCGACCGTGAAGAGGCAAAACCGCCTGCCGTTGACCTTGATCTGTACTGCGCAGCCTGGGCTGTTGTTTTAGCTCGTCATTCCGGAGTAGAGGATGATTGTGAGGTCGTCTTTGTCGATCCGGAGGGAAGCTTGCTGCGCTTCAATTTTCATGCCGGGACCAACATCGGTAGCTTTTTGCAACGCACAAAGGAAGCATCAAAATTTGTCTCTTTTAAATCCTCTGGTAGCGGCTTCCCCGATGTCACGCTCCGTACTACATCCGGTGAGAGGCACACCTTGCAGGGCCCAGCCGAGATTCTCGACGCCCATTTTCGTCAGACGGTGCTCCAGCTGCAGTCGCAACCTTCATCGACAGAAGTCGGGGCGATCAACATCAGCAGTCCACTGGACGTACAGCATGTTCTGCGATGGAACATCGAGCCGCCGCCGCGAGTCGAGGAGACGTTGTGCAGCCTATTCTTGCGTCAGGCGCAGTCGCAGCCAAATGCACCCGCGGTCTGCTCTTGGGACGGCAATCTAACATATGCGCAACTGGATGATTTGTCTGCAAGGCTCGCAGATTTGATAAGACGGCAGGGTGTGAGGCGGGAACAGGTGGTCGCGCTGTGTTTCGACAAGTCTCGAGTTGCTGTCGTAGCGATGCTGGCGGTCTTGCGGGCAAACGCAGCCTTCGTAAACCTCGGCATCGCCCTACCACGCCAGAGACAAGCCGCCATCATCAGCGCGTCAAACGCGACTCTCCTCATAGTCGACGCCAGCAATAGCGACCGTCTCAGCGAACATGACACAATCCCGAGCCTGTTGGTAGATTACGAGGTCATCACAGCCCTCCCAGGGCCCACGACTCCCCTCCCGGAAGTCGTGCCTTCCGATGCCGCTGCGATTACATTTACATCAGGCTCCACTGGACTACCTAAGGGCATCGTTGTCGAGCATGGCTCGATAGCGACCACTTGCGAGGCCATGGCAAACCGCTTGGACCTTGGACCCACCTCACGCGTGCTACAATTCGCGTCGTACACGTTCGATGCGAGCGTTGGGGACATTTTCTATGCGCTTGCTCGGGGAGCTTGCGTGTGCAGCCCATCGGAGCGTGAAAGAGTCGATGATTTGGCTGCAGTCGCTCGCAAGCTGGAGGTTAACTGGGCTTTCCTAACACCGTCTGTCCTTTCGCTGATGGAACCGCGCGATGTGCCCACGTTGCGGCGGCTCCTAGTGGGGGGCGAGAAGCCAGACCCAAAACATATCTCACTTTGGGCAGAGAGTGTGTCCCTCCATCTGGTCATGGGCCCAGCCGAGTGTGCCATTTATTGCGCTGCCAGTGTAGAGATTCAGCCTGGTGAAGATACGTCGACCTTTGGCCGAGCTGCCGGCTGCAGGTACGTAAGTCCAGGTGGGGATGAGACTCCTTAAACTGACTGTGTGTTCGTACAATTAGACTATGGGTGGCAGATCAATATGATCACACGAGGCTCGCCCCAATTGGCTGCCCTGGTGAACTGATCGTCGAGGGGTTTTCGGTTGCTCGTGGCTACCTGAACGACGACGAGCGAACGCGGCTGGCCTTCTTGAACGCCGAAGACGTGACGTGGTTACCACGGCAACATGCATCTCGCCTATACAAATCTGGTGACATAGTGCGATTCAACGATGAAGACGGCACATATTCCTTCGTCGCTCGAAAGGATACTCAGGTCAAGCTCCATGGCCAACGCGTGGAGCTCAGTGAGATTGAGCTTCAGCTCAAGAGCATCATTCCTGATGTGGATAGCGCTCTTGTTATATTGAACACATCTGCGGAGCAGGCTCATAGATACCCTCTCATCAGTTTCTTGGTGTTTACTGGTAGCTCTCCTGCCGTAGCCCGCACGGGTACAGCAACACTCTCGCTGACCACCTATGGAACGGACTTGTTACGTAAGGCCAAAGATCAGCTAGCAGCTATCTTGCCTACCTACATGATTCCTACCTTGTTCATTCCGCTTTTCCATATACCTTTCACCGCCAATGGGAAGCGAGACACTGCAAGGTTGCGCAACATTTCTCAAGAACTATCGTACGAGCAGCTCCGAGCCTTTTCACTAACAGAAGAGTCCGAAGGAGATTCAAGGCCACTATCACGACGCGAAGAGCAATTACGGGAGTTATGGGCTCAAGTACTCCACGTCAGCTCACGTGAGCTTGGAGCTAGTAGCGACTTTCTCAGAGAAGGCGGCGATTCTCTCGCAGCAATGCACCTGGTTTCAGCGGCCATAAAAACAGGTTTGCATTTACAGGTATCCACTATCCTTATGCAACCCCGCCTATCTGATATGGCGTTAAAACTCTGTCCGGCACAATCGCAAACATTGTGGGCAGATGCAACACCTGCTCCCTTATCCCTCCTCCCGCCAATTCTTGGCGCCTCGCAACTCAAATCCCAATGCGCTGCTGCTTGCCTGATAGATGCAGACGACATTGAAGATGTTTATCCGTTGACACCGCTTCAAGAGGTACTCTGGTCTGGTTCGCAAAGACGTCCTGGAACATACATTCTACAGATGACCTTCCAGCTACCGTCATCAATGCCTTTAGACACGTTCACTTCAGCTTGGGATCAATTAATCCAAACTGCCGACGTCCTCCGAACTAGAATCGTCTCCGTGCCTCACGCAGGTCACCTCCAGATTGTCTCTGCAATGTTCAGTTGGGACAGCTACAAAGACATGGCTGACTTTAATGAGCTCAATCCCTATGCTACTATGAATCTCGGCGACCGATTGGCACGTCTAGCTATCATCCAAACTGCTACAACGCCCGTTTTCGTTTTCGCTGCGCACCATGTTCTTTACGATGCGTTCATGCTAAACATGATCTTTGCCCGCATCGCTGAGATCTGCAACACGGTAAATGAAGCCATCCTCTCTCAGTTCCATCACTGACACCGCACCAAAGGGAGAGACCACCGCCGTATCACCGTTCAAGAACTACGTAGCCTACGTCAACCGCCTTCCTTCGACGCCATCAATGGCTTTTTGGAAAGGTGCGCTAGAGGATTGCCCTGCACCGACTTGGCCATTTCCGTCGCCGGCAGACATCAAAACCACAGTAATCGTCCGCCATCACATTGCTTTTTCGGTCCGTCCTGTCGAGTTCACCATAGCTACCATCGCGCAGGCAGCCTTTACCTACGTATTTGGCACACACAACCACGCCGATGATGTAGTTTTTAGTATGACCTTCTCCGGTCGTGACGCAGACATACCGTCCATACTCGACACTGCCGGCCCAACACTTTACACCGTGCCGTTTCGCATGCGCATAGATCATGATATCACTTTGCGCACTTTCTTCGACCGAGTGCGGAGCTATATCCGTGACAGTGCACCGTACGGACATATTGGGCTTCCGGCAATTGCGCGCGCTAGTCCTGACGCTGCACGAGCCTGCGATATACGATGTGTGTTTTCAGTCCAGCCACAGCATGTCGTCGCTCCGGAGGAAGTCTTTGGTCCTAGGACTTCATTTCGGGAAGAAATGGGAAGACTGCCACTGATTTTCGAGTGCTTCGTTGTGACGGGTGGAGTGGAGGTTGTGGCGGAGTATAACACGGGAAGTTTAGACGGGAACGAAGTTCAGGGGCTTGTCGAACGCTTTGGGGAGGTGCTGGTCAGGCTACTAGGTATGAGCATGAACGAGAAGGTCAGTGGGATCGATTCGGCCAAGGGAAACGCCACGAATTGAAGAGTCGCTCGTGCACAGGAGCGACTCTATTTTTGAGTGAAGCAAAACTACAGGACACTGCCCGTCATCCGGCTAACGCGACTGCACGTCCGCATAGCTGTAGGACCGAATCTACAAATGGAGGCGCAGTCATCTCAAGAATAGGTATTCTCTCGTACGTTCGATCATCGGAACAGCGAGGACGGATGCGGCTCAGTAGATGTGGTGGGGACCGCGGGGATTTGAAACTCGGATATGCCCCAAAGACATGAGAGCTTTAGCCAGGCTCCTTACCCGCATCCCGAGCCCCTGTCGGACATGCAGCAAAGCGGCACGTCATTGTTGTCTCCGCACGTTCGGCAGTAATACGAGCTGTTGTAAGAACGTTATAATGCAATGAATACGAGTTTTGGGGTTGAAATTCGCCATGATTCGGTCACTACCATCTTGTGTGCTCTATGCGATTGCGCATCAGTCAGTGGAACGCTCTGCAAACACGAGTCATTGGCGCGAGCGTTGAACCGTGGGAAGTGATGGTACTCGGGCGAGTACCATCAGTTCTTGCTCAGGCTCTCGGGCGAGTACCATCAGCCATTACCACTTCTGGACATATTGCAACCCCGACCGCATGCAACGTACGGAGGCAGATTTCGAAGGTTTGGGTGTTACTGTGGGTCACATTCCGGAATTGAGGCACAGCAAAATGTTGTTGTCGAGAGTATCTAACTTTCACCCTGGCTTTGACATGGACTACAGACGCTCCTATTTCCGACTTCCGCCTTGCTTGACGTGTCTCAGGCGCTAATCTCTGTCAGTATTCATACTGAATATCCGTATAAAGTTCTATACTGCCATGCTCACTCTACCCAAACATCCGATCATCACTCCATTCTCATTCTTTCTCTCACCACACTAAGCCACCATGCCTCGGCTTGCCCTCATCTCCTTGGTATTAGCCTGCAGCACCTCAATCAATGCAGCGGTCCTCAACACTCGTCAGAGCGACAGCAATGGGACCTCGAGCGTGACGATTACACAGAAAGATGCCAACCCAGCTGCCCGAAAGAAAGAGGTGGCATATCGCCATGACAACTTCTTATACAACGTATCCCAGATCGGGAACGCAGCAGCCTTCCCTATGGGAAAAATTGGAGAGGAGCGTGTGTCACTAGCTTGGGATCAGTGGCAGGATGACCGCAACATCATCACCGCCGACATTCAGAAGGATGTGGCGCAAATCAAGCAGGCAATCATTGCAGTAAGACCTTCCCGATGACCTATATCTGTTTTAAGCTTACAGGTTGTGCAGAACAATGGCACGCTAAGATCCCTCGACGACTACACAACAGTCCTGTACAAGGACCAGTGGCTGAACGCCTCACCGCTAAAGCCTGCTCTTGGGTCCTTGACCAACTACACCCTCGACTCCTTCTTCGGTGGAGAGCGCCTAGTGCGCCCCTACTCGCTCTACAAGGCGACTCATGAGGACGCTAAGCTCATCGATATTTCTGATGACGAGGCGAAGAAGATTGCAGGAGCAACAGTGGCAGCGCTGCTTGAGGCAGGTCGTCTCTTTGCCGTTGATCGTGAGTACATGCATACTCTAAGTTAGGACTGTGCTAAACCTGCGCAGACAGCTACCAAGCCGATAAGTCCACATACGTGCCTTCCCAGTTTAACGATAAGTACGGAGCCCCTGCTTCGGCACTCTTTTTTCTGGACGAGAAGAGCGACTTGCTCCCGCTGGGCATTCGCACGAACGTCGGCGCGAACCTCACGTACACACCCCTTGATTCTGACAACGACTGGCTTCTTGCCAAGATCATGTTTAATGTAGCCGATCAGTTCCATAATCAAATCTATCATCTCACTGCTACGCACAACGTGGGAGAAGCATTACATGAGGCTGCGATGCGCACGATGAGCGACAAGCATCCTATAATGGCAGTGCTCGACCGGTTGAACTACCAGGCATACTCTGCCCGACCCGTCGGCGAGGCGCTCTGCTTTAACCCAATGGGCCACTGGGACGAAAACTTTCACATCAGCCAGATCGGCTGCCGCAACTTCGTCACCAAGAATTGGCCCACTTACGGCGCGTTCGAGCCCAACTACTTGCAGACCGACTTCCAAGCCCGCGGCCTTGTCGACCAGTCCGGGAAGTCTCCCTTTAAGCACTTCCCCTTCTGGGACGATGCATCTGAGATCGTGCGAATTCAACGAGAGTTCTTCACATCTTTCGTCGACACGTACTACTCGTCCGATGCTGATGTCGCTGCCGATCATGAAGTCTGCGCCTGGTTCAAGGAAGTCCGCCGTGGCCCAACGGGCCCGGAGGTAGAAGCCCAGGGCCTAATTCCTGTGCAGTCGTTTCCAGTGGACAAGACGAAAAAGGTTCTCGTTGACATCCTAACTCACAATGCATGGTTGCAAGTAGCGCACCACTCACTCAATGCGGGCGACCCTGTGCGCTCCTCCCTGACCCTGCCGTTTCACCCCGGCGGTCTGTACAAGCCTGTGCCTGAAGCCAAGGGAGTCGATTCAATTGTCGCCTTCCTGCCCAATGCTACTGCTTCAGTCACGTACATTGGCTTTCTCGCGAGCTTCAACCGCCCGCGCTACCGAACGATGGACCCGCCACGCACACTTGCACATGCATACTCTGGACCGGACTTCCTGGCACGATTCGCCGAGAAGGAGATCAAGGAGGCCGCGGATAAGTATTTGGAGGCGATGAGCGCACTGGGTGCAAAGAATGAGGCGCGCAAGATCGAGGAAGATGGCATGTGCACTGAGCAGGGCATTCCGTTCTGTTGGACGGCGCTCAACCCGTCGTACATCCCGTGGTTCTTCTCGGTATGAGCTTGAGATAGGTTCGCAGGTTCTGAAGCATTTTCTGGCGTGCATGGCAAGGCGCTTGGGAGTTCAATAGACGAGTATAAGACTGAAGATGTTTGTCCGAGGGGTTTTTATGATATCACAATATAAGCGACGATTCAACCATTCAGTACTTCACTTGGAAAGTGTATCGAACATCCAATCGTACTCCAGATAAATCCTGAAACTTCGCGAGGTTAGTTCGGCTACTTCGTTGAACAATCGGAGCGATCAAGTGACCCCTCCGCTGTTTGCTCGCCTCGGTGCTTCAGATATGATCCTTGCCTTGATTTTGGGATGTGCGGTGCTTTTCCAGAATCGAGGTGGAACAAGACTCAGTCGACATGGTCAACCCAGGCACAACTTCAACCCATTGGCGAAGGTTATGGTCAAGGGAATGAAACTCTTCGTGGTTGAGGCTTTGCTGTTTTAATCTTTCACCTGCGCCTACGGCTCGAGCTTCCCACGGTGACCTAAAACAGCAGTCGGATTCACCTTTCACTCTACCAGCCGCAAATATTTCCGCACTGTATCTATAAATCTTTACCCGCTCCACACTTCAGCAACCGCAGCACTCTACCACTGCCCCCAAAAACACACCTGAAGCAACATACATCACTACGATCTTTCGAAGCGAACGACTTCGCTCGTAAACACACGATCTCAACATCTTAACATATATGGCGACGGTTTCCACAAACTTCTGGTCCAGCTTGGACACCGAAACCCCTGAGCTCCCCGCTGAGCTCCCCACCCCGGCGAACACCGTTACCCGCACAGCGTACGCATCCAAAATGAAAATGCGCCAGATGGCACTCGAGTCCGAGACCGCATTTGATGCCACCACCATAGACGCCAGCACCATGAACGAAGATGAGGCGACCGGCATTGGCACCAAGCCCGAGCCCGCTCGAGCCGGCGAGTCCAACACGGCAGAGGCAGCTGAAGATGCCCAGAAAGCTGCCGAACATATCGCCGAGAAGAAGGCGAAGAAGGCGGCCAAGAAGCTTAGGCAGAAGCTGAAGAAGGGTGTCATTGCCCTGGATGCGATGCGGCAGCACAAGGGTGAGGTCACCAACGGCGTCAAAGATGCCCGGGGCGAGGCGTCCGGCGCTCGGGATGGAGATGCCGCGGCTTCTGCTAATGGCTCTGTTGGCGATGCGGCTCAGAGCATCGCATCCCAGGTCAACGCTGCCCGCCCGGTGCAAGTGCAATCCGGTATGGACCACGAGGAGGAAGATTTCTTCCTCGGCGCCCTTTCCGCATTGCACCTCCCGGATCCCAACGAGTTGGCGAAACTTGACAATGCTAGCACCACCTCCGACGGCCAGGATGACGACAATGGCCTGCCCACCAAGACTGCTGCATCGACTTCGGTGCAAATCGATGCGCCTGCAGACAGCACCACAATGTCCCGCAAGAACACCATTGCAAACAAGCGGAAGAAGAAGAGCAAGAAGAAGGCGCGCGAAATCAAGGCTCAGACGGAGCTTCAGGCCAAGTTGCGCAAGGAGCGCTTCGAGGCATGGGAGGTGGGTCTGGCAGCTGTCTCCTTCGTGTGCTTTCTGACATGGGGTTTCTATGCGAACCTCGTTCATTTTTGAAGTGCGGTGGAAGATTTCTCGGTCCTCGTGGAGAGGGGATGGTTTGGAATGAGGGATCCGCTCAATGATGAGGATATCTTGCGCTCACATGTTATTCTGATCTTGCTGGAAGTTCGTGGTCCATGTTCATGCTTGCAAAAGGTAGATCGGATCCTTCATAGAGTTCACACGGGCAAGATCTGGTATACCAAAGAATCAACATCTCAACACATTACTATGATCTGATAGTGATGCTTGCGTGCAGCGCAGGTAGCTTCTTGTGATCAAGCCACACCGGCCATCCATGCAGCTGCGTCCGTCGTCATTCCATTAAACCCATACAATAAGTGTGGAGGAAGCTACACAGCATCAGTACTCATATCATATCAACAATACGGCATTTGACTTACAATCATCCACCTCCTGATCTTGCCCTGCGCGACATCTTTCGCAATCCACGGCAACGTGGCCGGCAAGTCTCTAATCAAAAGCGCCGGAATCGTAGCCACCTCCTTCAACTGATCTTCATTAGTCACAACATTCTTGAGCGATGCGACCGTCTCTTTCAACTGCGCGACAACGTCCCCCACACTGTTAGGCAACTCGATGCCCGAAGTAAGCGTCTCGGTGCAAACGACATCCGGCGCCGTAGTATTCTCCACGCAGTAGTTCTTAAGGATGATGCCTTTGGGAACGGGCTGCACGTCGTCCATGAGGCGCTCCTCAGAGCCGAACACCACGAGTGCCTTGATCTGCGCGCGGGCTGCGGCGCTCACGCGGTTGACGCATTTGTATGCCACGAGGCTGCCCTGGCTGTTGCCCGCACGTTAGCATGCCACCGAACACAAGCTGTAGCAGCATTTGCGACGCAGTGCACAGCAATGAACAAACGTACCTGTATCCCGTGACGAAAACCCTCGCCCCAGGACACTTCTCCACGTACTCGTCCACCATCCTCGCGCACGAATCCGCCCCAGTGTCGCTGCCACCGATATGGTAATCCACCAGGTTAGCAGGGTAGTCCTCGCGGTGTATGCCCTGGACGTCAACGTCGCCATCGAACGCGTCTACCAGCTCGTCGCGGAAGCGCGCGCCCCAGAACACGCCGATGTTACCCGGCGCCCATGTCTCGCGGCCGATTACCACGGCAGAAGAGGAGCATGGTCGAGAGCCGGCGAGGACTTCGTCGATGTGGGAAGAAGTTTGGGGGCCATAGGTTGTGCGGCGGAGGGGGTGTGGTGTTGATTCTGCTAGGGGGAGGAGGGCAGGGAGGGTGAAGGCGAGGAGGTATTTCATGTTGGCTGTGGGGAGGGGGAGAAGTATTGCGGTGTTCTGATGTTACACAGGACTTGCCGTAGATGTGCGGTATATATATCGGGTGTGACCAACGAATGGATTTCGCCCCCACGTGGTCCTTAGGGCCGCAAGAAACGGCGGATGAGCGATGGAAGTAGCGCACGCTCGGAGGAGAACTTCATCACCGGCGGATCCTGCGCAGATGGCAACGGATCTTTGTCAATATTGGTCGGTACGTGTTCCGGTTGACGAAGGTTTGCGAGAGCCATGCTCTCACGGGTAATAAACAAATGGATCATGACATCTATGATACAGCCTTAAGATTACTTCTTTACTATGATCTACTATCCCTAAAGAAGGGCAATAAAATCTCTCGAGAATACTCCGAAAAAATGATGTTTCAAAGGGATAGGAGGGAATTAAAGTATTACCGGTAGAGGGGTGCGGTCCGTGCGCTAAATCCGACTTTCTCTTACCCGTGAGAGCCATGTTCGGCCTTGGGCTCCCTGTTTTCGTTAGATGGGATGCCTCGTTCCTGACTGGGAAGTGGTGGGCCTGTTCGCCTAAGACGACATTAAACGGTACAAACAACTCAATTGCGCGTATATACACTGTATACCTAAGCATCTCCAATACATATCTACAAGAACAGAACATCCACCAATACCTCCTCCTCGGTCTCTTTAGTTCGCGCCTGTCTCAACCTTGAGCCAGGCGATGAAGTCCTGGATAGTAAACTCCTCAGGAAGCGCGGTGCTCGACGAAGCCGGAGCGCAGGCACTGGGTGCCGCCGAAGTGGGCGTTGCGATAACGGTTGCGAGGGTGGTAGGTAGCTGAGCAGATGCAGAGGACACGGCGACGGAGGACGCAGCCGGGGCGGAAGTAGCAGCCGGCGAAGATGCGGAAGGAGCGACTGCTACCGAGGAGGAAGCAGCAGGGGTCTGCGCGGCAGCAGATGTAGCGGGACGAGAAGACACGGGTGCAGCAGAGGCGCTCGCAGCCGCGCTCGAGGCCGGCGCAGCGCTGGAAGCAGGAGCAGGCGAGCCAGAGTTGCTCGAGCCACCAGGAGATACCACCGACGTGGTGAGCTCTCCGCTCTCCACATACACACCGCTGAAGAACCAGTCCTCTGCACCATCAGCATCGTTGCTGCCAGGAAGGCGCAGGACACCCAGGTGCCAGTCAGCACCGTTAGACGACGTGCTCGCGTCGAAGGGTCCGGCAGTCTTGGTCAGCGCATCGCTTCCCGTCGAGTGGTAAAAAGACACGGAGCCGGCGTCGAAATCGATTTCGTAGGCTACGTTGTGCCATTCGTCTGCAACGAGCTCAACGTCCCACTTCGACACGCCGCCGACGTGCCACTGCAGGTTGGTGTTGCTGCTGCCGGACGCGCCGTACTTGAGCTCGGTGAAGTGGCTTTCGAAGAAGGCAATTTGGTGCTCGTTGGTCGCGGTAGGCGCGTTCTCGGACGCAGTCTTGATAGAGAAGTGGTAGTAGACCTTGCCCTTGTTGATAGCGGCGGTGGTTTGCGGGATCAGCTCGGTGCGGAGCATGCTTTGGCCGTTCCACTTGGCTGTCTCGTCAATGGTGATCTTGACCCCCTGCTTCGAGCCCGTGTCCGCGGGGTTCTTGAACGAGGTGTCGAGGTTGACGTAGTCGCTAACGGCTCCGGAGCCATGGATGTAGTACTGATAAGGGCCGACTGGGTTGGAGAAAGACCACTTCTCGAGGTCGGCACTCGATGTCAGGTCATTGAAGCGTCCATCCCAGAGAATCTCTACAGCGCTGTCAGTACTGGCGATGTTGGGCAATCAATGACGGACGTACCTGCGGAAACAGCGCTAACTAGCGCGTTGAAGAAGGCGGCTTTGGCAAACATGGTGAAAGGAATGACAGGAACCAGCTGTAACGAATGTGATGGCAAGAAAGTACCGACGAAAGAACGAAAGGCTGTAGTGGGATGAATGAAAGAGGATGGCACTGCGGCGGTACTTACGATATACATCAGCTTCCCTCCACTGTCTTACCATCGAGACATCCTTGCAGGACCAATATCCCGGGAACGAACCCGCATTGCAATTGTTTCAGCGTGTTAGCGTGGGTCCAGATGGAGTGTTGTTCATGCTGCAGCCGCTGCTGGGCGTTTCGAGACGTTCGCGTGCGTTCGTCTCGCTGTGACAGGGCTGCTGATGGGATGACAAGGCGTTAGATATTGAGAGGAGCTAAACCGCATGTCGTCGCGCTCGGGTCCACATTCTACTTGTTGTGGTCTGGCGCGCGGCTTTTAGCGCTATGTATTGCCCCTGCTCATAAAAGACGGAAGATCTTGGGCCGATGCCGAGATGAACTTGGATTCGGCTGCAGGGCCTCGCATCATGCACTGTATTGAACGAATGTTTATGAACATGTTCTGTTTTCGCAGTCTAGTAACAGAGCCTCATGTTAAAATGTCCTGAAGAGTGACCATTCATTCCTCAAGCCCATCCTTCGCATCGGTCGCACCCTTCACGATGGTCTCACCCTCTTCCTGCGTGAACACGCCCTGAGCCACGAATGACTTGACCACATCATTGACTGTTCTCACGAATGCATCGTGCGTCTCAAAAGGCGCAGAGTCCCACACAACGTCCAAAAAGGTCGGGCCGTCGTTTCCGGGCGACGTGACGTTTGCGACAGGGACATCGTACCGCGGTAGCCCGTCATTGCGCTTGCGGTTCGCGATTTTTGTGTCTAATGACCCGAAGACAATGTTTGGCTCGACGCGCCGGAAGTAGGCCGATGCTGCTTGGGTGTCGCCGATGTAGTATGGACGAGCGATCAGATTGCCAACATTACTAGCGAAGGTAAAGACAGGGTCACCCTTCGGAGAAAGTTGCACAGTAGCGGCGCGCACGTAGTCGCCGTCGAGCTTGAGATGGCTATACAAGGAGAGCTGGTGGTATGTCTGATTTTCTGGCGGGGCACCGATCGTCTGGAGCAGGATGGGCCCCCACAACAGGGCCTGGATATCAGGGCGATCGATGGCGCGCTCGATGCGTAGGGTGAACGGCATTTTGACTTCGACGACGTCGCCAGAGGCCCAGGTCCGGCTGATGGTGAGGTAAGTGCCCGGGCTGGCTGTGGCATCCGAGACGGGAATGCCGTTGACGATGACCTGAAAGCCTCTACGGATCCAGGCTGGGACGCGCAGTTTAATATCCAGAGGTCCATCGCCGGTGATGGTAAGCTTGGCTGTGTCCGCGCGCGGGAACGATGTTTCTTGTTTGACTGCAAAACCCTTCTCAGCCCATTCCAAAGTAGAAGGGATGAAGAGGTTGACCCATAATGCGGATCCGTCGGCAGAACGTAGATACACCGTCTCTTGGTACTTTGTGTGGCTTTCCATCCCGCTCCCTCCACAGCAGGTACCGGTGTTTTCATATTCACGACTCGACCCTGGGGTTAACGGCTGGAAGTAGGTGAGCATCGGACTCTCGGTACTGCTCTCGTCTGCCCGCGAGCCAGCGATCATGTCTGTTCAATGTGAGTACATGCGCCTGCGACACTACTTTCCCAAGCTTACTGAACAGGCCGCGCTCATAGTTGTCCATGTAGGTGGCATTATGCTCGTGCAGGAACAGATACCTAGCCAGCTTAAGCAAATTGTACGTGGTGCATGTTTCAGCGCCATCCTCTGCAATAGCATTGGCAATGTTGTCTCTGTTTTGGAACAACTCAGAGTTCTTGTTACTCCCGGGATAATTTCCGCCTGTGCCGCTGCAGCGCGTCAGTGAAGAACACATGAGGGTGCCGGCACACTAACCCGTGGGCGAAGTGGCGGTGCGGATGCACCCAGCCGTAGAAGTTTTTCGCAGCATCGAAGTATTCTTGTTCTCCGCTATGCTCGAAGACGCTCATGTAGCCGATGAATTGAGGGACGTGAGTGTTAGCATGGAGCCGTTGTGCACGGCGTCTTCCAGGGATCCTATCAGCCGGCACCACAAGAATGTCGTTGTCGTCGACAGCCGCGCCAAACAACGATTCTCGGTTGTCGAAAGCTTTGGAAGTTTCCAAGTGACGTGGGTCGCCTGTAATTTGATAGATCTCAGGAAAGACCTCGTTCGCGCCGCCGAACTCGCCTGCAATGTACAGATCCCACATGTAGTTGAGGTCCGACCTAGTCAAATTGCCAGTGTAGCCAGGCTGGTTCTTATCTCCAATAGTCAGTGCTAAATGCGCCCAGTCTGCCATCTTCACCACGACGTCGAGTGCCTGGGTATTGTTGGTGTTGTAGTATGCATCTAGTAGACCTCTCATGATCTTGTGCTGTGTGTACCTATATCGCGATACAAAATCAGCATCAGTAACGTTGGGTACATCAAGCACTTACCATGGGGCCCAAGTATTCTTGGAAAGATCACTTCCATAGATAGCCCAGCGCGGAGGACCGAGCCTCAGCACCGTGTCTTCCGGCAAAGCCCCGACGTAACCAGGATGTGTAGGTACCCAGTCAGCAGCACTCGAGGTAGAATTTATTCCCTTTGTCCCATTCGCATCGTGCATCCGAGCAGTGATAGCATCCTGGCAGAGGGCTAACTCCTTCACCATCCAGTTCAACTTGGTCTTGAAAATGTCTTCCCCTTGATCGGCGTAAGCCTGGGAGAGCGCTGTCAGGTAATGGCCAGTCCAGTGCCCGCTAAGCAGCCCACCCTAAAAGTGTGGGGCACAAAGTCAGCGAAGTGATCAATAATAAAGGTAATCAGGCAGAGAGGCGTTTTGGCTTCGCATTGTGATTAAAGTCTGAAAGGTTCAGATGGTAACCGCAGCAGAAAACAACCACTCTGTACCTCGGGGTTTCGTACATCTTCCCATCCACCAGGGACCTCGACTCCATCTGGGTTGGGCCGACCGGCCTGGTTGTTGAAAAGGACCAGGAAGCGACGCTCATCATAAGCTTGGACGAACTCTTTTATCCGATCGCGCTTCTCCTGGAGCAAACCGTTGCCGAGCTGTACCTGATCGAGACGGAAAGGGCGAACAGGTGCAGTGCCTCCTGGGCCAGGATCACCGGTAATAGTTGAAGTTACCAGTGCAGCGAGAGAGATGGCCAGGGCTGCGAGCGCCCGCAGTGGGTTATTTATCCGGGCCATGGTAGCGCCTCGACGTGGGGAAGCTCTTGCGAGGAAGAGGATATCTCTTTATACAGTTGCATGTTGCCCCTAGACCCTTGTCCCTGATAGCAGAAGTGGGAGATGTGCAGAACAATCAACGGTCGCATTCATCGGTCGCATTCATGGGGAAGGAGATGGTACAGTCACGGCTGTCCAAGGTAAAGAGCCTCTGTGATGGTGCAGTGCATCGCAATCCCACCAATTAGCACGGGGAGGAGTTTGTCTGGCATATCAGCCGACTTATCGTGGGATGATCGTCCTGGCGAGCAGCGATAGCTTACTCATTAGTTGGCCAGCGATTGCAACGTCGAGGGTGCGGGGTGCGGTTGTGGAGAGAATGGCCCCAAGGAGGGATGAGACGCAGCTGCACCGTGCGCGCAGGCCCTCTCGGATGCGAACAGGCGGGATGCATCCGGGTCGTCGCTGCGGGCGCGCGGCATCACTCGAGCCAATCCTGCTTCCGTCATTCCGTGCAGCGTCGTCGACCGAAGAACTCGGCCATGCGTGCATGGCACAAAGAACGGACACGGCGACGCGCGCTTCAGGCAAGGCCCTCGGGTGCTAAGCCTAGCGTGACCACCAGAGGCGCAGAAACCTTCCCAGATCGCATGTGAGCCGGCTGGCCTGCCCGCAACATGCGCTGCCGCGAACCCGAAGTGAAGCCGCTCTCCACCGTCTGCGCAGTGCAGGGCCTAGACAAGGTCATGCTGTCGACATGTCCGCATGTCGCGGCTCTTGACCTTCCATTTCCAGCCACCCGAGGCCGGCGGGCAGTGGCCCCGCCCGCTTTGTTTCTCGTCTCGTCACCGCTCGTGCTGCTCCTGCGTGCCCGCATCTCAACACCGCTCTCTGCCCGTCTCACTCGTTCTGCGTGCTGCTTGGGGTCTGCGTTCCGACCATGGAATGTCCTGCGCACCGCGCTCGTCCCTCGTTTCTGTCGCGCAACACCACAGAAGTGATTGGCTGAAAACATAGCCATGCTCAACATGGACATTAGTAGTGATACCAAAATCCCCTTGACGGCGAAGACGGTGCGCGCAATCGCGCGCGCCAGCTTTCAGCAGCCGTTCGACAAGCTCGCCCGCGCCGTGTCCGAGACAAAGTGGCTCGATTTCGACGTCAACGATCCCGGGAGCATTGGTACCGACCGCGCCGTATACCGTTCTCTTTCGCGCTCCAAGCACAACCGCCTGCTGGTCGTGGGCTACTATGCGCCGGGCTACGGCGACGAGCGACCAACAGACCGTGTCGCAGCCCACGTCCACACCGACCCTGCCGAGGTCAGGTTTTACCGCATCATTGAGGCCAAGGACGGCTCGCGCACACTTGAAGACGTCAATTCCACGAGCGCCGTCGATTTTGATCCGCCATTCTGCGATGTAGGCGACGGCCAAGGCGACCACAGGGCAGGGCACAGAGTGACAGCCCTCATCGAGTGGTTCTTTCTCGACGCCGGGCTTGTGCCAGAGCTTACGCGACCGGATGGTGATCCGGGCAAGTTCACCAGAAACTTTCGACAAGCCTGCATGTGGGTAGGAAATGACGGCAGCCAACCGGTCGATGTCTATCTTCGACGCTCGTCGGGTGTGAACATAAAAGAGGAAGAAAAGGAAACTATACCTGTGAGGCCAAAGAGGTCGTCGACCACATGTAAGTTCTGGCCCTGCGGCTCGCGTTGCTCCAAGATGTACACGTACTGACCTTTCCAGCGGCTAGCTTTCGAAACTCAGCCGTGGACGAGTTCCGACTGCCGCCCATCAAGCGCTCTGCAACTGATACCTCGCCAGTCAAACGTCAACGCGAAGAAAACCCTCTGGCCCGGCCAACAAAACATCGCCGGACTTTGAGCGAGCAGGTCACGCCTTTGACAATGCACCACCACCTGATGAATTCTGGTTCAAATCCACCCAGTCCTAGGACACCAACCTTGAACGATGCGGAGCGCATGAACAGAGCACTTGGTTCCCGAATCATTCACCTTCATGAGCAATATCGTACTTTAAGATCACATTTCGAGGAGACCGGCAGCAAGCAAGCGGATCTGAAGACTGAACTCAAGGACATGAAAGAACGGGTCATTCACGCCGAATCTCGCTCTGAAGAGCTGGACCGCGAAGTAAACAGTTTGAGGACAAGACTTCAACAAGCAGAAGAAGAAGCAGCCAAGCTGCGAGCGGAAATCCTGGCTGGCAGCAATGGACCAAATAGTGGATCCAGCAATGGGGTAGACAAGAGAGCGACAAGAAGGAGATGACCAGGCAGTCGCGAACAACAGCCACCCAATAACATGTTACAGTTCTTGGAAACGTGTTATACCCCAAGTCGCGCCCCGGTTACATCATAGAATAGAAGATTTCGGAAGTTTTCAGTGTGTGTGAAACATATGGTTGGACGTCGACACGAGAGCAAGGCATGGCATTCATCATTCCTGCGGAATTTGCATGTACGGAGTTGGGATTGTCGCATTCAGCGAGGCGTTAGCGTGCTTCTCCGCTGATACCACCTACTATATCTGGACATTTTGAGTCCATGGGATGGCAGACTTGTTCCGTATTGAACTCAAATTTTTCATCTTTCACATCCTGTGCACCCGCTTGGCAGGGGCAGAACAAATGTTAACAAGGTTGCATCCCAACAAGTCTCACTCGCTCCGCGACCGGGTCCGCGGTGCCGCTGCCGCTGCCGCTGCGTCATTCCCGAAGATAAGGCGCACCTGGAGACCACAAAATCTGCAGCACCTCCGCCCCCATCTCTCTCTCCGCGCACGCGACATGCTTCCTTGCTAACACCACCGACGCTGCAGCGTCACGCCAGGACGGTTTCTTGTCACCGAGCCACTGGCGGCGCACGCAATCGCTATTCGCATCACCCCGCAATGTCTGCCACAAGAATGCGCAGCCGCAGCAATGCGCACGGCCACGAGGAAGTCATCCCAGGCACGCGACGCCTGTACGACGAGCACGGCAACTCCCTGACGAGCGACTCGTCGCTGCAGAAAACTGGACGCGGCATCGTTCTCGTCCCACAGCCTACGGACTCGCCCAACGATCCGCTTCGCTGGGGCCTTTGGCGCAAGGTTTGGCACTCGCTTCTTGTGCTGTACATGGTCGGCTTCACGGCCGCCACGTCCAACAACGCGGGTTCTGGCTCCGACGGCGTGAATGAAGAGTACGGAATCAGCTACGATGTCTTCAACACGGGCGCCGGCGTGTTGTTCATCGGTATCGGGTATTGGGCGCTGCTCAGCTCGCCACTAGTGCATTTGTACGGGCGGAGGCTGGGATATCTTATCTCGCTTATCTTCAACATCGGCGGCCTGATTTGGTATGCGCGCATCGACAGCGTCTCTGGCGTCGTTTGGAGTCAGCTGTTTGTCGGTGCTGCCGAGTCTGTCGGCGAAGCAACTGCGCAGTTGTCGTTGCTTGATCTCTGGTTCGAGCACCAGGTTGGCAGTGTGCTCGGTATTTACACCTTTGCTACTGCCATTGGCACCTATCTAGGGTAGGTTCATCGTAGGCCCGATTTCTCAGGATTACATTTGACTGAAATGCAACAGTCCTCTCATCGGTGCTTATGTAGCATCGGGGCTCGGCTGGCGCTGGATCGGCTACGTTGGAGCCATCATCTGCGGCGGCAGTCTCATCGTGTTCTATTTTGGCCTTGAAGAGACGGAATTCTCCCGCGACCGCTACATTGCCGGTCGCGACCAAGTCATCACTGATGCAGAGCAGCCCGTTGTGAGCGACAAGAATCAGGGGGATGCCGATCCAGAAAAGACAGTCTCGAGCCCGGCTGCATCATTTGAGCATCGCACGACGGTCGCGCACAAGAAGACATACTGGGAGCGTATCCGCATCATCACCCCCGCACCGAACCTCCGCGGGACGGGTTTCAAGCAGTACCTCAACCGCCTGTGGCACACGCTGCGCGTCTTTACTTTCCCAGCCGTCTGGTATGCCGGTCTGCAGTGGGGCTTCCAGCAGTCGTGCCTGACATTCTACTTGACAGTGCAGGAGGACTGGTGGTTCGGCCCGCCGTGGAACTACAGCTCCGCTGCCGTCGGCAACATGAATCTGCCCACGCTGATTGGCAGCCTTATTGGCTGCGCCTACGGCGGCTATGGGAGCGACGCTTTCATGCAGTGGATGATCAAGCGCAACAAGGGCGTCATGGAGGCAGAGTTCCGCCTGTATCTGATGGCTCTATGCACGCTAATTTTCCCTGCTGGGCTGTGGCTGTTTGGCATTGGGTCTGCCCGTGGATGGAGCTGGCCGGTTCCGTATGTCGGGCTGGGCTTCATTGGGTTTGGGTATGGATGCGCAGGCGATCTGAGTCTGTCGTACCTTGCTGATTCTTTTCCGTGAGTGCTATGCCTTGATACAATGGTGACCATTTTTGCTAACCATGTGAAGCGACATGGTCCTCGAGGGCATGGTCGGCGTCGCCGTCATCAACAACACCCTTGCCATGGCCTTCACCTTCATCGCGAGCCCTTGGATCGACTCGGGCATGGAGAATTGCTTCATCGTGCTGGGCGTGCTTGGCTTCATTGTCATGGGTCTGAGCCTCCCGATGGCGATCTGGGGCAAGCGCACTCGCAGATGGTCGAGAGATCGCTACATGACATTTGTGGAGATCCGTGATGGGTTCTCACGGTGACGCGTTGCTGATGCGCTGACCTCTAAGTCCACCCGCGATTTGCTTTCACGTACACAACATGGCCACGCATCGTACCTTGAGTACCATCAAGCCCCTGCGTTGTTATTCACGTGATAACTGCAACCACAAGACAGTTATCGTATATTTCTATTTCGAGATATCCAATGTAATCTTATAAATTTGACATCTTATGTGTCATTGCGTTTTTTGTATTAGCTATTACACACTACACTATACACCCAGCGCCTTAGCGATTGCCTCACCCACCGCCGTCGCACTCGCCGGGTTTTGCCCCGTAATCAAGCGCCCGGACACAACCAACTTCTCGCCCCACGGCTCCGCCGCCTTGACAAACTTCCCGCCCGACGCCTTGTTCAGCGCATCCTCAGGCAAGAACGGCACCGCATCGGTCAACCCCGCCTGCTCCTCCTCGGCATTCGTAAACGCCGTAATCTCCTTGCCCGCCACAAGCAGACTCCCATCGCTCAGCTTGGCATTGTAGAACACAGCCGGCGCGTGGCACACGGCGCTAACAATCTTGCCGGCCTCCCAGAACTCGCGGATCAGCTGCTGCGAGGTGGGGCTGTCGACGAGATCGAACATGGGCCCGTGGCCGCCGACGTAGAAGATGGCGTCGAAGTCGGCGGCTTTGCCCTTGAAGTCGTCGAGCTTCTGGGTGTTTTTCCAGACGGACTCGTTGTTCTTGAGGAAGTTGACCGAAACATCGTCTTTAGCGGCTTCGACGGAGGCGGGGTCCAGAGGGGCCTCGCCGCCTTTGGGGGAGGCGACGGTGATGTCGGTCTTGTTGTGGAGGACGTGGTAGGGATGTGCGAGCTCTGCGAGGTGTGTGTTAGCTACGTGTGGATGGGTGAGGGCGGAACATGCGTACCAGGGAGGTACCAGCCGGTCGGCTTGTCGAGACTGCCGAGCTTGTTGTGCGACGTGAGGACGAAGAGAACTTTAGGTGCCATTTTGATTGTGGGTGTGATGTGATTTGCGAATGTGATTTCGATTGAATGCGAAGGATTTCAACTGCAGATGAGGGGTATATGTTGGAGGGGTAGGGCTCATTATTTCATCACCTCACCTACTGTTGTCACCTCGGCACGTATGACCTCATAACAGTCGATCGCCGTTGTCAAACGGCGCCATCTCGGTGGCCGGAGCGCTGTATACCTGCACGACGCCGCAAATCGGCCGGATGCGTTACAATTGCGGTTCAGACGTCGTGGGAATGCCCGCATTAGGTAGTGGGCGATGAAGACAGCTACGGGCACCGTTTGGATGGAGGTAGCGTGCTGCGGGCGCGGAGGCCATGTGCATGAGGTCGGTGCTTAGCGTCGCGCGAATGCGGCGAAGGCTTTAGGCGCTCCCCGTTGGAATGGGGTCGATGGGGCCTCGATGAGTTTCTCGCCTTGGGTTGCTGATTAGTCAATCTTTGGCAGTTCAAGGGCGAGATGGGTGCTTATTAATTCCTACTGTGAGACAGTGAAACCGCTTGGAAGCGGCGTCTGTGATACGAAGATGTTTGATTCTCGCCAAGAATCGCCCCTTGCCTAATTCAAGCTATTGTTAGTAACACGTTGTCAGCAACAACCACCTATCCTCCCTCCCTTCCTATGCTACTGCAGCGTTCAGCTATGGTTCAACCCCCAATGGCGCGCGATTGAAAGCCTGAAAGCCACGATGGAGCACGTCAACTGCAATGCGCGTTCAGCAACTCTACAGTTCGAACAGAGCTCGGCAGCATCGATGCGACTCTCGTGCGGAAGCAATGGTCGACAGCTAACAATGTTTGCCTTACGGTCGTTGCACTCAGTATTCATGCTTGTTTTGCCTTTCGCTTCTCTGTCTATCGGGAAACAACACATCAAAAAGGACTAAATCGTGGCGCAATGTGGAAATAGCTGAACTGAGTCAGCATCCTTCGCGTCAGGCATCGCCCCGGGCCAACCAGCAGTGCTCGCAATAACGCCTGTGCGTCGGCCAGGCTACAAGGCTGAGGGCCAGAAGCGGATGAGATGCACGTTCACAAGAGATTTTGGCAAATGCACAAGACGATGGATTTGGGGGCTGAGTCGGCAGGCACAACCGCGGGTACTTTTATTTCGTGCGAATGTGTTTTAACACTCAATCTCCTCGCGGCTGCTGGACGTTAACGCAGATTCGACATTGTGAGCATGGAGCGCCAAACTTACCCCGGAGTCGACGACATTGAGCGGAATGCAGCTAGAGAGGGTTCCAGGAGTCCGGTCAGCAGTTTGGGGGAAGACAGATCCAAGAGTACCCACCAGTACTCGGAAGAAGAGAAGTTCGAACAGGACCACGACCACGGCATCGACTGGAACCCAGGATGGCGCAACCAGTGGCCTTGGGTCGGCTTCGTAGGCTTCATGACTTTGGTTATAGCTACGGCTATGGCTATCGCCATCCTCGGGATATCCAACCACAAGCGAGTCAAGGACTGGCCGTTCGAGAGATACCCTATCCAGCCTAACGTGCTACTCAACATCGCCAACCAGGTGCAGAATCTAGGACTCATCACAATGATTGGTCAGGGCTTGGCTATCGCGTGGTGGCGGAAGGCACTGAGAGGAAGCTCACTTGAGACCTTGCACCGGAACCACGCCTACTCGTACAGCTTCTACGCGATCATCACCAGCGGCCGGAAATTCAACATCGTTGCACTCGCCGCCTTGATGACCAAGTTCGCCGTAGTAGACTCCACGCTCTTCCAGAAAGCAACCAAGACAGTCATCACCCAGCAAACCGCGTACATGAACAGCTCAGTCACAGCTTGGATCGCCACCGAGTGGCCTCAGAACAGTGGCGGCATACCCAGCAAGAATGACTCCGTCAACCCCATCAAGACAGTAGACGCCGCATGGGCTAGTGTCATCGATGCGTACACCGGGAAAGTTGCAAACGGCAAAGTCCATGACTTACTTGGCGCAAAGGCATCCTTCTTCGACTGCCCGTACCGACAAGAGTGCTCGGGCTTCATCAAAGGAGTCGGGTTCGCATTCGACTGCAACACGACGCGAGAGGACATCGACTACGGCCTGCAGCATCTAAGCGAGCAAGGCGGCGTGGAGTCGACCTATCCCCTGTGGGATATATCTTTCAACACCACATGGGCAACACCGGAAAGACCGTATGCTAGCGTGCAACTCAACATGCTGTACGCTGACACGCATCGCGGCGAGCAGCCAGAATCATGTCCGGGTTTCGTGACTCGCCGCTCGTGCGAGATCCGCCCAGCGGTAGTTGAGTATCCACTCACGGTGATGACGCCAAGCGAAGAGGAACTGGCAGGAGGGAACATTGTCACGCACATCAAGTTCTTCAATCAGACGGGCAGCGCCGATTTTGGAGCTCCGCTCAACGGCGAACAGATTGACCAGCTCAAAGTCCTGGAGTATCGCGATCTCAACGAACAGCTCGGCCAAGTCTCCACCGTGGGCGCCCTCACGTACGTGCTCAACAACCTCTACAGCTCCTCTGCGAAGCTCTCTTTCCGCGAAGAATGGAACATCGAGGTCGAGGGCTCGCAAGCCCAAAGCGTCTTCTTCGCTGACTCCGACGACGATGACGCAAATCGCTGCTACTACGACATCGACAAGAACGGCCGCGACGACCCGGCCATCGCTCTCCTCCGCAAGCTCAATACCCTGAGCTTTGTGGCAGGGCTGTACCTCAACGGCGCACCGACGACGCCGGAAGAGAAGCGAAAATCCGCAAACATGCCCTCCCAAACAGTTCTCACCTCAGTCACCGGCATTGTCGAAGAATACACCACCAACTTCAGTTATGTCGCCGGTGCGCTCGTTGCCACGCTCGTCACCGTGCTGCTCGTGCTGCCCGTGTACTGGGGCTTCTGGGAGCTGGGCCGCAAGGTCACGCTCGGCCCGCTTGAGATCACAGAAGCGTTTGGCGCGCCTATTGTCACACCGGAACGCTACAAGAACACGCATGGCGACTTCACTCATATACTGAAGGAGGTGGGCGACCGCAGAGTGCAGTATGGGCAGCTGAAGGGGGCGCCTGCCGGACAGATGGGCATTGCGGAGCCGCAGAGCGTGGTATATCCTGATAAGGTGGTTAGGGCGGGACACTCGCGTACAAAGGACAGGGTGTTCGGGGCGGGCATCGGGGCTGTGTTGGGTGGTTTGATTGGCGGTTTGGTGGGCGGGAGTGCCAAAAATTAGGTTGGGGGAGTGGCTTTCAGTGTACATATTTGAACCTGTTAATGCTAATTTCTATTACAAACTCAGCTCGCGCTGTCCATGAAGTGAGAACACACCGCAAGTCCCCTGCAAAGAAAAACGAGATGTGAACCTTACGAGCTACGCGACAGCCTCCAAAATCTCCTGTACTTGTACCGCTTCAATCAATGGAATCGGGTTCGTTGGCGCCCAGAAGTCATCTAAAGCTCTTTCTGACAGCGCAGGAATGAGGTCTCTTGATACTCCCAGCTCTCGCAGCGTTCTGGGTAAGCCGAGTGTGCGGATGATAGCATCTAGCAAATCTCCCAGATCAGCTGAGCCTTCTTCCAACCCAGCAGACGTCAGAGCGCTAGCGACTTCGGTCTCGGACCATAACATCTGCTTGATGGTTTCTTGGCGAGGCCCAATCTTCGGATTGGAAGAGCCGTGCTTCAAGTTGTACTTCATGACAGCCGGGAGCATAATGCAGCTCGTTACACCATGCGGTACACCGAGAGGTCCTTGGAGGCACTATGTCAGCAGCAACCGAATGCTATGGGAATTTTTACACCTACCTAGCTGATGCCCAATCGCATGACTTCCTCCAAGCGGGATACCAGCCCTCACATTATCCATCGCGTAATTCACAGCCATCTGACAGCGATGCCTGGCCTCCACATCTCTCGGCTCTGCTTTACATCTCAGCAGACTGGGCACCAGAAGTCGTAGTCCCTTCTCCGCCTTCTCATCCGACGCCGCTGTCGCCGAAGTACAGCATAGCGCTTCCACGCAATGGTCCACAGATCGAACACCCGTGCTGAGCCAGTGGTACTCTGGTGTCGTGAGACACAGTTCTGGGTCTAGGATGATGAGCTTCGAGCCCATGCCCGAATGCAGGAAGCCATGTTTGTGGTTGGTGGAGTCTTCTGTGCCGCCGGCGAGGGAGAAGTACTCGCCGCCGGAGAGGCTGGTTGGAATGGTTATCAGAGGGACGGTGGGTTGTCTCACTTCTGAGGGGATGGAGGTGCTTTCTACGGAGTAGCGGGCTAGTTGTGTCGCGGAAGAGATGTTGTTTGCTAAGCACTGTTCTTCTTTCAGCTTTGCCTATTTGTATTCCGAGGGGAAATCGGTGATCTTACAAGCACAACAAGCTTCGCTCCATCCGTGAGACTGCCAGCGCCGAGTGTAACCACGCAATCCACATCCGCCTTACGACACTCGTCTGCTATCGACAGGACCTCAGACCACGGCGTATGTGGTGTCAAACCCTTGCGTATTCCTACTATGCTTGTATCTCCAATCGTGCGGATCAACTTTTCAATTTCGTCGGTATCTCTGGATAGCGAGCGGGACGCGATGATGTATACTCTTGACGCGTTGAAATCATCTCTTATGTGCTTTGCACATGATATGTGGTAAGGTAGGCCGTAGGAAACCCAAGGAGATGGAAGCTTCAGTCCCTTGATGGGGATGCCAGCTAAATTGGTACCGGGCGGCTCAGTGAACGCTGGCTTGAATGTTTCTGTCATGGTTATTGTCCAAGTTGATGTTCATACAACACAAATAATCAACACATGTGCAAGGTCTTGCAGTCGTTCCCCGCTTTCCTACAGAGAACAGGATCTAAATTCAAGCGAAACATTACATGTCGAACACTAAGGTGTGGGGTAAAGACGATAGCATGCCTCGGGTATCACCGATCGCCGCATCAGCAAAGAGCGCTACGCATGCACTACCCCACACTGCTCACTCGACCGAATGCCGAGGACATTCTGTCGTAAGTTATCGCCCTAAGTCGAGCCACACTTTGGCCTGCTTTCCAGCCTTCAGATATCCCTTGATTTGGCACATTACTAGTACTTACATCTCCACATTTCATCATTCTTCAAGCCTGGGAGCCAGTGAGCATTTCTGACTACCCTCTCATTTGCATAACATGGCACCAGCTCGTGTTATGGAAATAACAGGTTCGGTGGACCAGGGGTATATACCACCATCAGATGCGCCCCACGAGAATGAATGGTACAACCAAGACTTTGACGGTTACCGCATTACCGAGCAACCTCTCCACGCGAAGCGCCACCTCCGAATCGTGTGTGTCGGAGCGGGTGCAGCGGGCCTCCAGATTGCTTACAAGGCTGAACGCGCACTTTCAGACATTGATCTGCAGATATACGAAAAGAATTCTGATGTCGGTGGCACGTGGCTGGAGAACAGATATCCTGGATGCACCTGCGACATTCCTTCGCATTCGTACCAATTCACATGGGCGAGGAACCCAAACTGGAGCCAGTATTACTCGAGCAGTAAAGAGATATGGCAGTACTTCAAGGACGTGGCCGTCAAGTATGATCTCGAGAAGTATGTGCAGTTGGAGACTACGGTCGAGAGTGCTGAGTGGAACGAAGAGGAGGGGAAATGGAAAGTGGCTGTGCTTGGACCAGATGGGAAGAGAACAGAGGATTGCTGTGACATTCTCATATCTGGTAGGTCACTGTTACATGTGCCTCGTCTCTATGCTGACTATGTAGGATCCGGTGTGCTGAATTCTTGGAAGTACCCTAAAATACCAGGCCTCGATGTGTTCAAAGGCAAGTTAATGCATTCAGCAAAGTGGGACAGTAATTATGACCTTACTGGCAAGCGCGTTGCCGTCATCGGTGGGGGCTCCTCTGCCGTGCAGATTGTTCCTAACATCCAGCCCACGGTCGGGAAATTATACGCCTTCCTGAGATCTCCAGTATGGGTGACGACGGGTTTCGGAGCGAAGCATGCCGGCCCTGGGGGAACAAACTTTGAATACTCTGGAGAACAGATTAAGAAGTGGCACGCAGATCCAGAAAGCTACCAACAATACGCACGCGATGTTGAAGGCGAACTGAACAAGCGCTTCAACCTCATGCATATGCACTCGAAGGACCAGAAAAGCTCGCGAGAACTCATCGCGGATATTATGAACGACAGGATCGGAAACGAAAAAATCTCGAAAAAGCTGGTTCCGGATTTCGCGCTAGGGTGTCGTAGGATGACGCCTGGACAAGGCTACCTCGAGTCCCTGAGCAAAGAGAATGTAGAAGTGATCCATTCATCCGCTGTGCGCCTAACCGAGACTGGGATTGTAGACGAGAGCGGGATTGAACATGAGGTCGATGTCGTGATCTGCGCAACGGGATTTGACACTTCATTCACGCCGCACTTCAAGATGACTGGTCGTAAAAATGCAGACATCAAGGAGCAATTTGGAGACTTTCCCATCGGATATCTGGGCATAACAGTTCAGAACTTCCCTAATTTCTTCCGTAGGTGGCTGTAGGCTTTAACCTCCGTTCAATGTGCTGACATCTGCAGTCATCATTGGCCCTAATGGGCCCGCAAGCCACTCGTCCATTCTACCCATCCTTGAATGGTATACGCGATATGCCTTCAAGATGATCACGAAGTTCCAGACTGAGAACATCAAAGCGTTCGAGGTCAAGGCTGCCGCTGTCAAAGACCTGTATAACCACACTCACGAGCTTATGAAGCGACTCGTCTGGTCATCTGCGTGTCGGTCCTGGTTCAAGAACGGGAAAACGCATGGTCCTGTGACAGCTATCTATCCTGGGAGCCGGCTGCATTTCTTTGAGCTATTGAAGGAGGTGCGGTGGGAGGACTACGACCTGGATTATCGCACTGGTAACCGATTCCAGTTTTTGGGGAATGGGTACACTTTTACGGAGATGTCGCCGGATGGAGATCCTGTATGGTGAGTCTCATTTTCCTTCTTCCTGTTTGGTTTAATTCCTAACGAATTGGCTAACGTGGATCGCCAACCTTAGGTATTTTGATGATGACTTCACGAAGATATAGAAGTAGACATAGACAATTAGGGCAGGCTATAAACTGATAGCGAGGGCTTACCGCTGAAAGGTCCACTAGATGCGTGTTTCAGCCTGGTTGTTTGTCGCACGGCCGTGGCCTAGTCCGCAAAGCACACGGCCTGTAATCTCGCACTAACCTCGGCAACCTACATCATTCACGGCGATTCCCCCATTTTGCGCAAGTAGATAGTACAAGCAACATGTGCCTAAGGTATCGAGCATATTGCGCATACACCGAAAGCTTGTTTATCCATTGGCGAAGCTTGGGAAGCTTCCTCTTGTGGCGATGGTGATGCCGCACCTACGGATGATCCCTGTGCGCAATCAATCGATACCCCTTATTAGGCAGGTCCTCGTTCCTAGGTGCGCATATCACTCCGCCTTCCACAACCGTGCTGAGGGTGCGAAGAGGGAGTGCTTGATGATGCATATATAAAGTACTGCAGGTGCAATAGCAGTCGCCCAGCTTGCTCGCCAATCTTCAACATGCGCGTTTTCAAGAACCTGTCCGCGCTCGCGGTTTTAGTGTGTGTCTGCGATGCGCGACCCACTAGCAGCGTTGTGTTTGAGAAGGTTGAGAGCAGCCCAGCTGGGTGGGTTTTGGACAAGACGACCAAGGTTGACAAAGATGCAACGTCCATTACTCTTAAGATCCACCTGGTGAACCAGGGTATGGACAAGTTCCACAAGCTAGCTATGGATGTGAGTTGAGCCTGTGCTAAATCAGTAATCTTAGCAATGCTAATTGAGCGTACAGATTGCGACGCCCGGCAATGCGCAATACGGCAACCATCTAGACCATGAGCAGATACTGGCAATGACTGCACCAAAGGCAGAGTCTGTTACTCTCGTCAATGATTGGCTCAAGAGTGAAATCTCGAATGCCAAGGTCAGCGTCAAGGGCGACTATTTCACCGTTGAGGGTTCTGTCAACGCTATCGAGAAGCTTCTCAAGACGAAATACAGCACTTTCGGTAAGCAATTGTCCCTTTTATCTGAGAATAGACCTGACCTGAGAAGTGAATGAGGAAACAAAGGCTAAGACTCTGAGAACCCTCGAGTACAGCCTGCCGTCTGCTCTTGTCGGTCATGTTGATATGATTCAACCAACCACCTACTTCGGTGTGAAGCAGTTCAGGTCCACAATATCTGAGCACCACGCCATCGAAGACGAGGCAGGTGCGTTCCATACCGATGCTGTACAGGCTGTGACCGGATGCACGGGCACGCGCATCACCCCTACCTGCCTCGCCAACCTCTACAACTTCAAGAACGCGAAGAACGAGACTGCCGGACTTCTCGGCGTCGCAGGTTTCCTCGAGGAGTACGCTATCAAGACTGATTTCACCACCTTCCTCAACAGCTACGCCTACTTCTCCAACAAAGCCAAGTCGTTCACCTGCACTGGTGTCAACGCAGGCACTTGCCCAACATCACCTGCTGGGGTCGAGGCCAACTTGGATGTTCAGTATGCTGGCAGCATTTCGAGCTCTGTACCGATGACGTACTACAGCACAGCTGGTCGTGGCCAGTGGGTAGGAAGCGGAACGAACACTAACGAGCCATACCTCGAGTTCCTCAACTACTTGCTTGCGCTCCCTGCAGCGTCGCTTCCGAACACCCTTTCCATCTCGTACGGAGATGACGAAGCTACCGTGCCCCTTTCGTACGCGACGAACGCTTGCAACCTCTTCTCTCAGCTTGGTGCTCGTGGTGTCTCAATCCTGATCTCGTCAGGTGACTCCGGCGTTGGAACTACGTGCAAGGTCAACGGCAAGACATCTTTCACGACAAACTTCCCGGCCGCCTGCCCTTGGGTCACTACCGTGGGTGGAACAACAGGCAATTCTCCCGAGAACGCTTGGTCGTCGGGCGGCGGGGGTTTCTCTGAGATCTTTGGACGACCAGACTACCAGAACGCGACTGTCAACAATTGGCTTAGCACTGACACAACCCATACCGCGGTGAACAACTATTTCAATGCGTCTGGCCGCGCCTATCCCGATATCTCTGCTCAGGCTACCAACTTCGTCATCATCGCCAGTGGATCTGCCCAGTCCGTCTCCGGCACTTCATGTTCTGCACCTACCACGGCTGGTATCTTCCAGTTGCTGAACAGTGCACGCATTGCTTCGGGTAAGAAGGGTCTTGGTTTCCTCAATCCGTGGTTGTACAACACTGCAAGCACCGGTTTCACCGACATCAAGAACGGAAAGATCGGAGGATGCAGTGGTGTCATCTCGGGCGCTGGATTCAGCGCTGTCACTGGATGGGACCCGGCTACTGGTCTTGGAACGCCGAACTACGAGGCTCTGCTCGCGTTTGCTACATCTACTGCATAAAGGATTGTAGAGGATCGGTTATCATAGTCAGTCTAGAAAGAAACAATCGAGCCACAATCCATAACTTTCCCTTCAAATAAGAATTATGCCTGATGCCCCAAATTCTGGGGTTGCCGTGGAACCCTTGTACATGTATTTACGAGAGCCAGATATTGGCGAAACGATGACGGCGATCACAAATCGATGGTGAGAGTCTAATGCATAGCGTTAGGCACGGAATGAAGACCGATGTTCTATGCGATATGACTGGACAGGGCTGATAATCGGAAAATCGGGAGTGGGGACTCGACCGATGTGCCGACTGAATAGTGCACAGTGAGGCGTTCAGCCACCACACCGCCAGCGAGCACGTGATTACTGCGGCACGAAGACCGTGATCTGGTGAAGCAATAGACCCACCTGGCTGTACATCGCAAAATATCTCTGACCGATTCCCGTTCGCAAAGAAATATAAAGATAAGACGAAGTACCTGGAAAACCCATCAACAATTTCCGTGCACCGTATTTACACACCGACTATTCACACTGCTAATACAACATGGCGATTGAAACCTCAGTCACGCTTCATGGAAGAACATACACTCTCCCAACTCAACCAACCGTCATAATCTGCGTCGATGGCTTCGACCCAGAGTACCTCCAGGAAGGCATTGCTGCGGGAATCGTCCCCAATCTCGCTGGCTTCGTCAAAAACGGCTTCCATGCCACTGCACATTCGTGCATGCCTTCTTTCACCAATCCAAACAATGTTTCCATCATCACGGGCTCACCACCTGCTGTACACGGCATTGCAGGCAATTTCTTCCTCGACAGCGAAACAGGCGAAGAGAAGATGGTCACCGACGACACGCTCTTGCGCGGCGACACGATTTTGCAATTGATGGCACAGCGCGGTGTCCGCGTCGCTGCGGTCACTGCAAAGGACAAGCTGCGTCGCATTCTATCGCATGGACTACGTGGGACGAACGCGATCTGCTTTTCGTCCGAGTATGCTGAGAGCTGTACGATTGAAGAGAATGGAATTGAAGAAGTGGAGGCTTGGATCGGAAGAAAAGCACCCCAACAATACTCCGGCGATCTATCCATCTACGTGCTCGATGCGGGAGTCAAACTGTTGGAGGAAAACCGGGCCGATCTGTTATACCTCACGCTCTCGGATTACATCCAACACAAGCATGCGCCAAACTCTGCTGAGGCGAACGAATTCTTTGTGGCTTTGGATGATCGTATCGGCAAGATGGTCAAGCGTGGCGCCGTGGTGGCCGTTACTGGAGACCACGGAATGAGCGACAAGTGTGGAGACGACGGTAAACCAAACATCTTGTTCCTGGAGGATGTCCTTACTGCGAGATGGGGACCGAAAGCAGCGAGAGTCATCTGTCCCATCACGGATCCCTTTGTGCGCCACCATGGAGCCTTGGGTTCTTTTGTGCGCGTTCATGTGAAGGACTGGAGGGATGTGCTTGAGATGATAAAGCTGTGTGGGACTCTGCCGCAGGTTGAGTCAGTGCTTAGTGGGCAAGACGCAGCGAGGGTGTATGAGATGCCATTGGATAGGGAAGGCGATTTCGTGGTGGTCTCAAAGAAGAACGCGGTTATTGGGGGTTGCGAGGAGGAACATGACTTGTCCAACATCATCGACCATCGGCTCCGCTCGCATGGAGGACTTTCGGAGCAGGAAATCCCTTTGCTGTTGTCGAAGGCGGTGCGAGATCATGATCTGGCAGTGAAGCATGGCTTGTGGAGGAACTACGACGTGTTTGACCTAGCATTGAATTGGTAATAAATGTGGTAATAGACTGAATCGAACATCCTGGTTGGTACTTTTGTTACTTCTTTCTATGGCGCGTTTCCGCAATGCATCTAGCGACCTAGAAGGCAAAGTCCATCTCTTGGCCCATGAGAATGTCATATTCACCCATGAATCGCGGATCAAGCAGGCCATCAAGCCAGCCTAACTCTGTATCGGGAGTCGGTCTGCTTGTTGATTCGTCTGGTCGGTGAATAGATGGAAACATCTGGGATCTATCAGTATTGGAAGGTCCGCTTTCTTCCATTGTGTTCCACCGTTGCAAGAGATGTCCAATTCCATTGGTAAGATCTACCAGCAGGTGTCGAGGGTGCATGGTCGCGGTGATTGCCCTCAAGACCTCTATCAATTCGCGTACTGATCGCTTCGTCGCGCCGACGTCAAGTCGGAATAAGCCGGGAAGCCTAGATATCTTGAACAAAAAGACGACCGCAAACGCAAGCATGACATCAAAGTACACAGGCAATCCATCAAAGAATGACTGGACCTCTGGGTCTGATGTTACAGTGCTGATGATTGACAAAGCAGAAATGATGCCTTCGTGAGCGATGTTATCGACGCTCAGTGCTGTTTCCTGAGAGCGGTGTGTTGTGCGAGAAGCTACGATTCCACGAAACGCATGCGAACACAGGTACAGCTTGGCAAAGTCACATTGCAGTGCCACGCCCTTGCTTGGGTAGTTGCCAATGTGAGCATTAACGACGAATCTCTCGCCCCATTCCGTGCGAAGACTGTCCAGAGAGATGCAGAACATCCGCAGCTGCGATATCGCAGGTTCCGTTAGTGGCCTCTCCGTGTCGGTTCCATATGTGTCGAAAACATTTGTGCAAAGACTCCAGCGCAGAACCTGGCTGACCAACCGTGCATCATTTTCGCTCGTATGGGCACACTGGAGAAACTTCCTTGCGTTCCGTATGGCGTCGTCCTCTCGGGTCAATGGCGGTCTGCCGTACGGGATCGAAAAATGATGATCGCAGGCGTAAACGAGTAGATGAAGTCGCGCACGCAGATAGTGATCGCGATGGCCTTGCAAAGCCTGAGCGAAACTTCTGTGTAGTTGCAGCTCAGTAGCCATTCGTACTGCAGTACCGACTAAAGCCCACGATATATCACTGAGCCAGAATGCCCCGATACATAATGCACGGATATCGTCCAGATTAATGTCCTTCGCGAAGCTGCGACTAGAATGCATAGTCCTAAATTCTTCGTAACATGCATTGAAATCGCCTGGGGCCATGTGTAGGGTGCTCACGGAGCAGATCGCAGCCAGCAGAAATGGTGAATCGGCTCGGATCGAACTTACGCTACGCTCGTCGTAGCCACCCAATATCTGATACGGAAAATGATCGAGTTTGTTGCGGTATAGTTCAAGACAGGCTTTCGCATCCTCAGGACTGATTCTTCCGCGAGAGATGATATCCTCGTGGAACGAGGCTGCTGATACTGTGATCGTTGCTGGTAGGGCTTCGGTCAGGTAAGAAGCCGGCAGTGCCTCTGGGCCTGAGTCCGCGTCGAGGATGACTCCCCTTGAGCCGGGGTTGATACTGATCGGCGCTTGTCTCATACTCCCTTCCCGGTGGTTTGGTGACAAACTCTCCTCGTGCATCGAATGCGCTAGCTCTGGCAGAGACGCTTGGTTTGCCAACTTTTCGATGGCGTCTTTTAGTCCCCGTATTTCACTTTCTATGGATGATTTCCATCTACGATTGTTAGTAGATACTGAACGATATCTACGGTAAACGTACGAGGTGTCACTTTCGAGTAACATCTGTAAGCTACGATTCACTGTACACGATAGCCCTCTCTTTCTGCACCTTGTGCATGGAGGCCCAGAAGATCCCATATAGCATTTGATCTGGAAAAGTCCGCGTTACAGTAAGTCTTTTGGATTGCGGTGATGTTTGTACTTGCCTTTTGTTTCCGACATGCCACGCAGGCTGTGATCTTGCGACTAATATCTGGTGTCTTAGAGTCGCCGAACGCATCTCTTAACGCTTGGACAGAAGAATAATGATTCATACCGGTAGACATGTCAGTTGTTGGAGGGGGCAAACGCAGATGGTGAGATTGATCGCACGTTGCCCCACTGTGATATCACGTGGGTCGGTCTTCGTCCCGATCTAAGCGAACCTTTTAGAAGCTAGGGATCATAGACGGCTTGGGGCGCTATTTCTTCCCCCCTTCTTTGCTAAGACAGACCTGCAATCAGCGTGGCCTCAAAAAGCTAGAGCTCAGCTTGGTGGTACGCCATTGCGTCCAACAACTGGTAGACCCAAAGGAACGCGTAGTGGTTGTGGTATGACGTACGTCTTGGCGTTTCCTTCCACTGCCTTCCAGGATTACATCGTCACAAGCGATCGACTCAAAGAAGTTCGTTCCTTGCCACTATCCTGTGCGAAATTAAGATGCATTAGAACCCAGTTAGGAGAGAAGGAGTGAAAATGGTTGCGAATTCAACAAGCGTGGGTTTTGCGTAAGCCATCATTGGAGCGGAAAGTAAGCCTTTTCGCCAGCCAACTCGTGCTAGTTAGATTCTATATATCTATATTGAGTCGGGTGTTGTCATCAACGCTCTCTCCGTGAATTCCTGCAAGCCAATACGAGTCTCGTAGATATTTAAACGGCTGTGAATGTTTGAAGGGACCTCTGGGTCAGTAGGTGCGACGAGTTGGTCGCTACACGTGATTAAGCATTCACCCCTTAGTACGATTGCATGACCTAGGTCTAAAGCGGAGCAGTGCACACGCTACCGCCTACTAATAGCACATATATCTGCACCCCCAGAAACCCAAGTTTATTTTGCCAACAAGGTCGGACACATCCTTTAGCAGTCGCCGACCCAGTCGAGAGCATATTTGAAATGGTTCGCCTTACCGCATCCGCCAGGAAGAAGTTCATATGTTCCAAGAGCGTGAAAACACCGCAACGCTCAATCAAGTACAAGCAGCCTGCATATCCCGATGATGAAGTGCTACACATGGACCACATCGCGCCCGTGGGACAGAAGCTCCTCTCCGCTGGTACATCCAATCGACAACTCGCATTTGCGCCCCAAGTTAACTTCAAAGATTATATTATCTTGCTGTCATTGTCTCGTGATTTCGACTAATCTACCAAAGCTCCGTCATCGATATCCTCGCAATAGTAGGGCTTAACTTCAAGAACAGCCTCCGCTTCGTGGCCACTGGCAATCCAACTCGTACACAAGCAGTCGACATCAACGACAGCGGGGACCAAAAGCTTGCGAAAGTGTAGGCCAATCTAGCCACAATCAACCTCCAAGCGACACGCAATCTCAAAGTTGGCGTACTTGCTGCTATCCTCAATAACTGCACTGCCATACAAGCTGTGGTCATCACTGTGGCGAAGAGTCATATCTTGCGGGATACGAGCATTCTCTCGTTTTTGGACTGGTTCAGTGGACAGTCACAGGCCCCTGATTTACGCTATCTCGAATTCTGCGGCGTCTATCAAGATCTTCTGTACGGCAGACAACTGGATCACATCACACTGCGTAGGCCCAAACTCGAGATAGTGTACGAGTGGAATGACAAAGCGGTCCTCATCCGAGGCTCGCAGCGCACGCCACTACCTACTCGTCAAGATCATGAGACCGCTATTAGCCGGGCAGCACCACGAACGCAGACCCCTTACCACAGGACGATGAAGACACTCGAGAGGACGCAACCGACTCTGAAGAGGAGCGCCGCGTCGCAAGAAAGGCGCGCAAAACTCACAGGAAGACGAGAGACATGAGGCGCCAGATCCGAAATCTCGGTAAACAGCGCTCTATGAGCATGATCATGGGTCGTGAAATTTATGGTTTCGAAATGGGAAAATCGTTCCGCGGCGATTTGGATTATTCTGACGACGACGACGACGACGACGACGACGACGTTGATCCACGGAAGATGAAGCAGGAATTGAAGATGATGGAAGAGGGCTTCGGCTTCGACGACTGAGCGGTTTCAAAGCGGAGAATCTCGACGATGGCACCAGGACTCGAATTGGGGACGGGAGACCAATCAGTTTGGTCGAGCTTTGTGCTGAGGAGAAACGGTTGCGCAAGCTTGCAGCTTCTGTGTAAAGCGCCGCTGCGTACTTGACGGCGTCCTTCACCCAAAATAGTCTGATGTCCTTTGCTTAAAAGTCAGGCTTACAGCTGTCGCCGAGTAATACTTGCGTGTCAACACAAAGGTTATCTCACTACGATGAAGAAGCATCAGGTTCAAGCACGACCGTTGCCTGCCTTTCATCCTCGCGATTGATGGACAGAATTAACGTGCTGTCATACTCTGCTTCTCGCCCTAACGACTTTAATGACGATTATGTAGATCGCATATCAATTGTTGACCTCAACAGGGTTGTCGAGCGATTGCTGCCCAACGCTCCTTGTTTTCACAAGCACGCTCCAGGGATTCAGCGTACAGACACCTTGTACTTGTATGATAACGCGAAGCTGTGGATTCGCGTCGGTGCGAGTCCTTATCCCCCGAGTGATCTAGCAGCAACGAAAACAGAGGGATGTCCAGCCGTTCAATACAGTCGATCCATGAGATACGACTTTCAGGCAAGGGTTGGAAATGGGCCCGAGTATAACCTCTAAAGGCGCAGGCTCCCGGACATAAGTCGCAAGACGAAACAGGGTCGAGACAAGGCATGTCGGAAACCGCGAGAACGAGGCAGTGTTGGACGCGAGGACGCCGGAAAGACAGACGCGAAGTGAGGCGATTCTGTCGCCAAGGCAATCCCACCACCTGCCTCGACGGAAGATTCACAGGGAGCTCATGGTTTTCAGAGTCTGTTCACTAGCCAACAGGAAGTCGCATCTGTCATGCGCATCTGGTGCGAGTTTGACGAGGACGATCAGAGGCTTTGGAAAGCTCTGCATCATGTTCATTGGCTTGCAGCCCATCACCGACTGGGGCAACGCATGGTATGTGCAAATACATAGCTGGAGCCATGAAACTATGGACCGCTGCAACACCACACATCCACCTGCAACCCCCTGCACTGAAGCCACAGGTTTAATTATGCGGCTTAGGTTCGGATCGCAATCAATACTTCGATCCGTCGTAATGAGCTCCCGATGTTTAGCCCCGATACAGCCGCCCGCTCGCTCGACCTTCCCCCACCAGACTACCGGTACATGGCCAGGACAGCACGGACCCAATTGATGCGAAAGTGGCATGTTCCATCGACGCGGAAGCTCCCGAAACCAACCGGCAGAGGCTCCGCTACCGACTTTGGTCACATAACGGCCCGTCGCGACAAAGCTTCCCCTTTGATCGGGCTGGAATCGGGGAGGTTATGTGAGGGGCCATCGAATATCAAATTTGACTTCGAAAAGCAATGCAACTTCCACCAACTCGAGCTCACTACTTTCGCTACTCACGATGTCATGGACAGTTTCGAGCGTCTAATGGTGTGTGCGATCCTCCTCATGGCAGCCTCTACCACTGCCGCAGCACCTCATTCGCGGCACCATGCGCTGCTTTACGCTGCGAAGCAGGCACATGCACGCGATGAGCGCGTCGTCATGACAGACCCAGAGACTGGGCGTAAATTTATGCCTGGGGAAACCAGCCGGGCTCGTACGGTGTACACAGTCGTAGCTTTGTTCTGCGCGGTAGTATTAGCGCTCCTCTTCGGTATGTATCACACAGCGGTCGCACCTTGCCAAGAGAGCATAGTGACTATGTACACAGGCTAATCATATGCAGGCCTGCGTGCTAAGTCACTGGCTCGAAACATCAAGAAAAGAAACAACTTGACCTCTGCGATCCTGTCGTTTCTCTTCTTGTTTGCGATATGCTTCATATTTGCCACAGCAGTCGTCGAAAGCGGCCAAAGTCTGGCTTCTTCTAATCTGTGTTACTCCGCTATCATCATATGCTTGGTCTTCTATACCACGAACAAGCTGGCAATGTCGGTGTACTACACTTTCCTTGTCCGGCTAAGCTAATGAGTACAGATACATATTCCTCCTAGAGCGTGCTCGTATCGTTCGTGCACCTTTCATGCGCCGCCATAGGGACTGGCTGTGGATATCCGGAATGATCATCATCTGTGCTGGCTTCGGAACGGTCGCTATCATTGGATTCGTCTTCCCTGTTTCTGAGCTCTCGAGATTGGACGGTCGATGCCGCATCGGGCTGCCGCGCAAAGTGGCCTTCCCGCTCATGTGTTTTGACATCGGGCTCAATTTCCTGCTTACCGGGCTCTTCATATGGCTTCTACGACCGGTATTGTCACTCCACCGCGTAAACCTTATTCCAGGTCTACTCACGAAGACTTCCCATCGGGAGGAAAACGCTTCGAGCGAGGTATCACTGAGGTATAGCCGGCCGCACATGCATAATTTGAATCACATCATCAAGAATCTTCTTTGGAAATGTCTCGTTGGAAGTACACTAGTCATGTTGCCTACGGTGGGCAACATGGTCACATTCTATGTTATGAGAGGGCGGGAGCTGGGTTGGATATGCCTTACGATCTGTACGCTGGACGGTGAGTTACCTTTCAAACGCAAAGTAACTCAAGCTAAACAACTGTTACTAGTGAGCTGGGGTGTCCTAATAATCAACTGGCTAACCATCGGCTCCGCTCAGGCCGACAGAGCGCTCACGACGCTGATGTCGCAGCAAATAGTGAGCGAACCAGACAACGAAAGAGACGGGCCTGTCCCTGCCACAATCATGCAGAGCCGGCTCAGTGGCTTAGGAAAACCACCTCCGCCTGCAAAGCTTCACGATGAAGGACAGCTGTTGGCTTTCGATCGCGTTTCATCGGTCCCTAAGCAATGAGGCTTTGCTCGCCCACGTCAAGGAAGCCACGAACAGCCAGGACAAGGTCTATAACGTCTTTCCTATCTGAGGTCCCAAGAAATTGGGAACTTCCACGAATCGAAAGCGTTCACCGAGTTCAGTTGACATGGCTAGGACCTTAAGCGTGATATCCTGACTGAGCTTCAGGGTCAGTTCGACCCAGAGACTGAAGACTAGTTGTTTTAGTATGGAACGCTATATCGCTAAGGTTTCTTGTTACATGCGCCGCCTGGGGCTGGGACGTCGTCATTCTGCAAGGTAATGCTTGTGAGTTCAATCGCCCTGTGTACTACTTCAACCCAATGGGGATGAGCGACAGCATTCTACACGAAAAGTTTCAACAGCCGTCAAAGCACTCTCTGATTCTATTCGAAGAAATCGACGCTTTGGGGAACGTTCACAAGGACGCGATGAACGCCCAGCCAGGCGACACAGACGATGGGTCTAAGGACAGTGATGACGATACCGAAGTTGGGCATGCCACAAGAGAAGAAAAGCGAAAAGGAGCTGCTGAGGAAGGCAGAGAAGCCTGGCATCAGCGACCCAAGGTCACTCTCGAATACTTTTTTAACGTATTGCATGCCCCAGGCGCGAATGGGGATTGCTTGATTGTCTGTCTGTACGACGCATTCTCGGCTTCCCTGGACCTAGCCTTTGTTCGGCTTCAAGACATTGGCCGGCGCATCTTTTTTGAGAAAGGTCCCAAGCTTGTCTCAGCACTCATACTCTCGTGCATCTGCGAAAGGAAAAGAACTCAGGGTTTGGCGAGTCAACAGACCTGTGGACCATTCCCCCCTTCTCCACAACTTCTCAAAACAAGCCCCAAGCTCTGCCAGTATCTCCCACGTCTCCTCAGAACAACAGACAAGTCCTGCCAGACTCCTGGCCAACTTCTTACAACAAGGGCCAAGTCCTTATCGAATCCCGGCAATCAAAACTCCCCCTCCAGTGAAGGCAAGAACATCGAGTAGATATTTTAGCGATTCCACAACTTGTCCCAGCCATATTTTGTGGGCACGTATAATAATTTCCCGCATAGTAAGCCTCTGGAGAGCTCAGATGCAGATTTGGACGATGAAAAAAAAGTGATGCTGGAAGTTATGGATCCTATTCCCGGAAGCACCGCTCCTTCGCGAGGGGAATCGGCAATCGGCAAGAAGAGGAGACGCCAATTGAGGAATATTTCTTTTTAAAGCATGCAGCTTGGTTTGGGACCCTCTGTACGTAGGTCATAGACACGGGTATCTCCTATCGTTCTATGTAAACAATTTTACGTTCATATAGATGTTCCGAAAAATGTGAAATCTTTTATGATTACCTTATCATCTTGTGGGAAAGTTCGTTATGCCATACCGACACTCCTAGCCTAACGCAGTGACATGATTGACCCCTCGAACTCCAGCTGCCAACTTCTCTGCCGCTTGTTGCCAAAGAAACCATCATCGAGCCGTTGTTTACAACGTTAAATCAATGTACTCGTTGACAAATTGGGATAGCCGAGGGATGTACTACCAGACCTTAGACGTTCTCCAACTGCGACTGGCTGTCGCGGCAGACAGCGTGTTCCTCCTCCATTAGCTTGTCGCGATTCCCATCTACCCTCTCGCCCTTATCGTTGACATCCTCCCTCACGACGTCCATGCCCGAGGTGCGAACCAGGATCTTCCAGTCCGCTTGCGCACGTCGCTTCGACTTCACGGACTTGAAGAAGTCTCGGACCCACATGAGAAGGCAGAGAGCCCAGAGGATGAGGGCGAGAATACCAAGATTCTCAACGAAGTGCGCGTGCTCCGTGTTGCCAGGAGCAGCCAATTCGGAAGGGGCGTCGCGCGCAGCCTTGCTGTCCACCACAGCGGTGCTCAGGTCGGTATAGGTAATGGTTTCCATGGGTATGTCGCAGCCCCTGGGAAACTGATCAGCAATCCAGGTGCCGCCATTGTCGACACAGAGGCCCGGTTCGATGTTGTATACCGTGCCCTGATACTCGAGATGACCCGTGCTATTGGGCGTCAGTTGCCTCATCAGTCACCAAAGGATAATTAACTTACGGAACGAAGAGATGGCCGTCGTTAGAGGCGGAAAGCTGAACGTGCCCAGGATCCATTTTCAGTATGCGCGTATCTGTAAATGTCGTATGTGGTGAGTTTCGATGGTTTACCTTAGTGGGGTGGGGCGATGCGAGTGGCAGTAGTGCATGTCCATGGGTTTGTAACACGTTGGGCTCTCACGGCTCACCAATGCGGTAGGAATTGCAAGTGCGTGGACCTTGATTTGGTGGGTGCTAGTGAAGTAGAAATTGGAGACTTGCAGCGCCTACAGCAATGTGCCACGTGCCTTCGAGGGCACTGCCGTTCGTCTATAAGCATGTAATTGCAAAGGCCATTGCCGCTCTTTTGGTCGTCTGAATCTGCGTTGAGAGCTCGGCCCATCTATTCCACAAAGCATTTTCGACCGATTGATCAAAATGATCCTTGTCTCCACTCAACTCTATCATGGGAGCGCCAAAATGGATAAAATCTTGCTCTGACACCGAATTATGATCCCACGCCGCGTCGCCGCCCAAACTCTGATCACACTGATTAGCAATGGCATCGCGGAGCTCTTCGCACATATTGGTGCAAAGGAGCAGCAACAGCATGAAATGTGTAGAATATGTGGTCATCGGGGCTTCGACGGCTTCGACGGTTCTCCAAAGATCATTGGTAATGTATGAGCCAACCTGAGTGGCTGGCATGTTCAGAGTGATTCCTTTGGGAATAATGGCGTGTGGGTTGTGAGTGCACAATTCCATCTTCTCGAAGAGGCTCTGGTAAATATCCACCAAACGATGGTAGCAAGACAGGAAGAGGAGGACAGTGGCTTGACCGGCAGAACGGACGCTGCATGCCTTGATAATATCTATGAAGCGCCGAGTGAGTGTGAAGGTTTGGTCTATCGCGATTACTTTTGGTGCGAAAGCAGATGGCGGTGACACGTGGAGAGCCGAGGAGAGGTTCGCATGATGTTCCACGAGCTTGTTGTTGAGGTATGTCAGGTCGAGTGGAGCACTTGGTACCAAAGCGTTGGACAGCTTCTTGGTCGTTCCATCTACATGTTGATTCGGAATAAAGGAGGGACCACTGAACCTTCCAGCGCCAAGGAGGTCGCAGCTTGGAATGCCGAGTGGCGTGTCTTGAAGAAGAACCGAAGGGTCCAGCCATTTATGGGCTAATATGGTCGAATCGGATCTGTTTGGCTCAAAGGTCCTGTCCTTGATCTTTGGAGAGACGACTGCCGTCAAAGTCGAATTTGAGGATACATTTTCGGGGTTCTTCTTCGGAAATCGCCGCGTTGCTCGGGCGCTGTACACGCAAGAAGAGCCAAACTTCGAGCAGCGAATGCACGCGGCGTCTTGTTGAGATTTGAGACAGCGAAGTTTTTGGGTGTGGCATCGATCACAGGCATTGCGGAGCCGTGGCCCAGAGAGAAGTTCCTGGGTGTGGTTGCGTACCATGATGTGTGGTGGAGGAAGGATGAGATGCCTAGACGCGGGACACTTGACACTGATCCCTGTCTCTGCAGCTATAAATTAACGAGCCTCCAACTTCGGGTTGGATGCACCTTCTTCCATTTTCAATGCGCACCTCAGCAGTACCCGATCATGTCCTGTCTCTAGCCCGCCGCATTATTGATCTTCTTGGGCCGCACTCTACTCAGTGCTCTGACAAGTGACCACCCGCTCCTTTCGGTCTGCACCGCCTGGCGACCGGCCGTAATGCGTTTGTTTCGGTTAGCCTCGACTCTCCTAAAGACACAAGTATTTGAACAATAAGAGGCAAACTATTATTTCTCTGCTGGTTCTTGATTGTATTGCATATTGAAACATACGTTACGTACAATGCGCTCGCGCTTCATCCACACGTGGTCAAAACGCTATTATCTGACCTCTGACCTGGCACTGTACCATGGACTCAGGTGTTCGTACTTTCTGTTCCAAGCCCTACGACACGACAGAACTTGAGTAGTCGTGATGCTGGCTGAATTAGGAACATTATTGCGGCCTTCCTGGCTTTGGTGTTGGAAGAGGTCGCGTCGACATGGGTGACTCGGTCAGCCCTGACAAATCGACCCGTCGTTCCCGCCGAGGTCTCATGACGCACGGAGCCTCATCACAGAAAGGTCGTCTTCAATGCGAGAGATGGTCGCGTACATCCACTGTGCCTCTCCCATCTCATTCGCTACTCGTTAGTGCATGCGTGCATTTGAAATGGCTTTTCGAACTATCTCACTTCGCACCCACAGCGCGGTACACAGTTCATGAAATACGGCCGTAGGACGAAGCACTGAGGTCAAGTATACACATCAAGTATTTGTTGAAGCTTGTACGCTAGGAATTTTCATGCACTGCCTTCATCGGCATCATCGTCCGTCTCCCTTCGCACTTGTACAAACTCATCATCATAATTCGTCACGCAAGACGCCTCCCGACGTTTCGCGTATTTGTCATAACGCCTCTTTCCTCGCCTTCACCGCCTGCAGAAACGCACCATAACTCCACGTCAAATCCCTCGCACCCCTGAGAAACCCCGTCTCCCTGTCAAATTGCTCGCTCATGCTGCCTTCATCATCAACGTGCGTCTTCACAACCTCCAGAAACTCGTCGCCTAAATGTCGCAACCGTTCCACAACGGTCTTGAAGGGCTCGTCGTCAGCGGTGTAGGTCGTGTTGACGGAAATTTCAGGCGAGGAGGATGAGGATAGTAGAGCGGCGTAGAAGTCGACGTTGAGAGGGCTTGTGGTGAGCGACCCGGAAATGGAGAGGTGCGATGCGGTGCGGTACAATATTTCTGCCGCGGAGGAGGTGCAGAGAAACCAAGGGTGGCCGATGGACGTGCTGTATCCGTCGTACACATCTTCCGGGTAACGCCCTATACCCACGCCTTCGAGGAGAGCTCCTAATCCGCCAATACCTCGTGTAGCCTGAACATTGATCGGAAACCTCTTCCCCATATCTCTAACCAGCCCGAGCAGCGAAACCAACATCTCATCCGCCCAGGGTGGAAATGGCGGCTCTCCATGTTCACCCTCAGAAGGTTGCCCATGTATGCTCCCTAGCAGCACGGCACAATCTAGCCCACTTCTTCGGCTCCACAGGCTGGCCACCAACCGACCCTTATCCTTATTCCAGAACCTTCTCACGAACCGCTCCAGATATCCAGCCTGCTCACCATACCACTGCGCTGCACCCTCATCTCCAAATGATCGTGCTACGTGCTGTCCCTCCTTCAACGCACGCAACTGTACCATCGCAGTAAAGAAATGCATTCCATCGACTTCCTCCCAAAGATCAAAGGATGTGTGGTTCCAGAAGTGGGAAATGTACTCGAGATCTGCTTTGATGACGCTTCGTGCGGGGAGTTCAGCTGAGTAGAGAAGATCGTAGAAAGACTTGGACTCGGAGGATGCACTGGTCCAGGAAGCAGGGTGGGAGGCATTGTAAGCGCGGAGATAGCGCATGAGGGTGATAGCGCGGAGAGCTGGGCCGTCGCGCTGGGGTCGGCCCCAGGAGTCTGTGAAGGCGGAGCCGTTTACGTGGAATTTGGGTTCGCCAAGGCCTTGCAGGTCGTCGAGAGTGCCGGAGGGGTTGGAGGTGCGTTGGAGGTTGGCTTGTAGATGGGCGTATGCGGTGAGGATGGTTTCTAGTGATGAGGACTGCTTTGAAGAAGGGGACTCAGCGTAGAGGTCTACAAGTGTATTGGTTGTTATGGCTGCATCTCTGACCCCTGCCGGAATTAGCGAATTGAGAGCACCATGAAGGGACTTCGCGATCTCGCACATTGGTACCAGTAATCCGGCGCTTCTTTGCTTGGACTCGCTATCACGGTTCCATCCACGACGCCCTCGTTGCTATCGACATTCACGCCTCCCGGTTTGACATTTGCCAACAGTCTGTCCAGCGAAATCCTCTCTTCACGATCTATCCAGTCATCAAGTGTTTCTCGGAGCGGTTTCTGGCTGTGTGGAAGGTATTTTGCGGCGGCAAATTTTGGCAGAGATGGAATCGAAAATGCAGAAGAGTACAAGACAAAAGAGCATAGGAAATATATTGTGGGGAAGGATAGGAGCCCCATTGTTATCGCGCGTTCGATGCGGAGGTTGTTAGTAGGAGGTTAGGCATCTACAAGTAGGCAATGAACAAAGGGGCAATAACGGCAGGATATCGAACAGAAAGGAAACTGTGATTCAACGGGATTATCGTCGCCGCAACAGACACCGTATGCGCAGATCAAACCCCGCGGCCAACGGCCGAGTTATGAATCAAACGAACTCAGAACACATGCCCTCTTCCTCACTATCCATGACGGCGCCGCGCACATGGCCCCGTGCACAGGTTCCGTCGACTCGCGATCCAGTAGGATGTGCGGGAGCGGTGTAGAGGTGGGACCGGGTGACATTAAAAGTGTTGTTTCTCGGTTGAGGCGCACGTCACGCGATCCTTTTAGCGGCCAATCTCCGTAGATCTCCGTGCGGAGAGGCTACTGCCGCTACAGGCATCGTACACCTCACTCTGCATGCTCTCGAGATGCAAAAAATAAATGCACGACTTCTTCTCTCATATTGAGCCCTCCGCTCTGCTGTCAACATACCGCTGCAGAAACCAGCAGCTTGGGATGTCACTAACCAAGTGTGTCGGATAACCATCAGGAGCTATCCATCTACTCGGATGTCTAGGTCAATCGAATGAGACGCCCAGACCTCTGCTACTGTATGGGAAAACACCAAACTCGCTCTCGCGAAGCAAGGCAAAGTCCGTCTCATCGCAATCCTTGAGCGCCACTTGAGCGCTAAATGGTCCTCCTGGACGAAATAGCGTTCCCAGGCAGACATACATCTCGGCAGAGGCGAGGCTAATGTAATAGCATACGTTAGTACCACTCCATTGAAATGAAAGGCAAGAGAGAGGTTCTCACTTCTTGCCCGGGCAGTCCCGCGAGCCCTTTCCCCAAGGCGCGAAATGCCGGTTCATGCGAGGATCGATGTCTCCTAACCAGCGCCCTGGCTTGAAAGCGAACGGATCAGGGAAGACATCCGAGTCGTAGTGCATGTTGTATATCGCCATGGCTACAGCCGTCTGGATTGCTCTGTGGTCAGTAGTCTTACTGCTATCATACTACGAGGCGGGAGTTGACTTACATTCTTTGGGATTACCCACTCCTTGTAGTGCAGCTCGGTATGGGGCGCTACGCGAGCGCTTCTTCTGAACTGACAACTCATGCTACAAAACCATCGTTAGTACCTATCTCATACCGCTTAAGATTGGGAAGGGACCACCTACCGAAGCCCTTCCTTAACACACGCCGCGAGGTAGGGGACTTGCTCAAGCTCGATCCAGGTCGGCGACTTTTGCGGGAATTCATTCATGATCTCGGTCAGACTTTCCTGTAGACGCCTGTGTATTTGCGCGTCATTCAATATGTGGAAAGTCATGAAGGCTAGCGCAGAAGTTGGGTTAATTGTCCCGCCCCCGAACACACCCACAGCCTCTGCAGACAACCTGCTCGCATGCTTCTCGAACGCGGGTAGATCGCTCCTGATAAGGGTATGGAAGAATGAGAACTTCTGTGGGACGACTTCTTCAGCTAAGTCAGACTTGATGTTGTCGACTTTGTCGCGGCCAAGCTTGAAAGGTCAGCACCTAAGCGAGAGGAATGTAGATGGAATTACACGTACCACATCCCACATCTTAAACGCGGCTATGCGGGGATACGCGCTACGAATAAGGCCCATTGGGATCATCTTCAGGAGTCTATGGGTATCAGCAGCCATCCTTTTACAACAACGCTGGCTGGGAAATACGTACTTGCCTAGAAAGGGGAAATTCCGGATCACTGGGTTCACGAGCAGTATGCTACGGATGATGTTGTGCCTTCATTCAGTCAGCTTGAAATACGCTCAAGCTACCAACACATGGCACAGGTCAAAGCAAACGACTAGCAAACGTACCACTCAGGCGCAAAGTCAGCCTCTTCCAGCATCCGCGAAGACTCCCCCACCGTGAGCTCAATTGTAATGTCACCTAGATACGCAGAGTAGGCCTGGTCTAGACGCACGACGGAGCCCGTGCCCCGCATGGCGCTGAGTCTTTCGTCGAGGAGCCGCGTCTTCTCGTGAATTACAGCTTCAGCCTGCATGATGCCCTGGCGGGATAAGTATTTCTCCAGGGGCCGCCGCCGGAGCTGGTGGAGGTCGTGGTCGCTTGTGGTCGCGATGGTGTCTTTATGATTTAGGACTGACGATGGAATGACAGCACTGTAGAGTGACTCACTTTCTAGTCCGAAACCAAACCGCTGGACCATGGAATTTGTATGGCGAATACCGGCGGGGACGTATAGCTTAGTGTAGTACTCTGCGTCGTTGATCGATATCTCCCATGGCGAGCATCGGATGATTGGCCCTATGCGTGAGCTTTAGTCGACTAGACTTCGCCAGAGCAACAGAGACTGACCATATTGCTTGTGCATGTCCATCAGGATCTCATGGAAGTTATTGCTCGTAATGTCGACGAGCGTTTCATACCACGCTGTTGCTGCTGCTAGCTTCGGCCCGGGAAACTGCGAAAGAGGCGAAAAGCAGAGGCGGAATATGACCAGCCCGGAGCTGTACAAGAGAAACGTGGCAGCTAAGGTTCCCACCACAAAAAGGACGACAGTGTCTGTGTTGGTTGCCATGCTCAAGAATACGAGAGTCTCCATGAATTGGAAGCTCGATGATACTTTATTTAAATCGCGGATATTGCAGACGATTCTTCAGATTCTGTAGAGAGTGAGATAAGATAGAAATGATACCTAGAAAAGATTAGATGCCAGCTATCAAGACTGGACACTGCGAGCCAGGGGGCAGAGGGGATCCAGATTATCCTTTGTCCCACGCAAAGCCCTCTCATGCACGTACATACCCCCATCACACCGATGAGTGCTGCATTTCTGCAATGACACAATACAATATCACGCAATAAACCACTGCGAGGATTCTATGGCATGCATTGGGTCCTGAATCTGCATCAACAGAGGATCCCGTTCACCGTGCCGTTATCTACCCTTCATACGGGCGACATACATGCCAATGGACGCAGCAGATTCTTACTTGTGGTTGCATTTCGCTGGGGAAACGGGATGCATGCCAACGACACACGCCCGCTGTGGTATGCCACAAGTCAAGGCGGCAACCGTTCTGACTGCATGATGTACCAGGGAAACTGTGGCACTGGGCTTGCTTCAAGGGGACACGGTGTGGACTGTACCCCCACCTTTCTTGGTGTATTGATGTGAAGTCCGATTTGGGACTTTGGATGCAAGTGTGGTACACGCACGTGCAAGATATCCGTAGCTGCACCTCATTGGGAAGGTAGAATGTATGCCAACGAGCCCTACGGCGATTGCTTCATGGGGACATTATCGATGCCGTGCCCCAATCATACCTGGCATAATGGTGTGGAGTGGAATCTAGATTTAGCACGCAAGTATGGTTGCTGCATCTCACTGGATGGACAGTATGCATGCCGATGAGACCACACGGCGATTGCTTGCCGTGTTACGCCACATTTCAACGCGGTGCACATCCACAGGCATACTATACTGTACTGACTAGGAAAGCGCTAAGTGCCAGGCCGTACATCAACGTCAAACCTTTGTTACACGATCAGTACATGGCCCGGGCTAACTCCGAACAGTCGGCTCAAACGCTACCTCCAGCTGTGCCGCACTTCCACCCGCGACGCTCCTAAGCGAGCTTGCCGCGGGATGTCGCTGCGGTTGATATGACAGCGCCAGGCAGAGTGTTGTTCTCGAGTACGGGACGATCGTTGGTTAGAATTGTGCTGTGCTCTCCATGGTGGGATAGAAATGTCGGTCTTCAAGTAGCCAGAGGAAACACAGGTGGACAGTTCACCCTCACTCTTCCAACCCATCTGCTCACACTGCCCACGCTCATCTCCAAGATACCCCTGAACACCATGATGAAATACATCTACTCCAACCTCATCCCCCCCTCTTCCTACTCCACCCAAGGCCTCTGCGCCGACATCCCCCTCCGCTGCCACCGCAATGCAAACATGGACGAACACGGCACTATCCGCCTCCGCAACGACTGGCAGACCCACATCGGGTCCCTCCCCTCCTCGACCCATGGCGGTCGTGGCCCAATGTACAACTTCACGTCCGTGACGATACCGGAGTGTCTGCCGGAACGTCTTGAAGGCGTGAGCTATGCGATGGAGTTCGCATTTCTGCACGATGATCTGGTGGATGGGGATGGGGCCGGGGGCGTACGTATAACTTCGACCCAGTGCGGTCTTGCGTGGCGTCTAGATTAATCCTGGAAGAACAGGGACTCGCGCTGTACGAGGACATAATGCGGGACATCGGCGCTGAGTCTCGAGGTGAGGTGCATGGCGGTAGTGCAACAGGCGAAGCCCGCATCCTGCGCAGCATCATGGAGGAGATGTCGTCCTTGGACGCCTTCCGGACGAAAGAGTTGCTGCAATACTGGAAGACGGGTGTCAGTCTGCCGCGGGATCGGACGCATTTCGACACCTTTGAAGAGTATTTGGATTTTAGGCTTGTGGACTCGGGGGCGTTGTAAGACCACCCCGTCTTTACTTTTCTTTTCGGGGGCGGAGTGGAGTGAGAAGGTACTGTGCTAACACGTGGGAGAACCAGTCTCTTGACAGGGCTGATGACTTTTGGGATGGCGCTTACCATCCCCCCAGAGGAGAAAGAGGAGTGCATGGCACTCACGCGGCGCGCGTGGCATGCAGCGTTTCTCACTAACGATGTTCAGTCGTGGGAGAAGGAGTGTGCGGAATATGAGAAGCAGGTTGCGCTGAGCGAGGGGGTGGAGACGCCGCACATGGTGAATAGCGTGTGGGTGCTCATGCAGCAAGAATCTCTCAATGTAGAGGAAGCGATTGAGAGGGTTCTAGAGAAGGTGAAGGGGTTTGTGGCAGAATATGCTGAGATTGTCACAGGGATCCAGGGGAGAATGGACTTGTCTGAGGACTCGCAATGTTTCGTGGAAGCTGCACAGTACATGGTTAGTGGAAATCTTGTGTGGGGAATGGAGAGCCCAAGATACCATGCGGATCGGGGTTTGGACAGAGTTCAGAAGGCGAATAGGGAGCGTGCGGTGCTTAGGACTGCGAATCAGCTGCCTACGCCACCCGACGAAGCACTGCATTCTAGTCCTGATAGAGCCGCATAGAGAGACGCTTGGGACGATTGGGAGGTGGATGTAGGATTCAGAAGCCCGAGGAAGCTCGTGCTGGAGATGCTCGACTTTAAATGACCTACCATTCAGCCATCTTGCAATCGAGGACCTGCTTTTAATTCCCGCTCTATATCTACAGCTTCTCTTTTTCCCTCTGCGCCACAGACTTCCTATACACATTGTTGCCCCCGGCACCCGCCTACACGCAGTCAGCCTACTACGCCGTCTTTCGGTGCATGACGGTGGCCGCTGCCTGGTCGATATCAGCAGCGTTACCCAGCACAGGGTCGCACAACTCACCTGATGGTTCGGATACACCAGCGTGTCCGCCAGCACCACATTCTCCCTCCGCCCCGCGGCGAAAACCACCACCTCGGCAATGTCATCGCCCGTCAGTGGCTCCACGCCCTCATACACCTTCTTTGCCTTGTCCTTGTCGCCATAGAAGCGCACGACGCTGAACTCGGTCTCGACCTGCCCGGGATCGATCTCGATGACGCGGATGCGGGTCGCGATGAGCTCCTTGCGCAGAGACTCGGTAAAGGAGCGCACGGCGGCCTTGGTGGCGCAGTAGATGCTGCCGCCCTGATAGGGCTCGCGGCCGGCGATGGACCCGATGTTGATGATGTCGCCGCGACCACCGTCGGAGCGGGCTTTGAAGATGGGCAGGATGGCCTGCGTCATGTTAATCAGGCCGGTGACGTTGGTGTCGAACATGACGGCAATGTCTTCGGCGGCAATGTTTGGGGCTTGGGCGACGCCTTTGACGAGGCCGCTGGGCACCTATCAGCTTCTCTTGCTCTTGCTCTGCATGGAACATGGCTTGTTGCGGGAGGAGCGACTCACGCGTTGTTGACCAGCACATCGACCTCCTTGAACTCGTCCGGCAGCTGGCCCACGAAGCCCTGTATCTCGTCCGGCTTGCTGACGTCCAGCTTGACGGGGTGTACCTTCACGCCCTTTGCAAACCCCTCAATCTCCTTGGCCACCTCCTTCAGGGTGTCGATCCTCCGCGCCGTAATAACCAGCTTCAAGTCCTCGGGCTGCGTGCGCGCAAATTCCAGGGCCACGCTCTTGCCAATGCCCGAGCTCGCGCCGGTAATGACTATCGTCTTGCCCTTCAGCCGCTGCGCCATGGACGACGACATTCTTGCGTGCGAGCGGAGCGCTTGTGTGAGGTGGGCGTGGGTGTGGGGGCGGCCGAGGAACGCGGATGCGGTTTGAAAGAGGCGGGTGGTGGACTTGTTGCAGAGGAAAGGCATGCGACGCGTCCGCGGGGGTCAATTGGGGATGTGAGTATGTCGCTGATACGCTTATGCGCGGGCTGTCGGCGGGGCGGGTGGGTATTGGTGGGATTGACGAGCTCGCTGGGACAATGGCGACATGGCGACTTCGGAGGGGTGGTTATCTCGGTGTTGTTTCCGAGCGCGAGTCATGGCACATTCGCGGGGCGGAGGGTGAGGGGCACTCTTTGACGTGCAGCTTGAGCATCTTAAGCAGCTCAATGGTCTTCACCATTAGATTGCTTCATGGACGGCTCGTCATTGTGCCCGTGTTAGTAGCTCTCCTGTCGCACACGCACCCACTCGGAAAAAACTCATTGAGGCCATGACATCATCTCATTATGCTAGTCATATCGTGCATCCATCGCACATAGTCGTACAAACTGTCGTAGACTGAAGACCCCCAACTCCAAAAGAACCGATGCTAACTTTCCGCATCTAAGCCTTTCCCTTCCGCCTAAGCTCCTCTTCCTCCTCCGCCTGCAACTCCGCGTCAATCTTGGCGCCCTTGGACGGCTCGTTGCCGTGCAGCTTCGCAGGCAGCGTCGGGTCCAGCTGCGATGCGCGGTCCTCCTCAGTCAGGTTGTTGTCGGGCTCGTCCTCGCGCCTCTTCTCGCGCTCGAGCTTGTTGGCGATGGAGCGCTCGTCCTCTGCGTGCGTGTTAGTATTGTGGTTGCGTGAGAGGAACCATTGATGGGTGAGGCTTACTGGAGTCCTGGGCAAGGTGAGAGTGCTCCTTGCCCTCGTGGAAGCGCTTCTCCTCCTGTGCCTGCTTGATCTCCGAGTCTTTGTAGTTGCGCTGGTCACCCGCCTCGTAGACACCGCTGTTTCCGACGTTGGATTGTCCCGACATGATTGTGGCTTTGTGTGTGGAATGTAGAGAAGGTGATGGATGAGAGGATTTGCAGAGGCGTAAATGTGCGTATGAGTGTGTCGTGTGAGGTTCTGCTGAAATTGAGCTTTATGTAGCTCGTCTCTGTGGGCGGGTACTGATGACGCAACCATGATGCGCATGGTGGGTCGAGGTGAAAGTGCTTGAAAGAGCGCCCGTATTTGCGCCGCAACACCACGCTGCAGAATCCGCTACAGAAGCCGCTACAGAATCGGACATCGCCATCATCGTTCGAATTAAGACCTATGGAATCTCCCTTGCATCGAAAAGATCATATACGCGGCCACCTACGTTTCGCTAAGATGCTTCCTTCTGCACTTCTCAACAATATTAGACCCTGGAAATGGATCTGATGTCTTGCTTACCTTTTCTCATTCACAATCTCTGGTGGGAATTTTTAAAAAATGTTTCGGCAACGTAGCCGTTCTCGCTCACAATTGACGATGTCCCCGTAACCATGGAGTATAACCAGGCACCTCTTTCTCGACTCTTTCCTTTGAACGATGTCAATTTCATGTACGGATACACCGCACTACTTCGTTACTCTGCCAGTCGAACAGCACCATCCCCTCACCATCTCCCTACTTCCAAACCTCCCCCAGCCAGTCCTCAAGATCCCCCAGCAGCGCCTCTCCCCTCTCCAAACTCGGGAAATGTCCGCCCACTTCATGTCTCCGAAACCACATCAGCCTGCCTGTGCTCTCCGCCCAACTCCTCGGACACGGCGCCAACTCCTTCGGAAAGAAACTATATCCCATACTGTAGCGGGCATGAAGTTAGCATGGCCGAAACAGGATAGGCACAGACACCATAGAACGTGGTAGCCAGGGGTTCACTTACGGCTTGTCCACGTACAATTCCTCCTGCCCGTGCAGATACCCTTTCTTCGTCACCCCAGTAAGGTAGTCCTCACGGTAGGGATACAATGTCGTTGCCGAGGCGCCGGTGAACCAGTACATACTCACCGCCTCCAAGACATGGCCGAGGGGCACAGGCGTCCGCGGATCCGCCCACGCAGCATACTTCTCGCCGACCCAGGCCAGCAGCGCCAGTGGACTCGCAGCCAGCACCGCACCCAGCGTGCCCGGCCTCGTCCCCGCCATCCTTCCATACGCGGTCCCCTTTGCCATGAAGTCCTCGCCGCGCGCCACACCCTCTTTTTCGTCTTGTGTGAGGAGAAGGGGCGTGTCTGCGACGTCCTCGGGTCTCGGCATGTGGTTATGATTTGTGTGGAACACCTTGCACGCTTCATGCCGCACCGCCATATACCGGCCTATCCCAGCGCCAATATCGCCCCCGCTGACAGCATACTCCCTGAAGCCTAAGACCTCGCGCATCAGCTTATCCAGCACCCGCGCCGAGTCTGCATACGTCCAGTCTCTTTCCGTCGGCGGGGCCGAGGAGAACGGCCAGCCGGGCTGGCTGGGCAGGATGATGTGGTAAGGGAGCGTGCCTGGTGTGTATTTCTCGCGCAGGAGGGAGAGCAGGGGAAGGGATTCTGCAAAGGTGCAGGGCCAGCCGGAGAGCCGCGCCAGTGGGATAGCGTCAGTGCGATGGGAGAATAACGCGCAGAAGTGGATGGTGTAGGGGAGGTTGTCGGAGTCGGTGATGAGGGCTGTGTACTGCGGGAAGGTGTTGAGGTGGGACTCGTGGGTGCGCCTCGGGGTCTGATCAGCATCTCTGGACTATTGCTATGTAGAGGGGGAGCGATGTTACCAGTCAAACTCTTCTTCCCAAATCTTCTTCGCATCAATCAACCACTCCCTTGTCACGCCGAAGTCGTGTCCTTCTTCTTTGCGTTCGGCAGCATTCTCGTATGTACTCTGCACGACGGGACTCAGTCTGACCAACGCCTTCAAGTCCTGTACTTTATGTTCCTCAATGTGGATGTTGAACGGCTTGAGCTTATCTTTTGCGGCGGTTGGGGGGAGTGTGGTGTAGTCGTCCATTTCCCTTGGTACGTCGACTTGATACATCGAGTCGTAAGTCGCAAGCACACATATAATGATGCATTCATCTCCTTTCACTAACACGCCCGTATTTATATCTGTATCTACCTTGTTGTGCGGTTGCTTGCGCAAGGGCAGTGATGCACCTGACAAACGCGCGCGGTAGAACGAGGCACGCTTTCGTCCAATTAGGAAGTCTACACGCGTGAGATGAGTTGTACCGGAAGTTGGGTGGACGATCGTGACGGTGGATCCACGGAATGTCACCGGAAGGATATGACTACGTAAAGTCGGTGAGAACGCTGTTTTTAAAGGCAAGATGGGAGTAGTCTCCTGCGAGCGTGGTGCGTCACTGCGTCACTGCCACGGTTCGCATGGTATATTGGCATTTTTCTGTCAAGTTGTGTGAATCCACCTCACTAGAAGCTCGCGACGACTTGCTGCCTTTGCCCTGCATCTTCATTCACTGCTCATTGGAAACTCATTCTGGAAGTACTCGCAATGTAGGGCAGACTTCATCCGGCAGCACTTCAGTAGTTGAGAATCTTCTTTTTAAATTTTCATGTCTATCATGCAGGGTATCAATTCGTCTATGTCCATCCATTTCATTCCTTTTGGTTCCCTTCCGGAACGTCCTAAGTGCGTCTATATCGGTGAAGAAATGCAAAATACCCGCTGGGTGTGTGCCCGCGCGGTTCCGTTTACTCCATCTCAATGGTGCCGGGGGGCTTGCTCGTGACTGGGAGATATTAGTAGAATTTCAGAAAAACTCGGAGGTCGAACATACTGTCATATACCACACGGCAAACGCCATTGACCTCGTTTACAATCCTCCTAGAGACCTTCTTCAAAAACGCCCCGTCGAAGGGATACCAGTCCGCCGTCATGAAGTCGGTGGTCTCCACCGCGCGCAGTGCAATGACCTGGTCGTGCACCCTCTTGTCGCCCATGACACCCACGGCCTTGACGGGCAACAAAGCGGCAAATGCCTGGCTGATGTTCCTGTACAGACCGGCGGCCTTGATTTCCTCTATGAAAATGTGGTCCGCCTCCCGGGCAATGCGGACTTGCTCAGGAGTGACTTCGCCGAGAATGCGGATAGCAATGCCCGGCCCCGGGAAGGGGTGGCGCCAGACCAGATCCTCGGGTATGCCCAGGTTCATGCCTAGCTCGCGAACCTCGTCTTTGAAGAGCTCGCGGAGCGGTTCGATGAGCTTGAGGTTCATGTCCTTTGGCAGACCACCGACATTGTGGTGGGTCTTGATGGTCGCGGAGGGGCCCTTGAAGGAAATGCTCTCAATAACATCGGGATAGAGAGTGCCCTGGAGCAGCCACTCGATCTCGCCGGCGTTGGAGGACTGCTGTGCTGCGGCAGCAATCTTCTTCGCCTCCTCCTGGAAGATCTCAATGAAGGTGTTGCCGATGATCTTGCGCTTCTTCTCAGGGTCGTCTTTGACGCCTGCAAGACGGCTGAGAAAGCGCTCAGAGGCATCGATGACGGTAAGGTTTATTCCCAAGCCGGCGGTAAGCGTCTCTTTGACAGTCTTGGCCTCGTTCAGACGGAGCACACCGTTGTCGACAAGCACGGCGTGGAAGCGGTCGCCAATAGCCTCCTTCATCAGCTTGGCAGCGACAGTGGAGTCGACGCCTCCAGAGACCGCGCCAATAACCTGGCCCTTGGGGCCAACCAGCTTCCTGATCCTCTCAATCTCCTGGTCGACGAACTTGCTCATGGTCCAGTTGGTCTGGGCCTCGCAGATGTCCACAGCGAAGTTCTTCAGCAGAACCTTGCCCTTAGGTGTGTGTGTGACCTCGGGGTGGAACTGAATGCCGTAGTACTTCTTGCTTGTGTGGGCAATACCCGCGAAAGGCGCATTGCTCGTGGTAGCGACTGTGATGAAGTCTGTGGGTAGATGGCCGAGCTTGTCGCCGTGGCTCATCCACACTTCCGTGTTGTCCTCCCAATCGGCGAACAGCCTGTCTACATGGCCGCCCGTCTCGCCATCTCCGTGTCTTTCGACCTTCAAGTATGCGTGACCGTACTCGCGCTTCTCGCCCGCAAGCACGTTCTTGTTGTCGAAGGTCCACGCAATCTCTTGCAATCCGTAGCATATGCCCAGGATTGGCACATTGAGCTCGAACACGGCGGGGTCCACGTGGGGCGCGTCGTCCCAGTACACAGAGTATGGGCCACCGGAGAGGATCACACCCTTGGGCGTCCAGCCAAGATCGGCGATCTTCTGGGTGCACGGGAGCATCTCGGAGTAGACATTGAGCTCGCGGAGACGGCGGGTGATCAGGTGCGAGTACTGGGAGCCGAAGTCGAGCACCAGGATGGTGTCGAAGGTCTTGTGCGGGGGGATCGGGTCGCTTGCGTCGGTCGTCATGGTGGTGGTGGGTGCCCAAACGGAGCAATTGGCTGTGAACGAGGGTACGAGAGAAGAGGACGAAGGTTTGCAAGAGAAACAAAGAACCGGAGGGTAAGGTGACTCCCAGCGCCAACTGATAAAAAATTTGGCGGGGCACAAATCGGCAGGGAAAGCGCGCCGGTCGTGGCTGCCCGCTTGGACCACCTCTGCTCCGAGAATTATCAGCGCGGCGGAAACAGCAGCGATTTTCTAGCTCTGCATTGCGCATCCGCACAACACATGCACAATGGCGAAGCGCAAGTCCCAGAAGGACCCCGAGGACCTCCCCGACGCGCCCGAAGGCAAGGGCAAGAGGAGAAATGACGACTCCGACAGCGACGAGGTGCGCAGACTCCCCGCTCTTCCCCGCAACCAGAGCGAAGCTCATGTATGAATATTAGGATATGGATACTCTCGATGTCGACTTCGAATGGTTCGATCCAAACCCCGCGGTCGACTTCCACGGCTTGAAGACCCTCCTCCGCCAGCTCCTCGACGTCGACAACCAGCTCTTCAATCTCTCCGAGCTCGCAGACCTCATACTATCGCAACCACTGCTTGGAAGCACCGTGAAGTGCGACGGCACAGAATCAGATCCTTTCTCGTTTCTGACAGTACTCAACCTTGAAACACACAAAGTCCGTTTCCCTGCAATCGCGACCATGCATGCGAACGTACATTGAAGTCTAACCACACACAGGACAAGCAAGTCATTGCCGACCTGACCGCCTACCTAACCCGTCACTCTACAAGCCCCTCCCTCGCCCCCCTCAACACCCTCCTCACCGCGCCATCCACCGCCCAAATCGGCCTCATCCTTACCGAGCGCTTCATCAATATGCCCCATGAGATCGTCGCACCTAGCTACAAGATGCTGCAGGAGGAGATTCAGTGGGCGCTCGACGAGAAGGAGCCCTACGCCTTCACGCACTACCTCGTGCTGTCTAAGGCGTACATAGAGGTCGAGTCGAACCTACCTGCCGCGGAGCAGCCCCCGGCGAAGAAGAAGAAGGCCGCCAAGGCTGATAATAGAGAGACGTTTTACTTTCACCCCGAGGATGAGGTGCTGCATAAGCACGCACTTGGGTTTGGGAGCTTTGAGTTTGAGAGCCCGGTTGATGAGGGCGCGAGTGATAGCAAGAGGGCGTTCCAGGAGATGGGCGTGAAGCCAATGGGGCATTTGATCCTCATCGAGGCGGACAAGTTCGCTGGAGCTGTAGGCGCTGTTGAGTCGTTCTTGGGTGGAGGGCAATAGGTCAAGCTATAGTGGCTCATCAGGACCATATGTGTGACGAATTCCAATGCAATGACGGGCTGGAGATCTAGACGAATGTATACCCGCGGTTAGCAAACACCGAAAAATGGACAGTTGCAAAACGAAGACTCTACTTTGTTGTACATCCTACTGCACATAAGCGAATCTATAGAGAAAGCCTGATCCAAGGAAATTGTGATGCTTGCTACTATCGACACAGCCTTCCTTCTACTGCATGCAGCCGCCTCTCCTCCCTCTATTGTACAGTCGCTTAACCGATGACCACCTTGCCGTCCTCTGGGAAGTCGTACTCCGGAATCTCGAGGTTGAGCGGCGCGGGTCCCTTTCTTATGCGGCCAGAGATGTCGTAGTGAGAACCGTGGCAGGGGCAGAACCAGCCGCCGAAGTCGCCAGCCTCGCCAATGGGGACACAACCGAGATGGGTGCAGACACCTGTTGCTTATTAGCATGTCATCCCTAGAGTATACCTCGGCTAGGTCCGTACCAAGCATGATCAACCATTCGGGCTTCTTCACACGGTCTGCGTCCTTCTGGGGGTCACGGAGCGACTCCCACTTTGTGTCCTCGGCCTCCTTGATCTCGCCCTCGGTACGGTGTCGGATGAAGACGGGCTTGCCTCGCCACTTGATAATGACCTGCCGCACGTCAGCTCATGTCCGCAGGCTCGCGGAAAGTTGGCAACGCACGTTCTTGCCCTCGGGGATGGCAGCGAGATCGATCTCAACCTTGGCCTGGGCCAGGACATCGGCGGAAGCGGACATGTTGACGAGGAAATCTGCGACGCAAAATCGTTAGCACGCGTTGCCTCCATCGCCGCGCGCCCCCAATCCATCCGCAAAGTGGCCAATGGCTATCCAGCTGCCTTTTTCTATCCTCTTCGTTCGCTTCCATTGCTTTCCGGAGCTCCAGGGAGGTGTGGTGTGGAATTACCTTGCACGGTGGCCTTCGCGCCCAAACTCGCCAGCGCACCCATGGTGCCGACCATAAAGTACGACATGAGCTTTGGGCCGTTCTCGTCTCCTCCGGTCTTCTTGTAGTGGCCGAACGATGGGATCTTAGTGCTGCCCTGGCCCTTGAAGGGGCTCTCGAAGGTGGACGTCGAGGCGTCGCGGGACTGCATGGCGACACAGCCCGCCCGCGCAACGGGCAGCGAGTGCTGGGTCCATGAGCGGGCTATCGCGCGGGTGGTGTTTGCGAGGGCGGGCATCGTGGATGCGGCGGAGGGTGTGTTGCGCTGGGATGGAGCTGGGAGGTCGCGGGATGAGGTTGAGAGCGAAGTTTGGAAAGGGCGATTGACGAGGTGTTTTCGGGAGCGCTCTGATTGGCTGCCGAGCTTCGGCTTGCCAGCGTCATGGCCTCGCCTCACCTCACCTAACCCTCCGACCAAGCGTGACTTCCAACATTCAGCTTCACCTTGAAGGATTCAGATACACTCTAGAGTCGTCGCTACCTTGAGCGTGACGCCCACCTGCCTTCGCAGCTTCTACTTTTGATCACCGACTAACGCCAGGCAACGCTCACTCTTACTTTCCAGCGTGACCCAACTAACAACACAGCACTACACACCATCGTTACGCAGGTCACCAATGCTCATCCATTCACTTTGACTCTCATCATCAAGACCGAAAACTGCCCCCAAAGCGGCCTCGATTGCCTGGGGCTCCCCACCTGCACACTTCCCAATTTTGGTCAAGATGTCATACAATCACGCCCAAATCCCTCAGAAGCGGGAGCGAGACGTGGCACCAGACGCTGAACAGCCAGGAGCATCCGCACAAAAAGCTCCTAAGCTCGGGGAGAACGCTGACGCTGCCACTGCCACGAATTCCCAGTCTACAAAACAGACACTCGACATGCCCAAAGGCCGTGCCAAGCCGGACTCAGCGACATTGCCAATTCAAAAGACTCTCCATGGGCGGGTTCAGAGGCAAAAGGCATACGATGCAAACAGAACTGGCCTTGGCACAGTGCCTTGGGAAGACATCTTGTCATACAAGGCCACCAGTAGCGAGCGGACAGCGACACCCAAGGCCGGGGCGAATGGCAGGGGAATGGCCAATGTTACAGGTGACGATCAGCCCGGCTTTCAGCACGATGGCCAGCACGACGACCAGCATGGCGACGACTATGTCGGGCAGCACGACTGCCAGTACGACAATCGCACCGAGAATGCAACCGAAGCCCGCCCTGAGCAAGACGTCCGCTCCATTTGGTCGACCAGTAGCGAAGACTCATCCGGCCTCCAGGAGCGTGTCGGTGATCTATTTGATGCACCAGACGACGTCGTGCTTGTCCATGCATGCAATACGCAAGGTTCCTGGGGCGCCGGCATTGCCAAAGAGTTCCGCAGGCGGTACCCCATGGCTTTCAGTTTGTACCAAGAACACTGTCTCGCTAATCACCATCCAAAGTCTGACCCTGTTCCGACGGGTTCGTGCCTCCTCATACCTCCCTCCGAGGAGCGCCCCGGTTCAAGGAGGCACTGGGTCGCTTGTCTGTTCACCAGCGAAAAGTATGGCAGAAGCAAAGATTCGCAGGCCAGGATCTTGGCGAATACGCCCCTCGCCTTCAGGCATCTGCTCCATCTGTTAAGACGCCAAGCTCGGGAAATCGGGCCAGCGATCCAAGAAATCAGGATGTGTCAGATCAACTCGGGACTCTTTGCAGTCGAATGGGAGAACACCAGAATGCTTTTGGAAGCAGTCTTGGAGAGCAATGCAGACCACCCGCCAGTATGTGTCTACTCGCAGGCGACTGCTCCGTCAAGGCCAAACACTGTGCGGAAACAAATGCAGAAAGGCCAAACTACTCTTGAGGCGTTCATCCGCAGGCATTAGGATGACCTTACGCTCTCGCGGCGAACAAGGAAGGCATGGATGGAGGCGCGGAGAAGGATGATGATCAGGGCATTAAGAAGAGGGACATTATACATTTAGCGATGCATCAAAACTGATTGAAGCATAAGGCGTTGTAAGACAGATTTTTGATGCTCTAATGGTCGGGTATCCCAAGCAATCATACCGCATTGCTTCGAGCATGAGATTCCTTGTTCACTATACAACTTTGTAATAGCATGAATACCCTCAACCATGCCCATTGTGATATCGTGAACAAAACCACGAACGCCATTGCTATGCATGCTCAAACCAGAGAACGACCGTCCCTCTCGTGCCTCAGTTGGAACTATTGATCGCCGTGAACCCACTCGACCTCGTAGGCCTGTGTGCAGGAGCTGACGCTGGTGCCGAAGGCTCCAGCGCCGGAGGGCTCTGTACAGGCGCCTTGGGACTCGGCGCAGCAGCGCTGCCGTTCGTCCGCGGCCCACGCATCTCCATCTCAATCTGCATCGCCGCCTCGTCTTCCTCAGGCTCGCTGTCCTCGGCCTCAACAGCAGGTCTCTCCTTCGCGTCCGCAGCCTTGCCCGCTCCCCCGTCGACATCCATAGCTTCGGCCGCAATCTCCACCTGCGCCTTCTCTTTCTCCTTTTCAGCCTCAGCAGTCTTCTTCCCATTCGCCATCAACCTCTCAAGCACATTCCCCTTTTCCCCACCCTCCCTTCCCTCCGCAACCTCACCATTCTTTTCGCCCTCTCCCTCAGCGTTCTTCTTCTCCCTCTTCTCCCGCACCTCCTTCCACACCCTCGTCTTAGGCACAACATCCACGAGAAACTCGAGGTTATCCGTCTTCGCGACCGCGCTGGCTACATCGCGGTACTGCACATTCCTCCTGGGCTTCTTCTGCGTCTCGGCTTTGACGACGTTGTGTGTGGTGGTCGCGAAGTGCTGGATGAAGAGCTCGGTGGCGAGGGCGATGGCGAAGGCGGCGTTTTTTGAGGTGTGTAGGCGCTCGGGGTCGGCGTTGATGATTTTTTGGACGCGGGCGACTAGGGGGTAGGTTAGTGGGGAAATTGAGGAGGCACGAGGGAAGGAGCGCACGTGGAAGGGAGACTTGGCCGCTGACTTCTTTGGAGGGCGCGATGGGGGTGTTGTTATACGGCATGTTGGGTGGTGGAGCGCAAGACGGGCTGGTGGTTGACGGTGGAGGTTTGTCGCGCGCGATTGGCGGTAGAGGAGAGCTGTTTGCTGGCAGGCGGATGTCCTGTGGTAGAGACAGACGTGGAGGTGGATAAGTGTGTTGGAGAGAGTAGCGGGGGCTGTTTGACGCGTTGAGTAGGTGTCGCGAACTTTTGGTGTGTCGCGTTGAGGGCGAGTCCGTGCACATGGCACCGTCACTATCCCGTGATAGTACCTTCACTGAGGAGGTAGCTAGCACTGGTCCACGACAACGGTAATTCCTCATCTCATGACCAGGTTCCGCTATGCCGGATCATGGCAGGCAATACGCATATCGAACAGCCAGAGGTGGCTTATCCTTTTACAGGCCGCGACTACGCTACAGTACAAGGTCCAAAGTGTGAGTACAGCTTCATTTTCTTCCTATTGCAGTTGCTCAAGCTGTTGGCGAGGCTCTATATGTCATTTTCATTACTTGGATTCCTCCAGGACCAACACCCAATCCGAATGCCCTTCCTCGACGGGAAGCTCAAATCGGTGTACTGTCGAGCCTCCGCACTGCGTGTACTTTATCGGGGTATACTCCCCGGTCAGCGGACTGAACCAGCTAGCCTTGATCTCACAGCCCTTGAGACTATTCGTGTCGATCGCAAACGTCGCATTTGGCGAGTATACCATGAGCCAGGAGCCTTTCGTGTCACGAGTTGCGGCAATGCGAGCGTCCGAAACACCTAAATTTTCATCGTCAGCAGGGCACAAATGCCAATGCCAGATCCAGATAGGAAAGGCCTACCAGAGTCGCTCATTATGATGTCCTGCGCTGGGATGCGGTTGAAGTAGGACTCTTCCCCTCGGTCCAGGATCGCTTTCTTGATCCATTGCATCTGGCTGGATCCCGGCAGTTTGATGGCTTCGTACCACGGAATTTGCGGTCCGCTCTCATCCGCTGGGAATAGATCTGGAATTGCCATCTGCCAGATCGTGTTAGCTCCGTAAGTGAGGCCAGCCATGCCTGCGAAGACCTGTTCAAATTCAGCATTCGCCATCCACCATCACGGCCGCAGAATCGATTCCTACCGTCTGCCAAGTTCCTATGCGCACATCACTCGCGTTCCAATACATCCCGCTAGCCTTTCCAGACTTTCCATTGTTAAATCGCCACTCATAGTGCGGCTCGTTCTCAATTGCAGGTCTCCTCTTGCCCGGCGTGCTCTCTCCCACACTCCACATCAGCTCCGCCGGCTCCCATCCCCGACGACACGACCACCAAGGAATCGGCGGGTTCGGCGGGTGGTCAGAGTGCCCAGACTGACTGAGATCGAACGTTAGCCACTCGCTCTCCCCAAAGAAACTACTCGCAAGCGCCAACGGACCGCCCGCAAACCACTGGTTCGTGGGATGCATGGAGATCATCGGGACATATCTCCTCTCCCCACCCCCTTCCCCATAACTCCTATTCCGCACCACCTCCTCCTCCCCCTTCACAATCCCCTCCGCAAGCGCAGTATACACGCTCGAGAAATCAATCACGGCATAATCTCCCGGCAACCGTGCCGACAACGCGCCTCCGTACGCATAATCCGTGCTCACGGCAGTCTTGTTTTTCCACCACGGATTCGTATCCCCAAACAACACCTTCGGCACATACGGATACCGTTTTCCCACAAACTCCCCAAGCACCCTTGCCGTGCTCGCGTTCAAAAAACCCGGTACACCCCGGTCGTTATGCACATACCCGCCCCACGCTGGATGCATCACAATCCTGATCCCGTACTCCTCCCACGCGAGCTCGAGTATCGAGTCCACGTACGCCCAATACGCCTCATTTGGGCGTCTTACGTCGCTGTCAATGAACGCAAGGTTCCCCGCGCGGTCAGCCTGGTCCGGCCCGTTGCAGTGCGCGCCGCAGGCTTGGATGATGTTGAAGCCTTTTGCGGCGCGGTCGGAGAGATAGGAAGTGGCTTCGGTATAGTTGAGGCGGTTGATGAAGAGCCAGGCAGTGTCGGACTGCCAGAAGAAGGGTTTTCCTTCGAGGGTCTGAAAGTAGTGGCCGTTAGGGGAGGCGTAGAGGGCGTAGGATGGGGGGATGCTCCATTTTGCTTGGGCGAGAAGGGGGAGGGTGAAGATCAGGAGGAGGGTCGTGGTTAAGCATTTCATCCGTGACCAATGCATGATAATACTTTTGCCTTTCTAGGGGTTTTGATGCAGGCTGAGTTTAGACACGTATTTCGTCCCAGATGTATACCTTTATAGTATGTATTTGTACTGGGGTATTTCCAGAAATGAGAGCTGCATCTCCGCGCCTAAGATCTGCGTTGCGAACGCGATGGTACCGGATCTGCACACTATCCTGTAAACAAATAGTCGCTTGTAAGTTTGGGGTAAATCGCGGGGTCAGGATTCCTTCGTTGCTGGATCGTTCAGTGCGTCGTGGTTTTGACGAGCGAGTTTAGCCACCAATCAGAATCATCCAGGGGATTCATTGCCAACCGTACCTTGATTTGCCTCTAGCAACTTTGATGTTACACGTAGACTCCGTAAGTATTTGCTAGCATTCTATGTCCTAAGTTTTGGTCTTGATTCTAAACATTGCATTGGTTGCGCACGTGTGTTTGATAACGCCACGACAGCTGCTAACTGCCTTGGAAGAACATTGAAACGCAGGATACGGTATAGAGACGGAGACCGCAAAATTTATCACAGCTGACATCAGACAGAGTGAAGAAGATGGCTTCTATTTACTTCCGAGTAGTGGTGGCCTGGCGATGCCTCGAAAAAGACCGGCATGCATCGTGAGATTGAACAACAGGAGCGCAAAACGAAACGACGATCTTCCTGAGTAATGAATTATGGGGAATTCAACTGCTGAGAAGACGAGAATGATTTGTGGAAGTAGAAATCTCACTGAAGCAGTGTCCACACTCTCAGGGCATTTCCAAAGGGCAGGTACGATTTTGGCAAGTCTGGATGTGACCAACTGGGATTGTTGGTACACACTTTTTCAGATAGTCGTCGTCTTGGAAATCCAGTCTGATAAGGCACGGCCATCCACGCAGCGATTAGCTACCCTGCTCGGAGGCAATTTGTTGCCTACCGTCTCGTTGGCTGTAGCTCTTTTCTCTATTGCCAGAGGCGATTCTCTCTCTATTGTTAGAGGCGACGCGTGTACATTTCTGGTTGGTGTCTCACTGTATACTTTACCCTTCACGTACTCTTATGGCACACCCACATCCCATCCGTGGCTCTTGTGCGCGTTCATAATGAACTTCCTAATGTTTCATTCAGGGAATGGTTCGTGAGTCCATCGTAGCAGTAAACCTAAGCATAGAGCGTTCATTCAGATGACGACTTGAATCTAACCTCATCTCTGACTGGGAAGCCCCTTTGTACTTGTATGACAGGTATGTCGCTCTTCGTTTAGTCAAACTTGATGTCGTCAGGCACCAATGATTTCATCGAGATGCTCTCATCTAGGGTATGTAGTCGGTCGATGGAAACTATGGCGCGTGAATAGTTTCCACGAAGATGTCGACCCGTATTACCGGTTGTGACTTTACGAAAATAAGATGATAAGGCGCTGGATCTGCTGGGCTTTGAGGCATTCTCCTGTCTGATTCTGAAGAGGATAGGGCCCAGGATGGGTAGGCATGCAGTGACCACTGGCACGCAGGGCTTAATCGATCCCTAGATGATGGTGTTGATCGTCGTGACTGTGCAGGATGAGCATAGATAATCCCTATGAGAGTAAAAAGCTTACAAGAGAAGTCGTCATCGCTGTCTTTAAATTCTTGTTTCACTTCAAGCATGGAGTACATACGTATCTTAGAAGTAATGACAATCATATTATGTATCAGTTTGGACAATCCATACGGGGGACGGGAAAGATTGTGTAACAAAGAGTATCTGATCTGGTAAGCTTATATCTATTCGAAAGCCCGGATATGGGGGCGGAAGGTGTACCTTGAGGAATAGCACCTTTAGAGTCGGTGTGAGCTCTGCCAATGCCCGGCCGATACCGCAAGCTACCGTACCGATGATACACGCGATAGCAGTATGTATAGCATTCAACTATTTGTATTTAGCCGCTAAATTTAAGTTGTCACCAAGTAGTCCTACCAATGTGAAGAAGATCATATAGTCAGACCAGTTCAGCCTGGAGCCTTTGAGACGGCGTGTATCGATGTGTACGATTACGGGGATGATCGAAAGTACAGAAAGATTACGCTTACGATTATGATAATTACCGCCTGAGGTGGAAGAATGGTCGAGACCGGAACAAAAGTGTAATTGCGGGGTCGAGAAAGCTACAGCAGCCTTGGGCAAGACGAGGGGTCAGAGGACAAATGAAGTGACCTTATAAATCGCACTGGACGATGTGATTTTATCCCAGTTCCTTACGGTTGGAAAGTACTCCGCGGAAAGCGAATACAAATCTATTCTGGGGGGCTAACAATGCTTGCTGCAGGTGAAGCGGAGTTCAGGCCAGCCTGCATTTCGAGTAAACCCTGCGGGCCGATGCGCGGGTCGGATACATAGTTTTCGGTACTCTGTATCGATCAACTATGGGCGGCCTTTTGATTAAGTGCCTTGAGAGAATGTTGCCTTTTGTTTCAGGCCCATATGCATTTGGTAAATAAATAGTTGTCTTGGAGGCATATTGCGTGTCTCTTCATTATTCCTTCAAATTCTTTACAGCGCCCTAATGACTCTCAACCAAGTCCGTGAAACCTCTCAATATGGTGATCACCCCGAGGAAGATATCGCACCCGTAATGCCAATGATTCCGGATGGCGGGAAACTGGCATGGCTACAATGTGCCGGCACGTTCTGCTTATTTCTCAACTCCTGGGGCCTAGTGAATGCTTTTGGTGTGCAAGCCGTGATCAAGACAATTCTTCTTGCTTATGTGGATAGGAGCATCCCAAAATTACTACGAAAGGTCTATTCTAAGCTCGGCATCACCTACAAGTATATCGTGGATCGGGTCTATTCAAGGATTTCTTTCCTTCTTTGGTGATGTGTTCACTGGTCCCCTGTACGACAGAGGTCACTTGACGGTTTGGTGCGAACTGGAGGCGTCCTGTTTGTTTTGGGCCTCGTGGCAACAAGCTTCTATAGTGAGTACTGGCAATACATGCTGACACAGGGCTTTCTCACCAGACTTGGAAGTTTAATGTTTTCTGTGCCTAATATGGCTTTGTTGATGACATACTTTGCTAAGAAAAGAGCACTAAGCATGGGCATCGCAATTATAGTTGGATTTATCGACTGACTTCATGCTGGTAAAAGGCGATATAGTATATTTGGTGTTATTTCGTGACTTATAGCCGAAATTGGGTTCTGAGAGCTCTTTGACCACGACAAGCATGGTCTTTATCGGTCATTATTATAGCTTGGGTGAACCTCAGCATTTGGAAACATTGATTTGAACGAAGATCACAAAGACATGGGCTCTGCGAAGCGGCGATGTTGCTAGGCCCTGAATCGGGGACCCGAGGGACTGAAGCGTTGACATCTGAGGTTGAAAGTTAGACGCAGGAGCGACGCATTGTTCAGGTGCTGCCTTGTAGAGGTAACGTGGTCGGTATGGTGGATACTGAGCATCTTCTGCTCATGCGCTGTGGCAGGTACAGCAGCAAAAGTCTGAATGAACACTGCGCTTCTGTGCATTCGAAGGCTTATGTATATGGCCAGAGCCTACATCACGAACACCACATTGACGCTCAAATGAGACCACTCTCTCCAGCGTCGCCCTAACCATACCCACTCATGCAAAGCTCCTCTTGCTAATCCACCTATTCACCAGCGCCAACCCCTCCTCCGGCTTATCATACGGGACCATATGCCCCGCAGCATCTACCGTGGTAACCGCAAACGTCGTCTCCCTCCCGCCTGCTGTCTCAACCTTAACCTCCTTGAACCACCCCACCTCCTTCCCACCATGCTTCCATGTCTTCCTCGGCTGCGCTACAAACTCTGGCTGTCCCTTCCATGGCATCGATTCCGCCCATCGAATGTTGCCCGCAGTGTTGCATGCAAGGTCGTAGTTGCCCTGGTAAAACAACACGTCGATGCCGTTGTCAAGCAGGTACAGAACTTGCGGCTGGAGACTGATGCCCTGGTCGCCGGTCAGCTCAAAGGCGTACTCTACGTTCATGTTGTAGATGCTGTAGTTCGCAACGGCTTTGGGTACGTGCAACGCCTCGAAGACTTCGGGGCGGTTAAGGTATTCCTCTATCCACTGAGCTTCAAGGTAGCACAGGTCGTCCCCCGACTTGCAGGGTGTGCTGATGTCGAAACGGTTGCGGTCACCGCCTTCGCCGGACTCGCCGTCGTAGTACTTGATTACACCGTCCCAGCAAACGGTTGAGCCAGCGGCGCATATGGCGGGGTCCGGGTGCGCGTAGCAGAGGCGGGCAAGGTCGAGGCAGCGAGGAAGGTTAGAGGCCATGATGTCGCAGCGGGTTTTATTGAAGACTGGTTCTTCGACGCCGGGGTTGGTGGTGCAGAGCGTTTCCCAATAGCCAAAAGCAGTGTCGACGGGCGACACATAGGCGTTGCCGACGAAGATGGAGCGGAGATTCACTTGCTGGCGTTTAGGATATAGGATGTTCTGGGAGACTACTTGTGCGGCTAGAGCTGGGCAGTAGTGGCCGCCGTAGGATTCACCGGTGATGTGGAAGTCTCTTTCTGCAAGGTCTGGGAAGACGTCGCCAACAAAGATTTGCAGAAAGTGGTGTAGGTCCGCTGCAGTCGTGAAACTGTCGCCTGGTAGAGGGATTCCTTCGTCTACGTAGCTGAACCCGACGCCAGCCGGCGAATCGATGAAGAGCAGGTTCGCGTTTTTGCTCCAGCCATACTGGTTGTAATGCGTTCCGTTTCCGCCCTCATCGATCAAGCAAGGCCCATTTTCTTGGAGCATGCCAATCATTGAACTACCGCCCGGCCCGCCCGTCAGCCACAGAACGAGCGGGTCCTCGGACGGCGAGCTCTGCGACTCAAAATACCAGAAAAAGAGATGTTTTGAGCCCACGTCCAGCCACCCGGTGTACTGCTTCGAATGCGCATCACAGAGCGAGTCGTTTTGTTGTTGTTTGATGCGTAGGGAGTGGTGTTCCGAATATTCGCTTTGGTAGACCTGGAAGGCCTCGACTTCGGGTGTTTCCTGGAATGGAATCTGTGACAGCCGTCCTGCGACAGCTACCACTGGTAGGAGAGAGGCTAGGGTGAGCTTCATGCTGCCTGCCTTGGTCTTGCGTGATCTACAGTAATATGCAATCCTAGATCCCAATCTCTTACAGAGTCCACATTAAAAAGCCACCCCAAACTCTACCGAGAAACAGAAGGATTATTATACGGAAACGGAGCGATGAGGTGGAGTTCGTTCAGGAACTCAAAGCTCGGGATGACATACAAGCAGCGAAAGCTCCTTCCCGTTTGGCGCTAGTCGAGCGTTATCGAAGCTTATTCGCGCGGCAGAGCTATGATGCTCGGAATACATGGTCGGCAGAACTCCGATTGTACGGAATTGATGTGCTCCACTTGAATTGGACGTTAGATGCCCTTAGGAAAGGTGGGACGCTTGAATGTATGCTTTTGCCTCACAGGAATGTAGGAAAGATCAGAAGACGCATAATGGATCAGCACTAAGCTCAACTGCATCCCCAAGATGTCCTGCGCCGACAAGAAGGCACAATGCACCGAGGCCTACTGGAGTTGGTTGTTTGATTGTGTATTCGTGTTGTGACTGTCGTGGCAGAGGATTGGGAAGTTGGAGTGCGCTGGTTGCTGCGCCACGCGTCTTCCTTACAGCTGTGGCGCGTGCACCTCTGCGGCTGGCAACGTTGAGCACTGGAGCTTCCAGGCAGCTCAGAAGAAACATTGGCTACCACCACATCGCTGTTCCGGCCATGCGATGAATCGCCCGTCAGCTTCGCGATCACGATCCCGGGCTGCATTAAATCGCTCCTCCTCGTTCGCCCCGTCCCTCCGCCGCCGTCCGACCTCGCAATCGCTCCCGCCAGACCCCGAAGATGATCCCGCGGCCACACAGGAAGCAACCGCAACTCATGCGATTGTCGAAGAGATAGCGAAAATAAAACGGTACGAGGATTTCACGACGATAGACTGGGTACAAGATGCTGCGCGTGAACAGCTGCGGCGCAAAGCCAGGCGGAAACAGCGCGATAGCTATAGTGTCAGGCTGGGTGGAAGAGGCACCAGAGGATGGAGGAGGCGCCTGTACGAGACTTACGACGCATGCCAGGCTTGGATCGTGGTCACGCTCGTCGGCGCCGCGATTGGGCTTATCGCAGCCTCCCTAAATATCATCACGGAATGGCTGGCCGATATCAAGCTGGGACACTGCGAGACGGCTTTCTACTTGAACGAGAACTTCTGCTGCTGGGGCGCCGAGAGTGGTACGGTTGCATCAAGAAAAGATTGCTGGGTATAGTAGCTGATGTGCAACAGGGTGTCCCGAATGGAAGCGATGGAGTGGCTTTGGGCCCGTCAACTACGTTCTCTACGTACTCTTCGCGGCGCTGTTCTCCCTTACAGCTGCTACGCTGGTCAAGAGCTTCGCGCCGTATGCCGCAGGATCGGGCATATCCGAGATCAAATGCATCATCGCTGGCTTCGTCATGAAGGGTTTCTTAGGCGCGTGGACGTTGTTGATCAAGTCGATTGGTCTGCCACTGGCTATTGCGTCCGGCCTCTCCGTAGGAAAGGAAGGCCCAAGCGTGCACTATGCCGTTTGCACAGGCAATGTCATATCGCGATTCTTCGACAAATACCGACGAAACGCGGCCAAGACACGCGAAATTCTCAGTGCAAGTGCTGCAGCGGGCGTAGCTGTCGCATTCGGTAGCCCGATAGGCGGCGTACTCTTCTCGCTAGAGGAGATGTCTAATTACTTTCCGCTTAAAACGCTCTGGAGAAGCTACTTCTGCGCCTTGGTCGCGACAGCTGTTCTTGCGGCGATGAACCCTTTCCGGACAGGCCAGCTCGTCATGTTCCAGGTAAAATATGATCGAACTTGGCATTTCTTCGAAATCTTATTTTACTTGATCATCGGAGCCTTTGGTGGTCTGTACGGCGCCTTCGTCATGAAATGGAATCTGAGAGTACAGGTATTTCGAAAGAAGTATCTTGGCAACTGGCAGATTACAGAAGCGGTGGTTTTGGCCGTTCTCACAGCCATTATCTGCTATCCAAACATGTTCCTCCGCATCGACATGACAGAAAGCATGGAGATCCTTTTCCAGGAATGCGAAGGCGACCATGATTATGATGAGCTTTGCGAGTGAGTATCCTTGGCCGCTTCTATCATTCTAGCTAACGACGCCGAGGTCTGATAACCGCTGGCGCATGATGTTGTCGCTCGGCATTGCCACTGTACTTCGAACACTTCTCGTCATCATCTCGTTCGGATGCAAGGTGCCCGCAGGCATATTCGTGCCTTCCATGGCCATTGGAGCATCCTTTGGCAGAATGGTCGGCATCTTCGTTCAGTTCCTGCACGAGTCGTTCCCAGACTCGGCGTTCTTCTCTGCTTGCCAGCCGGATGTACCCTGCATAACACCTGGCACTTATGCCTTTCTTGGTGCTGGAGCCGCGTTGAGTGGCATCATGCACATCACTGTGTCGACTGTGGTCATCATGTTCGAGATCACTGGCGCACTGACCTACATACTGCCCACCATGGTTGTAGTTGGAGTTACGAAGGCCGTGAGCGAGCGATTCGGACATGGTGGCATTGCAGACCGAATGATCTATCTGAACGGATACCCATTCCTGGACAACAAGGAGGAGCACACGTTTGGTGTACCCGTATCACAGGTCATGGCATCCCACGTCGTGTCTTTGCCTGCGACTGGTCTTGAACTACGAGCGTTGGAGCGTATAACCAATGAGAACCAATACCAAGGGTATCCGATCGTGGAAGACGTACAGTCAAAGACTCTAGTCGGATACATCGGCCGGACAGAGCTGCGGTATGCCATCGACAGGGCTAAGAAAGATCAAATGGCCCCCGGTCACGCACGCTGCACCTTCATCACTCCGAATACCAGCGGCACCCGTACTCCACCCTCCGCAGTGCCGTCTGCATCCTTCGATACCATGTCTGCCACGTCCGGTCAGCTCCAAGTCGACCTCTCGAAGTTCATCGATCCTACGCCTCTCTCTGTCCATCCTCGTCTCCCTCTTGAAACAGTCATGGAGCTCTTCAAGAAGATGGGCCCACGTGTCATACTTATTGAATACCGTGGGCGCCTTACCGGACTCGTCACCGTCAAAGATTGTCTAAAGTATCAGTTCAAGGTCGAGGCGCATGAGAATCCTCAAGTTGCGAGAAGTTTGGACGAAAGACAAGAGAAACTCTGGGCTGTTCTCACGACCGCTGCAGGGTGGATAGACGGCGTATTTGGAAAGTTCAGAAGCAGAGTAGGCGGTGGACATGGCGTCAGGTTATCGAGCCCTATCATGGCGAGACACCGAGAGGCAGACGGGGATGGATTGAGGAATAGCAACGACGATGCAGAAGTCGAACTGGAGGACCGAGGTAGAGGGAGTGTTAGGTAGTCGTCATACAGTTACACATTGTTCAAATGCCCCGCCCTACATACATGAGACACGATTATTGGCCGGGATAGGATGGTTCATGCAGTAGCAGTCACGTGAGAAGTAGCGTTGAGGTTGGTCGCGCTTTCCCGTCGCGCATTTGCGGGGACCCCGGCGCGTCAACAGGTGAGATAAACAAAACATGCGTGAAGCGGCCACTCGAGACAGGTTTTTGACGCTATGTTTTCTTCATTTCTGCCAACGCAACGGGATCTTTCTAGAAGGTCGGATTTGTTTTCGCGATCGAAACGCCAATCACGCCCATATCTGACCAAACCCCTGTCGCGGCGTGCGTTGTTCGGTCCTCCGCGTCCTCGCACGGACCCGTCGCGTCTTCCCAACTTTCGTCTGTCTCGCAAGCACACGTCCAACAGTAATCGACTCTGGGCTGCGTGCACTCTCCTTTACCGACATACCTAATACTCCGCGCCACCTCTCCTTTCCCCGCCACCCAGGAAGCGGCGAGACACATGTCTCTTTCCCGAAACTACACCTGAACAACGATATGGAGTCGCCGCTGGCTCCAGGGGCCGCCAACGGTAGCATACGCTCGCCGAGCCCAGCACCACCCGCGATCGACCCCCAGATTATTGTCGACTATGTCGAGAAGGTCCTCGAAGTCAACCTCGGTGCTTCAAGTGCGGACCTTCACGCGCCGGGCAGTCTGCTCTCCGAATCCAGGATCGATGATACCTTGCAGCGCTGCACTCGTTTCGCGCTTGAGTCGCAACAGGTTATTTATCTGGTCAAAGACAGGCTGGATGAGGCTCGTATCGACGGACTCGATGGCACGAATGGTTGGCACCTCCCTGCCCAGTACTCTGGGTGTCTCCACTAACTGCTGCTACAGGTGCCACCCAACACTTTCTCTACACTCTTTCTTCCGAACTTGTAGATTCTCCCACGTGTGCGGCGTTCGTTGTCATTTCTAAGCGACCGATACCCATAGACCCTGCGATACCCATTACCGAGCAAGTGCAGATCACGACGCTGCCTGGCTTTGCTGCGTTCAACACCACTTCATCGAAAGATTCCTCTCCTTATGAGTTCATACGTTCGATCCTACATAATTCGGTTCAACCCTACTTTAATACATTTACCAAAGGCCAGCAGAGCTTGGCAGGGACGTCTTTGAAGGGCGACAATGAATCTAGATCTGGAATCCCGGCAGCGCAGAGGAAGTTTCGCGAGCTAGACTTGACTCTGAGTAACCTGGGAGATAACGTAGAGATTCCGCAACTGCTACTCCCGCTGCACCCTATGATCAAGGCTGCGGTGGAATCAGCAGAGGCTGAGAAAAAGACGCCATCACCGGACTATCTGCCCGCGGCCATCGTGACGGACAGTGCGTTCTTGAATGGCTTGCAATCCACAGTCAACGGATGGATCAGGTCGATTCAAACAATCACCAAGACTGACCGAAAAGTGTCAACCGGCACAGCCACACAAGAGATCAATTTCTGGATCTCAATGGAAAACAGGCTCGACGATATCGAAGCTCAGCTCAGAAGCCCTGGTGTCAAATTAACGCTGGACGTCCTTAAGAATGCGAAGCGCTTCCAAGCGACCGTCAGCTTCAGCGCAGACACTGGTTTGAAAGAGACCCATGACAAGGTCATAAAGTATAACCAGCTCATGCGCGAATTTCCGATTGGAGAGCTTCTTTCGGCCACGTCGTTACAGAAAGTCCAAGAAGCAATCCAGCAGATCTTTGGCCACATAAACAAGAAGCTCCGCATCTGTCCGTACCCAGTGGAACGCGCCTTGCCTCTCGTGGAGGCTATTTCCGCGGATCTCGACAAGGTTCTGCATGATCTGCTTAGGGGCAAGGAACTGATGGCTATGGACTATCCTGAATTTCAGTCTGTCATGGAGGTAGCAGACAGCATCTGGCATGCCTGGGACGAGAATGTCAAAGAATTTACCAAAGTTGCTCGTGAGGTTACTAGACGAAGGAATGAGAAGTTCATCCCGATCAAATTCACTGATCGTCACCAACCTACGGAGGAGCGAATACGATATGTCTCTACTTTCCGAAAGAACCATGAACAGTTACAGCGCACGATCGTAACTGTTCTCGGATCGCAGACCTCGCTCGCATCATTGTCTGATGGCGCAGAGAGCAATCAGGCCGTGATCGTCGAAGAAATGGGCGATGTTGATGCTGTGAAAGAAGTAGAGAAAGCATACGACGCATTGAAAGATGTAGACGTGCTTGATGTCGAGCCAGAAGGCACTCGCCTCTTTGAGCAGGCTGAGCAGAAGTACAATGAGCGGACTTCGCGTGTCGAAAACTCCATCATCGCCAGACTTCGGGATCGTCTTGGTACGGCAAAGACAGCTAACGAGATGTTCCGCGTCTTCTCCAAGTTCAACCCGCTGTTTGTGCGCCCAAAGATTCGAGGAGCTATCTCTGAGTATCAGACGCAACTCATCGAGAATGTCAAGCAAGACATCTCGGCCCTTCACGAGCGTTTCAAGCGACAATACGGAAACTCCGAGGCGCACGCTATGGCTCAGCTCCGCGATTTCCCTCCCGTGTCAGGCGCGGTGATATGGGCACGACAAATCGAGACGCAACTGGAAAATTACATGGGCAAAGTGGAAGACATCCTAGGGAAGGAGTGGGCGTTGCATGCCGAAGGGCAAAAGCTGCAGGCCGAGAGCAGTATGTTCAAAAAGAAGCTTGACACTCGGCCGATTTTCGAATCGTGGATACAGTCTGTTGCGCGCCAGAAGTTGTCAATCTCGGGGCGTCTGTTCATCGTTAATCGAAACCGTGCGGCTGGTAACATCCTTGAGCTACATGTCAACTTCAATGCCCAAGTAATTGCGCTCTTCAAAGAAGTTCGGAACCTGACATGGCGAGGCTACCAGGTGCCCCACGGTATCAACAACATTTCGAAAGAAGCCAAGCGAGTGTATCCCTATGCTGTCAGCTTGATGGAGAGCGTGCGAACATACACCCAGACAATCCAGTCTGTCGTCGAGCTGACCGGTGTTGCTCTGCTGCTCAATGGATACTTGAATGATGTGCAAGGGCTCGTCGGAAAGGGTGTTCCTCTTAAATGGGAGTCTTTCGTCCATGCTTACGACCTTCATATCCGGCAGCCAGCATTCTCGAATGGTGCGCCTGGCAGCGTACGAACAGAGAGTAAGCACGTTCAATTCGTCCGCGAATTCGCTGCCTCCACTTCACTGTTGCAGACCAAAGTCGCCACTCTTGTGACCATAAATGCGACTGTCCAGAAGGCGTTGAAGGACTTGGAGACGTGCCCGTACAATGCGGATGCTTTCCGCCAGCATTTGGAAATCGTCCAAAGATCGGTTGACCAGCTGAATCTCGAGAACTACGCCAATCTGGGATCATGGGTAGCCGCAATGAACTCTCGTATCGAGGCTATTCTGTTGATCCGACTGAACCGCGCCATCGCGCAATGGATCGAGGTTTTCACCAATGTTGACCAAGAGGAAGATCGACGACCCATCAGCCAACCCGCGACCGTGCAGAATACCGAAGAGAAGCCCAGCCTTTCTCGCTTGACGCTGGAAATCACCATGCGCAACCAGGTGATTTACCTGAACCCTCCTGTCGAATATGCTCGTGCCAGCTGGCTAGAACAGCTTCAGCAATGGCTTGCGGTCATATGTACTCTGCAGAAGATCAAAGCCTCGCGGTACGAGATGCGAGTGGAGGCTGCAGAGAACGCATCCAGCAATCAGTTCTCCAACCTGGCCAGCCTATGCACTGATGCACTGATGCAGGTGTACGGTGCGGTAGAGGGCAAGCTCCATGACATTTCCTCTTATGTCGACGAGTGGTTACAATTCCAGTCTCTGTGGGATCTGCAGTCTGATCATGTCTACGAGATCCTGGGCGAAGACCTTTCACGCTGGCTCCAGCTACTTCAGGAAATCCGGAAGACTCGCGACACATTCGACACTTCCGACATCAGCCGCCACTTTGGGTATGTTACCGTGGACTACGAGCAGGTACAGAACAAAGTCAGTGCCAAATACGACCAGTGGCAGCAAGAGATTCTCGTCAAGTTTGCTGGAAGACTTGGGCAGCGTATGGTTGAGGTATTTGCGCAGATCGAGAAAGCGCGCAAAGACTTGGAAATGCAGACCTTGGAGGCTTCCTCCACTGCCCAGGCTGTCTCTTTTATCACTGTTGTTGAACAGTCCAAGCGAAAGGTCCTGGAATGGGAACCCGAGATCGACGTCTTCCGACAGGGGAATTCCACTCTTGTCCGTCAACGTTACCAGACACCCGTCGATTGGCTACATATGGATCAAATCGACCATGAGTGGCAGATGCTCACTGATGTTCTGGAGCGCAAGTCGAAGATCGCCAACGACCAGCGAGATGCTCTTAGAGGCAAGATCGAGGCAGAGGACAAGGTCGTGAACCAGAAGATTGCCGACATCATTGCTGAGTGGAGTGAGCAAAAGCCGGTTGCCGGCAACATTCGCCCCTCAGAGGCTTCGCAAACTCTCGAAACCTTCGACCGGAAATTGAATCAACTGCGCACCGAGTCAGAGAACATATCCAAGGCGAAAGATGCGCTCAACCTTTCGAAATCCGGCGAGACAGCTCTCACGGCTGTGCTTGAAGAAGTTCAAGACTTCAAGTCTGTGTGGGCGTCCCTTGCCACGATCTGGGAGAGCATCGATACCCTTCGCGAAACACTCTGGAACAGCATTCAACCACGTAAATTACGCCAGAACCTAGACAACCTGCTTAAGATGACTAAAGACATGCCGAGCCGAATGCGGCAGTATCAGGCGTTCGAGTACGTACAGGGCACTTTGAAGCAGCTTCTCAAGGAGAACACCATTCTCAGTGATCTGCGATCTGATGCTGTGCGGGAACGACACTGGGCGCGCATCTTCAAAAATCTCAAACCCTCCAAGCGATACTCAGCAATCTCCATGACCTTAGGTGACGTCTGGGACCTCAAGCTGGGCCCTAGCGAAAAGATCATTCGTGATGTTATTACCCAAGCTCAGGGTGAGATGGCGCTCGAGGAGTTCCTGAAGCAAGTCCGCGAGACCTGGCAAGGTTACGGTTTGGAGCTCGTAAACTACCAGAACAAGTGCCGCCTCATCCGTGGCTGGGACGATCTCTTCGCCAAGTGCAGCGAGAACCTCAACTCTCTGCAGGCCATGAGGCATTCTCCGTACTACAAAGAGTTCGAAGAAGATGCATCAGCGTGGGAGGACAAGCTAAACCGTGTGCACGTTCTCTTTGATGTCTGGATTGATGTACAACGCCAATGGGTGTATCTCGAGGGTGTGTTCACTGGTAACGCCGACATCAAGCATTTGTTGCCGATGGAATCTTCACGATTCCAGAACATCAACTCGGAGTTCCTGTCTGTTATGAAGAAGGTAGTCCGCCAGCCTTTCGTTCTCGATGTACTGAACATCTCGGGAGTGCAGAAGTCGCTTGAACGCCTCGCGGAACTTCTCAACAAAATTCAGAAAGCCCTGGGAGAGTACCTTGAGCGAGAGCGTGTATCCTTCCCTCGTTTCTACTTCGTTGGTGACGAAGACCTTCTTGAGATCATCGGGAACAGCAACGACACACTGCGTATTGCCAAACACCTTAGGAAGATGTTCGCAGGGATATCCGGTCTCATCACGGACGAGGATGGCGTCATCACTGGCTTCACCTCAAAGGAGGGGGAAGAGGTAATGATGCGAAAAGAAGTCAACTTGATCAAGACTCCACGCATCAACGAGTGGCTCGGTGCCTTGGAGATGAGTATGAAAACGACTCTTGCAGAACTCTCATTCGAAGCCTACCAGGAGTTTGAACAATTGATGGCACCCGATGCTATGGACCCTGTAGCTTTTGAGGAGTATCTCAACAAATACCCTGCCCAAGTCGTGGTTCTTGGGACACAAATCGCCTGGTCACACGCCGTCGAAAAGTCTCTTGTTGAAGAGGGTACGTCATTGCCGCAACTGTACGAGAAGCAAGTCAACATCCTGAAGCTTCTTGCAACATCCGTGCTCGGCGACCTTGAGCCCATCCAGCGAAGGAAATGCGAACACCTCATCACTGAATTCGTCCACCAGCGAGACCTGATTGACAAGCTTCAGAAGGTCGGAGCAAGCTCGCCTACCCACCACTTATGGCTGCTCACTATGCGCTACATGTATGAGCCGAACGACGACTTGCTGAAGCGGATGAAGATTAAGATGGCGAATGCGGTCTTAGACTATGGGTACGAATACCTTGGTGTGGCGGAACGCCTCGTCCGCACTCCACTGACTGACCGCTGTTTCCTCACCCTTACACAAGCCTTGTGCCAGCGTCTCGGTGGTTCTCCATATGGGCCCGCAGGTACCGGAAAGACAGAGTCAGTTAAGGCTTTGGGTGTGCAGCTCGGCCGCTTCACCCTCGTCTTCTGTTGTGACGATACTTTCGACTTCCAAGCTATGGGTCGTATCTTCCTAGGTATCTGCCAGGTCGGCGCCTGGGGATGTTTCGATGAATTCAATCGTCTGGAAGAGCGTATTTTGTCAGCCGTCTCCCAGCAGATTCAAAACATTCAGCTTGGTTTGCGCACAGGTGCTGAAGACGAAAAAGCACAGATTGACCTGATCGGTCGCCAGCTTCGGGTCAATCTCAACACTGGCATATTCATCACGATGAACCCTGGATATGCTGGACGATCGAACTTGCCAGACAACTTGAAAAAGCTTTTCCGAAGTGTTGCCATGTCTAAGCCGGACAAGGAGCTCATTTCTGAGGTCATGCTTTACTCGCAGGGATTTTCCCAAGCCAAAGAACTATCAAAGCAAGTCGTTCCCTTCTTTGACAAGTGCTCCGGCAAATTATCCAAGCAAGCACACTACGACTTCGGTCTGCGTGCACTGAAGAGTGTGCTTGTTAGTTCTGGTGGTCTGAAGCGAGCTCGCATCGCAGTAATAGATACCAAGGAAGCCGATGAGGCTGTCATGGAGCCTCAGATCATCATCCAGAGTCTGCGCGAGACTATGGCACCAAAGCTGATTGCCTCCGATGTCGAGATAATGAAGGCCATCGAGGGAGAGTCTTTCCCAGATGTTGAATACGTCCCTGCGCCTCTCGACAAACTCCAAGACGCCATCCGCAAGTCGGCCGAAGAGTCCAAGTTCGTTGTTAGCGATGCTTGGATGACCAAGATTATCCAGCTGTACCAGATTCAAAACCTACATCACGGTGTCATGATGGTTGGTTCTTCCGGCTCTGGTAAATCTGCAGCCTGGAAGACTTTGCTTGCCGCCCTGCAGACCGTGGAAGGTGTCGAAGGAGTGTGCCACGTCATCGACCCCAAGGTCATGTCCAAGGAAGACCTTTACGGAGTCATGGACAGTACCACTCGCGAGTGGACCGATGGACTTTTCACGAGCATTCTTCGCAAGATTGTAGACAACCTTCGTGGTGAAGACACGAAACGTCATTGGATCGTTTTCGATGGCGACGTCGACCCTGAATGGGTCGAGAATCTGAACTCTGTCCTCGACGACAACAAGCTTCTTACTCTTCCGAACGGCGAGCGTCTCAATCTTCCTCCAAATGTTCGTATCATGTTTGAGGTCGAGACACTGAAGTACGCGACACTGGCTACCGTGTCCCGTTGCGGTATGGTATGGTTCAGCGACGACACCGTTGAAGTCGAGATGATGATCAAGAACTACACCGAGAATCTCAAGACGGTTCCTTTCGACGACATCGAAGACGACTCGGTGGCACCGGGCCAGATGTCCCAGAAGACCCTCGCCACGCAAAGTTTGATCGCCGACTTCCTCCTCATCAAGCTGACCCAGGACAAATTTATCGAGAAGGCACTCAGTATGGCAAAGAAATTCAAGCATATCATGGAGTACACTGAGATCCGCGCTCTCAATACTCTCTTCTCGCTACTCAACAAGGCTTGTCGCAACGTTCTCGAATACAACGTACAGCATCAGGACTTTCCGCTGGAGGACGAGAAGATGGAAGTTTATATATCAAAGAAGTTGCTTCTCGCATTGGTCTGGGCTCTTGTGGGTGATTGCCCTCTGTCCGAACGCAAACAGTTCGGCGATCTTGTTGCCGGCCTCACAGATGTTGAACTCCCGTCGCTGAACGAGTCGACATCCCTCATTGACTTTGATGTCAAGCCTGACAAGTCGGACTGGGATATGTGGCAGAACCAGGTGCCGACCATGGAGATCAACACACATTCCGTCACACAGAACGACGTGGTTATCCCAACTCTCGACACTGTGCGCCATGAAGATGTGCTGTACTCGTGGCTTGCCGAGCATAAGCCACTCCTTCTTTGTGGTCCACCAGGTTCCGGTAAAACTATGACTCTGTTTAGCGCACTGCGCAAGCTACCCAACATGGAAACTGTCGGTCTCAACTTTTCCAGTGCCACCACTCCAGATCTCCTCGTTAAAACATTCGAGCAGCACTGTGAATACAAGAAGACGCTTAACGGAGTGCAGCTCTCACCAACTCAGGTTGGCCGATGGCTCATCATCTTCTGCGACGAGATTAACTTGCCAGCACCCGACAAGTATGGTACTCAACGAGCCATATCTTTCCTTAGGCAGCTCGTGGAGCAAAACGGCTTCTGGCGAACATCCGACAAAACATGGGTCACTCTGGATCGCATTCAATTCGTTGGAGCTTGTAACCCGCCTACGGATGCCGGCCGTACGCCTATGGGACTACGGTTCCTCCGCCATGCGCCGCTTATTATGGTCGACTACCCTGGCGAGCTATCCTTACTCCAGATCTATGGCACTTTCAACAGCGCGGTATTGAAGATCATTCCCACCCTTCGCGGATACTCAGAGGCCCTAACGAAAGCCATGGTGCAACTGTACTCCGAATCCCAAAAGCGCTTTACCCCCGATATCCAGCCGCACTACATCTACTCACCTCGTGAACTGACACGGTGGGTCAAAGGTATATACGAAGCCCTGCGTCCGCTTGAAACCTTGTCTGTTGAAGGTCTCGTCAGGATCTGGGCGCACGAAGCTCTCCGGCTGTTCCAGGATCGTCTAATCGCCGAGGACGAACGCAAATGGACGGAAGAATGCGTTCACCGCGTGGCAATGGAGCACTTCCCAACCATTGATGAAGACAAGGCACTCCGTGGACCCATCCTGTACTCCAACTGGCTGTCCAAGAATTACGTCCCTGTTGAGCGGGATCAGCTGCGTGATTTTGTCAAAGCACGTCTGAAGACCTTTTGTGAAGAAGAGGTTGATGTGCCGTTAATCCTCTTCAACGACGTTCTTGAACATGTACTCCGCATCGACCGTGTTTTCCGACAGCCCCAAGGTCATCTGATCTTGATCGGTGTCAGCGGTTCAGGAAAGACTACCCTTTCCCGCTTTGTTGCCTGGATGAACGGACTCAAGGTCTACCAGATCAAGGTCCACGGCAAATATTCTGGTGAAGACTTTGACGAAGATCTTCGAAACGTACTTCGTCGGTGCGGTTGCAAGGGTGAAAAGATTTGTTTCATTATGGACGAAGCTAACGTGTTGGACTCTGGATTTCTCGAGCGCATGAACACTCTGCTCGCCAATGCTGAAGTTCCTGGTCTTTTTGAAGGCGATGAGTACGCCTCTTTGATGACAGCCATTAAAGAGGGAGCGCAACGCCAAGGTACCATCCTCGACTCCCAAGAAGAACTCTACAAGTGGTTCACTGGACAGATTGTCAAGAATCTGCATGTGGTGTTTACAATGAACCCACCCGAGGAAGGTCTCTCGTCTAAGGCTGCCACTAGCCCTGCCTTGTTTAATCGATGCGTGCTCAACTGGATGGGTGATTGGTCTGACCAAGCCCTTTACCAAGTCGGTAGCGAACTCACTCAGTCTGTAGACTTAGATCGCGCCAACTACAACGCACCCGACAGCATTCCCGTTGCCTACCGTGGTCTCTCGCTTCCTCCTTCGCACCGCGAAAGTGTGGTCAATGCCATGGTCTACGTCCACCACTCTCTGCACGGCTTCAACAACAAGCTGCAGAAGCAGCAGAACAAGAAGACCTATCTTACCCCTCGCCATTTCTTGGACTTCGTGGCACAGTATGTCAAGCTGTACAACGAGAAACGCGAAGAACTCGAGGAACAACAGCGCCATCTCAACGTCGGTCTCGAGAAGCTGCGCGAGACCGTCGACCAAGTTCAAGAGCTCCGCATAAGCCTAGCACAGAAAAAGACCCAATTAGAAAAGAAGGATGCTGAAGCTAACGACAAGCTGCAGCGTATGGTCGCTGACCAGCGGGTCGCAGAGCAGAAGAAGTCGAGCTCTATCGAAGTCTCGGCTAAACTCGCTCAAGAGGATATTGAGATCCAGAGGCGTCAAGAGGAGGTGAACAATGACCTCGCTGCGGCCGAGCCGGCTGTGTTGGAGGCTCAGAAGGCTGTGCAGAACATCAAGAGGCAGCATCTTACCGAAGTCCGATCTATGGGTAACCCGCCTATGGGTGTCAAGCTTGCTTTAGAGGCTGTTTGCACGCTTCTCGGCAACAAGGTCTCTGACTGGAAATCTATCGTGGCCATTGTGAGGAAAGACGACTTCATTGCCAACATTGTAACCTTCGACAACGAGAGGCAGATGACCGCTCCGCTCCGGAAGAAGATGATGAACGAATACCTATCCAAAGAGGACTTCACGTTCGAGAAGGTTAATCGCGCTTCAAAGGCTTGCGGTCCGCTTGTGAAATGGGTGGAGGCTCAAGTGCACTACTCGGATATTTTGGATCGTGTTGGACCTCTGCGTGCTGAGGTGGAGCAATTGGAGGAAGCTGCTCAGGTGACGAAAGACGAAGCGAAGGAGACTCAAGCCCTGATTCAGAAGTTGGAAGACAGCATTGCTCAGTACAAGACGGAATATGCTGCGTTGATCAGCGAGACCCAGGCTATCAAGTCCGAGATGAAGACGGTGGAATCCAAGGTCGACCGCAGTCTGAAGTTGCTCGACAGTCTTTCGTCGGAACGCACACGCTGGGAGGCGAGCAGCCGCTCGTTCGACTCACAGATCGATACCATTGTGGGCGACGTGCTTGTTGCAGCAGCCTTCATCGCTTACGGAGGCTACTACGACCAGCAATACAGGAAGGGCATGATGGAAGACTGGCTGCATCACCTATCACTTTCGGGTATCACTTTCAAGACTCCAAACCCGATCACCGAATACCTGTCCACTCCTGATGAGAGGCTTACGTGGCAGCACAACAGTCTACCAGTTGACGACCTATGTACCGAAAATGCCATTGTTCTCAAGCGCTTCAACAGGTACCCGCTCATCATCGATCCCTCTGGCCGGACCCAGGAGTTCTTGGAGAACGAGAACAAGGATCGCCGACTCACCGTTACCAGCTTCTTGGATGATTCATTCACGAAGCAGCTCGAGAGCTCCCTGCGTTTCGGTAACCCCATCCTGATCCAGGACGCTGAACATCTGGACCCAATCCTCAACCATGTTCTCAATAAAGAGTACCAGAAGACAGGAGGTCGTGTGCTCATCCAGCTTGGCAAACAAGAGATCGACTTCTCGCCTTCGTTTAAGGTGTACCTGTCTACGCGCGATCCCTCAGCCAACTTTGCCCCAGATATCTGCAGTCGTACCACCTTTGTCAACTTCACAGTCACGCAGAGCAGTTTGCAGACACAGACTCTCAACGAAGTACTCAAGTCCGAGCGACCGGATGTGGACGAGCGCCGGACAAACCTCATCAAGATGCAGGGCGAGTTCGCTGTTCATCTGCGACAGCTTGAGAAGCGCCTGCTCCAGGCCCTCAACGAATCCCAAGGAAATATCCTCGATGATGATCGTGTTATTGAGACCTTGGAGACTCTCAAGAAGGAGGCAGCAGAGATCTCAGTCAAGGTCTCGGAGACTGCTGGTGTTATGACAGAGGTCGAAAACATTACCAAGGAATACGCCGTCGTTGCTCGCTCGTGCTCGGCCATCTTCGCGGTTCTGGAGCAACTGCACCATCTCAACCACTTCTATCAGTTCTCGCTGCAGTACTTTACCCAGATCTTTGGAACCGTGCTACGCAACGTCAAGAACTCCAGCCTCACCTCCCATGCTGACCGTATCAACCGGATTGTCACCGACCTATTCATCGACACGTACCGCCGTACGTCGCTTTCCCTGCTTCAGAAGGATCGAGTCACACTAGCGATGCTACTCGTACAGGCAGCGCCCTACAAGATGGACAAGACTTTGATTGATATCATTCTTGATGAAGACCTGGAGGGCGTCGATCTTTCCAGTCAGCCTGAACGTATGAACGAGGTCATGGCCCGTGCGGGCAAGGTATCCGTCTTCAAGTCTGAGCTTGGCAAGGTGGATGATGTCACTTGGGAGACCTTCCTCGCCGAAGAACTCGGAGAGCGCCATGTGCCTCCAGCCTGGCCGGCAGATGTCAACAACTACGATCAGCAGCTGCGCGCACTCGTTCTAGTCAAGTTGTTCCGAGTTGATCGCTTCGTTCCCGCGGTTGAGCGTTTCGTTACCGATGTCTTTGGCAAGGGTCTACTGGATGCCAGTGGCGACTTGGGTGACATCGTCAAGCAAGTCAATGCGACTACGCCCATCGCACTGAGCTCCAGCCCTGGTTTCGATGCCAGCTACAAGGTTGACAATCTGGTTGAGAGGGAGCATGTCACTTGCTCTAATATTGCCATGGGTTCTAACGAAGGCGCTACCACTGCCGACAAGGCTATCGCCAACGCTGCTACAACAGGCGACTGGGTCCTTGTCAAGAACGTGCACCTGGCTACTGAGTGGCTCCAGTCACTTGAGAAAAAGCTCGAAGCTCTCAAGCCTAATCCCGACTTCCGACTCTTCCTTTCTATGGAGTCCAGTCCAAAGATTCCTGTCAATCTACTGCGCGCCTCCCGTGTCTTGTCGTACGAGCAACCGGCCGGTATTCGCGCCAACATGAAAGACTCATTGGCTTCACTATCGGAGAGGGCTACCAAGCATCCAGTTGAGAAGGCCCGCATCTATCTTTTACTGTGCTTCTTCCATGCAGTCGTGCAAGAGCGCCTGCGATATGCGCCTACATTGGGATGGAAAGGCTTCTGGGAATTCAACGACAGCGATGTAAGTTCTTCAATGACTGATATTCCAGCACTTACTAACATTATTACAGTATGAATGCTGCAGCTTCATCGTCGACACCTGGGTCGACAATGTCGCCCAGGGCCGCTCCAATGTTGCCCCCAACAAGATCCCCTGGGACATGATCCGCACGCTCGTCACAGAGATGTACGGCGGCAAGATTGACGACGAAGCCGACTTCCGCACGCTCGCATCCCTCGTTCAGCAGTGCCTGACGCCCGCCGCTTTTGAAGACAACTACAAGATCGTTCCCGACACGGAGCTGAGCCAGGGCTTGGAGCTGCCAAGCGCCACCGGCTGGAAGGACTTCATGGGATGGGTCAACGACCTGCCTGAGCGCGAACCCCCGACGTATCTGGGCTTGCCGGCGAACGCGGAGAAGCTGCTGCTGGTTGGGCAAGCGAAGAGCATGGTGGCGAATTTGAAGAGGGTTGTGGATATGTTAGACGAGGGGGAGCAAATTATGGCGGAGGCGGAGGCGGAGGGTGCGGCGGAGACGTAGAATACCCTCAGACTATCATGGCTGCTCTATGAGCGTCGTTTCATTTGTCATCTGTTTGGAAGGGCAAGGGCGTTTGTGGCTTGTGCTTATGGCGGCATGGACATCAGCCGGATATTGGCATACCAAAGCGGAGTTCATGGGGTCTTAGCCATGGGAATGGGTCGGATATGCTGATATACCCATCTCTTTTGTTTTCGTGACTTTTGGTCAGTTTTTGTAGCTATCAGAACGCAGCGAATGCTTTTGCGAATACCCTAGCTGGTACATTGCAGTGCTTTAAGTGAAGTAAGAGGAGCAGAAGCTCGGTCGGAGCAATGGGTGTTAGGAAAGTGTGTGATGTGAGTGAGCAGACAGCGCCCCCTTCTATGCTATCCATCCATAGACAATACCCCAAGCAAGTATTCGTACAGCCCTTTCCAAGCCAATATCCAGCCTCCCGTATTTCAAAAATCATCCGCTTTCCCTAGCTACCACATCCACCATGGCCCTTCTAATCGACTCCCTGTGCTTCTCCAGCTGCTCCTTGAGCACCTCCGTCCTCGCAAGCCGGAGTGCGTACTCCGTGCTCAGCGTGGTGTCGAGGTCCATCATCTCCTTGAAACCTGTAAACTCGTCGACTTGTGGCAAAGGACTGTGGGTGGCTGGTGAGGCGAACTGCGAGGGGCCTTGCGGTGATGGTCGGGTGGCTGAGGCCGAGGGCGATGGTTAGGTACTTGACAGCTCTGGATTTCGGGACTGTGGTTTTGATCCCTGGGGAGTTCATGGGATCGCCGTCATAGTCATAGCCTGTAGTGTAGCTGTCGGGACGGATATATGCGTGATGGTGTCTGGACTTGCTGGAGATAGTGCATTGTTGTCCGTTAGGACGCTTGAGGTACCGCCCGCACGCTCATAGCTCAATGGTCGACTGCCAGGAGCCGCATCTCTCGGATATCTCCCGGACGCGTGTGCTCGCCTCACCCTTTCATCCCGCTCCAACTCATCCTCATCTTCGCCAGTCTCCCGATGGTCCACGACCTTTCTCTTCCTCCTGAAACGCTCCACCTGGTCATCCTCCAGTCCATCTCCCCAGTCCGCCTCTTGCTCCTGCCCTCTGTCCCATTCTCATACGCCCCTCGACCAACCTTCTTCAACCCCTCAAGCAAATATCCCCTTACTGTCCCCAGCACCAGCAATCTCATCCCCTCCTCCTCCACCAAGAGATACCAGTACGCAAAGCTCTTTACCACGCCCCTGCGCATCTCTCTCCACGCCCTCTCACATCCTATCCTCTCCTACCGCTTTTTCTCCAACAGCCTTCAAAGAGTTGCAATAGCTCGACAGCTTCGAGAATAAGCAGTGATGAGTCTTGTTACCGATGAAAATCTTCAACGAGGGGTCGACCCCGTGACGTGGGGTGGTCGTGAGGCCGATATGGACTTGCTGCGGTGGGGATGAGGGTGAGAGGGTGTATGTATCGACGTGAACTTTGTAAGGACGGTGTTTTGGGGCGTGATGGTCAGTTCGGAAGCTGGTGGGAGGGCGGCGAGGGCGGGGCAGAGGTCGTATGCAGCGACGAAGCGGCTTACGCTACTCAATTCAGTTGTTCGCGGCATATTGGCGCAGGGTGCTGTTGTGCGTGCTGTGTTTCGTACGATGTAAATTTGGACCGGAGGTCTACTGTGACATGGACAATGAGATCGTGGCTGAAGAAGTGCTGTGTGTTCATACTTTAAGCCTAAACGGTGTAAACATGTGAGGGCGCAGGTAAGAGAAGCTGTAGCTAATGAGAGAGGGAGGGTGAGAGAGACGGGAACATCACCCTTTCATCACAAGAGCGATCAGACGGACCCCTCTCACCTTGCTCACACACTCGCTCAGCTCGTATTAGTGTAATGTCGCGTCCGGAAATCATCATCTCCTTTTACAAAATCGAGACGCAGTCTCTCTCGTGTAACAACGACTCCTCTTAGAGACTACCTCTATCAACAGCTTCCACTCAAACCTATGGTATCGTTACATGGCCAGGGCTAGGGGCTACATCACCAGAATCCCATGATACGGGCTCTGCACCCATCTCGAACTCCAACAAGCTGTCACTACCATCGGCTCTCACAAGATCTTCGTGACTCAACCAGCTTTTGTCCCATTGGATTCCATTTACCTTCAGACTCTGCACGTAGGGTCCGCTCCCAAGTCCTGTCGTTTGGATTCGAAGGACAGCACCGCTGTTTCCGAGTGTCACTGTAGTGTTTTCGAATCGTGGAGCAAGAATCAGATACACTGGTTGAGTCGCAACGGGATATAATCCAACCATGTTCCACACGAGCCAACTGCTCATCGCGCCTGCGTCGTCGTTTCCCGGTATACCTGAGCGACCGTTGTTGTAGTACTGGTCTACGAGGTCGTGGGAAAGTCTTGCAGACTTGTGTTGCTTTCCCGGCCAGTAATTATATAAGAACGGTGTCATGAATGACGGTTCTGAACGATGTTAGCCTGGTTCTGATGTTCACCTGCCATGTGCAGAACAAACCATTGCCCGGATTGAATATCGTAGTGCCTGCGCTGTTACCGCCCTGGTTTGATTGGGTCAAGCCAGGAATAAACATTGTATCAAGTCTTTTCTCGGCCATCTCCGGACCACCCATCAGTGTTATGAGAGTCTCCATGTCGAACGGTATTGTCCAGCTGTATTCCCAGGGCACGCCTTCGTAGCTGATAGACTGCCAGTCACAGGCACCGCAGGACAGCGGGTCATATGCCTTGATGCTACCATTGCCGTACGTTGGAGCCAGAAAGCCCGTGAAGTTCAATGACGTGGTGTTGTGACTCCAAGTCCTCTGCCAGCCAGCCGAACGATTAAGATACACGGCCACATCTTCCGGAGCTTCACCTCTCGCCACCTGAGACAGTGAAAAGTCATTCAATGCGTAGTCGACGGTTTTGCTGAGACACCGTCCACGATCCGGGGTAACGAAACCGTATTTTTTCCAGTCCTGGAGTCCGCCGCGGCCTTCCTTGGTGCTCCCGCTAGGGTCTTCAAAGTCGAAGTTGTTGTACGGTTGGACCTCAGCATTGGTTTTCATAGCGGCATAGCCATCAGCCCAGTTGATACCCTTGAGTCCCTTCACGTAGGCGTCGGCAAGGACGTTGTCCGAATTCGAACCGCCCTGTACTCTTCCGTTGTGATTGTGGCTTCGACCCTCAGGCATGAAGCGTTCGTGGCGCCAGATATCGATCATAGCTCTGACGATGTCGGATTGGCGTTCAGGTTCAATCAATGTCAGAAGCGGATGAAGGGTTCGGAACGTATCCCAAAGCGTGTAAAAGTCATCATAATAGGGCTCTTCGGATTCCCAATACGGATTCTCCCCTGTTCGGTCGGAGGGCATCAGGTGCGAGTGATACATAGCCGTGTAGAACATCTCCAGTTGTGTCTGGTTGCTTGTATGCACGTCGATTTTGGAGAGGACCTCGGAGTTCCATTGGTCTTTGGCGGCTGAGTGAACCTTCTGGAGGTCCCAGTGTGGTATCTCATCGAGAAACTGGCAAGCCTTGTCTTCGGAGACCCATGATATACCCACTTTCGAAGTTACCACTGAGCTGTTCTGCGGAAAGGAGAATAATGCGCCAATTCGGTCAGCATATTGATAGCCGACAGTGCCTCCGCGGATGCTCGTCGCGTTGGTAAAAACAGGTCTGACGTCTGTGGTATTCGGCCAATACGGATCTGTCGCCTTCCCAGAGAAGAGCCGGGCTTCTACAGGCGTCGTGTCAAATCGGGCGCAGAAGTACACGCGGTAGTCGCCACCCCAACCCCAGCCTTCTCTGTATACACCGTACCCGGAGTACCGCGATCCACCATCGCTGATCTCAAGCTCGCCATTGCTGTACCATTGTTCTTTCTTGCCTGCGCTCGGAATGAAGTGGCTGAGGTCTACTAGGATGTGCTTTCCTTCAACTTCAGATGGATACGTATATTTGATTATCCCCGCGTGCATGCTCGAGCTCATCTCGGCTTTCACGCCGTTCTGCAACTGGGTTTTATAATAACCTACGGAAGCCTCATCTGGGCTTGTGCGAGGCTGCATGTATGTTATATTGTCCAGCAGATTGACTCCCTCTAAAGTAGTAAGTGGCATTTGGGGAATAAGGCCGTAAGTCGGAGCGCCGCCTGTGCCACTTTCGTGAAGCATCGTAATGGCGGTCACATTGCCGTCAGGCGTGTATCCACCGTTGGCAGCGAACGAAATGTTCCATCTTTTATCCCAATGTTAATACGACGTGGAGTGAACTGGGATTGTGCGGGAAGGGCGAACCGTGTTGTGTCAATGCCGACCTTTGCTGCACCGAATGGAAGTGTTGCACCAGGGAAGACATTTCCAGCGCTGTACGCACTTCCAGCGACAGGACCTTCTGTTCCGATGAAAAGGTTCACATGCTGCGTGTAGTCCTTCTGGCTGAGCGCGTTGCATACGCCTATTGACGCCGCAATGACAATGGTTGCAGGTCTCATATTCTGTGCGGTACTGGCTGAAGGGCCGGGCAGGAGAGCCGGGACGATCGACTTTTTACACTTGCAATGATTCTCTTCTTCAGGGAGCCCAACCCCGCCGCATCATGTTGCCAGCATCGTCACTTCCTTGGTTAAGCAGACCCGAATGCCCCAGTTTTGGAAGCTCGCCCGTAGCAACTAGTCACTTTCCGGTTGGATCGACTTGCTTAGGAGCCGCAATCCTGGGTAATCATCTTGGCCTCGGCTCGAATTTATCCGCGTCCCTCACGGATCTTCGGTGCCGGCAGCTTCGATGTAAATCGCATCAAGATACCAAATTTTGGACTGTCTTTTAGACTGTCTTACAGAACCTAGATGGTCATGTAGAAGTCAAATCGAAGGCGGGGTACATTGTCCCGCACCGAGCCGCCCCCATGAAATATGCAGAGCCTAAAGCTAGTTTAGGCTAGGTGCCAATACTCCGAACTCAGTCCCAGCCGACATCTCAACATCAACCTTGCATTGACACTAGTGCGACTGCACACTGCTATGCCTCTATCGCTTACCTCGCCGTTACAATGGGAAAACATTCCAACGAATGCGTTAGAAAAGTTGAGATACATAAGGTCGAGGGCAGACACAAGCACAGCTGAAGATGAACCGTCACTTTGTCGTCAATGCAGAAAAATGGCTCATGGCCCAGGAATTGCAGAATTATTTAGCCCTTCAGGATTTAAGCACTCACAACTCAGCACATTCGCGATTCGCACTGATTGCATGCTTTGTCAATTCCTATGGCGTGAAGATCTGCTGGGAAGTATGAACCAAGCCAACCGCATTCGTCGATTGAGTGATCTAGTCAAGCCCATGACAGGACCACCAGCTGTCAAAGAGCCCAGCAAAGCTTTCGTCGTCTTAATCGCTCTGAAACAGGATACTAGTCCCGAGATCTGGAGATATTTGGACGTCAAAGTGATATCGGATCGAGGACGCCTGTTATGGCAACCACTTCACAGCCTGCAAGTTGCTGTACCAGACGGTGGGTTCTAAGTACACATATCATTCATCCAAATACTGATGTTCATGTGTCTAGACGACCCATTTGCAGACTTCATTTACTGGCGCCCTGTTAGATGGGTCTATGGCAGCCTAAATTCTCTCCCAATGCTCCGGGAACTACTCAATTACTGTTGTGGGAATCACGCCAGCTGTCCACAGCTATCTGCAAAACCACTCCCGACTCGGATCTTGCGTATCTCTGGGCAGACACCACATTTGTCACTGACTCTACATGAAACAAGTCCGGATGCGGTGGGCGAATACATAGCTTTAAGTTATTGCTGGGGCGGTCCGCAGCAGCTATGCTTAACGACTCAAAACCTCAAGGACTTCAAGGAAGTAGCACTGGCAATCACACAGCTGCCTCAGACGCTCTCCGATGCGGCTCTAGTAACGAATGCATTAGGCATCCATTTTCTATGGGTCGATGCCCTATGCATTATACAGGACAGCGCCGAAGATAAAGAGCTTGAGATCGAAAAGATGTGCGCGATCTACGAGAACTCGGTCGTCACAATCGCAGCATCCACCTCTAAATCGGTGCAAGACGGGTTCCTGGACACCAATGCGTCGTACAACACCGAAAGTGCCTCGTGTACTATTCCAATACCCTTCCAGAGTGAGTGTGGCGAGGAAAAGTGGACCAGCGTGACTTTTTCGTCAACCCGTACACAACACACGGATATTTTTCCGATCAACAAGCGAGGATGGACCTTCCAAGAGGCTTTTGTGCCACACCGGCTGCTGGTATTTGGCGACATAGAACCCTTTATGCGATGCAGGTCTAGTGATACAGTCGTTCTGTCGCTCACTGCTCTGTCGTATTACAATTCGCGCATAGAACCGCGCCGCGTGCTGTACGGCGGACGACCCTACAATAGTAGTTACATGGAAGCAAACGACGACAGGCAATTCCGAAGACTGTGGTTGTATATCGTGGAGCAATACTGCCTGCGGACTTTTGGCTTCGAAGCAGACCGACCGCTGGCGATCCGTGGTGTTATCCAGTCTCTCCAGTCCGTGTATGGCGGTCAATGCTACCACGGCATCTGGTCTATTTGCCCGATTGGATGCCTGCTGTGGAGAAGCTATCCGAGGGATGCGGCGACGCCTGCGCGCCAGCCAGAGGTGCCCACTTGGTCCTGGCTTTCTCTCTCTTTCACCGACATTGACCTCAGTCTCCTTGAACTATTGGGCAATGATGACGGAACGGCCATTGTGCGATTTACGGACGCTCCGCATAGTACACTACAAATAACCTGTCAAGTACTTCTCGAGGATGAGGTGCTGAAGGCCGACGATATTGTCGCATATTGGGATGACTATGGGCGCGAATGGTCAGAAGCGTATGACCCTGAGTGGGAAGACCTCTTTCTCTTGGTACTGACGACAACGGCGGACCAGAAGCTGCTTACTATTGAAGCTGTACGTGAGAGCGAGGGCGCATATCGTCGGCGCGGAGTTATGGAGATTCGCGGAGTGGAGAAATGGCTTGCGCAACCGTACCAGACAGTCAAGTTGCTCTGAGGTGGGTAAGGATTCAAAGCATTGAATAGAAGTATGTCCCGGTGCGGTCCAAGGGCTAGTCGTCAATATCATATTCGTCGAGGTTTATGAATGGCGCAGATGGCCGCCTCATGTTCTGGTGTTCTCCTAGCGCCCCACTCGTTACGGATGCTACCTTCCGACCATTGATGTCGCCATCGACCACGCGAAAAACCATCTACTTGTCTGGAATTTGTCACATGTCGCGCCGATCAGCCACCAGAGTCCATTTCCAATACCAATATACGATAGTCAGAAAATGGAGAAGTCAAGTAAAATCGTCATCGTCGGCGCTGGAGTGTTTGGCCTTAGTACAGCTCGTCAACTCGCGCTAGAAGGGTTTGAAAACATCACTGTCTTGGACAGGCAGATGGTACCTGTAGGTATCTCGTCTTCGGGATAGCGTTGCCCAGTCTCATGGTGACAGGTACCGGATGGTTCGAGCTCGGACATATCGCGCATGGTGCGCTTTGATTATGGTGATGAAGACTATTTGCAACTGGCCTATGAAGCATACAAGCGATGGCAAGAGCCAAAGTACAAGGGGATCTTCTCCTCAGCTTCTTTTATTCTAGTCGGCAGTAATGCGACCAACCATGGCCGGTCCTGGCTAGACAAGACGACCGCAGCCCTCACGAAACATAAGCTCCCGTGGTCCAAGATCCAAGATGCGGCAGCTGCACGACGATCGTATCCTGCACTGAGCGGAGAACTCGCATCTCCAGGGTTCTTCGGCTATAGTAACGAGCAAGCCGGATGGGCAGATGCCAGCAAAGCAGTCATTCAGCTCCGCGATGAATGCATCGAGCTCGGCGTATCATTCATATGTGGCCGTGCTGGTACCGTCGTAGGTTTTGAAACAGGTTCACAGCAAATCGTCAAGGGCGTTAAAAATCTCTCCGGCTCCTGCATCCCAGGCGATCATTTTATCCTCACAGCTGGTGCCTGGGGTTCAGGTCTTGTGGAGATGTACAACTCGACACTCGCCACAGCGCAAACAATAGCGTACCTACGCCTTAGTGAGCACGAACTGGAAAAATACAAGAACTTGCCCATGTATGCCAATTTCTGCACCGGCTGGTTCAATTTCCCGCCGCACGCGGAAACGCGCATGCTAAAGTTCGCGATACATGGGTGGGGATATACTCGCGCGCCAGAGACGCAAGATCACGCTCCCATCAAGGACAACATCTCCTCGCCGCCCCTCGCATCGCGGGCGCGCCCGAACTTCGTCCCCGCAGACGGAGAGCAGCGCCTGCGCCGCGGCTTGCGCGAGATCCTACCCGAGCTGGCGGACCGCCCGTTCGAGAAGACAGCACTGTGCTGGTACACCGACACCCCGAGCGGCGATTTCATTATAGACTACCACCCAGACTACGCAAACCTGTTTGTTGGCGGTGCAGGGAGCGGGCAGTAAGTGAAATCATGCCCTTCCAGGAAGTACACACTAATGTGATCACCCAGCGCGTTCAAATTCCTGCCTATACTGGGCGAATGCATGGTCAAGGGTCTGAATAAGCAGCTCCCGGAACATCTTGCCGCTAAATGGCGTTTCCGGACGGAGTACAAGGACGACAAGGATGTGTTTCTAGGGGATGGGAGTAGAGGCGGGCCGGCGAGGCGGGAGCTTGATCCCCAGGAGAAGGCGAGATTGTAAGTCCGTACGTGCATGGGTGCGGGGGATGGTTCACGTACGGGAAGATCATGGTGAGTGGTCTGGGGATTTTGAAAGAGTGGAGCTAATGGCATTTGGTGTTGCGAAGTCTGGTATTCTAATGTTCCATTTGTTTTCATCACATACCATTATTCGAGAGTTTAAAGAGCAGTATGTGAATTAGCCGTGCTCAGCTCAAACGAGCACGCTGCACTAAACGCTACGGATGCAACATTAAACCAATCTCGCTCCAGCAAAACTCCAGCGACATCCCCCACCTAGATAGCGCGCTCATTGTGGGTGGCAATGTGCTTCTCGTCAACGGCACCGAGCTCGCCACCCTCGTGGATCTGCTTCTCGACGGCGGCGGCCTGCTTCTCGGCGAGCTCCTTGTCCTCGAACAGGAAGGCAAGCTCCTCGAGCGTGCGGTTGTACGTCTCGGGGTAGAGCATGTAGACAGTGAAGAACTCGAAGGCAATCCAGGCACAGTAGATGGCGAGGTACTTCCAGCCGATGGAGTTGAGCGCCAGAGGGTTGACGTTGGTGGAAAAGAAACCTCCGAGCTTGCCGAAGATCTGCTCGACACCGATACCCATGGTACGCTGGGCGTAGGGGAAGAGTTCGACAAGGTAGGCTGCAGGGAGTTAGCGGGATGATGGTGTTAGGTTGGGGCAGGGGTGGCTTACTGTATGTGAGCGAGTTGTTTCCGATGTTGTAGCAGGGCGAGTAGGCGAAGTAGAAGAAGAGCGCAGCAATAGCCGCATGGCCGTTCTTGGTACCGCTGTCCTTCGCAACTCTGAGGCTATGGAACGAGATGGTCATGCTGATGAAAACAAGGCACATGCTACCCGCGGAAAGCATGAACATCCAGCGACGGCGGAAGCGGGTAACGATAAGTGCGATGGTGACACCGTTGATCAAGGACCAGCACTGGTTGGCAATGTTGATGCGAGTCTTGGCGTAGTCGCTCTCGTAGCCCATCATCTCGAAGAGAAGGTTGGAGTAGTAGGACAGCAGGGTGTTGCCGCTCATCTGCGTGAAAAGACCCATCATGCAGGCAATGAGCACACGGCGGCGCATACCGGCGGTGCGGAGCATGTCCATCCAGGATTGCTTGGAGTGCTCGAGCTCGAGCTTGATGGTGGATCGAATTTGAGCCATCTCAGCTTGCACAAGGATGGAGCTGGCATCGCCCTCGGCGTGGTACTTGGTGAGAATAGCGAAAGCCTCGTCATCGCGATCCTTGCTGACGAGCCAACGGGGGCTCTCAGGAATCAGGCTGCAACACAGTTAGGTTTGAATCTCAAAAGCCAGGATGGCAAAACTCACAATACGGTCCCAATCTGGAGAAGAGACGGGCAGATCTGTAGCAGAGAGGGCAGGCGCCAGCTCCAGTCTCCAGCAATCTCAACGGTCTTGATGGCGATGGCAGCCGCAACGATGGCACCGACGAAGTACGACGCGTTGAAAAGCGAGGTCAGGAAAGCACGCTCCTTGGGGTGACCAAGTTCACCGATCAAGGCAGATCCGGAAATAATGCAGAAGACGATTCCGACACCGAGCAGCATACGAGCAATGATGTACATGCCAACTAAATTCGGACGTCAGATTGTATGCTGAAGCATTTGTTGAGGGTTCTTACCATGCTGAGCGAACCCTTGCAGGATAGCTCCCACACACATGATCAACGAACCCGTCATGATAGACCATCGTCGACCGAATTTCTGATTGAACCACGGGGCGATAGGGACAGCGAGGATGGAGCCGAGTTGGTAGCACGAGGAGATGAAACCAAGGAGGCCATCTTCGATAGCCCATTTGTTCTTCGCGTTCTTGTAACCGTTGCCGAAGTCTGATCTATTTGTGAGTGAAATTTTCATGCGTCTAGGATGACAGACTTACAATGGTTGAAAGGTTGCGAGAACTGGAGCGTGTTGATGAGTTGAGAGTCGAAACCAGAGGTCATCTCAACACCCATGCAGCACAGGAACAGGTAAACGTACATAACCCGAAGGTTAGGTTTCCTGTACCATGGCACCTTGTCCTCCTCGACGAGGCGAGTGACGATCGGGTCCGCGGATTCTCCTTTGACCATCTTGTCGAAGGTGTCGATGTATGAAAGCGACGCGCTTGACTGCAAGCATGGCAGACGAGAGAACCATGCACTTATAGTCTCCCCGCGCTGTCACCTTCCCCGGGCTCTTCCCCAGACGACCATACTGTAAAATCCTAAGCCGGAGGGCAGCCCGGCTGTACCGAAGGAGGAGCCAGGCCTGGTGACCGGCTAAATTCGTGTCATTTATCCTCCAATAGCCGTAGTCCAGGTTTGGCAAAGCTTGGACGTACACCTGTTCTATGGACGAATCACAGCAGCACAATGGCGTCTATCCTATCTTGGCGGATTTCGGTAAAGCACTCTGGAGGGTTCCAGTTGCGCTCTCGGGCAACACGTGGAGTTGGGGTTGCCAGACTGCCGGAATGTCGCGATTGCGCGCCGAATCCTCGTTCGCAGGTGTGACTGGGTGTCTCGGTTCGAGGGAAGGCTTTCTAGCAGATATTGACAGCCTGTGCTGCGAGGCATTGGACGGATCAGGTACGGGAAAGCGCGTCAGCAGCAGATCGAACAGGCCCCCATCTTGTCACGTTGGACTTAGATGAGATTTCCGCCGTCCACAATTGCGGCGTCAAATAGATTGAACCAAGCAAGCTCGAGCTGGTTCTTGGGATCGCCTTCGCGACCAGGCACCCAGCACCCGGTAACAAAAGTGGGTGCGGCAGCAGGAGCCTCGCATGCATCTACTTCTCGCGACGACTTCGAGAAGCTCTTCTAGTCATGGTCGCCAGATGCAACGACATGGAGCGGATGATCGCCAATGTTCTGGAAGGCGAACAATGAGATTTTCGAGGGTGCGGCACGGTTTGGCTTTTTCTTATTTGCCGGCTTGGTACGAAGTAAGACGAGGCGCCAACGCGTGCAACTCCGGATGAGCAGGCAAGTGGCACAGCTCACGCTTGACAGAGCGTCAATCCTTAGTTCATCTATTCGTATACGCTCAAGGCGTCGACGCCCAGCGCCTACTGGAGCAGTGCGGCAGTTGACCAACAGTAGGCGGAAGTCATTGGACGATTTGCTGGCGAAGGTATGTAGTATGCCTCCGAAGCATGCATGGTATCCGCATGCCCACGTTCGCCCTGCATACTATCCGCGCCGTAGAGAGTTCATTAATAGTCCGGCATCGCGTAATGTCGACTCTGCAGAAGGAGTACGTCCACGCGACACCCCAGACTGCTTTCCCATACGAGCGTGGTAAATTATACAAGGGCCCGCAGACAAAGGTTAGTGCAATGGAGAGCGGGCCGTTCGAGAGGAACCTAGGGAAGTTGAGCCTAGCGTCCAACATGCCAAGCACCTCGGCTTGGCTTCCGGCAGGTCAACTTGTTGAACGGAAGGTCCTATCCTGGGCACGCAGCCTAATAACAGCCGAAAGTCTTGGATAAAAATTCTTTTCGAAGCTGCGACTAATGGGCCTCCGCCTGAGGAGTCGACGAAAGATGTGAAGTGCCTGTGGACGCAGTCCATACGTATGAACACGCCCGAGGTTATACGCCGACCTTCACGCCGGAGTTGCAGCTGTAATACGACCAGCATTATCCGAATCCGTAAGGATTAATCATCGATGCAATCATCAAATCTACCACAAACGGATCCGAGGAGGTCACGAAGAGCTTGGGAAAAAGGACTGCCAACGGTTTAAAGTTCACTGTGCACCGTCGTCTTGGTGTGATGGTGCGAACAATCCAATGTAATCATTGTTGACACGAGTGTCGCCGTTCCTAGTCGAAGTGGCCCGACGTTTCCCACGAAGACGCGTATGCGCCAGTTGCAAATGCATGTCAGAACGAGCGATTTGCGACTGGAAGAGTACCGATCACGGAGGGCCATAATAAATGGAGCTTCCAAAGCGTTGAGAGGGATGTTCAAGTCGATGCGGAGCGACCAGGTCAATATCACTGGAGACCCACCGGTCAGGCGCAGGCTCGAAAACGATGAGATTGTTGGGTACACTGCTAAAGAGCATCACGGCCGAGCGAGATGAGGATATCATGGGTTGTCACTGCCACGCGGTAGAATTAAGAGCTCCACGAAATGTGTAAGCTTCTGCTAAGCAACTGCTTCGCTCCGCTAGGCTTCGTGGCTGAGGAGGCACGCGTTGTCGCGCTTACCCTTACCCAAACTCGCAGCCCCAACTACCAACACCACCGAAGGCGACTAAAGAGCACCTGGACGGACCCCCTCCAAGAATGCAGTCCTATAGCGAGCACGACAGTCACATTTTAGATAACGTGATGAAATTAGCTCCGCTTGAGACTTGAGGCTCAGCGTGGTGATGACTAATATTCATAGGTAGACAATCAACGCCTCGGAGGCGGCCAACGCAAAGGATACCTTCCCTCCCTTCACTTCGCGGTATTCGTACTTTCGGTCGCTAGCAATAGCGCAATCCTTGTTCAGGAAGTACTGGCCTGAATTCATCAGCAAGGTCGTCTACCCAGAAATTGTGAATACCAGTGCGAAGATCACACGTACCTCCAATAGTAGGATGAGAGGTGGCAGTTGTATCACCTGGCTCGGTCGTCAACGCGCTTGATGCAGCTGCAAATCGGAGAGCCTTCGCCTTCTTCAGGCCTATGAGACCTGACAGGTTGAATGTAGTCGAGCTGCGAGTCCCATTGCCGGAATAGTAGTCGGTATTCAGCAGGACCAGCTTTATGGGTTTGTTTCTCGCGTAGACGATGTATTGAGCGTAGCGCGTGGTGCCCTTATCTCCTGCAACGATCTTGTCACCACCGGCCAAGGCTAGGGCGGAGACGTATCCGCCGTAGAACGGAGCCTCGACTTGATTGTCGGACCACCAATTAAAGAATGCTGATAGGGAGTAAGCGCAAGCGGGATACAGCGGGCTCGCGTTGGACATGACTGACCTTGATTGACCGTGCCTTGGTGGTAGAAGAGGCGTTTGATGCCGATAGAGGTGCTTCGGAGGGAGCGATCGAGCGTGACCAGGGCACCGCCGAATGTTGCATCCATCTCTTCATCCAGGCCGTGGAAATTGGTCTCACCTATGGCGGCTGTCAGAAAGAGCATCTCGCAAGGTACATGTGAAGCGGAACATACCGAGAACATAGTCTCTACCCGCAACCTTTACCGACGCAATCTGGCTCAGAAATGTACCAACATCCGAGGAAGTCCGGACGTGACTCATCTCGCCATCAAGCGTTGTTCCGTTGGATAGTGCATAAAGATGTCCACTGTATATCTTCATGGCGTTCTTGATCGTCTGGTCGTATACAGTGTTGATCAAGTAATTGGTATTCGGCCAAGCGGGTGAAAGCGGGATAGGTACAGCGTATGACGGGCCAAAAAGAATGGGAAGCTTGCCCGGCCAGATTTTGAGGAAAGATTGAGCCCAGTCCGCGTTGCTTTCCCCTTCCTGCGTCTCGTTCCAGGGCGCGACGGCTATGGGCTGTTGCCACATCAGGTACACTATCGAGGGTGGCAATCAGTTTTCCACACTGAAAATTGCGGGGTACAACATCTTGAAGCAAATAAGAAGAAGGGGAAGACATACGGTCTGGCTCATTGCCAAGCTCGATAGCGTAGATATTCTTCGACGCTCGTTTGCGTGCCTCCAGAATCGCCGCAAAGGTGTTTTTCTTATTGCCTCGCCCTCGATTGAAACCTATAAATCCGGAAGATGATCAGAAAGGTCATTTTCCCCTGTGAGTTCCAGATAAGAAAGTCCCTACCCAAGATGGTCTCTGCACCAAATTCGTCTGGTACAAAGTCAGTTTATGTGATAGCACAAGCACGCATGAAGGCTTACTGATCAGGTCAAAAAACTTGGGACCATATGTCAGATCCATGGGCGCATCCAACGTATCGTCAACATGATGGTTTACATAGCCCTCAAAGTTTGGATCGTAGGTTGCGCGATCCTGCGTAGTGCCGCTAATGCGAATCGGCATCTGGTTCCTATACAGATCTGAGAAATGCTTTACACATCTCATAGGAGTGATGCTCCTCATGTATGATGGCCACATGAAGAATTCAAATCTAGATCATGTGTCAGTGACACGGGAGCATAGGAAGAAGCAGCAACTGACGATGCTCCGATGGGCATTGGATCCAGCACGCTTGCACTCGCTGGCGGAACATTGGGGAGATCAAGTGTTACATATATCTACTTCCAATCTCGACTTATGGTGCAGCGAAGCGTAGTTTACAGCATCGAGTTCTTCCTTGGGCTACCATAGATATCCTTTCTATGTACAATGAATGTGTAATCCTGGCCACCTACGACTATCTGCACGGGTCGCGAGGACAACCTGACGTGCACGGGAACGTTACAACCCATAATGGACAGCCTCACCTCCACATCGTGGTCAGCTGTGGGAGCCCAGGCAACGTGTACGCGGCCCAGCTCACGACCCCTCTGTGCTGGAATTGGCACAGTTGCCTCGAAGTCCCGATACAACGTGATACTAGGTTTAAAGCAAATCGCCGCCCAGCCAGGCTCAGCTGGCCTGACTCCCGCGACTTCAGCCAGAAACTCATAGATCGGAGCACTGGCCCAAGCATGACAATCTGAGCGCTGCGAAACACTGTCTTCCTCCCAAGTGGTTAGTCCCAGTGCGAGCTGCGCTCTCCAGGGAGCCCAGAAGCGACGGAAGTTGGCGTTGTAAGTGTCTTTGCCAGCCATGGCCAGGGCCCGCAACATGTAGAATGACATTGAAACCGATGTAGGAATGAAAGTGCTCGCTTTATCGTCCAATGAATCGTGTAGGACTTTCGCAGCGGCCTCGCCTTTTGCAGCACCACACAGAACAGCCCATGCTTGACTATGCTGGCTGTAGTATCTTCCGCATTGCGTGGCCTCAGCTAGGCTGTCGGTAAAGTAATTACCATCGAAACAGTGCCGAAGTATTGCTTCAGTCACGAGATCTGCGCGGCCACAGTACTCTACAGCCAGAGCAGACCGTTCGAGGTCATGCAACAATGAAGCAGCATTCTTCAGCGTATATGCATACAGCGCATTCGTGTACGTAGAGATCCCCGTCTTTACGACTGAAGGGGGGATTCCGTATGGCCGCCATTCCTCCGTCCAATCGTGGTAGTTCCAGATTCCCGGCCGATCCTCCGACGTCATAAGGTTCAGCCGTGGGTCCAAACGGCTATTGAAGTAATTCAGGATCGCGTCTATGATTGGTAGGAATTGCATCGTGAATGAGCGATCGCCGTTGAAGAGCCAGTGGTCGCACACCATGGATATCCAGTAGAGTGAGAAATGAGGAATGATCTGCAGCCGATGCGAAGGTGCGCGGCTCGCCGTGAGGCCAACATGCGCGACAAAGGAATTCCGCAGTTGTATGATTGCTTGTTGTGCGGGGCGGCTGTCGCTGGACACATAGTAGGTGAAGAGTATGGAGCTCCTGGTGTCCATGGCGTATTGCAGCTGTTCGTAGAATGGACAGTCTTCGTAGCAGTTATGCATGCAGTTCTTGAGCGTCCTGACGCTGGTCTCCCACAGTGGCTTGACATCTATGTCCGAGTTTGTGTCCACGGCAGCGACAACGTCAAGAGGATAGTTGGTTTCTTGGAGACTTATCTTCTCGAGGACAAGTTCAGAGGTGCTTACGTCGATCTGAAGTCGGATAAAACGAAAGGTCCGGAAATGGAAGGGTTGTACGACCTCCTCCGTGCCTTCTGTATCATAGTATCCTACGGCATTCACAATGTTCGGGCCACGCAACTCGTAAATATCCCTCGGACCGAACAAGTCCTTGCTGTAATCTTGTCGGTGTGACTTGTGACGTAGATAAGGGACAAGTGATGGCCGGTCCTCGTAGCTCTCTGCATATGTCAAAGTTATGGTGCTTCCGCCATCTTCCGGTCTTTTGAAGTGCCGGGCAATGAAAGCAGTCATGTGATAAGGAACTTCAAGATCGACCTGATGCTTTGAATTGGCAGGCAGTACGAGATGAGCTGGCAGGGTAGTCTCCGGACCATGGTGCGGAGTTCTGTCATTTCTAAGAGGATGAAGGAGAACAGCAGACCATGCGCTCGACGCCACATCTGACTTCAGATTGTGTACACTACTGAAGCTCACATCCCGTATCTTCTGAAAAGGTATCATGCGCGGTGATAGGTTCCACGGTGCGAACTGGCCAGTGGAAGATTGAAATTCCGCTAGTTCCTTTGTCAATGACCCGAGTCTGGGTCCAAAGGCGCAAGGTTGCCTCTCACACTCTCTACGATCCCAAATCTTGCTGCAATTCCCCAGGTGCTTCTCGCATCCACATGTTCGGAGTCATCCGGTATCCCGCTCTCGGTCTGCTCTACCCCCGGGCCCTATGTACGTAGCGTGCCACAAGCCGCTTGACGTGGAGAAAGGTCGCGGGAAGGGTCGCTGGGAAGGTCGCTGTATCGGCGTATGCTTGCCGCAACTCCACTTATCCTTAGTAGGGAAGATAATCCATGCCTATGTTCGAAGTTTCGCGCAAGATTCCTCGGAACATCCAACCGGTTAGCATCACCATCGTACTGTCAACTCGATCTGCATGGGAAGGTTGATGCTACTCCTCGGTGCCACAGTAGGTGGGATGATCAGCTATCATTGAACGTCGGATTATGTTCGTCCGACCAATCACCGATACTGAACCGCATCGGTATTGTCCCCGTTGGTTCGCAGGTAGGCCCATGAACCCCAGGAAAGGATTTAAAAGTGTGGAGAAGTGGGCTGAGTATCGTTATCATCGCATTTCGCCTAAGTCAGGCTCTTGCAAAGTTGACATTTGGATAGCATTGCAATCATCGTTAAATCGTATTTCCAATATATATAGCCCACTAACCAATCTTTACTATCTTCACTAAGCCCTCTGCCAACATGTTCGTCCAAGGCATTGTTCCTGCACTTTTCAGTGCCTTTGTGACGGCCTCGCCGGCCAGTATTGTGGACTTTGCTGTTCCAGTTTACGGATAAGCTGCTGTGCTGTCAAATGTTGATTGAGACGATTGTTGATAAGCCGATGTTGCATAGAGAGGCATATTATACCAGGTATCCGGGTCCTGGAATATGCTGGTGGAGTAGATGGACATTTCCGTAGCCAAGTTGTTCTCAACTGCGCGAGGATCCGGATACTCACAGCCAAATCGGGTAGCATCGGTGTTATTGGAGTGCTCCGGTACATCGTCTCTTTGATGCAACACAGGATCGACCCTGAAGCGATCCTCTAGGTCTGCGGTTGAGATTCGCAAATCTACGACTGACGATAGGAACCTAGGTGGCCCTAGCAGTGGACTAGACATGCTTTGTTGGAGTTCTGACATGGCTCGATTGAGCATGCGCCAGTACTTCATGCCGATCTGCCAATACTTTGCAGCAGCCTGGAGACACCGCAAAAGGGTGTCCCAACCATCCAAAATTTGCATCCCGGAATGGACTTGACAGGCAAGAAGATATCGCAGAGCTGTCCAGAGGGACCAAGCGAAAGGCCATCCTAGTTGTTTCAGTGTGGTGCCTCTGATCCGGCCGATCATCCCTATGAGATGTTCTACAGCGCGCGTGCAGTGCTCATGGCTTTGACTCCGGACTTCGCTCAGACGCGGACACTCCGGCAGGGTCGGACATATTACCATACTGTGCAGGTGGATTACAAGAGCGCACCAGTACCCATGCAGCATCACAAGTGAAGAGAAGCAGCGAGGAGTAACTTTGGCTGTTTCTTGAACTGCGTCCATTTGCAGCATGCGAGGTAATCTTGCTGACCAGTCGAATAAATCTGCGGAACACGACAAAACCCTGCTGATCCAGTCACCAACAGTGTCAGCTTCACCTGAGGACTTATGGTAGCTGAAATCGACATAGATGCGGTGGATTTCTCGCGAAAGATCCAACGCTTCTAAATGGTGGCTGAAAACATATTGTGGATCGATTGACATTGACTGGTTTTCTGACCGTGAGTATAACGGACCTCCGGGCGTTTCCCATGCAAGTGCACGGTTTGGCAGGAGCCGCTCTATACTTCGATCAAGCAGCTCGCCGTTGTGACAGGTTGTTATGTTGACATAGGAATCGAGAGCATAGATTGCCCAGAACAATCGGGTTTTGCGTAGCTGGTCTTGGTCATCAGCGGCCTGATCAGGTAGCTGTTCGGGTGACGTTCTGAATGTGCGAGGCGCGTCCGGAATCAGCTGTGTTGCGAGTCTGGTGGCTACCGTAAGGGGGCCCCAAACTTGAGCACCGTTGGTCATGCCAGATAGGTCCAGCGCCAAGACGGTCAACGCCTCTAGGGAACTGTATGACGGCTCCTCAAGAACCTCGATCAAGATCCGTCGCTTGGAGTGTTTCCAAAATGAATTGCTCGATATCTTATCCAAGCGTGAATCATAAGAGAACGGCAGAGAGATCCCGAAAAGAGCGTGGTGGAGAAGAGAGCCTTCTTCGGAGCCCAGTTAACTCATGAGCCGACAGTGTAATTGTGTCGAGGAAGGGAAACCATGGGTGGATATGATGAAAGTAAAGGGAACCAAGGGACATGAGCAGATCCAACGGAGGCTTCCTCTCTGCCACGCGGCGTGTTCATTCAACGGTTGGCGTGAGATAGTCATTGCTCATCCCAAGAGGGCTTGTATGGGGTATCGGAGATGTTTCTAAAATCTGATCGACGGGTTCCAGGAGATCACGGCAGCGTTGTCAATCGAGGCAGAGGCAAAGAAGATCACTGGTAATTTCCTGCGGTCGTTGAAAAGCCTCGGAAACAGGAGGCGGCTTATTATCATGACCTGGGCCGCCATCTGTAGCCAAATGTCCGGAAATGCCTTCGTCTCGTACTACTTATCGCCCATCCTCACTTCCGTTGGATTGAAGAACGACCTGCAACAGACGCTGATCAATGCAACCAGTCAGATGCTTTCTTGGTTTTCAGCTCTATACTTCGCTACTCTTCCTGCCAAAGTCGGTCGCCGTACGCTGTTCCTCGCGTCCCTGGCCTGCATGTGGATCATCGTCATCTGTATTACCGCCGGGAGCGCCACGGTCGCCAAACATAACAGCAACAAGGCTGCTGGCTACTCTGTTGTTGTTTTCCTGTACCTGTTTTCGCCCGCCTACAATCTTGGTTTCAACGGGAACCTAGGCCTCTACATCCCGGAGATTTTGCCGTTCGGCTTGCGCACCCGCGGCCTGGCCTTTTTCTACTTCGTACAGTTATGCTTCATGATTCTGTCCACTTTCGCTGTGCCGGTAGGGCTGGAGAATATCTCGTGGCACCTTTACATTATCTTTGTTGTCTGGGTCATGGTCGAATTTGTGGGTGTGTGGTTCTTGTTCCCCGAAACCAAGGGACCGTCTCTGGAGGAGATTGCTTTAATTTTTGATCGCCCACGCGAGAGCGACGAGACGTCGTAAGGGCACATCAACCAGCGTAGATTGGTTTGTATTGTACAGTACCATTTTACTTAGTGCTGTCCTCCAAATTGTGGGACGCACACGTTGGCGAAAAGCGTGTCTGCCGGTGCACGAACCGGACAAGGACCGTCGCAGTAGCAGCTATGCAAGGATGCAAATCAGAACTCCTCCAGACAATAATATTATAATAGAAGTGACGAGTTTTCCAAACTGCCGGTCTACGTGTCGCACTTACGCGTTGCTCTCGAGTCGCACCGGCCTAACCCGTAATGGGTTAGTTGACCCAAATTCGACGCCCATGGGAGGAAACATCCCCAGATGATCCAGTGGCATCGCATGAATCATGAAACACTTGCGTACAATGAATAGTATAATACTGCAGCTTGTGCTCTATGTAAGGAATCCAGACTTTGTATGTCTTATATCAAGGACTCTCCCCTGACTATTCAACCTTTGGCCTCGCATCACCAACAATGCGTCTCTCTTCATCCATCCTGCTCTTCGCCGCCGTCCCAACAGTCCTCGGTGACAAACACTATTTCTTTTCCGGCTTCTTCAGCGGCAGCTTGATTGCGGGTGTGGAGTTTGATGATGCGACGAACAATATGACCCTCGTGAATAACATCACGATACAGTCATCAACTGGGTCGAAATGGATTGCTATCGATGTATGGGACCGACTTGAGCCAATTGCATGGAAAATACTAACAGTCCTAGGAACGCAAGCAAAACTTATATGTCTCGGCAACCGGACAGTACCAGAGCTACTCCATCACAGCCAACCGCAGCCTCGCATCCACGCGCAACATAACCCTCCCTCCATCCTGTCCGCCCCTTCCCCCTTCCTCTCCATAGGAAACCCCCTAACACCCCCAGGCCAAAACGCAAACTTTATCGCCGCCGCTCGCACACCCCCATACACCGTCTTCGGTGCCCCGTACAGCACCGGCTGCGCCGCACACGCCGTCTCTGTCGACTCCACCGGCACCCTGCAATCCATCCTCGCAAACATAACGTATAACGGCACATCCGGCGTCCACGGCCTCGCCATATCCCCGGGCGCCGATTTCGTCTACTCCGCCGACGACATGGGCAACGCCGTGTGGACGCATTCCTTCTCCGACGACAACGTCACATCCACCGCACAAACGCTGCAGTACCTCCCCGCGCCCTCGGGCTCGGATCCGAGACACCTAGCCGTGCATCCTGCGGGGAGCTGGGCGTATGTGGTGTACGAGGCGGCGAACGAAGTTGCCGTGTATGCGCGGGATGAGGCGACGGGATTGCTGAGGGATACGAATGCCACGTACGCGCTGCTTCCAGAAGGGTTTACGAACACGAGTAGCTACTGGGCGGATGAGGTTATGTTCTCCGTTCCCCCCTCTGCCTCATCTTCTTCGAGTCCGAAATACCTCATCGCCTCCACTCGCTCCCGCACCTCCACTTCTCCAGGCTACGTCTCCGCGTTCGCCCTGTCCTCCACCGGCGCCATTACAGAACAGCTGTTCCTGCTGCCTACTACAGCGAGCGGTGGCGGGGCGAATGCTGTTGCCCCTGCGTCATTCAGTGAGGAGTACTTCGCGATCACAGATAGTGCGGCGAACTTTATCGAAGTATGGAAAATTGATAATGGAGGGAAGACTGCGGCGGCGGTTGCGCAGCTGGGAGGCTTTAGCGGGGGACCAGCGAATGTGGTGTGGGTGAATTAGAACAGACCCTCGGGGGTTTGGGATGGGGTGTGGAAGGGAGGTGAAACAGCAGATGACGTGCGCTGAGGCTGAGGCTGGTAGAGAGTTGGCGACGCGTCGCGTCGTACGTGCAGCCGCAGCACCGTTGACGTCGGCATTAGGGCTGTGTACACAGTAGGTTGGCTTAGGCGCCGCGATGAGTGGACTAGTGTAGTTTATCGAATTCCGTTCCCACAACGCCAATACGATGCCCAACGCAGCGTGCACACGCCATCGTTGATCCACCTTCATAAAGAAATTTGAACGTCAAATCGTGAGCAATTGTCATAGCGCCATATTCGCATGCAAGTAACTCGTCATTATCATTAAAGTTCCGGTGTACAATACGAGACAACAACCTTTTAATGGGTATAATGTGAAGAAGAAAAACCGACAAAACTCCGCGCTATCAAGCCATCAATTTCGGCGCCGAGATCGTACAAGAGGATGACGCAGACTGAAAATAACACTTGCGTCGCTAGGTGAAGACATTTCCGACCGTTCCTCTCGTCTCATTCGATGGGTGAGATAAGATGGTTTGGAGTAGTTTAGACGCCCTGCATCTGCGGCGGCGGCGCAGTGTCATTCCGCGACGTCCTGCGTACATGCAGCGCCGCAACGACTGTGGTAATCACAAACGCAAGCCTGACCGTGTTAGCCCACATCCCCACATAAGAATAGAAGTACTCACCAGATGAACGCGCTGAATATAATCGCCGCCACGCCCGACGACCACACCGGGTGATGTCCTGCACCGTGCCACACGTTACCCCACCAGGAAGCAACCGCAACCCATGCCGCGAACCAGAAGATCATGGTGACGGCCTCGACACCGATAATGGCGAACTTGTGCGCGGCGGCCGGGAAGCGGCTGGGCGCAAGGGTCAGGTAGGCGACGGCAAGGAGTGTCCAAATAGAGGTAAAGAGCATAAAGTCAACTGAGTCAGGCGTCCAGGAGTCATAGCTGCCCGGGCCACGGTAGGCATCGATTACTGGGCGGGGGCATTAGTGGGTGCAGGTCATGAGAAGCTAGGTTGGGGTAGTGTGCGTACTGTATGCGGTCAGGCCGAGCACGATGATGGAGAAGACGGCCTGCACTGCGCGAAGCGGCAGGATTGCGACGTCGAGGAACGGCATTTTGAAATTTGGGTGGGAAGTTTGCTCGAAAGAGGTTTTGATGATAGTGGTAGAAAGCTGTGCCGGGGCAAGTACTTCGCGTAAAGTAACAAGGCAGGTGAGGCCGACAGTGAGAACGAAGACAAAGATTTGAAACTCCCCGCCGCTGCGTACGCCTCCTTATACGTGGTGCGCTGACGATCAAAGACAGGGTTGGCGATGATGATGATGATGTGCGCCACGAATTTCTACGTCATAGTGCAGGAAAAACAAGAGACGCGTGTGGCTTGTGTGCTCGGCCGGCCAATCATCGAGCGGCATGTGACCCGTTAACCGAACAGCATCCTGGGCATGGAGGCGATCAATGCGAAACACGTTGACGACACACAGGCCTATCACGCCTGCACGCTGGCTCCCCGGGGAGAAATGGCTCCGTAGTCATGGTCCGAAATCGCGTCGGTGGTAATGAAGGTTGGCGTCGATGGGAGACTCGGATCCGGCGCGTAAGCTGGAATGCCCGAGACACCTGTGGTACGGTATGGCAAGCTGCCAGTCTCGAATCTTGTCTGTTGGCATCTGGCGGTCAAGCGTTCTTTCCCTCCCAGTAAAGCACTCTGTTAGCGACGTTGAACTGCTCCCACTGCTTCCGTACTTTCATCATGTACGAACAATTAGCGAAGTCAGAGCCATTCCTGTCTTCGCTGTCTCCACGACCTGAAGGAAGAACAATCGACTCTCCGTAGAAAAGCTTCGATGCGTACTCCAAGCTGACGGAACCCCAAACTACCTCCACTTCAGTCATCAGCTCGCCTATCTGCCACAGCTGGTGCATGATCCATGTCTTTTCCTCGACCGTGGCGCCTCGATAGGCAATGATAAGTGGAGCAGCAAGATATTGGGTGCCGAAGGGGCGGAATTGCTGTGAGTATTTGCAGGACATGAAGATGCGTTGGCGGGCGAATAAGCACTGTTCTTGCAGGCCGCGGACTACAGATGCGGTTGTGTTCGCGGGGAGAAAGCGAGCGATGATGGTGTTGATAATAATTGAAACACCCCAGGAAAAGGTGCAGACATGAGCCAGTTCCCTGGAGGAAAACTGGTAGGTTTTGGTCAGGAATGTGTCTCCGAGTGTCGGAGGCCCTTCCGCGATGTCATGCCCGTTTCGTAGCTTTTGATTGACGAAATCAGTCACCAATACCAAGGATTCCCGAAGCCGTAGGGCTTCGAGGTAGATACCATAGCTGACTATCTCGTCAGGCGAGTAGTAAAATGCTCGCACATTGACGAGCAGTGCTGGCAATGCGGTGAACTCTCGCAAAAGCTCATCAATAAAGAAATCCGATTCACGATCGTAGAGATTATCGTACGAGATCCTTTTCCACTCCGGTTCGCTGAAGAAGCATGATTCATTGCGCATAATAGACACGACGACCTACATCTGTTAGACAAAGTGTTTCACAGCCTTCAAGGGTTTTCGATCAAGGTTCGAGTGTCGATAGATGGAGATTGCCGAATCGAAACTGGGTGGGACACATACACTTTGTCCCCGTTGGGCCATGTAGAGGACCTTTGTGAAATTCGAATGAGGGCGAGAAGGACCCCTCACCTCTATCAGTTTGCATGCACCTCCTGCATGCTGGACGCTTTGAGGTATGCGAGAACCACCGCCGAATACCTCGACGTAGCCAAGAATAGTCACGGCACCCAAAGTGAGGTCAGAATAGCTCTCGACCGAATCTCTCAGTGCAGTTTGTAAGCTCAAGAGTGCTGTTGCATATAAATGTCCTTGGGCTATATCGCCCGCGGGTCGCTGACCACGGAGGGTAAGACCGTGGCAATTGACGAGACAGGAGATCGAGTCATCAAAAGCCGTCGACTGACCGAGCATGCGGGGTACGTCTTCCATGAATCCAGCCATCACAGATAGCCGCAAGCCAGGTTGGTCTAATTTGAAGCTTTGCAGCATGGCCAATTGCAACGACTCGACAGAAGATAGCTTTGGAGGCCGTAGCAGCGGAAGCGTGGCATAAGCATCCGGCTTCGCTACACCTCTGAGCGCTCTTCTCCGGCGTCCGATCCTCAGTGTCTGGAAAGAACTACCCTCAGTGGTGAAAATGGAGCGGACAATGCTTATGCGCGGGAGTGTCTCGATCAAGCTTTCGCTTTCGCGAGCCACATGTGGAGATATACCCTTTGGTCGGGCAAACTTGACTTTGCTGATTGGATCTTTGCATATTCGCTTCCCTTTATGACAGGGGCCACAGACTGGCTGGACTTCATCGCACTATGGCAATTAGTGGCTTGCATTTTGCACGATGTGATGCCGTGCCTTGATTTTGCGGTCTCTGCAAGTTCCGCACCTGTTGCTCTTGACTACCCCGGTCATTGCGTGGTTTTGAATATCTCATTTGAGTTGGAGAGTTCACAAGAAGTCGAAAAAGTTTCTTCGATGTCCACATCCTTGGACGGGCTTATAATCCATCGAGGCTTCAGCTGCAAATTGAGAGCATTGGCGAATGGTAGTGGGGGATTGACAGCTAAAGACAAGCTTTCAATCGAGGCCTGTAAGCACTGTCGATCGTTACGCCACCCCCATTTGAGGCTTAGTGGAGCAGCTCGCATCGTTCGCACCAAAAGAGGAAATTCAGGTCAGGTGTTTGTGCAACGTCGGGCACGCCGTCCGCTTAGAGATTAATTATTGTGTCTAAGGTGGGGATCTGATACGTAATTGAGCTCGCGATTTGTTCACAATATTGGCCGCTCCTACTTCCAGGCTGCCCGTTCTTGCTATCGTCCCGCCCGAGAAGCCTATGGAGCAGGTGGCTTTGTGATTACAAGGAACGAAGGCAGCAAGATAGACTGCCAACAGCGGTGTGAAGCTGCAGGTAACAATACAATGGGACCCATAGGCCGGTGGTCGAAGCCGCTGGAGCGCAAGAGACGGGATGGAAGGACGTGCGGGGGCTTGGGCTTGACGGCGCCTGCCGGCGTCAGTGGGGCGCCTGACTCGAGCGCGCCAGATGTACACCATGCCAAGGAGCGCCGCAAGCGCGTCTTCAATTGCTTCTCGCGTCTGGCTGTTCCGTCGCAGGCCATTGAGGGCGGAAACGTGTGGCTCCAGGGTATCTAGGTACAACGTCTGAGGATGACGCGCTCTCATCCCTTGGAAAGCATTTCAAATGCGGAATTCGGCACGCACGAGCCCCGACGTTGGGAGCGATGGTGGTGCAGCAGCGCAGCAATGCAGCAATGCCACCTTTTTTGATTTGCGCTCTGGCAAGCAGTCCAAATGATCTTTATGGGCGCACTTCTATTGTGAACCGGATATACATGATCCTGCGACCGTAGCCATGCTCTCCAACCGCCGAGCCATCCGCCCGCTAAGATTCCTCGTGCTCCTCATCTCGCTATGCTTCTGCTTCTGGGTCAGCGGTTTCCCCAGGACCTATGACGACGACGAGCTTCCTCTGAGCCAGCGGCGGCCCACGCCCGGCGTCCTCGAACCTGAGCAAATCATCGTATCTGTCAAAACTACGACTCCCAACGCCTGGTCAGAGCTGCCGCCTCTGTTGGTGCTCACCGACTCGGCATACCACGACTCGCTGCTGTTGATGGGAGACTTGCGGCTCAACGTGGGTCCATTCACCGTCGAAGATGTGCTTGACCGGTACACAGACAGCTTCGTACAAGACAACCCGGACATGGAGCGCTATCGGGCGACGCTCGAGTTCGCCGACAGCAGCGTCAGCTTTGCAGAGCTTACCGAGAGGGACCCTCGCAAGGAGAAAGAAGTGCTAGCGAAGCTGGACAAATATAAAATGCTACGCTGGGTCGAGCGAACATGGCTGTTGCGACCCGAAAGGCCGTGGTACGTCTTGACAGAGCCGAACGTTCACCTCGTCCGCCCCAATCTGCTCTCGTGGCTCGGCACCTATGACCCCGATGGGTACCATTTTTTCGCCACTCCATCCGCACCTGAGGCTGCCCATACTATTGTCTTATCGCGAGGTGTCATGAAGGCCATCATGGTCGACCGCCCTGACTTGATCCCTTACTACGACAACAACATTCGAGGCCACAAGAATGCCTTCGAGGTTCTTGCCACTGTACTTCTCTCTACGCTCAATGTCACTGCGACTATGGTTTGGCCAGAAATCTCCCACTACAGTCCCGCCACGGCACCATACGGACCTGGGCTGTGGTGTGACCACGTCATCACCATGTCAAACATGCCCACCGACCTGATGAACGAATTGTGGCGTTTCGAACACGAAAGACGGAACTGGCCAAACGAAGATGCTCTCTGTTTCGCTGACCTGTGGTTTCGCTTCATGCAGCCCGAGAATTTAGACCCACGAGACGACTGGGACAACCTCTCCTCCGGTACCGGCTACGAGCAGTGGAACATCCTCTTCGACCGCAAGCACGAGCATCACTCGGAAAAATCCTCGGGCAGGGCCAAACCTGGAGAGGCTTCGTGGGAGGCATGCCGAGACTCCTGTAGCGAGAATGATTTTTGCGTGCAGTGGTCGTACTCGTCTGTGCCTATGCCGAATGATAACGAGAACGGCGACACGAGGTGCCACTTGAGCAGGAGCATGAAGTTTGGTCAACACGTCGCCCCGCAGCTGGTGGATCGCTTTGGCGAGAAGGCAACGCTGGCGTGGAAGAGCGGTTGGGAGAAGGAGCGGTTCCAGAGTTGGGCAAGGCAGCAGCGATGTAAAGAACAGCAGAACTGAACCGAACGTAATAACACATCAAGCACATCAAAAGTCTTGGGACCGAACTTGCATTTATCTGATATTCTACCCTTCGCTGGGCATCGAAGCTATCCCCAGATTACGGGGCTTGGGTAAGCAGACACGTGCTGTGCATGATGGATGAGAGTCTAGGACGCGGGACCTGCATCGCAACCAACTTATACTTTTGTAGACTGTTCGCCTGACAACGGCTCCTCAGCACTATTCGCCGAGCAGATTCAGCCAGCACACGCAAGTCTGTGCAATTTGTACCAGAGCTGCGGTATTGTTAAGACACCATGGGAAGACGCTGTTATCATGTACATTGGGAACGCTTGCTGTGTATTGGTCACGCAAATCTTATTCAACGGAATTCCTCTTCGCGTGGATGTTGGTACACGCTTAATCTAAGCAAGTCGCATTTCGTTCTTAGAAATCCCTGTACTACTGCAGTGTCCGACGTCCTACAGCACACAGACAGTCATCGTCCAGTAACCACATGTACATTTTGTGGTTCATGGCTCGTAACCTGCTGCCGTCACGCACTGCCTCCAGGCAGAATAAGATATGGAATTATCTACTTAGCGTCAGCCACTGGAGATTCTGAGAAGGACTGGGCGCTTTCTCTTGCGAGTGCCACATCAGTGGGGATTCACCCAGGCCAGTATCCGCGAAGCATGCCAGACCATGGCAGCACCTACAAACTTACTTACTAGACACTGGTATCTAACTCACCGTATATCTAGCACCGGCACACTCATCTCGTGTCAAACTCCTCCTGCTCTCCTCACTCCCATTCCGAGACCCCGACCTTCCATCACTGCAGCCAACATGCACTCGCTGATCGCACTCGCTCCCATGCTAGGCGGCCTTACTGCTGCTGCGCCATTCGTTGCCCGCGCTGAGAACAGTGGCTGCAACACCCTTTCCGTGGACAAGTTCGTCCTCATTGCATCCACATAGCTCATACCAACAACGCTCAGCTAACCCAAGCTATCCCCAGCGGCGGCGCCGTCCCAGGCGACGGCTCCATGGGCGCCTACTTCCACGCCGCGGACCTCCAAGCCGCCGCCCAAGACGCGCCCACGCCAGACGGCTACCTCAAAGCCTTCCCCAACGAGTTCGGCTCCGAGCATAACCCAGAGGCATACCTGACTTACTTCGCGAACTCCACGTATGTGCCCCCCTTCCCTGCGTACCCGCATATCATGCCATATGTGTAATACTTACATGTCTAGAGTTACGACACCCACGCCTGCGCCGCGCTTTGCAACGCCGACCCCCAGTGCACGACCTTCAACATCTTCGCGCGCGACCCGCCCGTGACCAACATCCGCTGCGCGCTGTTCGCGGCATGCGATCTTGGAAGCTAGGACCACAAACGAGCGCCAGTATGCCAGCGCGGACTTTGGCAATACGTTAGAGCGCGTGCAGATTGGAAGCGATGGTGAGTGTGGCTGCTGTGGTGGTGTAGAGGGGGGGCCCGTCCATCGCTAACGTATGGGTGTGAAAATGTAAGCTACAGCCGCGCCCCCACGCCAGACATGGGCGCCCCCTCCGCACTCGAAGCGCCCGCGTTCCACCTCCAGGACGACCTGGGCGCCTTCGCTACCGATGCTGCCTTGCCGTCCGACCTCTCCCATGAGTACTTCTCCCCTTCTCATCGCCCAAACCCACGCTAATCCACCCAGATACATGACGGTCCACATCATCCCCTCCTCCACCGCCTCCCCGTAAAGCCGCCTGTGCCGCCTAATGCGCCGTCGCAGACATCTTCAACAAGCGCTGCGTCTTCTTCAACACGTACGTGTAGCGCGTCGATGGCGTGAATGAGCTCGCCGACACCAAGTGCGCGCTGTTTGCCAAGATGTTCAGGGCTGAACACGCGACGAATGGGGGGTTTGAAGACGCTGGGGCAAAGATCAGTATTGAGGGGAGTCGGAGCTAGGTGCTGGATGGGTAGGTGAGCGTGGTGTGAGGTTTGAGGTGAGTTGGACATGGGTTTTTGCGGGAATCGCTAGTGTGGAGGGTGAAGGAGGGTACGGTACCTTTGTTTTCGAGTCGCGGTCGGTAGTCGCAACGAAAAATGTGCTTCTTGTAAATTACCGTCATCTATGTGCTCCACTGCTCACGTGGCGCGTCGCCATCACTGTCACCGCAGATATCTAATTCAAGAAAGCATGGAGAAGCACTGGTGTGCCGTCAAAATATTAGCGAGCGGCATCCACTCAGCTCGAGGAGGGATGTACACAAGAAGATGAGAGACACAAAGCCACGAAGTCCCCCACAACACTCCGTTGCCACCATCATAGCGTCGGGTTCGTTTCCAGATATGCACTATACAGCTCGAACCGCCACATCGCCTAGATCTTCGACTCCGTCGCCACAGCCGGCGCATGTCCACGCTCCACCTCCTCCGCGCTGTGCCTGCGGTCCCTACCCACGTAGTTCGAGTCAGGCAGCATGTTGAGCGCATCCTCGAGCTTGTCCGTCGGCCGCTGGTGCAGCCAAAATAAAATGCCGCCCACAAACGCGAGCAGCGCGGCCGTCAGGTAATTCCACACGAGGAGGGGGTCCTCGGAGAGCGCGACGAGCGCCTGGCCGAGCGCGTTCGAGAAGGCCGACATGAAATGCCAGTAGGACGTCACGACGGAGCGCATATTCTTCGGGGCCTTGGTGAAGGCGTACTCCAGCCCCGTGATGGAGGTGAAGATCTCGGAGAAGCCGATGAAAACGTAGGGCACGGACTGGATCCAGACGTTGAGGGGCGAGCGGATCTTGTTGTCCTCGGCGTCCTTGCAGCCGTTGAGGTACTTGCCGCAAGAAGTCGAGTTGTAGATGTAGTACTGGATGACGGTGGCGGCGACCATGGCGAGCGACGCGAGCATGAAGCCGAATGCCATGCGCTTGATGGGCGTGAACTTGATGCCCTTCTGACGGAGAAAGGGGTAGAGGAAGTTGTCGACGATGGGGATGAAGACGACAAGGGAGATGGGGTTGAGGTTGGTGATGACGTCGTTGGGTACACCATTAAGGGTCATGGTGGAGGCTTGCGAGACCAAGTTGTTGTTCATCTGGTTGTATGCAACCCCTGGTGTTGATTAGCAGAGAACAAGGATAGTCAAGGACATAGAGGTGACTTACAGTAGAGAGGAGTCCACGTGAAGCACGAGCAGGCACGGAGACCGCGAGCAACTTGGTCGACCCATGCATCGTCGAACTGCATCCATGACGGTTTGCGATCGCCAAGCTTGCTGGGCTTGACGTCTTCCCAGAAGTTCTCAGACTTCAAGTTCTTGCGAGTGGTAACCGGATTGATGGACCATTTGCCCTTCTGAGCAAGGGAGAGAAGCTTCCACGAACGAAGAACCAAGGATCCAGTGGGAGGTGCCTTGTGGTACATGTTGCGGCAGGCGAACAGGACCAATGGGCACAGGCAGAACATGATGGTCGGCAGCAGATAGGAAGCCCAGAAACCAATGTACTTCTCTACATAGACCATGGAAATCTGCCCGGTGAGAGAGCCAATGTTGATAAACATGTAGAAGTAGAGGAATATGCGGGAGAGTGTGATGTTGGGGTCCGAGATAACACGCTCACCCGTCTTTTCGTCCTTCACTACACGGGGCTTACTTTGGCGATATTGCTCAGCGATGAGCGGCGAGATGTTGGCCTTGAAAGCTCCGGTACCGAAGCCAAGGATGATGACACCAAGTATGAAGGGCGCAATAGCCTTGCCGCTTGCAAGCACAGTCGGCAGCGCAGAGATGATTAACAAGATGTGACCGACAATGGAGAAGGCGATCGCAATGAAAATGGTGTTGAAGCGACCCAGGTACTCATCAGCAATGATAGCACCGACAATGGGAGTCATATAAGACCAGAACTGGTTGAAGAGAACGATACCAGTCGACGCTCGCTGCCCCATACCAAGAGCACCAGGTTGTCCCTCGGATGAGGGATCTTTGCCGGTTGGGTGTCCTTCAGGCAGGGGGTGCTGGATGAAGTTGGTGTCTGTGTGACGCGTTAGCATGGAATAAAATCAAGGATGCAGATACATACAGACGACTGAGCAGCCATAGTAACCGAAGCGCTCGCATAGCTCTACAAAGGCGACTGTGAAGGCGATCCACGGGATTTTACCAGAAACACGACGCAGAGTAGAAAGTTCTTCTTCGGTAGGCTCCTCGCCCTCGAGGTCAGCCTCAAACTCAACGTGGCCGTGAGCATGGGCAAGGCTGTTGTCGCTGACGCTGTGGCGGGCTAAGGCCTCTTTCTCGTTCGCCTCGAATATGGGAGTCGCAACCTTGGGTTCGTGGCTCATGGCTAGATCCACTTGATTCTGCGCAGCGGAGAGAGCCATGTTGGGTGGGGGTCTCGCTGTCCAGTGCGAACGTGGGACAAGCTAATATTAAATAAGGTGGAGCGGGGTGAACGACAAACGGGCTCGCTGCACCCTACACAGGGGACACGGCCGCAATTATATCTGCGCAGCAGACGCACGCCCCGTGCGTCAGAAAGATGCTGTTTCAAGCAGGTGTGTGGCAATAGCTCTTGCAATTAGAGCGTCTGTCTCGGCGTGACTCGCACCAGTGAAATCAAGAGCCCTGACGGGGATCGCAAGACATTGGCATTGATAACACAAGAGGTAGAGAGTTGTTGCCAAGGTCCTCGAGTGCTGCTGTACTTGGCGCATGTGGCAATCGGATTGTCGACAGTGGGTGCCAGGGAGTGACATCCTAGCCCCTGTCGCAGCTGAACTCGAGCTGGGGACAGGAAATTGGCGACATCGTATCCGCGATCCTGGCCGGGCGCGCAAGAACCCCTGATTTTTCGAGAACATCGACAACCTCAATACCTGTAAGCGCTCCGAGGATGTGGTGTTGTAGTCTCAATTGATGTCTGTGCCTCTCCCGACTTGGCCTGCTGTATCCACTTGGCGAGGCCCACAAGGTGGTCAAATCCGCGCTCGCTCCCCGCACGAGAGCGCCCAAGTTATCTACAACGCCAAGCCCGATTGGGAAGGTTGTATCTGGTATCCCGGCGTTAGATGCACGGCAAGGCTTGGATCGACTCTATTCGTAGGTCCAAGGACGTTTTTGCTGGTAGCCATCACGCGCGCATTGCCCTTATCCTGTTCACTTTCGAGAACACGGCGCGCTTCGATCCTCTTCACAGTTTTGGGTCCGGGACCGACGCGGCAGCGGCGCGGGGCTTGGTTTTACGTGCGAAAGACGATTCTGTTGGCTTATCAAGTGAACGGCAACGACACCATCCAATACTTGAGTCGTGTGAGGACTGCCACTTTTGTAGCGCCGCATTCCCACAGAGTCCTCCGGCAATATCGGCACCAACAAACCAGTCAATCCTTTCCTGCAGGAAGGTGGGTTTCGAGTATACGAGAACGGCTCAGCAAATTCGAACGTACGCGCAATCCGGGGTTTTGTTTCGCCTTAACTGGAGGTTATTCAGTGCGCTTCCGGCACTTCCAAAAGCACAGGAACACGCATGGCTAGCCGGCGCACTGCGTAGACAGTTCCAAGCACCAGGTAGCGGGTGACACAAGGATCCAGGAGCAAGGGTGTTCCAAATCAAATCGCCTCGCGTCGAAACGCGCGGCAAAGTGTGTTCACAGGCGCAATTCTTGTCGTCTTCTTGAATGACGGAACGACACTTTGGAGATGGTCTGTTGACATTTAAAAACATTAACATTATATGGCACTGGGCACCCATGGCGCCGATTGAGGTTTGGTCACATCTAGCTTAGATAATACCGTCGTCTACTGACCGATCGCGTTGCCATCGAGTTCGTGACCCTTGGACCAGTGATTGATCCAGTTGAAGATCTCAGTATTCCAGAAGAGAGAGTTCTCAGGATCAAGGACGTGGTGGTTCTCATCCGGGAAGTTGAGGAAGCGCGATGGAATACCCTTTGTCTGCAGGATGTTGAACAGCGAGAGGCCGTCGCTTTCGGGCAAGCGATAGTCGAGCGTGTTGTGGACGACAAACTGAGGTGTGCTAAAGTTGGCAACGTGGTCCTGAGGGTTGAACTTGGAGTAAGTTGTGTTCTCAGCCCAGATGGGTCCCAGATAGTCATGTCTCATGAACCACAGTTCCTCGGTCGTGAACGCGGACTCAGTGTTCGAGATACCGTCGTGCGTGACAATGGCCTTGAACTCACGTCCAAGATCATGGCCCTGGATCCAGTTGGTCATGAACCCTCCATAGCTTGCACCAGCGACAATGCCGTTCTTAGTGTCGATGAACGAAGAAAGGTTGTCCCGAACGTACTCCCACCCGAGCACTACATCCTCGTAAGGGTAGCTGCCCCACTCGCCGGCGATGCTATCGGTCAATTCCTGGCCGAAGCCCGTGCTACCGGTTGGGTTGGGAGCTACCACGACGTAACCCTGATCGGCCCAAATCTGAAAATTCCATCGTGTGGACCATGCATTAGCATTCGAACCTTGCGGTCCGCCGTGGATAATGTATGCAAGCGGGTACTTGTCGCCCTCAGTGAAGTTGCTCGGCTTGACAACGAGAGCATGCAGCTGTTGATCAAAGTTCGGGAGAGACCCATTGTAGAAGAACTCCTCGAGCGTGTGGGGTCCAAGACCAGCCAAATCCTCATCGATCTCCAATGCCGAGAAGAGGGTCTTCTGAGTGCCGTCCGTAGAAAGTCTGTAAAAGTCGGCCGACGTCCAGATGGCGTTGGCGGCGATGAGAAGCGAGGAATCGGGAAGCACCGCAAGACCAGTCACGGAAGTTACGGAAGTCAGGTTCTTGGGCTTGAAGTCGGCGTCACTATCCAACGGGATGAGGAATGCGCGTGTCCTCGCGTAGTCCTCTGCAGTCGTGTAGACCGACTTGCTGTCAGGGGCCCAGGCAATTGACCCTGCTGATCGGTCCCAGTCAGGAGCCAATCCTTTCCAACCGCTAGTCGAAACCGTGCTTCCATTGCCAGTGTTGTAACCACCCTGATTGATGTCGACCACGTAGAGCTTCACTCTGTCGGATTCATAGTATTCTCCATCTTGCTGGTAGTATGCGAGCTTCTTACTATTTGGAGAGAACGTAGGAGCGCCAGACGCGCCTTGGTGACCGGCTTCATAAGCCTCGGAGCCTGGGCCGTTGAGAGCTTGGGGCGCAGCAGACCCCTCAAATGCACCGACGTAGATGTAGCTCGCTGTGAAGTTGGCCTTGTTGAGGTGAGGGGCTTTGGTCAAGAGGGCATAGATGGAGCCATCGGGGCTGATGTCGTAGTCACCGCTTCCACCGAAAGGCTGGACAGGGCTCTCTGGTTTGGTAACGTTGAATGGAATGTCTTGAAGAAGATTTCGCACTTTGTGGTCTTCAAGGCCATATCCTGAGGCCTTGAGCAAAGTTCCACTAAATACAGCGTAGCGCTGCTTGGTCAGCCAGTGGTCCCAGTGGCGAGGGTAGATATCGTTGTAGAGACGACCAGTATGTCGCGGCTTCGGTGCAAGCTCCTCGTTGTAAGCTGTTCCGTTTGGATACGCGAGCGAGTTGACCAAGAAGCGCAAGTCTCCAGATGATGTGTTGGCAACTTTAAGACCTGAGAAGGGCGCCTCAAGCGAAGCCACGATTTTCCTTCTCAAACGTTAGTCTCTGCTACCGAGTAGTTACACGATGTTGCACGTACCGCTCCGAAGGCTTCGCGATGTCGGCAATCCAAAGCGTGACACCGCCTGGTATCTCCTCGTTGGTTCCGTTGATGTAAAGCACTCCAGTTTCTGTGCCTGGGATCCACACAGCTTCGCTTACTTCACTGGAGTTCAGACCAGAGTCTGTAATCTCGCCAGTCTCGAGGTTCAGCAGTTGCCAAGCGCGCGTTGTAGACTGCTCCTCGAAAGAGTACTGGGAGTACGAGAACAAAGCAACCTTGCCTGAGGGATTTGGCACAGGCGCACCACGTCTCGGAGCCTGAAGCACCTGTCTTGGGGCTGTCAGCAGTCGGCGCGGTCGATTGCGTGCAAGCCTGCCTACTTTGGAGTGATTGCGCAAGCTCCTGCAGCCAATGCGGCTACAATACCAAAGTGTCGCACCATGATTGCGTCCTACGTGACTCGATTGAAGCTTTTCAGTAACGGTAAGCGACAATGGCTTTTCAAAAGACCCTTCCAATCGCGAGGCCGAAGTGGAGATGCCGTCTAAACATTGCGGCAACGGGGTACTTGTAGCACCTAGGATGTCATGGGGTGGATCTGTGCCATCCTCGCTATTATGGTCTAATGTGGTGTATGCTCATCCATAGTCCCGATGACGAAGGACGTCGCTGATTCTCCTTCCTGTTCGGGACGCGCATCGTAATCTTGCGGCACGAAGCTTGTTTCCTACAGGCTTCTGGGCAGGGCGCGGATGCCCAGACTGTTGGTTCTGTTTATTAGGCTGCTTGGCGCGAGTGGAACGTTGCCTCGGAGAGGCACACTCGGCGGTGCGGACGATGCCATGAGCACCAGTGTGAAGCTTCGGCCGTAGCACGCTCCGCCGATAGATGGTATACTGCTGATAAGTCTTCAATCTCACGATGGACTCAGACGAGTTGACCTTCGCAGCATAGCGTCCAGAATTGGTTCCGAACTTTGATGAGAAAATGTGCCGACTAGGATTACAGCTACATGACAAGGTACCCCTCATGCTGATGCATCTTGCGTCCTTCGAGCACAGCCATCGAGTGGACCAGTTCCTGAGCTGAGGAAGCTGCCGCATCCTGGACTGGAAGTTCCTTCGATCGTATGTACCCAGCAACTGGTTGAGAGTGCCAAGCATAATAATTCGCTCAGCCGCGGAGCGGAATCATTGAGAGTGGCCTAGTATAGGCGTGACCAGCCCCAGAATAACGTGTTTGCTGACATCCTCGGGTACATGGCGCGAGCCGCCGAGCAAGGCCGCGGTGGTTGGTGGCAGAAGCATCTGAAAGTACGTAACAGACGATGCGCGGGTTGTCGTTTGGATGCAAGCGACGACTTGAGCTGTCCTCCGAAAGTCAGAGCTGCTCTGGCCGCGGCAGGCCGCCCGGTCACGTGCACCAAAAGCCGCCCGATTCCGAGCCATCACGTCAACCCTTTCGACCATCTCCATGTACGTGTTCAGTACTGCATTGTGTCGATAATACTACCAAATCTTTCGCCCAAGCAATCTGCAGGAGTGTGGCCCAGCGGGTTCAGATTTGTGTGTGGCGCACCAACAACGGGCTACGACTCGATACCATGAACACCTTGCGTATAGATATTCAGATAGCCACCCAAACGCACTGGAGAACGGCGGCACACGTGATTATCACAGACCTTGAGCAGCGACCGTTGTACTAGTTGGAAACACCACCCAGGCCGGATTCTGGAGCCCTCAAGCCGCTTGATGTCGCGAATCCCATGATTGTAAGAGGGACTTTAGCATAGACATGCTAATAATGCTAGAATGGCCTCGTAACAGAAGCGTTGGATGCTGATTTCTATCAAGGTTCTCATGAAAGCTTACAAGGCCGTTCGATCTGGGATCTCCGACAACGCTTTCAAGGAGATAGTCACACCCGCCAGAGTCCAAAGATCGGCTGTACGACATCTCAGAAACAATTCCGGGATCTTCCGGTGAGTGTGCATAGCAATTCATCGAATACAGCCTTTTAGGTGCCTTTTGCCATGTGGTCCAATGGTACTCCAATTCGCGCCTAAGCCCCAATGCAAGTGCAAGCTTCGCCTTATTGCCTTTGGCAGTGAGATCCTAATATCTTGATTCCTGCGCCTCACGATATTCTTATTTGGGCTTTCCTGGCGTCATCCAAGACATTCAGATCTTGACATCGCATTGTTCAGCATGGCTCAAATCTCACAATTTGGAGTGGTCACTCTCGCAGTCAACTGGCTCTTTGTTAGCATAAGAAGGGCAAAGCTCTAGACCTCCAACAGCGCCAGGAGTATCATGGCGGATCAGTCTTCTAGTCACCTAGAAAGGTGAGGGAAGCACGTGTACGTCAATCTATTAAGGAGTAGGAAGAAAAGCAGCAACGGCTTCAAAAAATAGAGATGGCAGAGCTAAAGAAAGAAGGCAGCTAAGCTCTATAAGGAGAAGATCCAGCAGGAGAAGCGTATTGCGCGAGAGCCAGCTAGAGAGGCAAAGGAGAAGTAGAGGGCTGAAAAGGCAGCTCAGTGCGCTACCCAGAAGTCTGCCTATACCGCTAAAAAAGCTCTACAGCTATCTTAAAAGGGTAAGAGAAAGGCCTCTCGTCCAGCTCTACAGGGCAGAAAGCGACAGAAACGTGTTGTTGATGCTCCAGATATTGGGGAGACCTCAGAGAGCGCATCTGCTGCCCCAGCCAGATCAACACGCCACGGCCGCAACGTCAAGCTTCCTGATAGATATAAGTAATGCAAATAAATTGCAGGGGTTGATATAGTGCTCCTCTAGAAAATCATGTAATATCATTGATCGTGGGCGGCTCTAGGGCCTCATCTCTAGTAGAGCATTTATGTTGTTCCGCGTGCATTACGCGAATCCGGGCGTTACGCGCACGGACACGGTATCTAATGGAAGAAATACTGTAATTCATAGGAATAGGATAGAATCGCAACCTGTGAATTGTATCCTTACGAACTTTGGAAAGCTCAACACATAAAATTGCAAAGTCCGAGAGCTCTAAAGGGTAGGGGTCTTCTCAAGCGTAAGGGACTAGCGGCAGGCTGCATTATGTTACGGTATTTAATAATTACGCTATACCCGATATAACAGTGTTCCGCTAGACGGGGATCCCTCTCATCTTTTTTTAATTGGCTCGTCTACTTTATACCTAGGCCTGGAGTGCGCAGCGCCCTTGTACCGGTCAGCGTCCGGTCAGTATTTGCATGCACTGCCTCCACAGGCTGCTTTCACAACAGACCGGCACAAGTCTCCTCTGCCTGCCCCGACCCGTCGCAACCATGCTGTCTTTCTTTAAACCACACGGAGCCCATTTACGTTCCCTCGGCCAAATCTAGCGGCAGACGCGAAAGCTATGCGGCTTCTCCACTTTGACCAGCCAGAGAGACTTGTCTTGACAGACTTCCGCGGCAAGCTGACCCCGCCCTACGCCATCCTGTCGCACAGATGGAGCGATTCCGAGATCCTCCTTGAAGACATAGCGAGCGGAGCCTACGTGAAAAAGGAAGAAGGCTATCGAAAACTTAGATTCTGCGCTACACAGGCGGCCCAGGACAATCTGCGATACTTCTGGATCGACACATGCTGTATCGATAGATGGAATCGCAGCGATCGCTCAAAAGCGATCAACTCGATGTTTCGGTGGTACAAGAGCGCGACACGATGCTACGTATATCTGTCAGATGTCTCCCTATCCACTACGACAGAGACACCCGAGCGTAGCAACTGGGAGGCGTCATTCCGTGCAAGCGCATGGTTCACTCAAGGGTGGACGCTTCAAGAGCTTATCGCGCCAGAGTCTGTCGAGTTCTTCTCTTGTGAAGGACAGCGCATAGGCGACAAATTATCGCTCAATCAGCTAGTTCACAAGAGGACTGGCATTCCAATCGCAGCGTTGCGCAACTGTCCATTGGACCAGTTTAGTACAACTGAACGAAGGCGGTGGGTCGAAGGTCACGTAACGACGGAAGAAGAAGATATTGTATACTGCCTACTTGGAGTGCTCAATATCTTTATGCCGACTAATTATGGCGAAGGAAAGGAGCGTGCACTAAAAAGACTACAGGCTAAAGTAGATAAAGCTAGTAATGCACCGTCAATCGTTCCGTTCTCCCAGAATGACCGCTTCGTGGGCCGGGGGCCACAGCTCGCCGAACTAGAAGCAAAGCTCTTTAGCAACAAACAGGCCACCTCCATAACAGCAATAGTCGGGCCTGGTAGGACAGGAAAGTCGCAGCTCGCGCTTGAGGTGGCACACAGAACAAGACAGAATAACAAGCGCTGTTCCGTTTTCTAGATGGATGCGAGTGATAACGACAGTCTCTACCAGTCATACGCAAGTGTTGCGCAGAAGCTTAGTATTCCTAGGTGGGACGATGATCAGCCAGACATGAAGCGCATGATGCAACAATGTGTGGCAGAACTAAGTGCGCGGCAGTGTTTACTGATCTTCGACAATGTAGAAGACGTGGTTCTACGATCCTATGGCTCATCCACGGCGGAAGCTGGTGACCTGGCCGACTATCTACCGCAGTCTACGCTTTGTTCTATTGTATTCACGACGACAAATAGCGACACAGCTAAGACGCTTGCCCCGAACAATATTATAGCGCTGCGAGAGCTCACACCGGACACAGCGCTGAGGATGCTACAAAACCACTTAGCAACGCCACTCTCGAATACCGGGCAGCAGGAAGCTGAGATCTTGCTAAGTGAGCTATTATATCTGCCTCTAGCAGTTGTACAAGCAGCAGCCTGCATAAATGCTAGCGGCATGCCAGTACAAGAGTACCGAGCACAACTAGGCGAGCATAAAAAAGCTGCCTTCGAGCATAGTAGCTCCCTAGGGAGCAAGCTGTATGGGCATGGCATAGATGATCCTGTAGCAGCTACACTGTTTGTGTCTATGAGCCACGTCTATGCGCTCGCCACAAACTATCTGTTCTTCGCTGCATGTGTAGAGCGAAAGGATATTCCACTTGATATTTTTGAGGGAGCTTCATTAAGCGTGAGGGAATATGCTGTTAAGGTCCTTAAAAATTACGCGCTTGTTACGAGGCGCCCTACAGACTCTGCGCTCGATCTTCATCAATTAGTGCATCGCGCCCTACGCGAGGACCTGCGAAGGCATGGACGGCTCCAACAATGGACTCAGCGAACTATCACGCAGCTACTACAAGTGTTTCCAGATAGTAATCATAGTAACAGAAGCAAGTGGAGGCGACTTCTTCCGCATGTCCAATTCGCTCTGTCGCATAGTCAAGGCGACGATGACGACAAGCAAAGAGTAGATCTTGCACGAAATTGCGCTATGACTCTACTGAGTGACGGAAGGTATGAAGAGGCGGAGAAGCTATTCGTGCAGGTAATGGAGACTAGCAAGACGAAGCTCGGAGCAGAACATCCAGACACGCTGACCAG